CACTGCTGACCGTATGGTTCTTGTTGGTGCTGGTGGTGTCCCCCACGAACAGCTCGTCAAACTTGCTGAAGAGCACTTTGGAAACCTCCCCAGCCAACCCACCAAGCTCTGCAGCCTCCGCAATTGCTGCTGAGCAGAAGCGTCAGCCTGACTTCATTGGCTCTGATGTTCGAATCCGTGATGATACCGTCCCAACTGCTCATATCGCTCTCGCTGTTGAGGGTGTCAGCTGGAAGGACGATGACTACTTCACCGCTCTCGTCACCCCAGGCCATTGTCGGTAACTGGGATCGTACCATGGGCAACTCTCCTTACCTTGGAAGTAAGCTCAGCACTTTCATCAACCACCACAACTTGGCCAACAGCTTCATGAGCTTCTCTACCAGCTACAGTGATACCGGGTAAGCATTCCCTATATCTACGTATACTATCAACAATAAAGCGTGTTATGCTAACTAGTGCAGTCTCTGGGGTATTTACCTCGTATCTGAGAACCTGACCAACCTCGATGACCTCGTCCACTTCACTCTCCGTGAATGGTCTCGTCTATCATACGACGTCAGCCCAGCCGAAGTCGAGCGAGCCAAGGCCCAGCTCCGTGCCTCCATCCTCCTCTCTCTCGACGGCACCACTGCCGTTGCTGAGGACACCGGCCGCCAAATCGTCACCACCGGTCGTCGTCTGTCCCCACAAGACATCGAGCGTGTCATTGACGGCATCACCGAGAAGCATGTCATGGACTTCGCCCAGCGAAAACTCTGGGACCAGGACCTCGCTGTCAGTGCCTTTGGAAGCATTGAGGGCCTGCTTGACTACCAGAGACTCCGCAACGACATGAGCCGCGACGCTTCTTAAAAAACCAAGAGAGAGGGAAGAAAGAAGACCTTTGTAACAATCCGCCGCAAAAAGAAAACAAAATATACAAGACAAAAAAGAAGCCTCGCAACCCGCGAAGTTTTTTTTAACTCTTCACAAGTGTAATTTCCTTTGTACCTGATTCCTCTTCTCCCCCCCTTTCTTGGTCTTTGTCTTGTTTTGATAGATTCACAAGTGGGATCGATAGCTGCGGTCCTATATATCATTTTTGTACAGTACCTAAAGACCCTTTTCCCTCGACATCCCCTCGCCTACCAATATCCACCTTACTTAACTACTGCATCCTGCTCCATTGATATTAGCTGTTATAAACCTATCTTTCCACCCATATTTCCAGTTAGCTTCCTCTCGCCCTCGGACGTCTCTATCCCTTCGTAGCCGGGGAATTCCTCTTCTACACACTCCACAGCCTATGATCTACCCTTAACCACAGGGTTGGTTCTTCCCCAGGTATCCGTCCTCAACAGAATTCCACGCAACAATCAACAAAAAAAGCCGTTTCTCCGGCCGCTGTCAGGGGTGGAGGGTCGAGTGGCTTTATATGACCTATATAAGTTTCGTTTGTTTGCCCCTGGACACTTACCGTCTACGTCAAGACACCGGGCAGATCGCTGTGAGCTTAACTCTCCAAAAGTGCATCCCCCTGGTCTCCTCCGTCCACAGCGCCGGGCGTACGCAGCTTCAACGCACACAAGCACCAATCTACGCTCAAAAAGCAGCAGTTACGCGAGCTTCCAAGCCGGCTGTATTCGGACGATTCCGGCAGGGCGCCCATCATGGACCGAGATGGTGAACAGGGCGAGGTAGGTAGTTCGACTGGCGGGCTGCGAGACGTGTGAAACCGCAGTGAGACTTGCTCGACTCCCCTGACTCTGCCAGCAAGCAGGCAGACCAACTCCGTACATGAGGCAAATATAGCCCTGTCAGGTCTGCCTTGGATTTAATATATAGGCTTGAACCTGGTCGACGACGACGTCGTTGATAGTCTGCACAGTACTACGTATTCAAGAGGAAGCAGCATCTCCTCCCTGGCTGATCACTACCTAGGCTACGACTATAACTAGCGATATGAGCTAGCGAGTTTGTTACTCAGTATATGTCCTCAATTGAAACCATTGGAGTTGCCTGGGTAAGATACTCGACATGACAGCTGGCATTAGCCGATGCACCCCATTAACGGCAGAAGCACCTAGATCCAGAGCTAATGTACGGATATTTTATTGCGACCAGCCCAGCATGCATGACTGGGCCTCGCCTTGCAACGCCTACAAGTACATAACTACACTGCAGCGAGCAGCGCCGGCTCTGGTTCTTTGGCTGCTTGGCTGGCGGGATTGGCAGCTATGGAAGCATACGACATGTCGCTCCACCACTGGTTAGTGCGCAGGCCAACACGGAGCTGCATTCCTATATAATCGACGGCTGTCCTACCATGCGCCGTGGAAGAGAAGAAGAGCCAAGTTCCTCCGTCATGGAAGAAGCTAAATCATGTCCGTTGTCCCAGCCTACGGCCGTGCGTGCATCAGATCCGTCGGAGGAGGACTCTCTTTTCGGTATAACAGGCGGCGGAGGTGGGAAAACAAAAGACAAACAATTGAAAAAATAAGTTAGGGAGTTCCCCATGGCGCCTCCGTTAATCGAACAAGTCTGAGCCGACTCCATACAACATGGAACTAGAGAGCGGTACATTATTGCCCCTACTTTGGTCGATACCGAGGTTGTCTATGGAGCACACTGCTACCTATGAGGCGAAAACTCAGGTTGCGGCTAATTTGATGTCATAAAAAATAAAACGGAGAAGGGACAACTTCTTCGCTCAGGCACCCTGTGGCAAGGGCCGGATCCTATGCACTGTTTAAGCCGCCGGCGATCTCGTTTAGCTACCTAGCTTTGCAATTGAGATGCTTCTTTGAGCAAGGGCCGCCGCGATTTGAACCCAGGGCATTACTTTAATTTGAAAAATTCGAGGATATTTCCATATCCGAAAAGAGACCACCTCCCCTCCCCTCCCCCCGTTTATCTCCATTCTCCTCCACCGGGCGGGAGCCGGGCTCTCAATGGGAATAGTCTCTGTTGGTACGATGTGAAACGGTCAAATTTCGTCCGGGCCAAGGTCTTGCATCATCATTGAGTACTTATATAAATCTATATATTTCCATTCAATTAGTTTCCAGTTCCAGTGAATTGACTCTCCTTCACTGTCCCAAGAGTACTGAAACCATCCATATATAGAGTCCACGGTGTCTTCATACTAGAATACCAGTCTAAACACATACGTCAGCCATGTCTTCCACTACCAAGTCCCTCTATTTCAAGAAGATCCCGTCGGATTACCCAATCCCAGGAGAGCACTTGGTTGTCGAGAATGTCCCTTTCGACCCTGAGGCTCCCGCGCCAGAAGGCGGCCTCACACTAGAGTGCCTCTACACCAGCTTCGACCCATACATGCGCGGCCGCATGAGACCAGCGCACGTCAAGTCCTACACTCCTGCATACGGCCTTAACCAGCCGATCCCCAGCGCCACCATCGCAAAGGTACTTAAGTCCAAGAACGACAAGTACAATGCTGGCGATGTCGTAATCGGCCTGCTGCCCATCCAAAAGAACCTCGTCCTGCCCGAGGCACAGCTCAAGTTTATCAGACCGCTCGACAACCCAGAAGGACTTACTGATCTCCGTGTCTTCCTGGGTCCGCTCGGCATGCCTGGTCTGACGGCATATGCTTCTTTGTACGAAATAGGCAAGCCGAAGAAGGGAGACACCATCTTCATCTCCTCTGCAGCCGGTGCAGTCGGTCAGGTAGTCGGCCAGATAGCCAAGCATGAAGGTCTGACTGTCATCGGCAGTGTTGGCAGCGACGAGAAGCTAGAGTACATCCTCAAGGACCTTGGCTTCGACTCCGGATTCAACTACAAGACTGAGAAGCCCGCCGACGCCCTCAAGAGACTCGCCCCCAACGGCATCGACATCTATTTCGAGAACGTTGGTGGAGACCACTTCGAAGCTGCCCTCGAGCACATGAACGACTTCGGCCGCATAGTCGCCTGTGGAATGATTTCGCAGTACAACCTGCCCATGAAGGATAGGTACCCGATCAAGAACCTTTTCTACTTCATCACCAAGCGCCTGACGATGCGCGGGTTCATTGTCAACGATCCTGGTATGGGAGACAAGTGGACAAAGGAGCATCTCGAGCGTGTCTCCAAGTGGATTAAGGACGGTTCTTTCAAGCCCCTGATCGCAGAGACTGTGGGCATTGACAACGCTCCTGAGGGTCTAGTGGGTATCTTCCATGGAAAGAACCTGGGGAAGGCAGTCTTGAAGCTCTAGGTGTGATAGAAGGTGAAATCGATGTATGTAGCCTTTTTGCTGGTTTGACTTCCGCTTCTGCTGGGTTTTGGAGTTTGTTAAATGTCGGGTCGGTCTACGGCAATTTTTCCTGGGATGGTCATTGTGAATTCTTTCTTAATAAATACAGCAATGCAATATAAACGGTAAAAAGTTCAAAAGTTCATATCGCGTCTCGTAGTCCGTACAGAGTATTCATATACGCCCTGTAGAGCAGTGCTGGTGGCGATGGTGATGTTGATATCCCGGTATCCTGGAGTTGTAGAAGTTGCTAATGTTAGTCGACGGGGCTTCGTAGTTAACGGCATCACCATCAACACCAACACCAACACCGCACATTAGTATAGCATCTAGCAGCCAGCTAGATCGACAGCAATGTAATAGAACTCGATATCACTACTATGAATATCTTCTTCGACTGCGGAAAACTCGAAAGGAAAGGGAAGAACGCTTTTATATCTGGCTGCGCGTCTTACCTAAGCGATCACGGGATTTTTCGGCTCAAGAGCGGAAACTGGCCAATCAGACGTCTCCGATTCTGCTGACTTTCCGCTTCCCGAGGATGTTTTTCGATGTTCGCTTTTGCTTCAGGTTCAAACCACGACGAAGACCAAGTCGAGGAGGGATATTGAACCGAACTACGACGTCGCATCGCATCAGCTAGGACCAAGATGGCCTCCTCTATCGTTCGTCCGTCTGTTTCCGCTCTCCGGCAGAGCTGTCGAGTCGCCGGTTTCCAGCACAGATCGCCCATGGCCGCACTGAGCGCCAACAAGCTACAGCGGACATGGTTCCATGCCTCGAGCAAGAAGGACATTCTACCCCCATTGCCCCGTGAGTACTACGGAATATTGGACCGTTAGGTTGTTAGGGGAGAAGGAATTGGGGATCCTGGGAGTTTCCTGCTTTGAAGAGACGACTGCTAACGAATGATGGTGTTTGCTACCTTGCTATAGAGGTTGTCCACGGAACCAGTACGTCCCTCCAGTTACCATATACGATATCGTCTAGTTACCAGGTCAGCTAACACTTGTCTGTAGCCAACGATGCTGCTCCAATTCCTCCTACCTCTCCCACCCACGGAAGCTACCATTGGACCTTTGAGAGGTGTGTGCTAGGCATATAATATACGACATCCCGGGGCTGTGGTGCAGGCGTCACTAACAAAGTCCTAAATACAGAGTCGTTGCAGCCTCCCTTATCCCCCTCACAATCGCCCCATTCGCCTCTGGATCGGTCAGCCCTGTCCTTGACGCTGTGCTTTGCGGCACCCTCGTCATTCACTCTCACATCGGTTTCCAGTACGTCCACAGAGCCGTGACATGACATCAGTTAAGTGATAGAGCGATGCTGACGGTATATAGGGCCATGATTGCCGATTACTTCCGCCCATGGCGTGTGCCTAAGACCTCCACCTTTTTGAACTGGCTTCTCCGCGGTTTTACGCTCGCTACTGCCGTTGGCCTGTACGAATTCGAGACTAACGATGTTGGCGTAACAGAGGCTCTTAAGAGGATCTGGAAGGCGTAAATGTATATATCCTGTATTTCCTTTTTTGTATTCTGATACATCTTGTCCCTCTTATTTTTTTATTTCTATTATCCGTTTCCATAAAGTCGTCTTCCGTCCCATGGATACCTACATGCATATAAAGCATTCAATTTCATCAAGCTGCCTCCCCACCCTTTCTTCCCCCTTTTTTGTGTATACAGTACAAAAATGGGAATCAAGCCATCAATATCAGCCCCATAATCTTTTAACAAGAGTGCCACTAATCGTCAGCTGCCAATGCCCCATGGTCTGTTTCTGCGTCCTCCTCTGCAATAGTCATTATCTTCTCGATGAGCCGCAGTGTAGCTCTCAGCGGCAGACCGATGACATTATCGTAGCTTCCATTAATTTTCTCCACAAGCACCGATCCCAGTCCCTGCATTCCATAGCCTCCAGCCTTATCGGCGCCTTCCCTTGTCCTCACATACATCAGCAGCAAGTCATCTGTGATCTGAGGGTCGAACCGAACGCTCGTCTCTTCCACGATCGACTCAAGTGCGTACCCTGGAGCCTGTGCGCTCTCCAACGGCACTATGGCAACAACTGCCGTATACACCTTATGATCTCCCGCATCCCTTAGCCCCTTCAGCATGTTCATATGCTCTGCCTCTGAGCGTGGTTTCTCCAAAATCTCGCCCGTCTCGGGATTGACAACGATGGTATCAGCAGCCAGAATCAACGCCGGCTCTCCCTTTTCTTCATTATCTATCTCCTGCTTATACACCGCCAGGCCTTTCTGCGTGGCTGTTTCCAGCACATATTCAAACGGAGTGAGGGTCTTGGAGCAGTCTTCTGGAGTGCCGGATGGGATGATTTCGATATTGGGTAGGCCGAGGAAGGCGATTATCTGTTTGCGGCGAGGAGACGCCGAGGCGAGTATCACTCTTTTCTTCCTGAGGTTGACAAGCACTGGGAGAGAGGGCGGAAGTGGTTTCGGGAGCGGCTTAGACGCAGAGTGAGAGGAAGCTTCGTAAGATGGCGGTGGATCGGTTGGCACTGCTGAAGGATTTGTCTGCTGGCTCGACATGTTACCGCTTTCTGTCCCGCCTTCGTCTTCTTGGAAGGATGGTATGATGTTATACACATATGAAGTCGCGCTCCTGAACATATTCATCTTCGAAGTGAGGGTGAGATGGCGGATGTTAGTTATTTAATTAACAACAAGTGTGTCCCAACTTGTTCTCCGAACAAACACGAAGAAGAGCCGCATCGACGGGTCCCGTGAATTTAAGATAAATAACCTTGGGGCTAGTGAAGGAAGTTAAAATGTTTATTTAGTTGAATATCTACCTTAGTTCGCCAACAACACCTCACATTTCACCTCTCGTCGTGGCTCACTTGGGATCCCAGTTCAGATCGACTATATCCTTGTATACCCTTGGCCCTGGGATCTATTCAAACCGACTTCAAGACGTCTCTGTTCATTTCTTTGCGTATTTTTTTGAGTTAATGTCAAACGTCTGAGCCAAAAAGGAGAGCCCGCACTGGTTGGCGCAGGAGACGCGTGATATCTTCGACATTTAACTACCATGGCTTCTCAGCAGCCATACGATGAAGCAGTACTCGATCTGCCTGGACGTTCACCTGTTCCGCCCCAGCTTCACGACCATCACCAAGTATCATTCGATGGAATTATAAAGTATGACCAACCATCGCCCTTGTCTACAGCAGAGCGTTTACGCGCCCAAGATGTTTTGTCTCGGATTGCCCAACAGGTTGCTGATGAGAGTGGCGTCAAGGGAGGCTTCCACCGTCATTTACTTGTCCGTCTTTCTTACGAGCACTCAGCCTCAGAGTTGTCAAAAGATACATTTCTACGAGTTTTCTTTAACTTTATGGGGCTCGAGTTGACCTGCGATGAAGACATCGACCTGAATGATAGCGGGCTGGTCCAAAGTTTCATCGAATTTGCGGATATGCTGCTCGACCAATTCTTTATCCCATGTTTGTGCCCTGCTTTCTTGATGGTACACTATATGGTATCTAAATATCTATTAACATCTATCTAGTGAGAGCAAGTGGGAGGAAAACTCCGCAGCGTACGCCTGCACAGATCTCTGCTACTAGAAGCATTCAATCACCTCATGAGATCGCTGGCCTTGCGGAGAGACTCTCATATCTTAGGTCCCTGTGTCTTATTCGAGATCGGCATCGTTGTGTTATCTCACGGACTTTCGATGCACAACAGGAATTTCACCTATTAATGCAGCATGGTTCGAATGCGCAGGATGATGACGGGAACTTGCTTCGAGGCGGACTCCCGGGCCAAGCTTTGGAGGTGGCGCATATAATTCCGCACTTACTCCTAGAAATGGACAATAATTCACAGCTGGCAAGTTATCCTTTCCCTTCTCGCCTTTTACATTCTCTGGGGCTAAGTGATGGGTAGAGTGAATCACAAAGAACGGCAATTAATATACTTAATATGTTTGATTGCGATATTGCTCATCTCATTGAGGGCCCTTGCATCGATAGCCCGCGTAATGCTATCACCCTGACTTCTACTTTCCATGAAATCCTCGGGAATTTCAGGGTATATTTTGATGCTGTTGCTGGAGAAGAAAATACATATAGTATCTGCACCTTTAACGATTTTGTTGCCGAACGATGGGCTACCTGTGACTCGCAAGCTCTTTTTCAGCCAAGGAAAAACAATAGACCCTCCTTCTCCCCGGTTGCTCGCCCTACATCGAGCAATAGCCCACATCCTCAATCTATCAGGAGCCGGGGAGTACATTGACAAACTGCTTCGGGATCTTGAAGAAATAGGTGTACAAGCGGATGGGTCGACGGATCTAGGGCGTCTTATTACATTTAGGCTTGGTGGACAGGATAAATTTGTCCAAGCATATTAACAACCCCAGATGCTAATGGTTTTGTTTGTGGTGCCTGCAGTTCAGAGCACATTTCTATTTGGTCTCAAAGATCGAAAATAGTACGATTAAACCTCCCACGCTGTGTTTATGGTACGTATGCGGAAGCTATCCCACATTCAACCTTTTATATTCTTAGAAAACACATGCTAAAAGAATACAAAAGAGAAAAAAAGAAGAATTTAAAATCTAAAGCACTGAATTAACACCGACTTGATGGGTATCACAGCTCAAACCATTCGTTCAGAACCACCGCCACCCCAACCCCCAAAGCCTCAAGAAAACGCCGTCTGCCCATCCATACCGCATGTATGTAGAAAGTCGTGAGCGCCAAAGTCACCGAATAACCTCCGTAACGTTTCGCAACCTGTCATCGACTCTACCTCCTCTTTGTTCAATCTCTTCAATCAAATCCTTTCGTTCCTGGACCTTGAGTTGCATGAAATCAACAGTCTTGCGCAAAACCATGCCCTCGCTGCGGCCCTGACCAGCTAGACCGGGGACAAGTTCAGTTAACCGGTCGAACCCTTCTCGTATGGCTGCCCGGCGTTTCTGCTCGGAGGCAATGTGGTTGTTCTTCTTCTCTTGCTCGGAGAGGCGAGGTTTCTCTCTCTCTGAGGTGGTGGGCCGGGGGTCAGAAGGCGAGTTCGAGGTTCTCTTTGTTGACGGCTCGCCATCTTCACCGGGAGTCGAGCTGGGCCTTCGAGCAGCGGCAGCTCCTGTTGGCGAAGTTGATGGAGGCATGGTGATGGTAGAGGCAGGCGATAACCCGTTGATAAGCAGCAAAGTCTGTTCGAGACTGTCAAATAACACACCAAACACACGCGGCTCTATTACGCCTTCTGCTTGCCCTTTTCTCTTCCTCCCTTTCTTGTTCTTCTTCTTATTCTTCTTCTTCTTGCGATCTCGACCTTGTATTTCATGTCGTTTCGCCTCGCTTCGTCGTTCAGATGACGGTTTAATGGAGAAAAAAAAAAGGGCGCCAAGAGCGGAAGGAAACCCGATAAGGAAGAATTTAGCACGTGAAATCATGACCAAGCAATTACGTCATATATTACATAATGATGATCTAATGAGTGATTACCTAATCTATAGCATCATAGATGAAAGTTGGACGTGAAAGAAAAACGACGTCAGGGAAAGAGAGAGAAAGAGAAGAAGACGATGAAGAAAAGGAGCAGAGCAGCGCTTTGTCTCGCAATGCGATTGTCTGCTATTTCATCTTGAATTGGGTCTTTAGGAATTACGGCTGCATCTGAATCCTACACGCTGATACCATGAGCCAGACACTTCGAGGCGGTTGTTCTTGTGGTCGAAACAAATGTTTCATCAACATCCCACTTGATGCCAGTGACCAGGCAGAGGTCTACTTTGACTCGAGCAGTGTCAATCGTGAGTATTCTGATGTACATGGCTCAATACCGCGCTTGTGCTAAGTTCTGGCTGCTAATGTCATTGTCTACAGGTCGGACGCAGGCCGCTCCGTTGACTGCATGGCTTCGTGTGCCACTTGAGTGGTATCAATCATCGACAGTGTCCTTCTTCCCTGACGAGACTCATTCTGCTATTCGGCGCACTTTTATTCCTCCAGAGGATCCGCATTGCCGGCGTGTTTTCTGTGGATTTTGCGGCACGCCACTTACGTATTGGACCGAGAGTCCGCTCGAAGAGGCTGATTACATGTCAATTACTGTGGGCAGCCTCTTCAGCCAGGACCAGAGTGCCCTTGAGGATCTAGGACTGCTCCCAGAAGATGTCGAAGCCGCATCACAGATCACTCCTGTTGGATCTAGTCGAAGTGCCACACCGGCAGCTTCTTCGTCTAGGCAGCTCACTTCCACGGAGCCACATGTGTTTGTGACACGCCATAGAGGTACTCTAGGAGGAATTCCTTGGTTTGAAGAGATGATCGAAGGAAGCCGGCTGGGAAGAGTAGGCAAACACCGCAGGGGAGTCGGAGGAAACGATACGATGCATGTCGAGTGGGAGGTGACCGAGTGGCATGACACTGTCCCATCCATCTCCACCGAGGCCTGTGAGACCACCAGCGCTAGCCCAAAAACTTCCGCTAAAAGAAAGTCCCCTCAGGTTTGTTTATCCTAACTGCTATGTCTATACGTCGAACTATTAGTTTCGTCTAACAAGATATTAGGAGTGAGCCGTTTTCCTTGATAGGCGATTAGAGTTACCTCTAAAAGCAGGCCTCAGAGTCTCAACTTAACTTCACTCAAACCCGTGGGCCTTCCTTTACTTTAGAATCTTTAATTTTTGCAACTGCGCCTGATCCCTTATTTTCAGTCCATGGTCATTGGAGTTTACTTTCGTTTTCTTCCCTTCCATTGTTATGGAGTTTTCCTTTTTGAAATCCGGTATTACCTACGATCATCGGCATGCTGTACATCACCCATTGATTATTCTGGAGATCCTTGAAATCAGACTGATATCCTTGCATAATTTTGGAACTTATCTTCAGGTTTGAAGTATACAGAGCCCTAGTCTATTATGGCATATTTACGTGTTGATTTTGGCTATATATTGTGCTTCTCAAGTGCGCAATATTCTCGCTATACGTCATCACTCTGATAATAGTATAATACCAAATACTATTAGATATTGACATATTTTCATTTTTCGGAATCTCTAGATATCATAATTTACTAAAGCCTTTAGACCTGGCAAATTCCACCACTCCTCTCTTTGTCCTTTGACCGGCTGGCTTCACAATAGAGCTTTTGCTTTTTCATATCACCGTGTCCTACCTTGGAACTGCATGACGAAACGTCTCCTTGGGTATTGAACTCGAGCTTATTATTTTCTTTGCTCTCCACACACCACGCACCTTTTCAACATTTGAACCACAACACAGTCATTTACATGATCGCTTTTGTTCTCCATCTTGCCCTCTGGCTGAACACCGAAATGTGTTTACCTTCTTATATCTTGTGATCTGTGTGTGATTTATACAGGGAGAGGGCACTGAGAGGCCCTACACGTTCAAAATGGAGAACCAGATGGACGGAATGGCCGTCTGTGAGCCTACGACTACAAATGAGAGCATACTTTCAAACAATTCCATCCAGTCTAACAATTCCCAGCCAGCTTATCCCCGGTTCATGACACCAATCAATCCTACTCACCAGCTTTTTACCCCAAATTCGAACCTCTCTCGAAGACCTTCGGTTGATCGGCCCAAGCAACCACGCCCGGAGACTCCTACGAGGTCATTGCCAATTAGCTCTAGCAGATCTCGTCAGAAGACTTGGGCATCAGTCGCGTCAAAGGGAGTGGATGCATTTCGTTCAACATCAGCAAAATCGACGAACTACAGCAAAAGAACTCCGTATAGAAATGGGCAATCTCCAGGAGTTGTACGTGAATACCAGGTGCTCGAATAGAAATTTACTTGAATACTGACACCTACTTCTGTAGGGCTCATATCGATTAATATCCGTGACCCAGGCAGAGCAACAGTCTACACCGTGTCCAGACAGGAGCTCTAAAGAGTGCAATCATGTACGTGAAACTATCTGAACACGTATTTACTGGTGTAATGTTGTGTTTGACCTAACTTATCTGTCCGTTTCCTTACAGAACACTCGCGTTCAAAATGTGGTGGAAAAGCTGCTTCCCTCAGAAAATCCATTGCAATGCCCGCCTGAATCTAATTCAGAGGCTGATACGGCATCTAATCGGGAGCTTCATACCACTCTCAATACCAACAAAATCTCATCGCAGGCTCCAGCTCCTGGGTCTCCCCCTGACGACAAATGGGCAAGTGTTAAGTCAGATAATACTATGGACAGCAGAAATGATAATACTGGCGAAATCAAATCGAATGACAATGATGATACTAAGTTGATACGGATCGAGGAGGAAGATGCACACACTCCGGTTCCTGATGGGGTTCGCATGTTTACTGATGCTTTATCTAAACTCACAAAAGTCACAGGCTCTTGCAAGGAAGTCGATAAAGAACAGACGATTAAGGAGCAAGGGGATTGCCCACCTGAAAACAACGCAGAGGGAGCTTCCATTTCTGGCCCCACGAAATGGGTCACATCCAGCCCCCGCCGATCTTTGACAAACTGTCCATTGTCTTCAACTAGAAAGCCGCCGCACCTGAAGATCGTTACTGATTTCTCTAGAAACCCAGTACAAACGGAACGGATGTTTGCTCATCATGGCTTAGGGGTATCTCCTGGTTACTATTCTCGCGTTCCTAAGTCCAACCCATTTAGAGACCGCCCTAGAGTTGCATCTTCACCTGGCGGCGTTAACCCTTTGCTAGCGCGGGAGAATAGAGCATCCTCGTGCTCATTTGAAAATTCTCCTTCACCTATCAGGACTCCCGGCGCTGTGACCCCCAAGCAAAAATCAACTGGAACGCCTACTCCATCAAACCCCTTTTGTGCCGTCTCACTAAATACTACACCTCGGATGGACAGAAGTGGCTCTAAAATTCCTCGAATGGCGCCACGGAATTTATTTCCTGAAAGTGATTCAGGGGTTGGCAACTGCACGAAAGTAACTGTATTCTCTCCGTCAAAGAGAAGCTCAATCCCACTTCCTACGCGATTGCTCCAGCAGAGTAAGGAGGAGAACGGCTCTGAGAATATGCCTGAAGGTACAACCCCATCGGCCATTTTCGATAGAGTTGAGAAAACCACCACGGAGGAAACAGTGATAAAGGAAGACTGTGAAATGGGCAAGGGGGAGAATACCCACTTCAAACCACAGAATAATGTGCAGGATACAACTAAGGGTGTAGAGGAAAATGCCGACCCATTCTCTGACGATGTTACCGTGAAACAACTTTCGAAGTCTGCTCCATGCCATGGTCCACAGCTTCGCATTTCACCAGAGGCTGAACGTCTCATCATGGGTGAAGATGATCTCAAGGTATTGGAGAAGAATATGAAAGAGAGCCGCGGCCCTAGTCGTCAATCGGGAAATAAGAGAGAATTTCGCCTCTCTACTGATAGCCTCTTTGCAACCTTTTCCTCTAAGCGCTCCAAGAATTCATCCTATAGGTTATCTTTCAGCGGCAAACCTCCAATGGAGGAAGACAGTCCTACACCCGTGGGCGAAGCAGCGGGAAAATCTATCTCTAAAGCAAAAAGCGCGGATTTTGGGATTCGCCGGGCATCCTCTGGCCATCGTTCGACGAGACGAAAATCTTCTCCTGAAAAGGGACTACCTCGCTCAGCTTCGGAGAAGCTTGATGCTGACCCGTTCTTAGACACAGAAGATATAGAAATGCACTCCAAGCAACCCATGCCGGTAGATAGGAGGCCAGTTACGGAGCCCGGACAAGTCAATAAAAAGCCATGCAGCACCCCAGTTGTTGAATCTGCCAAAAAGAGCTCTATCCCCGTGGTCGTGACAGAGAACTCACCTTCTCCATCCAAACCATCGGGCTCAGTAGAGCGTACTCGAAAACTCCAGAATGAAGCATTCAAGTTGAATTCTCCAAAAGGCCCACGGCATAACAGCAGAGTTAGCGCTTCTTATGGCTCACCTAGAAGATACCCGTACCGGCCATCTACTGACAGGGCCCACCATAGCCCTAAGCCAAACAATGATACCCATATTGGAACTGATCAACCTCCACGGAATGCAGAAAACCAGGGACAGAAAGATAAGCGCCATAAGAAACGTCATCATCGCTCTGCAGATCCTATCACTACGGCTCCTGAGCCGGTCAAAGGCAAAGGGTCCTCTTCCAAAGGAGTATTCTCCAATTTCCGTGGCTTATTCTCAAAGAATAAACCTGAGGCTCCAAAAGAAAACAATCGCCCTCTAATTTATGCAAGACCAATGGCTACCAATAACCTAAAACTATCAGTGCCAGTGTCCCACTCTGTTCCTCATCTCGGTATGAATGGAAACGGAGTTCCAAATGACACTTCAGGTGGAGAAATTAGCTACCATCATCTCGAATCTCTATGTTCCCCTGCGTTACGGGACACTGGAAGAATTAGCACTATTACGATGGAGATTCTTGATTCGGCACGGAATGAGGTTGACACATCACGCAAGGAGAAGCTTATTAGAGTAAGTAATTTACACAGTCTGATTATTGCTAAACAACTGCTAACTGTTGATTGCTATATTTTACAGCTCGGCAAGATTCTTATTGAAGCTGTGAACAATTCGCATGATGCTGAAAAGGCGATGTTGACTGCCATCCAGGCGGCAAAAGAGGCGGAAGTTGCCTGTGCAATGGCGAAGGAAAATGCTATGAAAATGAGCCAAGTTGCCTGTGATTGGGCCCGCCCTTTGGCTTCTGCTAAAGATTCTAGTACCTGAACTTGTGACGAAGAGGATAAATAGTCCGTACCTTGACGAACTGTGGCTGCGAAAGCGTTGAACCTGAAATTCAATCCCAATTTCCCTGGTATTGACGTTTGGCGGCTTAAGAGACGTCTATCTGGTGTGGTTTTATGGTTAGATATCCGTTATTAACATGATCCCCTTGAACTTGTTTTAACCTTCTCTGATGCTCTGTTCTTTATTGTCCTTTGCTCTCCCGTGGCCTGCCTACGTGGAAGCCCATCCAGGTTCAAATTTACGACAGACAGATTGTTATGTCTACGTTATCAATTGTCTGAGAGTCAATAGCACAGCAAGAAATGAACAATATCCAGCTGACATTTTAGATAATAACCATCGCTATTCGATTTCTAACTCAACCAATGCATAAAGTTAGGACTTATAGCTTAGCCTTTGCGTCATTTCTGTAGTAATGGAGACAGTTAGCAAATTGAACAATGGAAGAGATATATATCAAAGAGAAGCTTCGTACAAATAAGCTATGCATTCGATCTCAACGTCGGTATCTAAAGGCAGCTGCTTCACAGCAACGCAGGTCCGGCACTAGTACGTTGTTAATGAACCAAAGATCAACGCAATCCAAAACAGTCGAATAGCTTACTGGTTTCGGTTCATCTTTGAAATAAGTCTGGTACACCTTGTTCATTTCCGCAAAGTCATCCATGGTGGCAATGAAGACGTTTGTCTTGACAACATTCCTTAAGCTACTGCCGCCTGCCTCCAGAACTGCCACAAGATTCTTTAGGGCTTGATCCTATAGAGAGATCAGTATTTGAATGTGTGATATATAGTCAACGGGTGTTTAGGCTAACAGTTCTTTCTGCAACCCCTCCAGGGACCAGTTCATTTGTCTTTGGATCCATTCCAATGCTCCCAGAACAATAAAGCATGCCATTGTGGACAATAGCCTGGGAAAACACCGGGAGTGGCGCGGGGGCCTCGGTAGTGAGGACGGCGGTTTTAGTAGGCATTTTAAGGGGTGACAGAGATAGCGATCTTGCTGCTATTACTGATAAGTAGCGGATTTCATCGACTTCACTGAAATGGAGATGGTTCTCGGTTATTTACAATGCGGAGGCATCGGGCTTCTTGGTCCGGCAGTGTACGGCGAATACGAGCCGGGCATTTTTATAGGGAGCTGTCAAGGCCTAGAACTAGGGAGGAGTAAAAATACCGGTTATATGGTGTAACAAGAAGAAGGAGACAAAATACTATCTCAAAAGTTAAATATTTTTCATTTCCTTTAGAATCTGAATAGTAACAGTTAAGGTATAGGGCAGATTAGTCCTCAATGCCGCTCCATGCTTCCTCTTCCATTGTATCAACATTGGACTCCTGGGCAAGCTTCCTGGATTGGCTGCCCTTGATAGCCCCTTTCCTATTATTCTCTACCCTCCTTTCAAAACCGCTCTTAGTGCTGATACGGGTTGTGCGGCGGTTCCTATCATTATTCATTGCGGCTGTTCGTCTCCGCGCTTGAACTCCATGGCGCTTTAGCTCCTTTTTGTCGTTCTTTGTCAAGTCGGGAAGAGCATCAAGAAGCCATTTCTGTATACCTGGCTCAGCACCGTCGCCACAACGTAGTTTCTCACTAGCTGCAATCACGTTGGCAATGTTCTTGACGTATGGAATATCTTCTTTGGTGTAGAACGTAACTGCAATTCCGCCCTCTCGGCCAGCTCTACCAGTCCTTCCAACTCTATGCACGTAGGCAGCTGCTGAGTTCGGGATATCATAATTGACAACCCCGTTGATTCCACGGAAATCCACACCTCGAGAAAGAAGGTCAGTGGTAATGATGATCCAGATTTCTCCTTTTCTGAACCCAGCCATAACGTCGGATCGTTGAGAGTCGGAAAGTTCAGAGTGTAGAACTGCGATTCGGGAAGAGCCACCTGCTTCGGGTGGAATATCATACATAAGTTCGGAATGCAGAGCTACTGCTCGTGGGATAGTTTGAGTGAAAACGATAAAAGGAGGACGAAGGTGTTTGCCCGCGGATGCTGTAGCCGTTGTGGGGTGTAGAAGTTGTCTTAGTCCCAGAAGTTTGCCTTGCTCTGTTGCGGCGTAGGTGAGTTTATGAGAAATATTTGGTATAGCTGAGTCCTTCAGGCCAACAACTAATCTGATGAGAAAGGGCTCTTCTGTTAGGCCTAGGGACTTCTGGCGATCCCCAATGGTTGATCTGGCCAGTTCCTCGATATTAGATCCCATTGTCGCGGACCACAACCCGACTCTTAACTGAGGGTTAACACATGATTGCCATATTTTAAGAGTCTGATCCCGAAATAGGGGGTCCAAGAGGACATCTGCTTCATCAAGAACAAGCGACTGGACTAAAGGCATTGAGGCAATATCTTTACAGCCATTATCTGAGAGTGCGTTGACTAATTGCAACGGCGTTGTAACCAGGATGTCACTCTTAGTTACAGTTGCAAGAGACTTTACTCGCTCCTTTGGCCGTTCCTCATCACTGTCTGCATTGCTTTCATCTTCGCTCGCATCATCTTCTTGTTTGGTGTCATCTGCACCACGTTCTTCTACTACACGCATACCTTTGCGCATAGTTGTAATCCTCACTCCAGTACCAAGAGCGAGCTTCCTGCCCTCATTTGCAATCTGGCTCGCAAGCTCCTTGGTCGGCGCAACAACAACGGCTAGAATACCTTTCGAATGATCACCAGGGTTCTGGCGTCGGTGTTTCATTATTTTGCTGATAAGTGGGATCATAAATGCCAACGTCTTCCCGCTTCCAGTGGGCGCAACTGTAAGAAGGTCAGGCTCACTTTCCACACTTTTGTCTGCTTTCTCATCTTCTACCGATGTACACAGGCCGCCAAGGAGTATGGGTAGGCTGCCAAGTTGTACCTCCGTTGGCACAGTATATCCTTGGTTGCGTATATTTTCTAATAAACGCCTTGAAATATTATATTTGGACCGTAACAGCTCGAACGAGACGAGAGGTTCGGGGTAAAGTGCCTGCAGCGCTTTCCGCTGCTTTTTCGTAAGAGAAGCTGCTGCAGCCTCTTTTTCTCGTTTCCGTTTCTTAGACTTCTTCTTCGTTGTTTCGACGTCGTCGCAGTTTGACTTTGGTGTTCGAAGATCAGTGACTTTGATCCTATGAGTCTTCAAAATCGATTTCCTATCAGCTTCAGATAGTGAGACTGGCCGCAGATTAACATCCTGGCCGTCATTGTCTTCGTCACCGTTCCGGTCCTCTCCTTCGACTGTATCCGTAGAAATCTTCGAGGTAACTTCAGGCGCAGACGAAGAGGGACCGCTGAAGAAATTCAGTCCTGCATCCATAATTTCAGAATCCTCTTCATTAGCTGTCCCGCGCTTCCTCTTCTTTCCCCGGTTATCGCCATCGCCCTGTTTCCCCTTCGCACTAGCTGGTTTCGCAGGAAATAACTGTGGTGTGCGAGCTTCGCCAGTGGATGGCAGACGGTCGGCTGTTGATCCCTTTAGATTGGTGGAGGGTCTGATCTTAGTAGACCTTGTGAGGAGCTTAAAAGCATCCATCCTCGCATAAAATAAACCAGAACAACCCGGCCTTGGGTCTTCCTTTCTTTTCTTCGAGTCGCTTCGTTAAATGTTCTACATTTCACTGGGATCTTATCAAAAATCGCTCCCGTGAATTTATTTAAGGTTTGATATCATGTGACAGTTGAACCTTAAAGTTTATCCTTAAATCCGGATTTTTGGTTTTCAACTTCTCCAAAACTTCAGCTTGCACCGACCTGATGATCTATTTCTTGCCATTGTTATTTGTTGTTTAATAGCTATTTCTGGTGATATAATGCTGCTTTGATTTTTTAAAGCTGCTATTGGGACAGTTTGGTTGTTGTGCTTCTTTACACGTATCTTAGTTGCACTAGCTATCACAGCCAGGGTTCAACATGACACAAGGATGAGAGATCCTAGGGTGGAGTGTTGAGCTTTGAAATACAATAAATACCCTCGATCGAGCATCTTCAGCATTGTTTTTCTCTATCTAGGGGTTAATCTTTTCTCCTTTTCCAAATTTAAATCTATGCAATCATTTCACAATTATGGGCCAAATACTGTCAGTTTATGGTAGGCTGCGGAACAGGAAATGGGACGTTCTGGATGGTTAGTTCCTGTCTCACTTCCAACCACCTGTTCTCTCTATGGGAGCGGAGATTCGACTACTGTTCTTCGCCTTGAGTTAACTTAGTAAAAAGAACCCGAAGCCGCCAAAGAAAATGAGCTCATGTTCCAAGGATTCGAATGGCATGTCCCAGCAGACCAGCAACACTGGAATAGGCTCCGTGAGAGCCTCCCACGGCTGAAATCAATGGGCGTGAGCAACATCTGGATTCCCCCTGGCTGTAAAGGTGCTACAGACGGTAATGGGTATGACATCTATGACCTGTATGATGTAGGCGAGTTCGAGCAAAAGGGTCAAACTGCGACAAAATGGGGATCCAGGGCGGATCTCGAAGCATTTATTTCTCTCGCGAATGAACTTGATATCGGGATATACTGGGATGCCGTCCTGAACCACAAGGATGGAGCAGACACTAAGGAAAAATGCAGGGCTGTCGAGGTGGATCCTAAAGGTAACGAAATTATCAATATTTTCTCGAAAAACTGCCTCTAAATGGTCAAATAGATAGGAATGTCAATATTGCTGAGCCAAGAGAGGTAGAAGCCTGGCTAGGCTATGACTTCCCTGGCCGCGGAACCAGATATAGTGAAATGAAATACCATTGGTACCATTTCAGTGGAATCAATTATGATACCCTCCAAAAGAAATCTGGAATTTTCAAACTGATTGGTTCAGGAGGTAAGGATTGGGCGAAAGATGTTAGCACCGAGAATGGGAATTATGATTATCTTATCTTTGCCGATGTGGACTATTCCAATGCTGAGGTCAAAAACGATGTTAAACACTGGATTGAATGGTTGGGAACCCAATTTAAATTGAAAGGGCTGAGACTAGATGCGGTCAAGCATTATTCACGAGCGTTCTTAAAAGAATTCATTCAGCATATCCGAACTACGGTGGGGAAAGACTGGTTTCTTGTTGCAGAGTTCTGGACTGGGGATATCAGTATTCTGCTAAATTATTTTGACCAGATGGAAGGGCTCGTGTCTCTGTTCGATGCTCCTTTGGCAGAGAGATTCTCTCTTTTTGCAAAGGAGGGTCAAGATATGCGAAGGATATTTGACAAGTCTTTCGTGAAGATTCATCCGCAGAAGGCAGTGGTAGTTATGCCCCAAACTACCAAATATTCTTCATGAATAAGGTATCTAACTATTGACAGACCTTTGTTTCCAACCATGATACGGTGAGAGGCCATATGCATCGACAAACATAATGGTCATCCTAGCTAATATAGCTTAGCAACCAGGACAGTCACTCGAAGTAAGGCACCGATACTATTGATAGTCACTTTTTATTTAGCTGTTGCTTACCCATGTATAGATATTGATAGACGCTTGGTTTAAACCTCTTGCATATGCCCTAATCCTCCTTCGTCGGGATGGTTACCCGTGTCTGTTTTACGGTGATCTATACGGCATAACCAACACCGAACCAAAGTATCGACTTCCACCGATCGAAAAATTAGCAGCGCTTGCGACAATTCGAGCTATGTATGCTTATGGGAAGCAGAGAGACTATTTTGACCACAGGAAATGTATCGGTCAGTTTCTCGGCGGCCTTGAGCTTTATTTTCCTGATACTGGAAGCTTCAGCTACTTACTGATGGGACTGCAGGCTTTGTTCGTTACGGCGACACGGCACACCCTTCTGGGATGGCGTGTGTACTAAATGCTGGTTCTAGCGCTGCAGCTACATCGAAGACAATGTATGTTGGCATTCGACATGCCGGAGAGAAGTGGACGGAGGTATTCTCATCTGGGGCTTGGACTTCGACTTTCTGCGGTCGTAACTGCGGTTGTGGTCGGGAGGGAAGAATTGGACCAAAGAGTGTGAGTGTTTGGGTTGATGAGGGAGCAGAGGGCCGAGGGCAGGTTGACGTAATCGCTGAGCAGTTCGTGTGATTGATTGGCCTTAGGGATCCAGGAGAAGTTGGGACGAACGAAACTCGGCGGAAGGGAGGATTGAACTGTCGATACTCCATAGATAAGAATGAAGAGTTACTTTTTCCGTCTTGCATAACTAGCACCCGTAACAACGTTATCATTATCGAGTGCTCTGCTGCTCCTGACACACGAGACAATTATAAAGTCAATAGAGAAGCGTTTCCATCTATGTTGAGAAAAAATATAGATATTGACGTCTCCTAAAGGTTCCCAAAAGACCAACCCGTCTTCTAAGAATTTCTTTTTTTCCTCTCTCCGAATCCCGAACCCTTGCAACGGCCAATAGTAGCGCGAGTAAGAACCATTTCGTTTGTTTCATCGTGAGGAAAAATGAGGTCTCATATACAGAGCACAACTTTTCGATCACTTGCGTTCCTCATGACGCTGTCGATGCCTGAAAATGTCATCCATGCGTTATACGTGCTGCTGTCCTAGCATTCCGTATGGGGTTTGAATCCTTCCAGGTTATGGCGGGGATTGACACGCTTGCTTCCATATCAGGGGTCATGCATGCTATGCACCCAGGTCCAGGATAAACCGTGCCCTCGTGGCTAGTTATCGATTCGGGTGAGGTCTCGCCATGCATCAGCAGGAGTGAGAGCAGCGGGATCTTAGTGTTGGTTGCACAGCATCAGAGAGGACTCCGTGGTCCTGATCCCGCACTTGGTACAGAGTGACCTTAGGCCAGACTCGAGGACACAACTGCTCCATAATCGGTGATATTAGCAGTCATTCAGCAAGCCGGTTACCGTATGGTAGGGATAGCAGTGCCTCTCCAAGAACAGCTGACACTGTGGCTGCCTCACCGTATTATCTAGCCCTTGATATATCAATCACCATGCAATGCATGTCCCCGTCAAAGCGTCTGCAGGCATGGGCGCTCAATCCCGGTACGATGTTTCCACGAGCCAACAATCTCCACCCGCAGAGTTAAGGACTGTTTATCACTTACACTGCTATCAACGGTGGGGGGAGCAGCCAACAAGCCCGTATTATTGTCCCGAGAAGCCGCAGTAACGGCAACCGCCAAAGCATACGTCGGTTCTCTCCTTCGGCAAAGATAGCAGCGACCCTGGCTCCCCTAGCGTCTAGGCTAAAACCCACCTCGGCCAGAAACTATGCGCAGGCCGCCCGTGTAGCTCAGTGGTAGTAGCGCATCACTCGTACCCTGATGATATGATGAGGTCCTCGGTTCGAATCCGAGTGTGGGCACGCTGAATTTCTTTTTTGCCTTCTCCCCCTGTTTTTTTCGCTTAGTTATTAGTTATCATGTTGTCTCTCTGTGCCTGCCTGTCTGTCTGTCTGTGATATTACGTTTGATAATGTTGCTTCGGAACAAGCTATGCGCCCAGGGAACGATTCCGCACTCTCGCCCTCCCGATTGGCTAACTCGGTATCAATATGCTCGTTAGGGGCGAGACAGGAGGACCGGAAACCCGTATAGAAAAGAAAAGGAACGAGAAGAAGCCGTGCTAACCGGCCTGTCCCCACGGTTATTCCCACCTTGCTACCATTTCCCACGTTGTATGAATATGATGATCCCTTTTTGTCCTTAGTTACTCTATATCAAACTGGTTGGAACTCATGCGTGCGTAAACAATTGTAAGATAATGCTGTTAGGCCCTTCGGTCAGCTTATAAGGGTTGATCCAGTCCCTCCTTTCCCTCGGTTTAAACTCGGCATTCTACCTTGGCCTTCCAGAACAGTGAAGCTACAGGAGATATGGGTGCTGTGGAAGAGTCCTCGGTGCAAGTTGATGCCCAACTGAAAGAAATTGCTGTAGTTGCTAGTGAGTGGTCCGCAAATATTCGTGAGCCATGAGATGATGGTACTGATGTGTCCTCAGATCCTTTAGCCGTTCCAGATATACTGTCCAGCTCATCATTGTCTGAAGTAACAGGTGATGGCGGCGAAGCGGGCAAAATTTTGCCTATTGGAGGTACTTACAAGTCCTCCTACAGATGCCGTCGTGTGGCCTCCAAGACAGTTCTGTCATTCCAGGCAAAAGACCCTGAGAACCCGGTAAATTGGTCGACGGTATGCACCCTGTCTCATCGCAGTCCTGGGCTTCGCTGATGGAAGAAAAGAACAAAAAACTTTTCATTCTCTTCTCCGGAATCATGAACGTGCTAAATAGCACACTTGGTTCTTCTTTACCCAGTGGAGCCATCTCTTATATGGCACAGGAGTTCAACATTGTGTCTGCTGAACAGTTGACTCTTCCAATCTCGTTGTTCTTACTCGGCTACGTCTTCGGGCCAATCGTCTGCGGGCCCCTATCGGAATCCTATGGGCGTAAGCCAGTAGTCGTAGTAGGATTTGCGGCGTTTATGCTGTTCACGCTTGCGTGTGCCCTGTCGCAAAGCTGGGCTGCCTTGTTAGCCATGCGGTTCTTCGTTGGGGTGTCCGCATCGGCGCCCATCGCGGTCGTTGGCGGCGTGTTTGCCGATGTTTATGATGAACCCAGAACCAGAGGGAGATATATGGCCTTTTTTATGGCAGTAAGCGCAGCTCCAATCTCCCACTATCATCAAGGGCCTGGCTAACTCTTGCAGTCGACATGTGCAGGCCCTATTGTTGGCCCACCTGTCACCGGTTTTATATCGGTAGTAAACTGGAGATGGAGTTTCTGGGTAGGCTTGATATTCGCAGGGTTGACGGCTCCCATTGTTCTCCTGACGCCCGAAACGTATGCTCCAATCCTCCTGCAGCAAAGAGCTCGGAAATTGCGCAAGGAAACAGGAAATGATAAGATTGTCGCGGCACTCGACTTGGAGAAGAAAGGGATCAAGGAGACCTTGACTGTTACACTGACAAGGCCCATTAGAATGATTATGTTTGAATCAATCGTGCTTTTCACCTGTCTATATCTAGCATTGGTTTATGCCATATTCTTCATGTATTTTCAGACATATCCATTAATTTTTCAAAGTGAGTTTCTGGATCATTGAATTCATGGGAATCATATGCTAATTGGCTAACCTGGAAAGGAACATACCATATGAGCCCAGGAGTCGCAGGACTGATGTACCTACCGAGTAAGTACATTCCCTCTTATTTATTTAAGTTCGGATAGTGCTGATGGATTTGATTAGTTGGCGCTGGGGTTGCCGCAGCTCTCGGTCTCTTTTTCTGCTGGGACAGTTACATCAACCGTGCGAAACTCCGAAACGCTCCTTGGGCCGCTGTGGAAGAATATCGGCGGCTTCCCCTGGCTGTTATTGGTGGCCCCCTATTTGTTGTATCTCTCTTTTGGCTGGGCTGGACTGCTTCCCCAGATATCCACTGGTCTGTCCCCATGCTCTCTGGCATCCCGTTTGGTGCGGGCTTCCTCCTCATTTTTATCGCAATGATCAACTACCTTTCTGATGCATACGAGACCTTCTCGGCTAGCGCGCAATCAGCCGCAAGTTTTGCACGAAGCATTCTCGGAACAGCTCTCCCGGTAGCGGCGGGGCGTATGTACGCTTCCCTTTGGATAAGTTGGGGGGTGTAGTCTCTGCTTGCTAGCTGGCTATGACGGCCATTCCATTTGCATTTATCCGCTATGAGACCGGATAAGAGCCGGAAGCCGGTTTTGCCAGCATCTTAAGCAGCTCAAAGAGCAAAAGCTGAGAGAAGATCAGGAAGAAGAGGGTGGTAGTCAAGCTGCTGATGGGCTAGTACGCAGTGCGGAAAAGCCGGATAAACCGGAGAAAGCCTGAAGATGTATTCATGGCTTTTTTTTCATCATGATTTGGCGCCCGAGTAAATAAAACCCAACGGCGTATTTGGTTTCCTTCACAGTAACTATGTCCCCCTACATCGTGAATCTGTATCGTGGTGGTTAACAGAGAAGCGGTAGGATCCTAACGACCACTTCCCTTGATTGCGTCGCAAAAACAATCATATCAAGAAATATTAAACATATAGTCATAGAAATAGAACCACGAAATAGCGACAATAAAATTCGTAATTAAATCTATATCAAGCAGATGCTGTCGGTAGTTGTTTCGTCGAAAGTTGAAGTTGAAGTTGAAGCTGGTGTCGTTCAAGCTTGTTTGTGCACGTGACCATGTTGAGGCTCAAAATCGAGAAGACGTCGAATATCAAACATCAAAGATCATAAACAACAGTTCATGGAGCTTAATTGAGATTCTGTCACTTTAACCTCGAAATTTATGGGCAATTATTAAAGGCAAAACTCGTATTTAATCGTTAACATTTCATTCGAAAGCTATATACGCGTCATAGATCAACGCACACTCATTTAGGCATCAACAGAATTAACATGCAAAAAAAAGCCGGGAAATATTAGTATAATGAAGAGATGAGACAAAAAAGGAAAACATCCAACTATCAGCCACTGTGTATTATATATACCCCATCACAAGACCTCGATGCTAGGTCCAGTTGAACCGACAGCCCAGTCGATAATATCATAGTCGTAAACACCAACGAACTCATATCCAATAAGCTTGTTGACTGGGCAATCGAATTCGGGATACCCATTATAACTCTGCACCCACTGTGCAGGTCCGGGGACTTGAACGTAGATTCGGCCACGCTGCTGGTCTCTGCTGAATGGTTTCTGAATAGGCCAGGTTGGCGGGTTGATCACGCTGAATACATCAAGCTGCTGCGAGCCCTTGGAGATATCACCGGGAGAGGTGTCGAAGCGGAGTCTGCATCGACGGTTGGCAAGGCTCCCGTCAAAGCTAAAGGTAACGACTGCGCTGGTTTCCTCGGCCGCTTTGCCGTTCTTTACCACCAGTGGTTTGCTGTAAACGTCGTGGTTGGTTTCTCCAGTGTTGATGTAATGAAGGAAGGTGTCTTTTGGCGAGACGATTCGAATATTGCGTGCCTCGATTTCCGCATTATTTGAATTGGGGGTTGGGGCAGCGAGGACGACTGCTGCTGCAGATACAAGGAGGGCAGTGAACTTCATGTTGGCTGGGTGGTGGTGATGGTGCGAATTGAAAAGGTGGTGCTAAGGCTTTTATGCTTTTCTATTGAGTGATTGAGACTTGGATTGTTGATGCTGATGAGAATAAAAATGGAATTGCCCTGGGGAAAAGTGTCCAATTTATACCCCGAATTCCAGGCTCTCTATCGTCTACGAGATGCCGAAAATGATACACTGCCATCTCTCAGCTGGGTTGCATACAACGCTACTTGCGCCTTCTTTCCTCCGTTTTGCGCTTGCACCAATCCGGCAACACTGTTGTTACGTTCTATTTCTGGAGCTATCTGCCTGAGCTTCCTCGTTGTTCGGCAAGTGGCTGGAATAGACTCACCGGACGCGATATGGGGCTTGAAGCTTCACAAAGAAGCACTGACACTAATTCTTTGGCTGACCTTTTACCCCACTGGGGTAATTGAATACCCGTATAAAGATATTTGTCTAATATTTGGTTCGCCCTCAAAGGTAAGACATACACTAGCCCCTTTGTGTAGAAGCATATTAACGAAGTAGAAGGATACCTAACAAATAAGCTATCAATCTATACACCGTACACCTGAGCCTGAGATAACCTCCGAGACCCCTTTTCCATGATCTAGCTGATACCTGAACAAACACTCCCACCAAACCGTGCACTGGCTGTGATTAATAGTCGGCATAGGCTTCATCTAGCTACGGAAGGCCTAGTAAGGTTTGCTAGCATTGGAATGCACAGGCACCGCTATTTCCTACTAGACGCAGCATCAAGAGAAAGACCGGTGTGTGACCCAGCCTCCAGCTCTAGCGACCTTAAGCCTTGGTTTAAGCCCTCGTCTTCAACGTGCAGCACTATTATTAGCGAACACCAAGCCTACTGGTGCTCGTCTTCACGCGAAAAGCCTTTTATGGTGGAGGCTAAGTTAAACTTTGATGCGGCAGCATCGGGTAGCGCTGAGCTGTAGGTAGACTCGGTACGGAGTACAGCCATAGTATCATCGTTCATAGATACCGTCATCCGTGTAATCATTCCCATTCAGTAACGGCTGATCATTACTCCCCCAGTACGTCATATACAGCAGGGATTCTAGAAAGCTTCATTGATACTCTTCCCTTACACTGCATCGCCATGTGCTAGCCATGGCTAGGTCGACATTGTTTGCTTTTTTTCCTCTGCCCCGGACGCCACAAAATACTTTGTCTTACATTTTTATTTGGGGCTCTTCGGGGAATATAGAGCTAGTCAGTTGGGCTGAAGGCTGAGGCTAACTCAGTTGATTAACCCTCAGCCTCCCCGTATCCGAAGCGATACAATGCCAAATAATACTCCACGAGGTGAGGTGGTTGAATTCAATATGGTCTTGGACGGTGAAAGCTGGCATTGCCCTTTACTAGTTATGTTGTTATGTGGCCGCCAAGGGGTGTTTTTAACGAAGGGCAGCAATCCCCTCATAGTCGTCCAGCCTTTCCTACACTGAAGGAGCTAAGAGACAGAACTTCGTATATTTTTTGCATTATTATTCTACCTATTTGCGGAGAGTATTCCAAAAAACAAAGTAGCCCACGAATCGGGTACATAATTCACCAGCCTCCAAGCAACAGACAGGCAAAAACAGTTGTGATACTGAGACCTAATTGACAGAGGGAATTCGCTTGCTGAACGGGAATAAAATAATATGGAATATGGAAGAGGAAAAGGAAAGTGAAACATCGCCAATAAGGACTTGAACATAGGCAGAATTGCAACATCTTGTCGGTGACATAATGACGAAATGGGTATATCCAGGAGGCACAGACGGTAATTGAACGATAGCAAGCATTGGGTAACATCAAGGGCATCATGGGTGTCATAAACATAAACATAGAATATCCAGAGTGAAATGAAAAGGTTGATCAAAATTAGAAACATCCTCTTAGTGGACAGTCCATCATTGGCCATCCTTATCCATAGAAGGTTTTGAATCTGTACCAAAGGCCCTGGCAACTTGTTCCTGGGCACTCAATTGGGACGGCAATTCATTCCCCTTTCCCATAGCGGCGGAGGTTGGACAAGGTGTAGATTGTGGCGGCGCTGGTTTGGGTTCATGTACCTCCTCGCTTATAATTTCGGCCTCAGGAGCAGAAACATCGGTGTAAATAACTGCATGACTCTGAGACACTGAATGGTGTAAAACCTCTGGTATTTCTGCAGACTGTTCCCCGCTTTCAACAGGTGGTAAGTCAGAGGAGCCGGATAAAGCTGCATTGAAGGAGGAACTTGGTGAGAGTGAAGGAGATAGCTGCTGATCCTGTTGCGTTGAGTAATCTGGTGGAGGAGCCGACAAAGCCGGCTCTTCAGGCTGTGTGGGCATTGTGGTATCAATAGATTGTTTATTTCCTGATACTGGAAGCTTTGGTCGCGACGAAGCGATTGTCTCGGGCGAAGGCTCCTCGTCAAGAGAAAAATCCGATTCTGGTGATACTTTTTGCTCCTCGCGTGGACTAGGATACGAGTCAGAAGAAACGAGCTGGGTTGGTACGGGTTCTGGAGAGCTGGCCATAGAATACGGTGCCATTGAAGACTCTTGTACTACTGGCACTGAGCTTTGTACGATCTCTACCGAGCTAGCTGGGGGCTGAGACACTGCTTTTGCCTGGCTGGTTGGGACGGGTATAATGGAAGTCTGATCCATGGAAACAGTATCCAAGGAGATGGTGTTCAGCTGCGGAGTGGTAATATTTCTGGACGAGCGTCCAAAGAAGCTGTAGGGTGAAGGAATCAGAAGAGCAAGCAGAACAAGGAAAATCGTCAATATTGGGAGCTGATTGCCTCGACACACTATTCGTATGTAATTATATAGTGCTTTCAATAGGTTGATATCTTCCCCAGCGTGGTGTGCTGATGCCGGAATAGATGCAGTCCTCGTTCTCTTGCAAGTCGGTGGTTTAACCGCTGTCTCAGCTTGTAGTGGTTCATCCAACCCATCAATTTGTGATTGAGGACGTGCCAAAGGGCTCTTACTTTCTGTGGTTGTTGGATGAGAAGAACCTTTCGCCTTGACCTCTCCTGGCTTCAACATATCCTGGGTAAGCCTCTGTTCCAACTCGTTTCTCAGCTTGGTCGGCAGACACAAACCAACTTCCACATCGACTTTTTCCATCTCTTTCCAAGCAGCTGACCAGGCTCCCTGTCCCATAAGTCCGTTTGCGGCATAAACTCTGACCTCCCATTTTTTCTCTACTCCATCCCGATTGTTGATGACTCTCTGGCCGCAATCCTGGCATTTATGCTTCACACAGCCGGTTTCGGTATCATACTTTTCATCTTCATCTTCAGTGGTATGCTCGTCCTCATCGGTATCATCCCCCCCTCCGATGAAATGACCATATGCAAGCCTTGGACGAGTCAAACCCATGGTCTCCAATAAACGCTCCTCAAGCAAGTCATATGCCTCCTGGGGATGGGATATCAGTATCCCTCTGTCCCGTAAAATACCGGTAGAACCGATCTTCTCTTCCAGTAATTTCCATCTAGTCCAGTAAGCGTCAGGCAATATCTCTCTAAGCAGTTCCTTGCTAGGCGGGGGAAATCCAGGGGGTAGTGAGAGAGGGAAACAGGGCGGGAGTAAAGTACAATGAAGCAGCACAAGTGCATACTCCTTGCTTGGCTGGATTTGCTGGGGTGGACTGGCATGGTATGACTGTTGTTCAGATGGAGACATAGGGCTTGATCGGAACGAAACATCTGACATCCTTGGGGACCCATGTTGACGGCCGCTCATCCGACCATTCCTTGACGGTGGGGACGAGAAGTAGTTCCCGTCATCCATACACCCGTCATCATAGTAGTCTTCATCCCCCATCTGCATAGCCCGTACGGAGCTTGGATGGCGGAACGGTGAGTCCATATCTCTCACCTGCGGTGCATAGCTGTACCGCCCGTCTTTGGCTACCTTCTTCTTGGAGCGAACCTTGCCGCCGACAAACGGGCTTTCGAACATGGGACTCTTGTCAAGAGCATTGATATTGATGTTTTGCCGATAATCTCCTCGTGAGAGCTGTCCATTCCCCTGTGGTTTGCTATTGGGGAATACGACAACCGATCCAGGTAGAGACGAGATCGAAGTGCGTGCTGACCGGATCCCTTTCCCGCCTCCTCGCAGGTCACTAACAAAAGACTTGTCTTCATCATCAAATTCATCGTCGTAAGGGAAGTCTTCTATCTCTCCTTCTCCGTACTCAGTGTCTCCAGAGCTGCCTCTCGATCCGGGTTGTGATGTGGACGAAGAGCTGTATCTATATTCCTCGCTGACTTGTGTAGGGCCATCAGTGCCTTTCTCATGCGGCACTGATTCCGTGACTATATCATCCATCGGTATATCTGCCTCGTCCGGTCCTCGATTCTTGTTTTTCGGGCTTGCGGGAGCTTGTGTACACAGGTGGTTTCGGTTGCCCCGTCGCCCACACTTGTGCTATTCGCTGCAGCGTCTATCGTTATCTTGTCTTCTCTCGATTGCGGGGTGCTCCTAGTCGATTGGAAGCTGTAAAACGATTCCTGGCCCCGATCTGTATGGGTGAAGGTCTGGAAAGGCAGTGTAGGTGGTGAGTCTTCAAGCTGGCGGTCTCGTTATATACTATAAATAAAGGTTGGTAGCCGCCCTCAACACAAAAAGGAGAAGGATCTCTGCATACGTCAATAATCATAGGACGGGCCTCGTAAATAAGCAATATCTTACTCTGTCCATTGAAAAGAAAATACTCTCACAGCGGCTGGATGGCTGGGGGGGCGTCGCATATCAAATTTCGGTGAGCGTTTTTGCTCGTCGTTGATGTGTTCGGTGGTGGCTGGGATGTTCCTCGTTGCCAGGGACAACCACGCAAAGCTACAACTACAGCAAAGTCAGAATATCATTATTGATTATGTCTTTGTACTAGTGTTATTGAGAATAGTCAATATATATAATTACACACTAAGCAAGAGTAAGAGTAAGAGAAAAGACAGAAGGGGATGAGTAACTAGTAAAACAGCCGCTTATACTGCTTAAAATTCGACCATATATATCGAGTTGCAGTGACGAATGCTCATGAAAGTCATCGCTCATAAAACCAGAAATAAGATAAGATTTACAAAGAAAGGTAGCCAAAGGCAAGGACAAGGACAAAATGTTGCCTCTTAGCCTTGGGGATCGCCGAAGAAATGCAAGACATCTTCAGGAAGATATTCCAGCCATGGCATGAAACCGCCTTCAAACGAGAACGGGAAGTTCGCCTGGTTTTGGAAGGTGTTCACGTCGATATCCCGGGTTTCGATAGTCAAATTCTGAGCATTCAGAGGTACATTGTCGTATCCCGGAATATGAGTATTGTCCAGGGCGGCCATGGCTTGGTTGCCAAAAGGAGATGGGGTGTGAAAGCTGTACTGTGTGTTGCTATCCTGTGCCAGCTGTGTCCCAGGCGAGACAGAGTGCTGGGAACGGGATAGTGATGTGGACTGGCCAGTGAAACCTGGGCTGTGAGTTAGATTGAGAGTTGTATTAGACGGTGACTGTCTGTCTGGCTGGAGGTGTGAATAAGGGGGCGAAAGGGTGTTTTGCTGCGCTGGAGAGGAGAGCTGGGGGGTTCTCCTGGGCTGGCTTGAAGCTTCATGGCTATGGAAAGGTTGCGCTGGCTGGGTGGTGGCGGTGCTTGTTGATCGTATATGAGATGACGGGGAACGTTGAAATGTTTCTTGGAACTGAGTGGTTACTGGGTATGGTGTGGGAATGTCGGGAGAAGTAGTCTGAAGTTGATATAGAAAGCTCAAGTTTGGCTGGGAGGAGTTTGTGGCGCCGGTTAATGACCATCCGATCGCTGTACTATAGTTAGTAAACGGGGACATCATTCATACGGTACAGGTACTCACCCCGACTAGGATCAATATTCGTGGACTCCACGGTAGGTACTGGAGCTTGCGATGAACCAGTCCGAGTTGAGCTGTCGGACTTTTGGGCGTTTGCACTTTCAGCTTGCCTCTTTTTCCACGCCAGGGTTAGAGATGTATCAACATCGGCAGTGCTCTCCATTTCTTCTTCTGTGTAGAGCAAAGGATCCCATATTCCCTTGGATTTTTGATCCAATGCTGTGAGAATATATTTTGTGCCCGCCCAAGATTTCTCTAACGACTGCAAGGCTTTGTAGCACCGCTGATAATTTTCCTTTGCTGCAACGGCTAGTAGAGAGTGCTTAGGGTTGGAGCCACGGCCAGGCACTGTATGGCGCTCCGCTTCGGCGCCGGAAGGCTTGGAAGACTGGCTCGAGGATCCCGGTTTGGACGGCGGACTTTCAGCCCTGGATGACGGGAGGGAGTAGAAAGCGCTTTCCATGAGAAAAGCACACGCCGCGATGTAGATGGGCTGGCTGGTAAATGGGTTACCGGTGAAGCTTTTGACATCGATCAGTTCCGCAAAGGCAAGGATATCGGCGATTGTTTTGGCAGAGGACATAGACAGCTCTCGACTGTTGGAAAATAGCTGTTGAATTTTACCACTAAACGAATGCAGCAGCGTAGGTTGATGGAGCAGCACAATGAGAGTATGGAACCACTGTTAAATGTCAGCTATATCATGATATTGCATTGGCTAGTAATCAGACTTACAAAATGTAAGAGGATGAAGTTCGTTCCCTGGCCGGCTTTGACATACGTTTGGAAATTGAGAACGTTGAAATATAGCTTTGGAGATAGCTTTTGGTATATGCCTAGGCACAGTTAGTATAAAATATTAAATAAAGATAGTAGAGCGGAGTTTGGTAGAGATTACCAGTTAGGTCGCTTTCCATTCCGGCAAGCCGACGAAGGACGTCTGGGGTGACATGCTTAACCTCTTTGATTGAGTTCAATATATCTGTCATCCGCCCGTAGAGATGTATGATTCTCATCAGGGGAGGGTAAGGAGATGGCCAGCCGTTATGAAGTATCGATTCTGAGTCTAGAGGGAAATGAATCTCGATGTCATCATCGCGGAGAGTCACTGGTCTCCCGGTTCCGGAGGATATCACTCTATCAAGAAAGAAGATACTCCAGAACAGATCAACTTTTTCTCTTTCCTTTGCTCGTTCGGCTGCGAGCGATTCGGCATCCGAATCCTTGGTATATAACTCATCCGTTCTCTCGGTGGAGGCAGAGGCAGAGGCTTCAGGGTCAACCATCTGGCCGGCTATGACAGCCCTGGGGGTAAGACCAACACAGCCATATCTGAACTTCATTCCATCAAGCTTCTGGATGCCTAAATCTTGGGCCATCCTGATGGATATTCCAAGGTACATCCAAAGACCGCTGTCATGATTGGAACCGAATTCTTCATAGGCAAGGAGAAGACAGGCTTGGACGACAGCCAAAGTTGGACAAGCAAGTGCATCGACAACCGCACACATGGCACGGTGGGCGAAGGCTTGTCCATGATGGGGGTATGCAGCTTCATCAGTGGGTTCAACGGAAAGCAAAGGGTGAAGAGAGAATCTGGCGGCCAGGGCACACACCGCATCCACTAGAATGGGCGCAAGCTGCTTGTCCTTCAAGCTACGGAGGAATCTATCTCGTTGGAGAAAGGGAAAGTTGCAGCCAAGGTGAGCGAAGAAGACCTCACATAGATGGGTCACTATTTCACTATTGGGAAGGGTATCGTCCGGGTCGTAGAAGTGTATGCTGTTCGAGCTGCCGGTACCAAGGCGTGATATCCCTGCTGCATGAGAGGCAGCTGGGTCTTGAATAGACGATGCTGAATCTGGTGCTTTAAGTTAGAAGTCTTGGGTGGGTAGGCATCGATATCTTATTGCTCAACTCACCATTCGAGAGTGAAGGGTTGCTCTTGCGGGTTCCCCGGACCCGAACAATCTGCAGTACTCCTCTCATTAGAGCTTTGATCTTCCTTTCTGATGAATCCAGGGAATGTATACCATCTGTTTGAATCCTGGGACGATGGCCGTGGGCCCAAAGTACCTAAAGTACGGGACATGAGTCCGGTGGCTCGAGATAAGGGCAGACCGGGCTATATAGCAGTATCCCGTCAGTATATCTCGTCTTCTTGACCACGTAGCGTATCGGATATAGACCCACTGCTCTCTGGACTGCTGATAGCCGGCGCAATATCCTCCACACGTATTTCTCGCCGGGTGTCTTGCGCCTGATCGGTCGCTTCGGCTGTTTGTCTCTGCTCGCGGGCATCCGTACTGGGGACTGGAGCGCTGCGTCCAAGGGCCTCTGGCTCGTTCTTCTTCTCCCTCTGGCCAATAGGTTTCTCAGCAGGCTCTTTTCCCTTCCCGTCTAACTGTGCAGCTGGGAGAGTGGTAGCGGCAGGTCTGGTATTCGAGGAGGAGGAGGAGGATGCGGCTGGCTGAGCGGTAGCAGGCTCACTGTAGCCCAGACAGGTGTGCCCATAGTCCGTACACGTCTTGCAAACTGTTGATATAGACCGAACTTCTCAGCAAACTTATCCCCCGGACGGTAAATCAAGACGCTGGTAGTGGTAGTTAAATACCTGGCTGTTCACCAGAGCACCGGCTCTTGCGCTTTCGACATGTTCGGCAGCTAAGTATCCAGGAAGCCCCAGACGACGGTCAGCAACAGTCCCAACAGACAAGACATAAAACGCAAACACGTATCCGAGGGAGCACTCACGCTGCGATCACCCTGCGCCGCTTCGTCTGCGGCTGGCCGTCTGACGACACGAACCTGATCGGTCTTGGGAGTGAACCGCCTGTCCGTTGATAGGGCGGCTGGCTCATCTCCGGGTCATGGGCTGCCTGTTGCTCTCCTGCGCGCCTACGAGACAGAAACCGACTGCGCGAGGCCCCGAGAGGTTGTCGATGTGTCGATAGCAGGACGAAGCGAGCATGGCCGGGGCAACTATAAAGCTGGTGCGTTGCAACGGCCGGCCTGTTGTTGGTTGGCTTCGGGGCAGGGGGTCGCTTTTTTTCTTCTACGGCCAAGTCTGCGCCAAAAAGTAGCTACGATCGCAGCTTTAGTCGGCGCCTGCGGTCTAGCCCAGGACATCACTAATTACGGGAACAAAGGGGCTGCTTTTTTCTTTCGTTTTCTTCTTTTGCTCTATTTCTTCTCTATATGTTCGGAGTATACAGTGAGATTGAATACGCGAGTGGATAGTAGAGCCTCGTTTAGGTGGCTAGATATGCTTATAGTTGTAGCTGAGTAGCCGTGTCTCGCTAAGGGAACAGCCAAAGTAGCTCCTTCGCCGGCCAGTGAGCCTCGCCTTCTCGATATATTGAGCCTCGCGACAGCGGCAGGACGACATGAGGAGAGGCGTCCCTTGTAGACCTGAGAAAGTGGACTTAAACTGATATATAAAGCCCCGGAGTGAAGAAGAACCAGGCTCGACTTTGCACAAGCCGCATGAGTACTGCATATTATCGTTATAACCGCTTGCAGCTAGAGAGATGGCAGACACACTCCCAGGCCTCCTCTCGGTAGACGATGAAGCTGGAGAGCTAGTGACGCTGCAAAAGTGTGTAGATGCCGGTGGAGGCTCCGGTGGGAAGCCGAAATCTCCACCAGACCCCAAACTCTCCCCGATAGCCGAGCGCGCATGGAGCCTGGCAAGCGAGGCCATGCAGCAGCGTGACACTCTTAACCCGGTTGCCCGAGAACACTACCTTAGCGCTGAGGCAGCAGGCGTCGACAGACAGCAGCTGGACCGATACCAGGATGAGGAGTTTAGACTGCGATTCATGTGGTCGTCTCTGATCGACAGCTTTCGGATGCATTGCAACCTCGAGCCGAGTTTGCGGCCAGTAGAACACGAACTGGCCAGAAAAGTCGCAGACCGGATCCTGCTGCTGCGAAAGCGGTCGTTTTACAATCGGTACTCGATGATCTTTGAGCGCATAAATGGCAGAGGAACACTGGGGCATCAGTCGATTCTGGATACATACGACGGTAGGCTGGCTGAATATTGGAGATCGGTGTATATGGCCATTGTCAAGGAAAAGCAGTACGGCGAAATTCCCGCCAAGTTTGCCCGGATGCTGCCCTCGACTATCTTCCAGAAGGCGTGCGACCACCTGGGTATCGACCCCAAGAGATGTTTTGACGAGGTCCAAGAGTTTGCCAGACAGGGGCGATTTTCTTCGGATATCCTGTCTCTCGTCAGGCGGAAACAGCTCGACCTTCTCTGGAAGCAGATCACGACCGATATCAGAGATTTTCCTTTCATATTCTATCCACGCGAAATCGAGCATACCAAACGGCTCATGATTGCTAACACCCTGTCCAGGATCTTAAATAGATGGTGCGACTCCACGTCCCCTGTTGATTATAGAGCCACGAGCCAGTTCCACGACGATGCCAGCATGTTGGACTCTACAGGCGACGTGGAAGCAATAATGGCTAGGAGGCTAATAGCCGAAGACATAGCTAGATCCATATCCGCGAGCGACCCTGTGGACCGACAAAAGCTTTTTACGGACCTTTTGTCCAAAGGACTCATAATTATTCAGATAGCCCTAGGTACGGCGAAGTTTGAGGCCAGCTGGATGCAGAAGAGCGCTGAGCGTTGTACACTCCTGACCATAGAGCTGAAAATGATGCTCGATCTCATCCGCAGTGAAGAGACTGTCGAGATATCGCAGTTTAGCGGGTATGGGGAGAGAAGCCTGCCTCTGGACGACTATTCTGGCGGGACCCCTTTTCACGAGAAATGGGATAAGTGAAGGGGATAGATGGGTGTTCTTCTTTGCTTGCTCTGTTGTTGTTTTCCTTCTCTTTGACAAGGCAATGTTATCTGCTATCTTTCTTCTCCTCAGGGGTATCAACAGTAGCCTGAACCTGATGTCAAGTACATCAACTGGACTTATGAATGTCCTCCGTCTTCATCTTGACTCTCTAGTAGCCAAGCTCAGCTGCTAGATATCAACGTATATCAACGTAATTCAACGTAGCCCCTAACTTGGCATACTCCCCGCGGATAGGAACTATAGACTTATCATTCCCAATTCCACATTCTCACTCCATTAAATTGGTTCAACGCCAGCTTCGTCTTTGTTTCGTGCTGTTCGTTTTTTGGCCACGAAAAGTGTTTAATATAACTTGATCACATGATGCAGACGGCGAATCGTCGGGCCGAAGAGCCTCCTTCCTACAACGGCTTCCAAGGTTCACTCCTTCTTTCGTCTGTACCTAGGTAAATATAAAAATCATCGACGGTAGTTGATATCTTATCTGTTAAGACACTGAGGGACGAGATGTATAGAGGTATGGCAAGAGTCATGGGAGTTCTGGACGAGACTCAACTTCCTCCAGGGGAGCCTTTGTGATATCCCCACCAGCGACGTCCAAAGAGCCGACTGGCGAAGCTGGGCAAGAAAAGAAACATCCTGAGCCTGAGCCTGGGCTATCATAGTCTTCTCCTACAGGCGTCCGATCTCTAGGGAGCAAGGGCGGCATCGAACCGGCCTCGACCAACTTTTCTGGACAGATATGAAGCTTTGGCTTGGTGACATTGACGTCGTTAATGGCATCTAACAGTCTACCAAAGGCGAAAGTTAACTCGTCTGTCAGGTCGGGCCGTTGTTTCAGGCGGCTGGTAAAGTCTCCAACAATATAGTCCTTGTCCTGCCTCGACCGCAGGTGGTCCATGCCAGCAATGATTTTCATTGTCTTGACGTCTGCGTACAACGCCACAGCCTGGAGTAGGTCTGGTGCCTTCAGACGTGGACAATCAGAGTATTCATGCCACCTGTCTAGAATCAAGGAAAGGACATTATGACTGTTATAAGTGATTGCAGTGGTCAAGGGGGTTGCCCCCTTTTTTGAGATATAGTTGATATCTGCACCATACTCGAGAAACAGCAAAGCAAAGCTAGAGTTATCCGTCCGGGCAGCATGGATTAAAGGCGTATCTCCGTCTGTCCCACTTGAATCAGGATCGGCTCCAAAATCCAGCAGATTCTTGAGTAAGAGGATATCAGTAGCATTGCGGGCTGCTACGTTCAGTGGAGAGCCCTTTTTCACTCCCGGTGGCATTGGAGGGTCAGGATGGGCCCTAGCCTCTAGTAGTAGTCGAACACATGCTGTGTAGCCTCTCGCAGCTGCATTTGATACAGGCCCGGATATCTGTACATCCATGATGTTTGGATCAGCTCCATGGCTTAACAGGGTAACGACTGAGTGGCTATCACCCCGTGCTGCCGCCCAAGCCAATGGAGTCCGACCCATAGAGTCCTGAGCATTGATGTCTTCCGGATGCAGTTTTATTTCCTCCTCCAAGCTCCGAAGTGACAGGCCAAGGACAATACGATGTATCTGAGTGAAGTTTGACTCGTCGATAAAGTCATCGTAGTGACCGTCTCGAGAAATCAGACGCAGTGCATCGGTACCAGCATCCGGGAGGCCGCCTTCGAGCAGAAAATGGCAGGCCTTTATCCGAGGACTATTATCCGACATGGCCACGGGCCTGTAGTCTGGGTCTGCGCCTGCATGGAGGAGAAACTCACAAGTGGCATATTTCTTCGCGTAAAGCGCCCACCGTAGAAGGGTGTAGCCTCGTGCCGGACTCACATCTCTTGGAGACGCCAGCCCGTGGGCGAAGAGGTACTTCAAGCCCTCTATATCCCCGTCCAATGCGAATTTTACGCACTGGGCGTCATCCGGTACGCTTCTCAAAGTCTGGAGTTGGAAAAGGAGGCCAGTATTCGCTTGATATCCGGCTTGCAGACGAACAATCGTTGAATTAAGCCCCATAGGGAACCAATATTCCATACTAATTTTGCTCGCACGGTATTTAGTACATGTATCGATATCACAATTTGGTGATAGATAGGGAATCCCCGAGCATCCGACAAACAGCTGTCCCAGAACGCGCCCAAAGAGGTTGGGTGAAGCCCTCTGTAACTGCGTGTGGCAGGCACACGTACATGCCGGAGCGCAACGAAGCCGATACGGACTAGCTGGACCACTATATCTTTCCAACGTGCTATCTCTGGGTATATGAGCTCTCCTTGAGTGAGAAGGTCGTCGCCGTGCAGCAACAACATTGTACAGAGGTCCAACCTGGGTGAACTGCTCTTCCTTGACCTTTTGCGCCTGGGAACGTAGCAGCTCCTCAACACGAGCTACACGCTCGTCAACATGCGAAAGACTGCTGATCAGCTGGCCTTGCAAAGCAATGTTTTCCTGGGAAGATTCCCTGGTCATGATGGATATGGCCTCTAACTGAAGCCGCATATCGGTCATGTCTTGTCTGGACACGTATCAGATCAAAAACAAAAAGAAGCAGACTTTGGACAGGTATGATTTAGGTAAGTAGTTGGTCAAATGATCGAATACATACGAGTTTGAAGCACCAAGCATTATATTCAGATCACATTTGACCGACCTGATCTCCTCCTGCAGCCCGTGAAGCCTGGTCTTCTCCTTGCTAAAGGCCCCAAGGGCAAACGGAACAGGCGCATCTCGATACGCTACCCGTAGCCGGCTTATGATTTCTTGCAGCTCCAACAGTTTGACCTCTGCCTGTTTCACTAGATGTTGAAGAGACGGTCGGTCACTGTCGACAAACACCGTCCGCCTTTCCGTGAGTGAGGCGAGCTCGAAAAGAACAATCTCCAGGTCGGCGACTTCATTGTTCAATGCATGGAGACGGCCGGGAAGGCTGCGACAGAGAGACCTCAGTTCAGTGAAGGCAGAGCATATCTTGCCTGCGACGGTGCCAATGGCGATGATGCTGGCCGTCACTGACAGAGGGTCCATGTTTATCTTTCAAACGTTGGCCAAAAGGTGCAACCGTAACAGCCGGAGTCGACCTGTTGTTCCCACAGATACCCACCACATCCCTGATCTTATTGGAGCAAGCATTCAGGCCTGAAGCGAATCACAGACAGTGGTGAGAGGTCCTTGGCTGGTGAAGAGAAGCGCCAGGGGCTGTTTTTTTTTTGGCGCCGGGTGATCCCGGTTGGCTGAGACTCTCAAGGCGCCCTTGTTGACATCCAATCTTCCTACGGCCGCAGGTCATCTCGTCGATACAACCCATACCAAACCAAAATACATGTTATAACTACGGAGTAGTTACCTAAGTATCTCCTAGTCATAACTATCACACAACACGCGGAGCAAAGGCAGTCATGAAATTTGAAGAGAAGTTACTGTCATTTCAGGCACCAGAATGGAAATCAGACTATCTCCCTTACAGGCTGCTGAAGGCCATGCTGAAAAGGGCTATCAACAAAATACCTCCATCGCCATGTGAAACCAGCCTCGGAGGTATGTCCAGTCTTGTATTTAGGGATCTGACTCGTCATTGATCTGACTCTATGCTAGAATTTGCTTCCATGCTCCGCTCTGCCCTTAATGCATTGCGGGTATTCCTTGATGCCCAGTTTGGCGCTTTTCAGGGCAAAGAGAATATGATGCTCGAGCCTTATAGACGAGCCCGTTTTGGAATAGAATCGCTGACCTCCAAGGATATTCACTTGATATACGGTGAACTTCTGGAAGACTACTCTAGATTGCACTTGTTCATTAGATTCAACTACGAGGCTTCTAAGAGGATAAATTCGAAAGTTGAAAAGACCAAAAGATTGCTCCAGACAGCGTTATTTTGTGAAATTAATGCCATCATCGAGGAACAAATCCTTTGTGAAAAGCAGTGTTTAAAGGAGATCGAGAGATTACAAACATTGCTCGCCACCACGAGGCAAAGCGACGGTCTTCAATCTGCTCGTTCTTTGATACATCTCTTCGATGGCTATCCTGGTGTCCGGTCATATCTCACTACTATCGACAGTGATATCCTTGCTGACCAAGCTATCAACCTGGGCGATATATTTGAAAAACTAAGGACTACTCCAGGTATTTCCAAGGGGCTCGTCGAGGAAATTTTCAACACATGTTTGACAATGTCGCTCATGTGCCAGTCTTGGTCATGCACCATAGCTTTAATAGAGAGCAATCCCGTGGAGGTGCGATCCTTAGCCAGTAGTACCTGGTTGGGTGGTCTTTTAATGGCTATATTCCCACCATTTTCTCTGGGCCAATCATTACATGGTGAATGGGATAGTAAAATAAATGAGAGCTATGAGCGCCAAAATTTATGCATGGAGCTATTTAATCCTATACTTGGACATGCTGGGGCAAGTGCCAAACACCTTTTGATGACCCCAGATATTGCTGGAGGGATTCCTCTACATTACAGCGCGCAGCTTGGACTCCCAGTGATTTGCGATTTTATTTTAAAATACCTGGAGCGCCTAGGTATATCGCCCAAATCAGCCATACTGGCTACAAATACCACCGGTATAACGCCGCTACAATGGTCTGTTACGCGAGGGCATGTCCAGGTCACACGCATATTCCTCGATATTTTATATGCAGGGAGAGATGAGGCTATTAGTGAAACGCTTTGTAACCTGCTAACTATAGCTATCGAATGCCAAAATGACGAGCTAGTGCAGCTTTTGGCTTCCAGGTGTAGTGGGATCAGTCACGCCTCCAGAAATGGAGAAACTTGCTTGTATGTCGCCTCTAGAATTGGCCGGAGGGACTACGTTGATACCCTTTTGGAGGTTGCCTCTCATAAAATTATAAATATAGGCCTTGACACCCAAAAAGCGGCTTATGGGTGGACACCATTAACTATAGCTAGTGCACAAGGACACCTCCCTATAGTTGAAGCACTCATTCGCGCTGGTGCAGATGAGTTATTGTCTGACCATCAAGGTTGGACAGCAAAGGATCATGCCGCGTTTAGAGGACATTTCGCAGTTGCTAATAAACTGGAGACGAACAAATATGCAAGACCAACAGTCCAAAGGTCTTTTGCAGCAACACCACCTCATAACCTTCTAGATAACACAACGTATCTTATAGTTAATCTAGGCACAGTGCAAAAAGGGAGAGAAGTCAAACCCCTTGACTTGAGGCATGATTCAAAAGCTTCAGGTCAAAAGCTACTGGAAAGTGCTCTGACTCTTGAAATTTCAACCTCCAAAGGTACAGCTCATACTCTTAGAGTGCCCATTTTAAGCGATTTGATTGACGATACAATGGTTTTCCCTATTGAAAACCCATTGGAAGCTCGCCTGGTATTTAGACTGCTCAAAAATACTTCAAATTCTAACCCAGGCCATATACTCATTGGTAGTGGCATGGCACTTTTACCAAAATCAAAGGATTCATATGTTTCCTACCATAAGAGTCTAATTAGAGAAAGCACAGTGCCGATTTTGGAGAAGGAAACCATGGAGTTATTAGGAACTGTTACATTTACTTCATTTACGGCCACTCCTTTCTCGGGTTTAAATATCCGTTCCCCTAGTTTTGAGTATGTGGAGAAGATTGGATCAATGCAGCTGATCGGACATAGAGGTAAGCCATTTGCTTTCCCTCTTTGATTCTCTTTTTAACCTCAATTACAGGCTCGGGTCAGAACACCGCAGACCGCCGCTACCTCCAACTAGGGGAGAACACTATTCAAGTAAGGAGCATCATTTATATGATACATCGTAGGCCTTTAGCTGATTTCTATAGTCCTTCATGTCTGCCGCTAATTTGGGAGCATCTCATGTCGAGGTATATACACATCAATTACCGCGCTGCCATAAACATGATATGCTAATGGTTTCACAGTTTGATGTACAGTTGACGAGAGACCTTGTACCGGTTTTGTACCATGACCTATCTCTAAGCGAGTCTGGCACTGATATAGCAATTCACGACTTGACATTGAAACAAGTACGTGGTTTCTTCTCCGTTGTGTTACGGTCTCTAACGTACCTAGTTTATTCATGCTAGCGATATGCAACTATCATCAAGAAATGACTCTAGTGATTCTGGATCACGCTCGCGATCCTTGTCTCGTAGCCGACGGGACGCGGATAACGAAGCCAGATTAAGAATGAAGCATACCCTATACTTTTCCAGTAACGGGTATAAACCAAATACTCGCGGTGACTTCATTCAAACGCCCCTTGCAACATTAGAAGAGGCATTGCTTAATGTTCCTGAAGAGGTCGGGTTTGATATAGAGCTAAGTACGTGCCATTTACATTGTAATCTTTGAACAAATCGCTTACCTTGTTGTCGTAGAATACCCCCGTATTCACGAAGCATTTGCAATTGAGATGGCACCCATGGCCATAGAGCTAAACACTTTCGTCGATACGATACTTACCTTGATATCTCGCTTTGCTGGCTCTCGCCATATAATACTCTCTTCCTTCACCCCTGAAATTTGCATTCTACTCGCAACCAAGCAAAAGGCATACCCTATTTTCTTTATCACAAATGCAGGGAAATTGCCAGTAGCAGATCGAGAAGAGCGAGCCGGGAGCGTGCAAGTTGCTGTCCACTTCGCAAATCAATGGGGCCTAGCTGGAATTGTTTTCGCGTCTGACGTGATGGTGATGTGCCCACAGCTCGTAAGCTATGTCAAAGATAACGGCCTGATTTGCGCTACTTACGGCCCATTGAATAATATCCCGGAGAGCGTGGAGGTGAGTATACGATCTTTACCCGTTATATGTAGTAATTTATTTGATCACTGACAAGGGTACTGGGCTATAGGTACAAGCCAAAGCTGGAGTCGATCTGCTGGTTGCAGACAGGGTTGCACTAGTATCGAAGGCCCTGAAAGCTTTAGGATAGCAATATTTTAAAAACACAAAAGCACTCGCTGATTATAAGAGATGTTAACCAATATATAGATCAGATATCGCATTGATGTACCTTCTCTAGACTTAACTAGCCAGTTAGGCGTTACAGAAAATGAATCTATCTATTTAGCATAGATATGATATGTGTTGAATCGTTTCACACATTTATGTGTCTATATACTACTTTAGTTTTCCTCGTTGACTAAGATAACCTGTCACCAATGTTGCATTCTACCCTTGGTTGACAAGAGGTAGCCCCTATTCCAACCCTTGTACCGCAATATGGACCTCATTGTTAAATAAATGAATAACGGACCTCCTCCCTAACCTGCCTAGCAATTTCAAGCGCCTCCTTTCTCCCTGACCTTGAGAAAACGTTGAAATACGCCATAAACGTGTTCTGACCAGAGCTTGGATGCGGGACCTTCTGTCCTCGTTTGATAAAACATGAACCCCTGCTTATATTTCTAGCCAGATCCGGCCTTCTTACTATCAAATCCTTGCAGATGTCGTCTGAGTCAAAAATACCCTCGGCAGTGGAGGGAAAATCGGCAGGGATAAAGACCATGACACTGGTATACTGGGATCCATGTTTGAATGGCTGTGATAAAGCCCTTACACGAGCCTTGTCTCCCACAGCACTAAGCACAGCAACACCCCAGTATTCAACCCCATAGGTAGACTCAGTTATCTGAGATGCTGTCATGCCTGGTGGGCGTGGGTTAATCTCTATCAGCCAGGGTTTTGGCGGTTGGGCGGTGGGTTTATCATTAACGGGTGTCAGTTCTAGAACTCCGTCCCGGGAGGTATATTCGACCGATGAATTCTCGACTCGACCCTCGAGGTGCATGATGCCAGTTCTTAAGCCTAATTTAAGCAATACGTTTAAGAAATTCTGGCGAATCTCATTTTTCTCATGGGATGGCAACGCCGAAGGGTATACTGTGTTCAGCTCGTGGAAGTTGGTAATCATGCGTTCGCTAGAACTGTTTATATCCGCTGACTTGGGCAGGTCATCACATATTTCAGAGAAGAGGACCTCACCATCCAATAAGATGAAATTGGCATCAAATTCTGGGCCCGAACAGTATGGTTCTATGACGAACTCGGTTCCGTGTCGGGACACATCAATTGACTTGATTGCTAGAGCCAGGGCTTCTGGTGAGTCGACGCGAGAAACACCTTCTGAGCTCCATCCATCGCAAGGCTTCACAATAAGCGGATATGTAAGGTCATGCTTGCTGGCGATACCGAATGCTTCATCTGCGCTGCATGCGTGATGAGCATTATGGCCGACAAATTTGCTTGTCAGGTACTTGTTTGTGGCTATTTTGAATCCTTCAGGTGGACAAGTCGGTAGCCCAAATTGCTGTGCAACTTTAGCAATGTATGGCCAGTAAGTGTCAGCAAAGGTTACTATCCCATCTACCGGCTTCCCATATGCTTTCAATGACTTCGTAATATGATCAGCCAGGTCCTCTTCAACTGGGTTGGTCAATCTAGTGGGGATGAAGGCTTCACGCCAGTGAGCATAGTCTGACTCCTGAAGCCAGTGGCCTGCGTTATCCATAACCACAACGTTAACTCCAGTTTCTATGGCTGCAAGATAAAAGCCTGATCCAGTACCGCCTCGGTCAGGGTGATCAGTATTTGCGTCAACAAGCACCAGCGTTTTGCGGCTGGGGGTTCCAGGCAGTATCCATGGGAGCGACAGTCTATTCTCCAGTTCAGATTCAACCGCCGATGAGACTGCTTCCACTCCCATATCGTAATCATAGTCGAGACTTGGATTCAGGATAAGTCCAGCAGCAGCGGCTGAGAAGAGCTCTAACAAATTGCTTCCTTTATCTCCAGCCAGTGCTGCCGTCCCTTTGAACGTGCAAAGTGGCTCCGCAAAGGAGACAGCTGCTTCAACATGCGGACAATCCCGAAGTCGCAAAGGAATAATATCAGAGCGCACAATATATCCCTCACGTAGGGGGATAACCAATTTGGCCAAACATCTGTGGCCATGAGCAGAAGAAGCTGCAGTGAGAAGGCATTGCAAGATGAATTGCAATGCTTTTGTTGAACTAAGAGATTCTGAGAGAATTTCTTGAAATGGATTTGCACTATCAATAGATAGAAGAGAGACATGGTCAAGTGTTTCCAGTGGTATATTGCGACCAGACGAAGCTAAATGACAGAAGACAATGTCTACGGACTGCCAGGTGCTCCCGACAGGTGGTGACCGTATGATAGACCATGAACAGTCCAGTACTAAGGCTATAAACGAGTGTTAGAAAAGAATGAATGATGCAGAATAAGTTGTGTCTCTTACATTCGTCCTTTTTGGACCGGACTTGGATCCTCTGGTGAGTTGCCATGAGGCCAGGACTCTACAGAGAGATGAGGTTGAGAAGTCGTAATGAAGGAAATGATATTGGGAGATCTATAATGTCGAAAAATGGCTCGGGCGAGATTATTTATAACTGCATGAAACTAGGCAGCAACGTCAAATTACACAACCCCCACAGTCCATTTGAAAAGGGGCATACTCCGTACCAACATGGCTGCCGACATGACTCAACTATCTAATAGGAAAACACACCCTGCCTATAATAACAATAAATGTTGGACCACAAGGGACAAAAAGGCCTAGTGACCCAAGGATGCCTTGGGTAATGTCCCTCGACTTCATCGCTGGCCTTCTAGTCTCGGACAGCCTGGCGCACAAGTCGTCTGCTAAAGCGTCTGCCAACGAAGCGGCGTATTCCTGGATCTTTGCATCAGACAGGGTAGAAGCCACGCCCTCCGCCTTGGCGAGGTTTTTCAGGTTTCACAGCTCCGTTAGCACCTCCAGGTCGGTCTCGTCACGTCTCGACTAGAGATGGAGGATATGCACTGCTGCCTGCTCGTATGCTCTCATCGTCCTTACGGCAGGCTCCCGCTCCATCTGTGGCTCGCCGTCCGCTCGGGAACCCGCCGCGATAGAGGCACGATGTTGCCGAGTGCTAGCCCTCGACATCGCTAGGGTAGTCCGACAAGCAGTGCCTGGAACTGGATGGGTAGGCTAGGTCTTACGCGTCTTGTAGGGTATAGAGGTCGTCTCGGTACGTCGTTTGAGGCTGGTATCGTCACACGTCACCAACGTCACTGAGCTCGTTGCCACTTGATGCTTGATGTCCTGAGAGAGGAAAAGAAGAGATGGAAGAGATTGGGGGATTTGGTTTTCGACGCTGTTGAAAGGCGGAGCAGGCCTGCTTTCCGAAAAGGGTATGCTGGTAACACCAGCGTCAGGCCTTAGGAGGCTATGGGGGGAGGCTGGCATCCTCATCCTCACTAGCATAGAAGTCCATGGCCATATCTGTAGATTCATCATCAGAGTTGTCGTCCAAGTCAAGCGGCTCAGCTCCACCGGACAGGGCTGTTACCGCATGAAGCAGCCATTGCATTTCAAGCAGCGCAGTATCTGGCAGCGGGTGTGTATCCGCGTTAGTGGTTTTGATCACGATGCTGTCACCATTAAAAATTCTCAGATCCGTATGCACATTGTACAACTTGACCTTATCTACCACTTGGGCTCCTTGATCTCCGACAAACCTGAGGTCATTTATCGCGGGAATGTCGGGTTTTGTTGTGATCCTCATGACTGGTGGGTTGTTGACATTAGGCAGCCAGTAAAAGCGAAGCTTGAGTTGAGTCCTATCTTCGCTCATCTCAACCGGCTTCAAAGCAAAATAGGCCCTCTCGTGATATTTGTGAACGCTGGGCGCAAGGCAGAGCAAATTCTTCATGGTCTCAGTGGTCGGTTGGATGGCTCGAAACCACTCGTTTACCTTATCCTCGGCCCAGAAACGCCTTAAAATCTTCCAGGGGCTATAAGGGTTGTTGATTTCCTCGGGTGATTGGAGATATCGCATTGCGAATGGAAAAATATGAGCCACTTCTACAGGCCTACCGGCACCGGTGACAATGCATTTGTTGCCATCGCGTTCGAGGCACTATAAAGCTTCCTGTAAGTATAGCTGAAATAGATACCCCAGGTAAGAGACTAACCTTATCAACTTCGGTTGATGACCTAAAGATCTCTCCTAACTTGCGTTTATGCCCGTGTGGAGCCGGGCTACTAGGAGTGCTGCTTTCCGTGGACTGAATATTGGGCAACGGGGCAGGGGCAGGTGAAGATGGGCAGGGAGTTGATGCTGCAGAGGATTGCCGGCTTTTTTGAGTCCCTTATGCAATAGCTGTCAGTAAATACTTTCTCTACCTGCTTCTTATGAAAGCTAACTCTTCAGGGAGAGCAAGGAACTCACAGTGTTTCACTACCTGTCCCTCTTTGATAAGCGCCTGCAGGTAAACGTACTGCATCTCAGCGTTGGTTCGTGCCCCCGCAACGAGTTCTTTCAATTTATCGATGTCAGCTAGCCATAAGAAAGCCCACAGTCCTCGAGAAACAGGCGTGTTGTCGAAAAGGCCGTCGAGTTCATGTAGCAACTCAACCCGCGCGTCGCTAAAGAAATCTGTCTCCAGAATATGCGGAGCCTGGGTGGTATCCATGGTTAACGACAGGCACCGGGCTCAACAGGTCGACTGAGATCAGCTACGATAATTAGCTGGTTGGATGGCAAAGGCTCTGTAGATATCAGACTGTGGAAATCGAGCTGGTCGAACAACTGTCGCATCTTGTTGAAGTTGAGGGAGGGGCAAAGAAAGAATAATAGATGAGATCCCTCTTATAGGTGATTTGAATGAGCTGTGGTGGAGATGATGCCGTCACGAAAGTAGCTAACTAGGAGAAAAATCCAAACTTAGGGGTTTCCGACACCTAGCTAGTCATTCATTAGTTATTTTTGATTTGGATGGTTTCTTTTAATCTATATTTTCATCGTTCATTTTAGGAGCCAGCTATACCTCCGAATCACGGTCACAGAAGTCATCAAGTAACTAAGTTATCTACCATTACAAAGACTAACTATTTCCTCTGTATCAGACTTCTGTTCTTACATCCATAACCATTAAACCTGTCAACTATACCACTGTGTTCTGCCATGTCATGAAATATGATTAAGCCGCCAATGGCTCAAGGCAGGCCGCAGTCTGTGATTATTAGTGTAGGAGAGATTGGCCACTTAGTCTACTATAGAATCTTTGACAGTCTTCGATTTATATCCGATAATCATGAAAGCAATCAACCATCAGTCGAAAGGCCAAATAGCCGAAAAGCCGATCAGATGATCTGCCAGTTGAGCCTCACCCAAAAAGCAAATTTTCAGCCTCGGGAATCTCAACTACTTTATATCTTGAGCAGAATCAACATCTCTCTAGAGAGCTTGAAAGATAGTTAAGCACATACGTATACTTTTTTCGTCTACTTAAGATAAAGCATACGATGTAAGGCTTGTATTAGACCCCTGTTTGCAGGCATGGAGGATACCTTCATGACTCCCTGGACGTTGATTCTGATCCATCCGCCCCGCGAAGGATTACGCAGGGGTGATGGCAAGTGTCCTATAAGATACATAGCACGATAGGCTTCAAGGGGCGACAGGGTAACTTTCGGCCAGTTGAGGGTTACTCAGCGCTCTGGCTAACTAGCCGTCAGGAAGCGCTAGATGAAAAAACGCGAATCTGTGCAGAAAACAGTCCGGTGTATAGGCTAGATGCCTTTAGTTAGAGATGCACCAGGTTCCAGCTAGCTGAATATCAAACGTACATCACTGCATGTCAAGCTATGAACCACTGAGACCTGAGACATTGAGCTTCAGGGTACACCCCCAGGATCTTTGGCTGGGCTGTCAGTCCTCTCAGGCATGAATTGCTGCTCTGTCTTGTGCTCTTGATTCAGGCTATATTCTGCAATCAAAAAACCGAGCAAAGGATTCACTGCGGACAATGCGCACATAACAATCCAAATGGTCCGAAACGACTTTGACATGGCATGCTTCAGGGCAATGGTTAAAGGTGCGTTAACAGGAAGGCCCCTAAGTATTCTTATAAGCCTAATAAGTGAGGCTGGTTGCTCTGTTAAACCTGCTTTTATCAAATTTCTCCTCAGCTGATTGTTGACAACTGCTCCTCCAATTGCGACCCCGAGGGTCTGCCCTAAGAACCGGAAAAACTGCACTAGGGTGGCAGCCATGGCAACATCCTCTTGTGGCACTGATGCTTGAATTGCCAAAGGGACAGAGGGGAAGAGCAAACCAATGCCAAAGCCCGACACCGCACCAAGGAATACCCATTGTACTATGGTTGTATGTTCCTTTAAAAGAATGAGAAGACCCAGCCCAAGATAGCTGAGTGCCCAGCCGGACCATATTGCCCAGCGGTACCTACCAGCTTTCCCAACTACAACACCGACAGCTACCGAGAAAGGGACGATAGTTGCTGTTTGTGGGAGGCCTAATACTCCCGATAGTAATGGTGTATAGTTCCTCACTGCCTGGAAGTACTCTGGTAAATAGTACACCATGCTGTATAAAATGAGGCCATGAAAAACGCTACCGGCATACAAAATACCAACGGAGCGATTTTGGAAGACATTTGGGGGTATAAGTACGGATTTCTTCACAGACCATGACCCGACAAAGAACTCGTATATCCCGAATGCACCGAGGCCCAATGCTCCAAATATCAAAGGTATTAGAGTGCGCCAACTATCACAACGGTATTGCACGCCACCCCAGGTTACTGGGATAAGGAACGACGTCAGCGATGGAATGAACAATGCTGACCCTGGAAAGTCGAGGAGTCCAAGGCGCTGAGTTAGGGTTTGAGTCATTGACTGACATGTATATCGTGGCCTAACACGGAAGCAACGGAGAAAAGAAGAGAAAGACGATTATCAAGCATTATTAGCGATGGGATCTTATCCATAACTATCACAACAAAATTGTAATTGCGGCTCGCATATGCACTTGAGGATATTCAGTGTCAAACAGTTAGTTATCTGGGGCCATGCTTGCATAATTGCCCTTGCTCTAGTTAGTTATCCGAACAAGCGGTCCTTTTAGAATCCGTTCGCTTCTAGAAACATAATACGGATATACTTCTGGCACCAACACACTCCATTTCGTGCCTGTCGCACGAAATATGATATTCTTAGCTATTCAACCGATATTTTGTAAATACCATCTTTGGCCTTCTGACGACTAACACCCGAGTCGTCGATCCGGGAGGGATCACCACAGGCACTCACTAAGTTTTCTGGAGCGATCATGGGCTGGTTGGTTCAGAGCGGAATACGAATCATGACCCAGCACAATGGATGTGACTCGAGGGATCTTGGGATCCATGATCAATCGATAGGTAAACCCAGGGGTATCTTTGCTGCATGTAAGCGAGCGCTCTTGGGTATTTCCCTCAATGATTTGGTCAGACTTGGGAAACGAGAATATTAGATCTTTGGATATAAATAGATGATAATACTGTGGATGGATGTCCTTGGTACCAAAACATCTTTTTGGAAGATTAAAGGTTGGCAAAGACAAAGAAATAACGAACGGGCTGTTCGCAAGCTAAAGAGTCGTTGAGATAATGTTGGAGTTGACCTTCAAGACTGGTACTATGGCTCCTGGCTATTCATTGCGACATTCCTGGGTAATTAACCAACCACCCACCCAGTTTCACATCGGGTCGACCAAAATCAAGCTCCCTTCTTGGCCGCTCCCACGATATCAACCGCCACACATTGAAAAGATGGCTACTTTTGAGAGAGGGCCGCCGAAATCACAGCATACCCTAGTCCGCACTGCCTACATATATTTAGAAAATCGTCCGGAACATGATCCGAAGCTGTTTTAAGAACCTGTCCAGGCTAGCTATTCTGGATACCTGATGTCTATTTTTATCTCTGCATTTCTTCGACCCGTGGAGGCTTAACTAAACTGTGTTATCGGCTTTTCTCCCGATAACTAGTTACGGCTTCAAACAACAACAGAATCATGAGCAATGATCTATATCGTACCAGGAATGAATCGTATTTGGCCATGAGTTTAAAATTGAAAACTTCTGTCTCACATCCTGCGTTGCTATCACAACCTCAATTTAATCCATGAACCAGCTAGCTTCTTCCACTCAACCAATATTAATTTTTAACGGAAATGGAAGGCGGGACAGAAAAAGAAATTCGTGATTCTCATTATGCAAAGATGACTTCAGCCTGAGGCCGCGTGGTATAAATATAACTACAGAATGCAGGGGGATGGCAACAAGATGGGTTTACTAGGGTCTCAAGAGATAGCTAGTACAAAAACCGTCTCTTCGACAGATTACATATTCCTGGACCTCTGTCTGTTTTATCAAGATACCCTTAATAGTTTACCTAATGGAGAATCCGCCATGGAAGGAATTGCGAATGTTGCTGCGGTCATCGACGTGAGTGCAAGGGTTGCGACTCTTTGCTTTAGATACTACCAGTCCGTCAATTACGCTGGGCTGGAGATAAGGAATCTGTTAGAGTGTACCGGACGACTCAAAACGACTCTAGAATCTGTGCAAGACCTACTTGATGGGCCATTTGGAAACCAACTTAAGACCTCACAGAAGCTAAGAAGGTCGCTGGATTCCACCCGAGAGCATCTTGATGATGCTGTGATGCAACTCGAAAGAAAGCTGAGAATTGGACGGAAAACGAGGTATATAAGTCGCATACAGGCATTGAGGTGGCCATTTGACAGCAAGTCTATTACGAAAACATTTGAAAATCTTCAGCTAGATCAGGCGTCACTTGATTCTGCTCTCCAGATAGATCAAACGTGAGTAAAGAATGTAAAGTCCAAGGATACCTGTAATTTGCGTCTGGACTGACCCTTGGATCTTAGTGCCGAGATTTTGAATATCCATATCAAACTTGCCATGGCAACCCTACCAGTAGCCAAAGAAGCCGCATTTAATTCTCATGCAAATGAGCATGACCCAAAATGCCATCCAGGTACTCGGGCCCAGCTTCTTGCCGAAATATGCAAACAGCTCGAAAATCCAGGCGGAAAATGTATCCTTTGGTTGCAGGGAATTGCTGGTACCGGAAAGTCTACAATAGCTCGCAGTATCGCAGCGCATTTCTCTAAGGCGAAGGGTATAGCTACTGCCACATTTTTCTTCAAAAAAGGGGAAGGTGACAGAGATAAAGCATCCCTACTGTTCACCACCATCGCCTCCCAGCTACTTCAACGGCTACCTTTCATGGCACCATATGTAATGGAAGCTCTAAATGAGGACCCAGCCATCATTAACAAGTCTATCAAAGATCAATTTCAGAATCTTATTATAGACCCACTAAAACGGTGCAAGAAGATCCCAGGGTTTCCTACCTTGATTGTGGTGGTAATAGATGCGCTTGATGAATGTCGTCGTGGAAATGATGCCGCTGCCATCATCCATAGCTTACCCCAAGCCGCCGAGTTGATAACCGTCCGGCTGAGATTCTTTATCACCAGCAGACCCGAGTTTCATATACGACGAAGCTTCAAAAGAGTTCGTGCCACCGATTTTGTCCTTCATGAAGTTCCTAAAGCAGATATTTCAAAGGATATCTCTACTTTCCTTCGCTTTAGGCTAGATGGCATAAGGGACGAGTTTAATGATAATGTATGCAGCGGATCAGAACTGCCACCAGATTGGCCTGGGCCTGCTCGATTCCAAGCCCTTGTCAGGAAAGCTGTGCCACTATTTATCTTCGCATCTACTGCTTGCGATTTCATTGAAGATATAAATTGTGGTGATCCCGATGAGCAGCTCCACAAGCTTCTAGATTATAACAATGCCAATGGTTTACCCCAGTTATATACCACCTACCTACCCATACTTAATCAACTTCTCCTAGTGCCTGATAAAGGAGGGTCTAAATCTAAACCACGCAGCCAAAGCACAACGCTAGAGGTCATGGAATGGTTCCGTGTACTTGTTGGAACGATTATTCTTCTTGCTGATCCCCTTTCGCCTGGATCTTTGGCAAAGCTACTGGGGAAGTCTTTGCGAAGTATCGAGTCGAGGTTGAGCGGCCTTCATTCAGTCTTACACATTCCTCAAAGCCCCGATTTACCGGTGAGATTATTTCACCTCTCATTTCGAGATTTTTTAGTCGACGCTATGAATCGGGATAACAATCCATTCTGGATTGACGAGCAGAAAGCACACTCAAAGATTGCAGGTCGATGTGTGGAACTTCTCTCAACAGAGAATGCACTAAAAATGGATATCTGCTTTCTAGGGAGACCCGGGAGGCCAAGGTCGGAAATTGACCAAATGACAATATATACCCAATTGCCTCCGGAAGTCCAATATGCATGCATATACTTGGCCCATCATTTGCAGCAGAGTGGCAAGCCCCTGCTAGACGATAGCCAGGTATATTGCTTTCTCACCACTCACCTCCTTCACTGGCTTGAAGCATTAGCTATATTAGGCCGTATCAGGGAAACCACCCGTATGCTAGGTGCTTTATTAGATCTGGTGGATGTACGTGCCCTAACTCCATCACGCTACATCACACTGTACCTCATAGACGCTAATCCTCTTACTTTTAGTGGAAAAGAAGTCCAAGATTATGGGCTTTGTTGCGCGATGCTCAACGAGGAATTCTTATGAACCGTTCAATTATTGACGAATACCCTTTACAGATTTACTGTTCTGCTATCACTTTTGCACCGGAGACCAGCGAGGTTCGAAACATATTCAAAAGCCAATTGCCACGTTGGATAACTTTATTGCCCCGAGTAGATGCAGATTGGAATCCGTGCGTACAGACATTTGAAGGGATACAAGGTGATAACTCAATTGCCACGTTCTCACCGGATGGTAGCCACATAGTAACGGCCTCATCTAATAAAATCCAATTCTGGGACACTATGTCAGGAGTCTGCACCATATCGATGACAATTTACGATAATAATATAGCGATGGATAAGACCAGTAACTGCCATATAGACTCCATCGCAATATCTCCGGGTGGCGGCCTGCTAGCTGTAGCTGCTAGCAATCGCGAAGACGATCTCACTACTCTTCAGCTCTGGGATGTGATTACCGGGACATGTATCTCGGGTTTTGGTGGCCATAGGAATCAAGTGAATGCGGTTACCTTCTCTCCGGATGGAAGGTTACTCGCATCGGCATCCGGTTACACTTTGCTGCAAGGGTTACAGCCAAAGGATACAGTTGTCAGGCTTTGGGATATTGCAACAGAAAGTTGTATTCAGACATTAACGGGTCATAGACACCCAATCCAGTCAATTGCCTTTTCAGCCGATAGCAAGCTGCTTTCTTCCGTGTCTTCCGATGGGACCGCTCTGGTATGGGACTTGTACTCAGGTATTCCTATCGGACCAGCTCTTAAAGGCTTCAAATTTGTGACGTTCTCCCCAAAGACCCGCCAGATCGCATCGCTACAAGATGAATTCGCTATAAGCATCCTGGATATTGAGACCGGCACCGGGATATTAACGCATGGTGCGCTGCATACTAATAGCATTACTTCAATAACTTTCTCTCCGGACGGAAGTTATCTTGCATCTGCTTCCAAGGATAATACCGTTAAGATGTGGGATGTTGCGACAGGAGCGTGCATAAAAACACTTGAAGGGCATTTAAATTCCGTTAATTCCGTTGCTTTTGCGCCCGACGGTAGCTCTATTATATCAGCATCTAGAGATTCAACCGTCAAGGTCTGGGATATTGTAAGTGACAGAACCACAGGGTTTGAAGGTCATGACACTCCTCCGACCTTTGTCACATTCTCGCTCGACGGGAGTCTTTTATTGTCTGAAGTGACCAGTAAACTCTCTAGGTGGTTGAATGGCACCACGTTACCGCCTCCTAGATCAAATCCACACAATCCATATACCAAGCATATCTTCCTCTCCCCAGACTGCAAAAGACTTGTAACGATTCCAGGAGCACCAGACGAATTTTACAGTCGAATCCAGGTCTGGGATGTGAAGTCAGGCGCATATATTAAGATATTTGAGAACCAAGCCACGCCAGTGGCCCCTACACGGCCTCAACAAGTTACCTTGTGGGATACCACATCTGGTGACTGTCTCAGGAGATTTCAGCCGGGCTTCTCTGTTGGTTCAGCTTCATTCTCACCTGATAGCAATCGACTTGCTGTTGGGTGCCTCGGGGCAATTGCAGTTCTTGAGGCAGAATCAGGCAGAACTGTAGCAGAACTCGGATGTTCTTATCAGTGGATAACAGCAGTTGCCTTCTCATATGATAATGTCAGCCTTGCCTCCGCAGCACAAAGTGGATATCTCGAGATTTGGAGTATACCGGCTAGAAAGCAGCTTGGAACTCTTCATACAAGATCTTCAAATATATCGTCAATTGAATTCTCACGGGATGGTAGATGGCTTGCAGCAGGGTCATTAGAAGGCAGGTTTTGGATCTGGGATATCAAGACAGGCCATAATATCAAACCATTGGACCTAGACACTCCGATCTATAGTATAGCCTTTGACAAGGTTGGGTTGTACCCCAAGATCAATACTGAGATCGGTACATTCACAGTGCAAGGCTCACTATTTACCAACTCTACAAATGTGGCGGAGAGACGAACCGGTTCTCAGCTCACGATGACGCGCCAGGGTATCGGGATGAGCAAGTGTGGGACGTGGATCACTTGGGATTCGGACAAAGTCCTGTGGGTACCGCCAGTATTTCGTCGTTCAGGGCAAATGACATCTGCTTTAACGGAATCAACTGTGGCACTATCAAACCGCTCCGGCCGGTTGACCATAATATCAATGTCATCTCCAAATACGCCTCCGAGCAGGAATACACACGTGCAAACTAGCTGAGGACAACCTTTAAAAATAGGGTCGTTATAAACCAATTCTATGCGGAAATTTTTTTTTACATTGAGATGTGGGATTAAAGGAATATAGCCGTAAAGTAGGTATCGGTTGTCATTAACTAGTTATATGTCTCAAATTCACAATGGTGCGCCATCCTTCGACTCATAGGCCCTCACGTACTCCGTAATGTACCCGATGTTACGGAGTATAACATTTAAAACGAAAGACCAACTATGCAAGGGTTGTTGGCGAGTGGCGGAACTGTGGATTCGAGCTGTACCTGCACGGACGGGGATGCCAGGGGTTTGATAACTAACAAACTAGGCTTAGGCTCCATGGCCCAAATGTAACCAGAGCTTAGCCCTGGTTCAGCGGTCTCTTGTTCTCCCGCCGTGCAGCTGATGTTTTTTTTTTTTTTTTTTCTTTCTCGCTCTCTTTCCTCCGTTGGTTGGCGCTCCCTCGTTACCCTCTGTTCTCTTGTTGGTGATGTTCAAGTTCATCCTGTTAATTATTAGCTCCTGTTCCTGCAAACAGTTAACTAGTGAGACTGCTGCTCGGGCTCTCGGATGTGGCGTAGGCTAACTAGTGTCAAACACCAGCATCGACGATTCCAAAAAGCAAGTAATCGTCCTGGTGTTGGAGTATTAATATCTTCGATCTCGGCCGTTGTTTATTGTTGGTGTTATGTTGGCGATCTGCGTCTGGCCGTTTTACCTTAGGCCCATTTTTGCAGAGAGATATGTATGGAATACTCCGTGCAAAGACATAGCATAGGTACAAACAAGTGTACTCTGTACGAAGGCCAGACAAAAGAAGAGAGAGAATGTCAGACCAGGAGGCTGGTACGGAGTAGTTATGAACAAGGTATGGGTGATATCCAACCGCAGATCCAGACAAGTATCGCTGTTCTCTCTCTTTGTTCAAGCTGCCGTGGCTTGTATACCAGCGACGGGCAACAATAAACAAGGAATGCAATGATGCTCTTCCTCTGTCAATTCCAACGCCGGTTTGACAAGCTGTGTTGTGATATTGACATCTCGATGTGGTAGCTTAGCCGGACAGGGACGGTATCCTCCTCTCTCAATTGCTCCCTAGTCTGCACCCACGCGTCCCCATGGCTAGGGGGGTGAGGAGGCCTCTCTCTTGCCTGTTTTCTTACCCCTACTACCATCCCATCCCTTGAGCATGATGGAGATTGGCCCACAGGAATGCATGCATCTTCGGAGCATCCCAGGAAGGACGAAAGCGCCTTGTCTTGACCATAGTACCCTACCCCCTCCCACCCTTTGACGTACTCCGTCCTCCGCATGTAATGTCCGTATAGAACCTGAAAAGAAAGGATGGAGAAGACCCAGAAGGAAAGAAGCGAGCGTCCCGGCACCTGAGTAATTCCTTTTCTGTCCTTGTTACCGATCCCTACCGCAGGGACTTGGTCAAACCTCGTTTACCTTTTACCTTCTTTTGTCCCTCTTTTCGTCCTTTCTCAGCCTCTCTCTCGCCTCTGACATCGAGCGCTCACGGGGATCCCTCTGCTGCCATCTCCCACCGCAGCACCGCAGTGATCTTGTCTCATATTCACTCGTTTGACCCTTCAGATCTCCAAGTCTTTCGTTCAACGCGCCCTCTTCTTCCCCACCACCCTGCAGACTGCTAAACCCTGCTGCCGATAAGAAACTAGCCCTCCATTAGCCTGTGAATACGACCAGACACGCACTGTTTTCGGACACTTAGACTGCTCTCTGCTCAAATCCGCATTTTTCTCATCTGGCGCTTCTCGACAGCAAGCCAGAGCGCGAGCAGGACCTCTGTGCGCTTCAACTTTCGCTCTCTCTCGATGTGATGACGGCCGGTCAAGATGGCTCCCCGTAACTATTCAGAGTTGAGCAGGTCCCTCGGCCTGCTGGGAGATCAATTGCCATGGTACTGGAAGGTCGTCTCCATTAGTTCTGCGTGGTCTCTGTTGATCGGGTATGTGGTGTGCTTTTATTGTCCCGACAGCTGCGGTTGTTGGAGTTGAAGTTGAGATTTACCGCTTTTGGCTGAGGCATTGCTAACGACGACGCCGGCTTCTTCCACCGTGATGTGATACAGCTTCATCCTCCTCCCCTTCGCCATGGAGCCAAACGATGTGGAGCTGGGAGCAAACAGGAATGCGCTTCTCGGAGCTGCTGTCATCATTCTCACGCTTGGATATCTTCTCAGCGCCCTTTACTATGTGCGTTGGCGCAGAAGTATCTATCTCTTCAACTCTCTTTTCTTGTACGGATTCTACATCTATCACCATTCCTGCATTGATGCAATGAAAGGTCATGCTAACTGCGATGTATATATGTACAGTGCCTGCTTTACGTCTTCCATCCTGGGGCTGTTTAATGTTATTCTCAATATCCTAGTACGCAAGCTGCTGCCGATGAGTATGATGTCCACCATCATCGTGGCCATCTCCTGTGTTTCAACGGCCGCGTATGGCTTTTTGGCCTTCTACTTTTCCGACTACTGGCTGTCGGTGACATGTTCACGGCGACGAGGGCGAGCACGCACCCGAGCTGCTACTGAAGTGGCCCCCGACGACGCAGAGCTACAGCGGAGACAGCTTTTGCGCCTCTATCTACGGCCGGATAGGGCTCCCAGCGTGGAGCTATCACAGAGCACATTCCGGATAGACCTTCCAGAGCATCAGTCCGTCGCCGGCACGGAGGAAGAGATGCTCGTCACTCCTCCGCAAAATGCATACGAGCGATCCCTACACTCCGTATCAGCGCCGAGCAATTACCCTTCCGAAGCACATTCAAGCCCGACTTCTGCTTATAAGCTGAATCCTCTTCGGTACTGGCAGCCTCAGCGTGGCCACCGAGACCAAATGCGCCCTCTGGCTGAGTTAATCAGCTAAAGGGAGTTATCACACCTGCCTATTCGTAACGCTGCTTCAGCGAAACGAATGTTACTACTACCCGGGGAGCCCGACTGTACGTTGACCAGTCATCCGGAACAATGTACCACCAGATATCCAACCTCCTTCATTTCTTCATTATATTCAGTTATTACGCATCAAATACACTGCAGAAAGAGGATAGGGTTAATCAACGCATTTATATGGGGCGGATCTCAGTTATTCTTCCAAGGTTACCCAGCATCAGCTGATTGAATCTTACATGGAACGGAGTCGTCCACTTCATCTTTCTTCATCCATTCTACACTCTAACTATACATCCCGGTTGTGATTATCTATGTTCTTCTTCTCCAGCTATACTTTACTTGGTTTTCATTTGTGGGCGGGCAACGGAGGGGGCCAGCGGCACCGTTCTCTATCATGTGGAATTATGGATTCAGGATTATACGGTTTTATTTCAAATGTGAAGATTATTGAATTAATAGGGATAGGTGTATGATTTTTTGTTGTCCTTTTTTATTATTATTCTTGAATATATCTTTACTACATTGCATTCCATTTTAATCGCGGAATTTAACCACATAGCCCTATATCCCCTCTGGCGCGTCAAGCAGCGCTTCTCCGGGGGCCGAGAACACGGAAAAGCAGTTGTTGGCACCGTGCAGACACCGACCAGTTTAGTAACTGACTATTGGTGTAGTTATTCTCGGTGAAGATGCTCGCTCTGCATAATGACCTTGTCTTTTTCAAAACTTGACTATCATTAAGTGAAAGCTCTTGCACGCACCACATGTCGCTGATGGCACGCCCAGCAACATGAGAAGAATCATCCACCGGTTGAGAAAGGGACTAGTAATTACTGCGCTTGTAAAGACAGACACAAAGTACCATGCCCGTGTGTTTAATATCAAGCCCTGCGTGTGATCAATCATCAAATGGCCAAAACTTGTGGAAGATATCCCTCTCTTCTGGAGTAAGGGCTAACTCCGCTGCCAGCTCCTCTTTAATCTGAAGAAGACTCGCTTTGAATTCTTCGTAGTTTCCATGCTCTATCAGAGATTTCTCTGGCCAAAGTTCCCCCAAGCGTTGCTGTATGCTCTTCATAGCTTCAGCGCTTAGCTGGGCTGCTTCCCTGTCGGCATCAATCTCAGATATGGTTTCATCTGAGAAGGCAAGGGGGAATTTGGCTACCTTTTCTCTATTATCGGGATGAGATTCAAGCCATTCTCTCCACAAGTCTAACGATAGAGCATGGAATTGGGGCTCACCAAGCTCATAGAGGCGACGGGAAAGAAGCAGCAGATATCCTTTAGTTGTGTTTTCGAACATTGCTGCAGTATACTGACTGGGGTTCTTCTGCTTCACGAGCATACGCCAGGCCACCATCACTGATTTATCATAATAGTGTTTGATTACTTCCTTTTTATCGCATTCCGGCAGCGAATTGTAGTCTTTGGGGAGTTCTGGGCGCTTTAGGCTGTCGCCAATTGGAGCACCGTTATAGTCCAAGAAGGAAGGATCCATGCAGTGATCAAAAAGCGGAGATATTTGAGTCGACTGCCAGTCAATAATACCCACCACTTCAGTAGGTTTCTCCCGATTCACGAAGATATTCTCGCTATGAAGGTCATCATGCCAGAGATGTCCATTTGCTAATGATGGGTCGTCAGGGAGAAGGATTTCCAGAAGTTCCAGGTAGGACTGGGTAGCCCTTAGCCTCTTCATACGTGTAGGCTGATATAGCCCTGGGCCATATAGCATTGCCAATTGTTTTGGAGTGCGTGGGCTGCACTCAATAGCAAACTTTTCACGGAGTCCGATTGCTCTTCGATAGTCATAGACAGATTTCCCTAGATTGACAAAGCAGTCAGTGTGAGCTAATAACTAGGATTAACTATATTCCAAGCAAAGCAAAGGTGCCTGCTTACATGGCCCTCTGTCACACTTCAAGACATCCCGACCATCATCCGACCACTCACGGCCTGTTGCGGGGCCGATAGCAAACCGGTCGAACTTGACGGTTTGACCGTCACGCTCAGCAAAGAGAGGCTTTCGAAGCAACTCATCCAGATCGTTGGTATAATAAAGGCTCCCAAAGCTAGCAAATTTTGTCGCGGTCCACACCCTCTGGTAATCGAAGACCTGTAAGAAAATCTTCATCTGATCCGCGGGATCTAGGGTTGGCCAGACTTTTCCAAGCGGAATGCCGTCGAGCTTCTCCATGATCATGTACTCGGCCCCGACTTTGTTTCTCCCGTCCAGCCGTGAGCTCCACGCATACACCTCTGGCGCGGGCGTTTTCAGCACATTGCGCATCTAAAAGTATAGTCAGCGAGAGCAAGGTAATAATATACTCAAGGGGGGCTAGTAGCTAGGCTCACAAAGTCGATTGTCGCAACCTCGCTAGCCGTGGTGTAGTGAGGTATCCCGGCGTTTGGATTAGGGACCTTGCCAATGACCTGTCTCTCATTATCGAGGGTGAACACGTAGGCTTTGTTGAACATGCCGTCGGCGCACTTTTCGATGTTGATGCAGCGTTTTGCACCAACTGAGCTAGCCGCGATACGTGCCAGCTCGTTCATGTCAAATGACACGCGCCGCTTCGACATTTGCTCCTTTTCATCCAGAACGAAGCGCCCACGGGTAAAGTTGAAGAATTCATCATGTAAATTCCAGTCTGCTTCCACTAAAGTCTTCCCGCCAGGGTCCTTTCCCAGTCATAAATACTTGATGTACATACCTTCTTGGGGCGCCATTGTTCGTATCCACCTCGAACGGACTCCACGAAAAGGGTCACATCTGGGCGTCTGGGGCAGTAAATGGGCACTGATATGTATGGGTGATTGGCGCGGCCACCTTATGTTGCCTGAGTCGCTTAAGAGAGCCAAAGCATCATGCTGGAAGGGTATATAAATGAGGAAAATGCAGTCTCTTGTTGAAATCAGTTGGCTAGCGTAGTTAGCCCGCCTTGGCATTTCTTTCCTAGCAATGCATAGGTAGTTACCTAGGTAATTTCTCAGAGTAGCGCCTTGGCAAGAATGTTGGTAACTGCCGATATCTTGTTCTGATACTATCGTTGATGCCCTCTACTGCATCTTTACCTTCTGTAGAGCTGTTGCTCCTCCAGCTTACAGCGTGTATACAGCTGTTCTAACAGGGTCGGGCAATCGGCTAGACCATCAAAAGAAGCTCACTAGGCCCGGCAACCAACAGTTAGTTAACTAGCTAACCATTTTGCCGAAATGCCGAAGTATTGAATGAACTATAAAAGGCGATAGAAGAGTACTGCTTTTATTTCTTACAGAGTATAGTAAGCCTAAATGTAAATACCCTTGACTTGTAGGAGGATACTCTTAAGCTTTCCCAGCATCTTCCTTCAAGGTCACTATTCTGTTAAGTACAATCTTCTCAGGTGTGCTTGTTGTGTCCTCGCAGAAGTATGCGACACGCATGCCTTGGAACCGCACTGAAGCAGGAGATGGTTTATCAGCAGTTGACTCTCCCTTGTTGGCAGGCCAAGGAGCTCTCTGTTTCACTTCATGGAAGCCAGTCTCGATAATTGCGTTGGGAAGGATTTCTTCCGAGTCCGGGTTTATGTCGGCCAAGAAGCCATCAGGATGACCAGCAGGATTGGCTGATTTGAAAAGAGGATTAAAGTTATGTACTTCGACGCTGACAGGGCTATTATGAGCGAGAGATCGGGCAACCCATTGGATATAGCTATGTTAAAGGTCAGCGTCATGGGATACAGATGCTTTAGGTAAAGGCAACAACTTACGCCTTGGGTTTCTTGAACTTTTCGTCTCCTTCAGGTTTATCGTACTTGGCATGAATCAATGTAACAAGGCCAGTATTCGGGTCTTTTTCGAAAGATGTAGCGGTGATAGGGAACGGAACCTTCAGAAGACCAACCGAGCCACCAGGTGCCAATCTGAAAAAATTGTCCGAAGCTTCTTCTCTAAAATCGCTACGGTCAATGTAGATTTTGTTGGTAAATGGTACAGTGTGAGACTATGCTAGTGTCAGTAACAGCGGCACAACCGAGTTTATAAACCCGTGAGCACTTACACCATGGCTGGGGTCCTTTGAGAAAGGCAGGTCAATCATCTCCACGTAATCGTCTGGGAGATTGTCAATAACAACAGTAATGGGGTCCAAGACAAGCATAAGCCGAGGGACGGTTGACTCCAAGTAAGATCGCACAGACTGCTCCAAACGTTTTACGTCAATTGTCGTCTTTGCTTTTGTAACACCGAGTTCCTTCACGAAGGATAAGATGGCCTGTGGAGGAATTCCACGTCGGCGAAGGCCAACAAGGGTAAAAAGGCGTGGATCGTCCCATCCTTTAACATATTTTCCTCGGTTGCACCCCCTAGGCTCGTTGCCTTCAATGAGCTCGACGAGCTTCCGTTTTGACATGATAGTGCCATTGATATTTAGGCGGCCATACCTGCAATCGGGTTAGCAAAGCCTGTATTCTGGTTTACAATTGCCCCAAGGAAAGGATACATACTCTCTCTGCATTGGCTTATAGATATCAAGCTCATTCACCACCCAGTCATATGACTCACGCGAGAGCTCAAACTCAGTGGTACACAGCGAGTGAGTGATGTTCTCAAAGCTATCACACACACAGTGGCAGTATTCATACGTTGGGTATATCTTCCACTTATCACCGGTCTGCAGATGTTTTGCGAAATTGCCATCATCTGTTTCTACAACTCGATATGCAAAAAGATCCCACATCTGAGGGTTTGGGTTCTCTAAGTCTTGCTTCAAACGGAGCGCCGCCTCGCGTGCTCGATATTTCCCGTCACGCATCGCGCGGAATTCAGCAAGGGATTCGGAAGTAGGACGGTCACGATGGGCACAGGCAAATCTTTCATTGCCCTTCTTGTCTGAGGTCTCATCCGCGCCTCGCTGGGCCTTGATCTCGCTGTCTAAACAAAGGTCTTAGTGTGAAATTCTAGCAATGGCCTAGGATTCTCGTTACCTGTGCAATGACAAACGTATGCCTTATCCTTCAAGATCAACTTTTCCGCAAGTTCGTACAATTGGTCAAAATAATCACTTGTATGGGTGATCTTCACTGGAGTGAAACCCAGCCAGTTGACGATGTCCTTGATGCTCTCGACGTATCGCTCCTCTTCGCCTTTCGGGTTCGAGTCATCAAAGCGCAAGTAGCATATTCCACCGTAGTATCTGGCAAATTCGAAGTTGACAGTCATAGCCTTACTGTGGCCGATGTGGAGATAGCCATTTGGCTCGGGAGGGAATCGTGTCACGACCTGTTTGTTCACGGTGCTCTCCAGCGGTCGCTCCTTGTACACATCGGCAAGGAATCCAACCTTGAACATCGCATCGGGGTCATTAGGAGCTGGAGCAGCGCGTTTCGACTCGGATGGGCCCTTTTCAGGCTTTGGCTTCTTCTCTTTCGGTTTCTTCTCCTTGGGTTTCTTTTCTTTCGGTGGCTTCTGTTCGGTGGCAGGTTTCTGTTCTTCCGCTGGATTGCTCTCCGCGGCTGGCTTGGGGCGAGCTGGCAGCTCTGTTGGCGTCTCCATCGTTGGCTCTTCTCAGTCCAGTATCCCCAGCTTTAAAAAAATATATACCAAGATAGATCGCAGCAAATAATGAATCACTGAAGACAGGATGAATCGTGAATAAAAGTGACTCCCACCAAAAAATCCCCCACCAAAGACGTACCTGCAGGGGGGTTGTTATCTGGTCACGTGGTGTTATCGCGAGTTTTTGAGCCGCAAAACTTCTTTTTACGAACAAGACGAATTCATGGGCTGATCTTAATGACATACGATGCTTGGACTGCTGACTTCTCCACGGACGCACCATGGCAGGCTTTTTAGCGGGGTGCCTTTTTCCAAACTCGAAGTCCGCACGAGGGCAGCTGTGATGTCTAGTGGTTAACATTGGCGGACCGTTGTTCCCCTGTTCTACAGCTTCAAATCCTTCAGATCGTCCACGACCCGAGATCAGGGAATAGTCATCGACCTTGAGTATTATCTTGAACGAGTAACATTCTATATTTGAGATTGCATCGAAACCAGGCTAGGTACAGGTGAAATGGGTGGACGGCTGGGAGTATGAGGCTCAGTATCCCCAGAGCTATCATGCCGCAAAGAAAGAAGAGCCTTGCTCAGACCAATTGACATGAGCCCATTGAACGAACCCGCCTCCAGCAGACTCTAGTCGCTTTACTGAGAGTTGAAATGGCCATAGCAAATGACTGCGGGGGCGCCCTTTGCAAAGTCCGCGACCACATTGCATCCTGGCTGCAGCATACCGGTAGCTCTGCCCTCGCCTAAACAGTCCTCACGGCTACATGCTGTTAGTATCAAGCTCTATCTCCATGTCTTATCACCAAGCAGGCCCTGCTGGAAGGACGGATCAACATACTCATAAACATAGCAAAAGGAACGGTCTGCGAGAATATTGAAGGCGCTTTTGATTGAATTAGTTAGCTGGTGGGCTCGATGAATATTACTAAGGGGATGGTAACGTACGCGATATCCTTGATGCTGGTGCATATGCTATCGATCAGCTTGCCAACGGTCGTAGCGGTCACGCATGTGGGGTCCGTGTTCAGGGTTCCCTAATTCTATATCAGTTGGATGTCATTTGAAGAATATCTGGAAATCTCCAGGGCGTATGTACAATCTTGGCTTTATCATCAGCGAGCACACAGGCTGCCATCATCAGAAGAGTTGCCTTGAAGAAACGCATCTTGGATAGAGTGCACGTAAGAGTTGATTGAACAACGAGGAAATTGTATAGTAAACTGAGGAAGAAGCTGGCTTGAGTTGCTTTGATTGCGGATGAAGCCTTCAGATAGAGAGCACCCAGAGCTTTCTTATATAGACGCTCCCATCGTAGCAATGGAGCCTAGATTTCTCTTTTCTTCCTTTCCTTGCCCTCACGTACCCAATACAGATTCTTGCCCGGTAGAGACATGAAGCATGAGCTGAAGATGGTAAGTATTCCGCCCTCTGACCAGAATCCTTCGAGGCCAGGAAGTAGCATGCATACTATGAGACAAACCAGCAGCCACCGAGACTACTGGCTCTTCTCGCCAGGTGACGTCTGGATGGCGGCGTTACTTCTAGCTTCAGTACATCATCCTCCAGACGCAGGATTTGCTGTACCACCTGGCCTGCATCCACGATTTGACGGCGATCCTTCGCTATGTTTTGCTCAGGCTTCGACTCGTTCTCATCGAACCATTTCTAATAATAACTACCAATTCCTGCCCAGCCTCTCATCTGTCTCCGCGGCCATCGAACAAGTTGGGGTAACGACTCCTGCAAAGCATATCAAACAATGTCTCAATGTCTACACCGATACAGATCCTACAGCTAGAAAGCCAGCGCTAGTTGGTCATTCTGTCTCACTTCTGTCGCTGATCCTGACAGCAGCCATATTCTCATACACTAGCACCCAAAACTCGGAATCTACTGTCATTCTTCAAAGTACGATCCTGCGAGGACAGCCAGCACAAGAGCGTATAGCCAGAATCTTGAACTAGGTTGACAGTGGTGTTTATCTCGACGGATATATGTACCCTAATGGGAAATTTCCAGGCTTCCTCCATTTCCATCAGTAACTGGTATAACGGAAGCAATAACATCTACTTTGAATACATCATACCGGGGTCTTGCTCGATGGCCATTGATTAACATGCATACCTTCCAGAACGCGCCGCCGCCTACCGAAACCTTCGACTTTCTCTCACTCAAAGAGGATCTGAAGCCCAAAGCTTGTAAAAAGCTTGACACTAGTTAAGCAGCCACGACAGACTAAGCCACCACACAGCCAAGCTGCAGCCCCGGGGCAGTACCAAATGAAGCAAGCCTATTAAAAACGAAATATCCAAAGCTTGCTGATTATGTTGAGCGGCCCGTCTAGCTTTCGACATCACTATACTCATACGAAGCAACAAAAAGGGATAGAAGGGTTGCTCCTGGAAGGGGTTACTGGGTCTATAGTAGGAAACAGGCATTGCAGTGGATATGGTTATAGATTAGTTGAGGTAGTGAGTATTATTTTCCTATATAGTTTCCTTGATCTACTTATATGAACTATATACTTGGATATCATATTAGTTAGTTATCCCGCTGTCAGGCAGATATGTATTATGTACAACTTTCATCCCCCTGCTTCCATCTTCATAAACAGCTTCTCTCTCTTAAGGAAAAGCGATGTCACCAACACTGTTCCACCAGCTGCAATCAGCGAAACATAAACATTTTTCATCGCAGCAATAATGGCATTGATTGCGGCCTCCTTAACTTCTGGTGTTCCATGGATAAGGATGTCACTCTTTGCACCAGCTATTGCAGAAATGAGTTGCGCCCTTGAGTAGTCGCCATATTGGGCGAGGGCAGCCTCAAGGTTCCTAATGGCTAAATTCTGGAATATCGTACCGGAAATAGCAAGACATAGCACCGCTGCTCCAAGCTGAGCGAGATTGATGAAGGTGACTGCCTGGTTAACTTCAGACCCTTTGACCTTTGCGGCGGCAACACTGTAAGCCGCCTGTGCTATGGACCCAGCCCCAATAGCAAGAAGGACAGAGTATCCGTATATGTTGGCGGTCGGTGTATGGGCATCAACAGTATACATAAGGGAGGATCCTGCAACCAAAAATACCCCGCTGATGAAGTACCACGGCATGTAGTAACCAAAAACCGGCATCAAGGCTCCGCTCGACATGATGAACGTTATAGCGACCATTACGAATGGTAGAAGGCGAACGGCGGCAGCAATTGCGCTATCGCCGCGAGTAAATTGGAAGAAAAGCGGGATATAATAGGCTCCGACGAAAAACGCCGAGTTGGAGCAGCAGGTGCTGATGTAGAGAATGATCAAAGATCTTCTTCTGAGGAATGCCCCTGGAAACGCACGGCGGGCCGGGGTGGTAAATACCGCGAAGTACTGCTGGAGAATGAAGACGATCAGTGTAACTCCAAACAAGACGAATAAAGCTATTATGCGTCCGTCGTTCCACTTCCAAGTTACGCCGGCGAAGGTGAGAACCATAACCCAAAGAAAGTAGATCCCGCCGTTAAGGACCATTCCTATGATATCCAGCTCCTTGAACTTTGAGAGCACAGAGCCATCCGGAGATGAGTTGTGTCTTGGAACAAGCAAAAAAAGTGCAGGTAATGTGACAGCGGCAAGGACAAGGTTGATGTAAAATGCCTAGAAACTGTTAGATGGGAGCCATTTTATCCAGGTGCTTCACACTTACCCATCTCCATGTCGCAGGGCTGTCTGCAAAGGAGCCCCCAATCACAGGGCCAAGGATAGCTCCAGCTCCCCAGACGATGCCAGTCAAACCCATATATACAGGTCGTCTTCGTAGAGTGGTAAAAATAGCGATGTAGTTGAGGACACTAGACAGTACGTTAATATGGGAATAAAATGGCTGTAAGAGTGTGTAGGACATACCCAAGGTACATTCCGCATCCTCCAATTCCAGCCATTACTCGGCCCACTATCAACGAGTCCATACTCGGGGCGCCGCCACAGAGGGCACTCCCACCTTCGAACAAAGCAAGGGATATTATATATACATATTTGATGTCAAATATGTTATAGAGAGCACCGCTTCGAAACATTAGCTTCCATGTCTAAAGAAGATTTAGAGAATAAGAAAGGAAAGGAAAGAAAGAGAGACTTACATTGGAAGAATGGTTGCGACGGATCCCAACGGGAAACCGGTTCCGAGCCAGCTTAACTTATCCACGGACCCAAATCTTTCCACAATAGGCACTTGGACGTCGGCCACAATTGTTGTGTCGAGTCCGTATAAAAAGGCGGAGGAATAGAGCACACAGCATACAAGGAACCACTGCACAACAGAAAGTGTAAGTATAAGTGAGTCAAGACCGTTGGGCCATTTTTTTGTATATCACGTACCTTCCATCCATGTACTCGCGGCGGTATTGATGAATGGCCGTCATCGACTGTGGCCTTTTCAGAGTTAGGAATAGTATTGGTTAGAGGTCGCTCAATTGAGTAAATTGAAGCCTGACCACTCGCCGGGACAGAGGATTGTGCGGAAGTATCCATTGGGAATTCACAGTATGTAGAGGCCCAGCTTCTAGAGGATATGAAAAGCGTGAGATCAATGAACACTGCGAGATCCAGCGGATCTCAGCGCAATTTGTAGGCAATGCCATCGTGACTGTGACTCAAAGATATCAATCCGGAGATAATATAAGTCTCCGAGGACGGTCCAATTCTAGAGAAAATCCTGGAGGAAATTCTCGAGCAATCTATCTGCATCTCCCTTGACACGAGAATATGATTGGTAGTGCAAGGCGTAACCGCCAGGCCAGGCCATCACGAAGAGCTTCCTTGACATAAAATATATGGAAGCATATGCTCCGTATGCTTTTGTCAGCACGGCTTTAGGCTGCTGTGGGACTGTCGCTTCGCTATTCATTATAAATCAACGGCCCGCCGACCCGGACGGGTTCTGTATATACGCCCTTGTTTATTTTCGGACGAACAAGAAAGGTAACCAGTGAAGTGGAGTGAGGTGATTTTTCTCTGGTATCATATCATGTCTTTCCTACGGTAGAATAACCACTGCAATTACTAAGGGCATTCAGTAACTAACAGAACATGTTCTGTTATGCCCTTCGGGAGGAGGCGGGATGATAGTTATGTTGTTTTTCACTACATCGCCGGCTCAGGGGCTGAGTTAGAGTTTGCTGCTCCTCGGACTTAGCCAGCTAAAAGCCGCGTCCAGAATGAAATACGCTTCGTCATCAGGAACGTCAATCCATACGGACTATATATAATCCGGTAGTCACGTCATAGAGTGAAATGAGCATCTGAATTCCTCCCTAACTCTAGTATGAGAATATGGCTACTTTATCAAAATACAGCTCTGTGAATTCGCGCGAAATCAGCCGAATGCCTTTGCATTTTGTGAGAATACAGAGGCAGGGGACCCTAGTCAAGACTGCAGTATATACTCGTTTTTTCTTGCTATATTTATGCTACACCATTGATCATAGTAATGGCTACTTTAAGGCAGCGTAATTTCATCTTTAGAGTAATGAGGTTGGGTCTTTATTCCGAAAATTACTCTATACTCCTAGACCTCACTAAATTCCCCGATCCGGTATAGATGGACCTCTTGGCGCGGATGTAGATACCCTGGCTCCTCTTCCGCCCGCCTACCAGCTATTATGTTCCGTGCTATGTCAGAAATAAGAGAAATTTAATACCTCTCGCCTATTCCGGCCCTATTTATTTAGTTATAGCACAAGGCCTTGGAGAGGCGCAGGTGGTACGGGCCGAGTGGTGCTACATGTAGTTATTATCGACAAATGATATGTATAAGCGGCACCCGCTCCCTTTCTATGTTTAAATATAACTGGTGAAGGAACATTGTATTTCTATTGAAGCTTTGTGCTCAGTCTAAATTGAACGAGTGAACGAGTGTATTCCTAACTGCCCTAAATAGCTACTCCGCCTTGCGCGCCATTGCTGGATAATTGTTCGATTATAGACCATAGCGCCGCAGGGAAGGGCCAACCACCAACCAAATAAGCAAACACATCAAGCCCATCTAAGGGTAAACAAAGTAAGGACAAAACCGGCAACTCCCTTCTCAAATTAATTATCTAGTTAGCATTTTCGGCATCCTTGATAATATCGAACAAGGTCGGGCAAATCTGATTTGCTACCCAGGGATCAGTTTTGAATTCGAATCCATGTTCAACAATATCCATGATGCGGAACCGTGGGCTATATGGCGGCCAGATAGATTCTCCGTAGAGAAATTGGTGAAGATATATCTGGGTTTGTCGGACAACATCGGGACTCGCTACTGGCGTCGTCTCATTATTCACGAAGAAGAAGTCTGGTTGAGAGAAACGGTATTAGCCCAACGAGGTTTCAACAGCGGGGAGGGGTAGCCTACAGGATAAATCTAGGCCGTGGGTTCCAGGTGGAATACTCATCACAAACCGATATCCATTGTCTCCGTACGCTTTCGCAAGACTCGAGGCATGGCAAGCAAATACAACAGAGGTAATCCAGTCCCAAGCAAGGCGTTTTGGTTCGTCTGCTGGGAAAGGAAACAGCTTCTTAATGCGACGTATCGTCTCGTCACCTGCAGTGGGAAAGTAAAACCGAACTAGCTTGGGGAACGCCTCTGGCATGTCACTATCCATAGTCATACCCTTCCCTTCAAGAGGGGTATTACCCGTAATAACTCGCTGTACCTTTTTATTGAATTTCCCTTGCTCAAAGAGTATAATAGGTGCTTCCGGAATAATATCCCCATCCACAAAAGGTGCGAAGCCGATACCAGGGCCAAAACACATCTCTCCAGGTCCTATAGGTGTTTCAACTATCAAACGATGGTTTGCTATTTTAAGGACATCAGATGAAGCGGTCCTTAAACAGGCGAGATTGGCGCAGTTAGTAACCTTTAGAACTTCATTATAGACGTCCTCTCTTTGCAAAGCTACATCTCTTCGAGGCATTAGATCTGGAGATAGCACTATTGCCTGAATATAGTACTAATATTAGAACCTAGAATAAACATGTAGTTGATCTTAGGAATGGTGGACGATAGTTACCTGGGAGAACGGAAGCTCGCTAGCGCCGCCATAAGCAGTCAGCATCAAAGTGACTATACCTCCTCCAGCACTTTGTCCAGCAATAGTAATTCTTTCTGGGTCACCACCAAATCTAGATATATATTTCTTTGTCCAATTTAGCCCAGCAAAGGCATCATGTAGCCCGACATTTGCAGTCATGTCTTCCTTCGGGCTAGACATCCACCCGTAAAGGCCTAGTCTAGAGTGATAAGTTATAGCCAGTTAGTAGTCAGAAAAGACTGGTTACCGATAACCAAAGCTTCAGTAAGGTAGATCGTTGGAGCGAGTTACCGGTAGTTGCTGATAACAAAGATAAACTTCTCGTGACTTTGATGAAACATATCAAACAACCCTTCCGGATTGACTGTACCATCTCCCGCATCCTTGCTCCCAAAGGAATATGAGCCTCCGAAGACCCAGTGGATTACCGGCACATTGTCCCCCTCCTTGATGCCCTCTGGAACCTGTACATTCAGGAACAGACAGTCCTCCTGACCCCGAATATTATCAAGGTTGGAGACCGGGGGTGGATGGGTAAATGGTATAAACACACTCAGTAGAAGAATACTGGCTGCCATCCTGGACGCCGACTGCTCGTGGCGGGGGAGTCTTGGGCTTACGGAAACGAAGATTGCCTACTGGAAGATGGGCGAAACGAATATTGTTATACTTTGCAACCGCGACGCCCGAAGTAGTATAGTTGATTATATGTGGGCTTATGGATGGCATACCCCAAGTGCACGGATGGAAAGAGTTCAGGAAGCCCGGAGTTGCTCTCGCACAGCGTTGGATAGAGAGAAAATCCGGAAAGGCAAGCAAATCCACAAAGGCAAGCAAAGCTAGGATGCCGACAGTTAGTATAAACATGGTCACTGGTCGGTAGAAGGCAAGGAGGTAAACAAACGTACAAGAAACTGCGTTCGCGCTCCCAAGTCCCTTTTATAGGGAGCTTTTTTTTTTTTTTTTTTTTTTTTGGGGGGGGGGGGGGGGGGGCGACTGTCAGGAGAATAGTTGTAACTAGTTGATATGGTACTAATCGGGGTGGAAATACAACTCTTTAATTAGTTATCTAGTTAACTAGTTAGTCAACCTGTCAATAATGGAGGAGACAGGCGTTGGCCAAACCTCCACAATGCTAGTTATAATCGTAACTTCTCAAAAATTCGACCATGCAGGATGGAATGCGCAGGCAGAATGCTCCTACATTGGCAACATGGTTAACTAATGTCAAACGGCTGAGCCAAAAAGGCGAGCCTGCGCTGATTGGCGCAGGAGACGTGTTTTATAAATATTCAACAACTAGTTATTCACCACTAGCACGTAGTTAGTTACAACTTACCGGGCCCAACTTCTTCGTTTTACAGGCTAGTTATTCTTGTTCTAAAATACTCCTAAGTTCAGGAGTTCGATTCTAACACCTGATCTGTAGATGATCCAAAGATCCATCCGGTACTGTTCCCTGACGACCTTTTGTTTATCCAGGAAGATTGGTATATTAAGGTAGTTCCAACAACAGCGAAAGCTGGTTTCCTCTAACAACAGAAGTTCATCGACGATGGATTCCCAGGAATTCACTAGGTATGCATCCCTTTCGATTGAGGTCCAGGAGAAGGTGCAAGCTCAGAGACAGAAGTATTTTCCTGGAATCTCTTTCCGAACACCGCAAGATGGCTTGGCTGAGTTTGATCATGATGCGGGAAAGATTGTATAGTAGCCAGAGGGTGAGCACTGGCTGGTCTATGTCTAATGCTCCCTATGATAGTACTATACTGGTATCACTATCATATTCCAATGTTGTCTGTAACTATCCCTACGGGGGCTATGTCAAGATGAACGCTATCACGGTCAAGAGTACGGAGTATTCGAAAGGGTTTACCCACACCCATGGCGGGCCAATCTATGTAGGTCAAGTCACCTGTATCCTGCCAATCTATATATGTATAGAGGCATGGGTTCGATCTGATCCTTGCTCAAGTTTACCGCCTGGGGCGCGCGTGCCCACTAATAAAAAAAAAGAAAAAGAAAAAGAAAAACCTTTAAAAATATTGGAGATGCCGTCCCTAGCATGTACTCCGTATAAGACAGTTTGTATGATGCTTGCATAGTTAATGTAGCAGTGAAAGAGGACGCTCATTCTACCAGTCTAAGGATTTTGAAGCGGTAAACTCGGATGTCGACACACACTTGTTCTCACTTTGTCTATAAAATGGCCATATATCCTGGAGCATCCTATAATCAGACACTTTCATACTCTTCTCCAACGCTTCCTTCCTATGGCCCATGACCCCGTCGCTACAAACTCCTACACCACCGGCGATGACGCCCACGAATACCTCTCCAAGGCACACCTCGAGCGCCTCGGCCGCCAGCGCCCAGCCATCTTCTCCAGCTGGCTCACCGAGGCCTGCTTCGTCTTCACCGTCGTCATGTCCATGATGATGAGCGAGTACTATATCAGCGGCTTTAACATCATCCTGCCGCCCGTGTCCAAGTCGTTGCACTTGAATGACTCGGCCCAGACGTGGCCTGCTGCCGCAGCGAGTTTGACAATTGCTGCGCTTCTCGTGCCCTTTGCGCGACTGTGTGATATATACAGTAGCCGCATCATCTTCCTCGGGGGGCCATATCTGGCTACTTGTATGGTCTATTGCTTGTGGATTTAGCCAGAACTCCACCACATTGATTGTCTGTCGCGCACTACAAGGTGTTGGCTCTGCTGCCTTTCTGCCTGCTGGCCTCGCCCTCTTGGGCTGTACATATCGACCTGGTCCTCGCAAGAACTTGATATTCAGCATCTACGGTGCTTTTACTTGCATCGGCTTCTATTTTGGCATCTTCATGGGAGCCGTGACGGCGGAATTTCTCAACTGGCGCTGGTACTTTTGGCTTGGTGGCATCATTGTCGGCTTTGTCGCTTTGGGTGGCATCTTCGTCATCCCGCGCAACCTCAATGATACGGATCCAAAGGCTCGTATGGATTGGCTGGGCGCAGTCACCATTGTGTCCGGGTTGGTCCTGATCGTCTATGCATTCACAGATGGTGGCCATGCACCGAATGGTTGGGCGACACCTTATATCTATATCACTCTCATACTTGGTGTTGTTATTCTTCTGGGAGCCGTTTACGTCCAGGGATGGGTCTCGAGCCAGCCTCTTCTTCCCGCAGAACTCTTTCGTCCCAAGTATATGAAACGTCTGATAGGATCCCTCTTTTGTGCCTATGGCGTCTATGGTCTCTACCTTTTTTACGCCAGTTTCTAGTAAGTTTTTTCCTGCAAGTTTGTGCTTATACTAACTAAGGCTTTAGTATTGAAAACGTTCTGCACGCAAGTCCCATCCTGACGGCGGCGTGGTTTACGCCCCTTGCTATAGGCGGCGTGTGTCTTGCTATTGGTGGAGGCTTTATCCTTCACATCATCCCAAATCATATTCTTATGATCATTTCTGGCCTGGGGTTCATTCTTAGTGTTTTGCTCTTTGCCCTGATACCAGAGCAGTCGGTATCCAAGGACCCATCGACCAGCTTCCTCTACTGGGCTTACATCTTTCCAGCCATGCTTTGCGGGACCATTGGCGTGGATATTATTTTCAACGTAACCAATATCTATATTACCACAGCCATGCCGCGACGCCTCCAAGCCGCGGCTAGCGGACTTATCAATAGTCTATTATATCTCGGCATTGCCTTTTGGTTAGGTATTGGCGGACTAGCCATATCGACAACGGAAAACTTGCGGGAAGAGTCTTTGCCCAAGCACAAACAGTATCGGATTGGCTTCTGGACGGGATTGGGTGTTGCAGGACTCTCGTTAGCGTTAACACTCACAATTCGCATGGGCCAAGCCTCTTCTGGGATGACGGCGGACGAAAAGGCCGAAATAGAACACAGAGAAATGAGGCAGACTGGCGTAGTTGGTGCTAATAATGTAGGCGGTGCGGAAATACGAACGTCTCGCGATGGCGAGGTGGAGATGGCACCGCAGGAGACAAGCTCTGCCTGATTGTCATACTGGGGAAGAAGAGTGTTATGGGAGAACAGCGAACAAGGATGCATTTACATCAGGCGTTTAAGGGTGTGTAGAGCTCCCTGCTGCCGATTCTTGGACAATTTCGGTGTTAATGTGAAGTCCTCTATATTTACTTATTGTGCTAGCATAAAAGATCTAAGGTAAGGATGATTTGAAATCTGCTAATTTTAACGAAGCGCAGGCAGGGATGACAAAATAAAAACATTTCGGGTCCATATCTATCACAGTCATTACAATTCATCCTTGGAGCTGGTCTTTTCGCTCTTAGGAGTCTCCTTTATTTTCTGCGACGCCATGGTTCCAGTAGTCTTTGGTTTACCCTTGGGCTTTGGCGGCGGCTTGTGGCTCTTAGCCTTCTTTTTCCCATCTGCTTTAGGTTTGCCGGAGTTTGGACGTCTCTGTTTGGAGAGAATGGTAGTGAGTACCTTTTCGATCTCCTTGAGCTTACCATCAATATCAGCGATAGTAAGTGCCGGGTCTTCCGACTCGCTGAGCTTATTCTGCTCTTCGATCTTGGCGTCAAGCCATTTGGTTGTAGAATCTATGAGTTTTGAGGCGGTTGAGAGGTCCTCGGGCGAGTAAAGAGAGTAGGAAAGAGTGGGCTTGACGGGGGGTGCAGATTGGGTTGTGGATGATGATTCAGAGAAGGCATCTTGGTCAAGGTCGCTTGGGTCCTCGGGCGGGGAGGCAGTTGAGGCTGAAGTAGGTGAAGAGGATGCGTCTGCGTTCGACGAACCAGATGGTGTCTCAGTAGCAGCAGCTTCATAAGCCGATAGGGAAGAGGAGAAAAGTCCCTCTTCAGCTTTGATTTGACTCTCCATAATTTCTACCAGCATCTTTGCGCTGTCAAGACTACCTTTCAAGGCATCGATCTTTCTGGGGCGTGTAGAGCCTTCATTCCTTCTGTCGAGTACAGGGCGGACGAACTCCTTCAAATCACGCAACTTATCCTTGAGCTCTTCGATTCCTGCGTTGGTACCGTCTTCATGAAGCCAGTCTCCTGAAACAGCGAGCTTTTCTTCCCACTGCTTTAGGAAATCGTTTCTGGTAGCCTTGGTGAATGTCTCCTCGTCAAGCCAATGCTGACCTTGGTATATGTAAGCTTCTAGCTCATTAAATGCTTCTTCGCGATGGACACGAGCGAGGTCAGATGCATCAAACGCAGAAAGTCGATCTCGAATACGTCTCATTTCCTCAGAAGTCACTGGCGGTGTTCCCAACACAGTCGATGTAAAGGCAACGTGGATTGATTCGATTCGGGTTTTTGATTCCTTGCCAGCCTTGCCGTTTTCCTTGGAAGAGCTAGCCGAAGCCGTGGCACTTGAAGATGAACTGCCCCCAGTCGAAGTGGTAGATTTTGAAGAAGTGGCATCCAGGTCGATGGCTTCATCGCCCTCCATTAGAGGCTCTTGTTCAGATTTCTTCGACCCAAGCCCAAAGAATTCTTTCACATCCTCCACGACTCCCTTCTTCTCATTTTGGATCTCGCAACTAACACTACCACCCACAACTTCAGGGAGACCATTTACAGGGTTCAATCTGACCGAAACCATGGTGGTAATGTTAACAGGAGCACATCCAAACTCGTCCTTGAGCTTGGTGGAGGAAGCAGTCAAATTTGCCGTTTGTGCCTCGAGGATCGGGGCTTCAACTGATTTGCCATTTCGGATGTAGACTTGGGAGAATTGCAAGGTAAAATCCTCCAAATTCTTCACTGTCAAATGCTTCACACCACCGCTCTCTGAATAAGGAGTGAAAAGGTTCTGCTGTCTGTCTTTGTCTCCGGACTTCCATCTCATATTGATAGAGTAGCCGGAGGTGTCATGAGTTCGGATCTCCTTGACGCGGAACGATGGGCTGAGGGAGGCTGCCTTAAAAGCAGCACCAAATACAGCAGCCTCATCGGCATTGACATTCGTTCTGATTTTTCCATCAGCAGCTGTCTCAAGTGCTTTCTGGACAAAAGGCGTTCGGGTGGCACCACCGTGAAGAATTACGGATTCAATATCACTGATCTTCAAACCTGCAGCAGAAATGGCCTCTGTCAGTGGAATAGTGACCTGGCGGGCGTATTTCTCGGTGAGTCTTTCAAATTCAGCCCGGGTGAGTGTGTATTTGAAGTTGATATCCTCCTGGTAGAGATTCTCAAAGGACACAGTGGTTTCAGTATTTGCACTCAAAACCTGACGAACGCGCTCGGAGTCCTTCCACAGTTTCGCCATCGTCTTTCCGTGTGCCTTGACTTGTGAAACAGTCGCATCTCCAAGTTTTTTCGTACCGACAAATTTTTCCACCATGTCATCCACAATTAGCTGATTAAAAACATCACCACCCATGGTCTTGTCCCAGGCGGTTCCAAGGACATGAATTTCCTGAACAGTTTTGTTAAATTTCCCTACATCTTTGACGGTCCGACCCTGGAATCGGAGAACATTTGCGCTGGTAGATCCGGCACCCATGTCAAAAATAACATGGTACTCTGGCTTCTTTCCGTCGGAGACATTGGGGAATGTACGAGACGTAGCATAGTTGATACCAACTGCTAAACCATCACTAACCATGGAGACAATGTCGAGATCAGCTAACCCGGCAGCCAACTCCACACTACGTTTTTCCTCGGCAGTATAGTATGGTGGAATTGTAATGGCGGCCTTTCTAATGCTTGTCCCCTTGCCGCCCAATGCCTCTGCATTTGCCTTGACTTGCTTTAGCTGCATGGACAACAATTCTTCAACAAGGAAGGGTTCCTTTGCATCCTTTGCTCCAACTTTCTCGCTCCTGAATCCAACAGTTCCTCGATCGCCGGATGCAGCTTCAATTTTCAGGGCTGGGTAGCGACGTCTGTACATCTCGACCAAATTTTCATTGTCGGATCCAGAACCTTGGACGCCCGTATTCATGGGAATACCAAGCAAAGTCTTCAAGTTGGCGTAGACATCATCTGGGAACCTGGCAGCAAGTGAACTTGCGTCACCGCCATAAAACCGTTCGGGGAATGTAGGGCTAGATTCACGGCCTGGCTTAAACGCTACAACTGCTGCTTCCTTTCTCTTTGAGTCCTTCGTCAAGACAATCTCGAGTGGTATCCCTGGTTTGACAAGAACAGCCTTTATGTATTCTGTCCCAAGGTCGATGCCAATAACGCCAGAACCGGCGGGGGCCGCCGCGGCTGCGGGGATAGTGGCAGAGAGGAAAAATAGTAGAACTGCCGTAGCGATGAGAGAGAAGAGAGAAAGCCTCCTCCGTCCAAGGGGCGCCATTGTGAAGATGGATGTTGCAGGAGGGGTGGGTTTGAAGGTTAAAGATTTAGATCTAGAAGAGAATTGAGTGTTACTACAATGCGCCTCATATAGATGCAGTGCCACGGAGGCCTGGTTAAATGGGACCATACCTTTGAGGAGAGGAATGAAAGTGACATATATACAGTAAGTCAGGGCTCTGCTGACAGTGACAGGTTTGCTATCTGCTTCATGAAGGGAAGGGAAGAGAGCGTGGAAGTGGCTGGCAGATAACAGTGATGGGGCAAACTGGATGTTGCGGTCAAATTAAAACATAAACCAGCGCTGCTGGGGCGAATATAATAAGCAGAAGAGGACACGTCTATGCTATTAGCTTGAGCCCAGAATTGAATATATAACGGTAAGAAAAACAGCTGCCTTGGCCGTAAATGACAGTGAAGAAGCTGAAGAAAGCCGCGATGAGGACACTTTGGCATCAGTTTGAAAGCCGCTTTTGGGGAGTCCGCGAGCTTGGTAGGTGCAAAACAGACAAACATGCTTGATACGGCATGTTTGTACTGGTGGCTTGGCAAAAATGAGTCACGTGAATCTCTTCACGGAATATGGTTTATCCATGATGTTTGTCAAACAGAACAAACAGCACCCGCAATTCGCAACTCCCACTTCACTTCGTCGAACGTGATGATATGATATCCATGTCGATAGGGGAGAAGACACAGCGTGGCCTGACATCCATGTAATCTGCTTAGACTAAGTACTCCTGTGGTAACTGGCGGACTAACCAGTTAATAGAGAGCCAGCAGGCTCCGGATATCTGACCAGTCCCTTGGCGTGCCAGGGTTTTTCATTTAGCTAACTGGGCCGCCCGATCAACTAACTAACCTCTTGTCAGACAAGGGCGAATTGAATACTGGTGTGGAGAGCTGTCGGGCGAAACTGCTGGTGCTCGCCGAAGGCTACATCCTTGTACTGCCTGAATCTGCCTGAATGATGGCAGCCTTGCAGTCCTTGGTACCGGAAATGCCTTGTTTGCAATACGGCTGCTTAAGCATACTCCGTTCAATCCGGCAGTAGTTTGGAAGACGGTTTCAACGGAGGGGCAGCCCCGTTGCATATAGTAACGTAGCATACTACCACGTATTGTACTGTGCTTGGATGGTATCTGTGCAGCTAATGCAAGTGATGCGAGTTTGTCTAGGTCACAGGGCATTCTTCATTATAGGATGGACTGGGCGCAACCGGTGTTCCCGTACTTCACTGGCAATGCTGTGCCGGGTAATGCGGTAGTATCACTACATAGGAAGGGGTTTGGGTCACATTACACGTTGTTTTTGAAACTGGTAGTTACTTTGATAGCCTCACACCATAGGCCGGGTTTGGTTGCACGATATATCAAGCACTTACATCAACCGGCTCAGTAATGAGACTATCCCACATCTGTACGCCAGGTCTCCAACATTGGAGTTGCAATGAACACTGTGTAAAAGCATATATTCATTATTTGGAATGTAGCTACCTTGGCTTTGAAAAATATGGTGCGTTCTCTCTAGAATGCCGTTCCATCGATGTAGAAACGGAATAATGAGACTAGTAACAAGGATACTCTCTGTCTCTGCAGCTTTTACAAACTTGACCTTCGCACAGCTCTAAACCGCATTAAAGGAAAGGGATTGAGGGTATGCGAAATTTTATTATTCCAATTGTTTTTCATTCTGCCATGTTCACCTCCAATTACAGCTGTCAAATTATGAAATTAAAAAATATAATACCAAGTGGGCGGTATGTATGGTTGAAGGAAAAAGAGCGTCTGATCAATTAGAATGAAAAAAAAATATTGCTCATGTAGAATTTAAGGGAACATGGCTCATGCCAGAATCATAGCAGCAGCACCAATAGCCATCAGGAAAGAAACTCCAGTGCCCTTAGTACGGGTGGCCATACCAGTGTATACTGGCGGCAAAACTGGGGTAGGGCTGGTTGGGCTGGGCTGCTCGGTAGGGGGCGCAGAAGGAGCCTCAGTCTCAGTTGGCGAGGGTGGCGGAGATGAGTACGTTGGTGGCTGGGTCTCAGATGGCTGGGGAACAGTACCAGTGGGCTGTGATGGAACTGGAGTCTCAGAGGGCACAGGAGTCTCTGTTGGAACTGGGGTCTCCGTAGGAACTGGAGTTTCTGTTGGCACTGGAGTCTCCGTTGGAGCTGGAGTCTCTGTGGGAGCTGGAGTCTCTGTTGGAACTGGAGTTTCAGTTGGAGCTGGAGTCTCTGTGGGAGCTGGAGTCTCTGTTGGAACTGGAGTCTCCGTTGGAGCTGGGGTCTCCGTAGGAGCTGGAGTCTCTGTGGGAGCTGGAGTCTCTGTGGGAGCTGGAGTCTCTGTGGGAGCTGGAGTCTCTGTTGGAACTGGAGTCTCCGTTGGAGCTGGGGTCTCCGTAGGAGCTGGAGTCTCTGTTGGAACTGGAGTCTCCGTTGGAGCTGGGGTCTCCGTAGGAGCTGGAGTCTCTGTGGGAGCTGGAGTCTCCGTTGGAACTACTATATGTCAGTGCGTCCGCTATTTGCTTGACAGAATGTTTTTCATAGGAATTTCAACTTACCTGGGCAGTTGGTGTTGGTGATAGTCTCTGTTGTCGTAATGGTAATAGTTGATCCTGGTACGGTGGGACAAGTTGGAGTCTCGGTTTCGGTAGGCGTTGGCTGAGTAGGAACGGGAGTCTCGGTGCCAGTTGGGACAGGAGTCTCTGTCTCGGTAGGTGTTGGCTGCGTTGGAACAGGAGTCTCGGTTCCAGTTGGGATGGGAGTCTCGGTTTCGGTGGGTGTTGGCTGAGTAGGAACAGGAGTCTCAGTGCCAGTTGGGATGGGAGTCTCTGTCTCGGTAGGCGTTGGCTGCGTGGGAACAGGAGTCTCGGTTCCAGTTGGGATGGGGGTCTCCGAGGTCTCTGAAGTTTCGGTAGGGTTCACTGTTCCAGTACTTTCCGATGGAGTTGGCTGAGTAGGTACGGGAGTCTCAGTTCCAGTTGGGACAGGAGTCTCTGTCTCGGTAGGTGTTGGCTGAGTAGGAACAGGAGTCTCGGTTCCAGTAGGATACGTTGGGACTGGAGTCTCAGTCTCGGTAGGCGTTGGCTGTGTAGGGACGGGAGTCTCGGTTCCAGTTGGGACAGGAGTCTCTGTCTCGGTAGGTGTTGGCTGCGTGGGAACAGGAGTCTCGGTTCCAGTAGGGTAAGTTGGGACTGGAGTTTCCGTAGTCTCTGAAGTCTCAGTAGGGGTTAACAGTTCCAGTGCTTTCCGATGGAGTTGGCTGAGTAGGGACTGGAGTCTCGGTTCCAGTAGGGTATGTTGGGACAGGAGTCTCAGTCTCGGTAGGTGTTGGGTACGTTGGAATAGGAGTCTCAGTCTCAGTAGGCGTTGGCTGCGTGGGAACAGGAGTTTCGGTTCCAGTAGGGTAAGTTGGCTGTGTTGGGACTGGAGTCTCCGTAGTCTCTGAAGTCTCAGTAGGGTATGTTGGAACGGGAGTCTCAGTTTCGGTAGGCGTTGGCTGAGTTGGTACCGGGGTTTCGGTTCCTGTAGGATAGGTTGGCTGTGTTGGGACCGGAGTCTCCGTTTCAGTAGGATACGTCGGGACAGGAGTCTCAGTCTCGGTAGGCGTTGGGTACGTTGGAATAGGAGTCTCAGTCTCGGTAGGTGTTGGCTGCGTTGGGACAGGAGTCTCCGAGGTCTCAGTAGGATTTACAGTACCAGTGGTGGGAATCGAAGTATAAGTTGGAATTGGAGTATAGGTGGGAATTGGAGTCTCTGTTTCAGTAGGGTACGTCGGCTGCGTCGGTACAGGAGTCTCAGTCGTCTCTGTGGTTTCCGGGGGTTGAGAATATGTTGGCAAAGGAGGGTAGGTTTGTGAGAGCGTGGCAGATGGTTCTGAAGGGCCATTTGGCCAGTCAGGCCAATGAGGCTCTTCGGGCTCCTCAGGCTCCTCAGGCTCTTCAGGCTCGTTTGGCTCTTGAGGCCAGCTGGGGAAGCCGCCTGGGAAACCCGGATGGCCACCGTGATAGCCACCGTGATGACCGGCCTCATAGCCGCCAGAATAGCCGCTTCTGTAACCGTCTCCATAGTCAGGGCGCTTGATGGCAGCGCCAAGGGCAACGCTTGCCAATGGCAGCCAGACGAGTGCTGACTTCATCTTGAATCAAGACAATGAAGGGCAGCAGCTCTAGTGCGTGGATAAACAAAAATAAATAAATGAACTGAACGAAAGGAGTAAATTAGAGGAACCGTAGCGAAGGAGTTCCTCAATTTTATCAACTACGTCTTCCACGACACCTGGGTATAAAAAAGAGCGAGATAGGAAGACTGCAGGGAACCCATGGGACTTATATGCATTCCGGCGGGCGCCTTCCTATCGTGAGGTATGATGAGTATATTCGGGCCTAGATAAAACGCATCATGGATAACTTGATAAATCAAGGTTTGCAGAACCATGTCGAAGCCCGGCGTCGATTTGGCCTGGCAAGGAAAAGAAAACATCCTGTACCGAGATATCGTGTGTAACCCAAGGAGCTGCAGGGGAGTCCTGACAATATGTATGGCTGTACCATGTACATCAATCCACGAAAGGTATCCGATGCAAAAGAAATTGCAAGGATCAGGAGTTCTCGTGCATCCTCGTCCTCAAGGCTTAACTTTCCCACCTCCCATTTACCTGTGTTGTACCTTAATTAGCTGAAGTCTAACAGGCATTGGCTTTGGTCCGGTGTTTATATACCAGCAAGTACCCCCACAAGCACGCTCTTCGCCAAAGCTGAATTTATCAATAATAAGTTAACCTTCTCATAATTAGTATTCCCAGAGGTGAAGCAAAAAGTCAGTTATGTAGCCATCAGGAATCCTACAATAATATATTGATTGACTCATTTGCTGCGTATTATCCAGCAGACAACCCAATCGAAACACCATTTCTGGTCAAAGGCGACTGTGTCCCATGGAGTTGTGGAGTACTTCCACGCTGATGAAGAGGCGAATGTTCTTCCAGCCCTCTGAACGCGCGGTTGGCAAGTAACTGGACCAAGAACATGTAGTGCGGATGCACATAAGTCGTAGAACATCGATGCATATATTCACATTTCTTTGCGGGAAAGTCTCTCAGCCAGCGCTTCCTCCGGTCCAGCCCCGTGGCAGGATATGCTCGGGCAAGTCCAAATATCGATAAGTGGATTTACTTTCTTCAATCAATTTCATGATTGTTGTTCTGATTGCCATAGCAGCAGGCACAAAAGCTACCAATCATGGCCCATTTCTATTAGTTGGATGGGGGTGCGTGAAAAACGACTGTTGACGGCTCGAGCTCAGAATGGACAGACGATGGCTCCCATGCCAATGGTGATGATAATCCAATATATCGTCCGTGAGTATTGGAAGATGGGGTTTGTTAGATGATGTTTCAATAGTTAGTTAGCGAGCGTGGGAGCAAATTCAGATAACTAACTGTGGGCAATTCACCATGATTCAGGAACCCCAGTTCTATCTAAGGCCCGCAAGAGCAGATCTCATCCGCTCCTACATGAAGATCTGTGGCTGAAGATGTCATTGCGGTGCCTGGAGCGACATCCCATCATCTCGAATTCCATGTTGAACTGGGTGGAGAAGTCTCCGTAACTGGGCCCAGAGGGGCCCGGACTAATCTGTGAACATTGTTGGAGGCTAGGTTACCTTAGACTTGCAATGGTGCTCTCCCATCAACACCATCGTGAGCCTTCCGTAGCTGAATGTCCGCGTTGTATCGTTATTGTGCATAGTCGAACATGCTAGGGCACGTATGATCTAGGGAGTACTATGCACTCCAATAATAGACATGACAAGAACCCGTCTGGTGTGCAGTGTGTAGAGGCACCACCGCTATCTGTACAACACCTGCCGGAAGCTGGTTTCAGTGACTATTCCACACCGCAGCATGGCTAGATCGTTTACCCATGCCTGAAGCAACGATGGAGGACTACCTTAACCGGGCTGATATTGGGATGTACGCTCGTATTCCTGGATATGTATATGTTATTCGATGTCCGAAAAGAGCATTCCAAGGTTTCCCTCCCATGACCAGCTCGGCGAAGCGAGCGGGACTATCCCGATCCGGGCCCGAGCATTGAGACTTCCCAGAGACAGGAACAATTGTCTCTACTACCCTCGGATGCTACTCGATTCAAGCGGTACAATAGCGCAAAAATCACCTTGGAGATCATGCTCTGTGCCCACAGCGAATCTAAAGCCTAAGTCGTCAGATCGCCGGATCGGTGCTATGGTGTATACCGTGCACAGAACACGGCGGCCAAGGTTGGATGATGTACAGAGTACCAACTCTACGCGTCATACACCTGCAAAGGTTGCCGGAAAGATCCAGTCGGAAAATGCATATATAACTTCGTACCAGTGTCGATGCAAGATGTCAACTTGAGCATCGCGCGATTGTCCTTGCAGCAGACAACTGTCACTTCTCCCAGGCAGTATCAGAATTCGCAATGCTCGGGACAGGTAGACGTCAACAATGGCAGCGTTCCCAGGGTTCGCTGCAAGTGGCAAAGCCTGATTTCAATCTAATAGGTGAGGCAAACCTGTTCTCAATTGCTTTTTTATGTAGCCACAAGAAAGGTCGTGTTTGAAATCATGAGGGAAAATGGCATCGGTCGAGGGATTGGAGACCCCGATGCTATCGAGAATTGACCGAGCATTCACACTTTGTGCAGCAACACACCTGCAGGACCATACAACATCTGCACTAGTTATCACCATTGGTGTTGCCAGTCTGTACACTGGCGAGCCAACAACAACTTTTCCTTGGCTAGCACTTTGCTTTTTTTTTCTGGCCTCAATATGTATCTATTTTATTGTTGACTCCCATTTTGTCCAACATCGGACTCATCACGGAACACCCGGATTGGGTGTTGGGTTGCGGAACCAGCTAGCTAACCGACGCAAGCACAGCGTAAGACTAGTTTCTGAGTAGAATAACTACTTAGGCTGCGAATACAGCATCTCGTCGTAATATCCCAAGCTACTTGGCCGTACGGAGTACTCTTCAAAGCATTGCTGTATATTCTGTCGGCATGCCGTTTCTGTGATTCAGAGTAGTAGTATGGAGTTTTTGTTATCGTGGCTAGACCCGGGGTATAACTAGTTAGTTAGCGCAGGGTGGAGATTGGTGGAGGAGAAGATGCAAATAAACAGAAAATATTTTAGAATAATGATTCGCAATTAGGGCGACATGGGTCGGCTATCTGGAGCCTCTGATAGGCCAGTACCTTTTCTTATGGGGTTGAAAAAATGAGCTGTTGAAAAATATGTCACAGTCCCTTGAAAAAAGGGCGACCTTGTATGGAAAACAGAAGTGTGAAGAAAAGTCTTGAGAAACATGGACATTTTCTTCTGTTTCTCCTCCGTAAATGATATCAACTGTCGGTCTTGGTCACGCACGAGGGTAGTTTAGTTCTGGAATAATCCGCGAGAAGATACAGAGTCAGGTTTAGTCACCGAGCGTCAAGCGGTGCGCGGCGGTACATATCGTTTTCCAGGACTCATCTGTTTTTAAGGCTTCATCGAATCTTATCGCAGGCCAGGGGACGTGGGGGAAGAAGGTGTTCGGCGATTGTTGATCTCGTGATAAATTAATAATTAATAATTAATATCAGACGGATGCTGTCTCAATCATCCCCAGAATCGGTATCGCTCTCCCACCCATCAATATAAGCCTCTGATAGCGTAGTGAGGCAATTCGATAATTCTTCGCGCTGGTCGAAGGGAACGTAGATCCCCACCGACTGCTGTAATTCTTTAAGGTACCCTCTTACTTTTGAAGATACAGATAGCGCCGCATGAACCTTGAGTGTTGTCCCTGGTAGCCCTTGGTCCGTGATTAGGTCGCGGGGGAAGGAGTCTAATGCTGGATATTCCAGTTGAGAGTCGAAACTAGCAACTATTTTAGTACCGTTTCGAAAATGTCCGGCCTCCCTGTCTATCTCCCCGCAACCTGGGGGAAGGCAAGGTAGAAATTGAGGGGATGGTTTTGAAAAACTTACCTCTGGGTGGTCGTATTCACAGACTGCACTGGATAATTTGAGGAACCAGACGGCTCGGCCGTTGAGTCTCGTCGAACTGAAATTTGATGGAATATCCTGCAGTCATGGGTTGACGCAAGGCCGCGAGGGGAAAGTTGAACATCAAACTGTTTCAGATTTTCTTGGAGTCTGTTCTCGGCGGTATCATCATCGTCGGCATGGCTGGCTTCAGGTTCATCCTTTTTATCAGTAGGTAACTCCTTTGTGCTGATGGTGGATTCAAGAGTATATATGTTCCGCGAATCTCTCGAAGCCGTTTCCCAAAGATCGAGCCTTTCATGTCCCCGCAGTCGAGTAGGAAGGCTGACACTCTCAAGTACCAACGATGCCAGGGCCGATGAGTACCATGCATGGCGAAGGTCTGGCTTCACATAAGATGGCAGTCTGCTTGGCAAGTCGGCCATGGGGATGAAAGCCGTGACTTGACTGCCCATCTCACTCAGTGATCTTGCCACGTTCGCTGAGGCAAGCTTACGCTTTTCCTGACCCTCGTAAATCAAAACATGATCCGAAGCCGGGATGGGATAAAAAAAAGAGGATGAAACAAAGATAAGAAGCAAACGAACTTACTCGTTGTGTGTTAGCTGATCCATGAAGAGCCCAGGTCCAGATACTCTTGCTTCCGTACTCGTCCTTCAGGCGGTCGACATAGCTCGCCGCGAAACCACCCCATGCATCGTCGACCCCGGAAAAAATCTGGATCCCCTTCAACTGGTCACATTCTTCCGCAAAGGGCCGGAAATCACGGTCCAAGAGGTCATGTTCTCTGTCCAAATCGGAAAAGAGAGTCTGCCCGGTGGACCAGGTCTCAAACGGCATCAGTTGAGAGCCAAGGTCGTACTCGTTGATTTGCTGTATGGAGCGTGGGCTGTAAAATACACGGTTAAAATCGGACCAGTACCTGACTGTTTCTGCTGCCAGCTGGGGAACCGGTAAGCCCATGTCAAGGCATCTCTGATATTCACTCTGTGGTATCTTAGGTTGCTGCTGCAGAACGCCGTTCGTGTCCCTATGTCGTCATGTCAGTAAGTTAGGATATCAAAAGCCGCAGATATAGGGAAGGCTATAAAACCATTCCATATCTTGAAAATCAGGTCAAAAAAGAGGGTATAGTTCTCACCAGAGTCCGCTGTCCAGGCCAGGCTCATCCTGCTCAAGCTGATATAGAGCATTGTACTTGCGCAGTGTGCCAAACCCACCCTTTAGGTCGTAGATAAGGGTACGCGGGGTGAAGGTCTCTGTACCGTCTGCCCCTATTCCTCCACGGAAATGGATATCATGATTTACAGGAGACTGTTCACTCTCCGAGTACGTGAAGTAGGATTCCTAATATACATCAATCAGCTTTGCTACTCAACCAGCCGCGGGGTCAATATCAGATATCAGACACTCGTACCTGGGCATTCCAGAAGTGAGTAGCCACGTAGTTACTGCGCTGGCCTAGCTGGAGGGTGATTATCTCGTGCATTTTATCTTTCTTATTTACTCCCTTTCTCAGCTAGAGCCACCTTGTATAGGGAGATGACAAAAAAGGGCTGAGCTGAAGTTGTGGTCTTCAACTATGTGGGGATGTAGTTATGTAGGTTGTAAAATATCCTTGCCTTACACGAGGCTATGAGCACTTCTCAGGCCCGTCACTAGTTGTCAACCAACGTCAGAGGTAAAAGCAGTCATTCTTCACTTCTGCATCTCCTCGACTCGCTTCTTGCTCTTCTTGTTCTCGTTGCTTCGTCGTCCTCGTCGTCGAAAACAAGGCTTTGATGTTGATAGAAGAACGAGATAAAAAGGCGAGATAAAAGGTGGGCAGCCAGAGCATGACTAATCCAGCTATCCTTCACTCCTGATAGTTACTTGGATACGATAATCTGGATACTTGGATACCTGGACCAACATAGTATACAGAGTGCTCTATAGTATAAAGACTGAGGATGTGCAACTGTCGTGGAAAGATGTCATCCTTTGACTCAGATACCAAGGAACACATCGTCAGGAATTATTGACCCTGAAGCCCTTGCGGTTTACAAACATATGTTTGGATCATTTCCCATTCTGTAGTACAGTGAGCTAACTACAGCAGTACCCATTGCATCCATATAACTATCCCACCGGAAGAATTGCTGGATTCTATACACCAATTCTAGGATCGAAGGAGGGAGATTTCAGCCAACGGCGGGCGTGGATGGTGGAGCAAAGATATAACTATGAGAAATCCATATATGATCGCCGTCTGCACTGTGTATATACGGGATGACAAGAAATCTGATATTCAATCTAAAGTACGTGATGTTCGTTCAACGCGTAAAATGGTATTCATTATAACTAGTCCTATGCAGTCAGTGACTACGAGTAACTATAGGTACTAAATCTCTATCTCTCTGCTAAATACATGTATGTGTCCTCCTTGATAGAGGGCCTCTAACAGTAGTTTCTTTGACTTCTAGTATAGCTACACTCAAGCACTGTTAAGCCCCGTATATTATTTGTTTATATTAAAAAAGGCTTGTATCTCCTCCCTGTACCCTCGCTGCCAAATGTGGTGGCGCGGTACATCTTCGCATCGGTGTGACTTGGGCCTAACCGCCTAAACTAGCGCAGCCAACCTGGTGAGCTCATAGCAAACGCGAACAACAACAACAGCATCCTCAGTCTCTGTTTACATTCGGGCATTTCTTCTTCTTTTTCTTCGTCTTCTCCTGCACCCGGCGGTTTGCTGTCTCTAGCTAACGATATAGTCGCCCTCTTGCTCGTTATCAAACCCTCGATCGACCATACCAAGGGATGTGCAGCCCGTTTGTCCGCGATATCAGCAGCGGTAAGTGTGTAAATAAACAAGAGAACAACACGCCCGCCACCCGCACACACATTCAACCACCCACTGCTGATCTCCCTCTCCTTTCTCTCTCTCAAAGGCAATCGCAACGATACTTTCAACGTCGGGCCTAGCTAACCTGCTGCTGGACAGATAAATGCCCACCCCTCGAACCCCCCGTCGAACCCCCAACCGTGGGAGCGCGAAACAGACCCAGTTCAAGGAGATCAAGCCCCTCGATCTCGGTGAGGCCCTGGGGCCTCATGATTCAGCTAATGTGCGAGAAAAGGTCCGCAAGTGGCAGCAGCTCGGCGGAGGAGTCGTGATAGCGCCGGATGTCGGGGCCAGCAGTGACGAGGGTGAGAAGAGCCCGGCAGGGGCAGCAGCAACAGCAGCAGTAGGGGGAGGAGGAGGCACGAAGCTGAAGGAGACAAAGCAGGGCCCAAATAAGAGCCCGGCAGCAAGCAAACGGCCTACGACGCCCAAGGGCAAGGCTACTCCGGAGCCAGACCGGAAGACGAAGAGCCCTACAAAGACAAAGATCACGCCGCGGACAACACCCCGGTCTACCCCTAGAACGACTCCCAAGAAGCGGGTTGTCAGCGATGCCCACTGGCGGAGGAACAGGTCTCCTCCTCCTCCCAGCTCCAGTGCCCCATCGTCCGCGCATGCTACCCCGACCAGACGTAAAGATGTGCTGCAGCGGTACGAGGAGGCCAGGGAGAAGGCAGCCAGGTCGTCTGGTGTCAAGGACGGTGACGGAATAGCGGTCTACCCGGGGCCATTACGGGTGCCCGAGCCTCTAAAGACTGCCTCGTCTGCATGGAGCTCTGATGTAGGCTCTTCCGCTGGCGAAACGGCGCCAGAATATAGTGGCCGTGAGAGGGCTTCTTCCTCGCCCCAAAAGCGTACGCCAAAGAGGACCCTGAGACCGAATTACTGCGTCAACGATGATAAGCCTCGTCTGGGTTCTCCCAGGGGGAAGATCCAGTCCCCAGACATCCCTCGAGCAAGCAGCCCGCGCAAGAAACCGCCTTCACCAAAGCAGGCCGAGTCTCCTCGAGCAAGCAGCCCACGCAAGAAACCGCCTTCGCCGAAGCAGCCCGAGTCTCCTCCAGAACCAGCTCCCGCAAAGCCTGAACGAGCTGAACCGGTTCGAAGAAGTGAAATCAGGCCGCATAATCTGCTTTCGGGAAACATCATCTCGCAGGTCATAGATGAATCCAAAAAGATGTTTGCCAGCATGAAACCACCAGAGCCAACACCGCCGCCCCAGCAACATCACCCGCCATCGGGACCCTCAATGCCCCATGGGTCCAAGGTCGAGGCCTGGCTGTCCTCTACGGCTAATGCGGACCCCTTTGTTGATGATAATGGTTCAACCATCAGCGCACCAGCGCCCCTGAGATCTACGACTACCAGGTCTTCTCCTCCACGCAGGGACCATTCTGATAGTGACTCTGAGCAGGAGATCACGAAGAAACGTCCATCTCCTTCGGCATCAGACAGCAAAAGACAACAAAAACAACAGCAACCACAACAACAGCCACCTAGCAAACATGTCAAAGGAAAATACGACTATTCTGATGGAAGTGACAGTGACGAAACACATAGGGCCAAGTCACCCCCACACAGGAGAGAATCCAAGTCAGACATATCGGTAGACAGTGTCACTGATTCCCAGCCTTCTACTCTCAAGAGAGGGAAATCTTCGAGATCACGACGGCAGTTGAGCGCCTCCACAGAGGCAGAGAGGATGTCCAAGCTGAGAGAATCAGTAGAAGAAGCCCTGCAAGGCTCCAACCTGGACAGGCCAATTTCTTCAGACGGGTCTGAGGTCTCAGCAGTAGATCGCCCGCCGCCCTTGATGCTGAAGAGGCCCTTCCCCGGCACGGGAGGCCATAGGCTGTCTACCATTGCATCCGTAGATACTCTAACATCAAGCACCAATACCAGCACCACTGCTAGGGATACCACAAACCCCCTCACCCAGTCTGAACTGACCTCCCAGCTTGGCGATGAGGATGATGCTGTCTCTGACTCTGAGAAGAGGGATAAGTTTGATCCCAGCTCCCTACCAGGCCCAAATCAGCCATTGAAGCGCCGCCTCACCAAGCATTCGGATCTCATGTCTGTCCTATCCATCCCCGGAGGCAGAAGCCGTAGCATACGGTCGGCAAGGAGCATACGCACAAACAGGAGTCGTCTTGCCAATGCAACTGTGAGCGATATCATGCGGGAGCTTGCATCAGACGAAGTGAAGTATATGCGTGAACTGAGAACCCTGGTCGGCGGCGTCATCCCTGTATTGTTGACTTCGATCCTCTCCCGGGCAGACTCAGCAATTGCCGCTGGCCTCTTTCGACGTTCGGCCGACCCGGCCGACCAGGAAAACTTCACTCGGCCCATTATAAACATGGGAGTTTCCCTTGAAAAGCTCAAGGCTCTTCACAAACGACTACCACTTAACAATGCTGACGCACTCCTATTGTGGGCCGCCAATGCCCAAAAGGTGTATGCAGACTATTTGAGTGCATGGAGGCTCGGGTTTCAGGACGTTATCGTCAATCTTGCACCGCCAGACCCTGATGACGCACTCAACGCAGAAACCCAGAGCTTGTGCGCTGGTATGGCACAAGATGAAAACGGCGATGTGATCGACGGGGATGGGGAGAGAGTAGACGTTGCATTCCTGCTAAAAAGACCGCTCGTCAGGTTGAAATACCTATCGAAGACGTTTAAGGGACTTAACTATGTCCAACCATCCCCCAAGGCAGAAGAAGTTGCAGAGGCTTACCAGACGCTCGTCACAGACGCTCGACGCAGAGCAAATGAGGAACGGTCCAGACTTGAAGATGATGCCGCAGCGAGCATAGACGCAACCAGAGCCCGTGATATACACACTCTAGCCATCCTCAAGGAAGTAGCAGTCAATCAGACCAGGAGAGTCCGTGCCCGCGATTTCTTTGACCTTTCCTTGCTACATTCTACAGGCCAGCAAATCGACTGCCGCGCTGAGTTACTACTGCGAGATAATCCGCCTGGTGAGGCTCCTGGTGGTGATCTCTTTATCTGCGAGGTTGACGAGACGGACCGCTGGCTTCTGTTCCCGCCAATTGATTGTACCTGCATTTCAGCCAGAAATGGGGATGAGCAGGGAGAGATTGTACTCATGGTTCGCGCATCTGCGGGGAATTCGACAGAGTGGTTTGAACTGTTGTCGTTCATAACGGATGATGAGCAGATCGGTTTCGAATGGGTGCAGATGCTTGGTCTTAATCCGGTTCCACCTAAGATCAATAGGTCTCTCAGCTTTGTTAACCGTGCGAAGGAGAGAAAGGAGAAACTCGCACTGGCACGTCAGGCTAGTAACAGCAGTGCCATTCCCATCCGTGACTATGACCCTTCTGAAGTTGATGTACCAATTGGAGAGCAGGCCACTGTGGTTGGTGAGGATATCGGACATAGTAGGGAGTCTACCAGTCATAAATACAAAACGGCCTCACCATTAACGCCCTCTCGCGGCTCAGGAGAATCTGCGGATTTGGCAAGCAGTGCCTCACAGTCGACACTGAAGAGATCCAAGGCAAATCGTCGATCGAAGTACGATTTCACTTCTCCTACCAGCCCGGTCTCCTCTGGGATTCTATCCCCCGACAATGAGCCGTCTACCAGAGCATCTTCACCTTCGATTTCTAAAGCAGACCGTCGTAGTCGTGATAGAACTCCATCGCCAACCTATAGTAATGGAGGCAAACAAGCGAAACGTCCAATTGCATCTCTGGTGCAACCTCACGGGCGCCGCTCCCTATCACCTGTACCATCATTGGAATTTCCCACAATTCCGAAGCTTAGGAAGAGTTCGCCCAAGAATTCTCCTCCTGCCTCGCCGAAGAACATACCTCTCCCCGCCTCCCCGGTACAAAAGCCAGAGGATAAGGTGGAACGAAGCCCGCTTAGCAAAGAGAGGAAATCTCTTGATAAGAGCGAAAGGCCAACCAGACTATTCAGTGACGAGCAAGCGTCCAGCGAGGACGTACCTTCACCGCCGCCACATAGCACAACTAGCCCAACACCGTCAAAACAGCTCAAGACCCCCGTTATCAGTCCGCCAGCACCACCGTATGCACGGCACCGCCGAACATCATCACCACTTAAGCACGAGTATGCCCCCTCAAGCGCCTCAGAGTCGTCAGGGTCAGATTCAAGTTCTATTAATCGATATGACGTTGACTCATCGTCTGAGACCTCAGACGAAGAACTGGAAGACGACGATATCCCAACTCCCTTACCACCCATCACCCGCCGTATTTCCAAACGGGCACCTCCTCCTTCTGAGCCTGTGGACGATACTCCTACAAATAGCCGACCAACTTCTGCACACCGATCCCCGCCAAAATCTATACATAGCTCATCTGACCGGGCGTCGAGAATTGTTGCATCCGTGTTTTACTGGCATGACAAAGGGTCTTGGGAGCCACTTCACCTTAATGAATGTAGTATTATCGTCACTCCCGGCTTGATTGAGGCATTTGAGATTGGCTCCGAACACTCTCGACCATCTAGCCGAGGCGATGGATCAGTTGCTGAATCTACTCGGCCCTCTGGTCGACCCTTAGTTGCTCTTGAACTTACTCCATTAGTGCCAATCCGACGTGGAACAGCTATCGATATAAGCATTCGCTCGCCCCCTACTGCACAATCTAAAGTTGCCTCTGGCAGCAATGTTATGTTCCGGTCCCGCAACCCGGACGATTGTGACAAACTCTACGGCCTTATCAACCACTCTCGCATCAACAATCCGACCTACATTGCATTGCAGAATGCTGTACCATACCCCAGCCAACCTAACTCAATCTCAAGACACAATTCCACCCGATCTACCAAAGGCGGTTGGTTTAGCAGTTTCTCGAAGAGCAGCTACCGCGCATCTACTGCACCACCTGCCTCTCTTGCAGCTGGAACGGAGAGCAGTGTCGGCACCATGTCCAGCGCTTTCTCTGCGCTCAAACGTTTCGGCGCTGGAAGCAAAATGTTTAGCATTGCGAGATCAACCCTTACTTCTCGCAATGGTCGTGATGACACAAGCCTATACACCACTACCTCAACCGGCTCGGGGTCAGGACGACGCATCTCCTCAACAAACCCTGAGACCGCAAAAATGGCAGCAGAGGGCGGAATTGGCTTGACAAATGCAAAAATACGTCTATACATCCGGGAATCAGCAGCGAAATGGCGAGATCTGGGAGCAGCAAGGCTTACCATTCTACCCGCAGACCCTGCTCCTTCAAATACTCCTCCCAATAACCCCGATGACCAAGACGCAAGCGGCGCTTCAAGCCCTCCATCCGGTTCTACTGGTGATCCTACTACTCCTCCCTCAACCGGTAGAACCGGTGCGCCAGTCAAAGACGAAAAGCGCATATTGATCCGAAGCAAAATCAGCGGCGAGACTCTGGTCGATGCATGCCTGGGCGAGAGTGCCTTTGAGCGAGTCGCTAGAACTGGAATCGCAGTATCTATCTGGGAAGAATACGATGGAATTGCAAAAGAAGGCGGCGTTGTTGGTGGATGTTTTAAAGTGTACATGATTCAGATGAAGGGCGAAGCTGAGGCTGCATATACCTTTGGCCTTGTTGGCAAGCTGAGATATTAATTGCTATAGATTGCCTTTTCTTCCCCTTGCTTTTATCTTCGAACAATCTCTGTTTATTTGTGATAGCGTACAATCGTGTTCTTTTTTTATTCATGATCTGCCGATTATAGCATTATACCTCTATCCAGTTCTTAATCCCCTTTCCTACTTCGAAGCAGAAGATGAACATACACGAGAATTTGAGTTATGGATAAATCTTAGTGAATTAGCAATGAGTTCTATTTATTGCAGTTAATAGCTAGCTTATAATTATCCTAATGGAAGGATTATTAAACCTTTATATCCGATACATTTCTAGTCCTGTTCGTCACACATCACAAGGCATAATATAATTAATGAACAAGCCACCCCTAATCAACTAGCAACGGAGCATTACCAAAGCCATTTTTCTTGAAGAGATACCCCACTCCACTGCCCTCTTCTTTGAGCAGTGAATATAGAACTTCATCCCCAATACTAGCTTCAATAGTGGCTTTTGCATCACAGGTAGCATCGTTCATATCAACTTCGTCTCCAGTGCTCAACAAGGCAGTATCAATATGGGAGTACTGCATCAAGAACCGCTTTTTGGCCTTCTCATAGGCTCTCTGTTGTTTGGATGAAGGTCGAGGTGCCTCGGATATCTTGAGTTCAGACGCTTTCATCAACTTAGGAAGATCCAGGAACTCGCCGTCTGAATCCTCTAGCTCATCATCTTCATCCCCAGAGGAAGAAACGGAGCCAGATCTAGCACTGGGATCATCTTCCTCTTTGATGTGTTTAGGTATCTCTCCCCGACCACCACACTCGCATCCTAGTAACTCGTGAGTTTGGCATTTGGAATTTTCGTCCAGGCGGAATAGATCTTTTAACTCCTCTTGTGAAAAATGAGCTATCCCGCCTTTTTGATCCATAACACTATCTGCCAAACCAAGCTTGGTAACTTGTCGCTGCCATATCTTTTCTTCTATCCCACCTTTTAGCAGAAGGCGGTAGATGTGACAGTGTCGTTTCTGACCATCTCGATGAATTCGCGCCATTGCTTGGATATCAGTTGCTGGGTTCCAGTCCACATCGAAAAGGACAAGTCTGCTGGCTCCAATCAGGTTCAGCCCTGTACCGCCTGCCTTTGCAGAAAGCAAGAATGCAAAGCAAGATGAAGGTGGAGAGCGATTGAAATCGTCTACGAGAGCTTGACGTTTCGAGGCAGGGGTAGAGCCGTCCAGACGCAGGAATGGGAGGTCTAGTGAAGTAAGGAGATTCGCCAGCAGATTCAAGGTAGAGGTATAGTTGGACACCAGGACCACTTTTTCTGTTGTTTTGCTTTGCAGGTTATAGAGTAATTGGTCGAGAACCCTAATTTTCCCACTGGAACCTGCAACAAGGCAACGATGAATATTGGGCTGCAAAGATGAAATAAATGCACTCATCGATGTGTCCTCGGCTTTGCCATTGTCCTCTAGCTTAGGCTTAAGCAGGGAAGGGCTATTGCATACTTTCTTCAGAATAGTGATAAGTTGCAACGCACTTTCAGAGTTCTTCAACACAGACTGGAACAGAGGGGAGGCGAGGACATGTTGGTATACATTTCTCTGGGCAGAAGTAGGGTTGCAGAACAAGATATATTCTGTTTTTGGCGGCAGGTGTTTTGAAAGGATATCAGCTGTCCGGCGAAGGATAAATGGAGACGTCAACTCCGCCAACTCTTCACTTCTAGCCTTCCCCTTTTCAACGACCTTCTTAGGTGCATTTGGCTGTCTAGCCGCAACAATTGGGCCATCGAATTCTCTCATAAATGACTTAAACGTCCCTAGAAGCGCGGGGTTGACGAAATCTACCATGGCAAAGAATTCGCTCAATTCGTTCTGGATCGGTGTTCCAGACAAAATGATACGGCGCGAAGTGTTAAGCGATTGAATCGCTTGGGCACTTTTATTCTGGACGGTTTTCAGCCGATGGCCCTCGTCAGCAATAACAATGTCTATCCCAGGCCCTTTTGTAAGCTGTTCTTGCACAGAACGTAGCCTCTCATAACCGATGATCATGACACTGTAGCTTCTTCCCATAGTGAAGTCTGACAACCGGTTTCTGCTGCCGTCAGCGACGAACACGCCAATGCGGTCGCTTCCCAGCCATTTCTTGAACTCTTTTTTCCAGTTGTTAATGAGGGTAACTGGACAAACAATCAGGGCCTTCTTAATGACGGGCTGGGAGCCGTATATAGGATTCTGCTTAAGTAGAGTCCATATCAAAGCAATTGTCTGTAGAGTCTTTCCTAGACCCATTTCGTCAGCCAGGATGGCCCCTTCGCCATTGAAAGGTCGCAGCCCCATAACACACTCATACAGGAACTTAACACCCTCCCTCTGGTGTTCTCGTAGATGCCTTCCTATTATCGGATCAACCACAACATCTACTATCTGCTTCCCAAGAGGGACTGAATTGGGCCGTTGCATTACGACGGAGCCAGGCAGAGTAGGGTCATGTCTAGGGGTAGGTAGCTGCCCGTTTGATCTCGGCATTAGCACGGTAGACTCTTTCAAAGGATTCTTAAAAGAATTATTCATGGCAGCACTGTGGGGTGCAGACACATTAAGTGTCTTTGACTCCTTCAATTCATTCAAGGAAATTTTGGCCCCAGGCTTTGAGAGGGTATAACGCGCATTTGGAGCAGTTGTGAGCGGAACAACTGGAGTAGTAATCTGGTTTTTTCCAGCTCTCTTTAAAGAAGATGTTTCGATCCTTGAAGGACGGCTGGAAAGGTATTCTTTCTTGCTAAGTACGGAGTCCACTTCGACATCTTTGCCTCCTATTGATAATGTGGCTCCGGGTTCTAGACTAGAAAGCTTCAATATAGCTTTCCCCATCTCCTTTCCAGATATGTCTTGTAGATAGCCGTAACCTCCGCGGACAACGATAATCCCATCTCCATCCCACGTTTTATTCTTTTTGGCAGTAGGTTTGCGCCTAAGGTAAACACAAATTGGACGGTTAGCTGCATTCACTTGATAACCCTTTCAATAGCACATAACTTGGATAAATGCTAAGGATAACCAGATATTTACCAGAGTACGTTATAGTATATCTCATCTTCCCCAGAGTTGATTACTATCTCCTTATCCTCTTCAATGCCGCTAACAACCTTCCTCCGTTTGCGCAAAGGTTCGTCGTTTTGGGGAGCTGCCGTTGAAGGTTGTGATTGTCTGGGGAGTGGAGGGCGGAAGGGCTTAAAGGTCATTGCGTCAGTCTCTTAAGTATGAAAGCAGTCGTCTTAGCATAATATTTCGATGTTTCCCTTCGGTCGTCGCGTAGTTAAATATCATCATGAAAATGCCGTCAGGTTCACGTTTATAAGCGTCAACTAATTTAAGCGTAAGCACGTCAAGAGACGCGAAGACACGTGATTTTTATTATTACATAATCATTGTTTCCAGCTAACGAGCTAACTGTATGTAGTTAAGTCTGTTTCTAGAGTAACTCAGCTACTCCTTACTTCTGTTTTATAAACACTGGACCTTATGCCTAAGCTACCTTTCACTCCATCAGTCTTGATTCTTCCTTTGGATCACGACTGTCCTGACCTCGACACTCTCGCGTGGAACGCTAGAGCTGTCGTGTTTCGGAAGATCAAAAGCGCTGTGAGGCAACCCTTTTGTTTTTTTACGTACGTGAGCATTCCGGCATGACACACGAAGAAATTCTAGAGAGAGGTAACTAGTCAAGTGTCTTACCTGATATGGTTCCATCAGCAGCATCACTGTCCCACGAGACGAACACAAACACCTCTTTGGGGCTTTGGTGACTCAAATAGTACCATTGGTGGTCTGGCTGGTCCTTGAGAAGGTACATCTCTCCGTCAAAACGCTCTGAAGGGCGATCCACGGCCACTAGATCATTCGTGCTGACGGTGCCAGGGGCACAAAACGCAAGCGGCGTGTCTTCAACTCGAGGGCACAGGGGACGCCAGACACTTTAAAAAATTTCGGTTAGTTTGTTTGAGGGTGATTGATACCACAGTCCGATGGGAGGGGAAGGGGGAAGCCTGGTTACTTACTTGACTATACGGACGCGCCAGTTGATGCCTCCGTCAAGGTAAGTATGGGCTTCCTTCTCGCTCAAATAACGCCTGACTCGCCGTGGCCCGCAGTCTCTAGAAACGTCTGGGCTGGAGGTTAGGAGAGGCGGTAATTAACTAGTTAAAAGAAGGCTTGTGTCCCTACCGACATGTGCTCGATAAGAAGGGAGGTCTGGTTCTCGGAATGTGCCTGGAGAGTAAGCTTCGAGCTTTTCCACGCTTTCGTGGCTTCTTCTGAACTGCATTCTGATTCAGCATACAATGAATCTTTCTCTTTTTTTTTTTGGGATCGGTGGTTTTCTACATGGTTCTTACCCGTACGTCATATGCGACCACGCAATCCGCCTGATATAAACGTTCTAGCAGTTCAACAGTCTCATGAACATATGTATTATTGTTGTCTTCCTGCTGAACGCTGTTGAGATGCCTGCTCTCATGGTTGACTAGATGGAATAAATCTGGTCCCAATACCTTGTCTGGATCTGTTGTCCGGAGGTCTTTGATCACCCGAGTACGTTCAACGAAGTTTACATTTGTCTGCGGACACTCACTGTCCAGCCCGTGGCTGAGAATCAAGTATGGCTTTTCGTGCCTCCACTTGGGCTCGTCTTCGATGAAACGCAATGTAGCATTTACAGCGTCGACGTCGGAGGCAGAAGGCATCTTCACCAACGAGGGCCAGCAAAAGGATAAGGAGACTGCAGATGAGGACGCGATGTAGCCACAGATGACGAATGCGAAGGGGGAAGCTGAGAACTGTTATCCCAAGATGACACTTACACGGGGCGGGGGAGCGCAATCGCAATAGTAATATAGATGTATTGTTGGCCGAAAGGCACACGGCAGGGATGCCCCAAGCCTCACGCTATATTACGAGCGGCCTGCTCAAAGGTACATGTACATGTACATGTATGCATGCGTGGAAGTGGTGGTATCCGCATAGTTACCCAGGTACTATTGAGGTGTTTACCTCGTAGTTCACTATCACTCGGAACCGAGTTAGGCCCGGGCTGGCTGTGTTAATGCAGAACTAAAAAGCAACGCTGCTTACTTACATAGCAGCAGCAAGTGACAAGGATAATCGCATTTTCTAACAGTTAAACTATGCAAGTAAGTAAGTACACAACTTCAAGGCTGCATGTGAGTAGAAGCTGCTGCTAATTGGCTGCCTCTGTCTTAGGGCCTCCACGTCATAGTCCCTGCAGATATCAGATATTCAGTGATTCAGTCAGTGATGCCGTGCCCAAACCGCCACAATCACCAGCTGGGGGTCACACTGTTGCCGATCTTCTTCAGGGCAACTCAACTCATGGTTCGAGAATCCCAGAATGGCTGCTGGTGCCCGAAGTTTGAGTGGTTTTACACGTTAATTCGACGTTGAGCTATAAAAAGCAATATTGGCTACTATTCAGTGATACCCGCGGAATTGATGGAATTGATGAGGATAGGGGCATTCGCTGGCATTTGAAGTCGATGTCTGCAAGCCCTGCCCAAAACAGCACGCATGACACGGCTTTGCTAGTGACTACGATGTTGTTGTTGCACAAGACTGCACTTTTCAACTCCTCTTATCAAATCCCCCTGAGGGAGGGCGCTCAATACTGCTCAAAACATATAATAGCGGATAAGGGGCGCGATGCTGTATGGGGCCGTACCTTGTAGTACATGAGAGACAAGTCTTCTAGCATGGTGTCGCAAATATTCAACAACAGATGTTCGCAACTGCTCACGTTGGCTGTGTGCTTCTACGCTGCCAACGTGAGCGCGTCAAATTACTCCTCGATTGTGGATATTTGGCCCGACATGGCAAACTTGTCTGCGGAGCCCAGACAACCCGGTGTCAGTTACATTACTGGCGGCTTATCCTTGTTTCATTGTTGCAAAATCGCTCTCAACGCGTCTGTGCAAATTGAAGACGGGCGGTTAAGCTTTGTTCCCGGCCAAACGTTCCTTCACGGTGATCCTCAGGTTTTTGCTGGATATCCAAACCCGTGCAATGGGTAAGTAAGTGTGCGAATGATAGTATTGAAAAGGCTCCGCCAGACGGGAGGGAAATGGAAGAGCCCTGGCTGATTTGGGTATATAGGCCTCCATATACTGGATATGAAGCAAGCGTACCACAGGGAACCATCAGTTATTCCTGGTGTGCGGAAAGATGCCCGGGCTGGCAACGCATCGACCTGCACGATGTGAAAGCATGGGTTCAACAGATGCTCTCCTACACTCTGCCAGCAGCCATCTTCAGCACAAACATACCGCGTCGTCGACAGCTCCGTATCCCTAGCCAATACTTTCCCCGCTTGACTTTTCTCTCGTTTCTGTCCCTGGCATACAAGCTTCCTATTGCGACCTTCTTAGCCACTGTAGACGTAGTCCTGTGGTTGGTCGTCGTCTTTTGTCTTTCGGGGCCGATGATGTTGTCTGGCCTATACGGGAGCTTACTGGATCACAAAGTACTTCGACAGCTGGCCACAAATTCAACTTTGAGATCGTTGACATTCAAGCAACGATGCCATCTTACAATGATTCTACCACTTGGGAGCCTTGACCAGAAGCCTGCCTGGGAAGCCTCGGTGTCTGTTGTGAAGAGGCTTCCAGACCTGACAGCCGTAGCAACCGATAGAGACCGGCTTGTTGGCAGGAAGATACGAATGCTGTTGCAAACCCAGCAGATGTTTGGCTCCGCGCTAGGTATTGGGGTGCTTTTCTTCATCTCGGCCTTCATCTACGCATGCTTGGAACTGCAAGACAATCTCGGCGGGTCGTATGTATACCACGAGCAGCTCACTAGTGCTGAGGGGCGTCTTATTTGGGCTGACGAAGTTTTGTAGGGTCTTCTCTCATAATCTAGCTTTCGGGATCTTCTGGATGGTAATTCCTCACGTTGCCATCATCGCCAATATGACGCTTATGAGCTCGGATCTGACTTCTTGGGATCTCGTGGCCCTCGAACATGTCCCAGAAAGTCATCAGGTGGACCCTCAGCTTCGCAAAGGGGAGGGAATCTGGCATCGGGTGCTGAGGCATTTTGGATTGTGCTCCAGAGATACCTCCGCATTATCTTACAAAGTGGCCTGGCAATGGGACCAGGGGCGCTGTAAGATGGGTTGGGTGGAAAGGTATATCGAGGAATACCCTAGGTTGGGGCGCAGTCTACGTACACAACTTCGCATCAGTTCTCTTGAGATGGTGTGCTCCATCTGGCTTCCGGCTCTGTTCATACTTTTGGTTCCTAGCGCCCTGGGATGCTTGATCAGGTACGTCAGTGTTTTGCGCCAACGAGTTAATATCAATATCAATATAGTTAACTAATTCGGAAAACAGTGCGACGACACCGTTGGTGGGAATCGGCTGTAAGTCGATCATCCCTATCGTATACCTCGCAGCGCAGTTCTGTCTCATGGCTCTCTGGCAACTAGGAGTCTCTCCGACAGCTCATTTCTCAAGAGGTCCTAGGTGGTTAGGCGGAGTGCTCCGTGTGTTCTATGTTCTTTTCGCTTTCGCGGCCGGTGTTGCATCTGTAGGGGGTACAAGTAAGACGCCTTACCACATCTCATCTTTAAATTTGCAACTCACAACTCAATAACTAGTCGCCGTCGACCTTGGAATGACAAATAACTGTCTATGCCTAATTCCGGTAAGTGTACATCTCGCCTTACTGTTAAGCAGTCATACGCTAACTAACAATTTCAAGATGTCTCAATGGATGAAGCGGTTTGACCCTTCAGCCGTGACATTTTTAAGCTCAAACGTTAATGAAGGAAAGTATTATGCATCTCAGTTCTGGCTCAACTGCGGCATTGCCACTGCAGCTTTTCTCTTCGCAATGATGTACCTTGGATGGTGGTGGTCAAGGAGTTTGTGGACGCAATTCTACGCTCTGTGCGACGAGATCAGCGGGTCGTTAGAAAAAATGCCCCGACAGAGGACGATATAAGAGTCTCGCTTGTAGCGAATGAATTTGAGCTTTAACTTTGACTGATGATAGAGCTGCCCAAAAGATAAGAACCGTGTTCAAAGGGTACAGGATTCCAACAACTGAGATTCACCAAAGGCCTCCTTCCCCCTCATACTGCGGAAATTTCCTCCATGCAAGCCAAACCGCTCGGTATAGAGATTGGGAAACAGCTCTAGGACGCAGTGCTTTCATCTTGGTCCCAAACTACCCGGACGGAGCGTTCTTTCTGGCCACCGGACTGGACATTCTTCGGCTGTGTCAACTTCGCAACCTTCTTCCAAGGCTGGTGGCGGCCATCGTTGGTGGTTTGGGTTGGTTCCATGTTTGAGCTATGATGATTTTCGGTCACTGGAGGGTTCAACCATATTGAAATTTGAAATGACACCTACATGAACGAGTCTGCGGTGCAGTTAGTTTTTGACAATTTCAGGGAGAATGAATTGATATAAAAGTTGGCTTTCTGGTTGCTGGTTGCTAGAGGGTGAGACTCCTGTGGAGGTTGCGGCTCACTTATGTAGCAGGAAGTTGACTATAGAAGTCGTTGCCACTCAAGGTATCAAGGGTCTATCTATATTTATTCATTGGCGCTAACTATCAAACAAACAGATCATCACTGCTCAGCCCAGGAAATAAATTGATTGCTGCGGCTTGACGTGTGCATTGGTGATTCAACGCGCCTGCTGACCTGACCGGCACCCTTAGTGATGCATCGTACTATGGTAGAGGACACTGTAACTACATGAAGGGGGCTGCTCAGATAACTCGGACAAGCGTTGCCCTGGCTGGTGGTGGTGTGGTCTTACATGCTGTTGGTGGCTGCGGGCTGACTTCCTCCGTCTGCTGTCCAGCGATGTCGTTAACTTATCAACACAGTTAAAGCAACTTAGATATAGTACCTGCCACACTTGCAGGTGCTTGCCTTGCATAACTAGCCAATGGGCCCATGCACCCCTCACTTTGTGTTACCACCAGTTAACTATATCATGTACAGTGCAGGGTTGATGATCACCCGTCAAGCGAAACTCAAGGTTCCAGGTCCTCCGTAAGGCAGAGCCGGGATGCCTCGCGGTCTGTGTTTCCCTAGCTATTGCTGACCCAGTTATCTCTTTTCTCATTATTTGAACTCCAATCCGCAATCACGGCTGACAGTCCGGGATCTGGGTGCTGTAACTATGCCCAATCCATAGTTAAATATGCAACCCCTTCTCACGGTCAGCCAGCCTCTAGCTTCTGTTACCCCCCTTGACAACTAACGAATACATACGTACTTGCTGTGAGCTCCGAATTTCTTCGACAAGCAATGGCTACCAATTTAGATCAAGGCAGTCCAAACCACCTGGACACATTCCTCATGACCAATCGTGATATCAAGTACGTTCATTATGTTATAGTCACGCTCTTCGGGACCCTCGAAACACAGATTCTGCCGATTGCCGGGTGCCAGGAACGAGTTCGCTCGGCAAACGACACACACAGAGTGTCACCTTTTTCCCTATGGGGAGGTTTCGGCAATCTCAAGTCCTTCACTGACAATTTCGGGTACGGTTCAGACCTCTGGCACGCTGATTGGACGTCTTTGAGGGCAATGGATCAGCACAATGCGTCGGTTTTGTGCAATGTATCCGAGGCTGCCGCCCATCATCGAGACGTCGACCCAAGCAACCCGTTTCATCGCTGTCCTCGAAGTGGTCTTCAGCTTGCGCTCCAGAAGGCCAAAGAGCAGCTGAACGTGTCCTTCCTTGTGGGCTTTGAGCTAGAGTTCTATCTGCTGGAGAAAACGCCCGACGTCGGACAAGGCTGGAAAGCCCCTACAGCAGTGCCAGCCTGCTATTGGAGCTCACCCATATTCCTGCGAGGTGACTTGGGCATCTGCCTTGCTGCATGTGTTGACGCCATCGAGGCTGCGGGCATCCGGGTTGAGCATTTCCACGGGAACTTCTCACCCCAGCACTGTGAGATAGCCCTGTCTCCTCTGCCCGCCCTGGCTTCGACAGATGCTGTGGTACAGGCCATAGAGATCGTGAGAAGAACGGCCGGGCGAAATGGATTCCATGCCACTTTCCACCCAAAGCCTTTCGCCGCGTTCAGCTCCTGCGGCCTGCATGCTCACATATCGATGGAGCCGCCGGTGGCTAAAGATATATCCGACCATTTCCTGTCTGGCATCATGCGCCGCCTGGAGATTCTCTGCGGCATCGGTATGCCCTTCGAGGCCGCGTCACGCCTCGGCGCGGAGATGTGTGGAGAATGGCAAGCATGGGGCACTGACAACAAAGACGTTCCAGTTCGGAAAATCCGAGACGGGTACTTCGAGCTACGCTGCATCGATTACATGTCGAATATCTACTTGGTCATTGCTAGCTATATTGCTGCGGGTCTTCTAGGCGTCACAGCGAAAGAGCCATTGGAGCAGAAGGATTGCCTCGGGTCGCCGTCATGGCTAACGGACAAGGAACGTCAGGCTCTGGGGATTGTTAAGCGGCTGCCATCTACTTCAACAGCTTCCTTGATCCGGCTAGAAGAAGACCGTATGGGGCTAGATGATGTGATTGGTACGAAACTGATGGACTTTTTCCTAATGGTCAGGATGACAGACACCAAGGCAGACTGGAAAGAGCTGCAGCTGGTATTGTATTGAAGGAGAAAAGGAGAAACCAAAGGCTTGTCTTGTCAATCGTGAACGCTCGTCTTGAATAATAGGTTTCGCTTACCCCTGTAAATAACTAGTTTAGTTCCCGTGCCAACCTTCGCACCGGCCCTTGTAAGTTAACTCCACACCAAACCTAAACTCACTGTGTCAAACGGCAAACCCACCAGAACCTTGTATTCTACTTTCAGCAGCAGCCTCAAAGGTCCCATTCTTCAATAGCCGGAGAACGTGCAGGTCGACACCAACGTTCCCCCATTGAGTATCATGGCCAAGTTCTTTTAAAAAATCGAAAGTCCCATTGTCCCAATTTTGATCTAGGTTAAGCTAGTAACTTTGTTTCAGCATCAATATTGAATCCCAGGAACTGAGAAGGTGAGCTTACCACATTCGGTATCAGTTGGTCATGGAATCGGGGGGCATCAATGGCCTCCTTTGCAGAGGAACCTAAGTCGAGCAGCCTCCACAGCATTTGCTCTACTCCAGATATGATGTGTGACCCACCGGCTCCCCCAGTGGCGAGGTAGAAAGAACTGTTCGGGATGTGATCGACGATGACAGGGCTCATGGACGAGAGGGCTCGTTTGAGAGGCGCAATGAAATTGGACTTAGTGGGGATGTAACCAAAGTGATTGCTCCTGTTCGGCACAGAAAAGTCGTCCATTCCATTGTTCATAATCAGTCCCAAACCAGGGATCATCAGTTTGGATCCCCAGCTCAGATTTGGAGTACTTGTCAGGGAGATTGCCATGCCACTTGCATCGGCAGCTGACAGGTGAGAAGTTCCATGGCTATAACATGCTTTAGGACATGACTTAAAAGAAAAAAATTTAATGCCAAGGAGGAGGATGGACTTACTTAGAGATGATTTCAAGCTGCTCGGGGTTATAGGCTTCAACAGGCAGCGTATGCATGTCAGAAATCTTCGCTCTAACTTCATCTGCAGTGTGTTGTTGGATCAACCGGGCCTCTGACGAGTCTTGACCGGGATTGAAGTCTGGGTCACCCAGAGTTGCGCGCTGACAAAGATTAGTTCTCCTCTATTCTGGCAGCTCACTCGAAGAACTTACCGCAGCATAGCCGAACCTCATGGCTTCAACCAAGCGATGCAGAGTCAGATTCACGTTATTCGGATCTTCTCGGTCTGGGAATTGATGAAAGGCGTTCATTGTCATGAGAACTATGGTCCCCCCCGAGGTCGCGCGGCAGGCTTTGATCTTGTAATTCCCGTAGGTGATCTCGATCGGAGCTGATCTCTTAATCTGATATGCTTGAAAATCCTGGGTCGTCATGATACCGCCATTCTTTTTTACGGTGTCGGCAATCTTGGTAGCAGTTGGCCCAGCGTAGAAAGACTCGGTGCCATTTGTTGCAACCAGTTCCAGCAGGTCTGCATAGCGTTCCATCTTCATGACATCTCCGACCCCGAGCATCGTGCCTTTTGGTGCAAAAACTTCTGCCCAATCCGCGTTTCGGACGAAAAAATTATCGCCTCCATCGTTCTTGATGGCTTTAGACATAGCATCAAAGAGCAGCTGGTTGACTGAGAATCCACCCCTCGCCACTTTAATAGCGGGAGCAATGACCTCCTTCCATGACATCTTTCCATACTGTCTGTGAAGATAATCCAAACCGCGAAGTTCTCCCGGTATTCCACTGGCAAGACCGCCCGAGATTGATGCGTTTGCATCCAGGTTGAACATGTCGCGATCACTGGCAGCTGGAGCAGCTTCTCGGAAGTCAACACACTCGGCATTCCCAGAGGCGTCCCGGACAATGGCATAGCCTCCTCCGCCTAGCCCTGCTATCCATGGGTGAGTAACCCCAAGGCAAAAGTCTGTTGCAACCGCTGCATCAACAGCATTGCCGCCGCGAAGGATGATTGACGTTCCAACACGACTACAGATGTCTCCCGCCGAAACAACAGCCCCATTCTTTCCGGTTAAAAGCGGTCTATGCCATCCAAACACGTTCGGAAAATGAATGTTGGAAACCATCGAGTTTCCAGAGAGCAGTAGAACGCCGAGCAGGAAGGTCACAGACGTGGGTACGATCCAGCGGCTCATGGTAACAATCGTTTTATGTTTGTATGGGAATTTTAGAATGGTCATGCCCACGCCCAAGCAGCATAGCGCTTTTCTGACACGAGGAGCAAATTTAATATTTCGGTAGAGGACACAGATGCAATATCGAGCGATTGTGAACGGTGAAAGAAATCGCAGGTGACACCGTATTTGTAGAGCTCCAATCCTACACGTGACTTGGGAACAAAGCATAAAAGGTATTTGGGTTGGAAGCACCAGCACACAGCCGCTACTGGTCTTTGTTGAAAATTACATCTATAGATAGCAAATACTAAACTGTAGTTGCCAAAATGGAAAGGAGCAATTTTAACAGTTTTATTTGATAGTTATAGCAGTTTTATCCTTCTACTCACCAACTAACCTCCCATTGCGCCCCAGTTCTGAAGAGGCTTTTAGCTCCCGCGTGGGTCTCGCAACCTTAAGCTAACCAGGCTCCCACAAAAGAGGCCCAAAGGAAACTCAATTTGGGTGAAGAATACAGCATCTCCCACAGTTCTTCCGGTCTTATTTGAATCCAACAGCTTACGCTCTCAATATCGATCATCGCCCTCCCTATCCATTGCTCGACACGGGGCATTTGGCAAACCCCGCCAACAGCACAGATAGCCTGTTAGGCACCTCTGCATATTTTACTCTTCAATATTACTTCTGACATTCATACTCTGTTAACTCTACGCCCACAACCATATCCATCAGTCTGGGTTAGGTGTGGATATTCTTGTCGGCCGCCTAGTTGCAAAAGCTCATAAGCACAATATGTCGGAAGAGTGTATTTAATACTGCACTCTTCATGACGTCATTGAGAATAGCCCGGCCACGGCTAGTAGCCATATGATTATAATGATATAAATGACCTTACTAGACCCGGGCTTTAGATGGCCTAGCTAGCATCCCTAGTAGACGCAGTAGGTGTCGCAGGCGACTGTGCCACTACTACTAGAGCGACTAATGTCAGTAGTTAGTATGGGGAAGAGAATACTTAATATATGAAAATGTGTGTAGTTATCAAGACAGTTGCTCGTCAGCACTCACTGTCCCGGGCAACCTCACCCTAGCAGCACACCGAGACACATAAACTGCCACCAGTTAGGCCCTTCTAATTATTGGGTTATCCCCCAAGACTTGGGGGGCCCGATGGCGTTGGTGCTCGTGTTGGTGCTGGGAATAGGGGAGTTGGCGGTGGCAGCGGTGCAAGGCCAACCATAACGGCCAGGTTAGCCAGCGCCAGAGCTCTTGTCGTTGTCATTGTTGTTGTCTTGCCTATGCTTTTACCCATGGGCTCAAGGTGCCTGAGGGCAACGGCATCTTCCGATATAATGAAGTATGTTCTGCCTCGAGCATTTATGAATGCAACAAGGATTACTCCTAATGTGAGGTTTTTCAGCGACTAACTTGGCTATAAGGAGTATGTTGTTGTTGTTTTTGTTGATGATGATCATGATGAAGTTGAGAAGTTGAAGTCGAGGTTGATGTTCTCAAGTTACCTAGGAAGCTTCCTGCCTCCCGAGGTCGGCAAGTATGTTGATGACATAATATGGAATAACTATTCTCCGTAATGCCAGTGACGTCAGAACTCTATTGTGCCAAGGAACCTGCGGGAAGGCGCTGGACAAGGCGCGAAACATCGACAAGGCTCGAGATGCAGGCGGAATAAGCGCCCAAAGTGACATATATAGACGGTCACAAAGCACACATGGAAGTCTTTGTTTACAGTCAATAACTATTTTTCTAACAACTACCACTCCCCAAGGTGCTTCTCAAGAAACCAAGCACAACCAAGTCTCGCTCATATACACCGAGACAGCCCACACACAAATACATATACACAGCCACTGGTTAACCCCTCGATCACACGGCCACGATGGCTCCTAATCGTGAGTCGTTTACCGACAGATCCTACAACGCAATAGAGAAAGCAGCCGACGAAGCAGAGGAGCATGGCCACCCACAAGTGGTGCCCGCCCACCTTGGTTACGTTCTCATCAATGGAGACGACGAGGAGGGGCACGATGACATTCCCATGTTCAAGCAGGCCATCGAGAAGGCTGGCGGAGACCCAGAAGCAATGATTCGGTATTTGAAGAAAGTCATTGTCCGACTGCCTGCCCAGTTTCCAGCAGTCTCCCAGGTTACCATCTCCTCCGCCCTGAACGACGTTATGGCCGCCGCCTATAAACTATCGAAGAAGCAGAAGGACTCTTACGTTTCAATATACCACCTTATATCAGCCCTTGCGCAAGAAAGAACCATCGAACAAGGCCTCACAGAAGCCGGTGTCCCGTCTGCCAGCAAAATCGAGGAGGCTTTGACGGAGATACGCGGCTCGAAGAAGATTGACAGCAAAACCGCAGACTCGACCGACGGTGGAAACGAATGGCTAAAGAAGTTTACGGTTGACATGACCGCGCTGGCCAGAGAAGGAAAGATTGACCCCGTCATTGGGCGGGAGGAAGAAATGCGAAGAGTAATTCGCATCTTGAGCCGACGGACAAAGAACAACCCTGTCCTGGTGGGTGAGCCCGGTGTTGGAAAGACAACCGTTGTCGAGGGCCTGGCGAGACGTATCGTCAACTCAGACGTCCCAGCCAGCTTGGCCAAGTGCAAGCTGCTGTCTCTCGACATAGGCAGCCTTATCGCCGGTGCTTCATACCAGGGCCAGTTCGAGGAACGAATAAAGAACGTGTTGAAGGAGATAGAAGCCTCCGACGTCACTATCATCCTTTTCATCGACGAAATCCACATGCTCATGGGCGCTGGCGCCTCATCGACCGGTGGAATGGATGCTGCTAATCTTTTGAAACCCATGCTCGCGAGAGGCCAGCTACACTGCATCGGAGCAACGACTCTCAATGAATACCAGAAGTACATCGAAAAGGATTCCGCCTTCGAACGCCGTTTCCAGCAGGTCCTGGTTCCCGAACCCACGGTCCCAGAGACGATATCCATTCTGCGAGGTCTCAAGGAGCGATATGAAGTGCATCATGGAGTGAACATCCTGGACTCAGCTATCGTTTCTGCTGCAACCCTCGCTGCCCGCTACCTCACCACGCGACGGCTCCCGGACTCTGCCGTCGATCTTATTGACGAAGCCGCAGCATCAGTAAGGGTAACCCGTGAATCGCAGCCGGAAGCCCTTGACCTCTTGGAGAGACGACACCGCCAGCTCCAAATTGAAATCCATGCCCTGGAACGTGAGCAAGATAAAGACTCCAAGGTGCGTTTGGAGAATGCGAAAAAGGAGGCCGAGGCCGTCAATGCGGAATTAATTCCACTGCGCGACAAGTACATGAAAGAAAAGGAGCTTAGCCAAACCATCCAAGAGGCGAAGATCAAGCTGGAGTCTCTCAAGGTACGGCTTGACAGCGCAACACGCTCCGGAGACACTCAACGAGCCTCAGACCTGGCCTACTATGCCATCCCCGACGTGGAAAAGCGGATCAGCTCGCTGGAGAGTGCGAAAGCCAAGGCTGATGCAGCACGCGTGAATGCCGGAGGAGACGGCGACTCCCTTGTTGTCGATGCTGTCGGACCAGACCAAATCAATGAAATCGTTGGCCGATGGACAGGAATCCCCGTCACTCGACTGAAGACGACCGAAAAGGACAAGCTACTGAACATGGAGCAGCAGCTGAGCAAAACCGTCATAGGTCAAAAGGAAGCCGTCCGTTCAGTGTCGAATGCGATTCGGCTGAAAAGATCTGGTCTCAGCAATCCAAACTCGCCTCCAAGCTTCCTATTCTGCGGTCCATCAGGAACAGGAAAGACACTCTTGACCAAGGCCCTGGCCGAGTTCTTGTTTGACGACCCAAATGCCATGATCCGCTTCGACATGTCCGAATACCAGGAGCGGCATTCACTCAGCAGGATGATTGGCGCTCCTCCAGGCTACATCGGCCATGATGCCGGTGGCCAGTTGACGGATGGCCTCAGGCGTCGGCCATTCTCAATCCTGCTATTTGACGAGGTCGAGAAGGCGGCCAAGGAGATCCTTACCGTCCTCCTCCAGCTGATGGACGATGGCCGCATCACCGACGGCCAAGGCCGCATTATCGACGCCAAAAACTGTATTGTCGTGATGACCTCCAACCTGGGCGCGGAATACCTCAGCCGGCCAACTCTTCCCGACGGCTCAATTGATCCAACAACCCGACAGCTGGTCATGGGTGCCCTGAGCGACTACTTTCTTCCGGAGTTCCTCAACCGCATTTCCAGCACCGTCATCTTCAACCGCCTTCCGAAGCGCGAGATCCGCAAGATCGTGGATGTCCGGCTGGCTGAGATCCAGAAACGGCTGGAGAGCAACGGCCGCAGAGTGAAGATTATGTGCTCTCCGGAGGTCAGAGACTATCTTGGCAAGGCAGGCTATTCGCCCGCATACGGTGCTCGACCATTGGCCCGTATTATCGAGAAAGAACTCTTGAACAACCTGGCCGTGTTCATCTTGCGAGGCAGCATCAGAGACGGAGAGGTTGCTCGGGTCGTGATGCAGAATGGGAAAATCGCGATTGTCCCCAACCATAAGGATGACTATGTGGATAAGATGGACATTTCCTCTGATGACGAAGAATACGATACCGAAGACGACGACGAGGAGGACGAAGGTGACGCAGACGGGCTCTACAAGTGAGCTATCATCTCGATCTATTTCTCTCTTGTTTCCTTGCTGTGATATATATGATTTTCCTTTTTGATTATCTATCTGGGTTCACTGGCCTGGCACTTTGATTTTCTGTTTAACATGCAAAAGTCTTCTTCATCTGAATGTTAGCAGGTACCATTAATGTTATGATATATACCCAAAATTCTATACCAAATATTCTTATACCCAACTGCCTCCACAACTTTATACTTAATCTTATGGATTACCATAGAGGACAGGATTTGACCAATACTCCATACGGAATACCCTTAATGAACTGCCTTAATTCCTGTGATGTCCACTCTCCGAATACCACTTGCTTCAATATTCGTCCTCTATCCAGGTTAGGCTTAAGCCTCCCTCTCATCTAACCCTTACCTCCTACGGCTTCTCCTGGCTCTATCCTACGGGCAAATAGATAGATATAGAATGATACCACCTGGACCTCATAGTTGTGGTCACGTGTACCCCTCTTTAAGGGTCTTAGTTTATTCCAAAACAGGAAAGAGGATGAGGGTCGTCACGCTTTCCCTTTTAGGAGAATAAGATGACGTCCTCTTTTTCTTCCTCTTTTTTTTCTTCTTCTTTTTTTCTCATCTTCATCTTTTCCCTTTTACCTCCAGGCAAGACCACAACATCCATAACCACGACGACGAAAAAACGACGAAAAAGCAGAATAATAAGGGGAATAATAAGAAGAAGAGAAAAGAGATGGGATTCTTTACCTCGAAGGCCCGCCAATATCACTGGCATGGAGTGTCCGCCCTCGATAACACCACCTGCGCTGACCCTTTCTCCTCCTCCTCTCCCGCCGACATCACTGGCGTTCCCCCCTCTCTCCTCCTCCCTCTTCTCTTCTCCCTCATTCCCCGCCTCCTCCGCCTCCAGCATGCCCCAGGCCGGCGTCCCGGCACTGGACGGGTGGCACCTATCTTGTGCCATCCTACTTATCTTGGTCCTGTCCCTTGCGTTCGGCAAGATAGGCGACATGCTGCAGGAGTAGGTATTAATTCTCTATCAACTCCTCGCGTTCTAATTGGCACGGCAGTTGTTTCTAGGTCTATGCTAACGCTTAACTACTAGTGCGCTTGCGCATAGGCGGGGCCGATCCCCAGCGGCGGCGGCCGCAGCAGAAGCAACAGCCGCGGCAGAAGCAAAGGATTCCGCGGCGGCGGCAGCGGCACCACCACCGCAATCAACATCATCACGAGGACTGGAGCTAGTCATTTTGGCCCCCGCGATACGGCGGCACATACGGTCATTCTCTAGATATCTAAAGCCCGCACTACAAGTGAGGGATCTGGCTTCCGTGGCCTCCCTGCCTACCTGGCATTCGAACGTCCAGGAAGGCCGCTCCAGACGTAAGTGTCAACCAGTTATTGGCTTCTATTGGTTTGTTATCTACAGCTAGGCATGAGTTAACTCTTACTTATAGGATCCTGGAGCGCCCATACGCCCTGAGCTGCGGCAGCGACATGACTACCGGGTTTTGCTCTCTCTGTCTCTTATTTTTTACTGTGATACCTAATGTATATATATACCCAAATTACTATACCAACTATCTTTATACCAAATACTTACCTAATTCGTATACCCACTTTCCATAACTAACTGACCCTGTTGAGTGCTTAATGTTATGGACTTCAATAGAGGAAAGCATTCAAACAATACACTATATAGAATGTCCTTATGAGCTATCCTTAATCCCTATAATGCCCACTCTCCGAATACCGCTTACTTCAATGCCAGTTTCCACCTCTTAACCGCATGGAGTGGCTAAAGCTCTGCTCCCAAGGCGATGCTGCTCTCTATCCAAGGCTGGACTTAAGTATCTCCCATAAGGAGCATCGATACCCCTGATCCAACCTGTACCTCCTAAGGCCTGCTCCTGGCCCTGTCCTAAGGCCAGGCAGATAGAGATAGAATGAATGATAGTTAGTGATCACGCAGACCTTAGTACAAGGGGCACCTTCTAAGGGCCTTTTTGTTCCAAGAAAGGAAAGAGCATGAGGGGTCGTCACGCCTTCCCTTTTAGTCAGGAACACAGCATGACGTCCTCTTGCTCTCTCTTCCCCTCTTTTTCTCTTCTTCTTCTTTTCTCTCCTTTCCTCAGGCAAGAAGACCTCTAGTACTACTACCGCTACCGCTACTGCGCTGCCGCTGCTACTACCACCACGACCACGACGAAGAAGAGGAAGAAGACGAAGAAGACGAAGACGACGAAGACGAAGCAGCAGCAGCAGCAGAGCAGCAGCAGGAGGAATGTCCTGCTTCGATAACACCACCGACGCCGATACCTCCTTTACCTCCCTCCTCCCTCCCTTCTCCTACTCTTTCTCCGTCCCCTCCCCCTCCTCTCCCCCCTCCTCCTCCAGCATGGCCCCCCCTCTCCCTTCCGTCCCCCTGGCCGGCACAGAGAGGCCGAGCTGGTGGCACTTGTTTAGTGCCATTTTGATAATCCTGGTCCTGTCCCTTGCGTTTGGGAAGATCGGCGACATGGTGAAAGAGTAAGCATTAACTCTCTATCAACTCCTCGCGTTCTAAAGTGGCAGGCCGGTTGCTCCTAGATCTATGCTAACGCTTAACTACTAGTGCGCTTGCGCATCGCAGGGGAGCGGGCAGCGGCGGCGGCAGCACCAACAAGACCACCACCGCCGCCACCATCCCAACAGCAAGGACCAGCGCCGCGCCCAAGATGGGTAATGCGCACCAGTCCTCTCAAAAAAATTAACAGTAAGATACCCTCTCCTAAAGGCCCAAATTAATAGAGCATAACGGAGTGGCTATCCATAACGGAGTGGCTAACTAGTTATATGCTAACGGTGTCAATCCTTAGCTTTATTATTCTTACTTGTTGTATTTTTTACTGTTTATTTTTTACCTTTTTTTTAAGGTAAGTTTGATTACATAATAGGCGTTGCTCCGAGCGACAGCCAATCTTCTTCTTATGGAAATAAACAAGACTGAAGGAACACAAAAGTCACTGACAAGACAACATGGAGTCACCAGCACGAAAGCACGCTCGAGATACGGCCTCCCCTCTTCGCACACTGTCGCCACACCACATCAACCAGCAGACCATGAAGTCCAGCAAACCAGAGAGGGACAGACACTCAGTCGATGTCCAGTCCAAAGTCGCGTTCCTCAACCGCCTAGCGAGCCCCGGCAGCCCGGCACCCCTGCAGCCATCATCGACTACGCATGCTGCCCTACAAAGAGCGATACTGGGCCGTGAAGAGGCCGAAGAAACACTAAGAGCAACGACCAAAGAGTTGAATGAGGCGCGGCAGCGAGAACGACGCGTGAGTGAGCGGCTGGAGTCGTTACTCGAGGAACTACATACATACAAAGAGCGACAGTCACAAGAGCGAGCATTGTTTGAAAAAGAAATACGGCGTGCCAGAAAAGAAGCGTTTCGTGCTGGTTCTAATCTGGTCAAGGCACAAGAGGAATTGAAGTCTTCTCGTGGAGAAATAAAGAGTCTCAAGGACGATGTCAGGATTGAACGAGAGGCCAAGGAGAAAGCCAAACAAGATGCATTTGAACGCGCTTATGCGTTGGCAGGTTTGACAGAAGAGAATGAAGTATTGAAGGATCAAATAAGAGCATTTCAGACGGATAACCAGTCTGGCATTCTCGAAGCAGAAGCGGAGATGATGAGGGGTGAAACACCGAGAAGCAGAGCCCAAAGATCAAGCATAAACCTTATGCCAGGAAGTTCAGCGTCGAGAGGAAAGAAGCGTGGCCTGCCTGACTCCAGAGACCAAATGTCGCCAGTCCGCAAAAAGAGTGCTCAACACCAGCCTGACTTCCGGTCTAGCATGAAATCACCCACAAAGTTAACTCCCAGCCGCGACTTGGTGCCGTTTGAGCAGGAAGGAGAAGAAGAGCCTTTGAAACTCATGGACAACGAGAGAGAAATAATAATGGAACTCGAAGAGGATTTGCGCTGGGAGAAGTTAATGCGACGACGAGCAGAGGATATGATTGATTTCTTGAAGCTCGAGTGTCAGTTTAAACGATGCTCTTGCAGGATTGCAGAACGCCAGGGGATTAAATATGTGCACGATCTAGACTGGGAGAAGATAAGTCCGGCCGAGGATCAAGAGAAGACCACCGTTACGAAGATACCCAGTCCACTGCCGGACAGGAAGCCATCACCACATTTACAGATAACCGAAGAGTCTCCTCCTTCAGAGAGCGCTGATCTTGACAAACTTGAAGCTGATCCCGCAAGCGACGATGCTCCCCCCGAGCCAGACGTTGTCTTCTGCCCAGATACTGGAACTTTCAAGGCAATTCTATCTCCGGCGCGCAAGGCAGAGCCAATACCACCTGAAAGGTCAAATAGCCGTCCTGCAGTAAACCGTACAGAGCCACCTCCAAAACCAAGATGGTCACTTCATGATGACCCTGTTCCGGCACCAAGCTCTGTAGTTCCGAAGAAGAGAAACGAAGAACCACCATTAGTTGCGGCTTTAGAAGCCTCTGATCATCAACCACAATCTCCACGACCAACTATACAAGAACTGCCTGCTACAACAAACCCTCGAAAACGCTACGTGACGCCTCTCTCGCTCGAACAACGTCAACGTCAGCATCAAAACAATACCACAGCTGAAGTGGAAACAATCACAACCACCAAGACAGTACCTCTCAATGCCGAAAGGGCCTCTACTGATTTATCTGCTAAACTCCCCGGTACGCCCATTAGCCGCGAAGAGGCTCTGGCACAGATCCGAGCACGACGTGGCCGTACACAAAGCGCCCTCAAACGGTCTGCCAGTGCGAATGATGCCAGCCATCGTCCCCGCGTTGTCAGCGGAACTTCAACGCCCAGTAACGTCGTCAGAAGTGTGTCAAGAGCGGAGGGTATGACGATCAGCCGTGCTAAGCCAGGTCGCCGCGGGCTTTCTACTGCCAGCCATGGATACTAGTGTCTACTACTTCTTTTCATGCCCATGCCCCATTGCATTGCAACAGTATATTTTACATAGCTCTTTTAAGTGACGCCTTTTATGAATATTACCTTTTCTCTATCTTCCCTTAAGAACAATCCCTTTTTCTCTCCTTAAACCTCTCCTATAAATTAAGAGTTACACTCTGAGCGTAATAATTGATATGTATTGGTCTGCAATAAATATACCAAAGTATACAGGATGGCCAGCCTAGTTATATGATTCTTACACCGCAACACTGAATATGGGATCCCTCAACCTGCGCCTTTCGTCCCCACCAGACATTCACCAGCTCGACAACAAAGACTTTATCGGCATGACTCCAGGCATCAAGTCCCATGTTAGTTATATCCGAAGAAGTGATCATGATCACGTCGTCCTCTTCCGGCGTACGCAACAGGGGCTGATCATCGTGCTCGCCTACAAGAGTCGATGAGTTGTGCTCGTCATCGTCCCGCTCTTCGCCTTCATTATCTCGGTAGCGGCGAAGCGAGGACACTTCGCTCCTATTGCTACAACCAGCCGACTCGTCTATGTCTTCTTCTGTCTCGCGAGTAATAATGTCGAATAAGATGGTGAATATGTGGGTTGTTAGCCGACGGAAATACGTTATGATGGCTATCTCCTGGGACGTGTTGTTTGCATCCGGTACGACCATTGATTCCCGACGGCGGAGTGAAGTCTGGTTTGAATGGTCGTCTACTGCCGCTTCCGTGTCGTCACTGGATAGCTGGAGCAGTTCTGCGTCTTGCTCTGCTTCTTCGTCTGATGGCCCTGCGCCCTTTTCTCCGGCAGATGCCCACCATATGAATGAGGTATATGCTAGTAATGGCCAGGAAATCGGTTCAACTAGGGAGTTTGACGAGAAAGTGGACAGGTTATCTGAGTCTTCTCTCTCAGGCCCGGATATCTCGCCTAGCCGCGAAAACTCTCTGAGGCCATCTCGTAGCGTTATGAAACGACGGGTATCTCGTTGTGTAGCTTTTATGGGGGTGGACTTTGCTTTTGGGTCCTTGTGCTGGCCTGCAGCAGTTGGAGGGGAAAGGGACATTTTGGGGTATATTCTTTCGGGTGCTTGCCTGGAATAGTTTGGTGGAAGGGTAACGAGGATGTCATAGAGCTCTGGCCGTAGTCCGAGCACGCGATCACTGGAACATGCTATCCAGCATGGGTCAGCAGTGTTAGACAGGGCAGACAGCTGTGCCATGTCGTGTATGCCGACATTGAATAACGGCCGAGGTCGGAGGCTGGGTATATCTTTGGTAGAAGAGAGGAGAGATAGCAAGTTCTGGGGTAGAGATGATAATAGGGATATGTTATATACTGGTTGAAGTCAGTTCCCTTGTCAATCCTGGTTTTTGTATCGTTAAAGGGGCGGCGAGAGGGACATACTAAAATTACAAGACGACTCGACCGGAGCATCACCAAGGAAGACTATTCGTTTCCGCAAGAGAGCTGCCCGATATAGAGGGAATATCAAGGGTCCAAAGGTGTCTAGGAAGTCCGGCAGAGTCAACGCAGGATGGTATGACGGTAGTGTACGGCTTGATATGAGTGCGGTTGCATCACTCAGAGCTCGCTGTCGACGTTTCGCAGGCGGCACAGCAGAGGCCGGTTTGGTATGAGACATGGATTCCAAAGGCGACTCTGGTGGTGAGCTTCCCTCACTGTCTCTCAATTGGTGTGTGTCCCAATATTCGGACAATGGCTGGGTGTCGTCTGGGTCGGTTGCTAGCTGTCTATCGCGAAGTCAACCAGGAGTGTCCATCAAATCACAATAAACAAAAGAAAAAAAAAAAGAGCAGCAATGAGAGAGGCATACATGGCAAGGTCCTTGAGTCCTGCAGCGTGCTTCCAGCTTCTTCCGAGCCTACCATGGCTCAGGGGCGCAAGTATCCCTACGGAGAGCATAATCGCATTACGCTCTGCCTCCCCCGCGGGCTGGTTGATAAAAGCGCTGAGTCCGATGTATTGATCGTGGACAAAGTATCTAACCGGTATAAGCACTCGACTAGCAGCATATCCTCCCCCCAGGAGTGGTCAAACACATACACTAGGTCCTCCTTGACGTTGTGCGCGCCAGAGGGTAGAGACTTGAATTCCACCGCATTGTCGAGTACGACTGCAGCCCGTCCGTCAGCCGTCAACACACCGGCAAAGGGCAAGGGGGTCAAACATACTCTCTGGAGCCGTCTTCTTCCAGGCAATCGTGTATCTACCGTTATACCCTTGATATTAGCTGGAGAAGCAGTAGAAGCAGCGGAGGGCTTACCCGGCTCTGATGTCGAAGCGGATCAGGAACAAAGCCGCGATGCCTGGGGGAGCGCCGGGCGAGTCGAAGGCCAGGTCCATCCTCGCCGGTCTGCTGTCTGAAGGCATGGCTCCGCGCCGCCAGAGTCACTCGTCGCTCAAAGCCTCGACGACGACGTCTGTCCCGTCGTGCTGTCTGTCTGTACGTTGTGTACTCCGTATGTGGAGTTGGCGGTCGTAGTCGTAGTTGTGGCTGTGACTATCACCACCGGCAGCGCGACGCTGAACCTTGTCAGATTTTCCTCCTTTTCTCTCGTTCTCGATGCTTTCGAAATCTCAACCACACCACGACGCCAATTCACCTACACCGGGCAGAGGACGACCGAGAGACCAGAAGACGAGAGACGAGAGAGCTGCCATGGAGCCTGCACACCCATACTACCCGCTGAACGCGAAAGTGGTCGGATACCTGGCCAACGACTGGGACGTCCCGACGCTGGTATGCGCCTTTCTCGGAGGATGGGGAGCTCTGCTGCTGCTGACGCTGGCGGTGGTCTCGGTTGCTCGTCCCAGCCTAAGGATGGGCGACAAGGTGGCCATCCTGTGGTTTGTCCTGAGTGAGTAATTGCCCCTGTGCCGGCGTTTGCGCAGGAGATTTATTGCAAAACTAACGGTCGACCAGGCGGCAGCATCCATTTCTTCTTCGAGGGCTACTTTGTGTATAACCACACTCGAATGGCGCCGGCGCAGGACTTCTTCGGCCAACTATGGAAGGAATACTCTCTCTCGGACTCGCGGTACCTCACCTCGGACCCGTTTGTGCTGTGCATGGAGACCATCACTGCTGTGAGACTCGAGACCCTATTACCCGTATAACCCGTATAACAAGAGTGTCAAGCTGACGAAGAAACAGGTCTGCTGGGGCCCATTGTGTTTCCTGCTCGCATATCTCATCACCGTTGACCATCCTCTGCGCCATTCCTTCCAGGTGATTGTCTCTCTGGGCCAGATCTACGGAGATATCCTCTACTATGCCACCAGCATGTTCGACCACTATTTCCACCAGATTAGCTACTGTCGGCCTGAGGGGTACTACTTTTGGTTCTACTATTTCACCATGAACGCTATCTGGATCGTCGTACCTGCCTGTAAGTTGTGGACATCTCCAATGTTTCCCTTGCATATAATACTGACCAGTGACAGACTACATGTGCCAAAGCATAGGCACCATCACCAAGTCGATCCAGTACATGAAGACCGCTACCATGAACCGCAAGTCCCAGTGAACTCTCCGTCTTCGGGCCGCCTCTTCTTAATAGAATACACGACCGTCTTACGAGCACCATGTTCATCGGACATCTTCAGCTTCTTCCATCGATAGATATACCATTGTAATTAGACCGGACACTACATTCTCGATAGACCATGTACCATAGCTGCATAGAACGAACATCATCAACCCTTAACCCTTATCTCTCTTTTCTATTGCCTTTATGTGTGAGCAGGAGGCAAAGGCGATGGGGCCATCGCATCCATTTTCACGATGGCAAGATGACGTCTTCGGGTTCAACGTCAACTTCAACTTCAACTTCAACGTCTTTTTCTTCTCCTCTTCTCTTCCAACAACATCAGCAGCATCACTACCACGACCATTACTATACAATAAAATAGCAGGAGAGAAGGCAAAAGATGACCGCTTTCCTAGCGACCGCCATCGCTGTCGAGTCTCCAGCGTGTGCCCGGGATATCCAGGCGTTGAATGAAGACCTTGTTATAGCCGTAATTGTACTTATTCTTTTTGCCTTGTTCAAATCCGGCCATCTTGGCCAACTATGGGCGACGTAAGTATCAACTACAAACTTCTGTCTTATAGATGGTTATCTCGATATTAGCTCGCATTAACTAACACTTTGTTAGCTACCGGCCGCAGCTTCCTGCTCATTCATGTCCTCGTCCAGCACCACAAGCCGCATCAGCATCAGCATCAGAATCGGCATCGGCATCATCACAAAATGCAACTATCCCTGCAGCTGCTACTGCGCGGGCACCCACAACCACCACAAACGTCACTGCTCTCGCTACTGCTGCTTATATCAATACTGTTGCTCCTACTGTTACCGCCAACACTACTACCTCCACTACTACTACTATCAGCACTGTCCAATACCTACAACAATACAATCAATACTTACTACGATATGATCAATACTTACTACGATACGATCAATACTTGTCTCTATACCGCCGCTAAAGACAGTGTTCGTTCCTTGGGCAGGGCTTGCACGTCCGCGTACAGTTATGTGGAGATATAGTACCATCTTGATTCCTTTACTAAAGCCTGTTTTTTAATTAGGTATAATAAACCTAGGTAGAAATTATCTCTAGAGATAAAAAAGTGTAGATGGACTGGCCGAACCCTGCATTTATATTCGTGGTATATAGGGATTACAAAGGGACAGTAACCAGATATTACTTAATATTGTTGTACTTCGTACGGAAAAAACATCTCACTTAAGCTGTGATAATCTTAAACAGAGAATATCAGCATCTAGAAGATGCGGTCTTCTTTTCGGAGTATACTCTTGATCGAAGGAATAGTCGGGAAGACCATTTGATATCATGCAAAGTCATTTTGTCCTCCTAGGTATTCCCCAGCGTTTCATCAGAGGGTTAGGGGCCGCCTCAACCTCCCATGCTGCAGCTCTGGCCCAGACAGGGGCCAGCAAGGAGGCCAGCAACAGGCGGTTGACGGTGGACGTGGCTAAAGCTGCGGCCGTAACCATAACTGTAGCTGTCTCTATGGCAGTCTCTATAACCATGGCTCACGTTAGAGGCCTCATCAAGAAGAATGGGATGGCGTGTTATGGTTAAAGGCTTCAAGTAAGATGGAGGTATTATTTTATAAAGGAAAGCCAAGACGTTAACTAACTAGTTAGTCATACACTCTGATTCATTTTACCCATGGTCGCGTGAGATAAGTCGGCATTTCATCCACGTGTTCTCAATATAACTAGTTAGTTAACTAGTTACTCATGCTAATGCTTAGTAATAAGACCTTTGCCTCATTTACAACCTCGCCTTAAAACGACGTCATCTCTTCTGCGTCATTCAGTGAGGACTCAGTATTATATATACCCTAGGTGTATAAAGGTTGAGATGCTGCTTGCCATCTCAACCCAACATCCTAGTTCAGTATCTAACACCATTACTCATATTATTTTATCCAATATTATGTCATTTCTATATCCTTTGATATCCAGTATGGCCTCAGAAGCTATAGCATCAATACTCCTTGCCTTTTGGATCACTCTTAGAGTATTCGGCATCGTCCCGAAATTGGAGCAAATTTTCGACCATCTAGGGATAGACCGCATATCTGATCGAATTCGAACATTAAAGGGATGGATCCAAGGTCCACCTAAGTACGACCAGCAAATGGAATGGATTGGAAATCAAAACAGGAATAGAACTTCTCGCATTTACTGGATGCAGTATTATCTACTTATCACGGAGTCGATTATCGAGCATGCTATCCAGCGGAAACTGGACCAAATGGGCAAGCCATACGATATAGGACCTGCGGATTGGAAACGTAAACTACAGGATATAGTACAGAGCAGGGCTTGGACAGTTAGCAACATGCTGTATGATTTACATCTCAAGAAGCCAGAGGGGCCCCTGATACGGCAATATGAACGTCAACAGGAAAGGATAACCAAAGCTCTCGCTACCAACCCGGCCAAGCACCTGTCTCAGCCCCACCTAGTAGAGACATGCAAGGTAAGAGGCGGGTGCTGTGCGAGAGCATGCCAATGCTGTCTGCGGGCTCGAGGGCTATACCATGACAAGACAATCTTCTACGCGCACTGCACACCCATATGTGGATGCTGCGTTCGGAATCGAGGATTCGTGTATCTCAACAAGAAAGGCGCTATGAGATTTGCTGGATCTGCGGATATCAGTAACGTGACGTTTACTATTGAAGAAAAGCCCTATGCCTCTGCAGTGCTCTGAGCTCTGAGCGGAGGAAAATGCTATAGCTTCTCTTCACCACCCCTAAGCTTCCTTATATATACATATATTCCTCTAGTTAGCCCCTCAATGTGATCCCTTTGACTAAGGCTTACCTCCTAAAGCCAAAAACTTGACCCTATCCTGAGATAGTGCAGGATAGAGACTCCATCCTTCTTTCCCTTTCTTTTCCTTTTCTGTCCTGATGAAATGAGCTTAGGCTTAAGAATCGCACGGCGGCCAAGGGCAGTGAGGCCTATCAAATCTACTGAGTAGAGAGAAACAAAGCAATCATTGGCAGCTACATAAACGACGCTGGGTGACGAAGCAGCGCCACTTGGCATGCTCCACATCCGCGTAACTAATACTCCGTAGAGGCCTTAGAATCACTCTCCTGCAGCGTTAGCCAGGGACATCCCAAGCCATAACTAGCGTCTTAGATATAGTACTCCAGAAGCCCAAGTGTCTCGTTATCCTTTTCCGGGGTATCCTTGTTGATGAGCTTTACAAGGTAGTCACCCAACGGTCAAGCTCGGTCCTTGTTTCATCCTTTGGTGGCAGCAACTGTCGCGTATCTGAGTCAGAGTTATAGTTAAAGATGACTAATACGGAATATCTGACAATTGTCCAAAAGAGGAAAGAGCATGAGGACTCATCGCGCCTTCCTTTCCTCTTCCTCTTCTTCTTCGCTAGTAAAAACTTAACCTCATGGTCTCTCTCTATCTTCATCCTTCACCGTCTATCAAACCCGCACCATCACGCCGTTAGGAAGCTCGACTCGTTAAAGACTATGTATGACAATGACGGTAAAGGGGATACTGATTCTTTTGCTGGTGGCCTTTTTAAGAGACGCGGCCATCACGGTCGCTGTTATCGCTGCCGTTACTGCCATCTACGCCGTCCTTACCGCTAAGGACCGGATCCTTGCTTTGATTACTCGGGCCATTACATACATATGGGCCCATCCCATTACGCCACGGCGGTTCTCTACATAGTCCTTATTGTGGCGATGTTTACGTGCGGGCACCCAGGCAAGATCTGCAGAACGTGAGTGTTTGACTACCGGCTCCTATCTGAAGACATCTCAAGGACATACCAACCGACACACATACGCTTGCTAGGTACTGGGCCGATCGTCGTCGGCGCCGCTGCCACCAGACTAGACAAAGCTCCGGTTTATAGCCATAATTATGGTCATTGTCACTGCCTCATTTACATTTGGCCATCTTGGCCAACTTTGGGATACGTAAGTGTTGGACTAGAAGCTTCCATATAGGATTATGCCAACTGATATTTGAACCTTTCCTCACTACTCGGGTAGGCTCTTATAGCAAGACGAGGACGAAGATGCTGTGGATGCGGAGGATGACGATGACGACGACGGCTGCGTCGATTCTTGGGGCTCTCCTCCTGGATTCTATCGTATATCGCCGAAGTTTATCTACTTTGATATGTTGCAGCTTCCATTGACCCGCCACTATTGCAACTACTTGCTGGTAGCTGTGCGAGGTTCCAGAAGCTTATAAAGTTATAAGTATTTCCTCCTTAGCTCTCTAGATAGGTTCTATCTTCATTTCCTTGCTGCCTATTCCTGGCGAGGTATTAGTTAAAGGAATATAGAGTACTCAATTCCTCTGACCCCTACTCTCCATAAAGCCTAACTTATTCCCTTCATATAGGATCTATAAAAGGGTTTAGATTAGATCTTGGTAGGTCAGCAGTAAGCTATAAGAGTGGAGAGGAAAGTAAATCAGAAAATCATTAGTAAGATTATTATGTAACTAGTAAACTAACTAGTAAATCACCAGAGGTAAAAAAATAAAATCAAACACAATACAATAAATAATAAGAAAGTAAAATGCTTTTTTTTTTTAAAAAAAAATCTAAAGGTCAGTGTTGTTAGTATATCTACCTCTTAGATTTGATATTTAGTTCAACTCTTTGAAGGGATATATCTTACCTACTGCTACTTTCTTGGTGTGCCCCGTGTCTGGGATGCAGGCCGAGAGGGGAGAGGGCGTGATGGCTGCCAATGTAGTAGATGGCCCGGCATGGTTGAGGCGGAAGAGCCCGAGCAACAGGTAGGGACTCGGGAGAAGCGACAGCGGGAGGACGCGACGCGACCAGCGGCTAGTAGGTAGTAACTGAATAAGTAACATGCCTTTAGAGATGATAATAATAGAGCACTTACTCTACCAATATTTGGCGGAAATGGCCAAATCCTAGGGATAATACGAGTATTATCCCCGCTCAGGGTAGAAAAGGTATACCAGTACTAGTTAATTGCAGCCTTAACGACGCTAATAGGAGTCAATATAAGTCGAGAAATAACTATCCAACTGAGAAGACGAAGAGTTACCTACACCAACACCGCCTCCCCGGGGTGGCCTGGACGATCGGGGGAGACCCCGGGGAGGTGCCGTTGCCGGCATCGGTGGTATTTAGAGTATCAATTGAGGCCATCATCTTCGTGGAGTAGCAGCAGGGGTAGCAGCAGGGGTAGCAGTAATCGCAGTGGTGGTCTTAGAGGTCTTCTTCTTGCCTGAAGAAAGAAGAGGGGGAAAAAAAAAGAAGAAGAGGAAGAAGAAGAGAAGAAAAGAAGAAGAAAAAGAAGAAGAGGACGCCATGTTATGTTCCCAAAAGGGAAAGCGTGACGACCCTTCATGCTCTTTCCTATCTTAAATAAACCCCTCCCCGCTAAGGGCGGCATGAGGTAAGCGCGGCTGTTAGGCTTCATCGCGAGATAGTTCAATCGGGAGAAAGAGAGCTCTTCGGCACGAACGCTTATCTGACGATCCGGTACCCCTTCTAAAACGGCGCGGGACTGAAAGGGACCCATACGTTGAGTATTGGGTTGCTCATAACTACCAGCTATTCAAAGAACCAACAAATCCGATGGAATACTTGTTTTCAAGGCCGAAGTCGCTGCGTCGAGCGAAGTCTAGCACCGGTTTCTATACACAAAGCGAGTCCGGCTCAAACAAAAGCAAAAACGGGTACAACGACGAGAATTTTGAGATATACCTGCAGTCTAAAGGAAGCTTCATGGGAAAACACAAAGATGGGATTTCAAATGATAGTAAGGAACTTTGCCGGCGATTACTTGAGGTGGAGCATATCGTCCCTAGGGATACCGTATTTGACCAGGCAGCTTTTGAGTCTGCTTGTGAGAGAGTAAGGAAGCAAAGCGAAATGGGGGTGGTTATTCGAATTATTGGCGAGTTAATCGTTCCATCCGCGGAATGTGCTATTGACCTTGGCCATGTTACCTTCGAGCACCTGATCTCCAAGGTGAACGAAGTCTGGGACCCGACGTGACCTTTGACGTTTCTCAGAAACCCGGGGGTTTAGAGCAATCGGAGGAATCACAGGGGCATGGGGACGTCGGCCTTGGAGAAAACGAAGGTCAGGCTTCGGACCCTCAAAACGCCACTAGTTAATGCGGGACCTAACATCCATCACATAAAACCTCAATTCAAGGGTAACCACCAAGACATCATGTCGGATAGCCACATTAACTAGTTAATAAAGCCATGACTACTCATGGGCCATTGCTGCACAAGCGCTGGCTTAGATTTGTGAGCAGGAATTTTCACCGCCCGTTTTCACTGGGGTGCGCCGGCGAACAAGCCCATCGCAACTCGCGGCTGAAGAAGGCATCAGAAATGGGGACGATCTGTTCGAGTACACTTCAGGGAGATGGATGTACGTTTAGGTGTACTGCTGGAGACCCTTGTTTAAAAATTTACTGTATTGACGCAGACCATGCAGATACAATGAATCTCGTCGCCTTGCCGAACGCCACTTAGAGTTCAATGTTGATGAATTGAAGAAAGCCGCCGCAACTGCTGTCAGTAGGCCAGTTTCAGAGATAAAAGCATCCTAAAACCTGCTGAAGGGGGTTTCAATCGTATCTTTGATATCTCAATGAAAGATGGCTCATCTGCGCTTGCCTGACTTCCATATTCGTCAACGATGCCCCGACGCCTTACAGTAGCTAGCGAGGTCGCAACATTGGCCTTTGTTCGTGCTCGTGGCATTCCCACCCCTCGTGTCCTAGGATATTCAGCGCACGATAACCCTGTCGGCGTCGAGTACATTTTGATGGAAAAGCTCCCCGGAAGACCTATCGGCAATGCCTGGTTCAGCCTGCCCGAAAAAGATACGCTCAAAGACCTACACGAAATGTAACACTGGAAGCCAAACTCTCTGCCAACAGCCTACTTGCTAGTGGCAGTATATCTTCGCTCACGACCTGCCTCCTAGCACCCCTACAATACCCTTATCGGACTCAGAAGGTCTGTGTACTGGTCCCTACGCAAATCTTAGATGATGGTTTAATGAGCGCGCAAGTCTTGACATAGACCGCGGTCCCCGTGAGTAGGAAAAGAAGCCCATGGGGGAAAAAATTGTTTGCTGATTCTCACAATTATAGATAATGATCCGCGGCATGTCCTTCAAGCTCCAACTGTAAAATAATTAGCCTGGATTCGGACACATGGAAAGCCTCGTTTTCCCTTTCAACGTGCCTACAGGGAAACATTAGGTTACAAAAAACAAGACCCGGAGGAGCATTCCAATTCACAATTTGAATATCTCCAGCTTGCTCCATACCTTACCCCTAAAATCCCGAAGCTCAATCTTCCTATTCTCCGCCATCCTGATATTCAGCCCAACAACATCTTTATCTCTGAAGATTTTAAGATCACAGGTCTTATCGACTGGCAGCACTCTTTGGTTCTTCCAATGTTTCTTGCTGCTAGTATACCACAATCATTTCAGAGTTACGGAGATGAGCAGTTCACTCACCTCATTCCACCGCAACTCCCCAAAGGCATTAATACCATGAATGCAGATGAGCATGCTATAGCATGCGAGCAGTTCCGCCGCCGTCATGTGCACTTTTTCTATCTGAGGTTCACGCAGAAACTGAATAAGTCTCACTCAGAGGCCCTTGAAAAGAAATTTGGTCTCATAAGACATCGATTATTTGACAATGCAGGCAATCCATGGGAAGGCCTCAATACCCCATTGCAAGTAGATATCGCGCAGGTATCACAGGTTTGGTCAAAGATTGCCGCTGTCCGTTCAGATGGAAGCCTTCCTGCATGTCCTGTTGAAATTAGCGAGCAGGATGCGCAGAAGAGGGCAGCACTGGGTGATTTACTGCGAGATGTGGATAGTGAACTGGAACAGATCAATGGGTTCCTTGGTGTTGGGTCTGATGGATGGACATCAAATGAATTATTTGAACAATCGAAAGAGAGAGCACGGTTGATTAAGGCAGAGGGGCTTGCCGCGGTGGACGATGACCCCTGGCTCAGGCGGATGACCGAGCAGCATTGGCCCTTTGATGACTATAATGAAGATGAGTAACTGATCCAAATAGTTCAGTTGATATAAGTGGGAGGGGATATCTCTTCTATCAATTTTTCCTCCATGTGCTATTTGTTTCACTTGCGAGCCCCAGGACAAGGCAGATATTTGTATTATCTGATTTCGAGGCCTGATGAATCATAGAGGAATATTCCTATGAAGTGTATTATTTTGTTAAAACAGAAAGGCTTGAACTACATAGATCTTTCGACTCGGGATAGCGACCCATGAAAAAATATTTCGCTTCATTCAGAGAGTTGCTCACTAAAATCTGCCTTTAGCGCCCACCTCGAGTTCCTAAATGTAGCAGGGAGAAGGGATAGGCTCCGAAGAATCTCTCGAAATATTGTGCTATACAAAATTGTCATGCCACAGAGCATCTGCCTTGCCCTTGGCCACATCACATATGGTAAAGAAGAATCGCCAATTTTGGTCTGTTGCCCTTGTTCTTGGTCTGGCGGGGCGCCCCGGATTTTGAGTGGAGAAGGCTGGTGGGGCCTTTCAACCAATCGTCGATCAAAATTAGGAAAAAGTTCAAATTAGCTTCCAAAAATAAGGGTATTCCCCACCACATCTTCGGCTCGTTCCTTTGCCCCACAAGTTTAATAGAGTCGCTCGATAATGGGAAAGACTTGTGACTTCTCCCCTATTCAGATCTAAGTGGTCAAATAACAGGAGACGGGCACCACCATTGGAAACCTGAATATACTTGCTAAAGTTGCAGAGCAGGCCCTTGTGGAAGAGACAAACAAGCGGCCGCACCAAGCGGACAATAGTAGCCATTGCCGAGATTCGCAGCGAAGGAAACTGACCGAAGAGGGGGGGAGGTAAGTGGCTCACGGGCTGGTATTTAGTGATCGAGCTGACTTGTGTAGGCAATAATGCCATTCCCACACCCCTTTCTGAGGAGGCAGAATCCACGAGCACCGGAAACTCTTCGGGTATGGCTCAGGATTCACCATACTCGCACACTGGAGGGGCGACCGAATCCAGGCAGCAATGGCTTTCAGAATCCTTGCCACCACAGCTGGCAGGTGATGCTCGGCGATTTCCCGGGGCAAATCATACTCCCTCGCTGAAAATAGCACAACCGCCTCTAGGCGCATTATCAGATTCAAACCGGAGCTTTGGAATAAATCCCTTGGCGTTAGATAAATCGGCCTTTAATCAATCGCCTAGAACCTCGGAAATTGCCAGCCATTTAACGACTTAACTTCGAATCTTGCCACTTATTCGACAATCCTGATATATGATTACATAGTATTTTATAGTACATGAGGCTTTTCTTCTACCTTTTCTCCTTTCTTCGTATGCTCTATCTCTCTAGAATCCTGCCGTGGTACACCGATGATAAGGAACTCCAATACGCCATCAACAAAAACCCGGTCATGGAAAATGATACATGTTCCAACACGAATATCTTTAGATATTGAGCCCTGCATTCCAGGGTAATCAGAGTGTACCTTCGCAGGACCATGCAATATACGAAGTGGATACATATATAGTATGCGTTTAAGGCGGCTATCATGGACACGAGTCGGCTTATTACTGTCTTTAGTACGGAATAAAGTTACTTGGGTAGATTTTGGGTGGTTCTATTTTCCTGGGTTAGATAAAGCCATACAACGAGTGAGTCGATAAGCATACCAATTTTTCAATCAAGTCCTTGAATTCCTCTTTGAATGCTTGGTCGATGTTTATATAGACATCACCCTGCTTTACAAAATGAGTTGTAGAAGCAAGCCAGTTTTGTTGAGCAATGACAAGGCCCTTTAATTCGTCCGACAAGTCTTCAATTTTCATCTGGTTTGCCTATAAAAAGGGTGAGCGTCCAAAATTTTAGTTATTTTAGCGGTGTTTCTATACCTCGCAACTAGCGTTGAACGCGCTTTCTGATTGATCTGCCATATTCTAACTAGTGCGCTATGCCTTGAATATTGATATACAAGACAGCCGGGACCCTTTATATCTGGATTATGGCGTTGGAGAAAATCTTTAGAGTAAATTTCTAGGCTTACCCCGCTACGTCATGGCGGGGCCGATATAAAGCACGCGGCGGTAACTTAGGTAGTCCACATGACTGATAAGACCGATAAGACTGTTTAATTACAAGCTTGTCTTTATCTACTTCTAACGCATCAACATCTAATAACTAGGTATATCTCTGCCTTTTTATTGGCGATACGGATTCTTGATACAATCTCCAACCTATCTACTATGGGTCAGTCGCGCCACCCATTTTGTTTGGCTTATATTTCTGATGGACTTTACTAAGTGGGAGGGCTATATTTTAAAGTAGTCTAATTAAGATTGCTATGTAAGTGGGGACTATATGCCTGGTTGTATCAAGGGCGCTATAAAGCACCCAGATCCTCAAAACAGTCTAGTTAGCGTATCTAGAGAAAACTATCTCACCATAATGTGTATTTCAAAGTGTTTAATAACTCGCCTTCTGCGCAAAGAAAATTAAAAAAATGCTGAGATATCACCTTTTATCGCGCCTAGCCGCATAGGACAAAGCTCCTATATTTTAGATATCCATCCTTTTGTATACCTCTCAAGTCATTGCTTAACTTAATACCACTCTTCCCTCTCTCCCTTTAAAGATTAACTACTTTATTAAGCGCCTACCTAAAGTATCTAAGTATGTATTTGCCTAAGTTTGATAGTACAAAATTTAGCAGCAAGAGTATATTTATAGATATATCTATAGCTCAGGGATAAAAGTGTAGAACGAGGCGTATGTTGGGATATACAAAAGCTTTCCTCTATAGAGTTAAGCAGGATAAAAGGGCGGTATCTCAGGAATCTGGCGTATGATTTAACCAAGTTGAACAGGGATATACACTGGCAAGTTTTTGGCCTGATGCGGCCTTCAGATCAGGCCGCTTTTGGCCAATTGCTTGCCATTTTATCGTTATAGATAATAATATATAACTGCTGGGCATTAAAAAGCATGGTAAACTAGCAATAAATTCACATGATTTCATTCTATTATATTATCATAGTAGATTAGATTTCGGGCTCTGATATGGTCTATCCCTTTTCAACGTCTTTTTCCGGCCCTATCCTCGTTTTGGGCTCAGCATCAACACCCTTTACCCAGAACCACCAGCCGCAAATCAAGGCTACACTGATAGACATCGAGATAGCCCATAAAAGCCAGAACTTGCGGTTAACAAGCAGGGTTTCTTCTCCTTAAATATTGTTGGGCTAGGGAGATGTCGACGGGCCGGAAGCTTCAAAGAACGGCGTGCTAACCATTATGGCAACCGTCGAAATAGGGAGAAAAACGGTAGCAACTAGTGAAAGACCTTTCAAGCCATAATTATCGCGTTGCGTTAGTTATGTGACTGTTTCAAATACATAGCATCAATGTTAAAAGCGGTAATAGTGACCCTCGGCTCAGCTAGGGGTGCTTGAAAGAGCATTTCAGGTTGATGCATTCTGAGCCATGACGGCAGTCAATTGCTTTACTAGGATGCCTAAGCACGCGACCATCGGTTCTACAGCCGGAACCTCTGGGGCAGATTGGTACAGGGTGCTGAAAGATGCATTCCATGTTGGTGCAACCGGCTGTGTATCGGTATTCGGGCAGCCGCTTCTGCCAACTCCGGTCCAGCATAGCGGTAGGTTCTGAAACGTGGCGAGGAAGGCTAAGATGTCTGAACGGGCATCCTGGATTGGTACATTTCGCCATATACCGACAAGCTGCATTGGGATGCCGGAAGGTGCAATCTGGCTGTGTGCAGGCGGAGCCACGGCGACAAGGCCGTGTATAATGGACGAACGGGCATTCCATGTTGGTGCAGCCAGCACCAAACCAACAGTTGGGGGTTTCTGAAGCGCCGACAATCGAGTCGACGGTGCCAGTGGTAGTCGCCTCGATCTTTTTCCCTAAATAAGGGGCCGACTGGCGGCATTCGAACACGGAACTACTGCGATAAGGACCTGGTGCCTTTGAGCGCCTTGGTGAGATATTCCCTCCTTCGCCCGCCGTGCCCTGATGTGTTGTCCTGGAACGTTGCTGACGAGCTTTAGGAGCCACTGGCGGGCACGGGCTCGGTGACTGCGCTCTGTCACTGCGCTCATCAATCATAGCCTTAAGTTCGCCGATGACAACGTCTTCTGTGATGCACAAGCGCTTCTGATTCATCACCAGGAGCGCCTTATTGAATATATTTCTGGCAACCGTCTGGACATCGCGCGCGCTAGCCCAATTCGGGAGGCTCCCCAGCTTGTTGAAGAGATCGGCCAGTGTCTGGTGGAATTGCGGCGAGGGGTTTTCGAGTACCAACATGTCGAACAAGATGACGTTCTTGGTCATCTTATGTTTGAACTTTTGGAGCTCCTTGCACATCAGCTCAATGCACTCATTCGTGCGCAGTGACCCAAAGACGAACGCCTCGGGAAAGCGACTTGTTAACCCCGGGTTTTGGTCCATGAGGCGGTTGATATCAGCATCGTATCCTGCGAGGATGATGACCAACTTTCGAGAGAACTTTGCCTCAGTCATGCAGTTCACAAGCTCGTCAAGAGCCTGCTTGGCAAAATCATGCCCGCTGCCCGTTTCCACAAGACGGTAGGCTTCGTCGATAAGCAGAACCTTGCCCGAGGATTTTTCGAGAAGCCGCCGCGTCTTTGGCCCTGTCTGCCCAACATATTCTGCTATCATGTGCGAGGTTGAGCATTCCTCAACATCGGGCGTAGCTAGAATTCCCAGATCATAGTAGATCCTGCCCATTTTCTTAGCCACAGTGGTCTTGCCAGTGCCTAGAACCGTTAGGTCAGTAAATAGAGTCTCGGTACCTGCCGTAGTCCAGGCGGGTAGAACGGGATTTCGTAACGCACCTGGAGGCCCCCGAAAAAGAAAGCTAAAGGGGATCTGTTCGGAAATGTCCATGCCCAGGGACTCGAGCCCCTCAGCGATCTTCTGGTATGATTCTAGCTTGCTGATAATACCCTCGCACCCAACCATCCCCCTGAACATCTCGCGGATCGTCTCTGACGCTCGCGTAGCGCGGCTATGGTCCTGATCAAAATCCTGCGGCGCGAGGAAGGGACTCACGGCCCGGGAACCGAGCCCCGAGGTTCTTTTAATTTGGCATGTTTTGGCGTTATTGAGAATGTTATCTACCTCGCCTGCGTTTCCAAAATGCGGCTTGTTCCGGGCCCGGCGAAGCATACCCATGGCAACTTTGACAGCATCGCTTCTAGCCCGAAGGCCCTGGCTCTTTAGTTTGAGATCAAGGATTTGGCGTAGTTCTCCGTCCGTGAAGTCCTCAAACACAAAGGCCGAGTCCAGGGGGAACCGCCGGCTCAGGCCCGGGTTCATTCTTTGGAACATCTTTTCCATGTTTTCCTTGTAGCCGAGTATGAGAATACATCTGTCGTCGCCCGCTGACGATTGGACCTCTGCCACAATCGTATCGATCACGGCCGTGCTGAAGCTAGATTGATCCTCATCACTGAAGAAACTGTAGAACTCGTCGATCACGAGGACCTTCCCGACGGTGGCCTCTAAGATTGCCTGGGTTTTCTCCTCGGACTCTCCGAGATATTGCCCAATGAAGTCAACTGGTTTCTTTAGCACCACTGGATCAATGAAGTAAGGTTAGCTCTTGTTGAGGCGACAAGTCGAAAGGTATAACTACTGTACCTTCACCGTCTGACAAGATCCCCAGATGCTTCAATATCTCGCCGTAGAGTTTAGCAACCGTTGTCTTCCCTGTCCCCGGGTTGCCAAGGAAGACGCGGTTAAGGCCGAATTCAATAATCGGCTCCTCCCGCAGCTCGCGCTGGTAGTTGATCTGGATGCTGGAGCGTAGAGTGTTCACGGCGTCTTTGACTGCTTTAAGCCCGATAAGCTCCTGCAGCTTTCCCCAGGCCTTGCACTTCTTGATGGCGATGGACGGGTCCGGGCCAAGAAGGTCTTCCTTGGTTAGCATCATCACGTCCGTATCATTATTCTTCTGCCCCTTTTCGCGCGCCAATCTGCTGGCTTGACGTCTTGAAATCTGGGCCAGACAGTTCTCAACTGTGCGGGCGTTGCCAAAGCCGCGACGGCCCCGACCGCGACCAATTCGGCGGGCGACGATGCGGCAGTAGAGGCCTCCCGGCCCTTTCTCGACCTCCATTCTGCCCTGCCATTTCTTCTCGACCTTGAGCGCAAAGATCCGCATGAGATCGTCGTCGCCAAAGTCGCTGAACTGGATCGTGTAGGGGAAGCGGCTGCGCAGGCCCGGGTTGTGGCCGAAGAACGTTTCCATCTCCTTGTTATACCCTGCCACGACAAAGACGACCTTCCCTACGAGATTCTCGGCCTCAGTAAGCAGGTAGTCCAGGGCCTGGAGGCCTCCCCGGGAGCTGTGATCCGCCGTTAGCTGATATGCCTCATCGATGAATAAAATTCCGCCGCCCTTCTTGCTAAGTCTCTCGATGTGTTCCTCACACCCTTCGATACCGGAATCCGCAAGCTTCGACCCCGTTGTCTCCTCCACTTCCCTGCCAGAGATGGCGCCCAGGGATGCGAGGAAGTGAGCATAGAGGCGTGCTACTGTGGTTTTGCCTAGTTATGTGCTCGCCACAAGGGGTTTGATTAGTAGGTAACTAGTTAACGGCGGCTGTCAAAGGGATGTGTTTTCTCTCACCTGTCCCGGGATTTCCAAGCATGGCGCAGTTGAACCGGTTGCCTCTGATATTGGTGCCTTGGATGGAGGCAATCTCCGCCATTGCTCTGATGCTGAGGAATTCCTCCTTGACTTCCTCCAACCCGACCATCTCCATCAAGGTGTCAAGTGTAATATCTTCGGCGCCCTTGCATTTCTCCTCTTTCCAGCTGGTCTTCGCTGGGGAGTGACTGGGCTTCAAGCCCTCGTAGTTGTTATGCTTCCTGCGACCCCTGGACTTAGGTTGGGCCTCAGGTTCCCCGGATCCCCTGGGGAAACCGAGCTCATGTTCAACTGAAGGGTATTTCTGGTAATTCAGGTGGCCCATCAGATCCATGTGTTTATTCGCGGCTTCCTGACTGCAGAAGTAGACATCATCGCATGTATCACATTCGTGACAGAAGGGGAATGAAGGCTCTGTCTTCCACAAGTGACCCAGGTTATTCATGTGCTGGCGTAATGCTTGATTGGAACCCAATACTCTGCCGCAGAAAAGGCATAGATAGAACATTCTAGGGGCATGTATGTGCAAGTAAGTGCTAGATGAGCAGGTAGGTGAAGAAGCCGATAGACAGTCAAGTTTCTTCAATCAAGAAAATCCGTCAGGCCACCTGCACCCTCCTTTTAACCAAATACCTGTCTAACTAAAGTCAATGCGCATTCTACTTGAGGATTGGCGGTCGTTAACTAACTATAGGGAGGACAGGAGATATAAGCGCCCGCCTTGCCTGACACACAGCGCTAGCCCTAACCGCCGTAAGGGGGTGCTCAGGGGCACCTGCATGCATACCGCATATGGATCAGCCAATCGAGAGATTCAAAAGCTGGCTGAAACGGACATGGCAAACCTGAGAATGGTTTCCAACCCTTGCTAGATAGGTATATTAACCGCCTTTTAATAATAGATATAGATTTACCCCTACCAGAGCTGAATAGTAAGTAGTTATACCTTATCCTATCGACTAATTCCCTTTCTTCCAGTATACGCGGCGTGACATACTTCCCACCTGGGAAGTATGTCTTTCGCCATTTGTCCGGAGTCTTTGGAGATATGATAATAATCATAATAAAAAAAGAGCCTCTGGGAAGGTTGTGCTTATATAAACAAACACGCGAAGCTGCCAAGCTTCCTTCCAATTGGCTTTCATCGGATGATATATTTTTCCTTTCCGGCTGTTCATCGCGTTCAACACGCCGTATCTCGGTCATTCCAGTACGTCGCGCGAGACAAAAAGCACAGGATGCCTCTCAACATCTTTCACCATGCGATTTTTAATGTCGATGCACTCTGCCAGCTCGCAAGCTCTCCACGTTTTGGGGGATGCTGCTATTGCGATGTTACTCAGGTACCAGTAGGCGGCAGCTTGTACTCCGTACTGGCAGTGTTCGTCTTCTTTGAGGATGGAGGGACATGGTTGGTTGGGCTGGCAGTATCAAAGGAATTGACACTAGTTTCCGAATGGACATCTCGGTACCGCAAGATTGATGATAAAGGTATACGACGCAATGGGAGTATATTTGTAGCTGATGACAGGCTTTGAAAGTGGATTTTGAGGTTCGCTAGAGCAAGCGGTAGGTCTGGAGTGAAGTAGAACTTTTCGTGTTGAGGCGCAGTTAAAGAACTTGCGCAAGGAGCGTTCGATTGGTCAATATCGCCAGCTTAGTTGATATTCACGTGACCAGGATACTTGGAAGGTTCCAAGGTTGGGACATTGAATATCTTCGATCAATTTGCTCTATAAATGCCTTCGTTATCTCTTAGAGAACAATCAAATCCCTTATTGGGAAGCTAATTGTCAACTGCCTTGATAGCAACCAAAATGCAAATGCTATACGACGATGTTGCCTGGGAACAGAGCCTTCAAGAGGAAAGCATCCAGTCCAGATGTTCTAGCAGCCGTTACTGAATTCATGGTAGCCAAATACCCGTCATCTCGACCCATTGACCGTGCCCGTATTATAGGCGTTGGCGCCTTTAACTTCTGCTACCGTATGGAGTTTAATGATGGGTTTGCTTCTCTTCTGCGCTTTGCATCTCCGGGCCGAAGCTTGTTTCCAGAAGAGAAGACCGAAGCAGAGGTTGCTGTTATGCGCTTCATCAAGGAAAATACCAGAATTCCCGTCCCGACCATCCTTGACTGGGGAATGCAAGGCCCCTGTGATATGGGCCCGTATATCCTGATGGAGTTTATCAGTAGTTCATCCAACCTGACGGCAAAGTTGAGGAAACCCGGATTTGCTAGAGAGGACCGTCCTATACTCGACCCTAACATCGATGAATCAAAGTTAGAGCTCTTATATGGGCAGATGGCAGATATCATGCTTCAGCTGTCAAGGTGTTCCCATAGCAAGATAGGCTGCCTGAGTGCTGAGTCTGACGGCCAGACTATCACAAAACGTCCCTTGACGATGAATATGAACGAGCTCGTCCAACTCGGCGGTTACCCCAGGGCTGACCTACCGTCATCCCCTTTTATATCCACATCCGATCATTTTTACAGCCTCGCTAAAACTCATTATACACACCTATCGACACAGCGCAACGATGCTATTCAGTCGGAGGAGGATTGCCGCAACAAATACACCATCAGAAAGATACTGCTCAAGCTCGCAGGGCAGTCAAAATTCACGCATGAGGATGCTCTGGATCGCCGCGAATTCAGGCTTTTCTGTGACGACCTCCGGCCAACAAATGTACTTATTGACGAGAACTTCAAGGTCGTCGCTGTGATTGACTGGGAATTCACGTATGCTGCACCCTCTGAATTTACATACAGTCCTCCATGGTGGCTGCTTCTTGAAACACCAGAAGACTGGCCGTCAGGCATATTAGATTGGGCCAAGACTTACGATTCACGGCTCAAGATCTTTCTACGAGCGATGGCGTGTCATGAAGATATCGCGATCCAGGAGGGGCGGTTATCCGACGGGGAGCGACTCTCTGAAAGGATGTCTGATAGCTGGAAGAGTGGTGATTTCTGGGTTTACTACGGTTTACGGAAGAGCTGGGCTCTAGATATCGTCTGGCCCTTCATTGACCAGGCGATATATGGTGGAGAACAGACACACGAGCAGAGAGTAGCCTTGCTTGCGGATAGAATCAAATTCACCGACAACGAGCGTAAGGAAATGGACGCCTTCGTTCAACAAAAGCTAAGGCAATCTGAGCCTGGAGCGCAAAGTAATGTGCCCGGCACCTAACAAAGTCTGGTGAAACATCTCAATCATCCCAAGGCAAGGAGCGAGAAAAATCTCTCACGAGAAACTTCCAACTGATGTTGAGGTCGTCCAGCTCGAGGCATCGCAGAAAAGCTGACCCATAACAAGACAGATTTTAAAAGAGTACGAGGACAAGCAAGCATTGTGAGTATCCCACGAACGACTCTCTTAAACTCCCTTTATCAAGCTCAGCATTGCACTATGCGGCATGGAGTGAATATATAAGGAAAGCTTGCATCCTCAAACCGTGCATCAGAGTCCAGACAGCAGCTCCTAAAGACTCATCAAAGAGCATCCAATCACCGCATCTAGGAGTGTTGATTATGGCTCATTACCGTAACATGAGTGTATCACGGTGTATCTCCATACTCTGATATCACGTTGCCGGAAGTAAATACTTGACTAACTAACTAGTTAACCAGCCAACATGTACTCCGTAGTATAAGTTACAGCATGGTAGACATGGTAGAGCCGGCTAACCACCGAGGCCACACCTGTCTGTCTGTCTGTTCGCCCGCAGCTGCATGATGGAACTGCTACCCACGACGGTTCCATCAAATCAGGCCTCGAGCCAGGTATCACTTATCCCTAGGCACGCAGCTAGGTAACACTCCGCAGTTAGTTAAAGCGCTGTTGTACTAACCAAGCAAGCGCTCGCTTCCCCTGGCTGCCGTCTCTGCCATCCAAGCTGCATCCTGCGGCTTCACCCTTCACCCTTCACTCTTCACCCCTTGCCTTGCGCATTGCTCCCTTCTCTTCCACTCAGCAGCTGTGGGTGGCAATAGCTAGCCAGGCAGCCCGCCAGTTCCTATCCAGCATCGAACCCGATCCACGTTCTGCGTGCCGTCTTTTTCATTTGGTGTCAACTAACTAACTACCCGCTCCCTAGCAAACTACCTGGGCTGTTTAGTCGGTTTACCCAGTTAGTGTGTCAGGGAAGCCCGCAAGGCCCAGCTGGATCCCGTCAAGGGCGAGAAACCATAACTGAGAGAGAAAAAATGGAGAGAAAGAGATTTCTCCCCTTGCTTGCTTGCTTTTCTCTGGGAGTTCGAAGTTGGATCCTGTGGGCTCCATATCAACGTCATCCCGGGGCCACCGCCGCCGTCGCATAGGCCGGTTGCTTTCGCTGGAACCGTGGATGCTCCTCTCCCTCTCCCTCCGTGTCTCTCTGTGTGTGCTATATATACACTTAATACCCTTTCCGCCATCCGTGTTCGTTCTCTCTGGTTCGCTGTCGTCACCGAATCGCATGTTTACCTGTCTTTTTTCTGGGTGACGTTGGCTTGTTTGCCGGCGGTTTCTGGCGCTGCTTGCCCCCCAGCCAACTACAAACTCCCAGCAGCTCCCGTCAAATCCCCCTCCCCTGGCTGATCTTTTTACCCGGTTCACCCTCTTTTTTCACGGGTATAAAGCCATCCAGGTAGCCTCTTCTTAAAAAAAGCTTCTTGTCTTGCCGTTTAGCGCTAGCAAGCTCTTCTTTTTCGTCCTGCTGTCTTGTCGACTGCACCTTGGAAGCCCTTCTCACCAAGAGACGTACTATCACCACCACCACCACTACAGGAACTCTACCATGGCTAAACGCTCTATCTTCGTGGCCACGCATCCCCGAGCATGCTCGACGGCCTTTGAAAGAGTAAATACTGTCATCTCTTCACTTCCCTGAACATAGTTTAACCTCTCTCTCTCCTCTCCAGGTCTTCATGACCCGCCATGACACTCTAAAGTGCATCCACGAACCGCTCGGTGATGCCTTTTACTATGGCCCGGAAAGGCTGAGCAAGAGATATGAGGATGACGAAGATGCCAGAGTCCAGACGGGCTTCCACCAGTCGACTTTCAAGACTATCTTCGACCGCTTGGATACAGAAGCTTCAGAGGTGTGACCCTTTTTCCCCTGCCAGTTTGAGAGAAAAAGAAGAACCAAAAAAATACCATCACGGCCATCACTCTTTACTCTTCCATGCGTTCCGATGTTTCTCTTATCTCCTCCTGCTGCTGCTGTTGTTACAGTTGCTTTTCCAAGTTAAATGGGATATCTCTCTTTTGCCTTGATATGGATGTCTAGAGGACACTCGATTGTTCCCCGGTCACTCATTGGACTTACCAATACCACAGCGCAAAATGCTCACCGTTGCATCTAGGGGAAACGACTCTTCATCAAGGATATGGCATACTACATCATGCCGCCGGACGCGCAGCCAGCAACCACAGTAGCCTCACTTCAGATACCCAAGCGTGGAATTAGCACCACCATGCACACCAACGGAGCCTCTTCTAATGGTGTGGCCGCAGCTCATGTAACTAATCCGGAACCTGAAAACCCAACAGTCGTCCCGCTAGAGCTGCTCTCGAAATTCCATTTCGCCTTCTTGATCCGTGATCCGCACTATAGTATCCCATCGTTCTACCGCTGCACCATCCCACCACTAGGCAATATCACTGGGTTTTATGAGTTCTACGAAAACGAATCTGGATATGACGAACTGCGCCGGCTCTTCGACTACCTTCGCAAAATCCAGTTTGTCGGTCCATCCCACGCATCCACAGTCCATACCGCAAGTGCAAACGCAACCAATGGAGCCACCAATGGAGTACATGGTGAGCCAGAAAAGGTCGAAATATGCGTGGTCGACGCAGACGACCTCCTAGATAACCCAGCTGCTGTGATCGAACGCTTCTGCAAGAGTGTTGGGGAAGAGTACAACCCTGAAATGCTCCAATGGTCCTCCGAGAAAGACCAGAAAGTAGCTCATGACGCCTTTGCCAAATGGCAAGGCTTCCATGATGATGCTCTGGGATCCAAGAGCCTGCGTCCAAGAGCCCACGTAAGTTTTACCCCTAAGAAGCACCCATCCGTGTAACCTCTGGATGTACCTCAGCTTTTCTATTTTTGGAGCGTTATAGCTAATACTTATTTTTTCATCTGATAAGAAGAAAGCAACCAAAACTGAAGAAGAGTTTGACGCAGAGTGGAAAGGAGAAATATGGTGAGAAAGGAGCAAAGATCATTCGCTCGGCCGTGGACCGAAACATGGCGGATTACCGCTATCTGAAGAAATTCGCTATGAAGATATAACTTCATAGGCTATAATTATCATGCCCTGCATATGTTCCTTAGGGAAAGAGTCATGCTAATCAAGCTGTGCCAAACGGTTCAGCAAGCATGGCGATGTCTTAGCTCGAATGACTTTATTCCTAGGCCTCTATTGCTTAACTAGTTACTTACAACAGTTCTGGCACTACCTAGTTGCTGCCCTATCACGATTTATAGACTAGCTAGGTATATCTTGGGTCATTGAGTGCCTCATTTATGTAGTCTACGGTTTGATATGACGAGAGTTCGGGAAATGGAAACTTCTCCAGGCATAGTGTGATACAGGGTGTTGCAGCATGGTACTTTGTTACTATGGTTAGAGTATTTACTTAATGAACCCAGCTATGCATGCTCCTTTGTCCAAGTGACGCAAGACAAACAAAGTAGTTAAGGAAGCTCGTACAATCGTAGCTCTGTATAACGTACTGCACTGGAAGGAAACATACCGAAGAACCATATATAAGGGAGGAAGCATCAAGCTAGAACAGCCCAAAACACCACAAACAAAGGAAGCTCTTCCAAAGAACCATATAGTAATAGAAACATAGAACTATGACCATAAGAGCAAAGAGGAAAGAAATAGGAAAGACCACCAGCTCCTCCCCCCCAAAAAAAGATAAACTCATAAAAAATGGAGTAGATAAATAGTCGATGCGATCTAACAAGAAATTTGCAGACGGGATAGGATTGATGAAACGATACCGACCCGGTCATGCTCGGTTGAAACAAGCTCAACAAGGACGGGCCGGACATGGTACAAAACGAAGAAAGGTAGATATATGTATACAGTCCTTGCTAAGGTCCCAGGGGGGTAGTAGTATAATGGCCGGTCGTGACGCAGAGCGAGGAGATCACACGGCACTGTAACCGCCTCGGGTTCCACCTCCTTGCAGTGTGTTTACCACCCGTCGCGCCCAGTCCTTGAGGATATAGGGAATATCCCGGATAGTGTCACTGTGAGGAAGCAGATCCCACCCACGAGCTCCATACCGGCTGTAATTGAGCCACGAACCAAATATCAGATAAGCCGCAGTGCATAGGAAGAGACTGTGAATGACATCAGGGAGTTAGTCGTTATACTCTGGCGGTCAAGGGAGAATGGAATAGATAGGAATGACTTACAGGACAATAAGCCAGGTAAAGAACCCCCAGTGGCCGGATGATGTGTTACCACCGCCTTCAACGTTCTCGCAAGCATATTTGGTCCTCCACTCCAGCTCTAAGGTACCTTGTTCTTCGTTATAGCCCTTATAAACAAGGCTCTTCGAGTTTTCTTCCTCTCGTTTTTGGGATTTGCCGTCCTTGTCCTTACTATCCTTCTTATCATCGCCTTTCTTTTCATCGTCTTTCTTCTTATCGTCGTCCGGTTTGGCGTCTTCCAAACCCTCCAGCCCGGTTCGTTCGGGGTCACACAAGAAGGTAAACACCGCTTTCTGCTTCTTTACTACATCGCCGACCTTGTGTTTTCCGCCATGAAGCTCCATCTTCAGACCTTCGGTACTCGGGTTCTCTTTCTTTAGCCGTGTGAATATAGGGTCGAGTGTCTTGCCGCTATCTAGAACAAAATTGCCCGCAATATCGATCACCTCCATGGTTCGCTCTATTCCATTTATATCCGTTGCATTCCTGACAGCGCAGACTACAAATGAAGATAACCGAGCGTTAGCGATTGCAGTACTGGCCACGGGAGAAAAAACACAAGGTAAACACACCGAAAGCACCCTTTTTACACATAGATTTGGTTAATGGCTTGCATATGTCAAGCGTGTATGTTGTATTGAAGTCTCCGTGGGTGCTGGTAGTCTCCATGACTGAATGAGCACCTCCAAGCTTGGAGAGATCCCACGATACTCCATCGACTTTGATATGAGAACAGTCTAGTTCGGCAGACGCTAAGGAGGAAAAAACGGCAAATAAGGATAGAATCGATAGCCCCTGGTATCTCGCCATCGTGGCCGCCGCCGCCGTCGTTGTTGCAGGCTACAGCCCAAGCTCGGCTTTATCTTCCTAGGCGTCACGCGGGCAGACTGTCCCCAACAGCTTCAAGAATGCGATCAGAGGGAAGTGAACGAGCGATGAGCCAGGATGGACCGGTAAAATAGAGGAGTAGCTCTAGAGATGATCTGGCAGCTGTTTGGTCGTGGGAAATGAACAGGTGTTCTACCAGGTTAGGCACAGAAGTTGTATTTGCTTGCAAGCTGGACTTTCGCGGTTGCATCATAAACATCCCTAAAGGCGCTGGTAGTGTCACGTGATACGGCTATTCAGCCTGGAGTTTGATATCAGGCAGAAGATGATGATTTTGACAGGTAACATGTATGTTATTGCAGAGAAGATGTTGGATGATATGTAAGAGGATATGTAGAATACATCTGAACATTTTGATTCTTTGTTATCCGGCATTTCCATCCCACTACTCGCCAACCGCTAACTGTGCAAGCATTTGTGGGCGTTTCTGTAGATCTTCGTTCGCTAAACACATCATTCACTCTGTGTTTCCCTTGAATAGCTCCTATCCTCTCTTGGTGTATAGCTCATTCCGTTGCTGATATTGATGTGGCTCGTTGTTTGGCCAAAATATTAACATTCGCATCTTTTGTGCCTCCATTTGATAACCAGCAACATCAACACATTTAACAGCGGATATTTGATATAACTGCCAACAACATCCAGTTGACAGATTATAGACATACCAAATCCTGACAGTATATCTTCCTAATTGCACGGGCTCCGGAGATCAAGATGTTTCAGCGTCGGATGGTGAGTATAGCCCTGGACTGCGCTCCAAGGTGCTTGCTACTGGCCTCTCGCTAACACATATTTTAGCTCTCGAAGGACGACGAAGCCACTGGCAGTGAAGAGACTGAAGTCCGGCGTGAAGATCAAGAAAAGATAAACCGTTTCAGTCGATTGCATCAACGAGAGGCCGTGTTGGAAGCACAGCTCAAGGCGAAGCTGGTACGTATACCAAACACGCGCTCCACGTACTGAAGAAGATACTGCTACGTTAAGAGCGTATACGGCGCACCTGTACCCTGTAGTTGCAATATTTCTGTAATTGGTCTTTTCCCAGATCTGTATTGCCACTATAGACCGAATATCGATTTTGATCACCTTCTAGACAATATCGTGAATGAGGGGCTAACACACACTACAGAAAGACAAGGAAGATCTCGAGGAAGTCTCCGCTGAGCTTGACCTGGCCGATGAGGACGTCCCGGTTCCGTAAGTAACGTCTCCGTCTTAATATCAGCCATAGTTAGGATATCTCTATTACAAGCCTTACTAACTAGAAGCAGATACAAAATCGGTGACTCCTTCATGTCGCTTCCTCTATCAGAAGCACAGGAAATGCTAGCTGCTTCTACTGAGAAAATCGACACCGAAGTGTCTGACTTAGAGGAGAAACTGGGAGCATTAAAGGAAGAAGCACAGCAACTGAAGATTGCGCTTTATGCGCGATTTGGAAAGAGCATTAACTTGGAGACTTAATAATGGACATGACTGGATTTATATAGATACCTAGCACAGCATAGGCATTGTTTCCACTGAATATATTACACTGGACAACAACAGCTGAAAAGAATCGAAATATGATCATTAAGATCTTCTTATTATTAAAAACAAAATATTTCTAGTAAAAAAAGTCCAGTTGTAAATGGGTATCATTTATACATTCGTTATTTCATCCGACCCATCTTCTCTGTGTCCTTTCGTCTTCAACGGGATAAAAAAATGCGGTGATGATGGCATTGTTCTTAAGCCTTAATGCTCAATGCTCGAGCTTGAGAGATGAAGAGTCGACGCAAGTTCCCAACCGAGTGGCAATGCCGAGATGTTTCGTTCTCATATAATATTCGCGATTGTCATCTTAGAGATGCTGCTCTTTTGGCACGGGCTGCTGGTCGTCTCTGGGGGGCGGCAAGAGGTGCTAATGCCGTTATGGACTGGGCGATCAAGGCGCGAATTTTCTAGACCATTGGGAGAAATAGCATGGTTCTGTTGCTGTTGCTGTTGTTGTTGCTGTTGTTGTTGCTGCTGTTGCTGTTGTTGTTGCTGTTGTTGTTGCTGCTGTTGCTGTTGTTGTTGTTGTTGCTGCTGCTGCTGCTGCTGCTGCTCAGCTAACAAGCGCTGAGTTACCATTTCAACCCAGCCCCATCCTTCCCACTCTTGTACTTGATCTTCAGTGTCACCAACATCTGTTCGGCTGCTATCCAAAGCCTCCGCCTTCAATGGGGAGGTCGATGAGTTGGATGTGGCAGACGGTGATTTGGTTCCTAAATCCATGGCGGGATTAGGATAAGTCGACCTCCAGACCCAAGAGGTATCCATTGAACTTTGTAGGTCACCCGACACGTAGGCCATCAGTTCCTCGTCTTCTTCAAAGTTTAACGGACCCCCCTTTTGCTGCTTTTCAAGTAAAAACTTCAAGAAGAAGGTGATGTATCGCCCTGAAGCAATGTTCACTGCCCTGGCATCTCCAATTGCGGAGCAGGCCTGTATGCATACTAGCGCGGCTGCATAATCGGCTCTACAGAGCAGGAGCAGGATGCATCGCCAAATATGCTTGCAAATCACGGAAGTGGCAGCTGCAGCTAATAGATAGCGCCAGTCGTCGCCGTTTGCTTTTGACGGCGCTCCCGGTTCAGCAGAAGTTGGTGAGCGCATGCATCTAGTTAAAATTCCAGTGGTATCGCGAGCAACAGCCAAACAATGATCCATAGCAGCATTCCGGATCTCCGGCGGGCATCCGGGAGAGAGATTATGGCGGTGTAAGACTAATCGGGTGTTCTGGAGAATGATAACAGGGGAAAGAGACCGTGGATCGAGGTACTGATTTGACTGCATGTGATAATCTGCTGGGAAGCTGTTCAAACATGCCCTGAAATGTCGATCAAATAACTCCAGGGTATCGCCTGATATAACCAAACTTTTGAGGGCTTTGGTAAGTTGCGATACGCAGCGCATTATGTGGACTATAACAAGTAAGGGATTTGATTTCTGGTCAGGCGTTTGATTCCCTTCTTGGATAAGTTGCTCTTCGATGGGGGATGGTAGGCCAATATCACAATCATCATCAATAATTGCAAGCGGGCGGCCAAGTTCCAATGCGCTCAGCCTATTGACTGTTTGTTAGTATTTTGGTTGAAGAAGCGACAAGACTGCATGGTGGTTATGCATGAACTGACCTTTCCCATGAGTAAATAGACCACCAAACACGTTTCCTCATTTCACCATCCATCGGCTCCCATGGGCCTGACTCCAAATGAAAACCAAGGTCCTGAGCAATCCGTACTGCGGAACCAAGCCATACCCAACTGACGGAGTTTATATTAAGTTCAGACAAGTAGATGCTCACCAGCATCGCCCCGCGAGCTTGCTCGATGGAGAAAGTATTTTGCCAAAGGTCAATCAAACCCATACTGGTTTTTATGTATTCCTTGCCTTTGGCAATTAAGTCTGCATCAAGGGAATGTAGCGATCCACAACCTAATAAGGCGAAAAAGACTGCAGCCCAACCCCTGGGGACACCTTTGAGGGTCCCTGTCTGATGAACTCTCTCGTAGACATGTAAAATGGTAGGCCAATGGAGAACTGGATATAGACAATGCACACATGAGAAATAATGTCGCATTAAAACATGTGCGATATTTGTTGGAGGAAGCGGGGGCACGTCTGCATCTAGGACAGGTTGCGGTCGTAAAAAATAAGGAGTTTGCGGGAAATGAAGAAGGCCTTGTCCATAAATTCGCATTTTTGAGCATACTCGAGAGAAGTCGTAATTAACGTTCGGAGTACGGAGGCGAGTAGGTTGGGAGCCTATCTCTGGAATTGCCGGAATATCTTCGGCAACATCAGAATCAGAACCCATGAGGCTAGCAGCCTTTGGTGCACCAGAGCGCAACTGTTGTAGCTGGATTTTGGCCTGGGCGAGCTGCCTCTCAAGATCTTGAACTTGCCTTACACGGTTGTTAGAGAACAGGTAAGGTCAAACATAGTAGTGATAGGGTAACCAACTTGATAGACGACATGCGCCGGTTCGTCTCCTTTGTAAAAAGGCATCTGACATTACGGTTGGAACACTCCGTACAACTCGATGAGTCCGAAGCATCACACTATTGGAACTATCAGCATATCCATACCTAGATACGGGAAAGCGTAGGTCAGACACATACCTTTACTTTTCTTTCGCGGCATGCATCGCAACTGGGATCTTTCCGTCGCTGTCTATATGCACGCTTGTGCGATTGCTGGGGGACTGCTGGAGAAATATGGCTTGCAGAGCTCGAAGCATCAGAGATAGAGCCATTATGGAGCGGGCTAAGCAATAAACCAGGCCTCTCTCCATGCTGAATCTGGGGATAATCGTATTGTGGATGATATGTGTTGCCCATAGACATCTGCTGGTTGTGCGGAGCGGAAGTGTAGAGAAGGCTAGATATCTTAAGCCCGTTGCCTGGGGGGCCACGATGAGGTGTAGAGCCACAGCCGGGTTCCGAAGGTGGCCTCGGAGCAGCCGTTGATGTAGAGCTGATAGATGAGACGGGCGACGAAGCGTAATAACCACCTTGCTGACTCCGTGGAGGCGGAGGAGGGTATTGTTGTCTCTGCATTCTGAAAGTCTTCCCCTCAGGCTTGAATGCAGGAATCACAAATGTCAGCTAGATATTGGTCCTTCTGGTCGTGAGCCTTGTCGCATTCCGTCTATCCTGGCCGAAATCTCATTCACAAGTCTTAAATGAATGTAGCCATTCGCATTCAGATACTTTATATCGATGTGACTGGGCTGTATGCCGGTTTGGATAGGGTAGGTCGAGATGCCCTAATGGGTTTTTGTTCCGAGGCGGGAGAAGCAGACAAGGGACAAGGAGCGGCGATATTGCCGGCCAGGAATATATACCTAGTTATATATATATATGGCCAAGCTGGAGTCAATTCGCGGGGTTCAAAGGCCGCTTCATAGCTAAGTATCGGGTGATGTTTCCAGTAACCACCAATGCTACCTACCCCCACAGGTAGAAATATTCCGACAAGCTGGAAAGGGAGTGCCGAGGAAAGAAAAATAAATAAATCGTAGATCTCACGAGATTCCTGTCGTGTGTGGCTCGTGGGTGTGTTAAAACCCCCCCGTACCTGATCTTGAAACTCAAAGGGCGAACTTCGACCAGACGGATAGTTGTTTCTTTTCTTTTCTCTCTCGGGTCAAGGGAGCAAGAGAGAATGCGAGAGTTCCTGTTCCGTGTCTCACGGACAGGCGGTGGTGGAAACTTGCGAGAGAGAAACCCCGGAGCTGATAAGTTATAGCGCCCAACAGTGGACTCGGGTCATGGAGAAAAGGGAAAGGAAAACGGAAAAAGGAAAAAAGCTGGGGTTGAGAATCGAAAGACAGTTGGTGTCGATTAAAACCTGGGACAATCTGCTGTTACATACTCCGTTACTCTTCCTGCACATGCGGCTGTCAGTTCCACAGGCCGAAGGCAAAAGGAGGCGGACGGCTAGACTGCGAGGAATCCCAACTCTATTATTTGCAAAGGCTGAAGGGGAAAGAGAAGGCATGCGCTTTGAACCTCGTATTATCACCTCCAGCTTGAAACGATTTCACAGCTCCGGCGGCGTCGTGGTAGGAATCAAATCACGGGCTCCCAGTTTCTCGCTTGGTTCTGCGCCTGGACCCTAACTATAGTTGGCCGTCTACCAAGCGATCAGGATCTGTTAGCAAAAAAGAATAGTAATAAAATATAATAAAATAAAATAAGAAAAGTAAAACGCAATCGCATCGAACAGATGTACTTACATGTACCAGCCAGGATATTCTTCGCTTGGGCCCGAGGTTCGATGTCACGGAAGAATCCTGGTTCGCCCCTAAAAGTCCCGCCCGTCCTTCACTTCGCACATCCAGGCTGAGCCGAAATTAGAGCGCCCACACAGCCAAGGGGGGCGCTAGGTTGGATTGGCCAGCTGCAAAGGTAGTTCCCGTTTCCACGCTTTGTGCACTTAGTTGCGACGGTGAAACCACATGGAAACACTGGGTGGTGTGCCCAACCGTTTTGTGCTTGTCGGGATTTTGGCCTTGCTGCTGCTGATGGAGGGTGTTCAGATCGTCCGGCCGTCAGCGCCATGCAGGAGGGATCATCCAGTAGCGAGGAAGCTTCTGTCACCCTGAGTCAACTGATGGGACCTTTGGAGCTCCTTCGCCGTCTTGGACTGGTATTGCCGAGTGTACCGAACTTGACAGAGAGAAACTCCACGAAGTTAACTCATTTAACTAACTCTGATAGTTCGTTAGCTAACGTTTTGAACCTCACGTTATCGGCCCTTGGAGCATCATTTGAACATCACCTTCGGCCAGTCCAGCATCCCGCGAGAGCGACAAGATCACAGGCATGGCTCTTCTTAAGCCCACCGAGCTGTCATTCCCTCTGCCAAAGCTGTCGCATGTCAACCTCCATATCCATCTTACTTGTCTCGCTACCTCGACTCTCATCTTCCTGACCACAACCTCGATCGGCGACTCAAACGTTGCCCGGCCCATGGGCAGCTTCGTCTATGCCATGCCAGATGTATGAGCCACTCTTTCTCTTCATTCTTCCTTTTTTATCCCGCGCGCGCCTTGCTTGTTTTGAAATTGCCATCCCCGTATCACAATATACGACGCCCAATACCCAACGTCCCATATGTAAGATAGATCCCCCTCTTAGGACAGGGGAAAGGTGGGAGCAAGGCTGTCAACACACCACACTTTGCTGCATTCGCCATATTTTCCAATACCATACACGTACACACATTGCAAGCTCTTGATCGTCGCCCATCATCTCCCGGTGCTTTCTTATCCCAATTTCAATTGTTCATGTCCAATATCCAAGAATGCAATAGAAAAAGAAACGAGAAAGAGAAAACTAACAAACTACCCGCCCGATCTTCCGATCCCGCTCTGCTGTGTCTGAATATACAGAACTCAAATGAAAAATCTACAATCTGCTCGACTCTCTATTCGTCACCGACGAGTATAGATTATGCAACGCGCACGGCCCGGATTCTGGCTCGCCGGATGAGCATACCGGTCTATGTTGGCTGCAGCGCTGACTTCTCGGGGATGATGGTCGAGGAGGAAACAGAGGGGTTAACCAAGGTCGTCAATACCATCATGGCAGAGTGGGAAAAGCAACGACAGTCCTAGGCGGAGGAGAATCATTTGCAAGCAAACAATATCATTCGTTTGGCAGGATTAGACGAACGTAATGTGCGTTCCTTTCTTCTTCCGTTCCTCTTTTGTCCTTCCTTCGACAACTATGGTTCCTTTTTATTTTTTTGTGCTCCAATCCCAAAGCCCAGACCCCTAGTTATCGTTTCTTATGGAAGAAATCCTCGTTTAAAAGCAGGATGGTCTTTCTGTTTTCGGAGCGGGCTAGTTGGTCTATGCTGCTGTACTACATAGAATGAACCAAACACATGCTGTGTCCCCGGGATATCACGGCCTTGACAAGTGAAAAAGCAAAACAAGCCAAGGAGCGGGAGGGTAGGGAATGAAAAGGAAAATATATAGCTACCTTGGTGATGAAATCTTGCCTTTCAGGAACTATTCCCCTTTAATGGCCAGGCCTGAGATGTAGGAGAAAGAAAGTGATGTTGCTCTCCTACGTAGGAAGGGTATATATATGTATGAAGAAACTGCGCATGCATGAAGAAACGGCCTGATGAGCCGACATGTCACCAACTTCAACGGTGAAGCCAAAAAAATTCCCACGCGATGTTGCCGTCTAACCCTATTCCTGAGATGCGAGTCCATCGATGTAAGAAACTCGTCTCAGGACAGGTTAGATAAAAATGAGCTGTCTCACTGCGATCAACACGCTTTTTGCTACTTGGTGAAAGAAGGCGCAAACACAGCTAGGCAAAATCACACTGCGGGAATACAGCACTGGCGCTGATACAGACCTAGCCACGGCCACAGCTCAACGTGGTTGGGCGGACATGCGGCTGGTTGTTTGACAATCTCCCACCGCGGAAATCTTGCCGTCCTTGGGCCTTTGGGCGATCGTATCCAGGAAGTAACTACGATGTTGATGGCGCGATATTCGACTCAACATGATACTGCTACATATCTAGCAGGGGACAAGGTGGACTTGCTACGTTGCGAGCGAGCAATCCTCAAGTCAACAAATGGCCCTATATAATGGTTGGTCTGTATATAACCATAGGCTGAGACAATGCTTTTGCGGCATTCGGCTGGAATTGATTCTCCGGCGATAGGGAAAAGCTTGCATGGGTGTTGTTCGTATATGTTGGTCTTCCATTCAACCGATAAATACCACCTCTCGCCACGAGTGCATATATATTGGTTACCCGCAGTAATATCCGTGCTAATTTGAGGTATGTCAGTCTATAACTCCGTATCTTTTTGCAGATCCTTCGAGAAGGCCCAACATCCCAAAAGAGGTTGTCCGCTACGGAGTACTTTTCCTCTTTCCATTATTGTGTTATGATGTGTATTCAGTCCAGTGCACGATAGTCTGGTCGATTATGTTGTTGTCTTAGACACGATTTATAGGACGGATATCTTCCGCGCCAGCGGACTCGTTAAAAATCTTGCAAATCGTTAATCGTGCAATTGTGAGTCGAGTTTTGCGATTGAGGCTTTGATCGCCATTTTGGAGCATACCGATAAAGCTGAGGACAGGCTCCACGCATGCAAAAAGGCTGATTAAAATAACGCATCTCGAACGGACAGGATGTACGTATACTGTGCAACAAAACGTCAATAATAAATGGGTGGGTCGACACGGAGAGAGCTAAATCAACCTTCTTGGGGAGGCTGGAAGGTTATCCAAGGGAGAAAGACAAGTCGGGATCTGGGATCTGGGATCCTTAGTTACGGTTAGATGCCGAATGGTCTAACCAGAGTTACGGAGTTCTGCAAAAAAGCAATTGCTGGATACACGGAGTTCAACTTCTATACTCCGCTCATGATCCTCTGCTCCGGACAACAGGGTCGTGTCTCGAGCAATAGCTCACACACATATTATGCGAACAAGGGCAAGGAATTTTTAATATGCGGGTTCTCGATAGTGCCCAACCTTTTGCTGAACTATTAATTAGCTGAGGACGAATTCACATGGGGAGGGGTTGCAGAGGGGGGGGCATGATATTAATTATGTACCCGTATATGCATGAAGGATATGTGTAGAGGGAGTGTACGAAATCTCGGGCGTCGCCATCCTGGTGATAGTCCGTCGTCTCATGGCTTCGCAAATTCTAAACAGGGTACGCCGGAAAGGAACATGGAGTCAACAAGGTTTTCCGTCGACTTACTCCGTACATATCATTATTCCACACGCATTGTCCTTCTTCCAGAGTTGGTTCCTGAAATTGTTTAGATTGGAATTTGGAAGCCGGATAACTAGTTAGCTGAGCACGGGCCTCGAGAGCGGGAAGTTTTTTCACGCCACTTCACACAAGGACATCAAAGGCAGCAAGGCCTTGGTCTGTCCCTGGCTCATCATAGGTAGTTACACATGTGAGACGGAAGACTCTGGTTATTGCTTCGTATATGAGTCCGTCGTCACCTGGGAGCTCGCTGTCCATGGCCCACCTTCCCGGGACTCCTTTTTGCGACCGTTAGTTAGCTCTCGCCAAGACTGGGCCTCAAACCGAAGTTCCATGTGTATTTGGAGAAAGTTAGGTAGCTGAAGATGCTTTGTTTTCGATCAAATGTATTTTCCGAAGCGGGGAGAAGCAGAAACGCTCGCCCTCGTATAGGAAATGTTGGCGAGAAATGAAAATGCTTCTCGGAGCGTAACCGAAAATGCGCCAAGATGGGATTTGAGGGCAGTGGTGGCAACCAGGTCCGTCAAACCTTTCCCCAGGGCCTGGGGCAAAGTTTGCTGTTGTAAAGGGTGGATACTAACTTACCCTCCAGTCGCAGCGCGTTGACATTTTTAGAGATTCGCTTTTGCATTTGGAAGAGGATGGACGCATGTTAACATCATGCACGTATCCAATATACGTAGGCATGTAATAGGGCAGCCGAGGAGCGAACATGGGTTTGGGCCCTGTGATCGGTTAAAAAGGGGAATTTTCCATCATCGCCAATTTCCATTTTAGCCGGCCCCTCGATCTCGTTGGGCCCTAGTCGCGCAATCTACTTTCTCTTCCATGGACCACAAACTTTGGGTCGTGGAGGGGCTTGGAAAGCGTTAACTTGGAGTTGGGTGGACGATGGACAGGCCGCATCCAATAGTAGTGTGTGAGGCAGGTAAACGAATGCAGTTATCAGACTGATATACCAGACCGGCAAGAAGGATATTCCAATTGGACGGGAGAGCCGGCCAGGCTCTCCAGAACAACTGATTTTCTTCAGGGCTTGTTTCATCACGGACGGAGCTTTGCCAGAACCATGCTAGCCTCTGTTTGTTCCGTGGAACCGTAAGAAGCGGCTTCGACGGCGTTCAAAGTCCAGAGTACTCCGTTCGATGGTTAAATAACATTTCCATCGGCGGACGTTTTCTTCATGAAACGAAATGATGTGAGAACTAGTTAAGCAGTTAGCGAGCTCTGCTGCCGATCCTATGGCCTCCAGCCCACAGCGGCGTTTAATTATAGGACACTGCTAGAAAGGGAAAATGCTATACCACTTTGCCCCATGCCCCGGATATTTCGCCTGTCTTCCGCTAGGTTGACGATGTTTCTCGCATTCGCTGGCGTTCGCTGGCGATCCGGGTGTCGCTGGTGTCGCTAGTATTTGAGTTGAAGTTGAAGTTGAAGAGATGAAGTTGTTGAAATGAAGTCTGATATTTCCCCTTTCGGCCGTCATGTGAGCGCTCGGCTTCCGGCAACATCAACTTCATCGCCAACTTGATATCTTCGTTGTCAACTTGATGGACGCTCATTACACCCTTGAAGGATCTTCTCGAATGCTTTCGAAGACTGAGTGCGAGGATAGAGCCTGTAAGGCCTTGATCCTGGACCTTGGCCCGGCTACTATCCGATTGAGCAGGGAACGAGGTTCAAACGTCCTCTCTGGTGCCCAATTACTCACATAAACACGTAAATCCACCGATACATACAGCGCAGATATGACATACAGACCCATTGCACTCCCTCTGGTGTATATGCAAATCTTCCTAGCCTGGTGGTGCTAACAACCTAGCTAACTGTTTGATGAGAAATATATTCAACCGCTGAATATGATACCTATATGTTCAACCATTTGGCTTAAGTCATACTCTGCAGGTCAATATGGTTTATGTATCCTCCAATGTCATACCATCGTATCGTTCTTTGATTCTCTACCTGCCTATAGAGTTTTTTCTCGCTTCCAATACCATCGGCCTCTACAATCCCGGTCCCTTCTATCAAAGACTACCGGCAAGACAAGCAGAGTCTTCAAACAAATTTATACGATTGCCAGTAAAGAACAGACACGTATTGTAATGAATGTGGCAAGGGTGAATTACCTTTATTGATGGTGATGGTAGTAAATCCACTGTTCACGAAGGACTAGGCAGTTAAAATCTACCAGGTTCTCACTAGAGATGATCCAGAGCCCAGAAAGCTCTTTGGAAAATCTCATAAATGAAGAAGGATAATAGATTGCATTGCACTACCTCGAGGGACACCCCGTGTGGTGTACAGATTATCGTAGGGCTATTTTTCTGTTCATTAGGGTTGGTGTGACGTCGCATCTTGGTCGTACACTGTTAAGATAGGAGCCATGCAGAGTATTGAGCCACAAAGTAAGAATTTCTGAGTGAATCCACCTATGAAGGATGGCCTGTTGTCCTCGGAGGCTCCTCACTTCCTTTGAGACTGGGTATCCTGCTTTCGAGGTTGGCCTTGGTTGGGGGACGAGTGGTGATAGCATCCACTGGCTTTCCTAGAGAGCAGCAATTTCATCTAGAAGTGAATCCGGTCAGGAACAACCGCCCTAGATTCAATATGCTCTAATATGTCATAGTCATCCGTGTTAGGAGGAGTAAGTGTGTATTAGGCAGCATCGGACTGCAGCAGCACTTCATTCATTGGACACCAGTCTAGGTGCATATTGCGCTGGCCATAGATGTTTTGCATATAGGCCATTTGGATCCTTAATCGAGCCGACTCAATGTGAAATTCCATCGACGTAGCTCGGAAACTAACAGATGTGGTCAATGTCTTTTTCACGCCAAATGTGTAACCCAAATAAATCCATCATCAACTCAAAATAGTGTAAAGCCATCAATGCAGACCGTTACCTTAGCCTGTTCGAGTATATCTACGAGGCTGGGGAATAATTCGCAGTTTTTCGAAACTTCAGGACCTGTCTTCCATGCTTCAAACTGGTTGGCGCAAAGAGATTGCCCCCTTTCCCAGTGCCATTAACCCTTGAGGTTATCATTTTCGGCCTGAACCAAGAGCCCACTAGGTTATTGGAGACTGAACTGCTCTCCTGCAAGGGGAAATATACTATCCATGTCATATTGATATACCCAAAGCAATTATTGATCAGCTGATTGTTTAGTCCAATCAAGACAATGCAGTTTTGACGCCAGTAATGCGTACGAGAATTAGGCAGACCGCCGCTTAAAGGAGCTGGCTGGTCTTTTGAATTGAGACTTTATGCCTTAGATTCTGTAGATATTCAGTTCCGCAAGGAGGGTCATAAAAATAAGAGGCCTGGGGTAATTATTTCAGGGCCATTCTGGGTATCAGCTGGGCATTTGGTTAGTGGATGCTACCTCAGGTATCAGACCGAGATGTGACACGTTGAAGAGACGAGAAATTGACAATCTCATTGGGGCCGTTAAGGATCCTCCATGTCAATTCTGGTATTCTGGTGGTGGTGTCACCACCGTCTGCAAATTTGAAAGCTGGCGCTTTGCTTGTTTCTGAACAGTTGGTCGAGATTAAAAGCTGATATACGAAACCGCTTTGCCGCTATTAACACCAAAAACCATTAATTGGCATTAATAAGGCTTGCTGGTTGGTTGGTTAACTGGCTGACTTGGTTAGCTTGCTATCGCCAACTCGACATCCAGTGAAAGACATCGACAGGTGGGATAGCCGCATACGAGGACGACCACTGGCGATATGGACAAGGAAGAGCAGCCAAAGCAGCCACGGCCGCACAGAGAAGGAATAGAAGGAGAAGTCGAAGAAGGGGAAGAAGAATGGAGCGGTGCCTTTGATCCGTTTGCTGATCCAGAGGAACGAAGGGTGCTGTTCGCCTCTCTGGACTCCTTCAGGTAGAGCATCCCCCTTCGCAGTGGCAGACAGTGCAAGTGTATAACTGAATAGTTACTGATATTTATGGAGATAGACAATACCGCCGCTCAGCACATCGAAATGTCACCCATCGACGGCGGCAGTCGTTCTATGCTCTACCTTCGCTGCACTGGCAGACCCTGGCCGCACCGCCGTTCAACCTGCTCGGGACATTCAACAAGGTGGACGAAGCTATTGATGCTAATGCAGAGGTAGCTGAGGCCATCCTTGACTCTGCCCTGGACGCATTCCAGCTTCCCCGGCACCCGCAGGCGGGGGATAGCGCAAAGGACGGCTATGGCAGAGTCGTCTCATGGCATGACACGGCTACTTCGTCGGATGTAAGCAAGGCCAATTCTACGATCCGCCAGCTGTACCGGGACTGGAGCGAGGGAGGCGCCGCAGAAAGAGAGACATGCTACGGCCCCGTCATGCGAGACTTACAAGGTGAGTTTGGAGAGAAGCCTGCGCCAGGCACCAGGGTGTTGATTCCGGGTGCTGGACTGGGCAGGCTGGTGTTTGACGTTGCGATGGCCGGGTTCGAAGCAGAAGGAAACGAGATCTCGTACCATCAGCTAGTGACGAGCAGCTGGGTTCTGAACCGGACGAAGCGTAAGGAAGAGTGCGCTGTATACCCGTTTGTGCTGCACTTTTCGAACTTGCGGACCCGTGAGCAGCAGTTCAAGAAGGTCCTTATACCAGACGTTCATCCTGGCTCTGCCGTCAGAGGCTACGAGATGGATGATGAAAGCAGCGAAAGCGGCCGGAGAGAGACGAAGAAGATGACGGGTTCGATGAGCATGACAGCCGCTGATTTTCTGTTACTCTACAACGAGGAGGCGAACAGAGAGGCCTTCAGTGCCGTGGCTACGGTGTTCTTCATCGACACTGCGCCGAATCTGATACGGTACATCCAGACGGTGCACCACTGTCTGCGGCCGGGAGGCATCTGGAGCAATGTTGGGCCGTTGCTGTGGCACTTTGAAGACAGGCCAGCTCCATCTGCTACGGCTGCTGCAGATAGCAGTAAAGTGACGGAGGATGCAGCTGCTTCTGCGCATGCTCCGGGCGACGATGACCTGGAGAAGGAGTATAGCCATGGTCACAGCCATGGCCACAGCCATAACCATAGCCACCACGGCCGAGGACACGGCCAGGGAGAGGGAATAGCTGACCCCGGAGTTGTAGAGCTGTCGCAGGATGAAGTGCTGGCGCTGATAGAGAAGATGGGCTTTGCTGTCGAGAAGGTCGAGGATGACATAGGGGGCTGCGGCTACATCCAGGACCCCGACAGCATGCTCTACAACATGTACAGGCCGGTGCATTGGGTCGTTAGAAAGAAGTGACCACTTTTGCTCCCAGTATCTTGCAATATCTTCATCGTCTCCGTCGTCTTCGTCTCTTTTATCTCTTCTCCTTTAGTATGTAAGTGTTGATACCGTGTACTGGTAACATAAATACCAAACTTACCATACATGACCAGCCCCACGACCGTGAAACCCCGTAATACTAATACGCAACACCTCCAAAAAGCCGCGATGCGCCAAAATCAACGACGACCTCAGCTTCAACTTCGTCCCGTCCAGGCAGCGTTTTCACTCTCTCTTTAGCTCTGCCGTCCCGCTGCTCGCTGCGGCTGTGTCCTCCCCCAAGAGCCTCCTGACGACGACGCCGCCCGGCGCAGCTCACTGGCCGTTAGAAAAACCCCACCACCAAGTCCTGCAGCGCAGCCTCGTTGCGCCCTCAGCCCCCCGGTCAAAAACGTTGGTTGCTTTGCTCTGCGTCGACTCGACCCTTTTTCCCTCGCTCGCTCTCTTCGCTCTGTTGCCTCTCGCTTCTCTCAGCCTCGAAAGGAAAAATAAGAGACACGGAAAAAAAGAACAAGGGAGACGAAGAACCCCTAGCCGTCGCTCAGCTTGCTGCCAATATACTCCTTGGGCGCTTCTTTTAGCCCTGTACTCCGTACACCCCGTATTGCTCCCCTCTTCCTCTGTTTCCTCTTGTCTCCTTCTCGCCTCTCGTCCTCTTCCTCTTCCTCTTCTTCTCTCTTCCCTCTTCTTCTTCTCCTCCTCCTCCTCCTCCTCCCATCTACTCGACACCCCGTTTTATGGATCTCATGAGCTCTCGATTCAAGCTCGGTTTTGGAAACAAGCGCAAGAGTGGCTCCTCTCTCGCTCCTACAACCACCTCGACCAACACTCCCAACGGGTCGCCCTCGCAGCCCTCGCCGCCGCCAGGCAACTCCCCTAACCCAAACGCCTCGTCCGCCAGTCTCCCCATGAACCCGCAGAGTCATCTCGGCCGCCCGCCCAGCTACACCTACGCTCCCGGCGCCCCCAGGCCCGCCAGCCCGCTCCCCCCAGGCCAGCATCACCCGCAGCAGCTCGCCCATTCATCCCCCGCCCCTTGAAACACCCGGCGGTGGGCGTGCCATTCCCCTACAGGAGGCGGGTATGTCCTCTGCTCCCCCCGCCCGCCAGGGGTACGGGTGGCTCCCCCCCTCAGTCGGCCCGGCCAGGGGCCAATGGCATCCCCGCAGCCCCCTCGCGGCCTTTCCGCGGGCAATACAAGGGGAACTCGACAACCCAGTCGCGCAGCAAGGCACAGCTGATTGTCGGGTATTGATTTTGGAACAACCTTCTCCGCCGTTGCGTATCCATTTGCTACCAATACTGAGGCCAGGGAGGACATCATCACCGAGTGGCCTGGTGCGGGCACACACACCAAACAAAAGGTCTGTCTATTTACTCGCCAAACTTATCCCAGTAACTATTCCAGTAACTATAAGTGACCGTTGATATTAATTTTATATCTTTTTTCTTTAGATACTACGGTGCTATATTACGATCAATATCAAAAAGTCGTGGGATGGGGTCCCCGATATCGCAGACGCCCTCGCTCCCACCGGATACCCCAAAGCAGGCGTACAGAAGGTGGAATGGTTCAAACTACAGCTCATGTCCTCAGGTGGGAACACCTACATCGACCCCATAAACCTGCCCCCGCTACCACCAGGTAAGTCCGAGATCGATGTGGCGGCAGACTACCTCTTCCATCTACGCGGGGCCATGCGCAACCAGCTCCAGAAAACCCTCGGCGAGGTGTTCAACCGTGAAGAACGCAACATCCGCTATTTCTTGACTGTCCCCGCCATTTGGAATGACGCCGGTAAGGCCGCTACCCGTGCAGCGGCCATCCAGGCCGGATTCCTGCGCGATGAAAACGATAACCGTCTTACCTTGATTACCGAGCCAGAGGCTGCAGCCATGTTTTGTGCAAAGACAGGCTTGCTCAACCTCAAGATCCATGACGCCATCCTCATCGTCGACTGCGGTGGTGGTACTGTTGATCTCATCGCCTACGAAGTCGACGAAGAGACCCCCTTCAGCGTCTGTGAGTGTACTGCCGGATCCGGTGACAGCTGTGGTTCGACTGCCCTCAACCGTAACTTCAGCAACATCCTGCGCGCTAAGATCAGGAAGATGAAGCTGCCAGATGGATCACGCACGGCTGGCAAGGTGTACGCCAAGTGTATCATGGACTTTGAGAACAGAATCAAGGCCGATTTCAGAAATAACGGACAGAAGTGGGCTGTCGACGTTGGTATCGAGGCTGATTTCCCTGAAGCGGGCATCGAAGAAGGTTACATGACTTTCACCAACGAGGAGATTCTGCAGTGTTTCGAACCTGTTGTCAACCGTATTTTGGAGCTGGTCAGGAACCAGATCATTGCCATCCAGGCACAAAACAGGCCGCTACAGGTGAGTCCAGTCCCTCCGACACAACTTTTTGTTCAGCCCCATATTAATAAAATACGTAGAACGTCCTTGTTGTCGGTGGATTTGGTGCATCAGAGTACCTCTTCCAACAGATAAAACTCCACGTTCCCCCACAGTATCAATCCAAGGTCGTCCGCCCCATGGACTCCGTTGCAGCCATCGTAAAGGGTGCTGTCACAGCTGGTATCACCGAGCGTGTTGTTACCTCTCGTGTGGCTCGTAGACACTACCTGATGGCCACCCTGCAGCCGTTCAAGGAGGGCCACCATCCTGAACAGTACCGTGTCCCATCCCTCGACGGCAAGGACAGATGCAAGTACACTCGCCAGATATTTGTGCAAAAGGGTGAGCGTATCAAGAACGGCGAGCCTGTCAAGGTCAGCTTCTTCAGGCAGGTGGCGCCCGGAGCGACGCTGATGTATGAGGATATCCTCTACGCCTGCGATGAGGATGTTTGCCCTGAATATACCAAGGATCCACGTATGTCTTGACCTGCTTCTACTCTTCATTCTCTCCATGTTTCATCAGCTAACTGTGGTCTGATCTATAGGTATCAAGGAGGTTGTAACCCTTACATCCGACCTGTCTCGCAAGAACCTAGAAAAGGACTTTGAACGAATGGACACTCCTCAGGGTACCTTCTACCGAGTGTACTTCGACATCTACCTCACTCTCGACGGCAGTGAGTTCAATGCCGAACTGGTCTGCCAGGGCGAAGTCATGGGCCGTTGTTCAGCAAGATTCCGATAAACGGTATCTCTGCATTCCAGCTTCACTTCCACTTCCACATCCACTCACACTCCCTCCCCTTTCACACCAATCATGCAAAACAAACATGGCCAGCAAAAAAAAAAGAAATCGATGCGAACGAGAGAATAGAATGAAGAGGAGAGAGCGGTCGTATTAAAAATTGTTGAGGTGGAGGAAGCATTAGGAGTAGGAGACAGGGGGCCATGCATTTCCACCTCGGCCTCTTCCCCTTGAATTGATATCACGCCTTGGTTTACATACTGACTTATTGATTGGCCTCGCATTTCTTTTTCCCTTTCTTTTACATTCATGATAGATCTGTTTTACCCCCTTTCTTCCCCCTTTCACGACCTTCTTTTCTTGCCAGTTGTCGAGTTGGCAGCAGATCCCTTACCAACCTCCAGCACACATACAACATTCACGCCATCTATGACATCTACCAACACCATATCACGACATACTTACTATACGCAAGCCACGACCATCTATCTACCTGTTCTGCTAAATAATATAGCCAGCCTCGCCCTACTGCTTTATATACCCCCTTACCCCTTTGATCCGACTGGCCTGGCAGTCAATACCGTTAGCCCACTCGAATAAAAAGAATCTTTCACTTCTCTTGACATCGTATTTCTTCCCCGTGTGCCTGTCTGCCTGTCTGCCTTACAGGCACTGACTGATCAACAAATACGTAGTTTCTCTCGTTTCCTTTTCTTATTCCAATTGTTTGCTACTTATGTAGGAAAGGAAATAAGCACTTTATCTCGACGATAGTACAAGAGAAGAAGCAAATCGCCTCCCCAAGGCTTCTTCGCTACCGCCGATCATACGATAATTTTACATAAATCACCGAGCATATCCTTTTCACCCCATGTACTAGTTATTACATCCTCGTTCCCTCCCTCCCTGGTGAAGGATATCCCTCTGAATAACGAATATACTCACAAGGATATGGTCTGACAGACAGACACTAACTGGGCACACCGCACAGATAGACATGCCGAAGAGCAAGCGGGAAAAGCAAAGAGAGGATGCCTGTATGCCAGAGCCGGAACAGTTGCAGATTCACCGAATTAGCCAGTCATTCGCCTCCATATCGCTATCATCCCTGCTTTAATCATGAAGAGGAGGCTGTGCTGGCTTCGAGCGTCCCCTGGGATTGACTTTATCTGGAGAGCAGACACGCGACCTCCTCCCTTTCTCGTCTTTGGGGTGTGCGTCTTCCCCTGTTTTGCTTCTTCGAGGTAACAGGTAAGTACCTATGTACTCCATATCATGTAACTAGGATGCGTTAGGCACCCAGGCAGGTCAAGTGCGTCTTCATTGCTCTTCTTATCAATCTGCTTCTTCAGCTCTCTTCTGTCTTCCACGTCTTTCTCACCCATTCGTTCTCTATTATGCGAAGGCCGATTTGCATGACTGTCTGCGGTGGTCTGATTTCCAGGTGTTCGTTTCCTATTGCCGATATCAAGGGAATATCGGGCAACAGTGCTTTGAGCATCAGCTGGCAGCTCCTTCTTTTGCCTTTTCTCTCCATACGATGATGGATCAGGCAAAAGCTCACTTGACCACCTGGCAGGGCCCAGCAAGTGGCTTGCTGCTAGTGACTAGGGGCCTGGGCAGGCAGGTTGCAGCCACGGCTACCGCGGTAAACCAGTCGCATAAAACACCGCAATATGGAGAACAAAAACAACATAACCTTGTGGATACCAGGATTGTGCTGATGGATGTTCTCCGTTGTGGAAGCATGTCGGGTGGTCACTTGGGCGGATGCTTTTTTCGTCAGACGGGGAGACTGTTCATGCAGTACGAGGCGCAGCAACGGACAGGGACAAGGGATCCTATCGGGTCTCAGGCGAGGAGAAAGAGTAGCAGCACCGCCAGCAGCGGCATTCAATACACAACTGCTTGAGTTCCGCACGACCGCTTCTTTACAAGAATTGGAATCAGTTTTTGACGTCGAGTTCGCTCATCCAACCCGTCATGGCGCACTCAAAAGGCCACGCGAAGCCTACCCCCTGATCCCCTGCAAGGCGTTTTTCTCTCTCGGTCCGCCACTTCTAGCCACTGTATAAAAAAAGCAAAACAAAGCCGAAGAGGGTTGTAGCGCATCGTGGGGGTCTTTCTCTTCACCGAAAGGTGCCAGAAAACGTCAGAATATAGACCGGCTCTGGACGAAATAATAATAGCTGTTGTTACCAATATGACTCTGCACTCCACAGTCTAACGGTCCAGACAACAGGCTTGTCAGCGAATCCCTGTCTTCGAATTAATCCAACGAGGGTTAATCAGTGACATTTTCAGCTGGCACTGAACACCGGCCAAGCTCGAGACTGGGAGCATCGAAAGACTTGCAGGAAGTGACAGTTTGATGGCTAAAAAAGCAACGAACAGTCAGGAAAGAAAGCCAAAGTCGTCGTCTGTACTCCGTATAACCGGGAGACTTCGAATTCAAACTTCCCATCCTTTTACGAGGTCGAGAAAACCCGTCCTGAAGGGGATAATATTCATGGTTTCCTCCCTTCGAGGCAGTTCTCTCGATTCGCGCTCCGTAGTGTCACAAGCCACATTGATAGATGGTCGGGCCAAAGGGCCTACCTGTCAAGTAAACAGCCGCCCTCTGCGCAGAAATATTAGCGGTAACTAGTTAATAGTTGCCGTTTCTATATAGGACAGGGGTCTTCCTCGCGGGGGTGGATACGGACTAAAGCCTCCCACCGACATGGAACGCTGCTTGGCCGTTGTGCACACCCAAAGGGGCATAAAAAGCGCAAGTGCTGTGCGTAGATGTCTAAGTATGGATGTGAGCTCTCGGTATTACCGGCTAACTGGTTAGTTGAAGCTGTCACGAGAGTGAGGGTTGATGTGGCAAGCGCGCGTATATTCCGTAGAGCTCTATCAGCGTTGTATCAATGTCATCATTCGTGAGCTTCTCATAAATTCGTTGAAAGGGGATGAAAGAGCCAGGGTGTACCGAAAGATCGCGTGGCCTTCTTCCATCCTGAAGCATCACCCTTAAAAAGGTGTAGAGACAAAAAGAAAAGAAGAAAAGGCAAAAAGGGCGCATATGCTCCGTATAGCCAGTCATTGCTAATACTCCATGCATACCGAGTACTATTTGCGTACTACGTATGCGATTCCCATGTTGCAATCAAAAGCCCTGATGACATATGTTCTCCGTAGTCGGCGTCATAGGCAAAACCGCTCAATCAGCGGTCTTTCAACCGTCCTTTCCGAGCCTCTCCATCAGATGCGAGCCCAATATTTTTCTTCGTGGGCGCACGGACAAGGGCAGGCGATCTGGATCCGAGGGCCCTGGGCCCTGAGCCATGGATTATGGGTGATGGACTCGTGAGAAAAGTATGAGTTAGTTCAGCGGTGGAACCCCCTTTACCTTCGCGCGATTGCCTGCAGGAAAATAAAAACAATATACCCACAACCAAAGCATGTATCCTTCTGGACGGGTTGGGGGTGAAGAGAGGGGGAAGAGGATAGGATGACAGGCTTGATGCTTTTTGCTTCTTGTCTTTTTCCAAGGACGAAGCTTATGGATGATCGTATGTCCACTTGATGACCCAGTCGGGTTTGTCTCACATTCACGAATAGGGATCGTTGGCGGGTTATTCATTGCTTTCGGTGGCTCAGCTCGCTATCAATGGAGATGGGGCCGACACTGTTCACTGTATGACTGGACTGGCCTATATTGACTGAGAGTTCCGGCACCTCGTTGTTGGAATAAAATCCCTTCGGGCATCCTGTCCCTTTTCCTGTTCTTCTTTTCGTTGATCATAAGGCAATGGATTTCACTCTGAGTCTCGATATATTTCATTCTGTTCGAGCTCTTTTCTCGGCTGCTTTCTTTTCTCTGCAATAACATTCATTTTCATATGAGAGATTGTCGTTATCGTCGTCAATAGAGAACCGTTGACCGTCATGTTTATCCTCTTCAACGCCGCCTCTCTAGTGGCCATCTTCTGTGTTGCCCTGACCTGGGCATATAAGTGGCTCTCTCGTTCCTCATGGACCATCCAGAAGCAAAGAACTGAGAAAGAGGTCCAGGGGATGGCCCTCCCTTACTCCCCTGTCTCAGGCGAGAGCCCAGTATTATCTCCAACTCCAGTACGAGAGAAACCGAAATACCGAATCACTATGGGCCTCAAGAGAATGGACAAGGCTTGCTGGCTTGTCGTTGACGATACCTATAACGCTAGACATCAAGTGCGAGCCAACCTTTTCAACACTAGGAACCGGGAGGTGTCACAGTGCCTCCCTGAGGCAAAAGGGGCATGCAACGAGGCTCTGAAAGAGGTTTCCTCCTTTCTATGCCGGACATACCCTAATACGTTTGAACTCAAAGAGTCAACATCAGGGGCTATTGTAAGAAACAAGCGTGTGGGAGAAGAGTTTCCCCTGGAGAACGGCAGCATTCCACCATTGGAAGCAGCCGCCAGGCTGGCCATGGAAGACATGACTATCCTCCTAAAGAATGACAGCGGTGACCATTATGTGTATGTTGTATCTATCTGTCAAACAAATTAGTTACCAGCTTTCCATAAATAATTGTGCTCAACTTGCTGATGATACTGTATAGAGCTGCAACATCCAGTGCGTTCCTTATTGGTTGGTCTGCTAATACCCGCATGGGCTCGACGCTGAACGAGATGCATGCTCCCGTACCTCAATGGGCTCGGCAGATTGCCTTTTCCGTGAATAAGTAAGGCTCCCTATAGATTGATGCTCATTTTTGGTTGCAATGGCCGTTTCTTTCCCATGGTTCACCGCCGCTAACGTTTTGGTAAATAGGTTCATGGCGCGGCTAACTCCCGAATCACCCATGGAACGCTCCAGCTACTTCGTCCAGGTTATCCAGCCAGGCGAGCGATGGGAGTCTATCCTCTTCCAACCTGATGGCCTGCTGCAGGACCATACCGTACCTACCCCTGATCGCGTTCTGATCCGCCGTGAGAGACAGACCTTCAGCCGTCTCCCCGAAACCAACGGCATACTTTTCACGGTCAAAACAACTGTCACGTTCCTGGAGGACCTGCCTCTCGCCGAGCTTCAACTGCTGGCAAAGGACATCGAGAGCTGGCCTGAAGACATGGCAGCATACAAAGGTCGCTCTCACTGGGGAGAAACAATATCGAACTTCTGCCGTGCAAAGGAAGCTACCTATGACGTAGCTTGCTGACAAAGCAGACACGTTTGATATCGACCCCCTTTTTCTTCTTCTTCTCGGGCTGAGTATTTGGATATTTCAAGGTGGATCATATTTCTGGGTGGTTTTCTCTTTTTTTTATGTCTTCATTTGCTGCTGCATGGTATAGGAATGGGGCATTTGTAATCATCGGAGGAAAGGGAGGTATTTTGAATTTGTTATTTGACCAAGCTCTGCCCACCAAGACCCTGGGATGCTAGTTCGACAGAGTCAAGCAGTGGGAGGAGGCCCATAAACAATTGTATTCGAATGATAAGCGTGAAAAAATGGATACATACAAAATCGGATTGAAAACATCCTCTATATACGTGGTTGCGGGGAAAAAGGCGCCCTATAAGTAACAATAAACGAAGACGAAGGGGGATCCTATGCCACATGCATTTACCTTGGAATTAAAGGCGTGTAGCACGGTAAAGAGAAAAAACACTGTCGACCAGATTATAGTTTGCTGCTGGTTGGGGGCTTGTCTTGCTTAAGTCGAACGACTCCCTGCATCGAATGGTCAGCCGTCTAGTCTAGTATTTTGCAAGGGTGGTTTGAGGTTTGGAGGGAGAGGGAGGGCGGAAAAAGAAATATAGTAAAGGGATTATGAATTTTTTTAGTTACCTCTTGCACGCATGTTGCGATCAGGGTGCCATCCTGTGCCCACATCTGCTGCAGGACAAGGCCGCGGCCTGCCCCGGCCCATGGAGTCTTCATTTCTGAGAATATCCATTCGTCTGCACGGAAGTCCCGCCTGTCGTGGAAATATATCGTGTGATCTAAACTGACCATCATGCCTATTTCCATGTTGGGGTCATCCGAAGTCTGTTTTGATAGCTTCAGCTCTTGTTCCTCCTGCTTGGCTAGATCCGTCAGGTATTTTTTAGCAAGCTCCTCCTCGACACCCACTTCTTTCTTGAGCGCTGCGGCTGCCCTTTCTATGGCCCCCGGGGACGAAAAACGGCGGATATTGTGGACCTTGGACACGGTGCCAATGAAATAGCTATCTGACATGTACGCTAAGGCCGTTAGATGGGCTTGTCTACCACCCTCTGCAGATATAGTACCCCGGGCCTTGTTAAACAGCTGCAAGGACCTGTCCGCAGCGTGGGGGGAATCTCCTGTTTATTTTTTTCAAGTTCATGCCGTTAGCTATTAAGCGTACACTATATTATGCATAACCACTAGTTACCTGCAAGCAGATGGGATAAAAGTGACACTGCCCCCGGGATGTTTGCTTACTATTTGTTATTCCAACCTGTCTCGACTCGAATGGACCTCGGCCTCGGCCAAGCCCATCCGGCTGCTCTGGCAAAGAGACATTAGGCTTCTTCCTGGTATGCTTGATCTCTTTCTTCCCCCAGCTTCCTTCACGATCAAAACTAAGGGTTGTGGTGAATATAGGCCGCCCTTGCTGTCGTGCCTGGACTGTCCGGGTAGCAAAGCTCTTCCCATCACGAACTCGTTCAACGTGGTATAGAACCGGTAACTGCGAATCTCCGGAAAGGACAAAGTAGCAATGCATACTATGGGGATAGAAATCGGGCGGAACTGTTCTTTGAGCTGCGGATAGACATTGGGCTATGGCCGCGCCCCCGTATATGCCTCGAGCACCAGGAGGGTGCCAGAGGGGCCTAGTATTTGTAAACACATCCTGTTAAGGCAAAAATACGTTAACCAACCCAATCTGTCCAAGCACACACTGCCGCCCTGGGCGCCTAAAGGCTGTACGCACCGGTCCGAGATCTGTCACTGGTGTGAGCTCGAGGACATTCTCAATCTGCGACTTTGAAGGGTCGTGAGGGGGGGCCTCGAATATCGTTGCACCCATGTTGAACCGCCTTTTCTCTAAACTTCCGATATCAAACTGCAATGCAAGGCAAATTAAGGGTCAGGGAGACCAGGCACCGGCAAACAGCTCGATATTTATTCTTGAACCTGCCAATATCGCTGCCTCCGAGCCGGCGCCCGTGAATTTTCTTTTCTTTTCTCCTTTTGCGCCGTCCAAAAACATGTTTAAGCCGAGGTCCATCCAGCTTATCTAATCGTTGATCCTTATTGGTCACGTGAATGCGCGCTTCTCGTGTTTATTTTTGCTTTTTCTCTCTATTGAATTTAAGTCACAACAGTCAATATTGTAGATATCTACTCCGTACCTGGGTACGTATATATTGACAGTAAAGAGGAGATGGAGTTGTTGTTTTTTGACATTTTTATGCAACCTGAGCGCGTGCTCCGTGATACCCCAAGATATATATATACTTGAAGACTATGATTAATACTCGTTGTCTGGCAAGGCTACGCTGTCACTTGAGACCAAATACCTGGGCCCCTTCCACTGTATCCTAGAGCAGGAAACGAACGTTCGCTATGGGCAAGCATTGCTACTTCACTGAGACCATTCCTACCCAAGCAGCCAGAAAAGCGGGCGATTGCTTCCTACCAGCGGCTTTCAAACCATTGACCCACATAGTGTGGTTGAAGAGGAGGCAATATCGGGTTATCACGCCGATCGATTCTACCCCGTTAAACTCGGAGACGTATTCAATGACCGCTTCCAAGTGACTGCAAAGCTAGGTTTTGGCTCATCGTCGACTATTTGGCTGGCCAGAGACCTCAGGTGCGGGTTCCCCTGCTCTACAATCTTCTGGATACATTTAACCTTACCATTGTAGGCATCATGAATATGTAGCGTTAAAGTTGTATGTCCATACATCTAATTATCTCAGGGAGCTTCCGTTTTACGATCATATATCACGACATTTTCCAAGTACAAAATCGCAGTTTGAACGGCAGAACATACGACGAGTACTGAGCACTTTTCAACTAGCCGGGCCCCATGGCAAACATCCCGTTCTAGTCTGTGAAGCATCGCAGATGAGCCTACGCGATATGAAGACCGTCTTCTTTCCAGACGGATTCAAAGAATCTTTTGTCAAGGCTGCTACTTTTGAGCTCCTTAAGGCCGTGGATTTCTTACACACAGTGCAAAGGCCGTCCACACTGGTATAGTTATATACTGCCTGCACGCCAGCTGTCTTTATTCTTGCTAATGGCCATCAGATATACATCCTGGCAACTTACTTCTAGGCTTGTATGATAACAATGTACTTCAAGTACTTGAAGAGATGGAATTGGATTCACCTGTTCCTCGCAAGCCAGTTTCAGACTCCCGGACTATCTATATGTCGCGTCTAGCGAAACCCAAAGAAGGGCCAATGCTATTATCTGACTCTGAAGAGGCGAGAATCGGCCCTGGACCCCATGGTAGGGATATTATGCCACTTGAATTCAGGGCTCCCGAGGTACTATTATATGTAGGCTGGAGTTATCCGGTCGATATCTGGAGTATTGGTCTGACGGTTGTTCATTCCGGTTGACTAGTAACCAATGGGCTAGCTAACGAATATTCCCCAATGCCTGAAACCTACTGGGGTGCAGGAGGCTGTTTACAGCTCGAGATGAAGAGGACGGCAAAGCATACGATGCAGTTTACTTTGCTGAGATGATCGCATCCCTGGGTCCTCCACCGGCCGAGTTTTTGGCTAAGAATCCTGAGCGAAGGGCCGACTTTTGGGGCGAGAAAGGTATGTTGATCTTCTTTGAGAGTGTCCTTTGTGTTTTACTCCTATTAATACAACTAAGTAAATAGCTGGAGCTGGCGTCCATCCCCGAAGGCAGGACTCTAGTGTCTGTAGAGAACCGGCTGGAAAACAGCATGAAGTTCCTAAAATTCAGGCGGCGAACCTTGACTTGGATGCCTGAACAGAGGCTCACGGCAAAGGAGTTGATGCAGGACTCTTGGTTCGTGTCGTAGAGGTAGAAACACTACCAAGTTCGAACCATCCTACCCTGCCAGATGTAAATACAATGTGACGGTTGAGCTACATACATATATTCTGCTCCCGATTTCGACCATTCGCTTTAAATGGTTCCTGAATTCCGAGGCCAGCCTTCCATCAAAGCGATAGACGCCGTGTTCAGTCCGCTCCCTTCGGCTGATATGCTTAACCAAGTTGCTTTGAACTATGGAGTAGTTATCTAGTTAGTCACGGATAAACGCCTAACTAGTTAACCATCTAACTACCTGTTACCGGGAAGACACTCTGTGTATCCGGCAACCAAATCTCCAACACTTCGTCGTGCTTCTCGACCTGCACTTTCACTCTTGCAAGTACTAGGAGGGTGTGATTCTTCCTAGTTATCTCAACTCGGACAATTCGAGGGCCCAGCGAGTGGGAATCAAGAAGTCCGCCTCGGTTAGGATGCCTGTCAGTCTCACTCGGACCAGAAGTGCCCGTAGTACGATTCTCCATAACTAAATTAACCAACGGCCGCGTCGATACGTTTCAGCCAATAGATACAACATGCCCGACAGGGGGATACAACTCTTGCTGGGGACATTTGATGACTTTATCCCCGAAATTCAGCCTGGACGACGAGGGATGGCGACGACGTCGCACTTCGTTTCCGGCGCTGGGCCGCCTGGCTGAGCGGGTTCTGCCGATCAGCGACCTCGAGACCCATTCAAGGATGAGATGGAAACTATTTAAAAGACGGCTGATGGCAGCTAGCTATATAAACCCCATCTCAGCCAGCTCGAGAGCTAGACAGACTGTCAGTCAGCTTGAAAGCCGACCGCTCTGAACACGAATTGGCTGTGTGGTCGAGTCAAGATGCGTTTCTCGACTCTAGTCAGTCTCGCTGCCTGTGCAGCCGCTGCTCTCGCCTGCGACTCCTGCAGCGAGCCAGGCAAGCCGGCAGAGCACAAGAGACTGGTGCGCCGTATGCAGCCTGAAGCTCAGGGAGCGCTCACGAAGCCTAAGGGACCGCTCGAATGGGGTCAGATCAACTTCCTGCACACCACCGATACCCACGGATGGCTCGAGGGACATCTGAAGGAGCAGAACTACGGCGCTGACTGGGGAGACTACGCCTCCTTCGTCAAGCATATGAGGAGAAAGGCTGACCAGCTCAGAGTCGACCTGCTTCTCATTGACTGCGGTATGTTCTCTCGTATAATCCTCCGTCTCCTTCCATGTCATCTTCGCTGATGTCAATGTTTACTGACACGGACGAAAAAGGTGACCTGCATGATGGCAACGGATTGAGCGACTCTACACAGCCCAATGGCCTCGTCTCCGACGAAATCTTCTCTCGCGTCGACTATGACCTTCTAAGCATCGGAAACCACGAGCTGTATGTGACCGAAGTTGCCTATCATACGTTTGCAAACTTCTCCAAGGCCTATGGCGAGAGATACGTGACAAGCAACGTCCAGATTATCAACCAGGAGACTGGCAAGTACGAGTACATCGGCAACAAGTACCGCTACTTTACTACCAAGCATGGCCTGAAAGTTATGGCCTTTGGTGTCCTCTTCGACTTCACCGGCAACTCCAACGTCTCCAAGGTTATCAAGGCTGAAGACCTTGTCCAGGAGTCCTGGTTCGTCGATGCCGTCAAGACACCCAAGCCGGTCGACCTTTTCATCATTTTTGGCCATACACCTGCTCGTACCGATGATAAGTTCCCAACTCTGCGTACCCTGCGCCGGAAAATCCAAGAGCTTCGCCCGGGTGTCCCAATCCAGGCCTTTGGCGGTCACAACCACGTTCGAGACTTCGTTGTCTACGATGAGACTTCGACCGCTCTCGGATCCGGAAGGTACTGTGAGTCCCTCGGATGGTTGTCCATGACCGGAATCAAGTCTCGTACGTTTAGAGGTAGCAAGAAACCAAGAGGCGTTCCCAACCCGACTCGTCGTGCCATCAAGGGCAATGCCACCACATCTACCCAATCGAACCACCACCCAAACAAGGGGCTGGACCTCCGCTATGCTCGCCGTTACTTGGACTGGAACCGTCTGACCTTCGCCTACCATGCTTCTAAGTCTCAGGATAGACACTTTGACACTCACAAGGGCCTGGATATCACTCATGATATCACGGGTGCTCGTAAGCAGCTCAACACCTCCACCGTCCTCGGATGCGTCCCTGAGACCTACTGCATGTCCTGTGTTCCCTTCGAAGCCAAAAATAACATCTACCAGCTCGTTATTGACATGTTGTCCAAGGTAGTCGTCAAAGAAGACCGTGCTGATAAGCCTAGACTACTCCTCCTGAACACTGGTGGCATCCGTTTCGACCTCGTCAAGGGTCCCTTCACCAAGGACGACGAGTACATTGTCTATCCCTTCAAGAATCAGTTCCAGTACCTCCCTGACGTACCCTACTCCATTGCCAGGGAGCTCTTGGACGCTCTCAACAAGGGGCCCTACCAGAAACGCACTGATGAATACTCCCCCATGACTGCCCCCCAACCTAGCGCTGATGAGGCTTGCCCCGACCCTTCGCCAGAATACGTCCAGCTTAAGCGCCGCGAAGCCCCTCAACCATACAAGGCCTTCACCCGCCGCACCATCGATTCCTCCATGCTGTATCCCGGCTACGTTACCTCTGACGACTTTGGCCTTGACGGAGACGATACCCCTCACTCCAAGATCCCATACTTCAAGGTGCCAATCGACATTCAGGCCAACGCCTCTTTCCCTACTAATGGCTCTATTCCCCAAGTCGTCGATCTTGCCTTTGTAGACTACATCGGTGCTAAATTTGTCATCCCAGCCCTTAACAAGCTTGGTGGCAAGTACTCTGCCAACGACATTCAGAGCTACAAGGACTTCGGATCGTCGAGCTTCTTGCGCGAGTATGCTCTCAAGTACTGGAAGGAGGGCCTGCCCAACTGCGCGACCAACTAATGGCTTGGACGCGTAAACGGTTAAATAAATATGATGACGATCATGATGATGTTAATTATTACTGTTTGAAGGGATTGCAGCTGTCAATAAATGCCCAGGATAGAGCTGCTTTATGTTGTAGATTAAATAATATATAGCCATCGTTGAATAAATAAGACCTAGTTACCTTTTTCACCATGAAAACTTCCGAAGCATTTAGCCTCTACATCTCATACAGTCACTATACGCCTCACGGCAAAGAAGATTACCCGTTCGTCTCCCTCATTCTTATGATGCTGAATCGACACTCTTATAGCTAAGCAGTGGACTATATAACAAGGGGTTATGATCGAGAGCAACCGCCAACCAATCGGAGAGCGTCGGCGTCAAAGGTCTTTCTTTGAGCCTCCTGTTTCTAATATGAACTACAACGCCAGATGAAGACGGCATAATAATTGACTTGAATTGGAACTCACTTCTTATCAGTATTTAACTGTTCAAGCCAAAGGCTAGTCGTGAGATACTATTATTATTTGCATACCATGATACCATGCATGATGGGCTGGTTGAAGGCATCAGTCCCATTTAACTCGATATCAAGGATTACCATGGTCTTATCATCACCTTCGACGCGTACAAATTACTGCCAAAGATTAAGCTCTCTTCAGCTTAGAGCTTTCTCCTCCTCTCATCTACCTACCGAAACTCCATCAAACGACGGTGTTGACGTGGAACCTCCTTATATTGAGTACGACTGGATCGATGGCGCAGAGTCACTTTCACAGTATCAGCCAGGCGGTTATCACCCCGTCATTGTTGGCGATATGGTGCATGATAGATACCGCATTGTGGACAAACTGGGCTTTGGGGGCTATGCAACTATCTGGCTGGCCCGAGACAGCCAGCTAGAATGTTACGTTGCTCTTAAGGTTGGGACCGCAGGCTCCCTTTAGCGCGAAACGAATGTACTACGAGAGCTTTCAGCGCCAGTTCCGAAATCTACGTTGTCGAATATATCAAAAAGCTTCAGAAACTACGCTCATGCTTCAATACCTGTGCCTCTTGATGAGTTCAAGATACACGGTCCGAATGGGACGCACCCATGCTACACGATGACCCTGCACAATGTAATCTATGGGAAGCATCATATAGCCGTTTATTCCCGATCGATGTAGCGCGAGCATTATCAGCTGCAGTTACTCTATCAGTCGCCTCTATTCATTCACGAGGTTTTGTTCATGGAGGTGTGTAGTAAAGCAGGAGGACAGTCAACCGAGTACGCCAATTCTAACCATTTGATAGATATACACTTGCGAAATATCCTAGCTAAATTCCCGTCCAGCTTTGACAACCTTTCAGTCGAAAAGTTCTACGAAGAATACGGAAAACCCGAGACTGTACCTGTTACGAGAAGTGACGGAGCCCCTCTTTCGCCCAATGCCCAGCAAAAGCAGTAATACCAATTAGTTTTGGTAAATATGCTGAAGATTTCACATTAAGTGATACACATGTGCTATTAAGTGACTTTGGGGAAGCATTTTCTCCCACATCCGAATCTCGTTTAGGAAAAGGCTGCCGCACACCCTTACACCTAAGACCTCCCGAGGCTCGTTTTGAACCAGATACCCCAATGTCATACCCAGCTGATATATGGGGTTCAGCTGTAGCTATCTGGGAGATAGTAGGCATGAAAGCAATTTGGAGCTGTGAATTTGCAACACCAGATAGTGTAACGAAGCAGCACATTGAAGTCCTTGGGCCAATGCCTACAGAGTGGTGGGAGAGATGAGATGAGCGTCATCAATTCTTCAATGAGAGCGGCAGGCCCACGGAGGGTAGAGAAATTTGGCCGCCAATGGATTAGGCATTTGAGGAGGGGATTCAAAAATATCGACGAAAGATGCAGCCAAACGGCGTCTTCAGCAAAGAGGAAACAGTTGCCTTTCTCGATTTAATGCGTCAAATGCTGGTATTTCGGCCCAAGGAACGACCAACAGCTTTGCAAGTGCTAGAGTCAGACTGGATGGTTAACTGGGCTTTGCCTGGCTTTGAACGGGGTCTGAACGACTGATCCTTTAACACTTGTATCAACATGTCAACATGATATGATGGTGGGTTGTACACCCAAACTTTACTACTCTCTGCAGTTGACTCGCCAGCTGCTGTTGTGTTTAAATTGTTTTATCCTTTGCCAACGGATCGCCGTTACATGGGGCCCCATAAAGGCAAGATGGCAATCTCAGCTGCAGGAGCTATCCAGTGCTGGGGTTCATCCGCTAGAGATCCTCCTATAAAGAAGAAATGAGGAAGGCTGTTGCGGCCACCGAAAACCCAAATATCGCCAAAACAAAAAATGAAGATAGATGAAAAAAAAAAAAAAGGAACCAGCCTGACGTGAAGCTGGCTGACATATTTGAAGATGTGGCATCGCCCGGAATCGAACCGGGACCAACTCGGCTTTGCTTGTTCCACAACGAGTTATCATGACCATTAGACTACGACACCTGGAGATGCTGCAATTGCCACGCCCGCCTCAACATGAGGCTTGAGCTGTGGATACGAATACGAAGAAGGCAACTCCGGCACATAAGCTGTCTCAAATAAACATCTTCAACTCTAGATTGTTCTTCTCTTGTAGTGAAAGGATTTTTATCATGTGCCTTCGAACGGCTCGAGGATACTAGTGCGATTGGTTGATTACTGCGTGTCCACAAACTTGGTAAATATACAACAGTTACACAAGATACGAAAAAGCAACCAGGACAACAAACGGGTGACCCGGGCGCGGGGTTGATGGGTCATTCTCAAGAATTAGTTCTTGACGGAGTATGCAGTCCTCGTTATCTCAAGCCAAAGTTGCCACCGATAACTATCAGCATCTCCGTGGGGCGAGAACCGTGGCGTCTAAGGGAGGTGCTGGGCAGCGGCGAGTCCATCACGCCTCTACCTTGCTGCTCGGGAGTTCAAAGTAGAACTTGTTGTACTTGTCCGGATGATAGGAGGAGAAATAGTCCATATACAGCAGTTCTTCCCTTGATTTCGGCTTGATGGTCAAATCTGGAAAGCTGCGCAGCACTCTGCCGAGGGTGACATAAAGCTCACAGGCGGCAAGTCTGGAATTTGGGCGCAAGGAGGGAAAAAGGAACGCGCATGTTAGCTAACTATGCATGCACACAGACGGAGCTCAGACAGCCATGTTATAATTGGCCGGGGATGTATGTTGCAGATGCTGGTGGACCGCGCATGAAGAAAAGAAAACGAGTACGCAAGGGCTTTGGTAAAACTTACTGCATTCCAACGCAGGCGCGGGATCCTTTGCTAAATGCCACGAGATACCTTTCAAGCTCGGAACTGACTTTCGGGTCTAACCAGCGCGACGGATCAAATTCATCTGGGTCAGGGAAGATGTCTTGATTTCGATGCATGGTCCACGAGCTCATGCTCACAGTTGTCTGAGTATATAGTTAAGAGTTTGGCCGTCATTTGCCTCTTAAGAAAGACAGGGAACTGGGATTTGGGGGGACAGAGTACTTACGCCGGCCGGCAGTTTGTATCCATCAAACTCGGCACCGTATTCTGGTACTACTCGAGGAAGGCGTCCAACAACGCCAAATGATAAGCTGATATACTTTGTTAGTCAACGTCTTCGTGCATATGGCGTACACGCTTACCGCAAGGCTTCCTTGATGATACCAGTCTATATGTCATGGTACCTGCTATCAGCGACGGTGCTAAATGAAACAGAATAACAGATAACAGGGGGTGAGAACGAACAAAATACGGCAGTCTCTCTAGAGTAACAAAGTCAACATCTCCATCTGGGTCTGGGAATGCTTCTCGCAGTTCGGCGGTCACCGCTGCATATATTTTCGGTGATGAAACGGTGTTGTATAGTCCTATCGTCAGGGCATTACCAGTCGTATCAGCAGCTGCCGCAACAACGATGTATGCTTCATCTTTCAATTGTTCGACTGTCGGGATATCTTTCATGAACTCCGGGTTTAGGAATTGGTGAAAGATGGTCGTTCGCTCGGGTTTCACGTTCGCCTCCACCTGATGTTTCACCCTGACCACTTGCTCTCGACTGCTCTAGAATCTGTTTTAGTATAGTGGCCATACCATATATATATTGGGAGTAAGCATTACTTGATGGAACTGCAACATGCGAGTCAACGATGGACTCGTCAATTTGGCCACCCACGGTGGTACTCCTAGGAGGATCGGCCGCATAAAGGGGGCTTGCTGGAAAAACCAAAACATCGGACCAAAGCCTCGGATCATGTCAAAAAACGGCGCGCCGAAGTCGTCCTTTTCCAGGAAGTTATAGCAATTGTCAAAGGCATAGTCGCTGATGACATCGATTGAGATTGCGCGGAACCCATGATGGAGATCTATTCCTCCGCAGGACTTAAGCGCGGTGGATATGCGCCTCACCAGTGTTTTGGCCTTTGATTGAACAATGTCTTCGAGTTCAAGCACACGCTTTCGAGAGAAGAACGGGTTGAAGGCCGCTCGCTTCATCCGGTGGATGTTGTTATCGGCGTCGTGAATGTAGCCTTGTCCACGCCAAAAGCATCGTAGAAGGGGGCGCTCTTGTTATATGGGGTTCCAACATGATATATCTTATCATAATGTTCTGGGTTGCTTAAATGGATTTCATCGGGTGTTATCCGAACTACCGGGCCTACAGGATACAATGGTAAGCACAGTTTCGACATTCACAACTGTATAAACTAAAATAACATACCATATATATTATGCAACCTCTCAACTTGAAGATAGAATTTCCCGTCCAATATACCATTGAAATAAAAGGAATATAAATGCGTTGCTCGGGCAAGGAATGGCCCAGGAATGTCTGCCAATGGATGGAAATTGATTCGGTATATAACAACAGCCGTATACCAAACAATAATGCTCAGTCCTGCTGCGGTGGCAAGGATAGTGAGAGAGGAAGGATCAAGTAGATAACCTGTGAAGCCAGCCATGGTTTCTTCCCAACGACGTTATGATATGGACTGTCTCTGAGAGGCCGAAACGGGATCAATCATTACAGCAACGGCCACCTTTAACATTAACATAGGCTGTATTATATAAATCCGGGAGCCAGACGAGACTAAGATTATCAAGCTGGCCCGCAATTTATACTCCCCCGTATACATTTCAAGAACCAACCACCCTGTCACAAGTAACGATATCGAACCTTAAAAAGCCACTGGAACGTGAAAGATGAAGACATGATCAAGTGGGTTTGCAAATACAAACCTTTTGTGAAGCGGAACTCGTTAGCTGGCATCCCACGGAAAGGAAACGGGAAGGTATCCCAACCCCATCCCCCCTCAGGAGCGCCAACCCAGCCATGGTGCGCCAGGTGAGCGGACGAACCATCGAAATTGGCTCCTTGCGTTTTATTTTACTAGCCTGAGTTAGCAATTACCCTACCATTGGAGTTGATGTTCTTCAGGCTTTCGACTTCGTATTTTCGGATCCACACGGCCAGCATCTTCAATTTGGATACGGGCTAAGAGGTGACATCTAGAAGAAGGTGACGGATTCGATCAATGTCATATAGATAGAAATGCTTGGTCCTCATGATCTGCTTATTGATGCCTGTGGGCAGCCCCTATTCGTTAGCCTCCTAGCCATTTAAATGGCCTATATGGGATTGGTAGATTGCTAAAGGCGTGGCTGCTGGCCTAAATTCTGCGTCCTTGGGTTCTCAAATAAGTCATCTGCACGAAAGAAATTACTGCTATATTCACGAATACAAGCGAGTATGTCGAATCGCCTGTAAGAAAACAGAGAACATGGTCTCGCCAGGATTGGAAGGTAAAGCGAACGCTTCAAGGATGGGGCTTTATAGCTGAAAGGGAAACATGATCGTCGGTTGATGCCCTCCCGTGATGGTAAGAGACTCCAGGCTGAGAAGAAGAAAGTATGCCGAGCATTATGCATAACGGAGGATTATAAAGCGGTTGGCCGCGCTGAGTAGGGCTTTTGGCCATGGACGCTGACACTGTGGAAATGTAAGCATTTTGGTTCGCTTATAGCTATGATGCAACACCTCGCATTCTTCTTCTACTGTCGTTAAGAGAGGAGGAGCGGGTGAAAAAGAGTTTTGGGGCAAACAGGGAAGAGAACTTACACATAGAAGTATGCATGGGTCTTCGGGTCGCGAAGCCCGGCCCGCATTTTAGCTAGAAAAATTTGGACATCTTCATAAGTCCACTAGAGATGGCGAAAGTCAAAAATTGGATACTCTGGGAGGAACGGAGATGGGGAAAAGGGAAGCCTGGCCAACTACTTACCTGCATGACTCTGGTGAGTAAGGCCATGGCCCAGCCTTCGATGCCCTCTTCGCAATGAAGGAGATTCCACTGGCCTAGCCGTTTAATCTGTTTGTCTTTTCCCCAGCCTCCCACAGGGAGTTTCAATCTCGTCTCCACAACGTTTTCGAAGCCGGCATCGTCCATATATTTTTTAGCCAGATCTGCGATACGGAAGGTCTTGCCAATCCTTTCACCAGCTTCGATAAATGTCCGCGACCATACCGCAAGCACATGATCTTCAGTAACGGTTCCATCGTCCGATCGGAATTCGATGGACATCTCTATCTGATCAAACCATGCGCCAGGTCTTAAATGCCTGTACAACTGTTAGAGTTGGGCAATTATATTATACATATATTGCGATGTGTTAAATCATACCTAAGAGCTTGGGAGTAAAGTTTTGGCCAGTCTGATATCGCACCATAAAGGGCGCGAATATGTATCAAATCGAAATGGTTTTCTGGAAATGTCCAATCTTCGCTGGCATCATCAATTTCGAACCGGAGATTCGGTGGGACAAAGGCGGGCTGAATTGGAGATAGGTCGGTTCCAATAACCTCGGCGGAGGGGTATTCGTCGGCGAAGTCACTGGACACACCTGATTAGAAAATCACTCGGACGATGCTGCGACTTGACTTAGGAAGAGCTTACATGGCCCACTAAATATAAAGAGTTAGTGATAGAGTGAGGATTATAGGAGATCTTCAGAACATACTATTCCTGTACCAGTTCCAAGATCAAGGACAGTCTGCAATATCATTAATATACCTGTGCCGCTTAAAGTTGTAAACTCTTGACGATTTACCTGTATATTCTCATCGATTGGTGCAAGGAGAAGTTTTCCGTTTAATAAAAGCGAAAACATATGATGTCTGATAGAATGGTTAGCCCTTCGATCAATTTGCCCACCATGATAAGAGGTCCCACAGACGTACGCAATATCGAGTTGCTCGTTTTGCCGATCATCGTTTGGCCCCCTTGAGGAAGAAATAAATGTCAGAATATGCACGGAGCATCACATCCTAGAAGTAGATATAGCTCATACCAATAGGCACCATCCTTATATGCGTGGTATCTTCTACCATTCTCAAATCTATATGCGCATATGTCTGTTTTTATCGACGTTGTATCGCTTGCGCTGCTAAATATGACAAGAACCGGAATCAGTATAAAGGGTCGATCCTTGTAAATCGAGAGTTCCCTTACTCGTCGTCTTCAAAGTCCGAATCAGGGTCATCGTCCACTTCCTAGCGGAAACAACATCAGCCTCATGTATATCCTTCTCTTAGATGTTGATAGACGTACCAACGGATTGCCGTGGAGGTCTTCGAGCTCTGGCAGGTCTTGAGGAGGGGATGGGCGTTGTGAAGGGCTTTGGGACTTCGACGGACTCGAATTAACGGACGGCGAAGATGGCATTTTCAAAGATCGTGATAGGAATAAGAGTATGATATATACGAATAGGTAGCCAAAACTCGGTAAGACCTATTTTTGTGATCTATATAAGTAGATGGAGTTAGGATGGGTGATCTCGAAGAGTTAGGCATGGGGGTATATAAGTCGAGAGCTTAAATAAACCCGCAAGATGCGATGGATGAATGTGACCAGTCATTCAATCGAGGATAAGGCAGAGAAAGAGCATGGTAAATGCAGGAATATATGCAAGTGACTTACATTCCAGCAGGAAGCATCATGTTCCACACGAGATTGACGAACTACATGCGGTTCGCAAACTTGGCCATAAGCAACCAGATGATTGATGTTGAGACGAAATGAAGTTTGTGTCGCTAGGAGCACATGGGAAGAAAAGACTCTCGCGCAGACTGGAATGGCGGCCTAGTCCGTTCCACTAACGGCGATAAAAGAAAAGAAAGCGGCCTGACAAAATGGGTTGGTTGTTTCTCTTGGGGAGGGATGGTGTCCAGCTGCGAGCGATTGGATTCGCCTGCGCCAAGGCCCAAGAGTCAATATGCTCTCCAGCAAGGGGTGGGAGGTCGCGATAACGGTAAGTGGACGGACAAGCCGCCACACAGGCCGTAAACTGCTTGCTAGTACGGGCCGTCTGAGTTCTGGTCACCAATAAGAATTGCGCATACGAGGAAAAGCTTGGGGTGATCTCGGTTTCAGAGGTAATTCGACCATAGCATTTCTATTTGTTCCGGAGCGCGAATTCAACGAAAAGAGGTTGTCTGCATGTCAACCGTTGGATATGTACGCTGGCGGCAAGGGTGTGCATACGCTTCTCTCTGCATCTGGTCGTCTAAAAATGGGGCCCGCAGGCAGGCAGGTGAGATTAAGGGCGTACTCCGTACGGAGTAGTCGACTCAAGAAGCCTGCTAAACTTGACTGCGGCAAAACCGGATATGAACTGCTTTGCGCTTTCACTAAGACCCTTCCATGTACTTCGTAGACGGCTGTCGGCGAGTTCAATGCTGCTGAGATTGACGTTAGCGAACTTCCCCAGAAGCAAACCCATGGGACAGGCCAGTGTTTCGAACAGCCATGGTAGGATCCAGACAGTGTTTCCCTTACAAACGACAAGATGATAAACATAATACTCCATATCAAGCCCATCATTGTTCTTTAGACGCTGCTCTTGACTGCTTCGTCGTCGTCTTTCTCTGCAAAAATCATTGTCAGTCGCATCGTCGTCGTCGCGGATTTCCTTTTCGGGTGTCGGGAACATTAAAGTCACGTGAAGAAAGTGATGACAAAGACTCGCTGAGTAATAACATGACTAAGTGATTACAGATGTTCACGTGACTCGTTTACTAGTGACTAAGCAAAATATCTCCCAGCCAATAAGCATCGAGCCCTAAAGCGCAACCCACAAAGACGCAACAGGAAAAAAAGTCGCTAAGCGAAAGTCGAAAGTTGAATCTTCAACTTCAAGTCTTTTCCTCCTTCCCTTGAAGAAGAAACCAGCAGCACGACTTGGACGAACTCGCCGACCACAACCAAGCCGCCCTTCCGCCCACTTATATCAGCTCGTCGACTCACGGTTAAACGGCTTCCAACATGTCTGACGGGGAAGTCGAGGTCGAAACCGGCGCCTACAATGTGCTGCCCAAGGATGTCACCGCCGAGATGGGCAACATCAAGCTCTTCAACAAATGGAGCTATGAGGACATCCAGGTCCGGGATATCTCCTTGACGTACGTCCTTCCATCTTTTTCGCAGGCCGTTTGCTGCGCGAGATTCGTTTCTCCCCGCTGGAACGAGAGAGGAACATACAAAGCATTGGATTGAATGCTGGGAAGGAGTCTTAAACTGAGCGCAACTGGAAGCTGACATGCGCATATAGCGACTACATCCAGATCCGACAACCTGTCTACGTTCCTCACTCTGCTGGCCGATATGCCGCTAAGCGATTCCGAAAAGCTCAGTGCCCTATCATTGAGCGTCTCACCAACTCCCTCATGATGAACGGCCGAAACAACGGAAAGAAGGTCATGGCCGTCCGAATTGTCGCTCACGCCTTCGAGATCGTACGTGAAACCACCTTCAATCCTCGATGGATATTCTGAGATATCAAATGTGGCAGAGTCAATGGCCCAGCTAACAATTTGTCCAGATTCACATCATGACCGACCAGAACCCTATCCAGATCACCGTTGATGCCATCTCCAACTGCGGCCCCCGAGAAGACAGCACCCGAATTGGCTCTGCCGGTACCGTCCGTCGCCAGGCTGTCGATGTTTCCCCTCTCCGCCGTGTCAACCAGGCCATTGCCCTCATCACCATTGGTGCCCGTGAAGCCTCTTTCCGCAACATTAAGACCATCTCTGAGTGTCTTGCCGATGAGCTGATCAACGCTGCCAAGGGCTCCTCAAACTCCTACGCCATCAAGAAGAAGGACGAGTTGGAGCGTGTCGCTAAGAGTAACCGATAAAAAAAGAAATACAAGGAATACACATTTTCCATTGGGGGTTATTGCGTTTTTTTCCCTGACGTGTTGCGCATGGGTGTGTATGTGAGGCGAGGACGGAATTGTCCTTTTCTTCTGTATGGATTCGGCTCTTTATTTTGCGTGTGAAATTTGGGCCACGGTAACCATATGGTGTTAAAAGGGACAGGAAAAATCCAAAACGGATGACCTTTCTTCTAATGTAGCCGCAATGCAAACTATCATGATCTACATTTCAATAACGAGCCATTAATTCTTAGAATTTGTACGATTATGGTCGAGAGAATGTAGGTATCACGCCAGTCGCAGGTAATCCTGAACGTTACTGCAATTTCAATTTTAAATACTTTTCAGCAGCCATATTCTTAGTAAACTGTCATGGCCATCAGCCTCGAGCAAAAATATGTTCTTTATTATTAGCACTGCAGGAAGTAGGTTAAAAATTTGGTTGCTAGAGCCCGCCCCAAAGTACCTAGGTCAAAGTTAGTGTATCATGAAAAATTGATAAGATAGTAACTTTTTATCTTTGCACTTTCAAACATCACAATCACCATTAACCGATCAACCCCCTTCAGCCAACTAACTAGAGCACCATGGGGAAGCGCAAGTTAGGCGCGTTGGAGAAGGTCGATGCTGATCTGTTCGTGATACCCGTTTCCACCTTGCTATGTGCTGACTCGTGTCCATGGCAGCTAAGCTAACACCTTCGTTTCCAACAGAACAAATCTCCAGTATAAAATTCGACGAGACCCAAAGTACGTTGCATCCCTTGTTATCCAGACTAAGCTGTATCTGATATGCTGGAATCTGTGATTATTTTTTCCCTGTGGCTAACCAGCTCTGCTGCGCAACAGATCATACGTTGAAGATTTCCGAAGCCAGCACCTCCAATATGAAAACCACCGTGAAATTTTCATGGCTGCGCCATCAGCTGCTACTGATACCGGAATTATATCCTTGATAGATCTAGTTGATTTCGTAGCGCATGTTGCTGAATGCTATCCAGAAATAACGAAAGATTTTCCGCAGGAGCTGATTGAGATGATTTCGCTCCACCATGCAGTTCTGAGTCCAGATTTGCGGGAGAAAATCGTGGGCAGCTTGGTGCTATTGAAACGAAAAGAGATAATTGATTCTTCAACGTAAGGATATTGCTTTTCTTTTTTCCCTTAACCTAAACTGACCTGAATCTACAGGCTTCTTCAAACATTGTTCCCCATTTTAGTATCGACACCAAGCAAAACGCTCAGAGCATTCCTATTTCAAAAGATAGTCTCAGACTTACGTTCAGCTAATGCAAAGACTACAAACCACAAACTGAACAGGACCATCCAGACGGTGCTGTTTAACCTGGTCACTGCTGACCGGTCTTCAAGCAAAGCTCTCTGGTCTGTAAAAATCACTCGAGAACTATGGAAACGCCAGATATGGACGGAATCAAAGGCTGTTGAAATAATGAAAGAAGCTGCACTGGCTGATAATGAAAAGGTCATTATTGGCGGAGTCCGTTTTTTCCTGGGTGGCGATAAAGAAAGAGAAGAGCTTGAAGACGAGAGCAGCGATGACGATGTCATTGATGTTGGTAAAGTCAAACATCAAGCTACTATCAACAAGGGGTCAAAGAAAAGAGCAAAGGCCATTGAGAAGGCGAAAGCGATCGTAAAGAAGAAGGAAAAGAAGAAGAACGCTCCCCATCCGCTAAATTTCTCGGCCTTGCATCTTTTACATGACCCTCAGGGTTTTGCGGAGAACTTGTTCCAGAAACACCTACAAAACACCAGGGCCAAGCTGAACCTTGAACAGAAACTACTGGTACTACAACTGGTTTCTCGATTAGTTGGTTTGCACAAACTCACCATCATCCAACTATACTCCTATTTTCTGAAATACCTTACGCCTAAACAGCCATCTGTCACATCGTTCCTTGCCTCTCTTGCTCAATCATGTCATTCCCTTGTTCCTCCAGATACCCTTGAACCTTTGATACAGAAGATTGCAAATGAGTTTGTCTCCGAAGGATCTGCTGCAGAGGTTGCATCAGCAGGTCTCAATGCCATCAGAGAGATATGCGTTCGACAGCCACTGGCCATGAATGATACTCTTCTACAAGATCTTGTGATGTACAAGAAGAGTAAAGACAAGGGCGTGATGATGGCTGCTAAGGGTCTTTTGAGTTTATACCGTGAAGTTGGCGCAGAAAAGCTGAAGAGGAGGGATCGTGGTAAAGACGCAGCTATGGGCTTGAAGGTTGGGGAGAGAAAATCACAACGATATGGAGAAGAGGAAATTGGTGAAATTGAAGGCCTCGAGCTACTGGAAAAATGGAAGGAGGAGGAGAGAAGAAAGAATAGGAGAGAAAATGGACTTCCATCTGACGGGGAGACCGATGAAGACGAGGAGAATGAAAATGATTGGGCGGCGTGGAACATGGAGGAAGATGACAGTGATGACTCTGGCGGTTGGATTGATGTCCAAAGTGACGTTGATATCGTATTCAGCGATTCTGAAGACGAGGGACCAACTACCAAGAAGGCTAAAACCGACGATAAGGTTACTAACGCTGTGGATGAGAAGGTAACGGAAGAACCTGAGGCAAAGAAGATATCACGTCTTGCAACAACCCGCATTCTCACGCCTGCTGACCTGGCCAAACTCGCCGAGCTACGAGCTGCCGCCAGTGTCAACGCCTTGCTTCCCGAGAACAAGCGCAAGAGACTGCTACAGCAAGCTGCTACGAACCGACACACTGACGATTCTCTGACTGCTGCAGAGATCGAAGGCCTTGCTGCTCTCTCGGCTGGAAAGCAGACCAGGCTAGAGAAGATCGCCCACGTCAACGAGACCAAGACTGATCGCTCCGAGTTCAAGAGCAAGCTCGCCCGCAAAAAGGAAACCAAGGAGAAGCTGGGCAAGAGCTCAACGAACAAGGAGAAGGCCAGAAAGAAGAACTTTATGATGACCCTTGGTAAGGCGAAGGCGAAGGGGAAGCGAAGTCTTGTTGAGACCCGGGCGACGCTGAAAGCACACCATGAGCGGAATAGAAGGGGAGGGAAACGAGGCAACCAGGGGTAGACATCCGCACTGGCTATATACACTGTAGATTGGTTAATATACATAGACGTCTCTTTTCTCTATTCGTCGTCTCCTGTCATCTCTCCTCACCACAGCATCCATCTGATATCGACCCCGACACGTCCCAGTATCGCGTCTGCCGAAAAGGGTTATATTGGCGTCTAAGAAGCGCGTTTCCTTTCGCGCTTCGCGTTTTTTTGAGTTTGTCCCAACCTCCAACTTTTGCGACTTCACAGAAAATAAGACGCTGCAGGCGACTTTCTCCCTTATCATCGCAGCTTCAACCACCGCCACTGCTATCACAGCTATCACAGCTATCTGAGCTATCTGAAAAGCTATATCAGCTACCCCGCCTCTTATCAGAAGTTCTTGTTATTGATTTGGGATTATAATATAATATCAGCTTGCATTTTCTCGTCTGCGAAGGCACAACTAGCACCATGGCTGCAGGGACTACCCTATCTGCCTCGTTGAAGAAACGAAGATTCCAGGTCCCTATCACGCAATACTTCTCTCCCTCTCCTTCACAGCAAACTGGAAGCGAACCCTCGTCACACTTCAACTACAACGCACCCACACACTCTGCGCACCCAACCCTGCCTGCCACGATACAGTCGTCTCTCCTGGCAGTTGGCATGCGAGTTCGAAAGGCTGTACCGGAAGGGTACCGAACGAAAATAATAGCCAAGCCAAACTATCATCAACCCAAGGCTACAACCCAGAATGAACAATATACGGCCAGCTCAATATCCCCTGCACATACGGAATTAATCCCTTTCAGCGGTGCATTCAAGGTTGGGAACTATGGAGTACAATCGTTCCCTGAGCCTTCCGCAGCCATGGTTGGACCAATGGTGACTGGAAGACAACTGGACGAAGAATCGCTTCCGTCGAGTAGCCAGGAGTCCACGCAATCATTTGATTCCTCCGTGTCCCTTCCAAGGCCTAACCCCTATAAGCGTGGTTTCGACGAGGACGACGAGGACTTCGAGAGCCAAGATGTATTTCCTTCACGCATTTACCCTGCACATTCGCGACCCACCCTACAGCCGAGAACTGGGAGGCAAAGAACATTATTGAAGTCGTCCCCTGCCTCCTCAACACTGAAAAGAAGCCCAGAGCAGGAAGACCCGAGCGCAGCATTCGTTTTTGATAGTGTTGGCGGCGGAGATTTTGACGATGCTGCTTTTCTGAAGAGAAGAGAAGATGTTGACGAGGAATACTTGCGGGAAGCAAGGGAGGTCCGGATGAGTGGCGTTTAACCCCTTTAATATTGTTCTAATCAGCCTTAACTAGGCATTGTTATTTTACGCTATGTACCTTATCATCGTCAGCGTGTGTACTTTTATGAGTTACCCGCGTCCCTAGAACATGCAGGTCTAGTGTAAGGGATGCGGAAAATTTTAGTAATATTATCATTATTCCCCGAGGGTTTTCCAGAACTTTCACTGTGCATTGAAGCCCAAGACACCTGGATATATGTATGCATTGGCGTCCAAAAAATATCTGTCCCGGACGTGCGAGCCATGCCATGCCATGTTGACGGGAGATAATCTGCATAACATTCTGTATACGGAGGTTTTACCCGAGTTGAGTTGCGGGATATTCGACTTGGCCTGCGCCGAGACTGGAATTCCGTTGCTGGGCAGCTCGGCAGGCAGGACAGAGTCTTCTTGGGCGGCACGGCACCGTGCCCAGTATTTATGTCTGCAGTCGCCAGAAGAGTTTGCCAAACAACAGCCCCTGTGAGGCAAGACATTCTATCCACTGCGCAGTGGACGGAGGCCTGTCTCACCCGGCCGCCCCTGATGAGACTTCTCCGCTTTGTATGGGGGAGCAAGCAAGCAGGCTTTGCCCTGCAAAACACAGGACTAAGGCCTGTTTGGAATCGAGTCAGCCCTAACAGAAGAAAAAAGACCGATACATCACTGGATTCATCCACTTGACAGCTTCGAGTCGAACACGAGTGCGAGGTTAACGAAGGGGGTAATTAATTAAAGCTTTCATCGAAGCTTTTCAGCCTCGACGCTATGCCCGAAATTAAGATATTTAGCTAGGAAGGATTTGCTTTTCGATGGCTCGGCAGACTTTGTCTTGATCGTAATCACAGCATCCTCGGCACTGTAGCCGATATAAGCAGCCCCTATCCTGTTTGCGCAATATGTAACAGCCTGCTGACAGTTGAAACAGGGGAGTTCATGTCCATCATGGTGGGAGTTCGACTCGTTAAAACACCCCTTGAGACTTAAAGAGTTCAGGCTAAACAGAGAGATGGGACGGAAGAAGGTTTGACTCGAAGGGCAGCACTATCGAATCCGCGGATAGGCGTAGCAAGGGTGGCGAAGCGACACCTTTGAATGCTGTTTTAGTTTGTTCTAGTTTGTTCTCCCCGCGTGAACGATAGGCTTAAGCGGAGAATGCGGCCTGGCAGATGATATCGGCCAGGGGATTGTAGTATAGTACGTGCTAAACGGATGGGCAAGCAAGCATTGCCTAAAACAAAAAAGCAAAATGTTATGGCACATTATTAAAAAGAACCTAGGTCAAATCTGCGGAGCGGTTAAAACAAAAATATAAGCGAAGGCATTACATGCCAGTTGAGCAAAATCCTGCAAGCCCGAACAGAGACGGCCCGCATCCTATTCGTGGCCGTACATCCCGTCTCAGAAAACGCCTTATTCCACGATTAAGACATTCTTCTAATGGTCTGTGTCCTGTTGGTGCATCCAACATCCTGTGCTGCAATTTCCATCAGGTTCTTTAGGCCGGGTGAGTTTTGAGTGTAGCGAGCATTGTACTTGACAATCTTCTTGAGAGCATTGAAAGACGATACATCGATTGTGAGTGGCGCGGCACTGAGATACCAGGCTACCTTATCACTACATGGCGGCGTCGTGAGTGACCCGGTATATGCGTAGATGTCATGGGCATGAAGATGATCGATGACCTTGGAGAAATCAAGTCGCTTTGTCTTTGTAATTGTGCCAGGGGTTTTAATCTGATGCAAGTTCGCAAACACCTGACTCAGAAGTGGAGTAGAACGTCCATACGGCGATAGCTCCACAAAGAATGCAATCACAGCAATCGATTTATCTGGACAGCATATCGCATCCGTGTTAGCCGTAACCATATATAAGAAAGGGGGTATAGGCGGGGATTCGGATGTTCAGGGGAGAGATTGGAAAGGGAAATAGAGTTAAGGTATCTATTGGATGAACTTAATGAACTTACCTGGAGTTTGGAACACGAAGTGAACCTCCATTGGGGAATATTCCTCGTCGATTCGATGCTCGCTCGGGGTATGGAAATGGAATTGTGCCAGCTCATAGGCTTTCCCAGCAGCCTTGAGTTTTCCTCCGACAATTACCTCCACGGTAGAGCCTAGGTTTTCAAAGTCTGCCATCGGAACGTTGGGGATGCTCATGGTAACCGAACCCTTAGGTACCCGCGGAATGAGCTTTGTGTTGATAACAATGGGAGACTGCGTTGCGCCATGCCCGCACTCTCTGTTGGCGGTAGCATTAAGGCCAACCCAGTGGAGGGGACCACCTTCGCCAGTATAGTTGAATGTTGCCACTGGGACCTGTCCATCAAGGTTGACTTGACGTGGTGCTAAACTGGTTCCATAAAGACATGAAGCAGAAGTAGATGTGATAATGGCAGCGAAGGCTGCGAAATGACGGTAAAACATCATGATGGTGGCTGGCTTATGATTGAAGGACAGAGCAACAGAGGCTATGGTGGAGGAGAATCATGGAGTTTTATATCTGAGGGCTCCTCGGAAATCCACTATTTAAGGCCCCCGCGATATCAATCTAGCCCCGGGTTTACCAGAGAAAAGACCGCACTGTAGGGATAGAAAGGAGTGCCAGACGCCCCTAAACGGTTAGCATGTAAAAAAAAAGGACCGTTTAGTGCCGTCGTGTTCTGCAGATGAGAAATATTAAAGCCAGCTTATTATATATGTGGATCCGATAAGTAGTAACGTAAGTAACTCCAAAATTGACTTCAGACGGAGGCGGACGCTAGGTATGTACGCACGCTTCTTCTGCCGTGTTAATAATTCTTTGGTTTTTGATCCCGCACTCCGTAAGTCGCGCTTCCGCGGGTTACGAAAGAATCTATACCCCTTTAGCCTGTAGTAGCCATCAGGTAGGGGTACAACACGGCTGTAAGGACACAAGCAGGTACTGTGCTCAAAGCGTCATTTCTCCATGTCTCTGACAAATATGCCATCGCGTCATAAATCACGGTTCCTGGTCAAGTATGAAATCGATTCTTGCGCGCTCCATAGCATGTGAGGCTCAGCTCTGGAATGAAGAGAGTATAAATGCCTTTGATCGAGGCTTAAATAAAAGAAATCGTAAATCTGTAGTTCGAATACTCCATGCGCAGGCTGCCTTGGGGTTGGTTCCATCCGGCCGATATCCGTTGGAGCAAGGGATGGGTGTCTAGGTGGGAGGGCCCACGTCAACCATTTTGTCTCCGTTACCAAAGAGGCCCGTTTATCCGGCGTACAATTTTATAAAAAGTGATTGGTAAATTGATATATCTTTGCTGTTATTTGGAGAAGATCTTCGAGGCCGTGCTGTAGTCGAGATAACTCTGAGAAGAACCTCAAGGTGTATTTCGAAAAAGGATTAGGTAGAATACCGCATATTGGGAGCCAAGCCAATTCGCGGAATTCAGGATATTATGTCTTTCGGTAGAATATGTCTAGCCAGGTATATATCTGATTTGCCAACGGCAGGAGTCATCTCCGGTAGGCTTGGCCTCGAAGATGTGCTGAAAGGTAGAAACTAAGGGGATCACAAACCACCCTCCATATGATTGTAACAGAAATTCGACAGGGTCATCATAACACAAAGGTATCAAGGAGATAAGTCAAGCAGCAGAACTCCTTTACCTACTTCACGTGTTACCTCACGGCATGGCTTTCGCGGGGGGCTCGAAGTGACAGAATCAACGCACTCATCTCCCTGTCCCCCTCCATGAAAACTTGATTCTCCTGCATGCGGTAGAGATAGGCCATTCTGTTCCTTATCTCTGCCTCTCTAATATATGCTTTCTCCTTTTTGTTGCCGATGCCTGTCGTATTGAGGTCATCTGCGCTGGTCATGTCGACCATGAAATAACGGTCGGGACGAAACCCGCCGGCCGACTATCAGCGGGAACTCGTGGAGATAGACCATCACGAGGAGGATATATAGCTATCAGCAGTCTGAGCAGCTGTTCTTCTTCTTGTCGACAAACGTCCTGGCTCTTCCACGTCCTTTTTCTTCCCCAACTCTCGACATTCTTATATTCTCTATGTATCTCGTCGTCTTTCTTTTAAACGGCTTTCCCGTTCACCTGCTTACGCATTTATGACTAAGCGTTTTCGGACTAACCTTTCTCCCTGGTCTCGTGACCATCGCCTCCCAACTGAAGCGCGAAAGTCGAAATCCAGCGACAAGGCGGAAGAAGCTGAAGACGAGGAGCGACGACAAGAAGGATCTCAGCTCGAGGAGCGCGGCTGAATAGGTTTTTAAGACGTCGGCCAGTGTTCTGTGCTTTGCGCTGTCTCGTTCCCACCATTCAACACCAGGAAGACCTGTCATGCAGTGGCCTGAGTGAGGCGCACCACATCGCTTTCGTCCTAGACCATGGCGGAGGATAATCCGGAACTCCAGGCGGCGCTGCGAGAGCTCGACGCAGAACTGGAGGTATGATGATCTGCTTCTTACTTTGTACTATCTGTTCACAGCTGTGGGATGCTAACGATTATCGAATGTATGGTTTAGGATGGCGATATTACGGAGAAGGGGTAAGTGTCATAGCTCTCTGCTTATCAAGGCTGCCATTAGCAGCTCGGCGGCGGGGGTTTGATAGCCACGGCCATACGTATAACCAGTCGCGGCCACATGTTGCGTTTATTACAAGTTATAGACACTTTGTATCATAGCGATTGACCTCTGATATAGGTACCAGAAGCGCCGCACACTCCTTCTATCGCAGTACATGCCAAAGCCTGCCGCCAGCCAGCCGGAAAACCCACCCCTGCACAGACCACTAAGCTTTGAGCAGATACCGCGCGGCTCTGAGACTATCAATGTCTCGTCTGGGGAACACCCAACTGATTCTGGAGCTCAAGCACCGCTTTCTCTGAGCGTTGCTCCGCTAAACACACATCACCAGCCAGAGCATCACATGCCTACACACCTACTTGGTGCTTCTAGTGGTGAGCATACAACGGAAGCGGAGCCTAATTATGGTCACTACCAGGGCAGCCAGCTGTCAAGGATTCAAGAGCAGGAGTTAGGCTTCTCCCTTGCACCCACTGCACCACCTCCTACAGCTCCTATTGGGCCTACGGGCAATCGAAAACACTCAGTGGGCTCGTATGACTCGCTATTCCTCCCCAAGGGTCCAACGGATAGCTATGAAGCCTCCAGAGCAGGGACGCTGGTAAGCCAAAATTATGCATTTAACCCGAATCAACAGCCGGAGATAGAACCACCCACACGCCACTCTACTATCGATTCGCAGCAAGGCTACTTCTCCGACTTTGCTGGTCACCAGCAGGAACCTAGGAGAGACAGCTATGGACAGAGCTTCCAACGGTATTCTCAAATGGAACCCTTTTCCCCCACCGCGAACATACCTCCCGCTCCAATGCCAATGTCAAGCATGCCAGGTGGAGCTGCGGTCAACCATCTTCTTCCGCTCGAACCCCGAGATATCCCGTTTGATGTCCAAGATCCACATAATTCCAATCTGCCAATGTCGAGCTTTGATAATATTCCGACTGTTCTCCGACATCGTGCACGAACGCTACCAAAACAGCCGGCATATTGGGTTCTTGATCAGCGTGGCAAGGAAATCGCATCAATTACTTGGGAGAAACTGGGCAGTCGAGCAGAGAAGGTCGCTCAAGTTATACGCGACAAAAGTAATCTATACAGAGGGGATAGAGTTGCCCTGGTGTACAGGGACAGTGAGCTCATCGAATTCGCTGTGGCGCTAATGGGATGTTTTATCGCTGGTGTTGTTGCAGTCCCGATCAATAACCTGGAAGACTATGCGAGCCTAAACGTTATCCTCACCTCGACACAAGCTCATCTCGCTTTGACGACGGAAAACAATTTAAAGACATTCCAGAGAGATATCACCACCCAAAAACTTAACTGGCCAAGAGGCGTGGAGTGGTGGAAGACAAATGAGTTTGGCAGTTATCATCCAAAGAAAAAAGACGACATTTTTGAGGGTGGTCCATTGTCATCTTCCACTTTATCGTCCTTTTCTGTCCCCACTGGTGACTTGAGAGGCGTTGTCTTGAGCCACAGGACTATCATGCATCAGATGGCTTCATTCAGCGCAGTCATTGCATCCGTTCCACCTTCTCAAGACAGCCCGAAATCTCCCGCCGAGATTTTGATGACCTACCTAGATCCTAGACATGGTATTGGTATGATTCTGGGAGTACTCCTGACTGTCTATGGAGGGCATACAACCGTATGGTTAGAATCTCATGCTGTTGAAACTCCCGGTCTATACGCCAGTTTGATCACCAAATTTAGAGCTACTCTTTTGGCTGCCGATTATACTGGGTTGAAGCGAGCTGTTTACAACTATCAACAGGACCCGATGACGACAAGAAACTTTAAGAAAAACGTTGAACCAAACTTTTCTAGCTTGAAACTTTGTCTTATAGATGCATTATCGGTTGATTGCGAGTTCCATGAAATTTTGGCTGATAGATGGTTACGTCCACTACGAAATCCCAGGGCCCGAGAGTTGGTTGCTGCTATGTTGTGTCTACCAGAGCACGGTGGAATGGTGATATCCATTAGAGACTGGCTGGGAGGAGAAGAGCGAATGGGCTGTTCCCTTACGCACGAAATGCATCCTGTTGAAGAAGACAAGGATAGTAAGACTGAAGATAAGGAAAAAGCAGACGAACCGAAGTCTACCTTTGGAAGCAGCTTGATTGGCGGAGCTCCTACGGCTTCTCCAAAAACAGAGACTCCGAGAAACGAACTGAGTGAGGTATTGCTGGACAAGGAAGCATTGAAGAATAACGATGTCGTGGTGCTCGCGCTGGGCGAAGACGCTCGGAAACTCGCAGATACCACTCCGAACTCGGTAAGAGTAGGTGCTTTTGGATACCCCCTCGCCGACGCTACTCTTGCTATTGTCGATCCAGAAACTGGACTTCTTTGTACACCAAATCTTATTGGAGAGATTTGGGTCGATTCCCCTTCATTGTCTGGAGGATTCTGGGCATTGCCAAAACACACCGAAACTATCTTCCATGCTCGTCCGTTCAGGTTTCAAGAGGGCAGTCCCACACCAGTAATCGTGGAACCAGAGTTCTTACGAACGGGCTTACTCGGGTGTATCATTGAAGGGCAGGTTTTCGTTCTTGGGCTATACGAGGATAGATTGCGCCAAAAGGTAGAATGGGTTGAACATGGGGTTGAAAGCACCGAGCATCGTTATTTCTTTGTTCAGCATTTGATTCTCAGCATCATGAAAAATGTTCCCAAAATCCACGACTGTTCGGCGTTCGACGTGTTTGTTAATGACGAGCATTTACCTGTTATCCTTTTGGAGTCATATGCGGCGTCTACTGCACCAATTACTTCCGGTGGTCCCCCGCGTGTCCTTGACACCTTACTCCTGGACTCGCTTGCAGAGAGGTGCATTGAGGTTTTGTATCAGGAGCATCATTTAAGGGTTTACTGCATCATGATAACAGCACCTAACACCTTACCACGATCGACAAGAAACGGCCGCCAGGAAATTGGAAACATGTTGTGCCGCAGAGAATTTGACAATGGCACTCTACCTTGTGTTCATGTCAAATTCGGCGTTGAAAGAGCAGTGCTCAATCTCCCTATCGGTACTGATCCGGCAGGAGGAATCTGGTCTCCTTCATCATCTGCTGTTCGTCAGGAGGCACTGGCAATGCAAGAGAAACAGTACTCCGGTGTTGATATCAGAGATGTAATAATGGACGACCGGACATCCACTCCCCTGAACAACTTCGCTAGCATCGTTGATCTACTTCAATGGCGAGTTAGCAGACAGGGAGAGGAACTCTGCTATTGCTCTATCGACGGCCGCGGCCGTGAAGGCAAAGCTATTACTTGGAAGAAATTCGATACCAAGGTTGCCGCTGTGGCAGCATATCTGAAAAACAAAGTCAAGCTTCGACAAGGAGACCATGTAATACTGATGTATACCCATTCCGAAGATTACGTATATGCTGTCCATGCCTGTCTCTGCCTTGGCCTCGTTATCATTCCAATGGCACCGATTGACCAGAACCGATTACCTGAGGATGCCCCGGCTTTACTGCATGTGATTTCAGACTTCCATGTTAAGGTGATACTGGTCAACAGTGACGTGAATGATCTACTCAAACAAAAGGTTGTCGCCCAACATATTAAACAGTCAGCAAATGTTCTCCGGGTCAGTGTGCCTCAGACGTATAACACCGCAAAACCTCCCAAACAATCTCACGGATGCCGACATCTGGGGTTCACTTTGAGCGAGGCGGTTGTAAAGTCTCATTTGCCTGCAATGGTGTGGACATATTGGACACCGGATCAGAGGAGGCTATCAGTACATATTGGCCACGATACGATTATGGGCATGTGTAAAGTCCAGAAGGAGACTTGCCAAATGTCTAGCTCTCGTCCTGTTCTCGGAAGCGTTCGAAGCACCATGGGTCTCGGATTCATCCATACGTGTCTAATGGGAATATACGTTGGTAAGTTGTAAGATATATATTCTCAGTTACATACAGTATAACTAACGGACTTATTTAGGCGCTCCCACCTATCTGGTATCCCCGGTTGATTTTGCTGCCAATCCATTGTCTCTCTTCCATACTTTGGCTAGGTATAAGATCAAAGATACCTATGCCACTGGGCAAATGTTGGATTATGCCATGAGTAGCATGACCGCAAAGGGATTCCAACTTCATGAACTGAAGAACTTGATGGTTGCAACTGACTCTAGGCCAAAAGTGGATGTTTGTATGTCTCCCAAATATGTCTATATTCCAAACTTACCCCAATGCTGACATTTTAACCTAGACCAGAAAGTTCGACTTCATTTCGCGGCAGTCGGCCTCGATCGAACTGCGATTAATACCATTTACTCACACGTTCTTAACCCAATGATAGCTTCGAGGTCCTATATGTGTATTGAGCCAATTGAGCTTTGGCTCGATACACTATATCTCCGACAAGGATACATCTACCCCGTTGATCCTGAGACGACGACTAACAGCCTGCTTGTCCAAGACTCAGGTATGGTTCCTGTGAGCACTCAAATTGCCATCGTGAACCCCGAGACATGTTGCCTGTCCCATGTCGGAGAATACGGGGAGATTTGGGTCCAATCTGAGGCGTGCGCGAAGGCTTTCTATGGATCTATGCAAGAATTCGACCTTGAGCGCTTCCGAGGGCGTATTGTTGATGGTGACCCGGATGCTGTCTATGTTCGCACAGGCGACCTAGGTTTCTTGCATACAGTTACGCGACCGATTGGGCCAGGTGGGCAGCCTGTCGAGATGCAAGTTCTATTCGTCCTCGGCGGTATCGGAGAAACGTTCGAAATCAATGGCCTTAACCACTTCCCCGTTGATATCGAGGTCACTATAGAAAATTGCCATAGAAATATTGTCAAAGGCGGCAGGTAGGTGCCTTCATCCCTTATATAGTAATTTCGTCTTGCAGTCATAATGCTAACAAATGTCCACAGCGCGGTCTTTCAAGCGGGAGGTTTAACTGTCGCTTTGGTAGAAGTTACTCGCAAAGCATATTTGGCCTCCATGGTGCCTGTTATCGTGAACAGTGTGCTAAACGAGCACCAAGTAGTTACGGACATTGTGGCCTTTGTTCCTCGTGGTCATTTCCCTCGATCCCGTCTAGGCGAAAAACAACGTGGAAAGATTCTAGCCACTTGGGTAACGCAGAAGCTAAGAACTATCGCTCAATTCAATATCCGTGATGGTGGTAGTCATGATATGAAGGCTGGCGAAGCGCCAGAGCGACGCCAATCTTCTAAAGCCGGCAGTATCATGGATTCCAGCATCCTTCAGCACCAAACTGCATCCCCATATCCTGAAGCGGAAGACTATAGTCAAATGCAACAGCCGCCCGTTAGTGGCGCGGCCCCTGGTGCTTCTGAAGGTATTGCGGATTATGTCGATCCATCTCTAATCGGTGGAGACAATGTTGGGCACTATCAGGATCCCGGCACTGTGAACCATGATGTATCACATCAACAGCCTCTTCGTGCTCAGGAGCAAAGCATTCCTATCGGGGAAGGTACAGGGGTTATTTCACATATGGGTAATCCAGATATTCAACGGGTCCAGAGCCCTGAACGCTACTCTGGAAACAGCAGTGACAGCATAAACAAGACTGCTTCTCCAGCTGTTCCCTCTGTTGGCGGTGAGATTCCTCGCCACAATAGCGCGTCCCCTCCTCGAACCGGTCTGCGCGTTCATAATGGAGACGAACATCTTCCCCGCCCACATTCAACAGCTCCAGATTTTGGGATTTTCGAACAGGCGCAGTTACTACCTCCAGTGAAGAGGAAAGAAGTGGCCGCCACGTACACTCTACCAACGAGAAATAGCAGTATTCAAAAAGATAATTTCCATGGCACTCCTATCGGTACCACCGGCCATGGAAATGGGGGAATTCATGACAATACGCAATATGACGACGAAGCTTATGATATCATCGATAATTGGACGGAGGATACAGGTGCTTCTCACCCTCAGCACCAATAATGAATGCTACTTGGACAGGAGGACCTATGACAGAATCTCTTTGCGATTATGTTGCGCTTCTGCCATTCTAACGCTCTAACATCTCAAGGATAATGACATGATGTACGCTATGTAAAATCAAAAGAATAATTTATATTTGATCTGCATTAAAATAAGTTATTTTTTATTTTTCCTGCTCCACCTTGCAAATGATATAACTAGCCGGCAACTTGTCAAATGCTGTAGATGGAAGCACAAGTGAAATTCGAATGGAACAATATGCTAACACCTGAAAGAAAGATATTAAATAAGTCTGGCAAAATAGCCATTCCAGAATGCCGAGGAGAAACATAGTTCGTTCGTTTTAAAAGAGATCATATCTTCACAAGTTCTCTGCTGCGGATTCCAACGCATTGATATTTACCTTTTTGTTCTCTGATCCATTTGGTGAGAGCGGCATATACCCCTGTAATTGCTCCAAGGCATCAATGTCCGCCTGGCTAAAGTTTTGCGTACGAGTTGGACGGAATGGAGTGCTTGCACGAGAGGTTAAGAACTATCCGCAATAATTAGCTTTGCCTGTATTTTTGCACTGAGGGGGAGGTGGGAAGATAGCTTACCGAACTAGCGGCGCTCAACAAGGCGATTAAACTGGCCTGGACAACATCACGATGGACGCCGACACCCCATACGCTCTGGGAGCAGCCCTCAGCAGTACATTCGATGTATGTTGCGGCCTTGACATCTCTAGTACGACCAATAGCGTGCTCGGTATAGTTAACGACGTCAAGATCGATACCCAGGGAATGCAAGGCATGTGCAAGAGCGGAAATTGCACCAGTCCCGACACCAATAATGCCATGTTGTGTGCCGTCGATTTCGATGATACCGGTGAAACGTCTCTTCAAGTTCTGAGTGTTGACAGCCTTGCCTGGGGCAGGAGGAGCTGGGGTCGTTGAACGATCTGCTGTGATGTTGTAATCTATCAAGTTGAAGCGAGGGTTTGTCTTGAGGTGATAAGCTTCTTCAAACAAAGAGACGATTTCGTTGGGTTTCAATTCGCGATTTAGACGGTCTGCATCCTTCTGTACAATTTTGCTGAATGCAACTTGCAAGCCACGAGGGAGGTCCATTTCCAAGCTGCGGAGTATAACCCAAGCGACACCACCTTTCCCACTCTGGGAGTTGACACGAATGATGGCCTCGTAGTCTCGGCCAACGTCCTGTGGGTCGAGAGGGAGGTATGGCATCTCCCAGGGATCGTCGTCTTTGAGGCCAGCGGCAGTACGGGCTTGGAACCCCTTTTTGATAGCATCTTGATGGCTGCCGCTGAAAGCACAGAATACCAGTTTGCCCGCATAAGGCCAGCGTTCGTTGACCGGGATCTTATTGCACTCCTCTACCACTCGAATAATGGAAAGGATATCCGAGAAATCGACACCGGGTGAGATGCCCTGGGTATATAGATTGAGAGCAAGAGTAACGAGGTCAACATTGCCTGTTCTCTCACCATTTCCAAACAGAGTGCCTTCAACACGTTGTGCACCAGCCATCTGAGCGAGCTCTGCTGCTGCAACAGCACATCCTCGGTCGTTATGTGGATGTAAGGAGATACAGACCTTTTCCCTCTCAGAGATGTGGGTTGAGAAATATTCAATCAGGTCAGCGTATACATTAGGGGTCGACATCTCCACGGTAGCCGGCAGGTTGAAGATGATGGGTGCCTCTTCACTTGGTCCCCATGCTTCCTTAACGGCCTCACATACCTGCAGGGCAAACTCAGGATCGGTATCGGAGAAAGTCTCGGGGGAGAATTCAAATCGCCATTCTGTGCCTGCAGTTGCTGGGTCATCCTTTGTAATAGAGCGAGCGTACTTCGTACACCGCACCGCCATTTCCATACTCTGTTCCTTGGTCATATTGAAGATGATGCGTCGGAAGCATGAACTTGTAGCAAGGTAGATGTGGAGAATGGCTTTCTTTGCACCTTTTAAGGAGTCGACGGTGCGTCGGATGAACTCCTCGCGGCAGGGCGAGAGAACCTGTAGCCAGACATCATCTGGGACGGTTCCGGGAGTTTTTATGAGATGCTGCGTAAAGTCGAAATCAGTCTGGGATGCTGATGGAAACGAGACTTCAATCTCTTTATATCCGATGCCAACTAGCATGCGAAAAAATCGAAGTTTTTGCTCCCCATTCTATGAGTCAGAGGTTAGCAGTGTAACATGAATTGATAAGGATTTTTTTTAAAGAAAAAATATCCAGCGAGAAGCTGGAATGAAGTGATATACTCACCATTGGGTCGACCAAACTCTGATTTCCATCTCTGAGATCTGTGGCCAGCCATCGTGGTGGTTTGTCAATGGTCTTGCTTGGCCATTGACGGTTTGGCAGGTCAATTGGCTGGAATTTTTTGTATTTTTTGGAGGGATCCTTGAGCCTACATCAAAAGGCAAATCGAATTGATTAGTATCTCATATAGTTGTAAAAATGATGTAGGGAGCAAGATATCTCTTACATCGGCATTTTGGCTAGATATGCTCAGCTATGACCGGGGGAGCTCAGTTTAAGCGGGAAGATGAGATAAGGCCTTATCAGATGTTGCAGGGAAGAAGCAATTGGACAGGGACTAAGTACAAGGGGGTGTGTGGCCCAACAAAAAATCGTGAAAAATGATATCCAGGCAGCTACCTCAAAACTTTTGACCCGAAGATGACAAAAAATATTGAAGAAGTTCATATAAGTAAGAAACGAAAAGCTTCAGGTTCGTCTGCTTTAAGTCATTTTTCTGCCACAGATTATGTAAACGCCTGTGCTCAACGCGGTGAGTCAAAAATAGCCATGCGACTGCGGTCCGAGCTTGAGCCGATATCGGTGTTAGTCATTAACATGTGAGTGCTAATAGACCTATTATCATTGGCCACTTGACGCGCGGCAATCTTTCGATGAGACGCACGAGCCGCTACTATCGTCCGCTCCGCCATTATTTGTCCTGTGCCTCCTTCGAAGGATCTATATCTCAAGCTGAACAGCTGAGGTTCGACGACGCTGAAACTTCCAAGTCTCCGTGATATGCTTTGCTGTTTGCTTCCAGCTACACTTTTGTAAACGGGGCGATGACCAACCAGAGTTGCGGTTACTTTCTCCTTATTTTTATCCAGTATCTCCCAGGGCCTAGAAGGATACAGCGTGTCTATCATCGTTAAACAAAAGAAACGGTTGCCTAGCGCTTCTTCCCTGCTTTGCCACTCTTCTTCTTACCCTTACTTTGGCTGCCGGGCTTAGCTTCTCGTTCAGCCTTGCCCTTTTTCCATACACGGCCCTCTTCTCGCATCCGTGTATCGTCCAGCTTCTTCTTATCCTTGCCGCTGAGCTTCTTCTTGCCTTTCTTTATGGAGTCTGGTCCGTTGAGCTCTATCAATCCTCGCTTTTTGGACTCTCGCTTGTCCTTCTCCGACTCAAACCACGTGCGCTTGGGCCTGGACATGATCTCCTCCTGGTGGTCGATCAGGTTCTTTCCGCGAGTGACCTGCATCTCGGCCTGTGCCAACTGCTTTTCCTCCTTTTCTTCCTGAAGAACTTCTTCGACTTCCGTTGCTAGGTCGTTGACTTGTTCTGCCCATTTGTCAGCCACAGCTGGCTCTATCACTCGGCTCACGATTTTCGCGCCTTGTGCACGCCCAGCTTTAACGGCCTCTTTGACCACCTTTCTGTCTGGTTCTGCGGCGATAGTGCACGCCCGGCCACTCCGTCCAGCACGAGCTGTACGTCCGACTCTGTGTAGGTAGATTTCGTGTGATTGCGGTGCTTCGTAGTTGATGACAGTCTCAACGCCCTTGATATCAAGACCTCGAGATGCAAGGTCTGTGGCTAGGAGGTATGATACTTTCGCATCTCTAAAGTCCTCCACACTTTTAATTCTCTGTAAAATAAAATGTCAGTACCTGAAACGGCTGGTTACTGCCGGCATATCGCTTAAAAACGTACCTGCTCCTGGCTCATGCTTCCATGAAGTTCAGCGGCCTTCAAGCCCATAAGCCCAAAAATGATTCGAACCCTGTGAGCTTCTTTCTTTTGCCGGAAGAATACAATGACCCTGTTGGTATAAACAGTTTTGCACAAGAACATGAGGTAACCCAGCCGTTTATCCTCTCTTCCAGGCCGCAGTCTGACGAACTCCTGAACGAGAGTACCCACGGTCTGCTTCTTTGAGTCAACCATCAATCGAACAGGCTTGTTAAGGCCAACACGAATAAGTTTATCGACGGAGTTAGTCATGGTGGCAGAGAATAACATAGTCTGCCTAGACTTTGGTATCGTGGTCAAGATTTCGTTCAGCTCCTCAGCAAACCCATCTTCAAGCATTCGATCAGCCTCGTCAAGGACCAATATTTCCAATGTATCTACGGTGAAACTTGCTGAATTCCTCATATGGTCAATAAATCGACCAGGTGTAGCAATGATAACATCAGGGCGCTTCTTCAGAATATTCTCCTGTTCTCGCAGACTGAAACCACCCACCAGCTGACAGAACGTGATATCAGTGAATGTAGCCAGCTTCGTTGCAACGTTATAACACTGCACAGCCAATTCTCGAGTAGGCATCAGAATAGCAACTCGACTCGTCGGGACCTTTCTCGGTCGGTAGAGTAAACGTTCGAGTATAGGAACGATAAAGGCGCCAGTTTTACCTGAACCGGTCACTGCGCCGCCAACCACATCTTTACCAAGTAGGGCAACGGGTATCGTTTTTTTCTGAATGGGCGTGGGTGCCGAGAACCCTACCGATGCGAGGCCTCGGAGGATGGGACGGGACAGAGAAAGGTTCTGGAAAGAAGCAGGCGCTCCAGAAGCGGACTTTGGTTCGGCCACTTGTTCCTCGGGAGCAAAGAACTCGTTTTGTTTGCGGATTTCCTCATCGTCTTCGCTTTCACTGCCCCGACGCATCTTCGTCCGATGCAAGGTCATCTGGATGTGCACCACAGAAGCCACAGAGTTGGTATCGTCGTCATCATCACCATCGTCCTCCTCTCCGTCTAGAGCCGTATTTTCTTCTCCATCTGCTTCAGACCCAGTTTCCTCCTCCTCCTCCTCCTCCTCACTTTCTGATGCACCCTGAGCTCCCATTCCAAACGCATCAGGAGCAAGAAGTTCGTCGTCATCAAGGTCCACCTGCATATCGTTATCTTCCCCTGTGTCTAGTTCACCATCCTCCACGTCTTCATCCTCCTCAGCAGCTCTCTTTTCGGCCTTCTTTCTCTCACGTTCTTCCTTTTCTAGTTTCTTCTGTCTCCTTCGGTCGAGGATAGCATCAATGTCAAAGCCCTTCTTTTCTGCTGTTTTAGTCTTGTTTCTCCCTTCATCTCCCCATCCATCGAAATCTTCCACTAGTCCACCATTCGCAACACCACCAACATCAAACTCGAAATCAGGGTTCAAAACGCCATTCTCGTCTTCACCGAATTCATCCTCTTCTTCTTCTGCGTTATCAGCAGCGGCCTTGCCTATTTGATTGCCATTGGTATCATTGTTTCCCCCTTTCTTATGCTTCTTCCGTTTCTTCGAGTGTGCGCTTGGTTCAACTTGCGGGTTTTCAGGTTCGTCTCTTCTCCGTTTAATACCAGAAACCCTTCCATTGCTATTACTAGCGCGCTCGGTATCGGAGTCGGTGTTGGGGGCCTCCTCATCGGACAATGTGAAGACGAAATCGTCTTCAGGGCCAAGGCGTGCCATGTTACTGTATCGTTATCCTCAATGGTGAAATGGATAAGGAGGAGTGGCGGGCAAATTAGCTATATCTCATACCCACGGATGAATTGCATATCCTAAGGCCAGGATATCAGCGCAGAAGTCTTTAATACAATTAACAGTAACTGGAATATTTTCTTGATATTAGTTTGAGCCAAAAGGTTTTTTTTTTTTTTTTACTTTTTTTCTGCCATGATGTCTTGAAAGCGGTGAGGCAAGTCACGCTTAGTCATCAACCTAAATCGAACCGCAAAAAGACAACATCAAGAGAAATGGAAAAACGGGCATCTAGATACATCAAAGCCGATAGACATGTTCAAAGCTCATTATACTCCCATGAAGGTACAATATGACTATGGCTGCTGATAACTCAAGCCCACTGGCAATGATAGAGTCCACGTCGTAACTGGTTTGATACCGGAAATCCTTGAATTGATCGAGAGAAATGCGCCTTGGGTATCATGCTACCGACAAGGGCAGAAACTCGAAAGAAACCGCAAGATACAGATTCATTCCGTTGGGAAAAAGTCGTCTACTCGTTCTCCGGGATGCCGGCGTTTGTGCTGTACACCATGTATCCAGCGTTGACCCTAAAGGAGCGGCGTTGGCAAGAAGTCGCAAAGGTGATGGTGAAAGGTTTACTTACCTGGTCTTCTTGTTGACTCCAAATCCTCTCAGGCAACCCTGTTCTTCAAAGCCGAATTTCTTGTCCAGCCATTCCTTGGTCCAAGTATACTCTGCAATCTCTTCGTCAGAGTGGTGGACGACTGCACAGAGCCTCATGACTGGGCGAGACAGCCCAGAAATGTACACGTCCTTACCCCGAGAGAACAGTCAAAAATATACCCCCCTCGGGCCTTATATTTGGGGTCACAGATCTCAAGCATCTTGTCAAGGAGACAGCTTGCGACTCCTAACTTGAGTCTTTTTGGGTGAACGAACAATTCAAGGTCATAGGAAAACCTCTGGGTAGAAAGAGGCCCGGTAAAGTCGCTGATGCAGCAGAAACCGTACAACATCTCCGCTTCATGATTCATAGCATGCCAGGCATGGGGGTGTCTCTGCACAGCAACAATGAAAGGGTAATTGTCTCGCTGAAGTTCGTCAATGTGCTCTCTCATTTCGTCGTAGGTTATTTCTTCTGTGTCTGCTCGGCGTAGCGTGTTTCTGACATACCAGTTGAACAGCTCAACAAGGGCAATGATATCCTTTGGCTCGACTGGACGGACATACATGTTGAGCTTCGGTTCGAATGGCTTTGGTTCGTTGGAAACGGAGTCTGGCTTTGGAAGAATGGCCAAGAGCTTTCTTTCCTGTTTTTCTGCTTCTTTGAACTCTTCCTCTAGGCGGATTCTGAGATTCCAGTTGTGCACATAACCAATCGCAGTCTCGTGAGCGTGCTTCAAGTTCTCAGGGTCGGAGGCATCTCTCACGGTTTCGGGGTAGACAAATGTTGAGGGCCCCATTCCAGTATCAAGGTTTGCATGATATTCCCCGTTTCTAAAATCGTCCTGGGTCATATCCACGATGAAACCGACTCTCATTGTCTTGTCCAACCAATGGCGAAATTTTTGAGCGAAGAACTCGTCGCCATATTTCTCCCATGGACGATATTGCCAGTCCACTGCAACCGCGCTAGCCGTATTTCCAAGGGCCCATTCGTTCATTGCCGGACCAGATTGCTGCTCATCATCAGTGGGGCGAGCATCTCTTCTTTCAAGTTTGCCTTGAGCCTCGTTGGTCTTGTCTTTGAGGCTTTCCGCCAAATCAGTCAAAAGGTATAATGGGTGCTCTTTGCAGAACACAGAATCTGGGTCAACCCCAGGACCTTGACGGGCAAGATTCAGTGCGATGGATTCTGGCGACTCCTCTGGTAAGAGGCCCATCACTTTCTTTCCATATCGCTCCATTTCTTTTTTTTGGAACTCAAGCAACTCCGCCTTCGTGGCCTCCTTGATACGGTCGATGGCTGTAGCCGGGGGCTTTATAATAACGCCATTAGTTTCGGACCCTTGTTTATGGGTTGATCTTGCTGGAGGGTTGTGCTTCCTAGGGTTACGTCCACGACTAGGACGGCGTTTATGAGGAGGATGATTTTCGTTATTCTCTTGTACCTGGGGGTAGTTCATCTTGATCTGACCAACAGACTTAGGAGCCTTCAAGGTTTCGTCTTTTCGGAAGCCGTATGGGATGTTAGGTCCGACCATACGCAGTTCGCCTTGTCGAAACACGACCTCATCCGAACCGTCAGAGTCTCCTGCTAGGTTACGGTGAGATTTCAGTTGAAGAAGCTCTCGAGTTATGTTTATGTTCTGGAGTAAGTACTTACCAGCCAACTGAAGATCTTGTGCCTTGTTGCTCTCACCAGCTGGTGTTTGGCTTGGCTCAGCTTGCTCTCCCTCCATCTTTATGGAAGAGGTATCTTTTGCCGTTGCAGACGAGGAGAGACGTGGTGTCATACCTTCAGATGGACTGATAGCAGCTGGAGTAGACACGCCAGTTGCTGCTTGGTCACTGGTCACTTGGTTGTCAGTGGTGACGGCTCTATTCGCGTTTGGCGAAACGTGAAGTGAATGTTCTGTTTCCGCCGGAGCGCCTAAAATCCGAGCGGGAGCTTTGGCTGGGGCTAGGGCTGGAACAGCAAGTCTGCCTGAGCGAGAAGCTGCCATATTGGTAGCTGGTACGAGGGCCTTTGACGTATTGCGTGGCCCATAGTTGTTACTCGCCATGGCCTTGAATACATTGATAGCAGCAATGTAATCACCCCACTGCTCAACCCCATTGATGCCTTGCTGGTCATTCTCTTGACCCTGCTGGCTGGGCTCTGCCATCGTGACTGTTCTGCGGATGCTCCTATCTAGGTATCAGGTTAGCTCAGGAAGCCAGAGGAGGTTGAAGAGCAGGCCAAAGCCAGGTCCCCGGCTTCCCCAGAGGCCAGGAGGCCGGAAGCACTTCCTAACAGCCCAGGAGACTATGAAGGGACTAGTGATAATACTCTTCTCTGCTTGGGGAGGCTCTGCGTTCTTTGCTTGACTTACATGACGGGGATTTGCACTTCGCCGAGCTGGCGTGTTGTTGTTGTTTTTATATCTAGATCTAAACGCCAGAAGATAAACGCGTTAGTTTGTGGTTAGTCTAGTAGAACTTTTATATCTTTATTGCAACTACCACTCTAGTTTACTAGTTCAATCTTTTATATTACAGCACCTAGGATTACATGTCTTGGTTAATTATTAAAGATCAACATCGTGCTTGGTGGTTATCACTTATACACTATGCAAATGTTTAAGATGTTAGAAACTGACTAAAAGATAGATAAATAAGATACTAACTCGCACATTAAAGCAATTAAACCCCTACACACCACAGACAACAGACCATTTACTACATCAATAGAAGGGAAAGAAAGGCAGGAGACGAAGCATGTTATCAGTTCTAAGGAAGGCTAGGCTAAAGGACAAAGAGATGAGAGTCCTGATGCTGTAAGATGTCCCTTTAGACTAGTTGTGGAAGCTCTCTTTTGCTGACCGGGAGAATTTAGGGGACTCGACAACGCGGGCAAGACGACAATAGTAAAGAGCATCATGGGCGAAGACATCACTACGGTGAGCCCTACGCTGGGCTTCATCATCAAGTCCATCGATTTTGGCGGGTGAGTGGCCGTTGTGGCGGTCTATCAAGTTACGGCACCCGCTGACCCTGTGGAATAGGTACAAATTAAATATATGTGCGTTTCCACACAGCCACACCGGCTACGGAGCAACGAGTCGTCTGACAGTGTAGCTATAGGGGATGTAGGCGGTCAAAAGACACTACGGTCCTACTGGAGAAATTACTTTGAAAAGACGGATACGTTGATATGGATTGTTGACGCTACAGACCGGTTCCGACTTGATGACTGTCGACAAGAGCTTGCTAGTCTCCTTGTCGAAGAGGTGAGAGCTGATAACAAATAACAACTAGTTACCTTATCAATTAATGAAATACTTGGCTAACGATATGCACAGCGGCTGATGGGAGCAAGTCTTCTTGTTTTCCTCAACAAGACTGATGTTGACGGCTGCATGACCGAAGATGAAGTCCGAAAAGTACTTCTTCCACTCCCACCAGTCCATGTCCTCGTCCAGTTACGGGTCTTGTTAGTTAACTATCACTATGTTGTAGGGGCTTAAGCTCGACGCCATCAAGACGCACAAGTGGACTATTATGCCTTGCAGTGCGGTGACGGGCCTAAACCTGACCAAGGGCCTCTCCTGGGTCGTCCAAGATGCAAAAGACCGGCTCTTCCTCTACTGATCCGGGCCCTGGCAAGCGATCTGCAGTTGTTTGTTCACCGTCATTCGCCCCTAGCTAGTTGAGCCAGCCGATAACTACCTGTTATCCACGGGTTGGCAGGGCATCCCGACCTCTCGAGCAACCCATCCGGCATCCCAACTCATGAACCGCCGCCCAACCCAGCGTATACGAGACCCCCCGAGTTCCCACCAGATCTCAGCTCGCCCCCGATCATTGGCCATGGCAAGCTAGAAAAAGAAACGCGCAAGGGCCTGCAGGGGCCAATCACTCATTTCTATGAGGTGGACTTTTGTTTTCTTCTCGAGCATCGCAAACATTCAAATCGGCTTCGGTTCGCTTTTGGCGGTTGTTTCATCTTTTGCTGCATCTCATCATCCTCTCCCTCAAACAGTCGCTGGATCTTCCCCGACACGCTGCGAGCCTGGTGCCTCTGCTGTCGATAGCTTTTCTATTCTTCATAAATAAATAAATACATTTATATTTACATATCTATATACATCTCCGCTGGCCTGTTTTCTGTTCTATCTCCTAGTCGGTGTCACCCGCTTAGTTCTTGTTGTCCGTCTGGCGCTGGGGAACAAATAAACAAATAAAATAACAACAATGGCTCCTTCGCACGACGCAGACGGGTCGGAAGACGTTAACGACTTTCTGGTTCGCATCCGAGAGCTGGGGAACAAGCGGGACAAGGAAGACGAAGAGCGCACGCGAAAACTGGAGGAAGAGATACTGCAGGGCCGCCGAGAGAGACAGGCCAGGAGAGCCGGTACGCTTGCTGCACTCCCTGGCATACACGCACAGTGAAAGATCACACATCTTATTGCTTTCGCCTCCTCCTCCATTGACCTGTTAACTTGTTAATCGTCGTATTACTGTGGCATCTAAGCTAGTTCACTGACTAACTTGTGGCCTTTGCTTTGGCCTGGGGATACAGAGCGCGCTCGATCAATTTCTCCCACCAAGGACTCGCCCCTCCAGCAACAACTCGACGAGCTGATACAGAGGGACTCTGCCTCATCGACACCACTATCTCACTCGATACAGCCCCCAGTCGACCTGGTGCCATCGTCTTTGGCCTCCAGGGACAGCAGTGGCCTGCCCAGACGCGACTCCGAGGTGCGCCAGCCGGAAACATCGCCTAAGCAGTCCTCGCCAGATATCACGAAGACTTCCCCCCTAGGGGGCCGGCCATTGTCCTGGAAACAGCGTCCTATGTCGCGGGACCAAGGATCGCCGACTTCTACCACCTTAAAACCGGCCAGAGAAGAAGAAGAAAAGCCTGCTACAGATACGAGTACGGCGGGCGGCGCTGACGAAATGGAGGAGGATGCTGTAGTGTCTCGAACACAGATTGCTCAGTCTCTCGGGTCGAAAGACCCGTCTTTCTTTAAGCAGACCAGTGACAGAGGAGACGGCTCGCGTGCATATAGAAGAGCTCATACTTCCTCCTTCTCTGAGGCGTCTACCAACCAATCGAGTGTCAAACTGCCGGGACTCAGCCGGGAAGCCGTCAGTGATCTCAGTATGCGTCCCGCATCTGAGCTAGGTGAGGAGAGATCGCGTTCACCGTCGAGGACAAGCTCTGTATACGGTGCCAGTAGCTTTGGGAACAGGTACTCGAGCGTGTCTTCTGTGACAACAGCAGGACTGGGGTCGCCGGTGCCGTTGACAAGTTCCCGGCGACATGAACGGGCATCATCTATATATGAAGAACAGCAGACAGGTGACCATTTGACCATGTCTCCTACGCAGGGCCGTTTGGCCTCTGATAACAGGCCTCCATCACCAACCAAGGGCCTCGGCGGGTTCGTCCAGAGTGCCATGCTGAAACGGTCCGACAGTGTGTCTAAACGCTGGAGCGCGCAACTCCCTGTGAACACCCTCCGCGGAGGCAATACCAGGCCTCTACCATCACCCGCAATGTCTCCAGAAGGGTTTTCGGGTCTGCCTTCACGGCCTGGCTCGCGGCCCGACTCTCGGCCTGGATCTAGCCATAGTGATGCAACAGTGGTTCGTGGAGAGGGGGATGATGCATCGGTAATAAGCAGATCAACGGATACCTATACTAGGCCTCCATCTCGGCGCAGAGAATCAGTGAGTACAGCCAGTGGAAGGGATTCAGGTCTTCCTGTAAGTCCGTCCAAGACCATGGATCCAAGAAGATGGAGTCCGACAAAAGCATCCTGGTTGGAAAGTGCCCTCAGCAAACCAGACTCCCCGAAGCTAAAACCTCGTGTGCCAGAGGAGCCGGAATGGAAGAAAGACCTAACGGATAGGCTCCGGAAGGCAAAGGAACTGAACCAGCCAGAGAAAACAGATACTTCAGAGTCTGAGAAGGCTGTATCGGCTGCAGGAAGCAAACTGGACCGTCCCAGCTCACCAGAGAAACTTGACAGCCCACCATTGAAGTCACCTTCTGATCTGAAAATACATCCCCCTCAGGAGACCAGAGAACCTTCCTCAAGCCCTAGCCCTTCTGAGGTTCGATCTCCAAAGGATTTAACCAAGTCACCTCCCATCCCAGCAAAGAGTGAATTCCTAAAGTCAGAAACAAAAGGATCCGCCCCATCTCCAACCCAAGATACCCCCTCCAAACCAGCTGCACCCGGAGTAAAATCCTCCCAAATAGATTTCCGTGGCAACCTACGCCGTCGTGAAACAGTTGATGATAGCATTAGAAAAGATGAGCCGGAGTTCAAGGCAGTCTTTGGTAAATTACGACGTGCCGAAACTAAGAATTATGTTGCACCTGATGAACTCAAAGGCAACATACTTCGTGGGAAAGCTGGCCTGACCGTTACTGGGGGCCCCAAGAAAACTGAACGGGTGGACGAATTCAAAGAGAGTCTCTTGAAGCGCAAGGAAGCAATGAAAGCTGCTGGTGGATCAATTCGTCCCGATCATACTGGCTCTGCCAATAACCAACCACCAAAAGATTCTACTCCAGAAGCTATTCTCGTGAGACAAAACCTTGGTAGATCGAATAGTATACGGAGCACCTTTGGATCAAAAAATCCACCAGCCAAACCAATATCAAAGCCGGCAGCCCTTCGTTCACCTTCTTCTGAAGAGATTCCCACTGAGAAAGAAAACCAACCACCTCAGCCCTTGGAAACTCCACCTACGAAATCTCCTATCCCGTCACCACCTGCAGAAAAGGAAACTCGTGCACCTACCTTTGCTGCTTCTACTGCTACCGTGGCTGCAGCTGCAGCAACTTCTCCTATCAACGATGCAGCTCCATCTCCCGCAACAAAAGGCAAGCTTGGTAATCGAATGAATCCCATGCTAGCAAATCTCATTGCTCGAGGACCTCCAGCGCCATCGAAGTCTGCCTCTCCTGCGTCTGTGTCGACAATCTCAACCTCTGAGCCATCTACACCAGAAGCGCTGACACACATGACGAAGTCTCGCGCTAGAGGGCCCAAGAGACGCTTGCCTAAGGGTACTACAAAGGAGTCTACTCCAGCAGCAGTCAAACCTAATGACCCTGCTCCAGAGAAGTTATACGAATCCAGCCGTTTGCCTTCAATAGAGACAGAACCAGCTGCTACACCAAAGCCGTTGAACTTGGAAGTCAAACATAAACATCTAACATCAAACAGAGAAGAGAACAAACCCGAGGTCCCCCTCCATTCATCCCTACCTTCTACTCCCTTGATAGAGCGCCAGCTATCTAAACCAGATCTTGTAGCACCCAACCGATCAAACAGCAGCCCTGCTGAAAATAAGGACAAGCCTAGCCCTCCACCAAAATCCGCAAACCTCTCTACTTCTCCGCTCAATCTTAAAAAGCAGGCCTCGGTAGATGACTCCCCCGTACCTCAAAAGGCACGACCAGATTTTCCGTCAGAGAAGAAGCCGAATCAATCTGAGGCGAAGAAGCCTGGGCTAACGGATTTCACTACTTTAGCTCCACCACGTCTGGGAAAGCCCTCGTTCTTATCGGGCTTGAATACTAACCGAACAAGAGAACAATCGCGCTCCCCGTCACCGACCAAAACCCCAGCATTCGCTCAAAGCTCTGAAGTATCTCAAATGTTTTCGAACTTCTTCCTCAGTCGGCCAACTGCTGAAGATAAAGTAGAAATCGATCCCGCATCGGTTATGATGAGCAGACCAGGCACCTATCCTAAGATCAAAACCCTTGCAAAACAGGTCTGGGAGTTGGCTGGTGATGGAAAGAGAAAAGACTTACCAGGCAACCAAGAGTACATCTTGTTCGATGAGAGCATGTATCTCTGTGTTCACACGTTCGAGAAATCTTCCGGAGGTAGAGCAACAGAGGTACACCTATGGTGTGGCGACGGAGTCGGAGAAGCAGCCGCCGAAGACACACAGCTCTTCGCTCGCAAAGTCGCGAGGGAGCACAATTGCAAACTCGAGCTCTTGAAGCAGGGAAAAGAAACACCAAACTTCATCCAAGCCCTCGGCGGCATCATGATCACGCGGCGAGGACCAAGTAGTCGATCTAATTCGTCAACGCAATACATGCTTTGCGGAAGAAGACACATGGGCCAAATTGCATTTGACGAGGTCGACCTATCAATCAGCAACCTCTGCTCAGGCTTCACATACATAATATCCGGCAAAAACGGCAAACTCTTCCTGTGGCAAGGCCGTGGAAGCACGGCCGATGAAATTGGCTGTGCTCGTCTGATTGGAATGGACATTGGGCTGACGGGTGAGATCGAAGAAGTTGCCGAAGGCCAGGAACCGAGCAGCTTCTTCGAATCCTTCCCTGGCCAGGAAAAAGCAGTGTTCCCGTCAGCAGACTACTGGCAGCTGAAGCCCAAGCACGAAAAATACTCCTGCCGACTGTACCGTATTGACCATGAACTTGGCCAGTGGTTTGGAGCGAGCTTTTTCAACCGTCGTGGAGCCTCATCGCCAGTATCTCGACCAAATGATACAGTGCAGGAGATTGAACCTTTCTGCCAGCGTGATCTTGATCCAGCGCATATCTACGTTCTCGATGCGTTTTTTGAGATTTATGTGTAAGTTCGCCTACCTCGTTTTAGTGGTTTGACAGTTTTATGCATCAGCTCCTAACCCACCTCTAGTATTGTTGGTGATCGATCAAATGCGCGATCGGCAGAGTTTGCTTCTGCTCTAGTATTCGCCCAGGAGTACGGAATTCTCGCTGTGTCTGAGCAAGACCGCCCATTCCTACCAAAGAGCCATGTTATTCTCGAAGGCCTGCCTACAGAATGCAAACGGGCGTTCAGAAACTGGGACGGCAGACATTCCCCGGGCACGCTGAACAAGGCTCCTATCGTCGTTCCGCTGGCCGTGGCCATTGATGCGATCCGATGAGCTAGCATGATTCATCCTATCTTCTTTGGCGCCATTTTCTTCTTGTATTAACCTCTATTCTCCCCCTTTTTTGTTCGCTTTTTATTACATCTTAGCGGTTTTTGGAGGCTATCAGTTCCCTTTATTTGTGTTATATTTCGTCTACTCTCTTCTTACTAGCTACCCGCCCTTCTGCCGGCTCGGGCTATGCACAATGTTTATCGGCACTCGGAAGTAGAGTCATAACAACCATTGGATGCTACATGGAATAGACTACATAGATAGCATGAAATTTGTATCTCTTGTTTACTTTGGATCTTCGATAAACTATTTCTTGCTGCATGACGGCTGCATGCACGAACCAACCAGGGCCACCCGCAGTTTAAGGGTGGAACATCGTCGCAAAGATCCGTCCACGTAAGTACTAGGAAGACTTCTTGCGAGGCTTCAAGCTCTATTTTACTCTGTCTATTACTGCTGCAGATCTCCTGGCGGCTGCTAATTTCTCTATATTCAGGTTTCACCTTAATATAAACTAAGGAAACCGGTTAAGGTTATTTAACTAAACTAGTTTGGCGGTTTTCCAAGGTTTACTGAGACGTCTTGCCTTTTCCCATCTCAACCTCGACGCCAGCAGAACACCCACCACACCACGCCGGAAGAGAGCCGAGGAGACAGGATCATCGTCCAGACAGCTGGCATTTAATCCCATCTCGCCGCTGCCATGCATTGATCGAGCAGACTTTGCTGTCGACCTGCCGAGGTACCTCCTAGTTTCAAATACCGTGGAGGGGAAAGAAATATCTCTCCAGCCGAACGACCGGCTATTGAACAGCGGCCAGCAAACAAGACCCAGGCTAGAAAACCTGACAAGGGGCCCGGAAAAAGAATATTTGGATAATAGAAAAGGAGGAGAGCAGGAGAGAATCGGAAAAAAGAAGCAAAAATGGACGCGTTCATAACTGCCGAACTCGCAAAGCTAGACCCCACGGTGCCATTTCGAGCGACTAAGTCACACCTCCATCACACCTGGGCGAAAACGTTCTATTCTCGACCGGAACTTTACATTCAGCCCGAGTCAGTTGCCGAAATTGAGAAGGTCGTCACTCTTGCTCGCAGATGCCGCCGACGCCTAGTGACCGTCGGCAGTGGTCACTCGCCGTCGGATCTTACCTGCACGTCATCATGGGTTGTCAACTTGGACAATTACCGTCGGGTCCTCTCGTTTTCGCGTGATACAGCTGTTGTCACGGTTGAGTCCGGTATACGACTGAGACAGCTTGGCATTGAGCTGGAGAAGAATGGCCTGATGCTTCCCAATCTCGGCAGCATTGATGAACAGTCCATAGCAGGAGTGATCTCAACGGGAACACATGGCAGCTCACTCAAGTATGGCTTGCTGTCCGAACGTGTGTTAGGATTGTCGATAATGCTTGCAAATGGCCAGGTTGTCCGATGTAGCGAGGCGACCAATCCGTCGCTGTTTCGTGCCGCCCTGGTGTCCCTTGGGGCCATTGGTATCATCACGGAGATGACCTTGCAGGCTGTTCCAACTTTCAATATCGCCTGGCAACAGTCCCTGAAAACGTTGCCACAGGTATTGGATACGTGGGACTCTGGTTTATGGACATCCACGGAATACGTGAGGGTGTGGTGGATGCCTTATATGAAGCGCGCGATTGTCTGGCGTGCGGACAAGACCGACCTCGCGACTCGTGATCCCCCTACCAGCTGGTACGGTGGTGCTTTAGGTTACTTCATCTACCATAACTTATTGTATCTCTCCAACTACGTGCCCCGGATCCTGCCCTGGGTTGAGTGGTTTGTGTTTGGCATGCAGTATGGCTTTACGCCCGGAAAGACTGTTACTGAGGCGGTTCAACCTGCCCGCACTGGCCTCTTGATGGATTGCCTGTATTCTCAATTTGTGAACGAATGGGCAATTCCGTTAGAAAAGGGTCCAGAGGCCATTACCCGATTGTCCGCCTGGTTCCATGGTGACGAAGAGACTGCACGTATACCATTTAGCTCCGAGTCAGTCTGGGTACATTGCCCTATTGAAGTACGTGTCTCCGATACTTCAATTTCAAAGACTCCTCGCCCGTACCTGGACTCCACTTGTCCTGATGGCCCTACCCTATTTCTCAATGCTACTCTATATCGGCCTTACCTACGTGATCCTCCATGCAGGGAAAGATACTATGAGGCATTTGAATGGCTCATGCGGGATCTAGGTGGAAAACCACACTGGGCTAAAAATTTTGGAGAAGACCTTGGGTATGAGGCCCTTCGAGGGATGTACGGGGACAACTTGGATCAGTGGCTGCAAGCCAGAAATGAGGCTGATCCTGATGGAATGTTTCTGGGTGCGTGGCACAGGAGACACTTGCTACCCCCCTCCACATCTGCATCATCACAATCACCTGGCCAGGCTTTAGCCTTCGAAGAGCACCTCAAGGAGCAACGGATGCTAGGTGTGCCCGGAGCCGGGGATGGCATTGAGTGGATTGGTACTATTCCCGGCTGTACCCCACACGGCAATAGGGATGTTGATGATGGTGCGAATGCACCCGATAGTCATCCAAGCCCACCAACAACTTCTGCAAGCGAAGAAAGTTTTGACCACTTTGCAAAAGGGGAGGCAAGCATCACTCTGCCTTAGCAAGCTGATAATTACGGAGTAATTCGAGAGATAATTTTGCATCACCATTCCTCCGTAGCATCTTGAGTATGCAGAATAATCCATACTTGATTTTCAATATTGACTTCAATTATTTAACCATCGAGTTATTTACTATGTATTCCAATGAAGATTTGCATCCGTAGGCATGTTTTGGTATCGTATGAGAAGGGCGGAAAATTGCTGAAGCCCTGTACAGCGGCATGCAGGTTGCGCCGCCTTTGCATCTCAAAGCAATTTAGTTTAGTTACCTGGTTAGCTAGCTCGTTATTGAGCGAGCCTTGTGAATGGACGACAAGTCGCTTGCAATGCACCAACGGGATCACTCCCCATGCGCCACCTATAACTACCTGCCCTTGCTTGGAAAATGTGCGCTCAATGTATATTCTCCTCGATGTCTCCTTGTTCACAGTCCAGAGAGTAAAATGACGAAAAACGTACGGAGTAGAGACATACGTCTTTATGCCCTACAATTAGCCTGTGTCTATAATAATTAACTAGTTAACTATACATGACAGCTTCTTCCCAAGAGCCCTCGGTAAAACTTAACTAGCTAACTAGTCACCCTGGCGGCAGATCAGCCGTTCTCTCTTGCTCCGCACAGCGTACACCTTGTACTTGTAGCGCGTAGAAGGCCGCACGTTCGTGTCTAAACATAGCAAATTCGCAGGCATACAAGCCGTTCTCGGTAGGGTTACCTAAGCCAGCAATAATCCTTTTCGGTAGATATTTACTTTTCTTATGTATCTGACTTTTTCGGGCGTTGTAACTATCAGCTTCTTTTTTGCAAATTGTAGGGAGCCGAAGATGACACTCCCAAAGAAGAAACGAAGCAGAAAAGCGGGAAGTATATCGGCTAAGCAAGCAGACGGAAAATGAATCGATAGCCGACCTGATGATATGACTGGCTCGCGGACAGGAATGTACCTTGAATTGCTTCTGTCGGCATTTGAAAATGGGCCTTATCCTGCAGCCCCCTGACCACAACTTCCCCCTATCCCTGCACGTTGCCCACACCCTGTTGCACGGACGCTGTTCGCCAAGTTGTCTCTTGGTCATTGCCCTTCCATCATATATGTATGCGTCTAACTGTGGGTGTACAAATTTCTTGGCATATGCACTGAGTACACTAGGCAGGTAGATAATCGCTTTCCGGTGAAGATCAAACATAACGAGTGCAGCGCGAGAGGAGTGAAGAATAGCCTACTGTAGTGGCAACCGCGCAGGGAAAGCCACCAGCCGCACTTGCACGCTTGGCTGCATGGTGGAGGAGGAGGAGGAGGGAAAAAAAACGCACATATATGCACGTCTTCTGCCAAGGTATCAACTTTGTCACCCATGGTTTGCATGGGTTGATTCGTAATGATCTTCCATCGGTTGTAAAGTGTAGGATCGAGCTTCGTACATGATAACAACCCCGAAAAAGAAAGGAGGGCCTGTTCCTGCACAGAACGGGAATTATACTCCACTGCGATGTCCCATGGGATAGGAAACTCTGTCATAGCAAGAAAAACGGCATGGATAGAGTAACTTCCGACACGGTGTTATGCTCCCGTCACCCGGGTGTTTCTGGTATAAATCTTCCGCTCGTTCTAGACTGTCAAGAAGACAGTTGACAGAAGGCTATTCCCATGGATTGTCCGATGAACTTGGTACCACAATGCCTAACTAAGTGCAAATTCGAGCCTGTATCTTTCAGAGAATCTCACCTATTAGCAAGTAACCACAATCCATGCACATATTTCGCAAGGCAGCACTCTAGCTTACGATGTTATTGGTGGTTTCAATTGACACCAACATATAACGACCTCAATCTAGCGGGCAACCCTCGGACATGGCGTTGCATGCCAAGATATGTATGTGAGACCACTATTTTTAACAGAGACAAGTTGCGAGTCAACGGCATGCATATGTTCCTTTCAGAACCAATATAACGAGATGATCATGGAATTGCTTTTCGGCAAGCGTGTATCCAGCGCATCAATATCAGTTCGAGAGATGTGAAATATGATCAGAAGCACAGACAGAGTACGCAGGTCTCGTTGCTCTGTCAGTATTGAAGCACAAAGCCAAACAAGCCATTGGTCAGCTAGTTAACTAGGTCGGTTACGGGGTACTCCGTATCTACTCGGTAGTTAACAAGTTAACTGTCCAGGGGTGGTTAAGTTAGTCGGCCGTGATGTGGAAATAACTAAGCGCTCATCGGGCTAAAAAATACCATGAAGGAATAAGTAAATCTCTGTCAAAGCAGACCGTATGTGTGTCCATATGTCGTACATCATTGACGTACATAACACATAATTACCATGCGCGTGAAAAAAAGACAGTTTTACGCGCAGGTGTCGTTCTTGGGAGTCGTTCTTGTGCTGGAGGTAGATAGACTGTGAGCTATCACTTTTTATTACGAGGTGGTTTTAAGCTTATCTAAGCTCGGAACGGGCCGTGATTCGAGGTTAATCTTATCTATTATCACGTGATAACGTCGGTTTATCGAGGATCCCAATTAGGACGTCGCTTGCGACCTCAATCCACCAACGGCCGATGACCATGACCTGCATCAAAGCACGGCCAACATCAAACAAAAAATACCCCAAGACGTTGTATGCGCCAGGGGGCCTTGTACCCTGTACTTCAGGCCGGTGAGGTCCATCACACACTCCATCCAGCACCAACATGAACACTGCATGACTGAGACGGTCCCACTACTGCCGCCTCAACGCAATTCCAGCCGTGTCCCCAAGGGGCCTAGATGGGACTACTAAGTACATCTGTTTATTGGAACGTGGTTCATTCAAGAAGAGACGCCGATGCATAGCAGTCCTAGCTACAAAACAAAGTACAAAATTACTGCCGCGGAGCACAAGAATACCCCTCTGTGGTACTCAGTACTGAATACCGCCGTTCTGCAGCTCCCCTCACTTCACTCACCCCCCATACTTGTTCTATCCATTGGCCAAACGAAAAGGAGGTCATGTCAATTCAGCTATTGGGTTACAGGCTACGGTGGTACTATATTGGTCACTATGGACGCACGTGAAGGAACGGATCATTTTAACTTGGGCCCTTGTGCACTCTGGAAAAGCTGCTCTCAGGAGTCCATGGCCGATTTATTTACCTTACAGGCGCGGTTTGCGTATGTAAAAACGCCAGAGTTGTTTTTCTCTCCTTTCCTTTCTTTTCTACATCACAAAATGGTAGATCTTTCTATCTCTGCCGTTACTTGCTGCCACGACTCGAATTGGAACGCACATTCCCAACCCAACTGGAATCATCGACTAATTACTGCAGATGAGACCGCCCCATCGCGTTTAATTATGAATGCCAACTTCGGAGCGCCAGACCTGAAATATTTTATTCCGTCGTCGTGTGACTGGCCCTAGTCAGAGGGACAGAGCGGATGAAATCTGCCAACCATTAAGTCGCTGGTAAGCCTCGGTCTTTTGTACGAGCTGAAATTGTAAGCTAACTACTCACACCCTGGCTCAATAATAAAAAACGCAAAAAGAAAGGGAAGAAGGGGGGAGAGAGATTGAAAATAGAGCTCTGGTTTTAGCGGTGTTTGCTTTTTTCGATCCGTCGGCTATTCCCAGCTTTTGGAATCCTCTCGGCTGTCCTAGTTGCTGCCCAAGTCCTCCTTATCAGCAAAAGTCCAGACAATCCTTTCCTATGCTACACACCTGCCTCGCTTCAGTTCTATGCATACATCGCCCCCCTTCTCATTGTGGAAACCGGGTCGGCCCGTTGTAAGTGGCTGCCGCACTAGAATTCTCCACTAATTGTATAAGCCAAGTTACCCTCCCATCAAATGAGCTGCTGTGAAGATCGGGGAGGGGCCGTGGAAAATGGATGTCATTTACGGACGACCATCCTCATGCATACAAGCACAACCGCTAGTCCGCTAGCTTAAGCCGGTACTTGGTACCCTTGCCTCTCCTTCCCCGCCCTCCCCTTTTAACTATCTATTTCCGAGCCACTACAAAAGTACTTTTTTCCATCCCCGTGTGAGGTGTCGAGCTTAGTTAAATTGAGGGAACCAAAACGTTCCGATACATAAGAGTGACGAGAACAGATTTCTCCACGTCATCCCCACCGTTTAGGGCTTTGTGGCGATCGATTCCAGAAGACAGCCATAGGCCAGCATGTTTAAAAACTCGCAGTGCATCTACCTCCTACATCGGCCGTCATCTACAACATAAATCAACCTTACTATATCACAGGACACCGCTCCCCTTTCATATTTCCAATCAAGCCATTTCCGTGTTCACCTCCCACGAAGCCCCTTCTTTTTGACCGAATTTTATTTGACTTCAATTTTTCGCTACTCCTCGCCTGATAATCGCCTATCAACTGTGAGGAATTTATCTCTTTCAACTCCAGTTCCCTAGCTTGTAGATACTACACCTCCTTCCCCACCTGGTCTATTAAATTACGTCTCAATGCCGCAACCACACCCAATCTATCCGAAACTCCATGCCTCATCCAGGCTCCCGGGGCCACTGTCCATACCCGGGGGAATGGTAGCTATTCCCAACTATGGACCTATCCCACGTCCCCTGAACATGAGTCAACGCTATCAGGTTTTACGAACGAAGCGGAAGCACGTTCTAAAAGCCTGCGATCGGTGTAGGGTGAAGAAGACGAAGGTACATATATACCCGTTCAGCAGATTTTTTTTAGCTTACACGGCTTTGTTTCATACCTTTGTATTCAGCTTCAACTGATTTGTGAATGCTTAATTGATGCTGATATACAAAACGTGCTTATAGTGTGACGGGAACCAACCATGTTATCGATGTGCTGTGTATAACCATCCGTGCCTGTTTCGGGAGAGGAAGGCAACACAGACCAAGACATATTCCAGAGGGTGAGGAGAACGGTGTCTCATATACTTCCGTCCTATGGGGAATCATCTGCGGAGGATGCAGCCGGCCGTTATTGCAAATAACTTACTCTGTGGCATTGTATAGCTTCGTTGAAATGCTTGAGTCCCACCACGCGTTAGTTGTGAAGGCACTTCAGCAGTTATATACTCATTGTATCAACAATAAGTGTTTCCCAGGCGAACCCATCGAGCTCGTGGATGGGTACCCCTTAACCCACGCCATTCTGGATCGACTTGGCCTTATCAAACAAGCTCAGGAGCAGAACATCACGCACAACGTAGAAGCTGAGTTAATAGCAGCTTCAAAGTATTGGAAAACCGAATCATCGGGACCAAATTCATCAGAACACGGCAATTCCCCCATTGAGCCATGCTGTCAGCTTGGCCGGTCCCGGCCCGGCGGTTCATGTTCGATCTTGACTCCATCTGAGCATGATCTGGTGAAATGCGAGCCTTCTCCTACCAGTGGCGTACGCGAAACCTTCCGGGTATTTGGACGTGAGGAGGCGTATTGGCCGGTAAACGGTGAATCCGCCCTCACACACGCTACTCCTGATTATAACCGGGCAGCACCACTGGGCTCTAGCAACATCAACAGCGTGCCAGGTAACTACTCTCCCACGCACCCCAACCACCAATCGAGTCCCCTAGCCTGTAACAGTCTTCCATCCCCAGTCTCGGTGAGCAATACAACCATAGTTCCAAGTACTTGCCCGCAGACGGATCCCAGGATTGGTTACCCAACCGTGACTACCGTTCAGTACCCGGGGTATCCCCATCCGTACTCTGAGGTAGAGCAACAAACTGCCTGGAACTCGCCGCAGGGATGGTCAGAATAATCTGACTGCCCATTATCGGGTGAAAATGGCAGAAGATTGTGGTTACCGATGGTCTACCTGCATGAGACGGTAACCACCGAACCAGTTCAATTTCAAGCAAGGGTTACACCCTACCGGAAAACCTGTGTCTTGGACACAACCGCCGAGTTTCCATGACTTCTACTCATGTCAACGGGAAGTTATCTTTTTCTGCCAATAGGTTCTTCCCTGCAGTGCCGTCCTTCGCTATTCGATATATAATCTCTCTCACGCCAGCATGGGATACCCATAAAACATTGTTTTACTTACTTTTAGCTCCTGCTGTCCTGCCACCACGGATGTACACCGCGTTGATTTCGTTGATCCCTTGAAACCAATGAATAAATACTTATGTGAGAGGCCGATTGTACTATTGTCCCACCAGACATGTTACAGCCAACGGCCCTATCAACAAGCCGGCACACTCTCACTACAAGGAAGTTCCTCGCCACCTGGCCTCTTATTATGTCTTGTTTTCGTTATTACCATTTTTCACTCCTTTGATTTCCTTGTTTTTTATCTTAATTTTTTTCCTTTGTATCTGTAGGGTATCGGGACTGTAGGATTTGCATGGGGGTTTTTGGTGTGCATTGCTTTAACGGTTATCAATATCGCGAAGGAATTGCACCAAAAACAGGAGCTGGGAAAAAGGGACGTTATAATAGGCTAGATACTCTCATATGTATCCTCACGGGTGCAGTAATCGTTTATCAATTCCTACCGATGTTGTTCATCTGTAAGTCGACGGGTTATGGTTGTTCTTAGAGCGAGCTCTCGTGTAGTTATCACATGATATATCATGTGATACTCTTATAGTTGTATCTTAATCCTTACCAGGAGCAGTAGAGGAAAAAGTAACCAATATACACATTCTATCAATTCTTACTACTAGGCTCTTAAGCCCTTTCTAATAGCTTATTCTACTTAAGCTGTACCTGTCAATCTGCTCTGAAGCCTTAGATACTCAAGGCTTTATCCAAGAGCTCTCAGGATAACCGTTTCATACCGTTTGAACCCAGTGAACCCCTTGTCTCTCCCAAGCATTTCTCTGTTTAGGGAAATTTAAAGTTGATGGGGTGAAAAAAAAAATGCGAAAAATAAAATGGCAAAAAGAAACTCTCCTGACCCAGAATCGAACTAGGGACCCTTCGGTTACAATTTTTCAGTTACAGCCGAATGTCATAAACCAACTAGACCATCAGGAGATGTTTTTGTTGAAGGACCTTAGTTTGGCGTCGCTTTAACTGGCCTTTCTTTCGCTAGTCACCCGCAGACTTCCTACTGGACAGCCACTGGCGACGCAGCACAGAGCCGCTTATGATTAAAAAACGATGCCGCCGACATACGGAGTAGGTAAGCACACTGCGAATACTATTTAACTCTTATACACCTATCATTTATATACGGAGCACGGAATACTCATTCTTATCCTTCTCCTTCTCTCGCCTCCTCGACTTTTTACTCTTCGCTACAGGTCGCGAGGCGTGCAGTATTACTAAGCAGAAGTACCGCTGGTCACGTGCTATCTCGGGTAATAAAAAATTACCCGCCGGTTAGCCGCGCTTCTATATCCATGTCCACAGAGCAAACAAAAAAGCAACATCTGCCGAAAAAAGGACAAAAAATGAAGAAACTCCCCTGGGCTGGAGTCGAACCAGCGATTTCTCGGTTTCATGAGTTAACAATTACAGCCGAGCGCCTTAAACCAACTAGACGACCAGGGGCGTTCAGGTACCTGCAGCCCAGACCGAGTTGCCTATCAGCTGGCCATGGCGCTTCCTAAACTGGCATCCATATATATGTATAAACATAAACACTAGGACCTTAGAATATGCGTATGGCCTACGGCATCGAGAATCACTCGAGAGCTTGTCAAAAGCTTGGTTTGTTTTTTCTTGAAAAAAGAAATTCCACGAGGGCATCAAAGTAGTATTTAAAGTCAGTCTAATTCTTGGACGCGCTCAGCTTAGACGCGCTGCATCTCCTAGCCTATCATCTTTAACGTCACTTTGTGCCAACATCGTCAAAACACAAACATTCGTGAAGATATCGATCATACCATTACATTGCCTAGCGGTCTCGTCCTAGTATCAAAGCGTTGCTTCATTACATATCGCAATGTCTCTTGTCGGGTTTGGTCGACTTATACAAGGCCGGCTCTTCCCGCCAGCCAACCCAACAGCCTCTCTCGAAGGGAAGACAGTCCTCCTAACCGGCGGTACGTCTGGCTTGGGACTCGAAGCAGCCATAAAATACATAAACCTGGGTGTCTCCTCGTTGATAATCGGCTGCCGTAATATTGAACGTGGCAATGAAGCAAAGAGGGTGATCGAACAGCGTGCGAGCAGTACTGCCAATTCTGATATTCAAATTTGGCCCCTAGACATGGCCAGCTATCAAAGCGTGGTATATTTTGCCCAAAAAATCAACAAGGAAGTGCCACGGGTTGATATTGCGCTGTTGAATGCTGGAGCCATGCACAGGAAGTATACCCTGACACCAGACGGATGGGAAGAGACGCTTCAAGCCAACGCACTGTCAACCGCACTGCTGGGGCTACTGTTACTCCCAAAACTAAGAGAGAGCCGTGACGTCGCAACCGGAGCTCCCGCTCATCTCACCTTTGTCTCAAGCGGATCTTACAGACATGCAAAGATAGAGGAGCTACAGCCGGAGGGAACCAACAGCATCCTCCAACACTTGAACAACGAAGAGAACTTCCGTGCGCACTCTCAATACCGATTATCCAAGGTTCTTGTCGAATACACCGCAAAGAGCATCGCTAACTTAGCCCGCTGCGATGACGGCTCACTGGAAGTCATTGTCAACTCTGCTTGTCCAGGGTACTGCCGTTCCCACTTAGGTCGCGAGTACGATGCATGGCACGAGAGAATGTTCGTTGCTGTGTTTGAGCTCATTTTTGGCCGTACGTCAGAGCAGGGTAGCAGGACCCTTGTGAGTGCTACTATTCTCGGCGAGGAGTCCCATGGAAAATGGTGGAGAAGCGACAAGTATCCAGAGTAAGATCACCAGTTTATATATATCCCGCCCCTCCATACGGGGTATGCAGCCTTCTTTCGTTCTATATTTGGAAACTAACCGTTATAGCATTTCGGCTACACTTACTGGAACAAGCGAGGGGAAAGTGTTACAGATACGAGCCTGGCAAGAGATCGTGGGGGAGCTCAAGCTTCGATCTCCCGAGGTTGAACGGCTCGGCCGGTGCAACTGACGACATATGATAAATCTTGTCTGGGGTTCTAAGTATGTAGATTCCTCCTACAGCTTATCATATCTGTCGGTTTTGTTTATTGTGCCCCGCTACCGCCATACCCCTCTCCAAATTGTATTTTATATCGGTACGACTATTGAAAGAATCATCTTGTGCGATCATGCTGTCCTTCCTGACGCAAAGAAAGCAGCGCCCCGAAGGTCAGCAGAGCGGTGTGAGCTTCATCGCCAAGTCTCTACACAGCTGCTCGTGACCTGGAATGATGTCAATCCTGATTTGAGGTTGGCTTAAGCACCTATCTTCCATGTTTCCCTTTAAGCTAAGTCGCATATGCAGGCTACCAGCCAGTGCTGGGGGGTCGAGCACCCAGAGCCAACCAAATAACCAAGCCATCCAGGCGATATCCGACGACGTCTCGATACGAAGCAATAGATTGTCCGGGGGATATGAAATACGATAAGCTCCGAATCTAATGCAATCAACGACGTTGGATATCTATAGATCCATGGTGTGGTAGAGTGAGCATTGGCTTGGCCTTTGTTCTAATTAATCTAAATCACACAAATTCGTTCTTCCTATCCCCGTTTTTGTGGAGATATGTACCCCAGAGGGGCAGATGCAAGGCTGCAACGTTGAAAATCGATCGTTTAGTGGGACCAGATGTTCCAAACCCCGAGATGAGGGAAGGATTCCAAGATTTGGAGGTGTCGAACACAGCTGAAACGAAGAGCTCGAAAAAAAAAAAAAATTAAAAGCCCTCACATGATGGCGTGGAATTCAAGGATATTCAACGTCAAAGGAGCTTAACCACGTCGGTTGTAACCAATGAGTTTCTCCTTCGACAAAAGCACCATTAACAGGGGTATCGAAACCAAATTTTGAGAGCTGAGGTTGGAGCTTTGTCCCTAAGGGTATAAGATTATATGGCGGAATTGCACCCGTTAACTATGGCGGCTGGCCAGAGCAATGACGTTAGACCCTTATCTTATCAACAAGAAGCACAGCCTCTCTTCCGTCTTGGGGTGCAATGGAATTGGCCGTGCTGCCTCTCTCCTTGTAAGGACACGGAGCCAAGGGGTCAGTGCACCATCCTTTGGGCAAGTCAACCGTCTATCCTCGCTGCTCCCATGATGGACTTCGGCCACGAGATCCCGTGGAAAGCCCATCCGGAAAAAGGAATTTCGGGGTCGGATGAATGGATAGATATGGCCGCAAGAGGCCGCGTTGGGTCAGAACCGTTTTAACCCAAGGAGAGAACCATCATACTTACTGATGTTGTAGTCTGCCAGGGGTGCAAGTAGCCAGGGCCCGTGAGACACGCCAATCCCAGACATTCTCTGTGTCAGCACTACCTCTCGAATGTCTTCATGAAGTGTAGCAGTAGGTATTCGCCCGATAAACAAAGGATGGTGATATTTTTGTTCCTTGGTCTTGCACAAGGAAACCCAATTCGTTCCAGAGGATGATCCCTGGCCTATCGACATGGAAATTGATGCAGTGTGCTTTTGCACATCACATTGACCGTATACGAAGGAAGCCGTGTGAGCCCAATCAACCTCACGGGAACTGGCTGAACCGGTTGGAAGCAGGAAAACAAAGGAATACGGGGATGTTCCATTGAATTTCTAAGCCAGGTGAGGCATCGATGCCGTTAGTCTTGCGGTCTGCAAGGCTAAGCATTGCTTTGCTCTCTGATGTAGCCTTGTTTGGGTCAGTGAGCAGGCATTCTCCTGCCACTGCACATATAGCTGCTACATGTCCGTCTCATGTGCGTCTCTCTGTTTGGTCCGGCTCAAATTTCTTGGATGTTGAATCGCATAAAGGTGAGCAACCAAGGGAGATAGAGAGAAAGCAAAAGAAAGAGTGCACAAGAGCACACAAGAACAACAAGTTGACCACAAAGTTGGCCCATCGATGGCCCAACCACCCGGACCGCGCCGCCAAGCCAGAGCTTCGACCCAATATCAACGTCAACTTGAGGACTACACAGCTTCATCTTCAGCTTCAGCTTCCTCTTCCTCCTTTGCTCCCCCCTCAGCCGCGCGGATAGCAAGCATCCCGGCAGGACCCCTCACTGAGGGCAAAGTAGCCATCCCCCGCCTGCCCGGAGTAGCACAGCAGCCGCCGGCTCCAGACCGGAATCGAGTGAACCATGCATGCGAACCATGCCGAAAACGCAAATCCAAGTGTGATGGTGTGCACCCGGTTTGTTCTCGTTGCAAGAACCAGGGCGTTGATTGCATATATGCAGACGGAAAGCGAGAAAGGCTGAAGCGGTCGGTTTTCTTCCTCTCTCCTATGCTCCTTTGGCTACTGCGCTTTCGATATATCTATACCCTATACTATGCGCTTACGACAGTTCATTCTTGATATCTTTCTAAAAAGAGGTTTAGAAATGTGCAATCCATGGCCATGAAGATAAGCGTGTACGAGAAACTCCTCACGAAACTCATACCTAGCCAAAGTCCTGACGTACAGCAGGCGATTAGAAACGCACTGTTCGAGGTATATACATACAGCAGCGACTGCTTCATGTTCAGATTCTCGGGTCTAATGGCTTCTAGAATTCCATACTAGCTGAAGAAGATGTCTCAATGTCAGACGAAAACTCTCCACAAGCGGAAGAAACAATCGAGGATGAGAATACTGTTCTCTATGCTGTCGCCTCTCAGCTACGGGCTTACTCCGGACGCAGGAAACCGGTGGAGTGTGTAGGAGAAACCTCCACCATAAGGTGGCTGGGTATGCTTCTGGTAAAGCTACAGCTACCGAATTTTATTTCTGAAGGTAGGCGATTCATCGATCTCAAACAACCAGCTGTTTGATGATAATCCACTAAAAAATGACACCGCGTTATTAGAGAATATCATGTCCATGGCTTCATATGACTTATCCTGGAAGTTCGAAACAACTGCGAAGATAGACGAAGTCAATGAAAAATGCACCTATTTCTCTGGCGAGATTGAACTCCCCCAGTTAGACATGATGCATAATCTGACTACACTACCGCCGAAGGATGTTGCTGATCTGCTGGTAAATGCATACTTCACCACAGTTCATCCTCTCTTCCCTATCCTTCCAAAGGTAAGATTCCTGTCTCGATATAACTCCTACTACCACAACGGGAGCGACCCACTTGCCATTTACCCTTGGCTGGCTCTATTAAACATGGTGCTTGCTCTTGGATCGTTGTGGGCCCATTATACACAGATACCGACAGGTGAAGTAGAGGACCATAGCATATACTGTGCTAGATCACAGGCTTTGGCACAGGGAATAGTGATAGTCGATCACCGTGGCTACCCTGACACGTATTCCTCGTTAGAGCCGATACAACTTATCGCCATTAGGGGGGTGTATCAGCTTGCCACATATCAAATCACAGGGTAACTACTCCAAAGCCCCATATAACCCTCTGATGGCTACTTGTAGTTCTTCCAAGTACTGATTGACGATTGCCAGAGCATGGAAATCGGTTACCACTGCGCTGAAGTTTGCCTATAATCGATCGTTGAATGTACGAGCGACCATACCTGAGGTTTCTGGAGAATCTAAACAGCTTGAAGCCCGCGTTTGGCACTCGCTTCGATCTCTAGAACAATTCCTCAGCATTCTCACAGGGTTTCCATCCGAATTACAAGGTCAGCCAATTCACATCAGGCCGTTCCAAACTAGTCAGCCATCTTTCATCAGAAGTCCGCTTCCCCTGGCCAACTTCAATATCCTAGGTAACCCATCGGACCTGGAACTGTCCGCCGTCTACTCCTTTGACGAGGAATACCCATCCAGCAATTTCGTCGCAGGGCTCCGGCTAGATGAAATTGTAAACGAAGCCATAAGCTCATTGTACGGCATGAAGTCGCTCGATAATACCTGGGCATATACCCAGCGCCTGATAGCCGATTTAGACAACAAGCTAAGCCAATGGTACGCAAGCATTGACCCTGGATTCCCATACACCGTTCAATCCATAGATATCTGCGCTCCCCCATCCACAAGCCTAACATACCTGCACCTCCGCTACTATAGCGCAAGGATACTGATCAACAAGCCTGCGCTGTGTGATCCGTCCGAACTAATTCTAACCATCCCTTACCAATCCGAGGCATCAAGACAGATGGACTCCGATGCAGCTGCGCGTTGCATATCGGCTGCAAGACAGATACTGCACCTTCTGCCGTTGGATATTGATATCATTGAACTGCATGGCAAGACGCCCTGGTGGTGTATACTTCATTACATAGTGCAGGCCAGCTGTGTTCTGGTAACAGAGCTTTCGTTCGACGAGCCCCATCTGCCAATGGAAACGGAAGAACTTGTCAGCCAGTCGGAGCTAGCTGTTCGTTGGCTGTCTACTCTCGCCGGTACGTGTGAGTCAGCGAGCAAGGCATGTCATTGTATGAATAGCCTGCACCATCTTGCGCTTGCAAAGCGTGAGAGAGCTTCTCAGAGACACGGCCAGTGAGAGTGACATTTGAGCCTGGAAAACAAATTGATTCAGTGGTCGTATACCATTCCTTATCTCTGGTATATACATACATATATATCCATTGCCATTGCCTCTTTTTACAATAATAAACACTTTATAATAATGGTATTTAACAAAGGGGGGTCTCACTATCCTAACACTACTCGTTTCATATGACGTACATGGAGCTAAGAATATCAAATGTGAAAATGCTGGGCACCGTAACCAAAAGCAAGGAACGCAAAGCGAAGCAAAGCAGTAACGTAAACAAAAGCAAGGGGTCATACATGCCGTCCAATCATCACCTACAAGGGCCGGGTACCATCTTTTTGTCTTCCATACCACCCATCCAGGCAAGCAGAACGAAAACAAAAGAAAAGTCAAAAACGATAACGCCGTCCAAACATCCCAAGAGAGAGATAGAGAGAAAGAGAGAGAGAGTCGTTGCAAAACATCATCTCATATCGGTCCTGTCTGGTCATTCTAGATGAACACCGCTTCACCAGACAATGGAGCGTGGAATTCGCATCCCAAACCAGCTTCTTCACCTAGCTGTCGTAGTTCAGCTAGGATCTGGTTTCGTGGACAGCCGTCGTCTGTAAGGGTGTCCTTGACATGTATTATGTACACTGTTAGATCCTGTAGGGGTAGCGGACGAGTGGTTCCGCCTATTGATGTGCGGTAACTGGTCTGAGGGCCTGAGGTGGAAGGTGAGTTGGTCGTGGTATCTATGGCCATTGGGTCAGCGGCGACACCGACGGCAGGGGAAGAGGTAACTGATTGTTTCTTCTCAGGTGGTTGGGGAGCAAAGGCCGTTGGGAATTCTACTCTTCCAGCGGACTGGCGGGTATTATGCCCTACTGGAGGCGAGTCTGCTATCGTGGCCGACCTTGTCTTGGGCGCTGAGGGAGCAGCAAAGGGCGATTTGTTTTCCTTTGACTTTGGGCTCAGCGGTGGATTGGGCTGCTGCTCTGGTTGCGGTGCTGCTGGGGGAGGCAGGCCGGTGAAGGAAGATGCTCGTTTCCGCTTCCTGGAGTCTCCCTTATGGGGCTTCTGGGAGTCAAGGACTTTCCCGGCCAGCACTTCCAGTTCAGCTATCAGATGGCGAGGACACATGTGGCCGTATAAAGCACTGTCCTCCACGGCGTCGGTGTACGAGCATTCAATGAATATGGCACGTAGACAGCCATCGTTGATCTTCGGAGCAGCTGCTTCCCAGACTCGCTCGTTACGCGGCTCAAGGGATATCGAGTCCGGCTCTATGTCTCCGAAGATAATGATCTCCGCGCCGGTGGGATCGTCCCGTATGAAGAAGGCTGAGCTCTCGACCGTAGCGTATATCGAGCTATCCTTCCCGTTTGCGCCAAAAGACAGCTGCTGGGCTTGAGTTGACGGAGAATACGACCTGTCAGTAACAAGTTAGTTAGTTGATGTATCATAATATATATAGCATCGAGCATACGAGCTGAAGCAGTGTAAAGCAAAAGAAAGGCCTACCGTAACGACGAGGCGTCGATCGAAACCCTCCGTGACGGGAACAGCGCAGGATCAGTCATAAACACCGTACTCTCAGCCCGATGGTGCTTCTCAGTCTCGGGGTTATATCGCTGCCTACACCTGCCATGGCTCACCCCAAGGCATTTTATCATCAACCCGTCGCACGCCCGAACATATCCCTTTGCCGGACCCCGTCCCAGACGCTGATTCCCGCCGTCTACCAGCCGCTGGTACGTGATCAGCCCAGCACCCCCGTCTTCGTCCGACAGGTTCGGCCAAGTGATGTCGTTGAACAGATGGTTCTTTAACGCCGCTATCGTCGAGGGCAGCGCTGCGACTGTCTTTGGACCTGACTGGGCTTCGACGGCGGGCGTATTCATGGCCAGGCCGGATACATGGTCGAGATGCGGATGTGTGATGAGCACCGCCGCGAGGATGTCACGGAATATATACGCAGCGTTTGCTTCGGCGGAGACAAAGGGCAGCACGAGACCGGTAAAGGGGCCCGACGAGACGACCCTTCGCTGTCCGTGGAGATGTGTACGGGAATGGCCATGAGCGTGGACGTGCGAGGTCTCTGTATCGAGCTGGGAGGGCGAGTCGGTCTCGAGGATGCGGATGATGCCTGACAGCAGCGTTCCGGCGTCGACGGCCACGACCGAGTCTCTGGCCCAGTTTGTAGCGGTTGACCGGACGAGCATGCCCGTTGCTGTGTCTTCTCTCGGTCCTCCCGATGCTCCCTGAATCACTCGTTAGCATAGGCACAGATATATAGCCATCCATCGTACGGCGGTTGGAATGCGGCTCACCAGGACGACGACGTGGAAGACATGCCCGTCCACGCTGCCGTTAGGTATCATCCTGCCAGAGCCAGACGACGAGGGTCTGCGAGGTCGAGCTCGAGGCATCAGCGAGAGGAAAGACGAGGAGAGCTGTCTTCTGCTTCGTCTGCTTCTTCCTGGCGGTTTTGGTTATGCGACGTCGAGGCGAAGATGAAGCCGAAGCGCTCGCATCCCGTCAGCCCAACTTCGACGCCGTACTCGGTAACTAAATAACTTGTGACAGCCCGTCAGCGGTCGAACTGCGAGGTCGGTTAGGCGTAGGCAGACCTGCTAGAGGGCTTTAGTGAGCCAGTTATTATTATAAATTAATATGTCGTCCTCGTATCGTGTAGCGCGCCACTGTTTGCGACGTGCGACGGCGGGAGGAGGGAAGCGACGGGCTTTTTAACTAACACAAGCAGCTAAGCGGTTAAGAAGTAAATCATAGCTGCCTTAGCCAGTCGACTTTTATATATCTTACAAGCAGACAGAGAAGACGCAGGCTGTGGCTTCATGCAAGGGGACTCTCTTTGTCTTGTTTCTTTATCTCTAGCAGGATCACAGGCTGCTGTCTAGATCTCGAGATCGCAGCGCAGGCAGGGATAGGGATGGGGATAGGGATGGGGATGGCAGGGCGGGCCGACTATAGACAGGGAGCAGGCAGATATATACAGGGACAGGCTGGGAAGGGCATGTTATTACTTATTATCCTCCGTCTCATTAGGTACAGCATGGCATGGATGTAGTATGTATGTACGTAGGCAAAGTAGGAAGAAGATAGACAGCAAAGAGAACAAGCATCTTATTGCACTGGGGCTGTTTGGCAGCTGGTAGTAGGTTGGTAGGCTGGTTGGTAGGAGACTGCGCCGCCGGTAGGGCTGCATGAAGGGATACATAGACAAAGGAGATAAAGATAGATATCGACTGGGAAGAGGCAGGCAGGGACAAGCAGGAGAACCAAGGGAATAGGAGCGAGAGAAAGATGGGGCGAAACGCCGTGTAGGAAGAGCAGACTTGAACAGAGTATAGGAGACTAAAAGGAGACCGCACCAGCACCGAAAGACAGAGGAAACAGACAAGAGGAAACAGACAAGAGATGAGAAAGGAGACCGCACCCGTACCACACCGTGTTCCGTCCAGATTTCGAATGAGTCGCTAATTTGCAGGGGAATAAACGAGGATAGATTGATAGGAATATAAAGCAAGGAGAAAAGCAGAGGAGTGCAAAAGGGAAAGAGTAGAAAACAAGACCAGGGATAGGTGAATTGAATTATATCAAGAGTTGTCTCGATCTCGCGGGCCGTCTCGTTCCCTGGACTGACGAACAGCTGCATCGTAGCTTGGTATCGGCGGGACCTCGCCTGCTGGACCACCGGCCTGGCCGCACGGCGGCGAGTGGCCTGGGCTACGGTACTCGGGTGGAGGCACATCATCGAGCGGTGGACGGCTGCTGCTGCTGCTGCTGCTGTTATTATGGCGGTGGTGGCCCACCAGCACGACGGTCGTAGCCTCAGACGTCTCGGAACCAGCGGGGGCGTCTGAGGTGATGGTAGTCGAGGGTGAAACAGGCACAGCTCCGGCAGTTGAGGGGGCCGGGGGCGAAGCTACATGAGGCAAGGGGCCCAGGGAGATGTCTGTTGGCGTCCGGACGGGTGCAGACGGTGCCTGGGCGGATGGGTGCAGGTTGTGTCCTCGCACCGTTCCGCTGCGGGTTCGCGCATGTATATGTGACTGTGACTGCTGCTGCTGCTGGCGTTGGTGCTGCAGGACCTGATGAGCATGCTGGGCGTGATGCTGTATGTACTCTGGATGCCACCACTGCTGTACAGGTGCGGTAGTCGAACCATGCGTCTGGTGGCCGTGGTGGCCAGCAGCTTCCTGGGCTGAGACTGAGCTTTCACCTCCCGCCTCGAGAAGGATACTTCCCTGCTCGCTGCCGTAGGGAGGCGGAGGAGCCAGGCTTCCGGTCATGGGCGCGAGACCCCATTTCTTGACGTTGGCCTCGATGAAGACGAACCCCATCTGGCCGAAATTTACGTGCACGGCAGCCGGCCCGTTGGCACCAACGGTAGGGAAGAAGTTCTGCGATCGAAGGCCGTGGGCTACATCGTCCAGTTTCTTGCCGTTGCGGGTGAAGAAGATGGTTCCGCTGCGAGGCCGGTAGCCCACGCCAACAACGTCACCCTGGACATATGGCGGTGCGTAGGGAGTTGGATTGAAGGGCTGATTGTGTCTCCTGTGGCCGGTGGACTGGTATGCAACGGACGATTTGTGGAAGCCTGTCCCAATTAGTATACCGTATATCAACGGAGAGAGAGAGTCAAAAACGTACCAGGCAGTCTGAAGAGCGGATAGGGCTTGGTCGTCATGCCGATGCTGATAAGCGTAGACTCCGGTTTGTCATAAATCTTTGCCTCCCAGTAGTAGACGTCATTCTGCTTTGGGACAGGCAGGTTACTCTGGACGCCACACTCGGAGTCGAAGAACTCGATCTCTGTGCGGCCCTCGACGAAGCAGTTGGCAATCTCGAGTTCAGGCTCGAACTCCCATGCCGAGACACCCTTTTCCTGGATCGCAAGGAACTGGGAGAGCGATATATCCGTCTGCATCGTCTCTGGGGGGTTTGCCTGCACAAAGGCTGTCCGTAGTCAGTACCATGCCATCACAGTACGTAGATAGATAGATGGAGGGGATAAGAGAGTCGACCAACCTTTTGCTCTAAAGTACTCGGCAGCTTGCAGCTCGTCCATGGACTCGAGGGCCTCTGCTTCTTCCCTGGCAAACTCCTGCTCGTCGTCGTACTCGCCCGGCCGGCCGATGCGGTCCAGCAGGATGCGGCCTCGCTGGGTGTATCTGAAGAAGAAGAAGAGGGCGAGCACGAGCAGGGCGACTCCGGCAGAGCCAAAGGCCGACAGCAGGCCAATCAGGATGCCTCTGCCGGTGGCATCGCTGCCCTCGCCGGCGCCAGGAGGGCCGTCTGGGATGCCTATGGGGTGGTTGCCGGCGGCGTCGAAGGGCAGCTGAACGGGCTCCGGGCGTCTCATCTTTGCGAACTGGTCGTCAGTCAGCTGCGGACGGACATTGTTGAAGAGGAGGCGGTAGTGAGACAGCTGCTCTCGCTGTGGTGCTCTTGATCGTGATCTCGATGTCGGCGTCGACGTCGGCGTAGGCGTTGATGGTGTTGGTGTTGGTGTTGGTGGTGATGATGAAGTGACGGTCGCTGCGGTGGAGGCAGCCTTGGTGGACTTGGGCTGGGTCGCCCTGGGCCGCACGGAGGTGGTGAAGGTGAAACGGGAGAGCGCGGATGGTCGCATCTCAGCGAGTCGACATCGCCTTTCGCTGGTCTTTTGCTGTCTGTCTCTGTCTGCCTCTTCTGTCTGTCCCTCGATGTCTTTCTTCGTCTTCTTCTCGTCTTCTTCGTCCTTTTGTGGCGTCGAAAGTCGAAGAAGAAGAAGAAAGTCGGCGGTTACTGGCTGACTAAGCGTGTCTCGTCGTATCTCTTTAGCTGGGCTTTACCTGTATTTACTTGTCTTTAACTAAGCCTTTAACTAGCCTTTAACTACTCTTTAACTGGCTTAAGCGACCTTTAACTAATCTTTAGCTGAGTGTTCGCTCTCTTTAACTGGTCTTACCTGTATTTACAACCTGGCTCGACGCCGACGTCATGACCGCCTTGAGCCGATCAAACCGCCACAGTTACGGAGTACATACTTAGTTATAAATAAGTTGGTTATAAATAGCAGGAGGACCAAGTCGCTAACTACGCCAACAGCCGATCTCAATGCAAGCTACGAGAACCAAGACCAGGTAGAAAAGCCATAGCCATAGCAAAACGGGAAGAAGAGGAAGAGGAAGAAGCTGTACAGTACAATGTGGTATTTCAATCCTATTTACATATATAGTCTTTCTTTTTTGTTTAAACCGAGAATCCCAGCCCATGATGACTCCCCTTGCCTTGCCTTGCCTTTGCCTTTGCCGTTTTTCCAATTTGACTAATTCAGAATTATACATGTCGCTAAAAACCCCGTGGAATGCATGCATGCCGTTTGCCGTAGCCCCAACCCAAGCGAATGGAAGAACCATGAAAGATGAACATAGAAAGAGAGAGAAAGAGGGAGAAGAGTACATCGTTCGTCATCAGTGTTTGATCGATGATGGCCAGCATCATGAAGAAGTTTGCTGTTGGTTGTTGGTTTTTGGCCCCTGAGTCACCGTCCGGCCAGGCAGCAGCGCCGTCGGAGCTCAAGCTACACAGGCGAACCCAGATATGCCTTTAAGGCATGCAGTGCTCAAGCCGTGTGTGCGAGCTCATCCAGACACCGAACCGGTGCCGTGACGGTGTAGAGGCCTTGTTTCTTCAAGGTCGAGATCCAGTCTCCGGTTGGTAGTGGTAGTGGAGTGGTAGTGGTGGACATCGACGTGCCCCCGTAAGTTAGACCAGGTCGAAGCCCATCTAGGGCCGTCCTTGCTGCAAGTCATGGGGTGCCTGTCCATGGAATCTCGATCCATCGTCGTGTGATGCAGACGTTGCATAGATGTAAAAGTGGAGTCGTAAAGTAGAAGAGAGTAAGAGGAGAGTAGATTGCTAGGAGAAGCAAAGAAAGAAAAGAGAAGAGATGTTCACTCGATATAATCAAGACCGCCAAAGAACTCCAGCATGCGAAAACACAAAGCCACGTCGTCTCCGGGCACGCCGCCAAACAGCCGACACTGATCTGCCTCTAGCTTAGCACTCGCTTCTTGACGTTGCTCATGCAGTTGCTGGTACAGATGCTGATACTGATGTAGTTGATGCTGTTGCTGCTGCTGCTGTGAGATGGGAGAGGATGCCCCTGAGCCCCGACCATGCCATGCCATGTACCGATTATGCCAGAGTTGGGCTGAGGGCGCACGGCCATGGCAGTGGTTGCGAGCACTGGGGGAGCAGCCAGGTGGCGGAGGGAGCGAGACGGTAGCAAAGTGTGAGGAGCCGTATACCTCCGGCTGGGGAGGCACGGCCTGCAGAAGCCGCGAGGCAGCGTTGTTGTTGTTCTTGTTGTTCATCCGTCGTCGAGAGCGAGGCCTTGTCCGGCGGCGGTTGTGTCTCTGGCCCATCGTGCGGGCGTCCCTGATATGTGTATATATATCTGTATGTATGTATTATACGCAGGCAGAGAGACGATGGGTATAGTAGGTGTGTGTATGTCTAAAAATAGCAGGAGGCCGGCGCTTAACGATGCAAGGCAAAAAACAAGGAAGATACGTTTCGTCGTCCGTCGTAGCAGGCATTAAAAAAAGAGAGAGAGTAAGAGATGATGAATAGGAATCCGAAAAAGGACTTTTCTTCTTCTTTCTAGCCGCCGTGGTGGACCGTCATCCTCCTCCTCATCCGGAGCAAGAGGGCCATGGCCACGCTTATATAGGTAGCTGCCGCACCCTCCGGCACCGCTCTCGTCTTCCCACCACCCCCCGGCCGGCCAGGCAGAAGCCCACGACTTACGACTCGTTTTTGCCTCGTCGGCAGAGTCGGAGTCAAGTCGTAAAGGGGAGAGAGGGAACCCATCTCGAGGGAGTTGCTGGGAGTCATATATATAACCAATCCTGGCTGCTGCTGCTAACTTTTGCCGCTTGCCGGAGCCTATCAGCCGTGACTCAGACGGCGTGGAGCTGCCTGACTTGTTGCTTGGGCGGCAGCTAAAACCCACCCGAGCTTGCGCCCGGCCAGTCGCAGCCTGCCAAAGCTGCTGTTCGCAGTGGAGCCAGCCAGCCAGCGAGCAGCCAGCGAGCGTGGCCGGGCGAGAAAAGTGGGCGGCTAGGCTGTGAGACGGACGCTGTGTCGTGAGCCAAGGGAGTTCAGGGAAAAGAGCTGCAGCTTGGCCCTGTGGGTGGTGTGATGCTGGCGGGTGATGGCAGGCAGCGTGGGTGACAGGCCTCAGAACTAGGCGAGATCACGCTATCTCGTGGCCTGATGGGCCTAAGCTGAGCTAGATCTTGCGTATCCCAGGCGTCATGTTCACGCTCGATGTCGACATGATCGTCTCAAGTTCGTCTCAAGCTCGTCTCGACTTCTTCGTCTTCGTCTTTTCTTCTTTTTCTTATCTCCTTTTTATCTCCTTTGGAGTTTTTCATGCTCATGCACGTGATATAACATGTGACTAAGCATGTTTTGACATACAAACACTTGATTACGAACGACGACGACGACGACGACAAGAAGGAGGAGGAGCAGATGAAATGCATGATGTGCGAGACAATATCGTTTTTGAACGGAGGATTGTGAAATGGCCTGTCTCCATGGCTTATCCACGCTAATGCACGGATATGACGATGCATTGTTTTATTACACTCACTGCTCCCTGCCTCCCTTGTTGACACGCTCGCCAGAGGCCTGCTATTGGAGTAGCCACCCAGTTTGGCTACACCATGTTACCATGGGGCAGATTGGCTTTTTTTCGTCCCGTGGTGTTATGGCCCCAGCACCCTTTTCATATTGAAATACGATAAAAGATATGTTCTACTGGGGCTGATAATGCCCGAACTGGTCAAAATAACCACATAATACCACCAAATTGCAGCCAATGAGCGGTATTCTAGTACTCACGGATGAAAAATACATCAACAGGTTGCTTGTGTACGCGGAACGGATGTTGAAAACGCAATACCTACACTGCTTAGTTGGTGAGGATGCAAATCTCCCGATGGATACAGCTTAAGGTTTATATACATAACTCTATGAAATAAGCTGTTACGGAGATATCACCCATTGATATCAGGGTATACTGGAAGATACGGAACACGCTCAAAGAGCAGGATTTACGACAATTCCACCATATACCGGTCTACCAACTACAGGACATGGCTGACCATGGACTTCCGTGGCTTTGTCCTATCTATGATGATTTATTGACCTGCTGCTCGCTCAAATTCGCGGCAGATCGATGGCTTTACCTTAAGCACAAGTACTGCAAACCAAAGCGCGGAGAAATTATGTCAAAGCTGGCCCAGTTAGTCGATTGGAAGCTTGCGGATAAGGAAAGCCTGAGGGATGGAATGGATCGGTTGTCAAGGTACTATCGAGAGTACAAGGAGCTTAGTGACACGGACCCGGAAGGGGAGTTACTGGTGATAGCTCTTTACCTGCGAGGAACTCCTAAGAGGTACGACGCGATCAAACAAACTGTTGAGGGTATCGAAATAACCCGAAACGAGGTGGTAACCCGTATGGAAACCACGGAGTCCCGTCTTCAGAAGAACCCCCAGGAATATACCTCCTGTGCAAAGGAGAAGAAAAGGGGAAAGGGACCAAAGTGTCACGGCTATGAAGAGGACTCCAAATCTGACCAAAAGAAGGGCAAGTCCGATAAGAGAAAGAAGAAGGATAAGGCCAGGAATGCAAAGGAAGCAGACGCTGAGGACTCTGGAGACGACGGAGATAGTAACAGCACTGCAATGCTAGTCCAAGAAAAGGCCGCCAAATCCGAAGCCGGCTATCTTATCTCAAGAGCCGAACTGGTTGAAAGCGCACTGTTATCGAACGGTGGTAAGCGCAGCGGCAACTGGGTGATTGACACGGGAAATCTCCATTGTAAATCAGTATAGTTCGATATAGTTAACGTTCGCCAAGGCCAGCTTATCAGCAACCTCCGCCATACGATCCAGATATTCCCAACATCGGTTATGAGCCCGATTGACCACTCTAATCCTACAAAAACTTCCTTCAAACAGGATAACTAAGGTCCCAACACCTGCCCGACATGTTACCATAACTTCTCGACAAATATAACATGCCAGGAGTGGCTCTCCACGCGGTCGACGAGCTGAATTGAGGGCATCTTCAGCCTAAGACTATTCGCAAAGGAGTTCGCAAAGGACTTCTACCACAAGCCACTCCTGCACTGGCACTCATGCGACCAGGTAATGGACTACAAGGACTGCCCCATCTCGATGGTGGACATATCCGTTATGACTCTGGCGGTGTGTATCCTCCTCGCGTCCGGCATGCCATTCAAGGGAACGGTATATATTGAGCAGAGACTTAACATGCATTTACACTTTACTGGTTATATCGCCTTCAAACGCTGTAATAAATCATTTACCGCCTTTGGCTGCTGTCATCTGACAATTCCCTATAGTCATTGACTGCGTATGAGTATAATGAAGAATAATAGGATGTCAGAAGTCCCATTATCCTCATCATTCGCTGCTGCCAACTAAGCGGTGTTGCTTTTAGTTCAACATAGGATTACCCTTTCAGCTCCTGTTATTGGTAAATACATACTAGAATAATCATGTAGATGAATACTCATGGGCAGTCTCGAGAGCCTGATCGAATGAAGGATAAGAATGTTGAAATAGCTTGCTCGTACGACATTGGCTGTTTAAAAATAAAATATCTAGAGAGAGATAGAGTGAGTTCAGCCCAATATCTTTTATCTCTTCTAGCTAACCCTATTACCCTAACTAGCGGCCTCCGTCTGTGTGCCGGGTGCCGGGTGCCATTTCAAAAATAATACAACTTTCTATAAAAGAGGTTATTCTGATACTTAGTAGCAAAATAGCACCAAGCACTTGTCAACAGACTGCAGCATCCGCCAACAGTGAAACGGCACCACCTTTCAAAGGAACGACACCGATGCTACTGAGGGGATCAACTGGGCTTGATGCCACCGAGGAAATAGCTCATTTAACCCAAGAGAACGAGCCTTTCGACCCGAATCCATTGGTCAAAAGCTCCCTTTCAGAAGTGGCGGACTACAAAGATGAAAACTCAACCGCCAAATCGCCGAAGCAAACCAGCGTAAGGTTGAGCGCTTGCAGAAGAACCAGCAGCTTTAAAGATTGCAGACAGAACTTGCAATTCCTCACCAGCTAGGAGAAACGGTATCTCCTGCGAATCTGCAGAAACAGGGGGCCCATGGAGGTTGAAATGCCGCCGAGCAAAGTTCGTCGATTTAGGCGCTCTGTGGAGCATGCCGAACACCATTGTGCCCCGCCGTTAACTAGCAGCACCACAAGCATCAACGGTACTTGATGGATTAACTAACTAGTGTATTAAGCCTTTTGTTATTTAAATCCACCCATGGGAGGGTATTTAAAAGGTCTTCTTAAGGGGCTCAAGGGATTGAACTCCTCATAATCTTGACTGCATAAGAGTGTAATTAAACCAAGAGTAACGTATAACGTATTACAATGGCAGACTCGCCTATTACGGCTATCCAACACACCTTCGAACTGTAAGGGACGCAGGCATTGATCGGCCTACGAAGTTTCATTGCGAGTCAGGTGCTGTTGCAAGCGCCAAAAAGGCGGTATTTGTGATCCACAAGAACGGAACTTGAGACCAGACTTTCCTACGGTCCTATAACCGCCTTCCTCTTCTTTTAAGGTTAAGGTTGCCCCTTTCCGGCCCGATCCCTGACAGTGATCATGTGGACATGTTATATAAGCGAGGAGGTTTATATATAAATATGAACCCCTAGGTCTGCTCTTCCTTTCGCTTTTTCCCTCAACATGAATTTTTATCGCGCCTGGCACCTTTCTATCCTGTGAACCTGACTCGGCCTAGGCCGTTGACACCCAGAATGACATCTTGGCCGATCCCCGCGTTACTCAGCCAGCTTCAGGTCACTACTCTCTACAGCTCCATGATGAAATATACCACCCGCTCACGTCTGATGAATTTTTTGCTTGGAGGTACAGCCCAGGGCTGACTCAAGGGATAACGACAGACCAACCGTCGAGCACGTGATGAGCCAAAGCCCTAACTGTGCGGCCAGCTTTAGCAAACGTCCCTTCGAGGCGTTTATTTCCTTGCTCGAAAATTTCACGTGACCCAGTAGTGAGACCGCAGCCCAAGATGACGCCTGGGAGAGCGCTCGGAGTTGGGTGGCATGTTTATCCGGTGTCACTAGGCTTCGCTGGCCTTCAGAATCTGACTCGAGTCATAGCGCTAACGGGAGTCCTTACCTAATGACTGGGCTCGGATCGGATCATTCCTCGGCCAGTGCTCACTTTGAGGCTCAAGTGCCAAGGCGCACGTTTTATGGCTTGGCAGGGTCCTCTAGGATGCAACCTCCTTACCGGACACACGGATACTCGAGGCAAGATATACCCCTAACGGCCACTGCATTTCTTGATAACGCCCCAAGTATGAGACGCTATCTGGGAATTCTAGAGGGATGCGGTGCGTTGCACGTCGGCGAGCACAATCTGCGGTCCATTGATGTCGGCGCGAGTATTCCGCCAGGTTCACGCGGGGAATATTCGCTGCTTCACGACAGTTACTACCAAACTGGTAGGAAAGCACCGTAAAAATGGGGCCTACAACCAAGGAGAAGCTTTGTGAATCCAATGGCCTCTCCGGAACACAACACAAAGGTATTTTACGCCGTTGCTTTTAAAGATATCCCTCTTAGTAATTCATACTTGCTACAGGCACCCGTGCCATAATATTCAATCTTCTGATGGCATCCGCCAAAACGAAACCATGATATGAAAACTACCTCTACCACTGAAACAGTCGTCATAGAAGTACAGGGAGCACTGACGGTCACCCCATTGATGTCCTGCTCAGCTGCTCCCCATCCTGCATCGCCACAGGACCCCTTCTATCGATGTACGCATAGTCCTGTCGACCAATCACCAGGCCTAACTTGGCAAGCGTCGATATTGGCATAACCATGGCGGGGCCATTATGCTCGCACTGGTCATAGAGATCAGGTCTGCACTAGAGCCACTCTTCCTGTTGGGCAGTGCAGGCTTCCAGAGCAAACGTTTTGATTCAGTCACCTTGCTAGTTATGAGCTCGGGTGCCATTCGATAGAACGGACCGACGTGCGTATATCGAAGCCCCTGATCTTCAGCTGCAAGCGCGCTGCCGCCGCACCACCAACTTCCAGTCTAAACAGTCTCGCCTTCACTTGAGTCCGCAGGGACACACGATGAACCTATCTGTTCTTTTGGTGCAGGCCGGAACAAATCCAAACTTCAACACTGAACTGGCCCAGTTAGCCTTACGAGGATTAGCTCTAGGATCAGAACATTTCCAAATGTCCGGAAATGGAGCCCCTGAGCCAGGGCTGGACCCCGAGCAAATTTTAAAGAAATGCCTACGGCTTCCCAAGCCCTGCAATGTTTGGGACTTGGTCAATCTTGAGTTAGAAGGGGAGCCAGTATAAAGAACCGAACACGAAAATACACCCATTAAGACAGTGCCAAATGAGTACGCTCACACTAGTAGGCAATAGGCTCAACCTATATATTCGACCACCGAAAACACAGCCAACACACCGCTGGGAAATTTACAAGGAGGCAGGCATCTTCTATATAAACAAACCCTAGCGATTTAACACCGAAGTTTCTTAGAGTACCTACGTCCACTACTCGCAAGAATCACTATACCCACCCACACAGGCATAAAGCTCATTCGGCTAGTTATGACCTAGGCCCAGCACTCCCAAGAATTTACTCGCATTCCTCTCCAGAACGCTAAAGGGGTTATTGAATAAGGTTAAAGGAAGACTACAGTAAGACTTTGGGACTTCCCCTCTGCAGCGTGTGTCGGAGAAGCCAACATATACGATAACTCCATCAACACCATCTATGCTTACCGCCTGCCCAACAATACCAGTGCGAGTTACAGCTCCATGAATGCCACCCACACCAGTTACCCACCAAATGATACGACAACCTATTCTGAACCAGCAAACTTCAGACACTATAGTTTTGAACCTCGACACAGTTCGATCCCTGATTAAAGCCGCCACCAAACACTGTCTTTGGCGGTTATTTGTCTCGAAACTATCGGACCCAAGATACAACCAATGAATCCTAGGACTACTATAACGAAAGATAGTCCTAGCCAAATAGAGTAACGCCTATGCTGTCCCATCTAGTGTTACCACTCGGATGCTTTGTGCTATAAGATACACTAGACCAGTCAAAGGGCCTTGGGGGGATAGAGCAAATTAATGCTGTTAAAGCTGCAGGCAAGGAGCGGCTCTACTATGATACTGACTACCTTCTCGGACGAGTTTAGTATCATTCGCCATTCTCCCGTTTGGAATAGGAATCGCCAAAGGCTATTTATTAGAATAGACCTAATGGATAGATGACGGAGCTACTCTCATCCATAGCGGCATTCCTATACAAACAGTAGTGGCGGAAATTAGTCCTCCTTGCTTGATGGTAACAGCTTTTTCGCCGAACTTGATCGGCCACCTTGCTGATACCCCCAACCCCAAGACTCGCTCAGAGCGCCCTAATATCATTCTTACACCCGCCTCCCTCAACCTCGTTCAGTGCAGCATATGCTATTATCCTTTATGGGTAACTAGAATACGCTTTTTTATCTTTAAACTAACCCACGGAAGGGTATATATAAATTAGAAAGTCCCCGGGATTGAACTTATAGCCTTTGACTGAAGTAGTACAATGGATAATAATAACGTTAATAATGATAATGATAATGACAATAACATCAAGCAGAGATATCACCTGTGTAATTACGTCGTCAAGCTCATCAAATTGAACATCTTCAGCCTCTGCATCTCGTTCATGTTTGACACCCCCAGATTTTGTTCCGTGTGTAACTACCCCTGAATCTTCCTAAGCGCTCTCCTCAAACCCTGCAGAGAGTGCATAAGGCTCCCGGTCAATCCTAGCCTATGGCTGGGCTTGCACTTGCGGGACAGGCAACTGTTGCCCACATATGTGTATTTATATAAGTAGTTATCTCGTCGCCCACGGCTAGACTTGCAGACCGGTCTACCAACATGCCTTTGAACGATGGAGAGATTCAAGGGGTTTTTTAGCAGCAAGAAGAAGAAATGGCTAAAATCAGCGTCCAGCAGCGACTCTACTCTCCCTGCTCAACCTGGCAGCAGTCGTCGATCCCAGACACCTCCGTCCGTTAATTTCCCTGATGGGGTTGAAGTGCTGCATAACTGCCCTGACGCCAGCGTTGACATCTGCTTTATCCACGGCTTGACTGGCGACCGAGACAAGACCTGGACAGGCGATGGGCAAAGCAGGCCCTGGCCAGAGACACTACTTCCATCCCAGCTACCTAGAGCTCGCATCCTTACTTACGGCTACGATGCATACGTAGTCAGAGCATCGGTTGCATCGTCGAACCGGCTGATCGACCATGCCACGAATCTTCTGAACGATCTGACGACGGATAGAGCTCGCAACGGCGTCGTATCCCGCCCTCTGATATTCGTCGCTCACAGCCTTGGAGGGCTCGTCTGTAAGGAGGCCATCCTCCTCTCACGAAACAACCCTGAGCCTCACCTCCGAGGCCTGTTTGAATACACCAAGGCCATCGCATTCATGGGCACTCCGCACGGGGGTTCCTCGCTGGCCGGGTGGGTAAAGATGCCTGTCTCGGCTTTTGGGCTTATACAGACCGGGAACAAAGCGCTGCTACAACTCCTGCAGACGAAAGACCAGTTTCTAGAATCCGTTGACGTCAGCTTTTCGTCGATGATACGGGAAGTGCGAGAAGCCGGCAGACGTTTCGAGGTGACTTGCTTCTTTGAAGAACTTGGCAAGGCGGGTGTGGGCACGATCGTGTCCAAGGAGTCCGCGACGCTTGAAAGTTACAACTCCTTCAGCATCCACGCCAACCATAGCGACATGGTCAAGTTCAGCTCTGCGGAAGACACTGGGTTCCAAAGGCTGCTCGGCGAGCTGGTCAGGTGGGAATCGCAGATCGGCGGCGACTCAGCAGCTCGACCACCAGGAGAAGAAGAAGCAGCAAAAGCCGACAGGCCGGTCAGTACCAGGGCCGCCGTCCCTGTTGCTATCTCCCATTACGGCTCTGGCAACCAGTTCAACGCGCTCGGGGGCAGCCAGAACAACAACACGGGCAGCGGCAACCAGTTCCTGGGTAACATCAGTGGGCCGGTGACCTTCGCCTACAAATAGATGAATAGCACGTAAATAATATTCAATTCAACCAACTAGTTACAGCAATTAAATATTGACCCACTTGGCCCTGGTAGTTAGTTAACTAATAGAAGTAACTAAGGAGTGAACCATATTTAAGTAGTTACTGGCCACATCGCCTCAGTCCCTTGTCATTCTAAGTTCACTAACTATTCATGTATACACTCGACCCTGTTGAAGGAGTAACCCTCCACAGCCACCCAGACATTAACAGCAGAATCAACAGCGAAATAGCTACTGCTACCACTACTGCTGCTAAGGAATTGACCTGCTAGTTTTGTTTCGGGATGACTGTATAATTCACACCCCCAGTGATGTTGCCGAGGAATTGGACGCCACTGTCTGTATGTTGTTCTGGGTACCCCCGAGAGCGTTGAACTGGTTGCCAGAGCCATGGTAGGAGATGCCTCCGTCCGATGGCTCCTCTGGCACGGATGGCTCCATATTTGACAGCTTCTTGATGGCTTTACGTAGTGCTTTAATATGTATTTTCAGTGGTTCTTCGATCGCGCTGTCCTTGACCATATTACAGACATCGCTAATCATCTCCTTCACCAGCTCCTCAACGCTGTTTCCTTTGCCCTCTCGTCTCACGGTTGCTGTATAAAGACTGCACCTGGAATCCGCCGGTGCTAGAGCAACGTCTCTGAATACCCTCTCGGCGATCTGTGATTTGGAGCTACAGGTCTCCAGGGAGGCCGTGGTCAGTTCGTTAATGTCGCGGCCATTCAGCTCGGATTTGATAGCCCGAAGAGCCTCCTCGATAAAGGGTAACCCGCGACCTGCTTCGTGGAAAGAATCTCGGAGGGTTTTGTCCTCTTCGATGACAGTGTAGCAGTCCCTCGTGATGGAGGTTAGAATGCTGATAGTGATCGAGATCAAAGCGGTAAACCCCTTGCTTGCCATTCTCGCACGGAAGACAGGATTAGATATACCTAAATAATGATGGAAACAAATAATATCCAAGGTGTCTTACTTTCATCTATTTTGTGGGAGAGAGTGCGAGCAACTTCACATTCTACGCTGCGGACCAACCGTTTATACTTAGCCGCTCAACCCATCTGCATACGCATAACCTTAGAATAGGCGATGCTTTGGCCATTCCCGCGCTCCCCTTTTCAGAGTACTAAAAGAGGTACCTACGTGCAACTGCTAACCGCTAAACCACAAAAAATTTTGCATCCAATGAACCACAAGTCAGTGACCTCCCAGTCCTATTTATGGAAAGCCTACAGAGTGCCATGCAGGTTTGCCAAATCCTGGCCCCTCCAGAGCTTCCTGTGGAGGGCTAACCGTGCTCGCTAATTACAGGATGATAGGCCGCGACGTTGTGACCTAGTCGAATGGTTATGTGACCCTGTACGATGGGAGTAATGTAGGATCTAATGTTCAATCGCTAGTTGCCAGTTGCTGATTGCCACATGCCCAAAAGTGAAACCTTCCAGATAAATACAATGCCTTTGCAATTTACTGCTGCGGCCAGCCTGATCCGTAACTATACGAAGGAGGACATCATTTCATTTTGGCCTGCATGAAGTCCAGGGAACAGCCGGCCTACAAGTCAAACCATCCCCAAAGTTCTATGCACGGCATGCATAATAACTACCATCTAACCAATATAGAGGATATCATTAGAAAGAAAAATATCCATGACGACGCTACTATAAGAGTTATGGCCCCCAGCGTTTTACCAGCGGCTCAGATCGAGATAATATTTTCGGATCCGAGAACTACCTGTAAGCCCTAGACTCTGATCAATGGATAAAGAGTCCTAAGGACTCATTCTCGTCTTGACATCGAGGGGGTTTCATTTCCACTTTTCTGGTTTCAATGCGATACCACCATAGCGCTTGCATACAGCTGCATTGGTGGCCTCAAAGCTAGCCGCCTCCAGCCCTACTCCTTGCTGACCCAAGGCTGGCGGCTACGCATAGTCCTTCTTGCCTTTCTCCTGCTGAGGCGGAGGCTAGATATATTCTTAATTACACTCCCCTTTTCGTTTTCTTGCTTTTGACATCTTCGATAGGCATATTTCCTTAAGAGGAGACCCCGGGACTGACTTTGCGATAAATCTCTCATTCAGAATTCTGATTAACCCCAATTCCGTCTTTGGCGCTTCGAAAGTAGGACGCGATGGACGGGTCTACGCCATCCAGTCAATCCCTACTTTTCCAACAACTTGCTGATAATGGCCGTCAATTCAACACCACTGGGGGCATCCAGAACAACAATACAGGCAGTGGCCACCAATTTATCGCTGAAACTATCAATATCGGTAAGAGTGAGCGTTCCTATCGCTAAAAGGTATGCGCGTTCCTAACCACGTAGTAAATATTTGAAGGTACTAAGCCCTCGTCGGCCCTACTGCACTCTCTGTCCTTCAAGGAGATGGGCACTCGGTTTAAAGATATTAAATCTGCCGCTAAGGGGACATGCGAGTGGCTGCTTCGACACGACGAGTACAAGGCTTGGGCCACTCGCGATCGGAGTTTGCTCTGGATCCAGGGGAAGCCCGGCTCTGGAAAATCGACCCTGCTACATTACGCTTTGAAGAATGTTAATACGACCGCGGCTAAAAAGGACAATACCATCTTTCTTTCGTTTTTCTTCCATAGCCGTGGAGGAGAGTTACAGAAATCACTGCTAGGCTTCTTCCAGTCACTACTCCACCAGCTACTCCAGCATCTTCCTGAGGCACCGGCAGATCTTCAAACCGACTTCGACGAAAAATGCAAGAACTACGGTGAACCAGGCCAACAGTGGAAGTGGCACTTGACTGAGCTTCGTGGCTATTTTAGGTCTTCACTTAAGGAGGCGTTGAAAAGCCGTTCAATCTGGTTATTCGTTGATGCGTTGGATGAGTGTGGCAAAGACGGCGCGAATAAATTGGTAAAGGATTTCAAGTCCTGGCTCCAAGGCACTGATGAAGACAGCGACCATCCCTCCTCTCATTTCCAATTTCGTGTCTGCTTCTCTTGCCGTCACTACCCTATCCAAGTCCTCGATTATGGGTCAATAATCTGTGTTGAGGAAGAAAACACAAAGGATATTTCGACCTACGTGCACACGGAGCTTTCTTGGATCCCGGACGACATTCGAGAAATAATCATCAGTCACGCCTCTGGAGTTTTCATGTGGGTACGGCTCATAGGGGAGGAAATTGATAGTTCATTGGGACGAGGAGAGGACTGGGAAATGATCAGAAAAAATATCATGTCTGCCCCCGAAAAGCTGAGCGACTTATACGCCAGGCTTGTCCAGAGGATGAAAGGGAAGAAGACGAAGTCAGACTCACTCAAACTGATCCAATGGATTTGCTTTGCCATGAGGCCCCTGTCGCTGAGTGAGTTGCGATGGGCTGTGATCGTAGATCCCGAAGTTGACAGCCCACGGCAGTCGTTAGAAGCATACCAGAGCGCGGACAATTACATATCTGATGAAAAAATGATGGAGAAGAAGGTCAAATCACTCGGCTGCGGCATTGTCGAGGTCATGCAGCCATCGCAGCGTGTACAGTTCATCCATCAGTCAGTCAAGGATTATTTCCTCAACGGGGGCTTATCAACTCTAGAGGACGAGGCATCGACTCAAAAGGGCAACAGGCGTGATGTGGAGGGACGCGCACACTATCAGCTGTCCAGAATCTGTATACGTTACTTCTTCATGGAGGAGATAAGGATGGAGGTAGCTCAGACAGAAGCAGACGATGACAATATCCTCTACTCCAAGTATCCCCTGTTACAGTATGCTGTGAACTCATGGGTATCGCATGTCAATCAAAGCGAAACGCAGGACATTTCTCAAAGGGATCTTTTGGAATACTTTGAGTGGCCGTCAAATAAGCTCGTAAATATATGGTGGCAGGCTTATTGCGCTTATAACCCACACGAATGGACGAGTTCAATTAGCCTGGTCCATATACTTGCACAATTCAATATAATAGGACCACTCCGGAAAATCCTACAACACACAAAGAAGTATATTAATATAAGGGACGACTATAATCAAACACCACTCTTACTTGCTGCTGAGCATGGACATGAGGCCGTTGTAAAGCTACTTCTTACAGCAGGCAAGAATGATACCACTGCAGATAATCATATCCGCCAAAGCCTGTTTACGTGGGCTAGATCCAAATATCCTTTTGGTTCGGAGGTGGTTGATGTTGATGCAACAGATAATTTTAGCAGAACACCACTCATATGCGCTGCTGAGAGTGGGCATGTGGCTGTTGTTAAGCTACTTCTTGCGACAGGCAGAGTTAATATTAATAAAACGGGTTATAATAGCCAAACGCCACTCTTATGCGCTGCTAAGTGTGAGCATGTGGCTGTTGTTAAGCTACTTCTCGAAACAGGCAAGGCTAATATTAATACAAAGGATGAATATGGCCAAACACCACTCTCATACGCTGCTATGTATGGGCATATAGCTATTACTAAGCTACTTCTTGAGACAGGCAGGGTTGATATTAATACAAAGGATGATAATGGCAAGACGCCACTCTCACACGCTGCTATGTATGGGCATAATGCTATTATTAAGCTGCTCCTTAAAACAGGCAGGGTTGATATTAATACAAAGGATGATAATGGCGACACCCCATTCACATGGGCTATCAGGAATGGGAATGAGGCTGTTGTTAACCGGCTTCTCGACACAGGCAAGTTAGACACGCATAGAGAGTCGCCGTGGGTACGGAAACAGTTGGTGTCTATGGGATACTACTAAACATCATTAGATGTGGGACTATCAAGGCTAGTGTGGCTCGCGAGGCAAACGCGCTAGGTCTTGAGTATCTATCCACGAGCTCGTAGGAGAAGGGTTGCGAGATGGACGACTGGGTTTTATTCTTTGGAGTAACGGGTGGATAGTTTTTGAGTGTTTTTTTCCTCCCTCTGCTCTGGAATTCTTTCTGGATCATGTATAACGTTGTTTTATAAATACCTACGCATATTTTACCGGCTGCTCCAATATCTTAGAATCATCACTTCGGGATTCATGTGTTCTAGGAAAAAACAGGTTAGCCAGGTACAAAATCTAGCTTCGGAGGGGAGCTAGTAGCTGCTACAGCCAATGTAGGCAACTTCATGGTTGATACTAGACGGAACAATTTTAAGGGTTAAATGGAATTCCGCATGAAACGTAGAAGGGAAACACCAGCCGTCAGTAATATCAAGTTATTCTAGGCATTGTGAAAGAGTTCCAAGGCTGTTGTGTTTCTGTTGCTTGAAGGCGAGGTCAAGGCCACACCAAAGTATTCACGGATTTTTATCGTTATTTACAGGCAGCAAGACGAGATGTAAAGTTGTTTCTATATTTACTAGTGTCATTCTGATATCCGAAAATCCGGTCTATGTAGGTATATTTAAGAGTTACGCTGTTGAAGCCTCTAGTCACCGCTTAAACATATACTTTATATGGCAAACTTACCTACCTACCATAAATCAAATCAAGCATCTCCCTCCCCTTAGGTGCATCGGTGAGATTTCTGTTCCCATTCTTTGTGACAAGCACATCATCTTCGATACGCACGCCTCCAACATCCACGTACCGCTCCACTACATCGAAGTTGACAAACCTACCCTTCGAGTCCGGCTTGTCCCTCTCCTCCCGCGCCTGGTTAATGGCCAGTCGGTTAAAGTATAGCCCCGGTTCCACGGTGATGACCATTCCGGATGCTAGCGGCGGGGCCGAAAGCGTGCATGGAGGTCGATGTTCAGTGACGCTCATCAGGCCATTCTGGCATGCTATAGCAAGGTCCAGAGGTATGGTGCCGCTATCCGGTGAGACATCGTGCACCTCCAAGCCGAGATGGTGGCCTAGACCGTGTGGGAAGAATAGAGCCGTCGCTTCTGCCTTGATGAGATCGGCCTTAGTTGAGCCCCGTGGGATACGCAATATGCCTAGCTTGAGTAACTCCTCCAGCGCGACGGCGTGAGCATGCTGGTGAATCGAAAAGAAAAGAGCTCCTTCCTTCACTCGGCTAATACATTCTTCTTGCATGCGCTGCACGATGGTGTAGATTTGTTCGGCCTCGCGACTAGGCCAGTCTCCTCCGCCGCGTACACTCGACGGGATAGGAAATGATCTCGTCACATCGCTTGCATAGCAACTCCATTCGGCGCCAGCATCAAGCACAACCATCTGTCGGCCGGCCAGCGGCTCGTTGTTGCGGGTGTAATGCAGCGTGGCACCGTTGGAACCCGAGCCTGCGATTGTCTCGTAGGCCGTTCCCTTCGAGCGTAAGGAAAGGCAGACATCAATAAAAAGACCGGCGATCTGCGCCTCGTTCTTGAAATGGCGCAGATTAGCCAGGATACTACGATGTGCGGCTCCGGAGACACGATTCGCTCGCTGGATCAGTTGGACTTCGTGCTCGTCTTTGATCACACGGCACGCATCCATCGCGTGTTTCAGCGACTTTGACTCATATAAATACGCCACCGTCAACGGAGTAACTGGTCGCTGGTCCGGGTGTAGTATATATATGGGCGACGATGGGTTCCCTTGAGACCACCGCTGAACATCACCTTCTAGCGAGGAGTAATATTCCACCTGGTCAACGTCATATCTGCCCCAAGTCAATATTGCCGTCGGGTTTTAGAAAGAGCGTGATATACATGCCTTTGGCTTGCCTCATCTTTACCCAGCGTGGGTCCTGTCCAGATAGTCCGCTTGAAGTCGAAGTCCGGCACGTACAGCGTCAGTTTATCCTCGGCAATGTCATATGTAACATGGCAGTCAGGCTCTACGACTCCAGTCACATAGAAAAAGTAGCGGCGCTGCTTAAACGGCCTCGCCTGATCTGAGTCTTCAGACAGCACAGTCTGCTGGCCTGGTAGGTAGATGAGGCCCTGGTGCTTTGGTAAGTAGGCGGCTACTCTGCGGGCGTGCTGCTTGCCTGGATTCCAAATCATCGTACAGGTTAGCCACAGTAGTTAACAAATGGGTATGGAACTCGGCGAGGCGATCCAGCTAACTAACTAGTTAATGAGCTACTTACCGGGATATTTGTTTATGCTGGTCCCCCCGACTGAGAGGATGATCGAGTAGGATGCCATCTTGCGATCTATCCTTTGCCGGTTCCTGTGACGATGGAGATTGCGGAGGTTGAACTAAGCTCGTCACTAGCCTCACGCACTAGCTTAGTTAACCCTAACTCTAACTTGCAAGTCAGTTAGCTCAGGCTTATTAACTGGGGCTCGATGGAGACAATAAGCAATGCAGAAGATGAAGAATCTCTTCACTCCTAGTAACTACGATACTCTGGTCATTTTAGGGGCTCCTTACCGAATACCTAGCATTCACGTTAACCAATAATTAACTACTTGGCAACTTATTATAGTCGGATTACCTATCTGAATTAAGTAACTAGCACATCCGTTGGTATTTAGTTGCTTTCCTGTGGTTGACTCTAGTCTCATTCCTTTCCACCACCATCCTCAAAAATTTACTCGTACTATCAAGAGTTTCCATCACTAGCCGGCTTCCAGGCGGCCGCTGCGTGCCTTTCAGCTGCAAGATGGCGCCTAGCTCGCTCCAATTCATACCTTAAAAGATCCCAGTTCAGTACCAACTCCTTATTGTAGAGCACTCGCCATTTTGGGGGTCCATGGGATTGGCTCGTCCGTGGAAGTGCCCTTGCCGAATACCTGCACAGCGGCGGTAAACTCGCCCGTCCATCGAACACCATATAAAAACACAGGGCTGTACGGCTCCCGTCCCTCGCAGTACTGGCGAATTAGCAGCCCGGGATTCCCTGGGTGGGAGTTTTGTTCAGAATAATAGATCTCCTTATTTGCTTTGATTCGGAGCGGGTTTTTATAATTAGGAGTCTCTTTGATGTCTACCAGTATAGCGACTTTAACTGTGGTCTTTTTAATAAGGTCTTTGATCTTCATCTCTAGATCTGCACTAGGTTGGGAGAACCCAACCTCAACAGCAAGGACAGGATCAACACCAGAATCATTAGAGTCTCTGACCATCTGGAGGTCTGAGTTAGAAATTTCGTCGGATATATTGGTATCGCCGTAAAACGAAAACTCCGCTGGAAGTGCGAGATTCTGCAGCTGGTTGGAAATGGAATTGATTAAACATTCGTGTACAGAGACTAGACTGTGTCTGATAATAGTGCTGTGGAATGCTTCGTTAAATTGCACAATCGCAGTTCGACTTCTTCTGTTTCTCAAGTCACAACATAAGCATGCAAGCTATTACTAGTGGGGTAGAAATAAGCGTACTTGTCTGCTGAGGCCTTGAACGCCTTAAAGATGTCATGAAACTCTTTCCTAGTGGTTCTTAAAGATATTTCTTCACCCGAAAAGTGAGCGGGGAATATTCCATTAAATATTTGTTCTCGTTGCACTGGAGCGGGAAGCTCATCGTCTACTGAGATTTCTGAGCCTTGGGTAGTATAAGGAGTATAAAGCCGGGGAATCTTCGAGTATGCGGTAAACACCCAGCCCTGGCCTACCCATGGAAGATTCTAGAGAGTATTGATATTTGCAGCTCTCGCATAAAACAATAAAACCGACGTATATGTCAGGCGACCAGCCCTACAAATGGACTGACAAAGCAATGGAAGCATTATTAAATTAGTTGCAGCCCAAAATTATGGGTAAAATTGGAACTCAAAAAAGGAGGAGCTGCAGTTAGCGTTTCTGATACTGAGAATGAGGATAGTAAAGGTAATGACAGCGATGGAAATAATGAGAAAGGTTGAAGGAGTTCAAGGTGATTTATGTGGTCAAAATACGGGAGTTCTAACTCGTTAGATAATGACCGGGGGAAGATAAAAAGAAGATAAGGGAAAAATAAAGGTTATGTAGTTATACATATATGGGTAATGCCTCTATATGGACGCAGTGAAGATGGGTACCAAGAAGCGGTATCCCCAATTCACTTGGGAACTGTAGGCCACCAGAGATAAGTAATATTAACTAGCTGTTGGTTATTATTACTATTTTCAAAGGTAATATGTATTACCACAAAGGAGATTATTCCATTTCTTACCTTATCGAGAGCGTACGAAGCCCATTGACAGCCAAATTCCCGTCCGATGTACGGAGTACTTTTGACATCAAAATACTTTAACTTTGGCTATGTCGTCATCCGCTTTTGCGCTAACTTTTCTCGGAATCATTAGGGCATAGGGTTGCTTACTTTATCCGGATAAACTATCCAAAGGTGGCTAGACTCTAATTTCTGGGCCATTCCACATATCAGGACTAGTGCGGTAGCTTAAATCCACGTTTAGACCATGACGCTAGTCTCGATCAGGCGGACTATCAAAAGAGGCCACGGATGTGACATCGAGATCGCAGAAGATCAAAGCCGGAGAAGACGACGAAGAGAACCACCAGTTAATAGGTTGATGCCAGGCAGGCATTTCAATATTTTCACCTAGGGTATTCAATAACGACCTCTTGTTGATTCAAAAGCTTTGTTCGCCTGTGAGAATCGGAGGTGGGAGATATATATAAGGGACCACACCACCCCTATGAGCCCTTGTGCTCACCCAGAGACACACACCCGACCTTTTCTGGATAACTGGAACATTCGCAGCCATGTCGACAGACTATAACTACGACGAGCAGGTCGGTATCGCCCAATGCAACGCGTATATCTTGTGGTGCCCGTGGCTGATTTCGCCTGTTTGACATATTTAGGGCCAGTTCTTCCCTTTCTTCATACTCACACTGACCGGCCTCGTTACCCTCCCTCTCACATATACCCTTCTCAGGCCCGTCAAAGGTTTGTTAACTTTAGTCTCGAGTTGATTGTCTGCCGTGTGCCCTGCAGCTTGCTGATATCGCCTCCCCCCGCGTTGTAGGACTCGAAAACTCCGCTCCTCGAATCAAATCCGACTTCAAACCGCAACATGACGATATCATACAGAGCCAGAAGCAGAAACTTCTGCGAAAGGAGCGCCGTATTAAGAGGATCATTACTGTGATTATTGGCTATGCAGTTATGGCTTGGATGGTTTACCTGATCGCAGTCACCGCAAGATCTGCGCCCAAGATCTGGGACCCTTACGAAATCCTCGGAATTTCCAGAGTGAGATGACAAATTCTTATTCTTTGTGTACTTGTGACTGTCTACCCATGATCTATGACTGACCACTGATTTAGAGTGCGGATGAGAGAGCTATCAGCAAACACTATAAACGGCTCTCAGTTAAATTCCACCCAGACAAGATCAGACCTGACCCTACCAAAAATGAAACCGTTGAGATGCTCAATGAACGCTTCGTCGAACTTACAAAGGCGTACAAAACTCTTACAGATGAGGAAATTAGAAACAACTACATCCAATTCGGTCACCCCGATGGAAAACAGAGCTTTAGTATCGGTATCGCCCTTCCCAAGATTATCGTTACCGAAGGCAACGGAAAGTTTGTCCTTTTGCTCTACGGAATCCTCTTTGGTGTGCTCCTTCCGTATACCGTTGGAAGGTGGTGGTACGGTAACCAGCGCTATACCAAGGACAATGTTCTTGTGGCCAGCGCGGGAAGTCTGTTCCGAGCGTACAAACCGGGCCTGACTGGAGGAGATATGATTGGCACCATGAGTGTGGGAGATGAATATATGGAGCTGCTTAAGGGCGATCATACGAATTCAGGGTTAGCCAAGCTCGAGAAGAAGATTCTCGACTCGGTGGATATGGCACCCGGGGATAAGCTGGCTCTAAGCAACATGGATGATGAGACGAGAAGAAAAGCTCTCGCACTGCTATGGGCTTATCTTGGGAGGGTGGACCTTGAGGATAGCACCCTTAACAACGGTAGGTTGAGAACCATCTTCTCCCAATGCTTCTGCCGGACATATCTAATTGCATAAAACTCTATAGAAAAGTTTCAAGTTGCACCTCCTGCCGTTACCCTCAACAATGCGTTCACTACCATCGCCCTAGCATTCGGAAACTTACAACCTATCATGGCATCTTTATATACGTCCCAGAACCTCATCCAAGCTGTTGCACCAGACTCCTCCCCTCTCCTACAGCTTCCGTACTTTACCCCTAACGTCGTCCGATCCGTGGAAGGCGAGCACTCTAAAACTCACATGACCATTCAGCAGTTCATGAAGTTACCGGAAGTCAAGCGACGAAGCATGACCATTGGAAATGGCCTCTTGACTGACTCACAGTACCAAACTGCAGTCTCGGTAGCACGGGGAATACCTGCCTTGCAACTGTGCAAGGCTGTCCTCAGAGTGCAAGGCGAAAAAGTCATAACTCCAAGCAGCTTGGTACAACTTGTGGTAAAAGCCCGCTTCGTCCCACCTGGCTGCGAGTACGTTCCACCAGTCAAGGAGTCGGATCTTGTGATTGAAGACATCGATGAGGACGCCATAGCAGACGCCCAGACAGGAAATGCTAGAGTTGACCCCAAGGAAAAGGAGAAGAAAACTCAAAGCGAGAAGGAAGATGAGCCAGAGATTCAACCCCCACTCGCTCACGCCCCTTATTTCGCCCGCGACCACTCACCTCGATGGCACATTTTCCTCGCGGATGCCAAGCAGGACCGTATGGCCGTTCCTCCTTTCACATTCACCAAATTCGACAAGCCTATCTTTGATGATGAGGGTAAACCGACTTTCAACGTACAGACGATGAAGATGCAGTTCCAAGCTCCTCCACAGGTTGGAAGCTTCCCATTTGTTCTCAACATCGTTTGCGACAGTTACATCGGATTTGATCAAGAGCAGGAAATTACTCTTGAAGTTGCTGATTTGGAGAAGGCCACTGCCGTGGCTGAGGAAGACGACATTAGTGAACCGGACGAAGGTATGCATTGAACCGACTAGCAATCTTCTGCTCACTTTATTATGTATATCTACTAACAGCCTACCAGATTCCATTGCCGGACAAATGCAAGCCTTGAAAACTGGTCAAGCACCACCCAGGAAAAAGCGTGCTGCTGACTCCAGCGAAGATGATGAGAGTGACACTGATGGTGACGCTGCAGACGATACAAGCGAAACTGACACCGACACCGACACCGACGGGGAATAAACCCTCATGCCTTGACCCTTTAGCCGACAAGCTACAGTGCCGCCACATTCCATTTCTTCCATTTTCTAAGGCCATGTTTTATTCTAAAGTTTATATTTTCTTCATTACCTTCATTTCTATTTTATTTCTGCAAAATTCAGATTCAGACGATTAAAACTCAGTCATGGTTTATTCACGTTAGCCAATTGATATGGTTCTCATATATTTCATTTCTATCAACTATTCTTTTCTGTTTTCTAATACCCTCTTCTCTTTTGACATGTGAATGCTAGAATAAACGGAGTGATGGTACAGCTTGTATCCACCGTCTTGCTTTCTGGATGCTCTTTGACCGGTATGTACTATCCCATTACCTATATTAGCCTTTTGTTTGACTCGGGCATGAAATGGAGTTTCATCGGCTCAAATGAAGAGATCAGTTATTTACCTTTTGGTTATGTGTTCTGGATGGTTATTTTTCCGGTTACTCATATTGAAGTGCTACCACTTAGCTGAATGAAGTTTTATATTATTGGTAGACAGTCATTAAGAATATAGAATTATCATAGAATCCCTAGAAGTAAAGGGTAGCAGCGGCAAACCCTGCAAAAAAAATGAAAGGGCGTGGGTGAAATAACATAGAAACCCGGAGGAAACAAAACACATAAGCGGGTATTATCACACGAAAACAAATAGTCCATCAATTTCAATCGGTGCTTGGATGAAGTGCTAAACTAATAGTATCAATCCACTTGCCGCCCTTCTCCTTGTTGGGGGTCTTCAATCCCTTACCACCCAGCATTCCCTCACCGTCGCGAGCCCATTCAATTAAGGCTTCCTCACTGCCCCATTCTCCCATACCCATCAGCCCAACGGGGATGGAGGTCTCATCAGCATAGCCCATTGGACATGATATGGCCGGGCATCCAGTAAAGTTGGCGAGGTACACATATTCCATAGATATCAAGGTTGAGTTGTTATCACTGATTCCGTGGGTGAGATCAGCTTCGCCCTGAGAAATCTTGGAGCCAGCTGAAGGTGTGGTGGGAGTGGCGATAATTATGCCGGGGTATTTCTGGAATAAGAATGAGAGATGGTTCATGAGTAGATGGCGCATCCTCTGGCTAGCGAAATAGTCCTGTGCAAGGCCTTGGGTTCCGCCCACAGACACCAGGATCTTTGTGGGAGCAGATAATTGGGAGATTTGTTCTTTAGTAAGACCGCTTGCAATCTCATTTAGGATTGATAGGGCATGGCACTTCCCACCTTCAGGGATATATGGAATGGTAATGTCAACGATTTCATAACCTTGTTCGTCACGGTAGTAGTCGATAGCCTTATTAAACATGGCTAGCACCTCTGGGTCAGACCGCTCAACCCAGTCTTTGTATACTCCGATAACCTTGCCTCTAGACGAAGCAGGAGATGGAATGCTCAGCAACGGGTCGGGGAACGCCGCCGACACAGGGTTGTTTGGATCCGGGGCTCCCATAATACGGTAGGCCATCGCAAGATCATCAAGATTAGACGCCATTGGGCCAAGCACTCCTACACTTGTGGCCAGTCTACATGATGGAGCAGCTGAAACTCTGCCGTGAGTCGTTTTAAGTCCGTAAATCCCGCAGTAGTTGGAGGGAATGCGGATGGAGCCACCACCATCAGCTCCAAGTGCAATAGGCACAACGCCAGCGCCGACTGCATAACCAGAGCCTCCGGAGGAGCCACCGGTGTAGTATCCTGGGTTATGAGGGTTTCTTGGTGTTCCAACAACAGGATTGTTGTTTGTAGTGTCTAAAGAAAGATGTCAGTTCACAGAAACTAGGAGGACTATCTTCATGCTTGCATCAAAATGGATGGTATACCGAGTCCAATTTCATGCATAACTGTCTTTCCAATGACAATAGCGCCGGCTTCCTCCCATTTCTTCACGCACCAGGAAGTGAAATTGGGATTGGCCGTGAAGTTGACCTTGCTTGACATGTACTTATCATATCCATCGATGTCTACTTCATCCTTGACAGCAACAGGGATACCATCCATCGGGCCCAACGGAGTGCCATTTGCCCATCTTTGCGTAGAAGCCTCCGCTGAAGCACGAATGATATCAATCTTCGACTGGCAGAAACCCGGTGAGAACTCGCCCGGAGGTGAGGTATCACGTCGGATCATGGGCAGCAACGCCTCCACAACAGCGGTAGGAGTCAGCTTCCCAGCCTGGTAGAGCTCGCGGTAATCAGCAGAGGTGTAGTAATCGCCCTTGCCATCCTGACGGCGCCTGGCGGGGACCGGTAGCTCGGGAGCCTCTGTGCCAGCGTATTGGGTCGACGGAGGGAGGACAGTAGGGTCGAATTTCGGTTCGTATGCAGTCAACTCTTTAATGTCACGGAGCGTAGAGAAGCCTGCATTGCGCCAGAGAATAGCCTGGATGAAACTCGAGGACTGGACCCTATAGTATCAAACCGTTTACGTGGTCTTGTTAGCTTCAAACTACCGGCAAACAGAGCTCATACAAGGGCATAGACCGGCGGCAACAACAGCCAGGGGGTAAACAGACAAGGTAGCAGCTATTTCCAGCACCCGGCCACGCAGGATGGGGTTGGATTCCTGAGTCGCCTTGTATGGGACTTTTGGGCCTTCAACGGGCGTGGGGAATGTCTGGTACTGGTTCTTATTGGTAGCCATCGTCAGCCAATTACCCGGTGTCACTTCTTCTAATGCAGGATCACAAAATCGACGGCGCTGGCTCTCGTAGGTTGGTCGATGGTCGTAGATGTTGTCTGTCTGTTACTTCTGTCCCGATGATATCTTCTTGAGAGAAGTTTCGCTTGTTAGTTGGTGGTGGCTATAGCTGACGAAACTATCACCACCACCAACCAACCTCGGCCTGAAATAAAGGAAAGGCAAATAAAGAAAAAGCATCCCTGAGCTTCCTCGAATTTGACGGCTCGTAACGAGAACAAAAAAAGCAAACATTTGACAAGCGCCCAAGGCGCATGCGAGGGAAAAAGAAAAGGCGCTGACGTTTCAATATATGCTGAGTATTCAAGAGCTGCTGTCCAATTATTTATTTCTCAAGTGCCTCTAATTTATTTATAGCCTGAGTTTTACATTCCAGAAATCAAGCGCCAATGCAACCGCAGTTAGGACGACTGAATATAGCATGAGAACAGCCAGGGCCAGTTCCTTTCGTGCATCGAGCGTGTTCATACTCAGGTTGACGGCCCCTGTAAGCAAGTTTGCAATGAGGAAGACGGCCAATCCGTTCTTATTAAAGGCCCTCATGACCCTGCTCGTTGCATACTCACTTTTCTCCGCCTCTTCTGTTTTATTTGACGCCTTATCCACCGACGGGAAGACGACGGTCTCTATGAGACAGTAGAGCAGCATATGGGTCATGTTGAATGCATTGACCCAGAAGACATATGGCATGTTAGCCAGTCGGCGGGAAACCGGGATTCCCGCGCCGTACCCGAAGAAGTAGGACGAGTTAAGAGTGAATAAGGCCGCCCACACTGCTGACCATGTAACCAATTGGATAAGTAGAGTCCTGCGCGGCTTGCGAGGTATTATCCGCAACCCGGCAGCCCGGCCAGACAGGAATATGGCAAGGTACCCAAGGAAGGAAAACACTCCCTCTCGGTTCTTGGACAGCAGAGACGGACCCCGCGGAGAGATCAAGATGTACTCCTTCAAGCTTGTAGATTCTAGCGCCACCTGGTATGCTCCGATAACGAGTAGCGCGAGGGCATCATACCACGGGATCAGTGCGGTCATGGCATGAAATATCTCCACAAAGGGTGGCAGGAGGCCCAGCGTAAAGAAGAAATTCCAGTGCACGCCATACTCCGTTACGTGCTCTGCATAATCCAGTCCCTTGACACTGTACAGACGAACCAGACCCAGTACCAGGAGAGGGATGGAGTGGCGAGCAGATGCAAGTAAGCCCTTTGCGAACGAGCCCCGGGAGGAGGCACTACCACCTGCCAGGATCGAACGCGCTGAAACGACTCCTCCCGAGAAGACGAACGAGCCTACTCCCAAGTCCATGAGGGAGGTCCCCCAGTTTTCCACCTTTGCGAATCGCCGGGGGAACACGGTGAAATCAACCGCCAGAATCGACAGACAGGTACTTATCATCAGACTTGCTCGGTAATGGGTGAGAAAGGGGCGCTGTGGGAGGGCATCTAACGCAGTATCAGAGCCTCCATGGGCTTGCTGTGTTGTGCTCTTTGTAGACACAGGTGGAGGTTTTGCCTTTTGCCGGACATTTTTCGGCTTGGTGCTTAGCAGCAAGAGAGCTGCGGGAGAGAGGAGCAGTATATTCAGTACTATCGGCGAGGAAGAGTAAGCCGTCACTGCGAACAGTACAGTGACGACGGCCAGAAGAAAGTCTGCTATCACAGCTGGTAGTTCATAGGGTGTAAACAACGACCGACGCGATTGAAGGACAGACCAGAGCAGAACCGCACTCTATTAGAGAACTATTAGCCAGCAGCACTATATAAAATACGAGAAGAAGCCGCAAAAGGTGTGTGTACTCACCGGGACAACAGCTGAAACTGTGTGGATATCCCATACGCTGCTGCCCGAGAGGTTCGAGACGAAGGCCTCCTTTCTCGCCTTGTAGCTCTCTGCCATGATGCGCGATGCGTCGTTCAGCAAACACCGTCAACAGGCACCTCTCGCCACGTATTTATCATCTGGCAAGCTGGGCTCCTCGTCCCTTTTAATAGCTGTCAATTTCACGAAGAGGCCAGCCTGGTCACTTTTTCTCTTGCTTCTTCGTTTCTTCGTTTCTTCTTGCGTTGAAGGCGTTGAAGTCGTTGGAAGTTGCTGACTAAGACGAAGATCGAACTGGATGTTTGTTCATTTCGTCGATATTAATTTGATGAAGCAGTAAATAAACGAGTGAATGCTTCGTATTTGACATTAAATCATGAGTTCATAAGATAGATACAAAAGAGAGTCGTAAGGAAACTGGAGCGAGTGTATAGCTGTATAGACACAGAGAAGCAGACCACCAACCAAAGTATGTAGAGAGAGAGAGAGAGAGAAGAAATAACCACCAATATCAATCAACGAGGAGCGCCATGCTAGAGTGTTGTTCGGACGAGGGTATTAAGCCGTCTTACCAGCAGACGGACTATGCAAGAGGAATCAGATCAAACGGTGCAAGAAAGAGTGCAGAAAATGTAGGAAAATAAGATGAAAAGGAGCAACGAAAGGAAATAAAGGAAAAAATATGAACGTGAGCAGCCAGATGCTGCAAACCGAGTCGCCTCGATAATATATTTATCAAAAAAGAGCAGCTCAGGTCATTGACTGTTGAGCTGTTCGTTCAGCTTTGGTTAGTTGTTGTGTTGCCTCAAAGGTCAAGAAAGTCGCCTGGATACACCGGACACAGGACGATGCTCATTCCTCCCGTCATCATCTCCCAGGATGAAACGGACCTTCTTCTTTCCATCTCTGGGGGAATTAGAGGCAAGGCTCTGCTTTGCTTCGGGCTTTGTATTCCTAGGCACTATTGTCTTGACTCTTGGAGTGATGACAACTGGGTCACCCTTGCGGCTGGGAGACATCTCTCTAAAGGGTTTCGGTTTGACGGGTGTATCCTTGAACTCGGGGACATGCACTGGCACGACCTCTCTAAACTCCTTAGACGGCTTTGTGGCGCTGGGTTTCTTCCTGGAGGGACGAATGATCTCCTCAGTAGACGAGGTGGATGTCATTGAAGGCGTTGGAGAAGGAGACCGTTTCCTGCGGAGGCTGCCTGCCGAGTTGCTGTCAATCAGGGCAAAGGAGGTAGTCTCCGGCTCACTCTGTTCAGTGTATCGTTGAAGACTGGAAGACCGACGGCGGCCTTTTCCTTCTGGGCTGCTGGAGACACGGATGCGGACTCTCGAGGACTGAGACGCCCTGACGGAGTCCCGGTGACGGTCAGTAAGAGTGACAGCGTTGTCTGGGTCACTCAAGTCGTCCTCGGAAAGCACTCCGTGGGTAGCCATATCGTCAAACAGACGCCGTGTGAATCCCTTGGGGCTGAACAGTACCCTCTTCTGGAAGCCATCGTTTGTGCTTCTGCGGCGTTCAATGAACATGGTGACGGAGCTGGGTTTGTTGGCGGGATATGGATAAAGCAGCAGAAGCTGGAGTTCGAAGAGGTGATCAATTAAGAAATAAACAAGTATCCGGGTATATAGAGTGTATGTATGAATGTATGTATGTATGTATGTTCAAGCGCAGTAGAGTTATCAAAATCAATTGCGGTGGTTGAGATCTGAATTGGAAAGACTTCCCCCGTTCAAGGGACAAACTCAGTCGACTTTATAATTATTAGAGTTAAGGAAGAAAAAGGCAGATACAGCCTCCTTCGAATGCTCGAAAGAGGATAATCTAGCAATAGAATGCAGAAAAAGCAGATGGCAGATGCACCATCTACCAGGGCAAGCGCTTGAGTTCAGCAGAGAGAAGAGCTGCCATCCTATCAATTCCAGAAAAGGAGACGAGTGTGAAATCCAGGTGGCAGCGCTCGGAGCATTCCCAGCCCCAAGAATAGGATCATAACCGCGAAACAGGATGAACCAGAACCGTGGGACGGATATCTGGCCATGAGAAACAGCAGAGGTATGATCTCGCGCCGGCCCTGGGGTTCCTCTACACCCTACACTCCCCCTTTGGCCATGGAGATGGAGGTGCGGCCAATGAGCAGGCCGGGAGCAGGCAAAGAGCAGGAGGATATAAAACACGAAGTCAAAAGAATATAGGGTGGCTATGGTAAAAATAGATCCCTGGGCGGAGCATCCGAGTGGTATCTGGCTGTCTATATTATTCTCTGTTCAAAAGGGCATTGAGAAAGTAAATAGGCGCTGGCCTGCAGGTCTCTGTCCACTGGGACTCTCCACCAGTTTCACCTTCCACGCTTCTTCATGCTGTGTATGAATTTTTTTTCCAGGCAAGGCATAAGAGGCAGACGCTATGGATAACTATGGATAACTAAGTGGTATGCCTGTATCCATGGTGACGGGCATGGCTAACGCTGGGAATAGGACTCCAATCAGAAGTGCAAGGCCGGCTGTGGCGTTGTTTGTTTATCAAAAGAAACACCTTGCCGCCAGGGGTTGGTATCTCGACTCAACCAGCCGGGAGGGACAAGCAGACAGAAGACAAGAGACAGGAGACCGAGAGGCAAAGAGAGAGAAAGCCCAGAGGCACCGCTAGCCGCCGCACATGCAAGTTCATGCAGCGAAGATATTTTATGCGACCTGAAACCGTGGCGAGTCCGCTAGGTTAACTAAATAAGGGCCGCCAGGGGTTGCGGCACATTCGCAGCAGCAGGCAACGCCTGGCAGTGCGCACCCAGCAGCGGCTGAAAGAGCGAGAGCGAGAGCACCTTGAGGAATCTAGCTAGGTGATTATGCAGCCAGTTCCCGTTCCCTGGCGAGTTAACTAATTAATTAGTCGAAGTCGTCTATACATACATACATATACTCCGTATGTGATTGTACATGCATGGCCAGGGTGTATGTACAGTCCCTCTAGGGCTCGCATTGCTCCCTCCCAGGGCGTCCCTCAGCCACTCGATTCTTCAAACTGCCTTAGAGCGTCTCCATCCGATCACCGCTGGTGCTGCTGGTCCTGCTGCTGGTGCAAGGATGCATTATCCACCCCGTTCTCATGCAAGAACAGGAACTGATCCCAGGGCTTATTTACGCGAAACCCTTGTTCCTCTTGCTCTCTGTCTGTCTGCCATCCATCGTCGCCCATCCACCGAGGCACTCAACCAGCTCCGGGCAGCAACTATAGCCAGCTATCAAAATCTAGCTAACTACTCGTCCGGCCGACCCCAGCAGGAACTACGTAACCACTCCGCTAAGTATACTTATACATAGTTAGGTAGCTAGTGACCCTGCCCGTCGACCGGACCACTACTCTAACTAGCAACTCCGGCCAAGTCAGACCAGGGGGAAAAGATGGATCTCAACTCTCTACCAAAAAAAAAAAAAAAGCACAACAACCCCTGCTGTGGAGGAAATGAGGACTGGGTGAGCAGAGGAATGACACCATAACTATCCTCCCCCAGCCTAGCTTTGCGGATGGGCCAGATAGGAATGAAATAATTTCACAAACTTAGCTCTGTCACCCCCCTTCCCTTAACTACCTTTTTTCTCTTGCCTAACTACGGATCCAGCCTGGCCGGCAATCAGGGCTGGCTTAAACCTGTACGGGAAAGAATAAAAAAAAATTGGGTCGAGGGAGGAGGAGAAAGGGGAAGAAACGGTCCCTTTGTCCATACCAGACGTCTGGTGATCCCTTATTCGTGTGAAGGGGAGGTATTAAACACAACTATATACCTACTCCGTATATATTTATATAACAGCCTGAGCTGTCGCGGCAATTTGCATCCCATCCCCATCCCCATCCCCCCTTTAGTTAAATAGCTCCAGCCAAAACTCCGTATTCCATTCATTCATCGCGAAGAGCCGGCTTTTTCTTCTTCTCCTTTCTTCTCTTTCAAGTATAGCATCTAACTAATAACACGGCCGTTTTCAGCGAGTCTATACACGGACAACTCACATATTTATCTTATCTTTTATATCTTGCCCTGCGCTCTCTCCCGGCTTCGTCGCAACTCAACGCCAACAGCGCCGGCTTCACCCAGTCACCAAGAGGACATAAATACAGCCGCCTGCACACTCTCTCCGGCTCTCTGTCTTCTTCTTCTTTTCTCCAGATACCAATCTTAGTCGTTTCCATCTGCGCCAGAAGGAGTTCAGAGTTCAAATCGCGCGAAAACAAGAACATAACGAAAAGAAAAAAAATCTCGCTTGAAGCAAATCAGCCGAAGACTAGGCAGTCCCTAGTTGCCCCAGGGTGCTGCGAGGAGCCGTCACCTACAGTCTTACAGCCAAAAATCAAACATATTCACGGTCTCTACTGCTACAACTTCTTTGTGCGCCTGAGTTCGGCGGGTTCGAAGCCATGGATCTACTCGTGCAGGCCATGTTCATCATCGGCTGTGCCTGGGCCAGTCTGGTCGGGTATCTCGTCTTCGGCATGTTTCGACAGCGATACACGCAGGCAAACGTCTCGAGACGGTGTCGCCAGGCCCTCGAATGCCCAAATGCAAAGAACACAGTCCCCGATGCAAAGGCCGGGGCACCGAAGAAGGCCTGAGAAGCCGTCTCAGGCTGATGATTGTCTTGTTGACCGTCACGCTCACTGCTGCGGGCGATTCTCAAATTTCAACGACCACGCTGGTGGTTTTTTGCCCCTGAATATCTCGACCCAAAAAAGGTACATCGACATCTACATACATCTACATCTACATCCACACATGTCAACCTGCCCCCTACCACCTCGAGATTCACCGTCTTCCTGTCATCCGTGAACAATTGAATCATCCCGAGAAATGAGAATATTCTGGAACAACCGACTAACCCGTTTGACAAGAGGCAGACAAGGTACATCCCGGCCCAACCTGCGACAGCACTCGGTGTATCAGGTTTCATGCCAGCAACCAACAACGCTCTAGGGGGTTGGGAAGAAAAAGCATATCCTTCCATCCCGATCTCCCCGTTCGGCTTCCCTGAACCGACATTAATCACCTTGTTATTCCTTTTTATTTTTAACCGTTTTCCCTTTCCCGCTCTTCTTTCTTTTTCCTCCCTTTGCTCTCTCTCTCTCTCCATCCATCCCCGTACTCCGTACTCCAGCCTTTTCCCTTACTTTCGCCCTTTGTCATTGGCGCTAGGGCGTTATCCTTCTTCATATCCGACGAAGCACGACCGTGATCTCGACCGTTTTGCCTCGTTTTATGCACACCCCCTGGACTGCTGAGCTAGCCTCTCTCTCACTCTCCATCTCTAGCCTGGCTCTCTCTCTGTCTCGACCTCTCTTGGCTCCCGATATCTCCATAATCATTTTAATTCGGGGAAGGCTTCCCGTTGTACCATTAGCTTTGTTCTTATTCTGGGCGTGCAGCGTATGTTCTGCAAGGTGTTGGGGATGGCGGATGCTAGATAGACCTGGTGAAATGAAATCTTTGGGCCTTTCTCTCTCTCCCTCTCTCGTATCAAATGCCAAAAATATCTGGCTATGACAAACAGTTCAGCCATGACAAATATGCAGATGCAGATAAAATATCCCCGTCTGTATTCACCTATCCCTTCCATTAACTACTTCGCTAGACTGGGGATGATGACAGTGCTGAAAGACGTTTGATATCGGTGCCGCTCTTCGGTTATCGACGATGGAGATGATGGCCGTCTCATGGCAGTATCAGCCAGGTGTGTCGATGAAACGATGACACGGCCTGAATCTGGCTATTGATGGCCACTTCATACCCCAGAAGCGCAACGGTCCAACGGCCACATACAACTAATTATATGAGACTATCGATGCTACTACGGAGACCGTCCGTTGCACTAGTTATCATACCCACAGAGGACCTTTAAACATTATCATGGTATTAGGGTTAGTTGAGTCGTAATGAAACAGAATGCATATGAACGTCTTCCCATCATCCACCGTCTGTGATACCATAGGTATCAAAGAAACCCACTGCCATGAAACTGTCTCGTCTCTGGAGATCAATCAGTCTGTCAAGCAGCATGGGCAATTGCCGTATAAGGTACTCGGTACTTCACAGTCGAGTACCAAACCTCTCCATACATAATCGGTCATGTTATCATGTCCATATCCAGTCCGCTGCCATCCCACTGACTACGGCTCAGCCTGTATACAAGCCTTGCGCTTCCCTCCGTACCTGTTTTCTAACATAAGAGCCGCACCGGCAATGGCATTCATAATAGCAAAGCCGGACATAGTCCACCAGGCAACCCCTACTACACCCAGCCCCAGCCCCATGCCGTACGTCCAGCCCGTAACCAAAGGCCCTACGATCGTAGCAGCAGCCGCAACACTCTGCGCAATACCATTGACAGTACCAAGAGAGGATTTATCTGGACTAGCTGCATTGAGAATCATGCGTGAGGCAGGCGTGACAAAGGACCGAGCAGTCGTCTGAAGGGATAAGGTGACTGCGATAAAAACCCACAATAGCGTTCCTGACGCTGGTAAGTGGGGTGACGTGGTTGATGGAACAGTAGCCCAGTACGGGACGGCAAAATAAGTCACGGGAAATACCAGGAGAGAGCACATGTATAGCCGGAAAAGGCCAAAGATTCTCTTCAAGTAAGGGAAGAAAAGAAGCTGTAGAAAGAGCCCTATGATGCCTCGAATGGCAAGGGCAAAGGCAATGTTGTTTGGCTTAAAGGATAGGCCTCCGGTGAAAGTGAACGGTGCATGCGGATGGTAGTTGGGCGGTACAGACAGACCACTGTTGGCAGCGTTAGACTGCTGGTTTGCATCATTTGGAGGTGGATTTATTGCCGCGGAGCCACCGGCTGGATCATAGCGGGGAGTCGAAAGGAATATCGCTAGAAGAGCAGGAAATATACCGACATGCAGTATCATGAGTCCGTTGGAGAGAAGAGTCATGATCAGTCTCCGGGTCCAAATACTGGCCGCTGCTGGCCTTTCAATGTCAACCTTGGATGGGGCATCTCCTTCTCCTTGACCAGTCTTCTCGATGCGGTCGTTCTCTTCGGTAGCGACCTTTTCATATCCTGTCCAGGACCACTGTCTACCTAGTTTCTTAGCCCAGCCAGGAACAACAGACAAGGACTGCTGCCCTTTGCCTTTGTATGTCTCTTCAAGCTGGAAGACTGTCAATATCCCGCAGAGGATCATGGCTATGCCGTTTATCATGTTCGGTAAAGCATACGGCCATCTCTCCAATAGCCGCGTTATAGAACTTCCGGCAACGAACGCATTTGGGTACATCCTAACAGGATCACTGAGTATTCCACCTAACAGAGGGCCGAGCGTGGATCCAAGATTGAAAGCAGTTGGCATCAGCAATATTGCTCGTGACTCGAACTTCTCCCCGCTGATATCCCTGATAATAGTTCTCATCACAGCAATCTTGTTGTTTGCCAGGCCGATCAGAATATGGCATGCAACAACCACCGGCAAGCTAGTAGAGAATGCAAGAGCTAGCCAGGAGACACCAGTTGTAAAAAGACTCGCTAGCAGAACCAGCTTGCGACCTACACGGGGTGAATCGGCCAGTATCCCCCAGACAGTCGAGAGGAAGAGCTCCGGGATAGCGATTGCCACGCTTAAGAGGGAGACCTGGAATGCCAGGCTTGCTGCCCCGGGCACGGAACCATCGGGGAGTTTGAACGTCTTAAGCTGGAAGAGAATGTAGGTATCTCGGCTGCTCATGGCCACATTCTCCCAAAACCAGGAGAATACTATGATAGCCAGCTGCCACTTCTTTGGCATTGACGCCCATGATGCAGTAGCCTCGTCGTCATCTTCCGCCTTGCTCGTGGTATCAAGCCGTGAAGAAGTAGAAGCGAGCTTCTCGTAGATAGGAGCCTTTTCTTCTTCGTTTCTCATCTTGATCTTCCTAGTCACAGCTCCAATTAACCCGGACAGCATAATGGGCTGCACAAACTTCTATCACCGGTCAGAAAGAAGTTTGACACCTCCCTCTGCATTCTAGCCACGAGAACGAAGCGCGACGAAGTGCGACGAAGAAAAGTCTTCATGTCGTGCGAGATGTACCAGATTAGAGCACGAGGATCCTTACTCTACTGGTAAGTAATAGTCTGGTGCTTAAATGTGGTGTCTCCCAGTGGCGATCTGTCACCAGCGAATTCCCAGGAAGGTACTGCGCCATTATTGAGCCTAGCCGCTTAGATAGCTCCAAAGGCACACGCCAAAACTCCAAGCCGCCGATTCTATTGAGCGGTAGTAGAAGCACTGGATCCTGACGCTGGTATTGACTGGATGGTGCGCTGTAGGTGCGTAAGCCTTCCACGTCACTGGCGCTTGTGCGGGATGAGGGAGTGTCCTTATGGAGTACAAGTAGTCAAGGCTGCTTAAAAACCAGTCAAGGTGGATATCATTCCTGTGGCCAGGCATAGCTCTTCTATGGCCCAGTTCAGATATTATCGGGCAGGTATCTTTGGGCCGAACTTGATGCCAACTTGGTGAAGTCCCATGGAGGTTCGGGGTATAATCCATCCTGCTGGCGCGTGTAACTGTTCAATGTGGACAAGGCGAGTACTCCGTAGTCCAGCATGGATTTCACTCTGCGCAATTATCCAGGGCTCATCCGCTGGTAGTTGTGACGTAGGAGTTGGCGTCTTGTATTGTTGACCGAGAGTTGAAGTTGAAGTTGAAGTTGAAGTTGTTTGGTTGTTTGACGCAGGAAGTCGACGCTTGTTTGCCCTTTAACACTTTGCTGCATTAAAGACGGTCGATCAGCCACGGCATCAACATAACCACAGACAAGTATTCTATATTCTTTGTTCGATCTATAGACTTATATCATAATACTCGAGACCTCCAGGTCGACTCAAAAAGAATAATAACAATAATACCAAAGCGAAAAAAGGCCTTGCCAAAGCAGACGTTGATCAATCGACCCCCTTGGCGCATATTCATACATGCATTAAATAGTCCGAAACAAACACCAGACGTCCTCATTTTGTTCTTCCTGTCGGCTTTTACTCTCGATGGAGTGGAGGTAGTATTGCAGGCGCGATGTACGCTTTATATTTATTTAGTGTATGTCTTCTGCAGGGATTTGGCAATAGTCTGGAGCTGGATGTTGCTTGTTCCCTCGTAGATGGCACCGATCTTGCTGTCTCGGAACATTTTCTCGGCGATACCCTCGCGGACAAAGCCCATGCCTCCCATCCATTCAACGGCGAGGCTGGAAACGCGACCGGCGACCTGAGAGGCATATAACTTGGCCATGGCGGCATCCTGGACGAAATCCTGACCGGCCTCCTTCTTGCGAGCGGCGTTGAAGACGAGGGCGCGAGCAGCGGCGATTTCAGTGTATGATTGAGCAACCTGGTGCTGCATTCCCTGGAAAGTACCGATGAGCTGGCCGAACTGCTTGCGGTCGTTCCAGATGTACCTATGACCATATATTAGCATTATATGTGGTGCAGCGAGGATAAAAAAAGACATACCCGGCAGCGTTCTCCCAGGCACCAAGGGCCAAACCGGTCATCTGAGCAGCAATACCAATACGGCCTTCGTTCAACAGGCTGATGGCATACTTGTACCCTTGGCCCTCCTCGCCCAAAAGGTTCTCCTTTGGAACTTCGACATCATCGAAGTTGAGAACACAGGTGCTGCTAGCACGGATACCGAGCTTCTTCTCCTTCTTGGCGATGCTGAATCCTGGCATGTCCTTTTCAACAATGAAAGCGGTGATACCCTTGTATCCCTTGCTGGGGTCAAGGTTGGCAAAGACAATGAAGAACCCAGCCTCCATGGAGTTGGTGATCCACATCTTGCTGCCGTTAAGCTTGTATCCGGAAGAAGTCTTCTCAGCTTTGGTCTGAAGCGCAAAAGCATCAGATCCAGAAACCGGCTCGGACAAGCAGAATGATCCCACGGTGTCGGTGGCCAGTCTGGGGAGCCATCTCTTCTTGATAGCGGCGCTACCGTGCTTCAGCACAGCAGTGTTGACCAAAGTGTTGTGGACATCTACCATGACACTAACACTGGGGTCGACACGCGCAAGCTCCTCGATACCAATAATTGCCGAGGTGAAGTTCATACCAGCACCGCCGTACTCCTCTGGGATCTCGATACCCATCAACCCTTGCTCAAAGAGCTGTTCAACAACAGCAGGGTCCATGGTCTCAGCCTCGTCCATCTCTCTGACCTTGGGGCCGATTTCTTCCACGGCAAACTTGGACACGGACTCTGCCATCATCGACTCGGTCTCGGAGAGGTAGGTGATGGGTGTGGGGGTAAGGTCGGCATCACGGCGCAGGGGAGTAGCAGAGAACGCCCGGGAGCTGTACCCAACCCAAGTCAAGTCAGCATACGTATATTGAAGTTGTAGAACGATGCCGGTATTGGCTTGCAAGGGGAGTATGTGCTCTGACGTACCATTGTGCGGCCCTGGAAACAGTAGCTCTGTTGGCGGTGGATAGGAGAGGCGCATATACCCTCCGGGACAAGGGCCGCAGTGCACGGGTTATAGATGCCATACTGAAACGATAGAGGATATGGGTATAATGAGACACAGAACAGGACCTGGCAAGCGCTTCAATGACGAAGAAATCAACCGACGTTCGACCTGAAGAAAGAAGAATCAGAGCCCGAAAAAGCGCCCCAAGAGGCCGAAAGTCGAAGGCAGAGAAGGAGAGGCACGTGATTTTTGTACTTTGCCTCGGCTAGATGCGGATATAGAGTTGACACGTGATATGGCCCAAGCTTTGGCACTAAAGATAGTATGTTCACGTGATTATGTTTAGGTAATTATAATATCAATTTAAGACGGCGTCCGGAGGAGATAGCGATACAACAAGTGTTGCCTTTGCATTCATGATGTTCATCAACTATGTTGACATACCTTTGACGAGACGCATCAAAAGCTATGGATTGCCTAAAGTAACGCTAGTTCAGTAGCTAAAGAATGTAATTCTGTATGGTAAACTTTATTAGTACTAACCCTCTGGTGCGTTGTTAAGGTTTGAACCCGGTGATATTGGCCTTGGTCTCTAGCTCCTTATCAGATATGTAGCAGCTTCTGCTCCTCCCTCTTCCTCCTCTTTTTCTTTCTCGCCTTAATGGATTTCTCCTTGTATCTAGCGTCCTCTACCTAATACAATTCACTTCGAACTGTGACCTTTACGAGTTCACTATGATGGACATGACGTCATACTAACTACCTAAGTTATTCACTGACCAGAGGTTATAAACGCTCTGTTCGACCAACGCCTTCATGTTGTGTCCACTCCCTGCTCTATATATACATCCATACTGCAGGTTCTCGTGATGTTTCGTCTAGACGAGAGGACAATACCTTAATATATTTCCTCTTCAAGGCTATTAATCGGCCTTCCCGAGGGAACACGCCAGATCAAACATACCAATACAAAGATCCTTAGGGAAGTAGCGAAGGAGTGCTATCCAGATGATTATCAGAACCCTTTTCTCATAGTTGCGAAAGTACTCCCGACGATACTCGAGGAGTTTGATGCCGAATACCAGATAAAGGGCCCCATGTCTCAATCGACCTACACGAGAGGATTTTAATACCTTGGATAATGGTTACAAAGGCCCATGAAAGGGTCGCCTGGGGCCTTGCCTTTTATATAAGGGCTGGAATACTAGATATGGGCCTTCGAGATGAAATAGAAGAAGACGGCAACGCCCGAGCCATCAGCAATAATGGGGAGATTTGTTAAAGAGCCAGATGAGAGCTTTATGCTACAAGGGCGGGGATAGCCCTCGATCACTATTGGATTCGGCCTCTCAGAAGACACAGCGAAACTTGCACAAGATGCAAGGGGTTGGCCAAAGGCAGACGGATCAGATACCCGGGTTGTTATTACCATCAAGATAATCAGAAAAAGTCTTCGAATCCGCAGATGGGGGCGAGACAGCGCACCTAAGACGCCAACCAGTTCGTCCAGACTATCAAGCAAGTTGATCGCGGAGGTTATCGCTAGTCGCCGTAGCGACATCACAAAAACCACTGGTGACATTACTATTCCCTTTGAGGAACTTGTTGGCCGGCAACCGGAAGAGATAATGAGGGCGAAATCATCTTGATAAAGGCCGACCCCAGGGAGAGTTGCAAACACGCTTGGAGTGCCCAAGAGTTTATATGAATTTCCTTCCAATAGTTCATTTAATCTGGCCCTAGATACGGGCGATACAGCAAGGGAAGATTGAAGTTATAAATCGCAAGGGTGTCACCAAAAGTGCTGAAACAGGTGGTGGCCTTTTACTCGTCGCTTCAAAAATTATAATAGAGCTGCCCAATTCGGTCTTTCCACAGTAATTACCTACAAAGTATGTACTTATAGGAATATTCACTCCCTTATCAAGGAGACCTCTGATGTAATACACTCTATCTGCGGTATGCCTGATTTAGGTACTAGATAACCACTAGCCACAACACTGGTACCAACCAGATATAATGGAAATACCCTCACAATTCCTTACTGGAGATCCGTCTTTCCGCCTTATCAATGAACTCGTTCCTGATCAGCCAGATATAAAAGTCGATGCACACACCAGCAGCCTCAAGCGTTGCAATGAGGGCGTCAATACTACCAAACAGGCCTTCGGTGCCTACAGTTTCGAGGATCGCAAGCCAGTCCGAGGGTGGGAGAGTGCACAGGCCGTTATCGAGGTAACAGGATGGATGTGTTGCAAAGGCGTATTTCTGGATCGCCTTGCAGCTGGCTTGATTTTGGCCAGTCGCGTAGGGCACCAGCTTCTCCTGCAGGCAATACATGGCGTTGCTGAGCCAGACTTTGCCTTGATCAGAGAACCGCGTCAGCACTGATTGAAATTTGTGACAGTAGTGGTCGCCATAGGCAATGGCGTAGCCTTCGCGGCCACATGGTACCGCGGCTTCTAGACAGGACAGGTAAAAATCGCAGTTATCCCTCTTGGGAATGGAACAGGAGGCTAGCGCTTGATCATCGTGCTGGATGGTGTTAGCAACTGTGTTCTTTTGGGTGGAAGTTAAAGGCCAGCCGCACTTTGTGGTAGAGCTCAGCTGCTGTAAGAGTCGTTGGTAGAAGGCCCAGTGCGAATACGAGGTGTAACCGCATCGTCGTTGGTACCTTCGCCGCAACTTATAGAGTATCTTCTGTGCCGCAGGGCTTCTCTTGGCTCGTCTTCTCATAAACTAGTCGTAGAAATAGACTTGTCAATGGCAGTCCATGTTGTCCCTGGGAGGTGTAAATGTATTGTCCCGTGAAGGAGTAGCTAGTACACCGTATACGCAAGCCCTGTCTCGCAGCCTAGGAGGTCCCGAGCGCCTGACATCTGGCCCAGCAGCCAGACTCGCCATCTTCTGCCGTCCCCTGCATGATCGGAATATGTCAGTCACTCCATGGCCGTCGCCTCAGCCGTCTCCTTGCTTCATCTACTTCGTCTACATCTACACCTACATATGCATCTTCTGTGTTTATGTCTCCGTAAGTATCGCCTTACATAAGCATACTGTGGCTGTGCAGTGATGACATCATCACTCGTCACGGGGCGCGGGGAGGCCGCGTCGTGGCGGTGCAGCTTCTTACGTCGTTCTGTTCCTACTTAAGCGCTGAAGCCGCAGTCAGTCACATCCACCACCAACCTCAGTCACATCTCGCACTTCGACTACCAGGGGCTGTTTTACTGCCTCTTTTCGCTGCTAGAAAGACCATTGCTGCTGCTGTTAGTATCTCTGACCCAACATCCTGCGACCCTGACCTAACATACAAGTAGACAAAATCAGGCCACAAGTATCAAAGTCCCACTACCCACCAAGTATCGATACATCCGCCCTCAAGAGAGAACAGTGAGCCATTCGCCATGCCTGGGGGATCAAGCGACCCTCGACTCTTCTTCAGCCTTGACAACGTGCGGGCATACCATATCCAGAATGGCGAGGAGACGGACCTCACCCCCTCAGGGCCTCAGACGCTGTCTCTCCTCATGGTACCTACAACCATCCCTGTTGTAGACCCAGCCAACCCGAACGCTGCGTCAGGGAACACAGAGGAAGACTTCTACCTCCATCTTCACTTGCCTCCAGAGCTCGAGTTGCCGCTACCCGCCACCACTCAGGTCTACCATCAGCCGCCAGACAGCTATCTGATTCCAAGATGGGATCTAGGGCCAGAAACCGGTGCGTTCACCCGCATTCAGTTCCCTAAGATCGGAAGCGGACCTGGAATGGTATCGCAGGAAGATGTCGACACATTTGAGACTATTCTTGCGCAGTGTACCGCTTTTCTTGAACGGTCTCCACCACCGAAGCCCCACGGCAAGCAGCAGCAAAAACAGCAGCAACAGCAGGGAGGATATAACCCTGCAACATACGCACCCGGAGAAGGGTATGTGGGAACTGGTGATGAGAAGACCGGCCAGATTGTTCTGGTCGACGAGGAGAATGGGAGTGTGGTCGGAGAGCTCACTGAGGGGTTCGATGTCGTGCAGTCGACAGATGTCAAGCCCGGGTCAAAAGGTATTCTTTTTTCCTTTCCGCTTTCCCTTTTCAATGTGGCTTCCTCTTTTTTTTTCTGTGCCCCCGTATTTCTCCAGTTTGATATATGCTCTATAGACGTCAAAGCTAATCATGATCAGACCCTGTTCAAATCCAACTGCCCGAGAAAGGCAACCAGATCACTGTCAGCAATGCGCCGCCGGAGTACCTACGTATGGCAAGCCACCCTGCATACGCAAAGTCGTCACTAGTCCAAGGTTCAGCCATGGCTTCTCGTCTTCTGGTGACTACCTCCGAAGCACTGGCCAGCCTGTTGAACACTGGAGCAGACAGCTTTACCCGGAGTACCAAGCCCGCTGCCAAACCCATGACATTCTCGCCATCCGCACAGGCACACATTCGCAAGATCAACACCTTCTCATCTTCCGCGGCCGGCCTCTCATCCAAGACCGTCGGACAGCTAGGAAAATATGCGCAGAACTTGGGTGCGGCATTGACTCGGCGTGGGGAGCGTGATCCGCATAACAGAGGATACGACATCAACGGCAAGCCGATACCAGACTACAAGCCCGGCATTCTCAACAAGTCGATGATTGCGATTTCGACCCTGGGCGACGGCCTCGATCACAGTGCTCGCCATCTCCTGTCTACCGGCTCTCTGGCTGCGACCAAAGTCATGGGCCACCGGTACGGCGAAGAGGCGCGCGCGGTGACGACGGATCTTACCGGCGGCGTCAAGAACGTCGGGCTAGTCTACATTGACGCGATGGGCGTTTCAAGACGAGCAATCCTCAAATCGGTGGCCAAGGGGATGGTAGTCGGGCGCATGAAGGACGGACACCAGCTTGTCGTCGGTGGCGGCGATGGCGGGCAGATCGGATCAGGCGTTCCCTCTCCACCGTCTGGCAAGCCGGAGTCAGGCCTCTCGGCTCAGTTTGGAGCATCGTCATCGCCATCGTCCCCGGGGCCGATGTATCGCTCGCAGTCACCGGCTCCGCCACCAGCGTATGGCGCCAAAGGGGGAAAGTCGCTGGGCGGAACCCCTATGAACGACAGTCACAAATACCAGTGATTAGGGATAAACAAAAACCCCCTTTCTTCGCATTCGTTTTCTTCCCTCCCTTTTTTTTATTTTTATTTTTTTTATTATATCTTGTTTCTTTTAATCGGATTTCAATCTTGAATAGTGGGTTGTGTTAGACCTTGGAGGGCGATTTTCCTTTTTCTCTCCTATGGCAAGCAAGATTTTTGCTTCTTCTTCTCCTTCTTCTCTCATCCTTTTTCTTTGATATGTATGATTCTTTTTTTCTCCCCTGGGATTTCCTGGTTTGGCTGGTCCTCTCGAACGAACGAGCGAGTTGATGACATTAATGTGAAAGAGAAAAAACGGGATTTGGAGGGAAATATGACAGGAAAAAAAATATAGCCGGAATAGTCGGTCAGTCAGTTTAGTGAGCAGTCAAAAGATGATAGTTCAACTGCCATTCCGGGCGAGAAGCTCGTCTCGGCTGCTTGACTCGAAACCCCCTAGCCACCGCTGCTAACAAGCAAAGGGGAGGAATGAAAGAAAGGAAATCGATTCGATTGTTTGTTGTCCCTGAAGCCCAATGTGTTTTCCCATCTGCACCACGCGCACGCGAAATAACGCCTCGTAGATCGCTTCTGGTGGCTCATCCGTCCCCTGGTTCCGCCGGTACATGCGGTATTACGAGCCTCGTTTCAAGTTCCGGAGCAAAGTAACACTCGCAGCGAGGGTAAGATTAGCGCGGACAATCGACTGGAGACGGAGCGAGCATCCTCGTCGTCTCCATGATCTCATCGTCATCGGAGCTTCTCGATAGTGTTGTTTGGAGTCGGCGGCGCCGTCCGGGCTTGATTTGATATGGATGTCTTAGGCTCTGCCGGGTTAATTTACCGCCAGCCTCAGCCTGCCCAACCAGCAGCGGCAGCAAAAGGGAGAGGGAGAGAGGGAGGAGACGGTAATGAAGAGGAGCATATAAACACTCCGTATAAGGAACCCGCACGGAGTAGTCGAGTCAGGCGGATTTTAGGGGGCTGGAAGATGTATCATCCACGTATCCAGGACGGTGCAACAGCGCCAACCAGGCCAGCTCGCCCGCATCCTCATCACTAACGTGTGGGATGGTGTGCGCTGTGGGCGTGCATCGTGAATCGGTTGCACTGGCCGTAGTAGTTTCTCGCGCCCATACCAGAATAACGTTGGATGTTGCACCGTAGGCCGGGCCAGCAAGGAGGTCCGGTAACCAGCATCCATCAACCAGCAACCAGAGTAGCAGAGCCAGAGCCAGAGTTACTCCGTGCCTGCAACCTCGACAACAAGCCGCAGCAGCAGCAGCAGCTCGATAATCCCAGCCATATAGCATTGAAAAAGCAAAGGCGCAAAAGCAGCCAGCAGCCTTTCGTCTCTCGCAAGCCTCCCGCAGGCTGGAGAATGAATGGCCCTGGTTCAAAACAGCGCCAAGTGCCAGGTCACTCCATCTTATGCTTGCGCTAGACACGAAACCGCGAGCTAAACCAGCGAAGCATCGCAGGGCCTTGACTCCTGTTGTTGCCCGTCTGTCTGTTCCTCCTCCTGTGCTGTCCTGTCCGCCTCTCCTCTGCCGTCATCTATCACCCCCAGAACTCCCCGAGGAGACGACGAGGTGTGTGAGAGCGTATGTGCGTGTGAGCCCCCGAGGAGTATATGTCTCTGTCCCGGTAGACACTCTCTCCTTATCCCCCTTCATCTCCCTTCCTTCTCCCTTCCTCTATTTCCCTCCTCGCGCTGGTTGGCCCATCATTCACCGCTCGGCCGCTCTTCCCAGCCTCCCTCTGTCTCGCAACTCGCTCCTGTCCATTGCACCGTCTCCTCCTCCTCCTCCCTCTGCCCCCCTGGACAGGACCCCAACCAACACCATCGACAGGTGTGCAGACGTCCGCCTCGTCTCGTCCCGATCCGACCTGAGTCTCCTGAGGACGAAGCCCCTCTTGATGCTTCCCTCCCGTCCTGAACTCGTCGCCAATCGTTCGTCTGCCCCGTCACGAAGACCAGGCCGCCCGGACGGCTTCTCCACGGTCCGTTTCGTTCGCATTGAATTTTTATAGCTTGTAGCTGGCTGGCTTCTCGTCGTTCTACCGCCGATTCAAGCATGCTGCCTTGGTCACGCTGAGAGAGAAACCCGTTCGACAGTTCAACCAACCCAGCCAGCAGAGTGACCCGGTGTGCCCAACCCGTCCCTCACTTGCAACCCGACTAAAGGCGAGACGAGACAGCTACCGCCGTGGTGAAGTCGCTGGCTTCGACCCATCCTCTCGTTACCGGTGCTATAAGCCACATATACCCTCGCTGCACACGTCCGTCTGTCCGTCTGTCTGCGTGTCTGCTTCAATTGAGGTTGATTCTTCCCGTCCGACTGCAAGCTGTGGGTTCCTGATTTATTCTTCTTCGTCTTCTTCTTTCTTCTTCTTCTCCTGTTTCCATCCGTCTTCTTTCTTCGCGCTCGACCTGGTCGTCGAATATAAAACACGCCGTGCAGTCCAGTCCAGCTTGGATGGAATAAGCTGGCAGGCTCTTTTTTGCGACGTGATAGCACTCGAATTGACGCGCTCCGGGTAGTAGAGAGCCGCAGACTTCAGTTAGACACTGGTCCTGAGAATCATCTTTCTGTGAGTGTCTCTCTCTTTTTATATATATCCCTATCTTCCCCGGCTGTCCTGCTACTGCATTGTGTGCTGTTGCTGTGTTGCTGCTTTGCTGCTTAGCGCGTTGCAGTGAGGTTGTGCACCAAAAGAGGAACAACATCCTTGATATCTTCACCTTCACCAACTTCACCACATCCTCCAGCTTCACCCACTCTGCACTACTGGCTTTGTTGCTTACCTAGACAAGACGCGTTGGTCCGGCCAATTCTTTATGACTTTGAGTGTTAACAAGACCTTCTAGAGCTTTTCTTGCGTTTTAGATACAGCGACATCATCATCCTTCCTACGCGCGCAGGAGCTCACTGCCTACGCCGCTGCAGCATTGCTACCAGCTCGACTCGACAGCCTCTATAAACTCCCTCTCAAGCAGCCTCTTCCCAAGGGAAAGGCATGTCTTCTTCACTGCAGGCCAGCCCGCAGTTGAGTCCTCCGCAGCTTGGAAGCCAGTACATGCATCCCCCCGCGTCGAACGGCCAGCAGTATCACTCGTCTGGATCCCCTCTGTCACCAGTACAATACCCCCATGGAGGAGACGGCGCGGGCTACAATGAAAACACTCCAGGCTCGCAGCGTCTGCATCCATCTGCTGCTTCGCCGGGGATGAGTGGCAGTCAGGATTACGCATCACCAGTCACTCCACCAGGCAAGGCTGCCTCCGCCAGCCCGCGAGCCCGGTCAGGAACCGCTGATAATAGTAATACCTATGGAAACCCTCCCGTTCCTCCACCACGCTCCTCGTCCAACAACAAGGCCCAGGCCCATATCAGTCCGCAGGAAGCCTCTTCCAGACAGGGAAAGCGTCGAGAGAACGGCCGGAACCGTGGTGACAGCCAGCAGAGAGCCAAGGATGATATGAGCCCTCCCAGCAACAAGCCCCGCCGTAAGACTCCCCATTCGCCAGAGGGCCCCCAGAGAGCCGCGAGCACACGAGAGCCGAGAGACTACTCTTCAGTCGGCGCCCTCGAGAGTCGATCTGAAGCTGCCATGGGCCCCAGCTCTATTCCAACTGGGCCTGTGCATGAACCAAGTGTCGTGCTCGATCGTATGATCGTGACGAACCCTGACATTGATATTGCGCGGGCACAGCAGCGCCAGGAGAATGTACATATTGATGCCAGACATGCCGCTGCCGCCGGATACCCAGATGAAGGAGACCCGCAAGAAGATGAGGATGAAGGAGCAAACATCCCCAAGAGCAGACATGATACCTCCAGCGGGAAACGAAAGGAAACCTCCTTTGGTGACTATATCCTCGGCCAGACCCTCGGAGAAGGTGAATTCGGCAAAGTGCGACTTGGCTGGAAACGAGATGGCAGCGTACAAGTTGCCATCAAGCTGATCCGCCGCGAGACCCTGGGCACCAATCCTGGCCGTCTGCCCAAGATCAACCGCGAGATATCTGTCCTGAAGAAACTCTCTCACCCAAACATTGTCCGCATCCATGAAATTGTCCACACGGACCGGCACATTGGCATCATCCTCGAGTACGCCTCGGGTGGTGAGCTCTTTGACTATATTCTTAACCACCGTTACCTAAAGGACAACGCCGCTCGCCGCCTGTTTGCACAGCTAGTCTCTGGAGTAGGCTACTTGCACAAAATGGGCATCGTCCATCGTGATTTGAAACTAGAGAATTTGCTTTTAGACCGTAACCGCAATATTATCATTACCGATTTTGGGTTTGCGAATACCTTTAACCCCAGTGACGAACTTAGCGAGGAGATTGAATACAATCTCACCAACCGAGACTTTGTCAAGCAGATGCGCCTTGACCGCACTGATGCTAACGGACTGAGACGCGGAGATCTCATGCAAACCAGCTGTGGCAGTCCCTGTTACGCTGCGCCCGAGCTTGTCGTCAGTGACTCGCTCTACACCGGACGAAAGGTTGATGTCTGGAGCTGCGGTGTCATTCTATATGCTATGCTCGCCGGATATCTCCCCTTTGATGACGACCCAGCAAACCCAGATGGAGATAATATCAATCTGTTATACAAGTACATTGTGACAACTCCTCTCACATTCCCTGAATATGTCACTCCCCACGCCCGTGACCTTTTACGTCGCATCTTGGTGCCGGACCCTCGAAAGCGTGCCGATCTCTTCGAAGTTGCCCGTCACAGCTGGCTCGCTGAATATGCCTCTGTTGTCTCTCACATAACAAGCAATACTACGGATGTAGCTGACATTGCAAACACAACCGTTCCTTCAGGTATGCTTATTTCTCAATTGTCCCCTTCCACCATTGGTTTGGTCGCTAACTGCTTGATGTAGAAGAAGAAAAGCGAGACACGCCACTTCTCGAGCGTAGTGCATCTGTTCGAGAGCCGCCAAAGCCTCATCACGTCCAGAACAACACTACTGTTCTCGGTGGGCTTACCCAGCAGCCGGGGCAGGTGTCACAGACGCCAGAAGAAAAACCCAAGCGGACCCGAGATGCTAAACGTAGAACCGTTCAGGTTGAATACGTTGCTCCTCAATCCTCAACTACCAGAGGTGGTTCCACCCCCGACCAGCAAATCTCGCCCGGTCAACCATCGTCCGCTGCTCCAGTTCAAGCTCCGACTGCAGCTCCTGCAGTCGCTCGTACATCCGCCGCGTCAACTGGCGCCATCAGAGGCGAGCCTCAGCTTGACAAGCCGCTTCCTAAGCCCGTTATTGATCGTAACCGTGAAAGAATGGGCTATACCAACAATTATGCGGACCGCAATCAAGGTATGACGAGGCCAAAATCAAGAGACGTTGCACGGTCTGTATCAGAATTAACTGGTGCTTTCTCTGGGACTCAAGGTTCCCAAATCCCTACAGGAAGACCCCAGACCGGAGGCTCCATGGCTTCAGCTGGCCGAATGGAGTCCCGGATGCCCTCCCGAGGGTCTTACAGTCAACCTGTTGCACCCGCCGTTGCCGCTACCAACGTACAAGGGAAGCTGGCACAGCCAAAGAACGGCAAGGCATACAACATCTCAGGCCCCATACCAGCATCGCATGGCCAGATTTCCGCTTCCGTGGGCCATCCAACTACCGTTTCTGGTGCTCCAACTGGACCGGCTCAGCAACCACCAAAGAGCCACAAACGATCGAGCACTGTCACCAGCATTAGTGAGAAACTCTTTGGAAGACCAGCCTCCTCAATTTTTGGTGGTAAATCTTCTACCCCCGGTTCACCTCGTCTGAAACAAGGAGGAAAGCGTTATCCTCCTACCAGCATGAAGGACCCTTACGCGTCGATGGACGAGCCACGCGTATCCGTTGACTCTAGGCGCTCAATCTCCCATGCATTTAGGAGACAGAGTGATGCCCATAATGTTGCTCGTCCTCGCCGATTTTCCCTTCTCCCCTCATTTTCAAAGTTTTCCTCAAACAAGGAGCAACAGGGCGCTGAAGAGCCTAGTCCCGCTAACGTTGATGACTTCCTTTACTCCCAACAAGCCGAACAACAACCACAGCAGCCCCAGCGAGAGCGGCGCCTATCCACTGCCCCGGCAGCTGTACCTGCTGATACGCACGCAGCAATCAACGATCAAGAGAGCGACATGTATAAAGACCGAGTTTCCGTGTCTAGAGACCATCAAATTGATGCCATGAACTTGTCTGCTCAGATTGATCGTCAGTTCGCTAATTTGCACAGCAGCCGGGAAGGTCAGATCAACAATGCCTTCGACCCTACTTATCCGCAAACCCATAATTGTGATGATCAAATGTTCGGCATTGCAAGCTCATCTCAGCCACTCGAACAGCAAGGATACCACGATGCTCAATCTCAAGGTTTCGATCAAGACCACCAACCACCGCAGCAGTACGATCATCAGTTTGAGAACGGCTCTCGCCCATCAATGCAAGCCGGCCGAGCGCCGCGAAGCAACGTTCTCCAGAAAGGTCACCGCAAGTTCGCTGATGCTTATGAATTCGAGCAGACTCCTTCACATACCTCTGGAAGCTCGGGGGCCGCGAGAAAGGTGATGGATTTCTTCAGACGACGTGGTAAAGCCAGAGCCGGCGAAGAACGGTAGCCAACATGCTGATATTTCTACCAACATGAAAATTGCCAAAACCACAAAAACAAACTCAATACCTAGTCAATAAGATTGAACAAATAGCCGGCAACATCAAACTCAGATCCAACAAGAACAGCGTCACGAGATACCCATTCCTATCTCATTTTATTCTCAGAATTGTATGCAATACTGCAAGCGCGCACGGCTTTTATTGACATCTTTTTAATCTCACTTAAGCTTTTGATACCCCTTTGTATCCTTTGTTCTATCTGCAATTGGCCATTTTATCCTTCACCGTCTGCGTTCAAAGCACCAATTGCCTATCCGACCCGTCACAAAGGGGACGATAGTTTCGACATTTTTATCTCATCGAAACCCACACTTCCATATATTGGAGTTGGAACCAGCCCGTCGACTATATGATTTTTAATATCGAAGGGTCAATTTAAAGAGGATAGAAAAAAAGGAGGGTTGATCGAAGAATCAGAAGTACGAGGACTGTTGAGTTTGAGCAGTACAGTCCGACTGAAGGGTGGAGTTGGAAGAGTAAAGAGATCAGTGATATCTCTTTATTCTTATCCCTTTTCTTTTGTTTTTCTTTTCATTTTTCTTTTCATCTTATTTTCTTCCCCCAGTGTTCCATTTTGTTCATTGATTGGTCATTGTACAACAGATGGGATTTTTTCGTGTTTCCCCTTTTTTTCCTTTGCAATTGTCTCTGTTGGGGTTTGGGTTTCATCTACATTTGTTTCTGCTTTTTTTTCCTATTCAATATGTCTGTGTCTTTTATCTGCCACCATCATCATCGAGCTCCTCTTACCCCCTTTGTCAGATCTCGCATGTTATTCCCCCGCCCCCCTAGCCTCTCATATAATACCCATTAGCCCCTGAACTTTGCACCTACATATTCCCGCCTTCCTGCCCCTTGATCATTTCGCGATTTCATACGAATATCCTTTGCCTTTCTCATACCAAAACAATATGGAAGCAAACAAAAGAAGGAACAAGATAGGGCTGTACACGAAACCGAGACCATGGAGGAGGAAGAAAAGAACAAGTGAGAACAGAGGAGTCTTTTTATGTCTCATAATTTCCTTTTACCTTGTCTATTTGTTTAATTTTAATGCTTTGTTTCCCCCCAGGCAGCCTGCCTCTTCATCTTCGTTTCTTGTTGTCTATAAATCCATAGTTGCGTTTTAGTACTTAGTTAGGCCTCCCTTTTTTCCCACTCTTCTTCTTTACCCCGTCAGCTAGCTGGATCAGAATCCGCTTGCTTTTATTCTTTTCGTCATTTTACATACCCGTCAGCCAGCCTACCTTTCCGCATGCATACCTATCTGTTCATCTACTTCTTCACTATTGCCGGTTGTTGTCAAAGCAAGCCTTGAGTTGGCAAATGATTTAGCCCTTGAAAATTTTAATATTAATGAGGCATGCATTGTCACCCTGTCCATCGTTCTATCATATGCCAATTGCTTAGATACCATCTTTTTCTACTGTCCTTTCCGTAGAGGATAAAGGCCTTCTTTTGAGGAGAAAACATGCCCTAGCGGATGTTCATATCTCTAACCTATAAGGAATATATAGTATTCATCCTTATATAGGTACCTTAGTTACTCCTTTAAGTAAAGGCCCATCATTGATCTTCTTCTTATCCCTTGTTAAAATAAGGTCTCGGCCTAGTACAGACCGCATATTTATAATAGTATGAATCAGAGGTAAAGAGGTATATTTGGTAAGGGGGAAAGGGGGCAGTGCTTTGGTTGCATTTTATCACATTATATACACATATAAATAAGAGTAAGATGGAAAGCTTTGCTGCTGGATCCATGCATTTTTTTTGACAATCAGTTTTGCAAAAGGTAACTGGTGGTTATCCGAACAATTAGACGCCATAGCAAACGCCTGACCCATTTCCATATATTATACCCATGGCCACCACCGTCATGGAAGATCTCGCTAAGAGTGCGCCATCTCGGCGGAGTCCGATCATCTGTCTCTTTTAATGTCTCACTAATACCTGTTTTCTATAACTTAGGATTAGCGATGAGTTTGGCGTCTCGGTTATGCCATTTTGTACTTATATGAGCAATTCAGTACCCCCGGTGCAGGCAGTTTCTAGCAAGGAAGAGCTGCCTAAGACCAGCTTTCAATTGATCCTCTGTGAACCCATCGCCAGGATTATGGGCAGAGAATGCTTCTAAAGCTCTCCCGAATCGGCCTCTATACCAGGCTGCGGTGGTCACCTCCGGCCCGAGGCATAGAATAAACATCTGGAGCAGACAGACTAAAGAGCGTAGGTAACCTAAATTTGACCAACAGCCTCTAACTGTCCGCTTGTATAGTTACATCAAACTCATCTCTCCATGTCCTTCTACGAGTATATATTCTGGGAGGTACATGTCGATGGACTTGGTTCTCTATTTGCCTCCCTTTTCTAGGTTTGGATGGTGATACAACCCCAACTTCAAGTTTTGAGTCAGCCAGACCGTTGAGGACCAGAACCCAAGCTTGCCAACGGCCTGGTACCTCGAGCCAAAGATGACCCCAATGTTGACGGGATAATACTCTCCGGCCTTGAAGCCGCCGAACTACTGCTCGCCGAGTAGTTTGTTGTCACTGACTATGGGGTATCTACTGTATCTCATGGCTGCCGGGAAAGATACCGGATAGGGGCCGCGTCGTAAGGCACTCCGTAACCACAAAAGAAATGCCATATAGTTACGAGAAGGAGGAGTAGTATGACGCAGCCGGTTGGTCCAAGTATAAGCCGGTCGGTCTACTATGTCACTGTGCATTTAACAACTCCGTATACAGAGTATTCCATCCAGAATGCCCGAGTTCCTCCAAGGACTAGCTAACCAGCTAACTACTACCTTGTTACTCCATAGTTAGCCCCAGCCCCCTTTTAACTCCAAGCACTAGTTGATACTACGCCCGCATCCACAACTGCCCAGCATCTAGAGCAGATCTAATAACCACATTCAAGCAGACACCCTTTTAATATAAAGACTAAGCAGACTGCTTCTGCAGGTGTTCCATGACGGAGCAAGAATCTCCGTCACTACTAGTTAATGTAAGCGCTATCCAAGCGATCGAGTTGGCATCTGAAGGAAAAGAAAAGACGGCCAAAAAAGCAAAAAAAAAAAGCAAAGACAAAGAGCTTTCTTTCTTTTCGGAGCAGGAGGACCGGACCGGCCCATCACATGAGAGGGAAGAACTGGACGGGACTGGGGAGACGAGGAAGAGCGTTTGTTCCTGGGTCAACATGTGAGCGCAGGGAGTTGATCAGGCCGGGGCCCCATGAAGTCGACACATAGAACAAGGGATAGATAGAGAGCTATGAGGTGGTGTATGGATAGAGTAGGATGGAGTAAGATAGAGTGCACAGAGGGGACGAAATATGCTTTGTGTGTAGGACAAGATAAGATACATGTATGCTATGCTATGCAAGCTCGTCTTGGGTGTGTGATAGCTCAGGGGCAAATGGCGGTACCAAAAGTAGCCACGATGGAGCGTCCGATATCCTCATCCTCCGCCCGGAAATGCTTCTTAACGACGCCTGCCTGATTATTCCAGGGATATCCGGGCCTCTCCTGTGCCATATGTGTTTGTGTGATTGTTGGCTAGGACAGACAAACAGAGGCAGATGGGCAGGGGGAAAAAGAAACGAGAATAGGACCAGAACCGTTTCTTTTTCTCGGGCCTCTCGTCCTATGGAGGGGCGGATGAGGTACGAGATAAAGCGATTCCCCGGATGCTGGAGTCCAGTAATGAGGCGGTAGAAGAAAGAAGAATTAATAAAGTTGATACTAAGACAAGTTCTAATTCATGTTTAATGACAGAATAGCATATAAGCATTGTGTTTCCTAGCTATGGGCAACACAAAAGAGCCCAGGGAAGAAGAAAGCAGTGAGAAAAAAAGAAAAGCGAGATATAATAATGCATGTGTTTGGTAGAAAGTGAAGAACCAGCAGTAGTCGCTTTTTTTTGTTTCCCCCAAGAGCTAAATATCACATTGGCGCCGGGGTTCGCCTCGGCAGTTCACGAGCTTGTTGAAACCCGTAGTTGTGGGGGAGGACGGTGGTTTGGTGTACGGAGTAGTAAGGAGTAATAGTAGATAGATGTCGTTCAATCATTATTTGTGAAGCCGGCGCGGGACAAGCGGAAGTAATCCATGATTAACTTCCCTCTCGAATTCCACTCCCTGCCTCAGCCAGGCTGTGCTAACATAAGAGACCAATTTCAAAAGAAGAAAAACACTAAAGCGCTCTCGGAGTTGACTGGTTCAAGGGCCGAGTCTGAGGAAAGTGAAGCCCTTTGCGCCGATGACGGGGATGAAGGGGTTGCTGTCGGAGCGCTTGGTCTTTCCGGGAGCTTCAACATCGGTGGCCTGGGTGTCAACATCGACTGGGGCGTCGGAGGCAGCTGGCTTGGATGAGGCCATGTTGAGCTGAGCGGTAGTGTGAGATTGAGGGGCAAGGACGAGGAAAGTGCCGTTGGGAGTGTTGGTGAACATTTTGATCGTTTGTAGGGAGTGGTGGTGTTTTTGGGAATGGCCTTGTAGGTATCTTGCTTAGAGATAGTCGTTCTTCGGTTTTTTGGTTGGCTTGAAAGTTTGGTTTGTTCTTGAGAAAGGTTCCTTGGGGAAGGGGGAGAAGGCCCTTTTTATAACTTTGGCAAGCAGCGAAGGCAATGGCGTGAGTGTGAGTGATAGGCACGTATGTGTAGTAAGTGGCTTTCAAGTCCGGGGAATCGGCGTATAGGATAGTACTCCGTATTAGGCAGAATAGTCAAACGAAGCCACAAGTGAGCGTATGGGGAGAGGATCCGAGATGGACAGCAGCGGGGAAAGAAGCCGCCTTATATACCACAAACAGGTCTCCATAAATTAGTTGTATCATTCTCTCTCTCACTGTCTCTTACACTCTCTCGCTTTCCTTTTTTTTTTTTTTTTTCTGGTTTCTCGTCACAAACCCTGTCTAGGCGAGACGGAGAAAAAAGAGCAAACCATCAGCAGGTATGCCGAGTCCACGCCCAACTCAACCACAACCCCACAATTTAATGTACCTTTAGGTCCATTTGTGCCCCGTTGGCCCTGCGGGAGGAGAATGGCCGAAGTTTGCCAAAAACCCACGATGATGCCACAATGACACCATCTGGTGCAGCTTGCCCTGCTAATTTGTTGAATTGCCTTGACCTGGATCCTCAGGATCGCAGGTCGAGAGTTTGCCAAGAAGCCCAAGAGCCCTGGACTGTGTTCTCTCAAACATTTCTATCTATATTTTGATGTTGTGTACCTTTTTCATGTTTTCTGCTGCTCAGGTGAGAGGAGAAAAAAAGTGCTAGCAAGGGTGAGCGAGCAGAAGGAGGTGGGAAAACAAAAATTTCCATCAGGTACCCTGCTATAACCTTGATGAGCCATCTCAGCTAGTTCTGAAAAAAACAGAGCAGTGCGGGAAACATAGCCTGAGGGATTGGAATTGCCCCCTTTCTTTATGGCTGCTATCTATGAGCGGCTCGTGGGCTGATAAAAGATGACTAGTTACCTATCTTCCTTTGACGAAGTTGGGCAAAACGCTCGGCAGCTTCCAACACACTTAGGGTCATCTTCGATACGCGCCAACCTTGGCATCAACACTGGTTGGCGAGACTGAGGGGCAGCAATATAGAATCCCTCATCCCGGTGTGCTGCCCTCCTGCGGACAAGTACCGACTGGAGCTGTGGGCATGGCCGTGGAGTCGCAGGAGAACCTCAAGAGATCGCACAGGTGCGGGAGGACAGTCGCGTATCCACAGAAGACAGCAGATCATGTCAACCGCTTAAGGCATATCGTTTTCCTCTTTATCTTCTTCACCGTCGCCGTCGTCTTCGTCTATCAAAATCAAGAGATGAAGTTGACGTTTTCCTCTTCTGTCTTTTGCGCGACACGATAAAAAAAAGAGAACTAGTCACATGATTTAATGTCACGTGATTTATAACGTCCGAGCTTCTTTTGTGTTATTCTTCGTTGTTCTTTAACTTGAACTTCATCTCGTTGTGTCTGCGGCCGACCAGGAGGGATAAGTCGTCAGTTTTACGCAGTAGGTGAAGGGGTACGGCCCGCTGTGCTACGGTGACGGCCCCTCGACCCTTCAGCCTGCATCCCGGAGCCCATCCCGTTCCGGCTGCACCTGGTTGGCTCGCTGCGTGGTGTCTTTGGCGCGCGGTTAGAGACAGAAAGTCAGATATCCACTAACAGACAGCGAGCTGTTCCCCCTTCGCCCTTCCAACAACAATTCCATAGACCCTTTCCCCGGTTCCTTTCCTCGACTCTTGACCTCATTGGTCTGGGACAACACCCGAGGAGACATTTCTGGCCCCAAAATGGCTGCTGTTTTTCTTCTTTCTCAACCTCGATGCCTTCTCCGGTTCGTTCTCTCACCCACCCCCCGGCCGTCAAGTGCTGGGCCATATACCAGAGACTACGACAAAGAAGGCAAAAACTACTCTTTCAGACCCGCTGAAAGGGGCCGTTTTTCCCCTCTATAATGTATGGGGTCTTCGCTATACCTGGATAATGGGGCGAAAGTCACTTCTATCTTCTCAAGCTGGGTCTACTCTCTGGTCAATGACATCCAAACACGACGCGGGCTCTCTCCATCTGCTATCAGCTGATGATCGACTATCATATCGTAAAGAGCCGAGCCAAGTTGTTGCCTTTGTTGCCAGTGTTGCCATGTTGTCCTTGTTGTCTCCCAACCCCAAATGTCTAGGTACCATCCTGCAGGCAGACACGGTTATCTAACCAATAAGTTATCCATCTTGATTCGTTCGTTCTTCGCCGATGGAAGGGTACCAGAGCTAGATTGAGCTTTTGAACAATGACAAGCTCGCTTTTTACCCTGCAGATGTATGCTGCTTGACTAGCTATGGGTAGCTCTTCGTGATTGAAGAAAAAAGGGGCCCTTTCCCGTCCCCGACCATTTCCCCATCCGAGCCTCTTGCATGCAACATTTATCATTTATCTCCTACCTGGCTTTGTAATTCATACCAATTCATGATTAACACCGGATCCCTGAAGAAGTTAATTTCGTGGCGCAGCGTTCAAGTTCAATCTATGGCAATCATTAGATGCTCATCGTTTGTCTAAGCCTGTTCCCGCCAGTTGTCCTCTTCCGATCCTTCCCTGGACCCCTTGTTGTATCTGGAGCCTCTTGCTACCAGCAGGCCGGTGGGGTCTACAAGTCTACTCCCTTCCGAGTTCGCTTAGCAGGTACTTCCCTAGCTTTTCAGGAAGTAGTGTTAAACGAATGACGTCTCACATATGTCCATCTATGGCGCAACCGGAACAGTTATTAGAGTTATAATAACCTGCCGCAACATACTAACCCCCACGAGGCCCAGGCCTGCGGCCATCCGTTGGTGACCTGCTTGATTCTTCAAAAACAACCAACAAAGTAACCAGAGTCCTCAAGGGATGGGTTGCATGTTGCTCACCTCGCCTCTTGTATTCTTTTTTCCCCTCCCCCCTTTCAATTCAAGAGGAAGTAGTGAAAAGAAAAAGGAAAACTTCACCGCAAGGTTGCAGAGGCATCTTTTCCGTTGCTGCATAGGCCCACCTGATGCCATACCGCAGGGACCTGTACGGTGAATGTTTCGGAGACTGCGCACTTGGACACTGCAGGTTCTAATTTGAAGGAAAAGGTAGATGGGCAAATCAGCATCTTGTCCGTGACGAGACCAACATTTATTACTGCATTTAGTTCTATTTCACATCGGATATACAATGTGACTAGACAGGAATACCCATAACTTCTTTCATACAATATTAGCCGTTGGAAAAGGCCTGTCCACGACCCTTGATCCGGTTGTATGCTCCGCCTTCATTAAGAGTCAACGACTGCGGTTGGATTTTCCTTCTTAGGTGGTCCTGGGGGGTTGTTTTGTGAAAAAGAAAAGCTTCCCGGTAGTTGGCGGCACCCTTACATACGCTTCAGGGTGCGGCCCCTCTGGAGATCTACCGTTCTCGAATGTCACAAGTACCCGTACTTGACATGGCCACCGGCCCTTTTAAGGTTGTGTGGGGTTGTTCAAGGGTCCAGTTGATCATACACACCCAATACCTGCCTCATATAACCTGGTTGATATAGTTGCGGCATGCACTGACGCCACTATTCCAGGTCAACCGCATCATATACTCCTCTTGTGATTTTTCTTCCCTTGCATCATTTCGTGGCTCCGTGTCCAACACACACAGACTTAGAGCTATTTTTTTTCTCATCCAACTCCTTTGGTGCTAGGTAAGTGTTGGATTTGAAATTCCTTTCTACCTTTCACCCCCTCACACCCCTACCTTGGTGTTGTGTATACTCTTACAACACTAGCTGCTGCTGTTTGCGAAGGTGCATCTTCGACTTCGCCCTTTCATGGTTTCAGTCACGGCATCAAGTGGGTCTAGACAGATGCCCCAAATTAGCTGTGCCTGCATACCACGCTCTGTGCTCGACGTGCACGGGTAGCGAGGATCGTCTATAAAAACCCTCAGGTAGACCCGCAAATCTGAGTTCTTTTACATCGACATCAGGTCTCAAGCCAATCTCACTACTATCAAACTCAATCGTCTCTATATATACGAGTGACAGCCCTTTTCCAAAATTCAAATACATCACCCTACAACCAGTCTACTGCTCTACCTTGTCAACCGTTAAACTGCAACATCGCCCCGTGTACGACATAGAACCCAAGAGTTCACCACCACACCACAACCGTCCGCAATTCGGGATCTATTAGAACTTCAACCACAAACCTTCCGACATTAACATCTCGCAATCATGCCTTGTGTTCAGTACTGGGAAGTGTTCGACTGCGGATGCCGATTCCCCGTACTTGCAGTTATCCACGCCGCAGGCTGCTCTAAGTCAGGGAATTGTGAAGTAAAGCCAGTTCCACGGCCAAGGACGGGCTACAAGTGCAAGGCCCACGGTGGATAGACAAGCAGTCAAGGTAGTGAGTGGCCGTCAACGTCAGCCATATCATCAATTTTATTGAACTCAAAACTAAGGCGTCGTTTAGGCAAACGGTCTAAAAAGGCGTGTGCAGCGTGGTGGACGCTCGCTAGGAAGGTTTATAGACGGACCCATGGATGCCTGTGCCGCGCTCATCTTAACTCACATTTAATCCTTTTGCGGCTCAGATTGAGTATATGTTACAAGGACTATTTTCGGGAACAACTTTATTTCGGCGCGATTGTTTCCTCGTTTATGTCTTTCATTTTCTACTTAGATGGATCTTTCTTGTTGACTAGGGGATCCCGTTCTCCTTTTCTTTTTTGTCCTCTCTCTCTCTGTCCCTGCGATGTTGTTATTTGATTCCTTCTTTTTTTGCTGTTTTTGCTTTTTCTTAACAATTTTTTTTTTCCATTTCCCTGCCTGCTGCCCCCATAAGCATAACTGCCTATTAAACGAACTAAACACATTATATTATCTAATTGGTATCCATTCTGGCTATTCAGGCATCCACCCTTGTTTTTTGCTACATCACGGGTCGGGGAATTGAACGAGGTCTTTTCATCAATATGCCTGTGTTTTCTTTTCTTTTCCAAGAAAAAAGCGCTTTTGTTAGGCTTCCTTTGTAAAACATAACTCCGAATGGAGAAGGATGCTTGCGTTAATTCAGTAATATATCACGCTTACAGTCGCTTATTCTAGAACGGCTAGATACAACTAACGGGGAATCTCTTGCAGCCCTCCGTAAATCGCTATCGTGGATGATTTGTGTGCATAGGATGAAGTAGAGAGACTGCGTACGGAGTACTGCGCCATCACCGGCCGGATGGGATGTGGATACGTGAGACATACCGAAGCTGCAGGATATATCATACGGAGTACATATCGTCTGAAGAAACGTAGCTCGACTTATGGAGTAACTGCTACGCCAGCGGGCGCCGTTTGAGGCCGTTTGCCTAGTCCTCTGGACACCTGCCCCTGACACGGCTGAATATCTTTTTTGTTATATGGCATGCATACGGTTGAAACGGCGGGATGGCCAGGCAAGAGCCTTTTTTTTCCCAATTGCCCTTTTGCATCCCTTGTAATGGTGGAGCTGGCGAGACCCCAGGTGCCAACCACAGCGTCTTCTCCGCCGGCTTCAATCGTACTCTGTTCCTTAGGGCGGCTTGGGGCCTGCAACTACTGGATGTTTACGCCTTACGGCTCCACACCTCAGGCAGACGCCTCCAGACAGCTCTATCTGAAAACAGCAAATCGATACAAAAAGGTAAAAAAGAACCTGGCTCCATGGCTACTTCTCCTTTTTTTTTTTGCACTTGAGATTCCGCTGAGATACAGCAACTTTTCTTCGAGTGAGGCTGGTTTTGCGGCTAAGCTGGAGCGTGAGCCGCAAACTCAAGATGGCCCTTGGAAGATCCTGGTCTTTCGAGCTCGATTGGTTGGGCGGTTGATCTGCGCCCAGTTTAGAATAACGGCGTCTGGAAAGAAGATGGATGAAGAATGCCAGAGAAGCCTAGAGGAGCCTAGGGGTCATGCGAGTCAGCGCAAGAAGCGAGGATACGCCGCTGCAGAGGTGGACGACATCGATGTTTCGCCAGCCGATTGGTGCGGACGGCACAATACTAAGACGCTGACGGGTCGCTTTGTCAACCGGCCTGTGGTGGCCGTATAGGGCAGGATTAACTAAATAGTTCACTGCTAAAGGCACTTTTGAAGAGTCCCCTTAACTATGCAGCGCTCATGCGAGTTCGTAATACATGCACAGTTATGCATCCGTGCCTACATGACGATTCTATCACGAGATATGCACGGCGAGTACTCGGTCTTCCATCCCTGCTTGGTGTATCTCCTGACTAGGCAGCGCTGCTCTGCCATATCAGCAGAACAGACATAACATCTATCGGTTTAATGTTGTTGCCTTGAGGCGACGTTTTTATATTTGCGGCCTCCGCCTGAGCAGCCATTAACACGTGATTTACGTGTAAGTTTCGGCGATAAAGAGTTATCTCCCGTGGAAGGAGCATTCTTAGCTGCAGTTGTGTCTGTCAGTTGTGTCTGTCAGCTGGCGATGGACAGGCTACCATGGCGATACCGATGGTATATGAAGTTATGAACCAAGCTTAAGACAGTTGATTACTTAAGCATGGAGAAAGAGACTCACCAAGTGAGTATACTCCGAACTTGAGAACCAGGTTATTCCAAGGGCCTCCAGCGGTTAGCGAGTTTGAAGGACACATTGCATAAACATCTGAAAAGAAGGCTTCCAGAAGTAACGAGCTGGAAACCGTTCATGCATGTTCAGTTCATACATGGATTCGAGTATTCGAGTAGCAAACCCGGTTGTATGAAGCGACTAGAATCGTCATCTTGGTTCCCATGCAATCTTCTCCCGCGAGATTCATGAGAGAATGGTAAAATCCGGGATACTCATGGATACGCACAGGGCCTCAATGTAGGGCAGGGTCACTTGAGACGGATGCATAGACTGAAGCTGGTATCATGGGGTCACCGCATTCTAGAGAGGTAGTCTTCAACTCGCGCAAGGAGATAGAGAAAAAAAAAATGGAAGGAAGAAGGGGATCAGGCCGAGGTACCAGATACCAGCAGCGCAATGGACTTTACTCTGGCTGCAAAACGTGGATCAGCTTCCGCATTCCGAGGCTGACTCGGAAATCGTAACCAACGCCAGAGGATCGTGCAAGGTTAGGGGTTGAAAACCGTTGTTGTGGTCTTCCACGTAGTTTACGTGGGCCTTGTTCTGCAGGTTATCTCCAGGGTAAGAAATAGCCGTGCGGCGTATCAATGGCTAGTTATCACTCAGGTGAGACCCGCCTATTTTCCCTACCGTTAGTGCGGCGTATTTTCTTTCATGTCGCCCCGGGTACAGTTGCAAAGGGGCTGATAGTTTTAGTGTAAGGGCCGGTCAGCGCAAAGTCACAAGCTATAGAAATGAGGCTATAGAGCGATCCCTGGAACGAATCCAACTGCGATGGGATCCTGTTCGCTCCGTGGGTCGGAAATAAATGGCATGGATGCATTATCACCAACATAAGTAACACGTCATGTGACTCGAGATGCAGCTGGATCTTCCTGGGCGGACCAGTAGGATAATTAGTTGTGAAGGTGCACCTAGACGAACAAGTAGAAGCTGGTCTGTATGCGTCATCTATACTGCAACGAATATGGTTTGTAGTTTGTTGGCGTGAACGCACCGCCACTGCTCGCTCGATGTCAATATGCAGGGTGACAGGTGCAGAAGTAACACCGCGGAGCCTTGGAATGCGGCAAGATAAGAAACAAGGGAAGCAGAAGGCCCAACATGTACGGAGTACGGATCTCCATGAGAAGACCAGTGCCTATTTGCGATGGATGAACAAATCGGTCCCGATGGCCGGAGTTGTCCGCTGTTTTGATTATGTATTCAAGTGTGGTGTACGCCTATCCATCCCCGGGGAGGTCACGCAGGTTTTCCCATGTCCACGCCGCCGCGGTGTTTCGTGGAAGACTCTCCCCGGTCCGACGCTCGTTCTCTTTCAACTCCCAGCGAGATAGGCTAGGCAAATGAGCGGGCAAAGGGGTCCCTTCGTTACCCCAACCCCACGCTAACAACTTGAAAAAAGATCACCGCGTTAGTCTGTGCATATTCTAAGCTTCATCCCAGGGTATGACCCCTTCTGCATGCAGATGTGGTAATGTGACTGACTAGCAAGGAAAGTGTTGGTGTGTCCACGTATTGTGCCACATGTCTCATCATCGGGATGGTTGTATAGCGGGTTAAGCCCATGCATTAAACAACACACAGCTCTGGAGTGGATCTAGACAAAAACAAATCTAGAGCTTCCACTTTGGGCGTTGTATGGCTCTGTCATCGCTCAAATCTAGATACACAGAGACTGATACATTCCTTATCCTTCCGGAATATGTATATGTGGCATCCAACCGGATACTCCGTAGTAGTTGTGACATAAGGCTGATCGGGCAGCCATCAGCAGCCATCATTACTTCATAGCCCTGTCATGCAGGGAACAAGGAGCTTACCAGGCCAGCTGCACATGGCCTGTAAGTCCGAGCAACGAGGGTTCCAGGTATGGAGATTGGATTCACGCATGGGTGGTCCAATGGAAAGGTTCAACCAGGATCAGCTCTTAGATGGCAGGAAGCCCAAGAGTAGCATATCAGCCAGGTAGGGTGAGATGGACTCATAAACCCCTGGGCGCGGTCGTGGTTGTGCCGTTGAAAGTATCGTAATCTACGTGATGTACTCCGTACACTTTACTTCCGTGCTGTCGTCGATACCTCGATCGATCGTGGCAAGGGGGCTATGCATGGGGCTGGCCATTATTTGCACAGCAATACCAAACATTCTCGGGCTTTGGTTGTTGGAACCGTAGAGAACGAAGGATTTGGAAGGGTCCAGGTGGCTTTTGAAAGGGTATATCCTTGGGAGGAACAGATAACCACTGCCGTGCAAGGCGTCAACTAGTATGCTGGTCTGGGCCAGCTGCGATAACTAGTTCGTTAACTATCTTAACGCGATATATGCCTGGGGTAGTTGGCAGGTCATCCTGGCCGTGACATCTCCGCTCCCTCTTGATTCGCAACCCTCAGTTCTTCTCTCCCTGTTGTCCGCTTCTTAGTCTCCTTCGTCTTCGTCTTGTGTTTCTCGTGGAAGGGAGCCTTCCAAGGTCAGAGCCTTGGAAAAATTCATATCACGTGATGCGATTAAAACCTTCTGGTGACGTCTCAGCTTTTTGATATCAACAAGCAAACCCAAGAACGCCGAAGAAATGCTGTTGATCAGCTATCAGGGTTGAATTCCACATGTAATGTCCATAGATATCAACTGGGAGGCCGCCACCTCTGGTCCCGATGGCGAAGAACTCGCTGAACGAATCCGGTGTTTCATCCACGACAAATTTCAGCAGATAGCGCTTCCGCGATTCATCCGCTCAGTGGAAGTGAACTCATTTGATTTCGGGACAGTTTCGCCGGAGCTGCAGGTCAGGGATATATGTGATCCATTTAACGATTTTTACGAAGAAGATGAGGACGGTGGGGAGTTGTCGGACAGCTCCGATGGTGACGAACCTGTTCCATCGAGTCTGAGTTTAAGCCAGTCGACGCTGAAGGGCGATGCGGGCAGTCCTAGCAGCAGCAATGAGGGTGGCAGTGGGATTTCAAATGGCCGTTTGGGGTATTTCCAGAGACTGCACGGATCCAGGGAATATTCCGGAGAGTTTCCACAGCCATTGATGTCGCCTATCAATTTGGGGGAGTCGTTTAATCCGTATCTCTTCCCTCGAGCGGGAACTCCTGGTATACCTGGAGGGACGTCTCATATCGGGTATTATAATATGCCACGTGGAGGACTTTCTGGAACCCAGACACCCCTGGCGTCTGTTGCATCTGTGGCAAGGGGCGGTCCGTTATCGCTGGCGGAGGGCTGGCCACCTCCTGCTCGGCAAAGGGAGCGTGCTCGTAGCTCGGATACGGATGTGGACTCGCCTCAGTCTCGATCACGGCCGTCTACGTCGAGTACGCGGCAACTTACACCCATTGAAGGTGGTACGCCTCGGGACCCAGCAGAGATACCAGAATCAGAGTCAATTATCACGGGTCATCTGGATAGTGCGCTTCCTACACGGCGCATAAGAGAGCGGAAGCCAGACGATTTCCAGGTTCTTTGTCGGCTGCAGTATTCTGGCAACATGAGGCTATCGATAACTGCTCAGATATTGCTGGACTACCCTATGCCTAGCTTCGTAGGTTTGCCGCTGAAGCTTAACATTACTGGATTTACGTTCGACGGGGTCGCTGTTGTAGCGTACATCCGGAGGAGGATACATGTTTGCTTTCTTTCGCCCGAGGATGCAGATACCTTGCTCGGGGCAGACGATAAGATGTCTGCTGCTGAGGACTATCACGACCACCATGGCCACCATAGCCACCACTCTGGGAATGCAAATACAGCTGGCTCACGGCGTTCTAATGAAAGTCTACTACGTGAGATACGGGTGGAAAAGTGAAATTGGGCGCAAAGAGAGCGGGAAGCAGGTGTTGAAGAACGTCGGCAAAGTAGAGAAGTTTGTTCTTGAGCAGGTTCGTCGGATCTTTGAAGAGGAGTTTGTGTATCCTAGTTTCTGGACATTCCTTGTTTAGGAGCATACTTGACGGAAGAAACTATGTAACATGCTGGCGTAGATAAACGAGATATGATAAAAGTGATAACTCTGGCCCTAAGGCCATTTTAAGTGTGGTTGTGTAGAGCAATTCAAGCTTTCGGGTATTTTTGTAGCAAGAGATTCGCTGCAAATGCGGGCATCATCAGAGGTAGTGGTGGGGGTGGTGGCAGGTCGAAGGTCGAGGGGAATACTCCGTAGAATAGCCTCTTCATCGGTCCTTCTTGGGGGTGTTGTCCTTGTTCTGAGCAGAGACCTCGTCTCCGAGCTTGTTGTACTCTCTGGACAAGCCCTCGCTCTGCTTCTTCAAAGCCTCGATATCGTTCTCACGAGCCTTGAGCTCCTTCTTGAGTCTTCCTATCTCTCCAATGTCACCAGCAGCAGCCAACTTGGCGGAGTCCTTGCCACCGGCCCTCTTGTCGCCCTCGTACATCTTAACCTTGTCCTCGAGGCGGAGGATGTCAAGGATCATGGTATACGTGCGGTTCAGGATGAGGGAGAGGAAGAGAGTGAAGCCGCAGAGGTACATGTTGCGTTGAGAGTAGAACTTGCGGGCCTGGACTTCCATTCGCTCAGTTCCAATGGCATGTCTATGGCTTGGCAAACGATGCGAATGAGCGTGATAATTAGTTGTGGTGTTCTTGACAGCTATCATATAAAGGTTGTGTATGGCGGGGTTACTGTAACATACCCGGAGTTGGCAGCGTCGAAACCAGTCAGTTCGATCTGGACACGATAAACACGGTTGACACTATCGATAAACAAGATAAGGATGAAGATAAACGTTATCTATGGCGCTGGTTAGATTTTGAATAATTGCTTGCTCCAGCGTGGAGACGTACCTTCATGCCATACTGTAGCTTGGCGACGATGGGACTCTCTGATATGAAGGTGAAGAGTTTCCGCTTTACGGTAAAGGGCAGAGGGACTATCAGGCCGACGAAGATGGCCATCTCCGTCACCAGGAGGACAAACACCTATGCAATTGTTAGCAGAGTCGGTCATCCTGCAGCGGCGAGCGCACGTACGAGGGTGAAGTAGAGTGTCATGATTGCGTCTGCCTGGCCTGGCGATGGCGGGCAGCGGGTAAAATGCAGTCGAGGAGTCGGCTTGAAAAGGCGGAAATATCAAATGAAGCTGTAGATTGAGGTCTGCTGAATCTCTGTCTCTTTTCTGTCCTCTTTCTGTCTCTCTTTCTCCTTGGTCTTCGGTTTTCCTCGTCTTCGTCGTTTTTATATCTTCGTCTTCAATTCAAAAGTTGGCAAATTCCAAAAAAGAAACAAAAACAAACGAACGTCATATCATGTGACATAACGTCATGTGATCGAGGGAAGAACAAAAATCCGAAGCCCTAAAATGTTCCAGAAAGGGACGCAAGCCCTAACTCTTGGTCCAGAAAGGGCGAAGTCGACGACCGCCGATGAATTTTACCAGAAGACGCAGCAAAAAAGAAGATGAAGAAGAAGACGAAGAAGGCGAAGAAGACGACAAAGGAGAAGAAGAAGACAAGAAGTAGAACGCCCAGAAGGGAGAGCAGAGACGGATGCAGCGGGGAGATGGATGGCGTTGCCGTGGTGCCCGTCGCCACTACGGAGTATACTTACTCATTGGTTCAGGGGATGACGTACCAAGGATGGCCGCTGCATGCATCATTGCATATATAGGTAGGGGAGCGTACTTATAAACGAACGACTTCCCGAGGCATTTTTACATGGGAATACTCGAGGTTGATAGGTTCAAAACGAAGGGAGTTCCGGGCCTGGCGAAAGATGAGGGATAGGGTATGACAAAGATGGAGTCTTGGACGGTTTGGGGTGCCGGATCCATGGAACCAGATCTGAGGTTGCTCGCCGGTCTCCGTCCAAGGCAAATGCGATCGGTACGAAGGGCGTTTGGCCTTCTTATGGTCAAGCCCAGGCGAGCGTCGAGCTCGCGGCATCGTGGCATCGTACTCATGTCGCATGGCAACCTAGAGAGACAGGGGTTGGAAAGGAGGTTCGGAAGAAGATGAAACGGCCGTTTGACATAGAATCGCATGGCATATACATAGTTAGCTTGTTCCTGGCCGTGGATAGCCTGCTCAGCTCCTTATGTAGGTATACGGAGTAGTTAATTAGACACTCGTCATTGTCAAAGGTCGAGTCAAAGATGCGGCATCGACTTGCTTCTGCATGCCTGTAACTAGCTGTGAACGGATGGATGGGCGTATGTCTGCCTGTAACTATGCCTGTATGTATGTAGGCAGCCTGCAGTGTGCTCTTCCTCCCCGGCCAGGGCGGAACCGTGGATGTTGATTGTGTCGATGACTGACAAACGGGAGCCTGCATCGGCCAGTCAGGCCAGTCAGGCCAGCCAGCCTGCAGGTATGTAGCTATCCTCGTCGTCCTCTTCGCCATCCCGTCCTCCCCCCGTCTCGTCTCGTCTCGTTTCCTGTTTGTTGCCTGCCTCTTGTTGATAGTGCTCGAGCGATCTGGCGGACTATCAGATTCATATATGCAGGCCGGGATATGATATATCAACAGCGTCCGCTCGCCCTGCTCAGTCTCCATCTCCATCTCGTCTTGCCCTCCTTCTATTCGCCCTTCATCGCTAGTTTGGAGTTAGTTTCGTGTTAAATAAGTAATAAGAAGCCGGCGGATAAACCATTTCTGGGCTCCACCGAGAGACTTACTTCAACGTCCGTCTTGTTCTTCCTCCTCGTCGTCTCTTGTCTCTCGCTCTCGCTCTCGCTTTCTGTCTGCTCAGAAAAAGACACCCGTCCTCGTCTGCTCCGTCTGCTCCGTCTGTTTCGTCTCGACCACTGCTTCGTGTCTCTGCTCTGTCACGGCGCTGTCGGCTGTCACCCTCGCTGTCTCTGCTGTGGCCGCATCGTCGCCCGTTGGTGACTCCAGGAGCCGCCCTCGACTTTGACATCAACACCAACAACGCCCGCCGCTGCAACGTCAAAACCGCCCATCACCACCAGCAACGACAGCAACGACAACAACAACATCAACAGCAACAACCATCTACTGCTACACCATCTTCCTCTACTTCTACGGCTGCCAGCGTGAGCGTTCTTGATGCTCGACTCGTCCGAGACTCCGCCTCCTCTTCACTTCTCACCGCCGTCCAGCGAGCAAGATCGCACCTCGACCCGCGAGTCCACCCCGATAGGCACTCCCCTGGGCTTCGTCTCCAGCAACCCTCGCCGGCCTGAGCTGCTGCATAACCACCATCTGGGGAACCGCAAGGCGTCTGCTTCGTCTCCCTTCTCTCCTTCGGCTGCTCACATCCCCGTGTTCGACGACGAGGACGAGGACGACTCCATATTCCCGCTGTTCCCGTCTTCGCCGCCAGACCAGCATCACCATCACCGCAACAGCAGCAGCACCAGCGGCCACCAGCAGCAGCAGCAGCATCAATATCAGCATCAAAACCGCAGCCAGCACGGCCAGCGTTGCCATCATCGCTACAACAGCAGCCAGCATAGCGTCACCATGGATGGCCGCGCCATGCCCATCGACCTGTCCTCGAGACAGACGTCCAAGTCGCCACCAGGACAGCAGGCCTCCAATCTTACCTCGGCCCTCCAGAAGGCTGCTACCGGCGCTGCTGACATGTCCTCGAACTGGAACGGAGTCGCCTCCAATAACTTCATGTCCAACGCGGCGCGCAAGGAGTCCTTCAGCGCAACAATGGCCCAGTACTCCAACGGGAGCAAGCCTATCACCATGGTGGGCTCAAACCGAGACAAGCCCCGGCGTGAGAGTCTTGCTGGTAGTCTTGTCGGCGGCATGAGCTGGGGAGGTGTCTCCGTAGGCAGCTGGATCAGAGACGAGTGCGTATCTCCCTCCCTTATATATACACTTATTTGTACCTTTTTCGTCTCCTCTATATATTACCGTGTTTTATTGGTTACTAACCCTGTTGCTATAGTATAATTATGACGGGAACATCTCCGTTCACACTACAGTCGCCGTCGTATCACTCTTCATCGTATTTGCCGAAGCTGGAAGCTAACTTCATGCGCGACTTCTCATGCTGTGGCATCACTCTGCCGTCACTACACGATCTACTTCAGCATTATGAAGAAGCTCACGCCCAAAGATCCCCACAACCGCCACAACGGTCTGCGCAGTCAAATCAGACCACTTCATCAGATAACAGGGCTGGCATAGGCTCCTCTCCACACCCGTCACAGCAGCACCAGCAGCAACCGAGTATGGCCACCGCTCCAGGCCGAGCTGCTTCTTCTCAGCCAGGAACTCCTCGACCGCACCATAGACTACCGCAGCAACCACAGCAGCCCATGATGCAGACTACCACCGGGTTTGGCCAACCACAATCTAACGATATACCAGATATCGACAGCGTAGACGATATGGACATGGAGATGGATGACCCGCTCAGTGATAGTGGCTTCCAGCAGCAAACTCACCAGCAGTCCCTCACCCAGGCCCGCTTTGCTCAGGAAAATGGCGGAAGCCGGGTAACACCACTAAATATGGGCATGTTACAAGGCCAGCAGCGGTTCCGAAGCTCAGCACCCGGCACCCCAGTTTCATCCGCGAGACCTCTCCACAACAACCCAACCGTCTCATCTGTTAACACTCCCACTCTCATGCCGCTTCCTGTTCAGCAACAACAGCAGCAACAGCAGCACCAACAGCAACAACAACAACAGCAAGTGCCAAACCCCCAATATATAAGTACACCAGAACCGTCTGCTCCTGGAACGCCTGCCGAGCTTGATGATTCTATAGTCGGCGGATTCGGTGACATGAACATGCAAGGTACCGCTACCCCTGTAGGCACAGGTCCGGGTCAGCAACAGTTTGGCACTTTTGGAAGCAATGGGATGCTTGACTTGTGTATCGATGAGCCTGCCAAGAGGCTATTTAGGCCAAACACCGGTTTTGGTAACGGAAAGCCTGTACAACAGCAAGCTCCTCCTTTCAGACTGGGTAACTCGCACTACGGGGCAAATAGTGAGATTGCTCAACATATCAGGGAACAACAGAAGCTCGCTGGCGTTCCAGACGTCACCCTTGCGATGAAGCCTGATGATGAACCAAAGCCATTCAGATGTCCAGTAATAGGATGCGAAAAGGCATATAAGAACCAGAACGGCCTCAAATACCACAAAGCAGTAAGTTGTGTTCTGTTTTTTTACCACTATTCTTTCTGTATGTTAGCTAACGTTCCACCACCAGCACGGCCATAACAACCAACAACTCCATGACAATGCAGACGGTACATTCTCCATTGTCGACCCAGAAACATGTGCCCCTTACCCCGGCACGCTAGGCATGGAGAAAGAAAAGCCTTACCGCTGCGAAGTCTGCGGAAAGCGATACAAGAACCTCAACGGCCTAAAATACCACCGCGCACACTCTCCGCCATGTAACCCAGAATTCTCCTTCGCTGCAGCAGGCCGCGCCTTCAACACAGCTGGCGGCGTCATGCATGGAGATAACATCAATATCGCCGGAGCCGGACTAACGGGTATCGGAGAGTTAGAGTAAGAATCATTCTAATTCTCGTCGTTAAAAGGATTGTGGTACCATACATACCATCTTTATACCCGGTCAGAATGACCAATGGCCAAACATCAAAAAAACAGCATTTCAACGATTAAATTCGTATATCAAGGGTGAGACTTGGAGTGAAATTGAGAACAGGAGAATCCGGAGTCCAAAAATTAAAAAAAATACACGGGAAGGGAAATCATTTATTATTTTTGAAATTGGCCTCGGGAAAAGCCTTGTTGAGTTTTTCTGTTTGCTTCTTTTGATATCGTTTTATCTTTTGCTCTATTCCTCATTTTTGTGCTGAGTTCTTGGTTTTCTTTTCTTTTTCCTATCCTTTTTCTTTGGATCTCTCCCCTTTTTGTTGTCTCCTTGTCTGATTGATTGATTGATTCTATTTATTTTGCGGCCACTTGGATATCCACCCCCTTTCCCCATGTCTGATTTACCTTACTATCCGTCTACGCTGGCCCTTGGTATTGATCTATCCGTTCAATATCAACAACCTCCCCTTTCATTTGCTGTACATAACACTCTCTGTGATGCCCCCTTTCCATCTCTTTTATGTGCCTGGAATGATTCAAACGGCCTCAACCCATCCTTCCCCCCTTCTACCTCCCCCTATCCACGCGGCATCAATTTTCTCACTTCTCTTCTTATTCCATTTTCATTCCTGCATATACTTCTTTTTCAATACTGCCCTTGTTAATTCTCGAGCTTTTGAGGCGTGTCATAAACCCCGGAACCTGCTTGGCTCCTGCTATACCCATACATATACCATACACTAAAATACCCATAGCGAAGCCAGCCAGTTTTCCAGCCAGTTCATACAATCCTCTCCGCCCATTTTGACTTCCCATCTGCGTTGCTTTACGTTGCTTGTTTTGCGTTCATCTTCCAATTCTCCTCTCCCCATTTTTTTTTGGCTTTACATCTTTGTTTAATTCAATTGCTGGATTTCGCTGCCTTTTTTTTTTTTTTTTTGGTTTTCTTAACCCATCTCCTTGCTCCCTCTGCTTATTGCAGAGGGTCAAGGTAAAGAGGACATGAAGGAAAGGGCATGGAAAAAAACATCATCATCTATCGGGGTTTCATGAGGGTGGTCATTGCTAATTCCTACTTGCCAATGTGTTTGTGTGTGTATTTGATTTGTCCCTTTAAACTCCAAAATAGATCTCTAGGTGTGCTTCGTTTGCATGCTTTTCATTATATGCCTAGTCCATCCATATGCGCTTCCGTGTGTTTGATTATCTTTCCATCGCATGTTATATTTGATATATTGCTGCGTTGTCCAGCCAATAATTAAGCAAGGTCTTTGTAATACTCCACTCCAATACTAATTATGCTTTACTACTCTGTGACTCTAGCAAACTCGATGTACCGTGGGATCTGGCCGGTGATCTCCATATAGTATCAAAGTAAGAAATCAGTGAAGTAATCAGTCTTGGCTACACAAATTCCTTGTTACTACTTGTTTGACTGTGACGTTTGCATTGAGGAAAATAGAACAGGACAGCACAGGATTGAAAGTAGCGTCATTTGCCTACTAAACTCGAAGGTAGAATGTACATCTCAACGTCATCATTTCATATTTCTTTTTTTTTTATCAATTTAAGGGTACATGGGTATGTGAAAAAAACTAGCTAGCCCTGAATAAGCAATAATCGTGGCCACGGGAATGGTCCCTTTCTAGACACTCTGCTGCGGGTAAGAGATGAAAGCAAGAAGCAATGTATGAATACAGAACAGTGTTAAAAAGGCAGATGTTTTCTCATCACCGCCAGTATGAGTAATGAGGAGGCATTGTAGGTGGCGCTCCATTCTATTCCTTGAGTGTTTGCGTAGGTAGAGACTAGTACCATTCAAATTCTCCCGTTCCTTTGTGGAATACGTATCTGTTCAACTAGATTAGAAAATAATACGACCAAGATGGGGAAGGACTAGACTTACTCTTTACCGTCGGAAGTTAATATGCCGTCTTTCAAGACACACTTCCATTTGCTTTTGACACGCTGGACTTTGTCGTATGTGCAGAGCATGACCTGGCCAACTGCGTCGTCCTCGCCTTGCTCATCATCGAGTAGGTCATCAGGGTCATCAAGATCGGAGTTAATAGCATCTTCGTCCTCATCCTTCTTGACTGAGTAGTCATCCGGTCCATCGACTTGGGGATGTGATGGGGGTCCAGTCGGTGTGCTGGACAATGGTGCCGAAGAAGACCCTTCTGCCTGGCTCGACAAGGTATCTAGGTTGTCAAACTTGACTATTTTGCGCTTCTTTCCATTAGCGTTGGGGTATCGTTCATGCAAGGGAGCCAGGAGACCACCGCCTTCGAGCTGGAGGTTTCTGGACTCGACGAACTCTCTAAGACGGCGGTCATTTTCGGGTCCATTTTTGGCTGCTGCTTCTCTCCGTCGTTGAACTTCGGCTTTCCAATCTGACAGATCATCACCTGCGCCATCGGTCTGGGAGTTCTGGATACCTGATTGAGGCAACCTGGAGGCCTGAGTCTGTTGCTGGCCAGGAGCTTGACCCTGAGCCTGGATCTGGGCTTGAACCTGAGGTGGTCTAAAGTCCTGAGGTTTCGAGGTGCCCATGGGAGGAGGGTTATAACGTGGCTGCCCACCAGGAAGGGATAAAGCGGCCTGAGAGTGTGACTGCAGATGCTGAACCTGGTTCGCTGCAGCATTGCCATACTTTTGGTGCAATGCGCTGGCAGCTCGCTGCTGGGCTAGGATTGTGCCAGCAGGTGGCCCTGGGGGTGGAGGAGAGAAGCCTCCTTCGGATTTAACGAAGGCGTCTCCCGATGAATGGTCATTGGCAGACTGTAGGCCAGCATGCTGCGGCATATGAGCTTGGTGCTGCTGCTGCTGCTGTGGTTGATGAAGTTGGGGCTGGGGGTTCATTCGGGCATCATTTGAAGGGATAGTGGTAGGTGGAGGTATTGGAGACTGTTGCTGTGTAACCTGTGGCTGCGGTACAGGCGGCTGTGGTGCCGGGTCCCAAGGAAAATGTGCAACCCCAAGAGATGACAACTTCGACTGCCAGCCCTATACGCCAGTTAGTATGAATATTATCAATAGTTGTCTTCTTCTTCACTGCTTCTTCTGCTGTTTTGTATCTAGAAAAGGACATCTAGATACACTGACTAAGCTTCTTAGTCATCAAACAAAGCGGCAGGCGGAGGAGGCTAAAAGCGGCGGCAGAAGTGGCCCAAGGAGGCAAAAAGGCGGCAAAAAGGCGCTTTAAAAACAGCCCGGCCGCCCGCCGTCGCCTCCGCAACACCAGGTCGCGCAAAGATAAATGAAGCGGACTTTTCTGCGCCCACGAGGAGTCACCGATAGGGGTTTTCGAGGAGCGAGATGAAGGAGACAGAAGACACCGACCTTTCTTAGTTCCTCAAGCGTATGCTGGTCGACGCCGCTCTCCTCAAAGTCGATCTGTGAAGAGTCGCATACTTCCTGAATCACCCGGTCAAAGACCATGCCCTAGATGGACCGAACAGAGTGAGCAACAGTTCACACACGCGACCCAGCCGTTTCACGCCGACTGAATGGCCGGCCTGTCGACTGACAGTCAGACACAGTTACTCACCACAAGCTGATTCGACATCTTGCCAGAAACGTTTGGTAGAAAGCCGGCAGACAGGAGGCAGCAAGGATGATAGGAGAAGGTTACTGTCTGGCGCCTAGGGTGTTGGCGCTATCTGCGAGGAGTGTAGTTAAAAAGGTGAGGCGAAGACGAGGCACTCGGCCTTGAGCAAGCGAGACGTGATTGTAGTGATTTGTAGAAGTGAGCGGCCCTTGTTATTCTTCGCTGTTTGTCCTGTTGCAACTAGGCTGTCCGAAGCAGTGATGCAGGCAACGAGCCGCCACGCCGAAAACACCTGCTTCTCAGCGGTAACCGGCGCCTTCCCACTGTTTGTAGCAAGCTGTTTGTATACGAATTGGTGAGAGAGAGGCTCGTAACTGTTTATCTTGTATTTCTAGCCTGCGGTCGGCGATTTGACCTCGATCTCCGGCTCTTGGGCGGTTGTTGGTAAAAGAGAGAAAATCAATTTATAGAAGAAATCTATCAGCACCAAGACTGCTTAGTCATCCCAACCTCCACTCCGTGTTCTTTGCGGTTGAACAGCAGGACACGATGAGCCTGACGAGTGACATTTTGACGGTTCCACCGTGAATGATGGGCTGTAACAGCTATGAGTGATATTTGCTGAGTGAGCAGAGTGCTTGTGTTGCTCGCTAGGTGTACTTGGAGTTGAAGGGGCCCGTGATAGCTACATTGACGCCTTGAAGATACCAGAAAAGGGGCTGCATTGTGCATGAAATGCCATATTAATTAGTTATTGAACTAATTTTTGGGGCAACAGTATATCTAGGAAACCAAGGCGAAGGACTCCTCGCTGTGCTCGTCACTGGTATCATTCCATTCACTGTTATTATTCCAGTCGCTGCCATTATCTTCGTCGTTACCATGATCACTGCCACAATAGACTGCATCCGGCTCACGATAATCGGGAGTCATCAAGATGCTGTTCGCTAGGCAAATGGTGAGGTCCTCTTGGGCTTCCGCCGGAGGTAAATATCCCTTACCCTTCATGTTGAAGGTCGTTTTCAAGTAAAAGGCTTTTGGAAGGTGGAAGCCAGCGGATAAATTGACAAGCCTCTTTAACATGGTGCGTTCTAGATATTCCCCCGGGACATCCCAATAATTTTTCGCTGCTAGTACTTCTCGGATCCAGCTTAGCTTTCCATGCGGCCTAAGCATGAGAAACGTCATTACATATCTGAAGTAGACATATCGCTTGGCTGGACGGTTGTCATTAAGGAATTTAAGTTCTCGCCCATGAAGTGTCTAAGAAGACCTTGTTAGTTGGTGGATTTCTCTAGCTGCATACGGAGAATAACACTGGCTTACATTCCAGACAATACCGGGAGAGACAGGTTCGTCGAGAGAGTCTGTATCTGTCACGAATAGCTTCCACTTGACTTCTTCGTCTGGCGAATGTGCTGGAACAGGGACAATAACGACAAAACCGGTCTCCAGTGCTTTGCTGACATTTTTGTGCAAGAGGAGAGCTAAAGGTGTATATACTGTCAGTATCAGATACCCCCGCGAGATCGTATAATGATTGGAAAGCTCACTGTTTCTTGGCTCGTCTATATTGACATTCCCAACTCCAAAAAGGAATGCAATCGCGTTCGCATCTAGCCCTTCCGGTACTAAGTGGGTGGCTGTGACTTCATCATATAATGTCCAGCCTAATATATGGCAGTGGCCTTGAGTCTCCATAGCGGTGACCCTTTTCCCAGCATAGAAATCATCAACTGATTTCCGGAGCTGGTTAGCCCTATGTTCCGGCTTAGACTCCTTTTCAAGGATGATTGCAGGTTTACCGGCTATCGCATTCTTATAAGCAGCATTGAAGTCTTTGTACTTTGGCAAAACCTCATTCATGTCATTAGAAAGTATACTCCACTGTGGGCTTATGGTTCGTAATTCTGCCGTGAGCAGGGTCGACTCCATGCAAAGTCTGCGAATTTGAGTCTTATATTCGAGGCAGGACAAATATTTTAATCGATATAGAGCAAATACTGCAGATTTGCAAAATTCGATATGGTTGGATTCTGTTATCAGCACATTGATTTTAGATCTTATGAAGCTTTCGGTATCTGATGGGCTAGAATCAGATAACGCGCGCCGGAGCTGGCTCTTTGACTTGAGAAGCTCGGCCCAGTTACTGTTCGGAAGTAGGTGCTCATATTTCGAGGGCAAGTATTCCTTGATTTCGGCCATGGCGCATCGGTTTATAATCTCAAGCGTTGGGAGAGAGGTATTGACGGGGTAGGAGATGATAATAAAGTATTAGGGTGGGTATAAGACTTAGAAAAGGCAGCTTTGATAGATATCAGAACGCGATCGAAGATTATTCAGATGCCTACCTAGGTATATAATCATCCATATGAGTATAAGGACTTAACACCTACCCATCGCGTAATTGTAGTAAGGTTTTGAGAATGTGCTGTGGCGAACCAAAATTGCATACTCGAGCAATTTGCTGGTCAAATTGGTTTCTAAGCTGTTGGCTTTGACAGTTAGGTAACTATACACGAGCGACAAAAAATAGATCCTTAGAAATGAAGGCACCTTTAACCTATCTGTTTTGCATAGTAGATGTCATTATTATGGGTAAATACTATGTCTTCAGGAGTTGTCAAAGATCCATTGCGTTCCCATTTCAATTGAGGATATATTAACTATACTAAACATTTAAGATGAATGCATACACCAACGCCAGTAAAGAAGGCCCAAACGACAATAACAGTTAAAACATGCAATGCTCAAGACGATGCTGCCACACGATATATGCAAGAGACCAAGTTTGAAACGCCGGAAGAGGGTATCGCCCATGAAGCATTGAACCGACGCCATTTGAATATCGTGAGTGCGTAAAGCTGGTTAGTAGTTAGTTAGCGGAACACTATTGTTCGTCTATCGAATGGTCATTTGCTTTGCCATCTTGCTTCCCTTGCTGCTGAGACCGGCCTCTCTGGAGGTGGAGGCGGCAGTGCCAGGCTTACGCTCGAAGATCTTCCAGAACTTCAAGCTCTCGTCTGCAGCGGCGGTGGCCAACATTTGGCCGTCAGGGCTGAGGCAGCTGTGGAGGACACGGGTCTCGTGGGCTGGGATCTCGACGTTACGGACGAGAGATGGGTAGCTCCAGATGCTTAGGGAATTGTCTGGGAAGCCACTGGAGCTGACAAGCTCGCGGTAGTGGTTGCTCCATCGGAGACTGGTGACCTGGGAGCCGGTATCGATGCTGTTTGTACGGGCGCCGGTAGTGGTGTTCCAGAAGTGGATGTGGCGGTCATAGGAGCCACCGCCGGTAGCAAGGAGGTTCAGTTGCCATGGGCACCAGCTGAGAGCCTTGACTGCAGCGCGGTGGTTGGTCTTGGTGAACTTGGGAGCTGACAGAGAGCGAGAGTCCCAGATGGAGACCAGGTTGTCATTTCCACCAGTAGCTAGTTGGGCACCATCTGATCGCCATTCAAGGCCACAGACTTCGGAGGTATGAGAGACGAGTTCAGCGGTCTTGTGCTGGGCAATGCGGACGTCGTGGTTGAACACGAGACCGCTTCGGGCACCAGTAGAAAGAGTGTGCTTGTTCCAGCCCATAACACCAACACGGGTTTCATGGCCAAACATGCTTCGGAGCTTGGTGCCTTCTTCGACATCCCAGATCTGGACTTCGCCGGTTCCAAGTCCGACGCCAACGTACGCTCCGTCACCACTCCATTTGACACTGCTCACGTAGGTGTCGGCAGGGCATTCAAGAAGACTGCTTACACCACCGGACTCTGCTGACCAGACGTATACATTGCGTTCCAAACCAATAGCTACCTGGTTACCAGAGCTCCAGTCAAGCAGGTTGAGGTAGTAATCGTCAACAAGACCAGGAGCATCCAGAACCCGGTCAGGAGCAGTCTGAACTCGTCGTCGGAACTGGGCAGTTTGAGCAGTGGAAGGTTTGAGTGGACGGTTGTATTTAGAGCGAAGGTCAATTGGTTTGGAAGATTCAGGAGCAGCAGGCTTGAACTCGAGAATACGGGTGTTCAAAGAGACACCACAGGCATCGGCAAGAGAAGACTTGTACGCAATAGCATCAGGGTCTGGGCGTGAGTAGCTGCTGCTGCCACTGCTGCTAGTGCTATCATTGTCGTTAATGCCAAGTTCTCCAAAGGCCTCTGCAAGGTCATTGTCACGGCTGTGGCCGTTGATATCAAAGGCGCTGGCAGCATTGGCCAGAACAGTAGATCCCTCACCACTGCTGGTTTTGGGTCTCTGGGTAGCGCCGTCGGACTTTGCACTGCCAGCAGTGACCAGGCCCTCACTGGTGCTTCGGTTGGGAATGAATCTATCTGCAACAGTGTGGGGAAGACGAATAGTAGTCTTGCTTGGCTTGGATGTTCTAGTTCTGGTGGTGGTTGACTCCTTCTTTGATGCACGTTTCTTAGTTGGCGTCTGAGACTGAGCTGGGCCGGTTCCAGTAAGGGTCCAGTCTGACACTGCTGGCTCCAGATGGCGAGGTTCCTGCCTGACCCGGGCAATGTTTGACTTGGGAGAGTCTCGGTAGTTCCCCTTGGATGTCTGTCGAGTTTTGGTCACCGACTTGGCGAAGTGGGAGGCAAGGTTACCATTACCATAAACCGACTGAGAGCTCGATCGCGTGCCATCACTGATCTGGCGAGGTGGAGTGAAGGGAGATGCTTCATCCTTGGAAAGGTTCCCTGAGAAGCTAGTGTTTCTAGCACGGGGTGAAGGAGTGAGGGGAATGCGGCCGCCAGCGGTCTTTGTAGAGAAAAGGCCACGATGGCTCTTTATAGGGGTGCACACAGTAGCAGTAGACATTGTGCGTAGATATGAAAAGCTATACAGCTGGTGAAATTTGAAGGAGGTAAAGGGTCGCTTTTTTGATAGGGCTGATCTATATAGGTCGATGCAAGGGTAGCTCTGCTCGAGTAATGCAAGTACGGATAGCAAAGAGATGCAGAGTAAAGGAGATAAGTCGTCGACAAGACTTTAGGAGTGATACGGAGGGAGAGGGAGGTGTGAATGAGGATGAGGATGAGGAAGAAGAAGAAGAAGAGACGAAGATGAATCTGAGCTCCTGGAGATCTTTTATTTACATTTTGCCGTTTCCAGAGCAACGTTCGCCAAGCCACGCTAACCACTCTCGGACTGGTGCTAACTAAAGTTTTTCCGTGCCGCATCGAGTGGATCCGCCAAGAACCTCAACGTTAAACATAAACCGATTATTGATTAATGACTAATGACTACACGTGACTATCGGTCTTAAGCTCGTTTTTTGCCGCCGCCGCGCTTAAGTAATCGCGCGCTTTTTCTTTTCAAACTTTTTGTTCTTCTTTTCTTATTTCCTGTGATATCATCCTCGTCCCATCCCATCTTCTTCCTTATGCAACTTTGGAAGACACCAACGGGGCTTGAACTTGTTTCCAACGGCCAACACTCGACACCTGCAGTTGTGGCTGGGTTGCGACGGTCAGCCTGTCGATTAATGTTTGCATGACTATTATCTCAAAGTAGCTGCTAAGACAGCCCCATTTCTGCCCAGCATGTCATTCTCCATGACCCCGAATGGGGCTGGATCTCAACAGCCAGCCCACCTCCAGCTGAACAGCAACGCTGGACAGTCTAATAATCCTGCTCCTGGCTTGAATCGTCCATCCAACCCACACACTTCCAGTTTCCACCTCAACGGCACTTCGACACCAACCTACCTCATGCCCACTAGCCCGCCTAAGAGTCGCCGCGGAAGCAGTGACGGTAGCATCCCTAAGCTGGAGACGGCGGTTGGCCACGTCCCAATCTGCCTTGTAAATGCCTCCATAACGTACTGCGGAAATAACGAGATCTATGCCTTCGGAGGGTTCGATCAGGAGACGGATGAGGGTTCGTTTGATCCCATTGGTCTATCTTTGCTTACAAGCACTCCCGGTTCCTAACATCCCTGTCTGTCGATTTCTAGTCTACAACCACGTCTTAAAATTAGATCTCACCACCCGGAGATGGGCTCTCGTCGATAACTTCGGTGATATTCCCGGAGTTCGCATGGGTTAGTACTCTTTTTTCCGGGTTATCTTTGCTCTGCCCCGTTTGGCTAACGCTAGAATTATTATTTTTTTCCTTTGTAGGACATACCGCATCTCTCTACAAGGGGGAAAAACTTGTTGCCTTTGGAGGAGAGAATGAACGCCCGGAACACCTTAACGACGTCATCGTGTTCGATATTAAGACAGCCACCTGGACGTCGCCCGAAATCCGAGGAAAACCTCCAAGAGGAAGAGCTCGACATGCATCCGTCATCTATGAAGATAAACTGTTTGTGATCGGCGGTGTAACAGGAGAATCGAACCTTATACTGGACGATATCTGCTATCTCGATCTCAAAACCTGGACATGGTCGCGCTCATGGAGGTTTGTTGCCCGCTTCGATCATGCTGCATGGGTATGGGGTGGTCGTCTCTGGGTATTTGGTGGATTGGGTGCGGATATGGAGAGATGCACAGATCTGTGGTGGCTGGATCTCAAAGGTACTCCATCACTTGAGAGGGTATCCTCAATAGAGCAAGGTATTTTGGCGCCAAATTTATCCTAGATAATGGAAACAACTACTAACAAGTTTTAGATTCTCCAATCAACACTCAACCATCCACCGGACGGTTGAATACTTTCATGCCAAATGCTGCTAACACTCAAATACGGTCAGTAAACTCTCGACGCAAACCTACTGCTCCAGGGGCCATATCGTCCCTTAAGTTTCACTCGGGACCGTATGTGCCGGCTTTACGGTCTGGAACACACTTCCATGTCTACTCATCGGGTCTCCTTCTTGATTTCGTCACCCCTTCTGAAACGGTCAAGCCCTGGGAATGTAACCTATCCACCATGGAGATGGACTCCCTACGCTGGCAGAAATTAGCAAGCGGCCAGGAAATATTCCCAGTTGAAAACCGCTGGCATTACTGTGCCATCGATGAAGCTGGAAGTAAGGCTTGGCTATTTGGTTCCAGCACTGGAAGCCTGGATGCCGGCGGAGATAACCGACTTGACTCCATACTTACTATCGATCTTGAAAAGTATGGGGTATTGGGAAGGGAAGCCACAGAGCAGAATCGCATCCTTGCCTCTGAACGGCAAAATACCCTGAGTAATCTCGGTGCTGGACTTGCTTCGGTCTTTGACCAGCCGCCAGAGATAGGCTGTGGATCTGATTTCATTATCACTGCAGACATGGACGATGCTGAGTACGGCCCGTCCGAAGAGGATGATGGAAGAACGTCAGAATTTCTACCCGAGGATGCCGCCAGGTCTCCTCCGATACACGTTCATCGCATCATACTGTATGCTCGCTGGCCTCACTTCCAGCGTCTTTATGCAGCAAAAATGGCAGAATACCACACAAACAGAATGCACATTCCGGAACCCTACCGTGTGGTCCGGGCGTTCCTCTACTATCTATACACGGATAGTATCTCTGGGGACTCTGAAGTCAGCCCAAGCATCCTCGAGGTTGCAGGCATGCTAGTTATGGCAAATATGTATGACATGCCAAAGCTCAGACTCCTTTGCGTCAACCGTCTCAGCCGCGAACTTGATGTCGACACTGCAGCTATTATCTGGGAGCGAGCCGGCCGCACCGACGAAGACTGGCTCAAGCGCCGCGCTGCTTCCTTTTGCCTTGCCAACTGGGGCAGAATCGTACGCAGCGAAGGATTCCGACTTCTTAGCAAACAAAGTATGATCGATCTCTGCGAGGTCGTCGACACCGAAGCCCGAATTCTGACTGGCCATGAGGCCGAGCTTCGTGATATTCTTGCTGAACGATACGATGCCTCGAACCCGAAAAGACCGCGAGTGGCCGTTGCTGCAGGAGGACTAGAGGATGATCTTGACATCGATGAGGAAGATGGCATGGAAATCTCCTGAGCCCACCATTCATGATCTTATTTAGACATTTGACGGAGTTTACTTGGGACGGCTACCTCTTTTCTACGCGCTGGTTTGATACCCTCATCGCAGGACTGTGGATATGATATCCTACTTTCCTTTTCATATGCATATACGGCAGTAAAAAATAGATTATTTATTCTACACATATTAACACGTATTCTATCTATCCATTAACATTCTTATATATCGATAGACAGATCTATATACATACAGTAATTTCTGCGACCCCGTCGGTTCTCGGAATATTTAAGGTTTGACCCCCAAAAAGAAAAAAAGCAAAGATTAAATCTCTTTCTCTGATAAAAATCGACCAAAACCAGGTCTGCACCAACAACTGCCCTTCAATTATTTAGGCAGAGCAAACCAACGGCTTAGTCGCTGGCTAGGATCGCCAATCTCATTTAAAGATGACCTCTGATACACAAAATTCGGCGGCCCCTGGTGCGCCGGAGCCAGAAGCTCCGAAAGGACGATCGCTTGAGAGTGCTATTGATGGAGGGCGCGACGATGCTGAAGGACCACCATCTAAGAGAGTGAAATTAGATGATAAATCGCCAGCTGCTCCTGCCTATAAGCCTAAAGATGGTACGGAGCGAAGAAAGGGGCTGGCGCCAATAAAAGCAGAGTACTTCTAACCCCCGCTGCGACCCCGGATATCGAGCGATTAAAGCAATGCTAATCAAATTTATTCGTAGATACATTATAACATTCCCTAAAGACGGGTCCGATGCGCCAGTTAATAATAATCTGGGACGTGACGATGACGCTGCTGAGGCAGCCGGGTACAATGACCGAGACGGCGAGGGCAAGCAGGGCAAGAAACGCCGCGAAAAGCAAAAGGGCAAAAACACAAACCGTCGTTTTCAGAGATCGCATGACGAAAAGGGGCTATGCGGGACTATAACTCATAATCCGGAATTTTCGCCAAAACCATGCCAGTATGGTGACAATTGCAAGTTTGAGCATAACCTACGCAAGTACCTGAAAGAGCACAAAAAGCAGGATCTAACAACATTTGGAGGAATATGTCCTGTCTGGGATGCCTTTGGCGTTTGTTCCGCAGGCTGGAGATGTCGGTTTGTTGGATCTCACATGGCCGAGCGAGAGCATGAGGATGGACGTAAGGAGCTGATTTTAGTGGAAGATGAAGAGAAGAAAAAGAAGGCCCTTTCGGCTTCAGCGGTAACTTCCTCGATCAATGCCACTGAATTGGGAGTTGTGAACCTGGTATCAACAGAGAATAAGCAACTGATGACGCGAAAGAAGTACCTGACACCTAAGGCGGATGCGTTTAATGAGTGGATCACGGTGACCTCCAAGGAGTTGGAAGAGCGATTCCATGGGCGAAACTTCGAAGATGAGGAAGCAGAGGGTAAAGAGACGAATGGTAAGGCGGAAGTAGAGGGTAATGGTGAGAGTGAGGCGAAAGAACGCTCAGAAGAGAACAAGGCTCGGTATACAGAACCGCCTTTCCTACCATCAGAAAAGAGAAGACTTTACTTTGGGCCTGAGACTCCTGTCCTGGCACCATTGACAACTCAGGGAAACCTGCCATTTAGGAGGCTATGTGTTGAGCTGGGTGCCCAGTTTACGTACTCTGAAATGGCCATGAGCTTGCCGTTGATGCAAGGTACTAAAGGAGAATGGGCGTTGATGAAGGCTCATGAGTCTGAGATCTTACCTCCAACGATATCGCCCAAGCAACCCATTGTTAAGGGATACGATCACTCTCGCGATCTCAAATTTGGAGCCCAGATTGCAGGAAACAGGCCATGGCAAGCATTGAAAGCTACAGAGATCCTCACCGCTCTCTGCCCGCATCTCCGTGTCGTTGATCTCAACTGTGGATGCCCTATAGATCTCGTTTACCGTGACGGAGCGGGCTCTGCACTTCTAGAACACCCGTCTAAGCTGGAGAAGATCCTTCGTGGAATGAATGCGGTCTCAGGGGAGGTCCCCATCTCTGCCAAAATCCGCATGGGCACAAAGGATAATTATCCCACCGCTCTCAAGCTGGCCGAGCGCCTTGTTATCGGTGGGTATGAGTCCAATGAGCTTAGACAGGGCCCTGCGGGTATCGGCGCACTCACTCTGCATGGAAGAAGCCGCCAGCAGCGGTACACGCGCGAAGCCGACTGGGAGTATATATCCGAATGCTCAGCATTGGTCAAGAGACTTAATGCAAAGGGAGATGAGGTCTCCGATACCATCCGGGAGCCAGATGAAAGACACCTGCCGCCAGACGGGAAAGTATTCTTTATTGGTAACGGCGACTGCTACTCACATGCAGATTACAACAGTGCCGTTGAAAAGTCCGGCGTTGACAGCGTGATGGTAGCACGAGGAGCGCTGATAAAGCCCTGGATCTTTGAAGAAATTCAAGCCGGGCAATACCTGGACAAATCATCCTCCGAGCGACTAGCTTACATCGAACGCTTCGTCAAGCACGGCCTTGAGGCATGGGGATCTGATGAGCACGGTATTGGGACAACGAGACGATTCTTGCTGGAATGGCTGAGCTTTACCTGCAGGTATGTCCCAGTGGGGATCCTGGAATATCTCCCACCAAAGATCAATGACCGGCCCCCTGCATGGAGAGGCCGCGATGATCTGGAGACACTTCTCTCAAGCGACAACTATCTTGACTGGATCAAAATTTCGTAAGTGACCAAACGCCTTACCGCTATTTTACTGATTGCGTCCCCTGTTTCTTTGAATTGAAGCAGTAACAGTTGCTAATGGACCCTCACCTTATGCAGTGAAATGTTCCTTGGCCCAGCGGACAAAGACTTCAAATTCACTCCCAAACACAAGTCAAACAGTTACGATGTTGCGGAAGGTTAGTGTGGAGATGGACACTGGCTATTCACCTACTTGCAAGCAGCCGAGCTCTGTCACTGCTGGATCCTGGTGGACAGGTATAGAGACGCTTGTTTGAGTAAATACAAAGACCCCGTCACTGTGGTGGCAAACTAACTTGATAGACATTGAATGACAGAAACCACTTACCACTGCATGATTTGACATTCACTGACCGTAGATGCCGTCTATATAAACCTCCCCGAAATCCCCAAGCTCCCAATTTTTTCTCTTTCTTTTATTTCTGACCATAGGCAACTTACTCTCTTACTTTCCCTATTGCGCTTGCAAGTATGTGCCTGTCACCCTCTTGTCGCCAGATACAGGATCCCTATGCTTGTCCTCTGCTGAAATGGGCTCCATACGCTGCGTCTTCCTGACTTACCTAGCAGCAGCCGGTCGAGAGCCCTCAAACCCATATTTCCATACTATATGAGTTGGGGGGCCGGCGTCGAGGCTCTACCCACGATAGCGAAAACCTAAGTACTGGGGTGCTCCATTGGCAGTTCAAGTATATTATAATGAGCTCTATGCTAGCGCTTTAGCTACTCTATAGCCTCCGTCTGCCTAAGTAGACCCGGCCGGTGGACCTATCGAACCGCAGTATCCGATATCTGGTCAATGGAAGTTGGGGTCCCAATGTGAAGAACCCCCCGTGGCAAGCCTAACGCTGATGTTGGAATATTCCATTAGCTACGACTCGCACGCATTACCCGAGGTATCCTTGGGGCATCAGGCCTTTTTGTCCCTTGTGGTCCGACAGCTGATGCGATCCCTGCCGTCTGTCATCACTGCGTGGAGTTGTTCAGCAATGGCAACATTAAGCTGTGTTCTCGTGTCCAGGGCTGCAACAAGTTCCGTCGTAGCTAGGCGGCGCTTCCAGCTCTGACTCCGAACCTGTGCATGATTCTACATTCAGCACCTGACCGTTACCAATGAACAATTCTACCAAACCGAAGACCACCACGATAGAAACCAGCAAAGAATTTCCATCATAGACGACTTTTGGCCTGATTTGATAGAGGCCTACCGACTACTTGGATTATCTTATTTTGGCGGTAGCGTCCGGATTTTTGGCTTGCCTTGGAGCAAGATATACGCATGTGGATGATGGCTGCTGCAAAACCACTGACCTGATAACCCTGGCTGCCCCACCAACCTATATGAATATTTTGGAACGTTACCCGAACGGAAGCTACCGACAGCTTACGAGGAGATTCACGACGACTCTGCCGAAATATTGGCAGACTACCAGATGTCACTGCTGCAAAATATATCACCAAGCGCAAGCGTGCAGTTCACTACCCTCCCTGTCGCACACTCTAATGCAACAGCTATGAAATTATAGTGATAGAGATGGGGTGCAGCTATTATGTGCGCCTCCGATTGGATCGCGCATGGAAGCTAATCTCCTATCCTTACTATGCGAAGTTGCTCAGCCAGGAGACTCGACCGCATTCAGAGACATCGACATCGATATCAACGTTCCTGAACATCTGCGAAATGGTTGCACCGAAGCCCAACCGGCCAATATAACCAGTTCAATGGCTAATGATAACTATTTGATACCAAGGATGCACATCCGCATCGACAAATGGTGGGCCAGGGCTAGACCTCCATCTGGCTCCTTGACACCTCTTTTCTCCAACGGCGCTCATAATCGCTGGAATATCATGGCTCTCCCTGGATATGTACACCGCACCAACGCACATCTACTACTCTCCACCTCAGCTGTGGCAGGCGAAGCAAGCCGCATCATCCAGTCGGACCTGGCCTTCTTCCGCGCAGGGTGCATGAATGCACTAAAAAGCCAACCAATGGCTACGACACTATAGTCCTCCGCAGGATGTTCGGCAGACAATAATAATAATGGCGACTATCACTATGGACTCGGTTGGAAGCTGGTCGGATAAGACGTCGTGTGGACTCATCCATACATACCCGAGTCGAATGAATTTAGCTGCGCATATACCAATCTAGAAATATACCTTGCAGATAAGGACAGCGCGGTTACCAACATCACTGCGGACTATAAAGTCGGCATCGAAATAAAGTTCTGGTTCCCGGGGTGGTGGCTATAGCTTATAGCGTCCGTCTAGGATATCATAATGGACAAAATTAGCTCAACCTTATAGATAAAGAAGTGTTGGGATATTCCACTTTAGCTACGACTTGCACTCATTACCCAAGGTATCCTTGGGACATTAGGCCTTCTTGTCCCTTGTGGTCTAACAAGAAGCCGGTCACCGGGGTTTGCCTTCCGTTATATCGATATAATCGATGCTGTTGAGCGCAGAGGACCAATCAATGCCATCACGGCAGGACTATATTCATATTACCATGAAACCTAGCCCCAAAACCACCCTGAAGACTACCGCTGCGAAATCAATAAGGCACTGGCATTGCACACTTTTACATTATCCATATAGTGAGATAGAATTTCTCCGGGCGCAAGGCAGCAGAAGTTTTTCAAAAGACTTATATCACAAGCCTTTCCTGCATCGGATGAATAATGATCAAACCATCAACCATAAAGGCACAGAAATGCGCATGACCAATTTAAGCGCAATGATACGGAAAAGTATCCAGATTTCCTATCAATCTCTCTTGAAACTAGCATTAATTGCAGATGAGCAAGAGTTTGATGTAGACTTACTGGCTCATGACTGTCGCAACTATACAGATAACTGGACATGGTCACAAAGAGGAGATGGCATCACCGACGAAGGCACCGCTACAGCTCAATTACTTGACATCCAGAGTGAAGATAATGCTACAGCGCGCAGTGGCCAGGTGCAGAGTTACTGCGTTAACTTAATATATATACCTCTGATTGCGAGACTCGACCAGATTAATGGCTGCGAGGGATACTTTGCAATCCCAGCAAAGCATGACATGCGCAAGAGACGAATGTGTCCGTCCGTTTCCTCCGGCGGCTACCTTGAGCTACAGCTATCTTACCCAAACCTGGCTGGAAAGGGTATCATCCAACATCTGCCAAATCTCAATAGGCTAATTATCTTGTGGTCTACTCCTAATGGCCCTTGGGGGATGCAGCTAACCTGCTCTGGAGGCCGAGCTATCTGACGAGACATGAAGAAGTGATATCCCCGGAAAATGGAACGAACCACCAGGGAAAGGAAAAAAAGTTTATCCCCTTCAATTTGACGGTGGATCAGGGAGCTGTACGTCAGCTCAAACTATACCCAGCGCTGCCACGGGCGCCGGAGACGGCGGAAATATCCGACTGTGCTGGGTCGGTCGATTTTTGCTCAGGCGCTGCTCGGTGGCTTGTCCAGATACATCCATTCTGTTCGCCCGACCTTGAGGACCTCTTAACCGTCAGCTACTATATTCCCCAGTAGGATTGTATCCTGGAACTTCATGGGAGCACCGCGGATCAAATATACCACTATGAAGAAACCAGGAGCCGCGTACGGCCATCTACTACAAGTTCGTCATCTAGAAAAAAGAATACATTCCCGAACTTAACTGCGGCAAAAGGCTCACACCGGCAACAGTGAGAGATCTTGGTGTGTGGGCTGGCCCAAAAATTCGTCGAATCTGCAGATATGCTGCTCGATCGATTTTCCGATGCTGTCGCCGCAGCATTGGGTTGTCTTTAAAAGCTTTCACAGGACTTACAACCCAGATCTTCAACCGTCACGCAAGGCTGGAATGTGATGTCTACAAAGTCTATACGTGAGCATCTTATAGCTTCCTGTCCCGACACTTGAAAATGTATATGCCCATATCGCAGCGGAAGGCAAGTTGTATCTTGATGTCCAAAAGGGAGTATGCGCAAACTCCCACCGAGCCCCATGGGGACAAATTATGATATCCTGGGACGACTGTTGGCTATATACGATCTCCTTATATCGATGGTTGATGGTTGATCCGGGTTCGCCTTTGTGGTTGAATGGCATATATTTGTAAGCCCTATTTCGTTAAGCAGGAAGACAGGACCATAACGATAATATACGATCTTAACCCCAAAAAAGGGTTAAACCCGCCGTGCTTGGAGTGTCGATCCGACACTTCACAAGAGGCCGCATCATGCGGGCCACCTGCGCCGCCTAGTTGTCTCCTGGCTAAATGGATATCGATCTATATATCCTGGCGATGCCTCAGGTGCCATACACTGCTTCCATAATACCAGATGTCGGCTACATGGCCATCGTGAACCCCTGGCTTTGTTAGTCTCGTCTAGATATCTCAACCAAACATCATCTAAGCCACGTTCATGTGGCCGGGTTGGTCTCATCGGCCGCCCGGCGCGCTCGTCAGGCCGCTACTGAGCGCTGTGAGGAGAGAGAGTAGCTGCGGTTGCAGCTGCTCGGGGGCCTCCCGCGCTCCGGCCCTTCGAATCGAGGTCGTTCCGCCTCCTGCGAATTGCTCTGCTCCTAACTGCGCCTCCTGCTACTCCCAGAAGAAGACCAGCACGATGGCTACAGACCCACAACTCGCATGCTCCGACGGTGCTGACGCTCCTTTTACGGCGGATGAAGCAGGAATGCCGTCTAAGTATATACACTGCGGCGGACGACCTAATACAGGTTCAGCAGAGATGCTAATTAGGGTGAAACGGCTTATCCAATCGAGTATGTGCATTGGAGATCTCATCACCCCAGTCTCATTTAAAGAGAGCTGATGCTCAGCTGCTATTCGCAGGCTGAAAAGCGATGGTAAGCAGTTCCTAGTTGACATCGACAGTCCAGCCCAGCAGACCTTCAGGCTCTTATAGTAATGGACAAGAGATATATCAGGGTAGTAAAATGCCTTATCTCAGTATGGATTCAAGGAGCATGCACATTCCTGCCAGAGCCAAAAATCATCGAGACAGGCCACGTTGAAATCATTTTTGACCAAGGTAGGCGCTGCGCCAGACAGACTACAGATGAGCGACACCGGCATGGAAAAATTGCGAGCTCAGATTGGCCATGGCGACCTATACTAACGAGGTGCCATCCGGAAAATGCAGTCTTGGAACCTGTGATCCGCAACATTCAAGATAAGATCATGGTGTTGGTTATCTACTTACTTCGTATTATCCCGCCTATTTATTTGGAATCATTCACAGCGATACCCGGTACACGAACTGGATGAATGAACGTCTACACGCCATTCTTAATCAGAGCGATGTCATCATCCCCGAACGCCGGCAGGATTCACACGTTCCCGCTTCCCCCGTAAAAGATTAAGGATATTACTCTTCATTTGTTCATGATGTCAATTTCTGAGCAAAACCTGAATCCCGTCACCAGTAGGAGCAAAGCCTTAGCCTCCTTCGTGTCCCAACATGGACCTTCCCGGATCACGACTCTGCGTGAATATATCACTTCAGGCACGCCAGAAGTACTTCGCCGCCGTCAGTAACATTGTAACCGCTGTTAACGACCAGCCGGCATCGTCGCCGACTTCCCCCAGGTCATCTAGACGACACGTTGGCGGATGGTGACAGTCCCAGTCTAGTTTCTAGACTCAGTGCACAAAACGATGAGATAATTTCATCATCTGGCGGGCCGTGTCCTGTCTCTAACTAACTAACTAACTGGCCGGTTGTTGTTTGCCTCACTGGACAGCGACTACCAAAGGGGTCAAACTGCTGTATACCCCAATCGGCCAAATTGCAAAAACTGCGAATGGAGACTTCTTTACGTTCTACAATAGTGCGTACGTGCTCTAACGTACCATCAGGTGCATACTATCCATGGGCATAGATATCAAAGGAGAATGCTTGCACCAATTGCAAGGCGTGTTCATAGTAAGTCCACCCTTTTTTGTAAACATTTTAAAAGGCTGAAGCTGAATCTAACATGTTACGCCAGAGCCAGGATTTGAGTCAACTTTTCCAGCTTCCTTTGACATCGCGGCCGGACTAAGGTTATCGAATTCAAAAAACGGCTTTTGATTTAATCATGGCATTATAGGTTTTAAGAAACTGTCCTCACACTATAAAAATCTTTGTTAAATCTAGCTGTCGCCTAGTCCTTAACTTGATACTACTTATGGATAAAATGGAGGATTTCACCAACAAGAACGATACGGCGGTAGCTTCGACCCATCAGTTCTATCAGTTATACAGGGACACTTGGCCCGTTGCTCGAAGGCAGACTACAAAAAGTGCTTCGTGAGAACAACAGTGTTGTTTTGTTTGAATACAACCTCACCCTCCGCGCTTGGCATCCGCGCTTGGCAGGTAGAAGGTATATCAACTCCCGTACTAGTAATATATCTCGGATACCCCGGGGCAAACGGCGCAAAGACGATAAATATGGGGGTGCGGCATAATCCTCCCTTTGCCGGGCGATCATGCATGCATATCTGATTCCGTTGGTGTTGGCTCTTCTCGGAGAGTCTTATCCTCCTCGACTGCAGACAAAAGGGAATCAAGCGAAGAGAGAGGAGCGGGCGAGCGTTGTTTGAAACCCTTTTTGGAATAAAGAATCAACACGCACCGCTTTCCACTCTTACGCTTAGCCGCCATTAATCCCGTACATCATCGCTCTCCAACTGCTGATAGCAGCAGTGTGATGGGACTACCAAGGGATGCAAGCGTTGAACTGGACGCTCTAAAGCGTGCGCCATGCCCCCAGCTTCGCGAACGGAGCCCGACCATCACCCAAGCTGTGTTACCTTGTGAAGCTGTTGGCTGCCAAAAAGGGGGATAAATGCCTTATCATAATGAAGAGTCCAATGACGTTATGGGCTACGCTTGTGCCGCTTGATTTACTTGAGTACAAAGTGCTTAACTACAATTCATGCAGGAATGGACGTTGACGAACGAGAGCTGGCTGCCAGCAATTTCAATGACCCGACGTTTGACTGCGACGTACTTCTCACTGCCTATGCTTATGGTCCAGCCCTTACCTTCGTTTCATACCAAGTGATAAGGTCCGCTCAACCTAAATCAGATAGACGGGCGTGCTATTAGCGCACGGCTAACTTAGACGAATACATTCCTGAATCCGAATCCGAATCTGAAGATTCCGAAGATGAATATTATTCATCTGAGATAGAGGGTGATGATACCGCAGAGTCTCGATCCAAGCGGAAGATCATTAGGAGGCAGCGCCAGATCTGCCAGCTGTTGGTGGATACTGAAGGCAAAGCACCTAGTCGACCCTCCCTGAGTGAAAGCGCACGTGAGGTTTTAGTTTAGGAAATACAACTGTTCTTCAAGGGACAAAATAAAGAGCTGCGTGAGCCTAAAGACGTGGCGCAAATATTGATAACGGAGTATAACTTAACCTTGAAGACAATACAGATTTTACGGGGGAAGTTATCGGTGATACCGTTAATCGATACAGAGCAGCATGTCAGGAGCTAAGTGTGAACCACTAGTTATGGATCCTAAGTTCCGAGAGGCTCTTACCCTACAGTCGTGGCAAGTCCTCGGAATCGTGCGGATGCTTAAACAGGAAAGTTCAGACTTACGATCAGGCATCTTAAATGATGACTGCGGACTCGGCAAGACCGTCCAGTCACTCGCTTTAAATAGTGAAGGGGCCAAGAGAATGAGCGTTGGTTCATGCACCCCTACACTTGTGGTAGTGGGCGCGAGGAGATGATTCCTACACAATGTTGGCGAATGCATAATTCCCATTGGCGATACAAGGCCTAGTTGGACAGTTAGGATGTCCGTGAGTTCTTGGGATTCTGCAAATTTAACCGCCGCTTTATCTTTGGGCGGTCGACTTCTATAGTTCTGACGCGCTTGGAGATGACGAATTTATTAACTAGTCTGCGGGCAAATAAACAGGATATCCGCCGGGCGAACACGCCAGGTATAATGTTATCTATAGTGTATAATATGCGGAACTCCAAAAAAGAGAACCTTTAAAAAAATCTAGTGAATTTTTGGCTTGGCTATAGCAAGTTGTTGGTATCGCACCTGCTATGGCCCCTCGAGCCATGTCCACAATCCAGAATAAAATACTCGGGCCAGCCTTGATGAAGTATACGTCAACTTGTTATGGCCAAAGATATTTTGACTGGACCACTGCAGAAAAAATAATCAACTCTAAACTGGATAAAGTAAGTAACTACCTATGCCCACCAAGGATATGAGAAGTGCCGTCCACGACTGACACACCTGAGTATTTATCAGTGTCCTAGGCGTCTCAGACAGTACATCCACCACTGTCACACTTGTCAGCAGCACAAGATCTTGAGACACAAACCCAATGGCCTGTTGCAACCAATACAATCTTCTGAGATACCCTTTGACACCTCCTAATATACAACGGCCGAACCGCGCACCCTTTGACAAACCTCCTCAAAAGCTCCCTTTTTATTTCGCTGGGATGACTTGACCCAAACTGCATTCGACGACCTGAAACAGGCCTTTACAAAGGCCCCATTACTTACTCCGTAGTTACCTTCTATGACCCAGACCGCCAAAACTTCATTTGCTGTGAGCCTGATGACACGCCGGCCTGGAATCTTTACCAATGCTACAAACTGGGGATCTGGAGAATGAATTGATGCCGCTGCCCCTGCAGGCAACAAAGAAATTAACGCGCTCGATGAAGAGGCGGATAGTACACTGGTAAGGACGCCGGCCTGGAATCTTGGTATAGAGCATTGATCAAACTTTACTGGCTCTCCTCCACGAGGCCAGACAGGCTGGCGAGACGGAAAAAAGCAGAGTAAGTTACCTAGTATAATATTAACAAGACTGTACTAATATAATAATAAAAGCGCAAATTTGATGAATTTGCTGATGGCGAGGTTACGCCAGGAACCCTAACTCCTACGCCGAGAGCTGTTGTTGGAGAGATTGTGGGTTCGAATCTCACTCCCTTTACCTCTTTATTACTATAGGCTAGTACCTTGATAGATCTCGTCCTATTTTGATAAAGCATTTCACACCACTTCTATCCAGCAAACACAGGTCTCCGTCCACCAGTGCCGGTTTCTCGGGTTACTGTTACCTCATGTTGTTGGTTGTTTGAAGCTACGGAAAACCCTCATATAACTACGGAAGGCAGGTTCTCAAGCTTGAAAGATGTACAGAGGGCAATCATCATGGGGGAAAGGACGGGGGCATGAGGTACTCGACTCCAAAGAAAGAGAATTGGACTGCTGTGGATCACGCTTCCCTATTGATCTTCAATACTCGAAGAAGATTGTGTCAACAGCTATTTCAACCAGCAATGTCATCAGATGGGATATTGGAAACTAGCAAATGCTATATAAAAAATAGACTGCATCTGAACCTCCCTGGATCGCATTGGTATAGATATGAATTTACTATTTAAGATAAGATTACCGATACCCACTAAGTGTATATGTGCGCGCACCTGTTGTCCTCTATGTAAGACAACTATGCTTGTAACTAAGTATAATACGGGCGCTTACTAGAGAGATGGCAGCAGCCCTCAATCGATCCACCTCTGGCCAGCCTTATCGAAACCAATGACTTTGAGATCAACATTCAGACCCTTCAGCATCATGTCAATAGTGAAAGTCTAGAGGGAAAATCAGTCAGATATAAGCTAACAGCAATCAACAATCAACACAATGCCGGGAAACTCACCTCCTCGTCATTCTCACTCTCTTCTTCATACTCGTCTTCTTCCTTCTCTTGAAAACTAACCACCTCCTCCAGCTCTGCCTTTCTCCTCTCTCTTTCCCTCTCAACATCACTTCCAAGCTCTTCATCTTCATCGTCGTTTTCATCCTGCTTGTCGTCCCATCCACCCCACTCCTGCTGCCTCATCTTCCCCTTTCTGATCTTCTCTCTGTACACCCTCACCCCACCCATACGGTTTACTTTGTCCTTTGCAGTAACAAACAGATCCTCAGCTGCGTCCTGGCTTACGTTTCGCCATCTCCGTATAAGTATCTCGAGCTCGCCTAACCTGCCTCTCTCCAGGATGCTTATTGCTTGGTTGAGGGTATCTAGCTCCTCGCGCTGCCGACAAAGGCGGAACTGTAAGCTGTGTTTTTCTCTTTGGAGAGTGGCAATGCAGGCTTTAAGCGTTGTGGTTGGTGAGGCATGCAGATCACCCTGGTTGATAGAAATATCTTTGTGCTGTGGTGTTGTTGGGGCTCGTCTGGTGGGAGGAAACAGGCCAGACAAGGAGAAGGACGTCGAATTCATGATATCATCCACGGATAAGAATTCATTAGAGGCATCAGTCAGGGAAGACTCTGAAGATACAGTAGATTTTGTGTCGAGTCCTTTGCGGAGGGGCGACTTGAAGGGTTTCTTCAAGGTATACGATGCTTCGCTGAGCTTTCGTTTCTGAGACAAGATCGTTTCCGACTCCATTGTGTCCACTTCAGCGCATAGACTGAAACTCCTTTGTGATTTGCGTAGCTGATGGGTGATGCTATCGCGTACGTTTGGGTATTTTAAGAGTGAAAGGGCAGAGGATGGCAGTCGAGGTCTTGGTTTCCTCTTTGGGCGATTACTAAGATGACTCTATACAAACCCTTCCATATAAGAAAGATATAACCGTAGGAAAAGAAGACCAAAGTAATTGTTCAAATCAATAGTGTAATTCTCCAGGTGATGCATGCTAATAATGACAAGAAGGAAATAAAATAGAGCGGGTATAATTGTAAAAAAAACAAGCAGCACAATAGTCTACTACCGTCCAAGACCTCCAGCAACCCACGCTGCAAAGTTGGGATCATCCGGTTGTGGAAAGAAGCCCCTATCTCCAGCTGCATTGCCAGCGCCATCGGCTCCTTGGTTTTGCTGCTGGTTGTTGGCGTTGTTCGCTTCTTGGGCACGACGCGCCGCCCGCTGCTGGCGGAAGTGCAATAGAAGCACCAGGGTGGCAACAAGACCAATTATGATAAGACTCTCTAGGATACCATCATCAAAGTCAAGGGCATCCTCATCATAGTAATTAAGATCTTGGTCTTGGGCGTGTGCATTGCCAGCATCATCCAGTATCGCGTCAGGGTCCGCTGCTGCTTGTTGGCGAAGGGCTCTCTGGTATGCTTCTTCCTCTTCATTATAGTTGATGAAGTGTGAAATCCACTCTTTGAAAGTCCGTGGGGTATTTATGTCTAGTACTGGTTAGTTATTGATGATTGGGGAACCGGGGATAAAATCATACCTGGCTCTGCATTGATAGTATTAGCTTTCCCTCGTATCACTTTATTCCAAAAGTTCCTGGCACGCAGCCGAAGAAGGCTGAGTGTGACTGGGAAGTACGCCTCTTGGTTCGTTTCCAAGGCAAGATCATAATACCGCTTGGCCATGGGGAAGTCTTGTTCAACGTGAAGGCCGTTCTCATACATCCAGCCAAGGTTCCAGAATGCTTGAGCACTGTGGCCCTCCGCTGCGGAATGGTAGCAGGTCAGCGCTCTAGAAACATCTTTCTTTGTGCCGTAGCCTTCAAAGTAGTAGTCTCCTAGCTTCACCATGGAGTCTACGTTGGCTTGTTTAGCAGAACGGGCCCAGTATATGAACCCCAGGGCTGCATTGCGCAATAAGGATGAACGGCCACCCCTTACCCATGGTAGGATCGGATCAAGGGACAGAACCGATCGTTTCTCGTCGAGAAGATATGCAACATTTGCTTGAGCGCTCTCATACCCTTGTTCTGCTGCCATTGTAGAAATGATAAGGGCTAACTCCTTGTCTCCTATCTCATAAGCATCGTTTGCTTCGCTAAATGCAGAGTGAATGCCTTCTGCTTTTTCGGAGACCATCTTGTAGTATGCTGTGGCGACTCCGCAATGGCGTTGTCCTCCAAGGCCCCGATCAGCAATTCCAGCGAGATAGTAGAGAGCTTCCATGCCTCCGTGCCGAGCAGCTGCTTCAAAGTATATCGATGCCGTGACAACATCCCCTTGGTCCAGGAATAGTGCTCCGAGCTGCGTTTTGGAATAATGATTGTCCTGTTCTGCAGCGGCTTTAAAGTATGAAGCAGCCATCATTACATCCTGCTCGACGCCATAGCCGTGCAAGTACATCAGTCCTAGATAATGCTGGCACATTGAATCGCCGTTTGCCCTTCCTCGTGTAAACCAGACTTTGGCTTTTTGGTAGTTCCGCTCCGTGCCCTCTCCACGCAGGAACATCAGGCCAATATGGGCTGCAGACTGCGCGGCTATTTTGTCAATACCTGGTGGATGGCTGGGGTTGATAGAACCGTCTTTAGTCCAGTATTTTCTTGCAACTACCACGAAATACATCATGGCCTTCTTGTAGCTCCTTTCCAGCTGGCGTGATCCCTCGTAATAAAGCTTACCAAGGCCAAAAGTGGCTTTGGTATCACCCTTCTTGGCCATGAGGTCTAGATACTCCAGGACGTCATCTAGACTCGCGTCTGCACTAGAATGGACATCCCTCATTGCGTTGTAGCCAGCACTGGACACACTAGCTCCCTCGCCATACACGCCACCTTCATCATCAGCCCAGCGGAAGGCCTCTCGTCGCATAGTGATACCACCAGGAGGACCCGATCTATACCATTTAATCGCCTTATCGGCGACCTTCTTGTACCAGTATACTGCCTGATCGCAATCTGGAGTGGCCCCAATTCCTACGTATCTCCGGTACGCCAGCGTCATCTGCGACCGCGTATTGCCTCCTGTGGCAGCAAAGGTATGGAAAAGAAGGGCCTTGCCTTGGTCTCTTTCCAAAACACCGCCGATTCCAGTTGCATACATAAACCCAAGCATGTATTGCGCAGTACTATTTCCAGTCAAGGCCGCCAGCGAGTCGTAATATTGGAACGCCTTTGAAAAGTCCCGTGGATGTGTATAGTTTCCGTAGAAGTTCATTTCTGCAAGGAGAAATGTAGCATCCGAATTATTCTTGCGAGCAGCCCCTTCCAGCAGACGGATTGCCTCCACCAATTTTCCATTTTTCTTGGTAAATCGACTCGACGACAGTTGATCTGATGATGGTGCATTCATAAACAAAAGGTAAAATAACTCGCGGCCGTAATAGCTTGCATGGCCAAATATGCCAGAGGGGCGTTCGTATTTCTTGGTAGGGACCTTGATCTTGCGGAGGATATTCAATGCCGTTTCGACAACTGGTTGGTCTGCAAAAGATATCTCAGCTAAAGCTCTTATATCTATGACTCCTTAACAAAACCTCGGAAGTGTTTCCTAATTACCGGTAGAGTGCTCGCGGGCATGGTTGCCTCTCGCTCTGGCCTCTGGGCTCTCAACATCGAGTGAGCCCGGTAGTGGTATGTCGGTAGGGTTAGATTCCCGGTTTGTGAGGTCCTCTCGTACGTTTCGAGCTCCCGCACTTATGACCTGTAGGCACAGTACTGTGAGCACAGCCAATCGTTAGCATCTCAAGCATGGCTGGAGTGGTGCGAAGTATGAAACTGACCTAACGCGAGGGCGGCCAGACAGTGCCATCTCCAAGACAAGATCATCGTATCTAAAGGAAAGGGTAGGTCAAGGGCTGTCAATCATCGCGATTGTATGCCCGCAATCGCTATTATATATTCACAGGTGTGGTGGCCGTACAAAACAAACAGAGTGCTTGGTAGTTACGGAGTATCCAAGAAGCAATTTGATAGTCTCAAAAGTGGCCAGATAGCGCAAACAACAGAGGCCGATAAAGTGCGATTCACTAGTCAATTGATATGCTTAGTAAGCTTAGTCGTTGCTTATCAATCAGCCGATGCTAAATCACGTGATATTTTCTTGGCATATAAAATTGTGTTTTCTTTTTCGTGACTTCTTCAAACTTCCGATGTATGTCCGTATTATGATTAATTATTATCATAAGCAGGATATTTCTTGACCAGAGCCACTAGGTTACACAAATGATGGGTGCGGAAGAGTGGCAGAAAGTGTCAATAGCAGGAATCGCTGACCCTCTCTGCACATTGCTGAAGATCCTTACATACGAAGCTGTCTTGACCGGGGTTAACTAACTAACGAGCGCCAAAGAATCCTCCGCCACGGACGAATGTTGTACCATCGGCGTTTCTAGATGAATGCAGATGCGCTCTGACTTCATATTCCTCCAATGACCCACCTCTTTGGCAGCTATGGCATGTCCCTGTGCTTCTCATGGGTGGAGTTACGCCCCGTTGGTCGACCGTCTCTAGGCTTCCTCTGCTGTTGCGTGGATCAGACAGGAGTCGCGTCAAAGTAGGTTATTTGCTGCGTTTTGCTGCTTAAGTCCGGGGTTGGAATTCCCCCGCCGCAGGCTACAGGACCCCACGTCACGAAGCCTACGGCGCACCCATAAGGATTATACCTTCACAGCTCTGGCCCTCTCTTCATTGACATAAGAAGGCGCCGTCATCCCCAGCAATCAATTGACCTTTTAATCTTTCATCTGGATACAAAGCCCTTACAAGGAGAAGAAAATAGTTACCAACATGGCTGCCAAACTCGATTTTACCACCTTTCGCAATGTCATCAATGGAAAATTGACCTCTACAGCAGAGACTCGCCATGGCATTAACCCTGCCACCGGTGAGCCTAACGCAGAGGTTCCAGTCTCAACCGCTGAAGATGTAGATGCTGCTGTGGCCGCTGCCCAGGAAGCATTCAAGTCGTGGTCCAAGACCTCGCATGAAGAGAGAGCGAAGGCCGTTGTCGGTTTTGCAGACGCCCTCCAGGCGCACTCGCAACAGTTCTTGGACCTTATTGTTCGTGAACAAGGGAAGCCAGTAAGTATATAGATGTTGTCGGCTAACGGAAGCATGCATTGCATATGGTATATTTCTGGGCTAATTATAAACAAACAGAAACAAGTCGCTGGATTCGAGGTTCAGACAGCTGTGGAAGCGCTTCGTGCCGATGCTCAGCTTGAACTGAAACCCACTGTTCTCAAGGATACCAAAGAAATGAAAGTTATCCAGCGCTTTACACCTTTGGGCGTGGCTGTTGGAATCGTTCCCTGGAACTTCCCTTTAATGATCGGTGCTCTCAAAATAGCACCTGCTGTCATGTCAGGATGCACAGTCATCATCAAACCATCACCCTTCACTCCATACACAAATCTCAAGGCTGTTGAGCTCGCTCAGCAGTTCTTCCCTCCTGGTGTCATTCAAGTTCTTAGTGGTGATGATACACTAGGACCGATGTTGACTGAGCATCCTGGCCCAGCAAAGATCAGCTTCACAGGGTCGACCGTCACCGGAAAGAAGGTGATGGCAAGCGCTAGCAAGACCTTGAAGAGAGTCACTCTAGAGCTGTAAGCCCTTCCATCCCCTATAATACTTGTCTATGATTGTTAATGTGGTAAAAGTGGAGGAAACGACCCAGCCATCATTTGTGAGGATGTCGATATAGAGAAAGCTATCCCAAAGGTATGTATGATGATTATTTAAAGACCTCTGATGGTTCTACGTGAGCTAATGAAATTAGATTGCATTCGCCGCATTTATCCATTCCGGTCAAGTCTGTGTGGCCATCAAACGTATCTTCGTACACGAATCTATCTACGAGAAATTCCGTGATGCTCTTGTGAATGCTGTTAAGCAGTTCAAGGTCGGAGCTAGTGACGAAGAAGGTGTCACCCATGGTCCTATTCAAAATGAAATGCAGTTCAACAAGGTAAAAGATTTGTTTGCCGATATCGAGAAGGAGAAATGGACCGTTGCCACTGGTGGACGAAGCGATCTTGGTCGACCAGGATATTTTGTCGAGCCCACTATCATTGACAGGCCCCCAATTGACTCGCGTATTGTTACTGAGGAGCCATTTGGTGAGTTAAATAAAATATACCACGGTATAATATATTATATTTCATAAATCGACTGACTCATTAATTTTTCAGGACCTATCGTCCCGATGGTGGCCTGGAGTGACGAGGCAACTGTCATCAAGGACGCTAACAACACTAAGATGGGACTGGGTGCTTCCGTCTGGTCAAAGGATCTAGACCGCGCCCAGCGTATTGCCGATCAACTCGAAGCAGGCTGTATATGGATCAACAGCCATGTTGAACCAAGCAACGATGTATCATTTGGCGGACACAAGGAAAGTGGTATTGGATATGAAGGAGGATTGGGTGGTCTGATGGGATACTGCAATGCTCAGTCTATCCAAATCACTAAGAATTAGGGCAATAACAATGCTACATATTTTCCCTCTCTAATTTTTATGCTTCCTCTTGTAAATTGTATATTAAAGCGGATTGATTCGTGACTAAGTGTCGACCAAGTTATCTGCTTGATGGGTAGCTTGCACCATTGCAAGGATTCAACAATAAAAGCGGGAAAAACTGGTATTAAACGTCAACGCTTGCAGGAAAAAGAAACAAACCACAGCTGCAGTTTACAATTCAACCAAACAACCATCCGTCGACGCCCAGGTCGAAGAAGGAAAAAAAGGGTCAACAGCAAAGCATAAGCAAATTATTCAAGGGTCTAGATACCAATTGGCATACCATTGGCTTTCCCTTGGTCGAGCAACATATTTTTCTGAGCTCCTTTCTTAGTCGATAGAATGCCAAATCTCAGCACAACTTCAGATAGAGTAACGATGATAGAAATGAAGATCAGAATGATAATAATCCATGTCTGGCTAGACACTTTGTTATCAGCAATAGAATCGGAAAGAATTTCAATAAGGTCGAGGAAAACTCGACACCGTTCATTGAGTACTTGAATGCGAGGTTTTATCTCTAGGTATTCGCGTACAGCGATATACAGAGGATGGAGCATCGGTTCACTATCCCAGAAGAAATTGGGGACGTCAAGCATGTTCGAAGCTAGAGGGGATTTGTTAGTATAAACCTATCTGTAGGAAGGGTGGTAAGAGTATGCTTACAGAGATTGACCTCAACACGCGATTTGAATAATCTGCCCATGATACGGAACACTTCTTCCCTACCCATGCCTAGGTGGCCTGTTAAAGCCAACCGTCTCGGTACATCCTTTGCATCTGCCATCTGTCGTGCCATGCCCTCCTCGAAGAAACTGAGCTTCGTGCTCTGTGCTATTCCGTGACTAATGGCGAGTTTTATCATATGATCTCCTGATCGTAATGTAATCATATCATTATACACTCGCGGTCTAGATATGGAAGAAGAGTATTCAAAATGGAACTCTTCTGTTTCGAAATCCTCCTCTGCCAAGGGGTTCAGCGGTAGGTCGTTTGGCGCAGGGCAAAAAGCGAGATCTGCTAGTATTTCCTTCTCCTGACGCTCCGTAAAATTCCAAAAGACCACAACACCATAGCTGAATATGAACATTTCTGCAAAGGAGAGGGCGTTGGGAGGTATAGAGGGTTTTGATTGTCTAGCGGAGCCCGGAGATATAGGTTGTCGGATGTCGCCGTTTTGCGTGGAAGGTTGATCATCATGATGCTCAACATGGAACGAATGGCCACGGACCGGGGCATCCCTTTCTTCCTGGCGTCGACCATTACTTCGCTCAGCTTCGACTTCATGATCGTGTGCGCCATCACGGTCATGGCGATCATCATCATCCCGGTGCCGCGCTTGTTCATGGCGGTGTTCACGTCTCTCCGGATCCTCTGAATTTCTCACAGAGTGTTCTTCTGTCTCCGTAAAGTATTCATCGTGGTAGTCCCTTCTCTCGTTCCTTGCAATCTCCTCATCTAGTACAACTTTCCCCTCTGCACTTCGGAAAATAGGACTACTTCTCACTCTATATCCGTCCCGACCAGGTAATAAGGGTAAATGGTACGCAGCATATAAGCAGTCATCATACAACTTCGTACGCGCATCGTGAAGTTCTTTAACAAAACCTGCCGCAGCACCCATTTTATATGCCTGGGCAGTGCAGTATGCAGTCACACGAGGTAATTTCTTCCCTCTTCGAGCCTTGGGCAACCGCTCCGCATAACTCTTCCCCTTCTCAGGGCTAGCTGCAAAACGACGTTTTCGCAGAGCTTCTTCATCATCGAGGAGCGGTGCAGCCATATTATCCTGTATAAAGTCCGGCTGCTTCGCGCGGGCAGCAGTCAAGCGTCGTAACCGTTCATATCTCTCATTTATCTTCGAAGGCGTGCCTTCATCATCTGCAACTTCATCTTCCTCATCCTCTTCTTCTTCCTCATCCGGTTCTGGCTCTTCCTCATCTTCCTCTTCCTCTTCCTCAACCGTCTCCGGAAGCAGAACTAGTTTCTCGCTAACTTTTGACGAACGAGGCGGTATCTGTGGTAGAGAGGCCAGCCGACCTCCACTCCGATGTCTGCCATCCATACCCGCACTCAGCGCATTGCTCGCGGCATTCAAGCCAGATCTTAGCCTGCTCTCTGAACCTGAGCCGGACCGTGATCGCACAGCCGAGCTTGTTCCAATACTAGGGCCTCGATGACCGAGCTGTCCACGTTGCTGCATAGACGGCACATCGGAGGCATACTGAAGGACATTATCGACAGTTATAAGGCGGGCGCCGGGCGGGCCAGCAATAGGAAGATCGTTCGTGCTACTGCTATTCGACGGTCGTGAGAGAGGGTAGTACCGTGTTTGACGGTCTCTGGAATCGGTTACCTGGCGAGTGGTTAGTTTGCTGATCGTTGAAGAGCGGTGTTGTAGGATGGCATACTAAGACGGTTGGATTTCGTTTGCTTGTCCCTAGGCCCTTGGGCGCCATATTGAGGATGCTTGTGGCTAATTGGACATGCGCTTGCCCTCTGAACCGTCCGGCAAGCTGATATTTGTCCAAACTTCGTCGCCGTGAAGCCGAAATGTATGACGCAAACGGCGTATACAAAACATGCAAGGGAGCGACTGCAAGTTATACGAAGGGCTCGAGCGCTTAGTAATGATCACGTGGCTAGTTATATGTATTATATAATAAATTTATATCTTAGGTCTCCTGTTCATACTCCATCACTTAGGTACCTACCTAGGTACATAACCTAGGTAGGTAAATTAGATTCATAGGTAGCCGATTAAGGTAGTTACCATTGTGTTTGCAAGTCTTGCCAATTTCTATGAAAAGTTTTTCACGCTCCTTCACATATCTTACAAGGATCCAAAAAGTCGCATTCCATTCAAATGCCCAAACTTATTCCCGATCCTGATATGGCCATAGTTCAGAAAACAGTTCTCTTTCCTGTCCATCCTTTGCAGCCCCAATGAAAATATCCTTGAACTTCCGACAATTAGCCCTTGCGGTGCCATAGTCCTCTGGGTCCACCATTCCATCCACGGGGAGAATCCCCTGGTCTCGAAATAGCTTCAGCATCTGTCCGACACCTGTGATATTTTCATCCTCCTTCATGTGAAGGTCTAACTCTTCTCGTGTGAACGAGAATGGGGCCTCAACCGTCTCATCAGGCCGTAGCCTATCCCACAGAGCCTCAATAGCAATCAGACTCTGACGCAGGAAGAACAGGTCACGGTTATCCCAGACCCCTGTGACAAGCCAGGTAGGATTGCGTTTGAGCTGTATATCTCTCATCTCTTTCAAAACTTCCCAATGATGCGGAGAACGCTTGCATACTATGGCCTCATAGTATTTGTGTATAGTTTCGCTTTCAAGGCCCCGGTCGACTTGAATTTGTTCCTCTTGAGTTAGGCTGTCAAAATTATCGGGACGTGATGGGATAACCCATCCCTCACGAACAGGGCCCTCGTGCCTAAACGTCTTAGGAACGCAAGATTGGTAAAAGAGAGGGGCGACGCTCGTACCCTGCCAATCGACGATACCAGTAATTTCACACGTCTCTGGGTCAACAAAGATATTATCCAGATAGAGATCAGGATGCCAAAGAACGTTCGCACTAGACGCTTGGTCATTGGGTATCAGGTAAGGGACAGCACCCAGATACTTTGATAAGAGATTGAGAGCTTGGTTCGGTGACTCGAGTTCTCTTGAAAAAACGTAGGCGTCCATCCGGGGTGAAGCATGTGCTTTGATCCAAGCCATCTCGTTTTCCCCTATAGCTCTCGCATAATCTTCCGCCTTTTGCCCTGTGTAAATAAAACTATGGTTAACATGCGCTAGGTCATACAAAAACACATATATGGCCTCAGATACCTACAAGGGCCTCGATCAAAGTCCATCTTTTCCCGCCCATTGCTCCAAAGCTCTGCCCTTGCGAGAAGTCCAACAATGTAACGATCTGGGTCAACTAGGGTGGGTGGCGGGTCAATCAAAAGGGGGCTGTTTCCTCTACAGGCAGCCTGTGGCAGGTCCTCTTTAAAATAAATTGAGCCATGCTTTGAGAATTTCACTGTTGTAAGAACATGCTCAAAGCTGATGATTTGTTCTACCACGCGTAGCTTTGATTCTCGGGGCCATTGATGCCACAAGCTTCCTAATCTAGTACCAGCAGCCTTTTCTTCAATGATATATTCCGCTCCAACTGGATTTTCAGGATTCGACGACCATGATAAGGCCCTAGGAATCGGAATGCTAGCAACTTCACGGAGCTATGAATAAGCAGTTAGAATCCGGTGCGCGCCAATACGTCGAGAGAGCAACCAACAAACTCCCTTGTAGCAACTTCCGATGCCGTAAGATAGTGTGAAGGGCCAGCATTAGGGTTTGGAAGCTTGGCAAGTACTTCCTCCCTGGTGTCAAGAGTTAAGAGGAAGGCTTTATTGTGAAGACCTTCGGCGCACTTGAGTATCTTTGTGCCTGGTAGAGAAGGGTAGTGAAGGGAAATAATGTCAGCCTATACGCTGTTGGTTCGGGTATATGTAAGCAAGGGTATAATTGCTACATACAGCAGCGTGCATGATCGCCGACAGCATGGACAGCAACTTTAATCAGGTTCTGGATATCAAATGGCAGATATCGGAGCGCAAGTTCCCTATCCTCATTGGATCTAGGAAACCGAAACCGAAACCTGGTCAGACGTGCATCCCTCCTTCACCAAGCCAGATTCGAGACACGAAAAGATAGATCGACGTACAGCCATCGATGCCGGCGATATGCAAACATGTCTTGTTCTGTGGCTGGAACTTCTAGCAGGGAACCAGAAGAACGAACTACTCTGTACTCCGTACATGATGGGATAACTCGGCAGCCTATCCATGAGACATGCATATGTATGATGACATACCCGTGCCATCCGGCTTCTCCAGGAACAGCTGAGGTTGAGGCTGGGAGGAGAGAAGGGAGAAGGATCTTATCCCCCGGGGACAATCCGGAGGAGCCATCTTAAGTAGAGCAATGCCATGACCGCTTCTCCACCACATGGCTACATCAACTCAATGTCAGTGTCAATGTCAATGTCGGTGTCAAGTACTCAGTATATCAAATGTTAATGTCGATGGTTCGTTTTCGGCTTTCCTGAAGTCAATTTAAGAATATGCTTACTAATTAAATCACATGATACAGATAAGATATATCACGTGAAGATAATCAATCATGTGACGCCCGTACTCGTCTTACGTAAGCATAACCCGTTCTCCGCGACTTTCTCTCGCTTTGTCTCCCTCTTTCATCTTCTGCCCTTCACGCCCTTCAGCCAGCCAATTCAACCTCTATTTACGCTTCTTCTTCTTCCTCCCATCTCACCTTTATCCTCTTCCCCTCACCATCTCACCCCGCGCCACCACACTTCGTAGAAAAGAAACGCCCTCAGGCACAACACGCATCTCCGCGTATTCATCCGTATCGGCGTGACGAAAAAGACCGGAACGCGGGTCCCGGCCGCCCGGTCCCGCCTCGTGGCACGTGGGGTAACCTTATTCCCTGCTCTTTCCAGCGGCGAATAACACAAGCAGCGACAGACAGAGGCAGAGACAGACGCAAGATGCTGTTTGCAGATGTATAGATACAGGCGGTAGATAGAGACAGAGGCAGAGATGGGTGAATGGAGGTGTGAAGCAGGTAAATAAGCCGGCGGGCGGCATGATAGTAACGTGAGCAGGGACAGGCGTGCGAAAAGTCACCGGCGAGCGCTCGGCAAAGCTGAATTAAGTTGCGACTAGTTAAGATTCAGTGATTATCACCTTGTGCTATTAATATGGGAACGAGAAATATTAAAAAAAGGCGAGGCAGGCCGGACAGAGTTACATTGAGTGTGTGGCTGGGCGAGACCGAGGGCGAGAAGGGAGGGGGAAGGAAGAGGGTGAGGGAGGAGGGAGAGGGAGAGGGAAAGGGGAGAAAGGGTTGCGTCGGCGTGGCACGATGTACGATGTACGATGTACGATGGACGGTTGAACCATGGGCGGCAGATGGTGGGCTGGCTAGTTATAGGCTATAGTAGGCCATGGGACTAATGATGGGCTGTACGATGTACGATGGGCCGAGGCGAGGGCACGAACGAGCGAACGGAAGTTAGTTAGTGGTGGTCGTGCAGTGGTGTGGTTGTGTGATGGTAGGTTTAAGTCTTTGTTCCTGGCTCTTAGCAGCGTAAAGTAAAACAGGATGGGCCGGATAAGATGGGATGGGATGGGTGGACAGAGTAATTTATTCCCAGACAGACAAACAGATAGACAGACAGGTGGATAGACGGTACATCAAAGAAAAAGGAGAGAAAGTAAAGCAGGCAAGTAGACAGACAGGCTGAGCATGCTAGAATTTAGAGAAAGTAAATATGGTAAAACATGGGAAGGAAAGAAATATGCAAAAAAGGAAGGGCTATAAGCCAGGGCTGAAAAGATAACTACGAAGACATGCGTAACCTCCGATCCTCGTCCCAGATCTCCTGCTTCATCTTCTGCAAGTGAGCGTGCTGCCTCTCCAGCTTGCGAATCTGCTCGATATCAACATCGTAGTCCATTCCGTTTCGTGAGCGGGCCATCATCTCCTCGTGTAAAAGCCGGTATTTGGCGTAGTACTGTTTAAATTGGGCAGACTTGGTGCGTAGACGGGCACGGAGGATTGTCTGCGAGATAGGGGGGGATGCAGAGCCCGAGCCCGAGCCCGAGCCAGAGTGCATTGATTCAGGCTGGGAGAGGGAAGAAGTTGTTGTTGAGGAGATGGAGGATGGGCGGCGGCGTTTAGGTTCGGATGCATGGATTCCCAGTCCAATGGCGGCGGAGGTTGTCGAGGATGCTAGCGGAGGATGTCGGGTATCTTCAGCCGGGCGGGTTTTTCGTTTGAGCGCGCCAGGCTTGGCGGATACTGTCGATGCAGATGGGAATGCGGAGGTGGATGCTGATGTGGAGGTGGAGGTTGCCGTGGACGGGGGTGTTGGTCGTGATTTCGCCGGTTGCGCCGGTGGAATCTTTCGTGGTAGATGGTGTATCAAGGGCGACGAGGAGCTGGACGAGTGTGAATTGGAGTGCGAGCGAGACTTAATGTTGGATGGACGGCCGCTGCTGGGACCGTCGACGTCGGAGGCATTGGTAGGCGGCGATGAGCCCAGGGGAGACGGCTTCAGCGGTGAAGTAACATTGGCCGGCCGTGTAGTCGTCGTCGTGGTTGTAGCGGATATAGCGGTAGGGGGCTGTCGTCTGGCGGGCACTTTCTTTGTCTTCGCTGGCCGGCCGCGCTGGGCGGTCGAGGTAGCTGTGGCTGTAGGGACAGGCTTGCTGGTGGTGACACTGCTGGCCGCTGCCTCCTCCTCGTCCGAGTCGAGGACAAACTCGGCGGACTTGAACCGGTCGACATCTCTCGATTTTAGGGACGCTGCAGAACCGGCCGCTGGCGTCTTCTTCTCCGTCTTCTTGGTCACTTTGCCCGTAAGCGTAGCGGCAGGCGTAGACTTTGGTTTGGGACCGCGTTTGGAAGAGAGTGCCTTTTCCAGTCCTCCTCGCTTCTTTGTCGCTGGTTTGGCCGTTGACGACGAGGATGATGCATGGTGAGGGATAGTTGGAGTAGCAATGGACTGATCTGCGCCTGCTGGACCCTCGGATTCGTTTCCGGTGCCGTATCCGCCTTCTTCCTGGACCTGTAGTCTAGACTGCTGCTGGGCCTGAGCCTGAGTGCGTAGATTCAGTCGAGAGAGAACTTTTCCTTTGCCTCGCTCGTGCTTGGGCAGCAACGTCTGCCAGAGCCGGTCTGTCTTGGAAATCCGCATCCGGTCAAAGGCAGAGATGGCATTCTCGACCGCCTCTGTCCGCTCCTCGTCCGACGGGTAAGGGAAGGACCAGACATCGAGGTCCTTGTAGACTTTGTCCTTGAGATCAAACTTGGACCCGTCCAGCCTGTTGGGCGTGCAGAGCTTGTTGGTCAGGGCGAGCACGTCCGCGGTGTTGCATCGGGTTCGGGAAGCGAGAAACTTGGCAGAGACGGGTCGTATAGCTAGCAGGTGGATGAGCGGAGTCCGAATGGCTTCGAGACGCTGGTTCTCTCTGTCGGTGGCAGCAGAGTTCGCAGCCAGCGGAGGAGGCAGAGGCGAGAGAGGGAGCAGCGCCGGGCTTGCGGGAGTCGATCTGGAGGCATTGGCGTTCTTGAAGAAGCGCTCTTTCTCCTGGTCTGCTCTGCTGGTCGACTTTCTGGCGAGACTGGCTGCCTCTCTGCCCGTGGCCGACCTGCTGTCTCCGGCCCCCAACGCTCGCATCTGGTCGATGGTAGCAATCAGGGGAGTCCTGCGAGACTCTTTGCCCTTCTCAAAGGCGTTGAGACTGCGCTCGAGGTTTGTGAGGGCCTCATCCGTGGCCGCGGTAGCTTCTTTGGCCTTCTGCACCTCCAGGCTATGGCTGAGCACGCCCGAGAAGTAGAGGCCTCCGTCTCCGCCGGCGGCATCCTGGCCGGGGCTCTGGCCGCCCTGCTGGTATATCTCCGAACGAGAGGCCTGGGGATAGGCGTGGAAGGGCGTCGACTTGGAGTTTATGAGCAGCGAGGGATGTTTCCCCAGCCGCAGACGAGGAGCAGCGGCAGCTGGCAGGGACTGGTCGTTGAGCACCTGGAGCAGGTCTGCGAGGGTCGACTGGGGGAGGTTGAGGCGGAGGAACTGGGAGGACGCAGAGTCGCGGTGCAGCGTCAGGCCGCTGTCCGGCACTGCCAGAGCCATCGTAGCTGCTCTTCTCTCCTCCTGTGCCTATTCTTGTTCGATTTCTTCTTCTTGTTCGTCTTCTGTGTGTTTTCTGTCTGTCCTGGGGGGGTTGGTTGCTGGTCCGCCGTCTGCTGCGAAGGTCGGTCTAGGGGAGGTAGAGGCAGCCCGACATCCTAGGAGAGCCAGCAGACGAGCAGCCTAGTGTCTTGACCGTGCTATCCTCTCCAGCTGTCTCTATCCTGAGCGAGTGTAAACGCAGTGAGCGAGTGAAGAGAGTGAAGAGTGAGAGAAAGTGAGCGAGAGAGAAGAGCGAGAAGAAGAAGAGTGAGTGAGAGAGAAGAGAGAGAGAGCGAGAGAGGCAAGGCTCCCTGTCTAGTCGGCGGGAGGAAGAAGCAACAACTCGCGCTAAAAGGCCAACGCCCCGTATTTTTTCTTTACAAAGACAAACAAGATAAAGACATCGAGGCAGGATGGTAAGATGGTGGTAATATAATATAGAATGGCCGCAGACAGTGATAATGGACGGCTCTTATTCCTCTGCCATTATAGTTACAGCTTTGTCTGCGCGCTGCTGCTGCTGTACCACGCTTCCTGCTCCCTCCATGCATCTTCCCTTTCAAGAGCCAGAGCCAGAGCCGGCCGCCGGTCAGGTATCGACTGTTATTATAATAATAGAATAATAGATTGTTTAGCACCCGGAGTTGCTTATGAGCATCGCCCTTCTGCTCCACTGACCGCCAGCTGCGTTTCATCTCGAGCCATTCATTTTATCCACTGACCAAGTCATCCCTCGCTTCCCTGCCTTGTTCCTCCCTCGCTCTCGTCGAGTTTGCCTGGAAGTGGTCTGCTCTGGCTCTGGCCGTGGTCTCTCGCTGTCCGTACGTCTGGCCTCTCTGTCTGTCGCGTGTTGGGCCCTTACGCCGTGAAGAACCTGGCCTGTCCATCATCAGCATGACATGGATCAGTCAGCCCGGACGGACATGGGGGGTTGAATATCATATTCTTCTTCTTGCTGCTTCTGCTGCTGCTTCTTCGTCTGCCCTCTCCTCATTTTTTTCTTTCTTTCCTTTTCTTTGCTTCTTTCTTTCGTCTCTTTCTCTCTTTCGCCGGTCACCATCTGTTTTTTTTTCTTACCCTCTCCTCCCTCCCTTTTATCGTTCTTTGGCTGGGCCGGCCCGCCTCCACCCTGCATGCTTTGCCTTTTCGCTGCCCTGCCTGTTTTGCCTTTTTCTCCTTTGGCCTAGTTAGCTGCTGATCCGGCACTCGTCGACCAGACAGACCAGACCGACAGGGCCGATGCTGAAACCGAGAGCGAGTGCGGATGAGACGAGCTGCCACTGGACCAACGCGCTGGACACCCGTGTCATGCCAGCACACTGTGGACAAAGCAGAGTAGTCTTGTCGAAGTCACTCGGTCACTCGGTGCGTTGTCCTCGATACACTCGCTTTACAGCTGGACGGACGGACATCTGGACGGTCTTTTTCTTCTTCTTCCTCCTCCTCCTTCTCCTCCTTCAGCCAGCCGGGGTTCGTTCCATGGCAAGCGAGTCGTGCAGAAGATGTACCAGCAGACGGGGTGGCTTCCGCTGCTATTTTTTCGTTTCTTCTTCTGCCTCTTTTTTTTTGCTTCTTCCGCCTCTGCTTCTGCTGTGTCTTTTCTTCTTTTTCAGTGGCAAAGCTGCAGTTTGATGCTGTGCTGGTAGGACCGCCAGATGGCTGTGGCTTGACGCTGTAACTGAGGCTGTAGTCAGCTGCAGAACCTGCACATCATCGGCACAGCATCACTTACGGCTTCTCTCGACCCTCCTAGTCCACCACCTATGTCTCCGTCTATCGTAGAGCCTCGTTACTATCCATGGCTCTGCCGTCGTCGTAGGTAATTGTAGTCATAGTAGTTATAGTTGTAGTTGTTGTAGTCGCGGTTGAGGTTTTCGTCCCGCGCAGAAAAGGAAGAAATCTCCAAAGACGGAGACAAACACCAAAAAGTCAGCATCGACAAGACAAGACAGGAAAAAGATACCCATAACTGAAAGAAGTAAATGAAAATCCTCCAGCTGAAGGATTAGAACATGCCGAACCTGCGCTGCTGCTCGTCTTCCGCCCTCTCTCTGCCCACCGAGAGCTACATCTACCAGCTCTGCGCTGCAGGCCCAGCGTCCCTTGCAGCCATCTCGTCGGACAACTCGCTACGCCGCTTCGACCGCCGCTCCCTCGCTCTGCTGCCGGATAGCCTGGTGAAGGAGACGCATGCCGCGGGCGTCAGCTCGCTCTGTGCTGCTGGTGATGGCCTGCTGGCGACCTGCGGGAAGGATGGGACGGTCAAGCTCTGGGATGCTCGACAGGCTGGAGCCGTAGCCGTTTTTCAAGCTGGTAACTACATACCCTTTATAAATATGAATTGATGTAGGTATAAATATATCGATGGATGCTAATTGGAGTAGATAAGGATATGCCGTTGCTCTCGTTGGCATGCAATGCATCTTCTCATTCAATTGTTGCCGGCACGGAGCTGGTCAAGCCAGATGCCTTTGTCCTTTTCTGGTATATCTACCCATATACACAGAGTCATACATGAATTATACCCAGATAAAACAGGCTATACGGACAGCTAACGCAGGATAGGGACACTCGATCACCTGGAAAGACATGTCGTCAGTACGTTGAAAGCCACAACGACGACGTCACAGAGGTGCGAACCTATATCACTCCCGTATCAATCAACCCCTTACTAATGTATACGTCTACAGGTCCAATTCCATCCATCTCGTCCCTCAGTGCTTCTATCAGGCAGTACAGATGGCCTGGTAAACATATATGATACCACTGTGGCTGAAGAAGAGGACGCTTTGATGCAAGTAGTCAAGCATTCATCCATACACCATGCAGGCTTCCTGCAAGACAAGGCCATCTACGCTCTCTCTCACGATGAGATGCTATCCGTCCATCCAGTAACTTCTGCAGACGAAAATGATAACCACGTTGATGAAGTTAAAGCCGTTGAGTTCGGGGATTTGCGGCCCGTATTAAAGGCAGAGTATGTGGTGCAGGTCCTGGTTGATGCGGCCGGGAGCTACGTTGCCTCTGGCAGGACAAGGTTAGATTTTTCTTTTCTTAATACTCATACTTCTCAGGGTCATGCTGATAAAGGATAAAAATGTAGTGATCGGAGTCTATCGTTGACACCGTTGGCGCATACGCCGGAGTTTCATTTTGAGCAATCGAGTTCATGGATATTGCCCGGTGCTCATGGAGAGGAAGTTGTTCGTTCAGTCCTGTTCGACAGCGAGGTTAGTACCCCCTGGTTATTATATCCTTTACTTACATACTAACTGCTACAGTCACGGACGGTCTATACCTGTGGTGAAGACGGCCATGTAAGACTATGGAAGGAGGAGTCAGATTCATCTACTGTAGAGCTCGCATCAATACGGCCTACCAAACAACGGAAAGGAAAGGGGTACAAGCCATACTGACCCATCTACAAAAGAAAAGCAAAGCATACTCAAAAGGAAGGATAAAAGTACAAAAGTGGTATATTATTTGTTATAGACAAGACCAAAATCTACGCAAGTCTCACGCCGGCCTGGCGGTTCTTCTTCGCAGTAGCTCCCATCGCATTATTCATGCCTGTGTTCTGGCTACTGTCCAACGTACTCATCGCCTCCCTCTTCTTCTCATCCTCAATCTTCTTAAGATGCTTCTCAGTCTTCATCTTACCACTTCCCTTGCCATGGAACTGGTGACTGAGATGCTTAAACGCCTCTTTCTGGTTCATGCGTCGGCCGAATTCATCAACATACTTCAGCTGCACATCGGGCTTGTACTCGCGGTTGAACACGTCCGCCATCGCCCGAGACTCAAGCTGGTCACGCTGCTTGTTCTCCCAGCGAGCATACTCTTCACGGTCTCGGGCAGACATGCGGTCAAGCTTACCTGATGCTCGGTCCCGTTCTCGCTGGGCTCTAGCAAGGCGTTCTGCTTCGGCTTCACGGCGACGTTTTTCAGCCAGGAAGCGTTGGCGGTCACGGTGCAGGGAGTTGATCGAATGGCCGTCTTGTTCGCCTGCCATTACGAGACCGCGCTGTTTGAGCATCGCTAGTGTTGCGCCCAGGCCTTGGTCGAGGGTTGATTCTTCCTCTAGACCGGTGGCCGTTATGTCCGCCTGTGGTTCTGCTGACTGTCGCTCGGTCTCTTCCTGTTCGACCACGGTATAGTCCGGCTCCATCTCCACATCGGACGTCTCTTCTTCTACTGTGGGTTGTAGTGCTGGGGTTTCAGCAGCAGCAGCAGCCGTGGGTTCATGCGAGGCAGATCGAGCACGTTCAAGTAGCGTCGGCCGTTGTAGGTTGGCTACAAACTCTGAAGTCTCGTTCAGGATCAGGCCACCCTCATCTCCATCAGCTCCATCAACGTCCATTGCGGTTTGTGCTTGTTCGGACTCTTCCCTGAGCTGCCGGGCCAGGTCTTCTGGGCGTAATTTCTTTCTCTTCTTGAAGGCTGCTCTCCGTTGCGCGGCCAGGGACGCTTGCAGATCATCATCATCCACAAATGATATATCCTCCTGCGGCCGTTTAGCCGGTACAGCGGGCCCAGCACTCGGCTTCTCCGACTCTCCCCCATCCATCTCCATGTGGTCGCCATTGGTATCTGTTGCAGCTGCAGGTGTTGATATATCCTCGTCCTCCTCAGCATGCCGCCTCCTGGTGCTCTTGGCTTTCTTTTTCTTGGGTTTCTTCACTTTTATCTCTGAAGCATCCATGTAATCTGATGCAGCAACTTCCTTCTCCAGCAGCCCGTCTAGCTTCACGGACTCCATCTTTAGCTTTGAGGACACATCTTGCCGTTTGGCCTCCCTGGCCTGTGGTGTAAGATCCCCGGACGCAAGAGTAAAATGTTTCCTCTTCTTCCCATCAATCTCTTCATCGTACTGTGATAGAATTGCGCCGCTCCCATCCATATCGTTAGGGTCATACGCTACCCGCTTCTTCTTCAGCGCCAGCCTTTCCTTCGTCTTTTCACCTTCTCGCATCTGGATATTCTCCAACTCGGCCCCTTCCTCCTCATCCTCATCAATAGTCGTATCCTTGAGTGTAAGAACCTTCTCTCCAGTCTCGTCAAACTCGTCAAAATCGCCGATTTCATGTGCAACTCGTACTCCAGCCAGGTCTTTTGAGGTATATTCCGCCATCTGCTGTTCTCGCTCTGCAAGCTCCTCAGCAAGTCTTTTGGCACGGTCCTTTTCTATCCTCTTTTGTTTCTTCTTATGCTGCATCAGCCATGATCGTGTATCCAGCTCTGCATCTTCACCACCTTCGCCGAGTCCCTTGCCCTCCAGCTTTGCCATCCGCTGCGCGTTCTCTCGAGCTCGTCGAATAGCATCTTTTCTCGCCTCTCGCTTTTGATGTGCCTCTCGTTCATCCTGGATAGCCTTCCAGTTATCGTAGCCCTGTGCTGCTCGGGTCTCTAGCGTGCTCGCTGGCTCCTCACCGTCAGACGACGCGGATTCATCGCCATCCCCGGACTTGAAGGCCGGGCCATCGTTGGCTGCGCCGGGAACAGGGAGCGGCGCGAGCCCGAGCGCAACTCGGATCTTGTTGTTTTGTTCGATGGAGAGTGCGTCCGCCATGGCAAAGACCGTAGATATATCCAGCAACTGTCACTTATCCGCTTCTTCTTCTCCTTCCCTTCGTCAAATCTTCCAAGCTCTATCAATCTTCAACTTTCAACTTTCGACTTATGTCATGCTTATGTCACTATGGATAAATTATTCTCCGCTCCGGATATCAGAATATAAAAATCCCAAAAAATTTCTCTAAATATTTTTCTTTCTTCTTCACAAACAACAGATCTGTGTCCTGCGATCCCGTTCCATGAAGCTATTCGTTCGCGTTTAGTCTGAGTGTGTTTCGGTCGTATTGCTCGACAGTTCGACGACCCATGGAGCCATCCATCTGGTGTATAGCCGTTTTCCTCATGATGTCAATTTCCGGTCGACAGATCTCAGATGAAGATTCAGCGCTGGGATTATAACACTCTGCCTTGAGCTTCCTTCGGGTGAGCTCGGTGAGATGGCCCGGGCCTGCTGGAGGCGTCATATTCCATCTCTCTTTACCGATGGCCGTCGGCTGGTGAGGTTAGGGAAAAACCATGACAGCCAACATACAATCCGCAACCCGAAGGTTTTTTTTATATATTGTACTTGTAAATCCGTTCGCCAAATACGTCGTTATCATTCATTACAACAACTTCAGGTGTCCCGTAACTGAGTCTACTACGCTCTTTGGACCTAATATGCCTAACACCGTCCGACTTCCGCTCGCGATCTGTGTTCGTCCTGCGTCCTGGATCACACGAGCACACAGTCCAAGGCTGATAGCCTGAGCCTGCAGAACTAGTAGATCCTCCTCTGTCTTTGCCTGTAACGCAACTTTTGCCTGGCCCTGTCGTTCCCAGCGCTTCAGAATAGGCGAATCGGGTGATTTGTTGAAATAGTATTTGTAGCATGCGAGAGTCGCGTGGGAGCATTGTGCTGCGATCTTGCCTGTGGCATGATGAAAGCACCAGTTAGCCAGAGTAAGTAGCTAGCTACCAGCGCGGGGAACGTGTTGTTGCTGTGGAAAGGAAAAGTTGAAGCTCAGATGTTGGTAGAAAAAACAGCATACCTTTGCCCATCCCCAGGTCTGTCCTCACGACCAGAACAAGCTTCACTTCGTCTGTATTCCCCTCAAATGTCGCCAGTTCACCTGCATCTTCGTCCTCATCTTCGTCTTCCTCCTCATCTTCATCCTCGTCCTCGTTCGCTATTGATTTGCCCTTATGCGCATGGCCGGGAGTGGATGAGAATATTCCTATCGATGCGCCTTGGCCGAGATAGTACCCAATTACGCCTGTAAGGACTGAGGTAGCGATCACAAGTGCTGCCGTAGACGTGGGACGGTCGACTGGGAGTGCCATGGCGAGGTATTTCGGAGAATTTGGTTATGCGACTGAATGTTGTTGGTTGGAAGGATACTGCAAGTCGAGATGTTCAAAATAATTGAAAGCTACGTAATTAAGCACAAATGCCAATTTAATGTTAAAAAGCAGCAAACTAGACAGAGCAGCAATTATTTACATTATTTATATTACGAAATACCCACGATAAATTAGGAAAAAATATGGAAGTAAAATACATCTCAACCGTTTTAAAATGGGGCTGCCGGGTTCGTCGCGCGCAAGCCTCGCACTCCAAGCAAAAAAATAAGAAAGTAAAGCGATCTCCATCCATTATCTACCCCAAAAGACATTAATCCGACCAATTTTTTCCCCAATGACGAGAAATAGAAAATGAACTAGAAAATAAAATGGCAGTACCGTTGGCAGCCTGACCTCGGAATAATCTGCATAGAACAAAGAGCACAAAGGCGTGGGGACATAAGGCTTATTTATTGAGCGGGAGCAGGGGCGGCACCACCGGGGCCACCTGGACCTTGACCTGGGCGGCCAACTCTACGGCTCCTATTTTTGACAAGGGTTAGCATTATTGTGCGCAGGTCTCACGTTGTAGAGAGCAAGGAATCTTACATCATGGTTCTGCTGAGAAAGCTGATACCGACCATCATGGCCCAGCTGGGGATCATGCTCAGGCAGTAGACGATAAGACCAACGAACTCGTTGATGCGGTACTCGGCGGCGAGGCCGTTGAATGGATGGAACATGGTCTGAAGCTCAGGCTCTTTCTCCCAGAGCTTCTCAGAGTGCACCTTGTAGATCTCGTCGGCGGTAACAGTGGTAGTATTCAAACGGAAAGGATGAATGGGTACTGGTGGCTTCTCTTCACCGATGGATGGAGCACTGGGGACTTGGATGTGCCATAGCATGGGCGGGCTAACGGACCAGATGGAACAAAGAAGGCCTTGGGCTTCGCAGTTAAGACGGCCAAGGTTGGGGGACTGGGAGTCGGCAGCGAACTGATTTTGTGCTTCCTAAAACGCGCAAAGATAACAGACATTAGTACGACCGTGCAGTAAGTGTTTAAATTCAAACTTGTACAAAAAATGCGACTAACCTTCCAGGCGCGGTTTGCCTGTGCGCATTGTCCGAAGCAGGTCTTGTTACCGCCGGTGACGTAGATCAGCCATTCCTGCGGGGTCGACTGAGGTGCAAGTATATCCTTCCAGTTCTCTGGGTTGAATTGGGTGACGGTCTTTGGCTTTACGACTGCAGCCTTGGGAGGAGTATGAGGAGTGACTGGCACGGTAGCCTGGGGAATCTTTGGAGTAGGCAGCAACTCCTTGGCCTGGTTGAACCAGCCTTGCAGACGCTCTGCGAGGGGGACCTGCTCTTGTGCCGCAGCCAGAGCTGGGAGTAGGATGAGTGTAGAGAGATGCATTGTGCTGTGTTGTCTTGTAGTATAGAAATTGGTAAGGTGTCCAGAACTTGGTACAGTAATCCGCAAACTAGAACTAGGTCCACAGGGGCGGAAAGTCCAGCAGAAGAGACAAAGCGGTGTGGATCGATTGAACAAGTGTATATATCAGCGTAACAAGCTGTGACTGACTGCGCGCGACAGTATTCAAGGTCGAGTTGAAGCGGCTCGTTTGCTTTCCTCTCGTCTTTCTGTTTGATTATTTTTTTGTTGTTGATGGAAAAAGATGTCGCGATGACAGCAGAAAACATAAGGGGGCTTAGTAAGATATTATAAAACAAAACAGAAGCGAGCTCTCTCTCGTGTAACTATCACATGATATCATGTGATATCCTTATGGCCTGTATCTTAACCTACACCAGTAGCAGTAGAAAATAACCAACCAACCAATACATTCTATCAGTTCTTATTACCTGGCTTTAAGCCCTTTCAAATAGCTTATTCTACCTAAGCTGTGTCTGTCAATTTGCTCCGAAGCCTTAGGTACCCAAGGCTTTGCCCAAGAGCTCTCAGGATAACCGTTTCATACCGTTTGAACCCAGTGTCTCCCTTGTCTCTACCAAGCATTCCTCTGTCAGAACTCTCTTAATCAGTCCTTAGTCATAATCAATTTAAATTAGTCATTGGCTTATATAAGTTCTTAGTCAGATCACATGTTAGCTTATTTCCGCTTTGGGAAATCCTTTTCATCGTCGTTTTTATTTTTAATTTATTTTATTTTAACGACATCTCATCAACGTCATCAATATCTACGACAAAGTCAGGAAAAGACAGACAAAAGACGAGAAGATGCAGGTCGATGAAGGGGTTCAGGCCCCATTTCCTCATGCCAAAAAATGCTGTCGAAGTGCTCGCGGCTTGTGCGATCGGTATTGGCGTGTAATTTATCCGCCCAACTGCCGCGGTCGCTTGGAAAAGAGCGGAGTTTTACTGGCAGCGAGCATACACTAGTACCGCTGGTACAGAAAATTCTTTCTTCCGAGTTTATTTGTATTACGGCATGAACCAGGGTTGCTTATCAGAAGCAAGAATCGAGTCATTGACTGATCTTTTTATCTTCTTGACTTTTTTTTATTTATAAGACTTTCGACTCTCCTCTATTTCCCCCTCTCAGTCATTTCTCGACATTTCATGATAAGCTGCCCTCTGGTTCTGTTGTCTATTCAATATCATTCGGCCCCTCTGCCCTATTTGTTAGCATTGGCTTAGAATCCCCGCGTCAAGATGGCCACCGATACCGGCTCTCGTCCTTGCTGCAGTAGCCACACGAGCGATGACAACAATACCAATGGAGTCACAGTTGCAGCTAATGGTAGGAGAATCTCACGAATTAAATCGAGAAAAATGGCCATTTGCTGATATTCTTCTCGTTACAGGCAATCATGAAGGCTTCACCGCAGTTCAGACCCGCCAAAACCCTCACCCACACGTCTCAAGAAATCCGTATGGCCACAATGCTGGTGTGACGGATTTCCTTAGCAATGTCTCCAGATTCAAGATCATTGAGAGTACTCTAAGAGAGGGAGAGCAGTTTGCCAATGCCTTCTTCGACACCGAGAAGAAAATCGAAATTGCGAAGGCCCTGGACGATTTTGGTGTAGACTATGTGAGTCATGGGAGCCCCTTGTAGCCCAGCCAACCCTGGATATTGTTAAACTGACCGGAAATGTCTCAATAGATTGAACTCACCTCGCCCTGTGCCTCCGAGCAGTCGAGAAAGGACTGTGAAGCTATCTGCAAGCTTGGATTGAAGGCAAAGGTAATACCACACCCCCTACACTTATCTCAATGCCTTTTCATTCAAGGTGTATTGACACACAATGTATAGATCCTCACCCACATCAGATGTCACATGGACGATGCCCGGATAGCGGTCGAAACTGGTGTCGATGGAGTGTAAGATAGTCCTTTTCCTAGACGAGCACTCTGCTACGACCTGGATCAACAGACGCTAACTCCTTGTAGTGACGTCGTTATTGGCACCTCGTCCTACCTCCGTGAGCACTCTCACGGCAAGGACATGACCTATATCAAGAATACCGCCATCGAGGTCATCAACTTTGTCAAATCCAAGGGCATAGAAGTCCGCTTCTCCAGTGAAGACTCTTTCCGATCAGACCTGGTTGACCTCCTCTCCATCTACTCTGCCGTTGACCAGGTAGGTGTCAACCGCGTTGGTATCGCTGATACTGTTGGCTGTGCCTCCCCGCGCCAGGTGTACGAGCTCGTCCGTGTGCTCCGTGGTGTTGTCAAGTGTGACATTGAGATCCATCTGCATAACGATACAGGATGTGCGATTGCCAACGCATACTGTGCCCTTGAGGGAGGCGCCACGCACATTGATACTTCCGTTCTAGGTATCGGTGAGCGAAACGGCATCACTCCGCTTGGTGGGCTGATGGCCCGTATGATCGCCGCGGACCGCGACTACGTGCTCAGCAAGTACAAGCTCGACAAGATCAAGGATATCGAAGACCTTGTTGCCGAAGCCGTACAGGTTAACATCCCCTTCAACAATCCTATCACTGGCTTCTGTGCTTTCACGCACAAGGCCGGCATCCACGCCAAGGCCATTCTCAACAACCCCAGCACCTACGAGATCATTAACCCAGCCGACTTTGGCATGACACGTTATGTGCACTTTGCCTCTCGCCTCACAGGCTGGAACGCCATCAAATCTCGAGCTCAGCAGCTCAATCTTGACATGACTGATGCACAGTACAAGGAGTGCACAGCCAAGATCAAGGCTCTTGCCGACATCCGACCCATCGCTGTTGATGATGCGGACAGTATCATCCGCGCATACCACCGAAACATCAAGCTCGGTGAGGACAAGCCACTTCTCGACCTAACCGAAGAACAGACGGCAGAGTTCGCAGCGAAGCAGAAGGAGATGGCAGAGAACGGTGTCGAGGTTTCAGCATAATCGGTCGCCGGAACCATGCAGTCGATTTGGAGGAGAACTGCCACCTAGAACAATGTTCTTTTTGGCCTTGCCTACATGGGAGATTGTTAGCATGTCCCTGTAAGGCAAGCGAGCTGAGAAGAATCGAAACCAAAAAAGAGGCTCACGGATGGTACCAAAATTGAGCAACATGGTGTGCTTGGGCTTGCATAAGGGAAAAAAATTCCAGAGGAACCGCAGCATCTTGGGAGAGGATGTGTGGAAGGAGAGTGAGGGAAGGAAGGACATGCAGAAATACGAGATTTCAACCATGCATCCCTCCCCGCCCCCTACCCCGGTCCTCAACTCTTCTTTTCCTTTCTTTTTTATACTCTTTTTTGTCATCACTTTATTTCTCGCCTTTGGTCCGGTCAAAAAAAAATAATCATCCCTTCCCATCTTACCCTTGATAATCTTATCGCGATTTCTCTTAGTAAATACGGAGTAACTGGCAGGTACCTCACTGTTCTACAACACCCTCCCCCGCCGTACCTCCCGCCCATGCATACATAGCTCGAGCGTGTCGGCATATTAAATCTCCACAGGCGGCTTAATGTCGCTCTTGGAAATGAGGATAGGCAAGATTGTATTGTGAATTGCCGAGTGTTCTCCGTACGGAGTATAGTTCCAGCGATTGCGCCAAATTGGCCTGGGCCTGGATGTAGCAAGCAAGACGAAAGCCGATGAAAGCCTTTTTCCCCCTTTCCCCCTTGAATCGGTCTTGTTCGTCCGGCTCGTCCCTGAGAATGTACGAGGCCGCTGTTGCTTGGTGCTGCATGCCGTCTTCTAGACGGTTGCATAAATGAAGAAGCCGGTGGTTAAGCGGTAACTACCCAGTAGTTGATTAATTGACTGGTGCCTCCCAAGGTCCCCTTAACTCCGTCCGCATATTCTAGTAAATACCCGATCTCAGGAGGCCTTGGAGCTCACTGATGCGGGCCTCCATCAACAACTATGGAGTGTTGGTTGGTGCTGCAGATTACTGCCTGCTGGGCTGTCGCAAAGCCATCATGGGCCTCCACACAGTTGCGCTTGCTCGCCGCGGTCATGGAACCAACTAAATGATCATCATCAATAAGTGGTCAAAGAGCGACTACAATCCAACTCCTTTCGCTACTCGTCATATTGCAACCATGGCAACCCATAATGCCCCTACGATATCCTCTCAGGCGCTCCCTCCTGCCGAGTCAGCAACCTTCCTTTGAGTCTTCGTACTTCTCGCGCAACGGCCCCGAGGCGAAGTTGCCGTCTCCCGCCAACGTCCGTGGACAGAATGCGATGCAGGACCCCGGTGCAATACACGGAGACTACGGGTACAAGCCTGTTCGCTATGAGAATCTGGGCTTGATTGTCAAGTTTGGGCGTGCTCCAGAGGTGACTCTCGCTGAGGGCCAGTTACTCTGGGCGTTGCGACTGATCTTAGTTACCTACTTTGCCAGTCCCAGAAGTGTACGGATGGACTCACGATAATGGCCAAGTCTTTATTTATATGGAGCTTGTAGGGGCATCACACTTGAGCAACGGTGGAAATATCTGGGACGGGCTGAGAGGGTTGCGATCTGCGAACAGCTTCGTGATATCATTTTTGACTTCCGCTGGGTACAGCATGCACCAGATGATTTCTTCCTTGGTGCGTACGCACTTATCTCGCACTCTGCTTATATTTGGCCTGCTAGATTTAGTATCCCAGACTATCACTTGTTGCTTACCTGAGAATGGAATATAGGACATAATAACCGTGAACCACTTGGTGATATTATATTTACCAAAGCAATAAAGACACGCATCCGCCCGCTCTGGCTAGGCAAAGAGCTGTCTGAAATTCCGGACCCTTACCGAAGTAGGCTGCCAGATGATGCAAAAGTTGTTTTTACGCACAGTGATCTCCATCCAAGCAATATAATGGTTTCTGCGGACTCTAATAAAATCATTGCGGTTATTGACTGGCGGCAATCGGGATGAGATCCGGATTACTGGGAGTTTTGCAAAGCTGAATACACGGCAGAAGTCAACGGCGAATGGATGAATACTTATATTCCCATCTTCCTTAAAGAGCCCGAATGTCTCGAAGCCTGGGAGTTTTATCCAAGATTCTTTGGACACTGACAATATAGTAGACAAGAGTCAGGTTTCTAAGTATTTCGCTGATAAAATATGGCATTTAAGCCTCTAGTTATTCTTTGACGGTTTGCTGAGGTAGTGAGTGAGAGATATCTTAGTAACTAAGGGGTTTGGGTTTGAAGGAGTAACTAATTGTGGAATGCTGCACCGCATAGTTCCCCAGCCCCCTTACATTTGACGATGGCAGGTCGACACGGATCTTTAGGGAGGGTCTTCCTAGCTCAGCAGTTCGTCATTAAATGGCCCATAAATGCAGGCCTCGCTAGCTCGTTCGTTTCATTCCCTGGTTTTACTTCTCGATAGCCGACAACTAAGGCGTATGTAAGTAAAATGACGTTCCACAGATGTTAGCCAACGGGTCGAGAACGACGCTGGAAACTAGATCTCCAGCCCCGTCCGGCGGAGGCAACGAGATAAGATTTGGGAGAGACATCTCCTCGGAGGCCACAGAAAAAGGATTCATAGTATAAGCTCCCGTCCGGCCCTTGGATGGCGATTAGCTATCGGGTGTTCCCCATTAGACGAAAGAAAAACTAGCTTATTGACAGCACACATGGGAAAGGCTGTTGATACATGGTTCTGGGGCGGCGTGCGCCGTCGTCTTCTTTTGCGCCTTTTCATCCTTCCCAGGACACCCGGGCTGCAGATGGATATCATATCTTGCATGGGCTATCTTTCTGATAACAATAGCAGTGGAGAGGTGAATTTGGAAGTATACAACTCCAGCCCAGCCACAGGGTTACCATTTGAATTCGTCCACCGCCATCTCAGAAAGGAGGGGAGATCTTCTCGTAAATTGGACAGCGGCTGGGATAATATGCAATTGAGACGTTGTTACATGCCAGTTCGTTCAGTTCGAACCCATGCAAGTACATTTCAAAGAGGTACTCCCCGTCATATTCTATGCAAGCCTGTAAGCCTATCTGCCCTTGAGTTGAAAGATAAGGTAATAATATCATTTTAGATGAGCCTGGGAACCCCAGAAATGGACGTATGGGGGGCCGGACATGCTGTCCCTGCAAGCGGACGGGGAGTGAAGTCGACATGCATTCTTGCTGCATTGAGCGTACGCCGTCCCGTTGCAGGCAGGCCTAGCTCCGTGTTGTTCGCTTGCCCCGAACGCATGTCCTAGGAGGGCCTAGAACGTTTGCTGCTCCGTTAGTCCCAATGGGCTTATTGGAATCCTTTACGAGATAGTCAAGTCTCCCGCACATCCACCGGCGCAAACGTCTGTTTTTTCCTGCTCAGCGTTGGACAGGTTCCACCTATGAATGGAGGTTAAAAATGGACTCGGGCCAGCAAAGAAGCATCTTTGAGGAACAGTACTTGCATGATCTGTCCTTATTTGGGAAAGAATAGACTGGTTATCCCGCGGCGTTGCGACCAAATAACGGAGAAAAAAGAAACGCGGATTTGAAATATCATGTCGACATACGTTTAACCTTTCGTAGCGAGGGATCATCAGTGCACCGGCGCAGCCTTGGCCTACGTCACAAGTCGGGTACCAAACGACAACATTTTGCGGTAAAAAAAAGGGGGTGGATGACGAGACGGGGGAAGAGAGCGAGGTAACGATATATGCAAATGAGACGTTTCAACTCTACATCGCAGTCGGTTTCTGGCTGCATTAACGCCGGCCCGGTTTCATTGTCTTTATTGCTGACCCCCTTGCCGCCGAGGGTGACAACTGTCCAGGCTATCACATAAATAGCAAGGCTGCGGATAAAAAAAAAAGTCTGTCTTCATTAGACCAAAAAACCGAGGTGTGGAGGAGAAGGAGCCCGTTTACATCATTTTTTGGTGGATAGAAGAGGCGCTTTGAGTCCACCATACAGTTTGTCGTGCTGGGGATGGATCCTAGGCTAGCCTCCTCGGCTTTCTTCCATTGGCTCTTGGCCCCTGGATCGGAAAAGAGGGTATCATCGTCTTGTCGTCATCATGCATGATAGCGAGTCTGACATCCGTTTTGCTTTTTACGTCTGGCTCCGAGACTCTCTTTTCTTTTCCTCAGGTTGTTTTTTCTTGGGAGTTGCGCGCGAATGGGCAATAGGCGATGACACAGGGCGGACGAGTCGTGATGACAACCCAGATAGTCTCGGAAACGGGCTATGTCAAGCATGCCGGCTTGCGAGTTCTCTCCATATCCTGTTATGAACAGACAACATCCATGTAGTTATGGTCTCGAGCGGCTCACCCACACGCGACCTTTCCGTTGGTAAATGCATATGTTGATCTTTTGCACAGAGCCAGCAGGACAACGAGTAAAGGACGTGCGATAATATAATATGAAGACCGAGAATGGCCCGCCCCACCACAAAGTAGCTCGATTTCTTTCTTTTTCCTCCCCTCGCTCTCCATTTCCCTCTCTCCTCCCTTTATGGTGCTCCTCCCGTTGCCAGAATTCTGAATTTCTGACTGACGTGCAGGACGGTCCAACGTGGATGGGCCAGATGAGAGAGACAAACCCCCCCGTGCAACCAGATGAGTTGTTGATCAACACCAGGTGCGGTATATCTCCCCTTTGACCTCCTTTTCCCACCCCTTTCCTCTCATTCCCCTTCGTGTTTCCGAGGCATCTAGATATCTGATTGCTGGGCTCTCCGGCTGTACCCCAGGCGTGTTCAATTCCCCCCCCTCCACAGTGTCATGCAGTACCAGCTAGTTAGCTAAAATATTGACGCCCAAGCTTTAGCGGTTGGCTCGGGGGAAATAGGAATGCTCAAGCACAGATGATGCTTCTGATCTTTGGTACGCCGTGTGGAGAAGCACGAACGAGATGCAACCATCGGATCAGGGCCCATTTCCAGGATCAGGACCGTCTCTTATAGGGTGGTAGACGTTTCATTTATGCATTTCCAGAGCAATTCCGGTGGATTGAGGGAGTCTTCCGTGTCTTGCCATATTGCTGAACCAGACCAGTGGGCGTCTAGGGTAAGCTTTAGACGGACGCTAGAAGGTAGATGAGCCATCTTCATATCCAAGGGAGTAGGAAGGGCTGTAGGCCGTGGGCTATAGGCACTTGTAGGCACTCGTAGGCTTTGCAGCCGCTGTAGGCGTTGTAGTTGGGCGTTGTAGGCGTTGAGGCGGTTGAAGGATGAAGCCATGGGCGGTCGTTAGTTAAAAGAGGAGGAGGAGGTAAGTATTGGACGTAGTTAAGTAATACCTCAATCCCCACCAAGACCTCAACTCACTAACTGGCGATCCTCCCCTCCTCGTCCACTTCCTCTCTTCTTCTCTTCTTCTTCTTCATCTTCTCTTCAGCACTTGACACTTCTCACTCTCAACACTCGCACACTCATACACACTCACACACATATCTTACCTCTCTCTTTCTCACAATTTGTCTGCCGTGCTCGTTTTAAGCGCCATCTTTGCTTGGAGGTGGCCGCGCTGTCGACATTGCCAGAACCGCCGTTGGCTGCGGTTATTACACCAGACCAAAGGAGGCCAACTGAACACAAATTCGCAAGGGAAACAAGGCCAAAAGACTAATAGAGACCTAAAGAGGTTCTGGACTTCTTTTTCTTTTCAAATAAGCAGAGACAGTGGACGACTGCAAAGTGCTGTCTGGCTGCCGTTGAGTACGAGGTTAACGTACAGCACCACCACCACCAACAGTGTTTCTCGACACCATTGTACCAACGTGGTTCTGGGATCTTTAGGCTTACATCTCGCTCTTTAAGGTGCCCAGTCCTTAATCCCTCCAAGCTTATCATCGGTATGCATACTCTGCCCAAAAAGCAAAGAGCGCAAGAAAAGAAAAGAGATGGCGGAGTGAAGAGAGCAGCAAGGGGATGCAGAGAGAGAAAAACTTTAAGAGCGTATAAATTCCCCTTGGGACTTTTTCTGACTGAGTAGACAGTGCAGACACGCCGGCTCCTCTTGACTGAAATAGCTCTTCAGCGGAAATAACTTGACTGTGAGTGGTATCTCCTTCTGCATGTTTGTTTTGATATCAGGGGCCTCAGCAGAGACGAAAGCCGTTTATCGATGCTTGGTTTTTGCCTGTTTCCTTATTTCCTTTCGAATTCCTACCTTTAAGTCTGTTAGTTAATGTGGTTATATGGAGTACTATTTATTTTAAACACTCGCTGTCTGCTTGCATTTCTGGTCACCCTTCAACGTTTTCATAGCAGACACTTACTTACCTCTTTGATAGATACTCTTACCTTGCATTTCTTTTCTTGACGACTATTCCCATTTATACAACTTTTTTTTAGGATCCCTTGTCAAAACAAGAGGTGAATATAGACTTTCCCTTGTTTTACGCTCCTCCGAATTCTTCCCCGCCCTCAAATATAACATTTAACGCCCTTGCTGGGTAGTAATGTCGAATATGCCACCTCTCGGGCCTCTGTTCCTTCTTTGTTCATCTGCCTGACGAAGTGTTTTCTGTCTGGGTCCATTGCCCCCACGCGGTGATAACGGCTTGATTGTCTACTTGACTCGGGCCTGGCCGCGTATAATATACACATCACATGTTTTTATTCATTTATAAGAACATCACCTCCACCATCATTCGCCACGTCTTACGACCGCTTTCTCCATCTGCCAACTGGCTCTTGGTGGCACTATAAGTATCCTGAAAGTTAACGATTTGTTCCAAGGTCCCACGCAAACAATTTTCCCGGCTAGAAGAGAAGAGGAGCTAGAACAACCAGAGAAAAGGAAAAGAAAAAAGTCGACACTGTTAAATCCGACTACAAGCCTCATTTTGCGATTTCCTTATCAATCTTCCTTCTCAGGAACGCCTACACTACAACCGCGGATAGCACAACGCCTAAAACTAAGCCGAACCACATACCAGAGCACTGGTTTCCGATAGTTCTGGCAAAGTTTTTGTCAACGTCACACCAGGCTGCCTTTTTGATACCAATAAAAGAAAGACAGAGCCCCTCCAGGCTGCAATATCAAATGAGACCTTGCGTACATTCTTCCGATCCTGTGCAGTCTGAACCCAGGACGTCCATTATGGCTCCATCCGCGCAAGCTGAAGAAGGGGTATCTATATCCATCTTCCAGTTTTCTTCCTTATTTCTGTCGGGTCACAGCTAACATGTCAAATTTTCAGCCGAGAAACAATAAATCGAGCCTCGAAAAATATAAAGACCTTGACGTAGGCACTTTTGATCAGATTCTAGACATGGACGATGAGGATCCAGATCGGGAGTTCAGCCGAAGTATAGTTTATGGTTTCTTCGAGCAGGCAGAAGCCACGTTCGTCAAAATGGAATCGGCCATGTAAGCGTTCTCCTCTGCCCTTTTTATATATCCCACATCGTGTGTTGCGTCTTCCGACTCGGTCTTGGGTCTTGATACGCACCCCCCTCCATTGACGTGTTCAGCGTGACGTCATTTTAACATCATCCCGTGACCGCTATCTTTACCTTTCCGATGATGTCATCACCCGCACCCAAGAAAAAAAGAAGCCTTTTTACTAACAACAACGTTATTATTCTGCGTTTACAGATCTGCCGAAGACCTTGCTGAGCTGTCTCAACTAGGCCACTTTCTCAAGGGGTCCTCGGCCACCTTGGGCCTGACCAAGGTCAAAGACGCTTGTGAGAAGATTCAGAACTACGGCCAGCAAAAGGACGAGTCCGGCAACCATCCCGAACCAGATAAAAGCAGGTCACTGGCCAACATCAAGAAGGCCCTGGCAGACGCGAAGCACGATTATTATGATGTCGTTAACATTCTTAAATCGTTTTATGGTGATGAAAAGACTGCATAAATGGCCTTTCCAGTACCCACTTGTTTCTCATATCCCATACCATTTTCTCATGTCCTGACGGTTCTTTTTAACGGAGTAACTACTGCTACAATCCAGCTTTGTCTTTAGCCTTACGATACGCGCGAAGCGAAGTTTCATATCACGGCGACTTGATGATTTGTTTCCTCACGTCCCGAGTCCACTTCTCTATACCTGACCAGCAAGCCTCTTCCCTCAAACCTCCCTGTAGTTGTCTTCGATCATCTTATCTCTGTACTCACCAATGTTTTTAGACCCCCCAAAATCGGTTTCTCTCTACACCTACCTTTATGGATTGAATGCAATATTACCTTTTATCCCTTTCCCCTTTTTCCCCTTTCTTTTCTTTTTCTCTATCTTATCCGGTTTCCCTTCCGCTCGATACCATGGTTCACGCTTATATGCTTGTCTCTACATTAACTTTCGCTGATGTAAGTTTGAGCTGGCGTATTGAATAATTTTTGAAATTCTCTCTGCATTGGCATGATGGTGCTCCAAAAGAACGACTATAAAAGAAAAAAAAGATATAAAATGAATAGGAATTTGTGTTTTATCATTGCTCTATTGTTGCTCTATTTTTGTCGTTGTGCCTTTTGCTCTGGGACACTCCGAGGGTAGCTCAATTGATATGTGATTCAAAGTACAAAGGGCTGTTTATAAGCATTGAGAGTAAAACAGTTGTCTAGTGGTATAATGATGTGTTTATAGTTCTTTTATACAGAGTCCAAGAGCCAAAAAGGAAGATGGGGAGCTGTGGGTTAAAACAATACACCTCCCTCAAACGTCGTACAATATAACTGTCTAACGAACTGTAAAGAAGGAGTAACAAACGATCAAAACAATATAAACTAAGGAAGGCAATATCAACAAAAACAAAGCAGAACAGTATACACAGATAATAGGCTCAATAGTCATGGAAAAGTACTCAATGGGGTGAGTATAATCATCACATACCGATCAATCCCAGCGGTAAAGTGTCAAAAAAAAGGATGATAGGATATAGGTAAAAGGTCAAGGTCAAGGCCAAGGTCAAACAATAGTGGCATAGCTCCGTGCAGTCGTTATAGGAGGTGACTGTACACAGTACAGGACCAAGAATTCGTCATGTGGTGATTTACCGGAATCACTTCCAGTTCTTCAAGCGAGCAAGTTCCTGTCGGAAAGCGTTGCCCTCACGGCGCTGAACTTCGTTGAAAGTATCCGTGTCTGAAACTATCTGCTGACGCGATGGAAGTCGCTCAGGCGTGTCGGAATATTGCTGTCCGTTATCCTCCATGTCATCCAATCGGATGGAGCCGCCAGCACCACGTCCGCTTCTCATAGCTCTGGCATTTCTGCCGCCGTAGCCCTTGTTGCGTCTGCCCATGATGTTACTCAGACCGATTCGGCGCTGGTTCTTCATACCAATGCAGAGGCCGAGTAGGATCAAGAAAACAGCACCAAGGCCAAGAGGCAGGCCAATCAGGAGACCGAGAGGTTTGGGTGCTGGTGTTGGAGGGGGTGGAGGATGGTGTACCGGTGGTCTGTTGATAAGGGAGATGGTGGGACCAGTATGGCGGATCTTGTCTTTGCCCGCTGGGAGTTCGTCCATGAACAGCGTGAGGTTGTTACGTTTCTCGCCCTTGAGCCATTCCGGTCTCATCTGGACAGTGACATAGCTATATCTATTTGGGACATCGTGGGAAATCCAAGCATTAAGTCCTTCATTAGCGGTGACGTTGACGTAGTCTAAGCCAATTTTGACCTTAATGTCCGAACTGATGAGTGAAGTGAGCCAGGTTACTGTTAAGCAAGCAGTGTTAGCTAAACATGCAAAGCGATAGCCAGTTAAAACACAGATGACATGCTAATTAGCTACATACCATAGTAAGTGTCATCGACGTATACTTCTTGTTGGTCATGAGGCGAACAGAAGGGCTTGACAGAGAGGTCCTTTTCCGAGCTGCATGCCTGCGCTTCCTTTGGCGGGTCTCCAGAGTGCTCTGGGTCTTCCTCGGACCCTGACCCTCCGGTATCCGTGTCATCTGTAGGGGTCGGGGTCGGGGTAGGGGGCGCCGGCACCTTAGTTGACGTAGCAGAGCCGGAGGTCATGGAAGATTCGGTGCCGCTCGTAGCTGTGGACTTAGTAGTTTCAGTCCCCGTCGTCGTCTTTGCGACAGAAGTGGTTGACATGTCTGGTGGGTGGAATCACGTTAGACCACGGCCATGAGCAAATATAGCAACAGTAACATACCTTCGGGCGCTCTTTTGAAGTAAGCTGCATTCGAAGCAGCAACGCCGCTGCCCAGGGTGAGGGCAACGAGAGCTATGTTCCGTAGCAAGACCATGGCTGCGGTGGCTGGCAGGCTTCCAGCGGATGTTGTCCTGCGAAAGCGCTGAAGGTATCGAGTCCAATTGCCCTCTGACAAGCGTAGAGGATACCTTGTTCACTGTTACTCCCTATATACACAGTATCTTGCGACAGGCCGTGTACAGAGAAGATACAAAGATGCAGCGACGATGACGATGAAGAAAGCGAAAGGAGAGAAAGAGAGAAAAGCGAAGAAGAAAGAGAAAAAGACGCCAAGGAAAGCGCCTCGTAAAAAGCTTGTCTCGATTTCCCGGTATTTCGGGTGTAATAAATACGCCCCGAGTAACCCGCGGCTTCTTTCCTATTGGCTGAAGAGACTTCAAAGCCATCCAAAAGAGGTTAGGATGCAGGAACAATGGGTGTAATATTACGCGCTCGGTATATGATTTACACCAAGGCCGAAAAGCGCCTGAAACGAGCATGAGAAAAAAGACGAAAAAGGAGACATGAAACGGCTAAAAAAAAACGCAGAAGAAGAAGACGGTGAGGTTGGGAATAGATATACGGAGTACAGAAGATGTCAATTCGGTGATGGCTCGACTGAAAGGCTAGGCCTCTTGCTTGTGGCTGCCGTTTGACAGCCGGCTATTGAGGCTTGAAAGGGCTTAAGGTTTCACTAAGTTTATATTATGTATAAATGGATGATATGCCTTAGTTAGCGCCTCCAGAAACTATTTATATATTCTATATCGGATGAAGACAGATATAGTTCGTCTTTAAGTGACGAGGATGCCTGGGGCATCGGTCAATCTGCGATTCTTGTTCAACCGGCGCTGGTATCATTTCTTTGACAAGTGTATGGCGTGATGCTGGATGCATATGCTGCTGCTATTACTAGTCGAGCGACGGCATCCCACAGAACGCGTTGAGATACTTGACACCTCACAGCACAGTAGTCATGTTCAGCACTCGTCGAGTAGCTAGCATTCGAGTGAATATAAATATCCAATGCAATCCCTCCCGTTCCAACCTATTCTAACATATCAAAACCAAACTAAACAAACCATCTAAGCAAAACCATCTAAGCTCCGTTCTTGAATCCATCAAAATGCAGTTCTTCTATCTTGTTGGTTTCATCTCCGCCCTGGGATTTGCCTCTGCCCTACCAAACCCTGGAGATCCAAAGCATGATGTTGTCGATGAGGACTCCTGGTCCTTGCCTCTCATCTGGTCAGCCCGTATCCCAGGGAACGCACTCAAAAAGCGTGGGACCGCCAATGCCGATGTGAAGTGTTATAGCCGCACCTATTACCGCAATGACGGAACTTCCCAAGTATGTTGTCCGCAGTAAACAAAAGAATAAGCATAGTTGCTGACAGTGGTAGCATCAATATGTCGAAGTCGTTTGCTACTAGAGTCTTTGGTATCGAATTTGGGCGAGGGGATATCGGAGCAGCAGCCATTTGCGCTACTTTTGAGTTATAGTCACTCGTTTACAATAAAACCCGTTTTCAGTTGACTCCTTTTCATCTGTAGTAATTATCAGATTACTGTGGAAACTTGGCAATAGTCAACAAATGCTATTCCATATACCCATAATGATCATATTAGAATAGGCATGGTGTTATCGATATGGCGTAGCCTGGTTCCGATCTCCTAGATGAAATAGCATATCTGTAGAATGGAACAGTTTGAGTTCCATGGCACAGATATACTGGTAAATTGCAATATTGTCATTGAACCCAATTTTCAAAAAAAAAGCCGACTTTTCAGTTGATATGTGAGCTCGTAGATCCCATAAACAATACTAGAGAGAGAGGTATACACGTGTATAGAAAGCAAGGGTCCTATTGTCAAATACCGCTAGGCAAAAGCGTGAGCCCGCACTAGTCGTCAGATAGGATAAATTTATATCTTCAACACCTGCGTCTTGACTGAGTCGACTGTGTAGAACCTATGGTAAAGCAATAGATGCATGATGGATATGAACCATCGGGGGTATTTGCACCACAGTGATTTATATTGATTAAAAATGAATATGCAAGAAGTGCAAAATTGATAATCAAGAAGCCTTTTAAAGTCGCCATTAGCGGAAGATGTCGAAATTTCCCTTTTAGGAAAGCTGACTAAACATCGCGACGCCAACAAACCTGCGGATAAAATTTCTAATTTCAACTTAAGTTTTGACATCACAAACAACATGTTGGTTTGATGAAGACATTATGATGGGGTGCAATGCCCGCTCGCTACCGTTGACGAAGTGATATGATATCCTATTTGACGGCTACACACTTCAAAGCAAGTTTTCGGAACCACCCGCCGCCTCCAATCTCCAAATTCAATCATAGACCGTTATGTTGGCATTCCGATACCCACAGAGTATGACATGAAAGATGATGCAAACGGCCGCAAGCCCGATGAATAAAGAAGATAGAGGCTAATGATGATATTCCCCTATCTGCATTAGTTGAAAGGAGGTCACAATTCCAACGCCCTAACATGGATATAACTTACCTCGTTTAGGCCCCGGACTAAAAAGAAAATCTCCAATTTATGCCTTCTTTAGACAACACAGCTTCTCGATTGGGGTTACTACCATAAAGTGACGCCAAGAAGCTCTCGAGGCTGCTTGAAGTTTTCCTTCGAACTACCGAATCAGGCATTCATATGTTCGTTCATTTTTCCGGTATATCTAAACTTCAACATTCTGCATGCATTATGTGCAACTCTGAACTGCATCTACATTTTCAGGGGGGAGTTAGGTTGCTGATTTCGATTTGAACTAGATCATCTCGCAGTCAGCCCCGATGTGCTTGCAGCCTGTACTCAAATGAGAGCTCATGGAAAAAATCTTATATGGATTGCGGCACGATTATCCTAATCGTGGTCTAGCCATTGCATATTCTGGGCAACACTAGTTAGCTCTAGCTTGTTGTCTAACCCATACTACGGTGAAGCCTTGTACCAAATACTTATGAGCTCTGATGCTCCAACCAGACAAGGGTTGCATGTCTCAAATATCTGCCTAAAAGGATTCAACATTAGCGTCAAAATGGGCATATGATGGGCCAATTGGTTACAATGCGTGCGCCACCAACGTGAAACCTGGATGAATAGCTTAGTAGAGTGGGAGGATAGCATCCTCAAGCGATTATCCTCGTCTGATCGATATCTCGCTGCAACCTGTCTATCCGCGAGGTATACCCACACCTGTATTGCGAATACATATTTTCCCATTACACCTTTTACGATGTCTTCATCGATTTACTGACGCCCCAGTGCCTTCTACTTTTAACGTCCGTGCGAGCAGCCTAATTTCTAACCAACTCTCCTATGACATCCCCACCCTTGCCCCCTTTATCCACAGTATATTATGAATACTATAAAAACACTTGCCTTCAGAGCGATGATGACATTCTGCATTCGATGAGCCGGGATATCAACTCAAAGCCACACAAGCGGGGACAGATCAGCGCTCAGGTCCCAACCGTGCATTTCGATGATGAAATATGTGGAGTTAGAATCGACGATTAGTCCAGAATAATTTAGACGCAGCAAGGGAGCGCCCTCCCGCTATCCCCACATAAGCACAGGTATGACCCAACACCGTGCCTCGTATATTAAAGGGCTGACGAGGTGGGTGCAAGGCTTAGAAGGGAGAAAGGGAAGATCACATCATCGTACTCTGCACATAACTTTAATTGTTATCCAGTCTCGATGAAATGAACATGTTGATCGTGTGCACAGTCGCTAGTTAGCCTCTTGTCTCTGATCGCTTGCCTCAGGCTCTAAATGGCTCGCGTGCAAGTCAATTAGTCGAAAAATTTCCTCAATTGGTTGTCACCTGCAGGATCTAGCTCATATTGCGAAGCGGCAAGCCGGTAACTGGATCTTAAAATTTGCCCTTGACGTATAAGGTTGCCACTCGGGCTTGTTACCCCAGATCATCATACGTCATCCGATCGCTAATTCTTCCCTAGGGTTCTATATTCTTCGTTCCTCCTCTATGAAAGGGTAATTATGATAGCGGATGTCTATAGCTGAAAGTATTTCGGCATCCACGTGTAAATGGGATATCCCTAATTAACTGAGGCTGTGATTCATCCCAACCTTCTCTGTGATATTTCTTCCTTACGTGAAAAGTATACGCTGGGGTACCCCACAGGATCCTTGACTGCGCCGAGAACATTCTCTGAACAGGGTCTCCGAACTACCGCCGAATGATTATTTTACTGGGTACCGATATGGTTAATAAGGTACTAAGCTGATGGCTCGAGCGCTGCATCAACATGTAACTAATTGGAGTGGGTTGGTTGATCTTGCCAGCTGGCAAGATGGCCAGGTTGAATACAAGATATGGGCGATGAGGCAAGCTTGCTCTTGTGTCGGGGTTCCTAAACTGGCAGTAGAAGAAACGAAAACGACTTAAACAAACCATAGGCTCACCAGGATACCACGCCTTTAAGAAGGATGGACTTAAGCCACCCACCCTTTGGCTTAAGCCCTAGCCGAGAATCCCTCGTGCTGCTTCGAAAATCAGTTTGCCTGCTTTGACGGATGCCGTTTCTGTGTCCGAACGCGAAGCATTCAAGGTTCATACCTAGGTATTTAGGTAATGGTAGGCGATCGTAAAAGAAAGTAGATTGGATGCCGCCTGGCTGCAGGCTACCCTGATTCCCCGTTATATGCAGACCACTTCAGAATTACAGGCACCTGCAGTGGGAGCGTTACTACCCAGACTTAGATTAAGTCTGAGAGCGAGCCCACCAAAGGGCAAACCCTAAGGGAAAAGTAGACGTATACAGGGGACACTTATCCATGGCCGAAAAGGACAAGCATGTATACGGGGTGTAAGGGGAAAAACGAAAGGGATCGTAATTGCCGATTTTCACACTTATACTAAGTCAGCGCCTGCATGCATAAGTATACTAATTTAGGCCACCTTTGATATGGCCTCTAGACAAAAGTTAGTTAGATTGTTTGTATGGTTTAGGTAGTGAGGGTGTTTGTCGGCTTATGAAGCCGCATATACAAACTTGCGGTTAGAGGCCGGGGTGGTCGTGGTGTAATCAATTATAACTAGTTATCGCTAGATGACCGGAATCTTGATGTAGCCAAGTACGGGATGCACAAAATGTAAACCCTTGGTCCCCGACAGCTTATTTATATCATTATACGACGGGTAAGGTTACTCTAATTAACGAGACGGGGTTGGAAACGAGGTTGACACTTTCCAGTCTTCCCCATAGTTCCCAGAGATTCCGCCGCCGTTGGTTTGTCCAGGGGCCGCAGAGACTTTTATAAACCGGCTTCCTTTCCCCCCTTCTTAACGGTAAAAGGGAGGAGAAGAGAACAGGCATACTGGTCTTCCTTCCACGGGGTATTACATTCAATATTTCATTCGCTGTCACGTTATCATACAACAAAAACCCCAATACATGGATTGGGATGACCATGCAGGCAGGACCAGGGGAAGCAGACTAACAGGCAAATATTGCAAATCGTTCCAGTGTTTCCCTGTATACTCCACACTCCTCATTCCCGATATCAGTACGAAGTAACTGAGAATGCGTTGGCCGGATAAGCAAGGCTTGCATTAGGCGAACGGCAATCCACAACGCGTGTCCTGAGGCAGTTGTGATTGGCTTGGATCATGGAGCACGACGACCAAATGAGCATTCAGCTTTTCTAGAGAAAAGCGAAAAGAAAAAACCATCATGAGGACAGTTCAATCCCAACGGCTATGATTTGGGCCCCGGTAGCTAACATCAAAATGGACGAAAATAGACGCATGCTGCAGGCTGATCCGCACAGCTTAAAAACGCCAGCCTGTCCCTTGGTATCAGCAGGAGAGGAGAAAGACGTAGGTACCCGGATGGATATGTTGGCCCAGAAGACTAGAACGGAATATCGACCCGCTTATCACTGCACCCTGAAGAATACGACGGGTACTAGTCCACTTGGTAATTAAAATTGGTGGTATCATATGCCAGGGTTATCATGGGATGCAGAGTCAAGATAATGAACAACGCCGGAACGTGCCTATTGGCATTTTTTTCTTGAGCTGATAATATTTACCGGAAGGTCAATTCCCTGTGTTGGCGGATTAAGCGGAATCACCTAGTAAGTGTCACCAATGACTCGAAACCATCAAAGAGATATGGCAGTTGTCGAACCAACAGGCCTGATTCTGTCTCACGACGGGAGCCCACGGCCAACCAGATACCATTATGCGTTTTCCTCATCAGCAATGATAGTGTATGAATAGCTGGCGTAATAATAATATCGATATCGATATTAATGGCTGAAGAGTTCGACGCAGACGACACGCAGATATGCGCGCACAAATACCGTATCGCTCAAGACGAGCTGTCATACCCTATCAGCCCAAACCCGGCCCATATCGTCTGCAGTGCAGAAATAACAACCACGCGGGGATGGTAGCCGTGGACGCTATGGTGCGAGAGAAAGTTGCCCAAGGTCAGCTCCATGTCTCGCCATAAGGTTCTCATGTGGACAACAGCCCTGTCCAGAGATTTCAGCTTCTTTCCACGGTATGAATGTAAAGTTGTCGGTATCCTTGCCTAAGCAATGCCCCATTCTCTCAACCCCTACCAGAGAGGGAGCCAATCCCACCCTATGCTTCCTAGAGGGGGCCGTTCCGGTAGAGCGGTTACCGATCAGCATGGCCGCGCTGCAAAGTCGACATTTGAGGTATATTTTGTCGACATTATAGTCTAATGGGAACAGGGGATCCGAAATTTGTCCGAACCTTCTGCGCATGCTGTGTGGTTGGAGGCCGGGGTCAACCTAGTCGCACATGAAAAATAGGTTTTTATATTGCTTTTCCGTCGTATGCACCGAGTTATGTACGAGAATAAACTTACTGCATTGTGACGTTGACGTATATTTGTTGACTTCGCGTTCAACCACACCCCCTTTTTCTCCCTTTTTAAGTGAAGTTTATCAAAATAAGAAATCTAATCAGGGCCGCAGAGCACGTAGATGATGCATAATGTTTGCTAACTCAATGCTTCGGAGACCCTGGGGGTTGAAGATATAAAAAACCGAGAGACCGCCGTGGGTTGTCGGCCCCGAGCAGTTCCACACTCGGCCTCTTTTACCACATTCTTATTCTTATTCACTTCTTTTCTAGCCAGCCTAGCTCTTCTCTTTTCCCGAGGGCACACCTAACTTCCAATTGAAGTGGTCTGATGCCTTGTATACCTAAAAGAGGATTCGGTCTAACCTTGTTTGATTATTGATTTACCGAAAAGAAGAAGACAATATGTCGACCCCCGTTGGACCACGAGCATCCAAGGATGACTTCATGCGTGCACTTGGTCTAGATGCAAACAATCCTCAGCATGAGCCATATTACCGTGCCATGAGGGTGAGTGACCCAGCAACATGGTATAAGGAATCCACCTACCAATTACAAGCCCAAGTGTTCCAATGCATATAATGTCGGAAAGGGAGGAATGCTGTGGAAGAAGGGTATGCAGCGGAATGTGCAATTGCTGATAATTTACCTTATCAGGATGAAGCCATTGCAGTGTACAACTATATGCATCGAAGCAACTCGGACTTGCTTGATAACTATCGAGCCGACCCAAACATGCGGCCACCGTATTGTTGGCATTACATCCGCCCCGAACGACAGCGCTGGGGTGTGATGGAGATATGGAGGAATTCAGGGCCTGTGACACGACCCCTATTTGACCGCGGTGCTACCCATGGGGAGTATGGTCCTAATTGGGTTACTGGATGGCTGTTGTACAGTGTATTCCGGTCGCGGGACATACGCAACAATCGCCATCGTAACCAGAACAAGAAAGACCAAGGCGGCGGCGCCAACGGTGGTAGTGGCTGCAGTAGTAGCAGCAGCTCCGGTATATTCAACACTTTCGTTTCCCCTTTCCCAAATTAGCATAATAATGTGCGCTATTCAATGACTGTCAAGCAAAGTGTACTAACGGTTTCCTCTCTGATGAGGCCGATTTCGGTTCAAAGGCTCAAAAAGTCCGTCCTCAAGTTGTGAGACCCAGACAAAATCGACCTATTATGATCCTATCAGGAACTGAAATTCGACCGGGTTTCTCGTCGTTGCTGTATCAGCATGTCTAGCGGGCCGGGCGGCTAATATTGCGGGACAAATTCCTTCATAGATTGAAAATATTCTTCCTCCCTTTCGCACACATACACATTCGCTTTTGTCTTTTTTTTTGTTGCGTGCATCGCTCATTGGATTATGCTTGGTTCTTCTTCTTTTTTTTTTTTTTTAGTGATTTCATAGGATGAGCTAATTGGCCAACAATTCCCCGTTCTTCGTTGCGCTTCCTTTTTCTGTTTCCCTTTTCGTCTGCTGAAAAATTTCTTCATCATTCACTTGCTTTCGCCAAATTGGGTTTATGGACAATTGTTACCCTTCCTTTCTTCGCAACGTTAATACAGGGCTGATGAGGAAGCCGCAAAAAAAAGGAGCCTAGTGCACAAATCCATGATTCTAATACCTAGACCATAGCTATCTTGAGGAGGTGGGGGGGAGAACCGATTCTAGATAGCATCTTTTTTCGAGTTTCTAGAACTAGAACACGATGTGTGGTTACACAGTCATCCAAGCGCCAATGAAAATCAAGTTCTCCCCCCTCCAGAAATCAATTTCTCCTTTGGAGTTAAGTACAGGGATTCCGGCGGCTGATATTGACGTTGGCTATTGCGGGATGGGCTGGAGGACCTGCTTTACGATGAGCAGCGCCAGGGGGCAGGGTTCAGGGTATGTATCTGGTGGAGGGTCGGAGGGGTTCATCATTTGATGTGTCAACGTAATCATGGTATCATCACTGAGTTTGAGGGATTGGACGGGGCACTGGTCACGTATACGGCCAACCAAGGACATAAACATGTCATTCCCAATCCTTCCCTTCTTGTCATCTTCTCATCTCTCCGTTGTCGTTGTGGTTGTTTGATCTCGTTGTCGTCGCAGCGACTGACCCATAACTAATATTAGTAATTGACCGGGCACTATCACGTGTTAACTACTGCGGCTCAATATCTTTATTATGTAATCAATATTCCCCAAGTTCAAATCCTGATGCTTCAACAACATCTTGAAGTTAAGATCTTTAGAAGAAGTCTTGAGAAGGTCAGTACGAGCAGCCTCAGCTCTCATTGCCCTTCGTAAATTGGTGTTCCTCTAGGCATGCTCGGCCAAACGTTGAAAGGCAGGCTGGGGATTTACACAGTCACCAAACAGTTATAGGATTTTGTCTGGGCCGCAACGTATGTGTTCATATTAGGGCTAAGTAATTGAGAATATGGCCTTATGATGAATCTAAGCAGGAGCCAATATGAAAGAAAAGTGGTGATCAAAGTGGTAGACCACTTCCGTCTACAAAACGAGCGAGACATCTTGCGCCGATTCCAACACAAATCACCATTTTACGTCCACTACTTGATGAAATTCAGGAGCCCTCAACTCCTCCTGCCATAGTGTTAAAGCACTTGGATGACGATCTGTTGAATGCTTCTGATACCCAGCGCCTCACTCGGCCAGAAGTAAATATGTTTCCCAAAAGGATCCTGAAGCATCGCGTAATCCACGAACATGCTTTGTTCACACTGGTGGGCTACCATTTGATACTTTGGATACCCTACCTAGCATGGATACTTTGCTGATTGGTTGGGTGCAGATATCAAGCCTAGCAATGTGTTGGTGAATTACAGGCAAGAGAACAAAGAAGGCAGCCGGTTTTCAGATGTGCAGTTAGCTGATTTCGGGAGCACTGTTCACAAGGACTCTGACTATGCTAGACGTGGAGATCCCATTGGGACAGCAATATTCAGAAACCCAGAGGCGCAATTAGAGATGACATGGGACACCTCTACTGATATCTGGTCCTTCGGAACAATGGTAAGCCGACACATTACAGGTCTCGAACAGTTAATGATTAACTTTTTCCCAGCTTATAAGCCTTCTGTACGGGGAAAGGTTTCATATATTCAAACCTGATGTCCCGGTCGACCATGAAGATTATGATCTTAAAATTCTCGTTAAAAATTATAGATGCTTTGGACCCTTCCCGGTTTCTTACGAAGAGATAGCTGATGCTCAAAGACTAGGAGTTCTGATGTGGATTATGGAAAATACCCCTAAACATACGTTGAAGCCATTTCAGTACACAACTTCACGAGAGATTTGCCAGGAGGATAAGGAATTTGTGCTGAGAATAATGAAGCTTGATCCGCGAGATAGACCGACAGCACATCAACTCTTGGAAGACGAGTGGTTCCACCAAGTCTAAAGGAGAGGTAGGGAAGTGTAAGAAGTCTAGAGACCTAAGAGGTAGATTTCGGCTAAGAAGGGCTGTGTAAGGTACTAAATATAGGAGCCTATGTATACCATGCCATCTCTTACTTTGTCCTTAGTCCTAGCCTCTAGTCTAACTTCGAATGTCACCATTACTCAGAAACTCCCGCACTTTGTGTGCTACAGGTTGATAGGCTCATTCAACTGCACTGCAGCTGGCTGATATTACCCCGATGGAAGGACAAAAGGAAAAACGAACCAAACTTTCAGTTGGTATGACACGAGAAAAGGAAATCATGGCAACGAATAAGAATGAGCCAACACAAGAAAAGAAAGGGGAAAAATCCCTTCTGATTCAACATGTGCTGGGAGAGTTCATTATTTTCCGCTGTTACATATCACATGGGGGGATAAGGCCGAATGGGATGTTTTCCCACCGTTAGATGGGTGTGATGGCCAAGGTGATGAATTTCCTAACTAATGGTCTTATGTTGGAATATGTCTTTTATGTTGGTGACTAACTATTAATCAGGGAAGTGAAGGAGTAGCTAGGTACTTGAATGAGAAGACGGGAAGATTTGTATTTGCATATGCAGCGTATATTCTCTCTCGAAGGTCCGTTTTAAGAAAGTAGATAAGGCGTTTTCCAGAGCCGTCTTCATTGAAATCGTCAAGTCATGCATGCTTGAGAGCATTGCGGCTTTGCTTGGAGTCCTATAGAGATGAGATGGGTCAGAAACAAGCAAGGAAAAAGAATAAAGTCGTAGGTGGTCATTCAGTCATAATTCGTTTTTGTCGTTATATATTTTTGTTTTTGGTTGTCATCGGGAGAATAAGTAGGTAGGTGAGTTGCCGAGTATCCGATCCGACTCGACTGTCGGGACAAGGCAGAGGTAAGAGCAAGACAAGTCGCTGTGAAATCAAAACGTAAGAGGCGTAGCTGGGCAGTGGAAGGATGTCTGCTGTGCAGGGCAGGCAGTTATGGACAGTTCCGTGTCGTCCGCTTCCAGATTGGGCCACGAATCCCGCCGCTTTTCCTTCTCGCTGACTCACCCGAATTTCCTCCCCTTATGCAGGAGGTAATAGCAGCGTCACTACAAAGTAACTAGGTAACTAACTACCTACAGCCGAGCTAAGTGAATAATATCATGTATAGGCCACGGGTTATCTTTAAGATGCTTTTCTCCATGGCTTTGACTTGCACAAGTAACTACGTAATAGAGTGAGTCCCGCGGACTTCAGTGCCATAGACTAGGACGTAAGATTGCCTTGCAGGATAAAAGTAACCAAACAAACATGATACCTAGATAAGTTAACAACCACGGTTAAGCCCTACATAGGGCTCATCTTATCACATGACCCATTCACTGAGGTCAGTTCTAGGTAGCCTAAGTGGTTTTTATTTAACCTCCAAGTCTCTCCCTCTCTCCCTCTCTCCCTCTCTCCTCTCACACATTCATGGTTGATCGTGGCTTCGTACAGACATGCACCCATTACCAAAGATACGGAGTATCCTTGGGGCATTAGGCCTTTTTGTCCCTTCTAACAGCTTTCGTTGCTCCCCAGGCTGATCCACCACTGTCTCCACCAATCGCAGGCCAAGACTTCAGCCACCCGGTTCATTCTAAACTTCAGCAAGGATATCAGTGGGCCGCTCTAACGACTTCGTTGTGATGGCTACGACTGCGTTGAGCTTTGCTTCTCCTGTAACGCACACTGCTGGTGGCCCCTTTTGGCCTCGCCCCTCGCGAGATGGGAGGTGCCGTTTTTCACGAGGCTCCAGTGATGACAGCGATGAAGTGCGGCCGGACGGTTGGACAGTCCAGGACTTCCGTGTCGGTGGGCCGAAGCTTGCACAGTCCCCCGGCGACACGATTCCTCTCTCGCCTGGTAGCCAGTATAGATCAGTGCTTGACGCGCGATCACACCTAAGCGATGCCGTCCTTAAAACCCTCCAGTACTATCACATTCATACCAGGGCGTTTGTTCTGTGTCACCGGCGGTGTGCTTACTTTCCAGATGAGGATCCTGTGCCTACTCTCCTCGTGGTTGCAAAGAGACACTCTGCAAAGGACCAGTGGCTTATTGCTAGTAAAGCCCTACATGGCCTTCTTAACGCACATGGCCTTTCTATTTTCAATGTGGAGATATGTGATAAGCGGGCTAATCCGGAAACCTACTCCTCTCCTGTTCCATCCTCCGATCCTATATACCCTTTGTGGGACAAGATTCTGGCTCAGATACTCGACAAAATTGATTTGTCACATATTTTGACCATAGAATGTCTTCGCTTTGGCGAAAGCAGTGACCGAGATACTAACCCTATAACAGTCTTCCTTACTACTGCCCAAGTATCGACTTCTTACTCTTGGAAAAATACCCGAGAAGCAATTGTATCAATACTTAGCTCCTACAGTCTAGACCATGTAGGGATATTTATTGCACACGGTCGTGTCTACCGAAGCACCGACAGCTTCGATCAATTTTTACCGGAATCCGCGTGGCAGGCGCCCCTACAACTCGGTTTGAGCCTTGGGTTATATCAATCTACTTATTCATCCTCAACTTTTGGCGGATGGATTGAGATTCAAGAGCATGAAGATTCGGAATGGATTAGACTAGGAGTGACGTGTTTTCATTCCGTGATCCCAAACTTGGGAACGCTCTCGTCCAAGGACCGGTCAGGTATAGAATCGAGAATGTTACGAGTGATATCTATAACCCGCCACTAACATTACATCCTTTATAGAAATATATGATGCATTCTCGGTAGGGATTCCAGCCAACGACCCTATTGGCAGGAGGCTACGGGTTGAGCAGCCGAGCCTCAAGGATGCGACTGCAGTAATCAATGAAGCATCTCGCATGTTGGATCGAACTCCAGACCAGAGTTTCCAGGAAATAAAAGAAATCATCGACAAAGGTGAGGATGTCAGCCCACGATCACGCCAACGATATGACAGAGTGACTGCCAAATATGCAGCGGTAAAGGCTTCCCTGTTAACGACTAAGGAATTTCACGAACCCCAACTGCCATGCAGTGAGCCATGCAACAATCTGTTTTCTTCCTCGTTACCAATTAACCCCCGCTGCGGCACAATTTCAAACTTGAGAGAAGATTCATTTTCTCAGTCGTATGCAGGTCATGTCTACGCGGCCTCTGGCTACCGTCAAATTCTGTCTAGCAATATCTCCGAAAAAAGAATGAGGCAAGCTAACTGGGCTTTGCTTGACGCTCCCAAAGCTAGACAATCCAACAACTCTGTATGTCCTTCCACTCCCTACTTGATCTTTATTTATTTATCTATTTGTTTATTCGTTTTACTGATTGTTGGTATTCATTCTAGGTTCGAACATATGGAGATATAAGTATTTCTTCTGATTTATTCCCACTGGAATCTTTCAAAGGCCTTCCAAATGAAAATACTTCACTGTTCAAACTGGGACGTTCAACCAGAAGGACAATGGGGAAATTATCGGGACTGGTGAGCGCGCATATTCCCACGCATAATCGAGATGGTGGCGATTCAGTGCTACCAACCTACGAATATGCCGTTTTCGCAGACGTAGGGACACGTTTTTCGGACCCTGGAGATTCCGGTGCGTTGGTGTTTGACGGAGATATAAACTGTGTTGGGTTACTCTTTGCTGGGAACTCCACTTCAAAAGCCTCCTACATCACTATCCTCCCTGATCTTTTTGAGGATATTAAGGCTGTTACTGGCGCTTTCGACGTCCGTATTGCCAGAGACATACCTGGTCTCGAGAACTATTAATCTCTTAATTAGGCAAGCCTGTATGACCGAATGTATTTTTAACTCCCTAGTTCTTATTAGTTTATAACTAACTGTTGGACCACAAGGGACAAAGAGGGCTAATGGCCTAAGGATACCTTGGGTAATGAGTGGGAGTCGTAGTTAAAGTGGAATATTCCAACACTAACTACCTGAGTTGCTCCGGACACTATAACTAGTTATCGATAAATAATTCAGTATGATTCTAGCTAGTTTACTAGACCCCAATTAGTTTTCTCGAATATACGTAGCTGAGCAATATGCGAAAAAATACAAGTAGTTCTTCCTATCAAATATTTAGAAAAGCAGGAAAGGAAAACTGTTTGCTTAACCTCATCCTCAAAAAAACCGTTACCACCAGTTAATGGTGTAGATAAATATAGAAAAGAGTAAACGAATGTTGCAGAATATGTCTCGAGTAAAGAAATGGTTTTATTGGATCCTAACTAGGGTCCCTAGTCTCTGCATTCTCGCGAAATACAAAGGCATTCGGCTGATTTCGTGCGAATTCACGGAACTGCATTTTGATAAAGCAGCCATGTTCTCATACTAGAATTGAAGAGAAATCCAGATATTAATTTGAATCTATGAGGTAATAATGTGTCGTGGTCTCGTGTCTCATCGCCCGTAGCTGTGTAACCATGTAAAGAAGTGTGATGGATGGAACGTTGGATTCGGAACTATGTGATAAGCCCGTTGATTCGTTCATCCACCCCCTTTTTTTCTTTTGCATCCGCCCGGAGTAAAGTGCAAGGGTTGGTTGGCAGCTGTATTGGTACGTAAGGTATGTCAGCACTATGCAGAGTGTGCATAATGTGATGGTAATCCGTTAAAAAGAAAAGTCGAGCTGAAGCCAAGTTAGAATTTGTTTGGTTCATGCAAGTCGCGGAAACCTCCTGACAGTCCCCCGATGCATAATCTTACCTCTCTCATAGCCGTCGGTTCAGTGTCAGCAGTACTTCCCCGGGGAACTACCTCCACTTCCTCTCATAGCTTTCCGGGCTGCTCCCTCCACTCCGACTGTCGCCGCTGCTGGTGGTGGACGTGTCGGTGTCATCCCCATATCTTGGCCGTCGGTCTTTGCCAATTGCAACGGGTATTCCCTGGACGACACCACCGTGGTCATGGCCGGCAGGGTACATGCCGTCATTAACAGAGAAGTTTCTGCAGATCAGATAAGCTCGCATGGCAGCTTTCTCACGAGCAAGCAGTTCAGTCTGGCAGACTTCATCGGTTTGGTATTCGCGGTTATTGACCCGGACGACGCATGTGTATCCTGAGCCTGAGCCGTTTACTTGCTCGTAAAGGGGCTCTGGCCAACGACGGCGGCGGCAAAGACCTGCAAGGAACAGAATACATGTTATTGGCTGGTCTGGTACGTTTTCAAACAGAGTGCTATGTTGGCTCTTTAGAAAAGAAAGGAAAGGGAATGAAGTGATAGAGGCGCAAAAGCAGTGATTTAGACGTCAGGGAAAGTCTATCAAGAAGCCACAGGGTCACACAGTGTTGATTAATTCCAGCATTGAGCTTGGGGGAGTATAACCAGTACACGACACATGGACTAGGGGGTGTGTGTTATTTAGAAAAATAAACAGTTATTTTTCTCTGTTTTTGCAAAAAAGTAAAAGGTCCATTACTACAGAGAGACAATTGGACGATGAATCTGGATATCCAGCATGAGAGAGAAACCAGGATGCCCCCTTTTTTTTCTCCCACCAAACGGCATCACCAAATAGAGGAAACACAGAAGCATTGGTGTCCAAGGGAGCAAGCAAGTGAACGCGCAATTGATTGGATAACGATGAAACCAGTATGATACGAAGATGGGGTTGGATGAATTGGTTGGTTTAAGGCTGGTCAGGGGAGGAAATTGGTTGGTTGTGTTGATTTGATAGGGCGGAAAGGATGGAGAGAGGTCACATACTCGCTAGGTAAAGAATGTAGTACATCTTCGAGCCCAATAGCCGATGTACCCTTGAAACGCAAAAAAGACACAGACAGAGAGGCAATTGGGTATCGTAGGGAATCAACCCGTCAAGTCCTCAGGCAGGAATACTACTATTCTTAGCCCGGTTGGTTGGTTTGGTTGGTTGGATGGTCTAAGCCCGACTCTCCCAGTCTCACGATACGGCGTTCGAGCACGAACGAACCCGATCCAGCCGCAGGAATGTGCAAGCGTATGCTTTTCTTTTCTCGACCGAGGCAGTTTAAGAAGACAGAAAGCGGACGAAAAGGCTCAATCTGGAACCGAACTGTGGTTTGTTGTGATTGATGCCCAACAGGTGCCGGCTAGTAGTACACGGGCATTGAAAAACAAAGACGAGGCTGTTTCTTCAGGGCGAAGTCAGGTAGAAATAAGGAGGAATTGGTAAACGAACTAAGAAGAGACGCAGGACCAGGACATGAAGGGATAAAATGGGCGGTTGTTAATGTTAAGGGGGGAGGCAAGGTTGTGCTATGTGTAAGGGTCAGGAAGGAAGAATTGAAGGATGGTCTACAGAGGATACAAAAAGGACGACGGCCGTGAGTGTTTGTGTGTGTGTGTGTGGTATTTCTCTTATCTAAAAATAAAAAGCAAGAAGAAGACGAGCAGCCATTCTAGACGGCCAAGTCAGAGACGTCAGTAAGGTAAAGTAGGGTAATTAAGGAAGTATAACTAGTTAGTTATGGAAGAGAGCGGAGGAGGCTCGCTTTTGAGAGGCAGAGAGGAGAAAAAAGCTGCCTTGTCTTGCAAAAAAGAGATGGCAAAAGAGAGAAACGGGTGGGGCTATGATGATTCGCATATAAGGAATAACGATGATATATCCTTGGAAGGAGTTGGCGTTGACGTTGTCGTGATATTGACAGTATCATTCAATGGGTTTGGTGGTGGACGTTGATGTTGATGTTGATGTTGAAGTCAACAACCACAACCACCACCACCACCACCACCACCAGAACCAGAATCACCAACAAGAGTTACCACCATCAGCCATAGACATCATACATCATCTCTAAACGTCCCAGGAAAGAGGAGACGCATCTCCTCCAGGTCCTGACGACAAACACACATACTTTACCCGATTCTTGCTTTTTTCCCTTTTTCCCTCCCACTTGGGTTTTTTGACGGTTGATGTGTTGGCAGGTTTCCTCGCCAGTGAAGCGTTAGTTAGGGGGGACCCAGACAGGATGAAAGATCGAGAACCAGCAACCCTTCAGCATCCACACCCCGGCCTCAGGGAGGCAGCTGGCGAATCAGCGCGCCTGCAGCTGCGTCGATCGAGAGGCTATGGGACGCTTCGTTAACCCCGGGTCTGGTTCGGTTTTTGGCGCTGCGTTGTTGAGAGGAGGGCAGAGCCGGGGGGTAGCGCAGTTTGCGATAACTACCTATATGCACGGCTTGTACCTGGTTCTGGGTTATGCAGGCGGCGTGTTATTTTTTCCTTTTCTTTTCGCCATGGTTTACGAGATGTGATGTCCATGGATGATATCATGGCCGGGTAAGTCGTTAGCTAAAGCTCGTTGAACGAACCGGTTGATTTGACGCCTGCAGGCGATTACCGAGGCATGGAGGCGTTGTGAACTACTTTTTTTGAAGTACGGCTGGGCTGATCCTGAAGGCTGAAGGCGAAAGTGAGGATGCAGGAAGAGTATATCCATCATCACTAAGTAGCTAAATAACTGGACAACCAAGACCCTGCTTGGTGGAAGTGGAGGCTGTCGAGCAAATCCGAGAGTTGACGCTGAAGATGTCGACAAACTGCTCTACTATCGACAAGGGTTCGGTGCTGGGCCTCGTTCAAAGACGAGTAGGAGTAGGTAGGAGTAAGCATGTCTATCTTGTCTGCCTGGCTGCCTGTCTGCCTGTCTCCACCGGCCTGTCTTGCTTGAGTGCAGCTGCAATGCATGTAATTATGTAGCTAGCCAGCCTGGAGGCGGAGAGAGATGCGCTGGCAGGCGACAAGAGTGAGTCTTTACGCAGCGGGTTAGATTCCCGTGTTATCAAAGAAAGCCGCGGGCCGTTAGAAGTTGGACATTCTATATATTCGCGCAACGCAGCCCCATGGATGAAGATTAGACAAGGAAGCCTAGGGTTGTAAGTGTAAGGTAAGTGTGAGAGCGAGTGCGAGTGTGAGTGGAAGCGGAACGGGAGTGATCAAGTCGAGTCGAGTGGAAGTTATGCGTTGTCCCGAGAGCGACAGGCATCTTTGATGCAGTGATGAGTTGGCAAGCGGATGTTTTGACTATTTTTATTTTTCAAAACAAAAAAGGCGATCAAGGCTGTTTGTCGTTTTCTTGTTTATTTCGCATAATCTAACGTATTAGGTAAACGAGTCAGGTCATGTCAAGTGGTTAAAAGTGGTTGAGTGGTGGAGAACAAGCATGGAAGTTTCTTGCTTCTATGTTTCAGAAAGAGGCGGTTTTGAAGATGTAAGGAGATGTCGGAGGAGAGAGGATGGATTGCCACTGGAGTCTTCTTCAACTTAGCTCGCAGGGTTAAGGGCGGGAGCAGGGCAGGGCGCGTAGGGACGTACATATTGAGCATGGATTAACAGGCGTACATACATAGTTACATGGATTAACAGACAGACTTCATGCATAACTACATACGACCCTACCTCCGCCATCGAGATGCAGCTGCAGAGTTATGTATGTAACTACTAAGCAAGTAATTCATGCACCAAAGAAGCGGAGAAGAAGCAGGGTGAAACGTAAAGGGCAAGCATGCTGCCTATCTTCTCTACTTAAAGCATGGCTTCTTCCTCTTCTTCCCCTTCTTTTTCGTCCACAGGCAGATGCAGAACGACAGGCAGACAAAGAAGTCCTTGCATGTCAGGACATGACATGGCACTGCATCTACTAGTAGCTATGTACGTACGTCAGTATACATGAGATGAGGAAGAAAAAGCACTAGCGTGGTTGACTGGCTAGCTGTCCGGAGACGGAAGGGAGATGGGATTCGCGGTGCACCATGAATGAATGGCGTCGACGGCAGCATGCGGGATGACGAATAGAGGGTGCAATGGCGCCAGCTGGTCCTTTTCCTCGTAGACCGTGTCTGTGTCGTCTTCTCGGACGGGAATGGGAGATGCAGTCCATGCGAATGCAGCTTCTAGAGAAGAGGAAGTAGTGGTAGTGGTGGAGGTGGTGGTGTTGACATGCGTGTGCTGGGCACTGCTTAGGCCAGCCAAGGTGTAACATGTATGATGAGAATCCGCGTGTCTAGAGAGTTGTCAGCCTTATCCATACAGTAACTAGCTAACAGGCTGGATTGGGGATGTTGATCGGGGATGGCTTACTTCCCCGGCTTATCCCGCAGGCCGCCATACTGCGACTGGCAGCAGTTGAGGATATATCTGGTCAAGCCCTCGCGACTGTAGAGGGAAGCCACTGATTCAGATTCAGAAGTAGAGGCAGACAGGGCCTGTTGGATCAGCGGCCAACATCCTCCGACCCAGTGGCTGTAGCAGCCATCGACCAGCTTGTTGGTCCTGCCCGAGAAGCCGCCTTCGGGTGCATACTGTCTTGCCGAGAGCCAGGATATCAGCGACGGCAGATCCGTATACCTTCATCCCGTCAGTTTAACAATAAGATAAATAGGAAGTGGTGAGTGGTTACTTGTTGAGCATGGTATGTGGGTGGCCCATGATGCAGAGACATGCGACGGCGCAGTAGGTGTATGCACCATGGGCCTCTGTGCCGGGACTCCCTGAGAACCCTCCCTCATACGTTTGACCTACATCAATCAATCATCAGTGTCTATCAAAAGTAAAACGAAGAGTGAGGACGCACATCTGGCGAGATAATCCGGCAGCCCGCTGGTGAAGTGGGAGAGTCCCGCCTCGCGCGCAGGGGCATCTGGTGGCAACTCTAGCGGTATATCCAGCAGGGCTATCATTACCATAGCGCAGTAGGCTCCTCTTTTATCCCAAAAAGAAGCAGCAGCATGACCCAAGTTAGCGGAAGTTTCTAAACGAGGTGGAAGATAAGAAGAACTGACCGGACGTCCTGCTCGCCTCCAACGCTGACTTGAAACCCTCCGTCGGCTTGTTTGAGCTGTCCCAGCCATCTCCAACTACTGCCGTTAGCATATGTTAAAATAGCAGTAGCATATGATTAAAATAGAAGCATTAGCAGCATTAGTATCAGAAGAGGGACTAACCAGGCGAGTCTGTCGATAAGGGCGAATGCTTCTTCCCCTCCGACCATGGCCAGGCTGAGGGTCAGGGCATAGGAGGAGGCACAGTGAGCCATCTGTCCATGCCCGCCGCCAAACCCCCCTGAGCCACTCTGCATCGGCGCAGCAGTAGCAACAACTCTGTATCCGTCAACACTGCACATCAACTCAAATCAAAGTAACGACCAAAGTAACGACAAAGTAAGAACGAAAGTAAGAGACTAACCTTCTTCTGAAGACACTGACGTCTTCTCCTAGGAGTGCCAGCCCCGTCAAGGCCCAGTAGACCATCCACGGCCTGCTGGCGTCCAACCCGACAAAGCGCGCGGGATAGTCCCCCAGCGCATCCAGCAGGTACTCTACATGCAGCTCTCTGGCCAGCGACTGCACTCCATGGCCGTTGAGAGGCAGCGAGAGAGACGCCTCTTCCCCTCTGAGAAAGGGCAGGCATCTGCCGACGACCTCTGCCTGCGCGCGGGAGGTCTCTGTCTCTTTCTCCGCGCCTTTCTGGAGGAGCGGAGGCTGCGTGGCGAAGAGGGAGGGTATTGATATCATCTTGCTTTGCTTTTTCTCTCTCGACTTCTGCTTCTTCGTCTTCTGCTTCCTCTCGATGGTCTTCTTGGTGCTGGTGATGGAAGGGGGGAAGACGACTCTTCTGGTCGGCATCAGGCTCAGGCTGTCTTTTCTATCCCTCGTCTACTCCCATAACTAATAACTATTGTCCTTACTGGTAGACGAGTCTGTATTGTTGTGTTGGTATTGTCGTCTTACTAAGTAACTCTTAACTCTTAACCCTTAACACTTGCCTAGCCTTACCTCTAAGTTAGCCGACCAGCCAGTCAGAAGCCCGAACCCGGCAGCGGCCCGTCAAGAAGAAGATGCAAGTCATCGTCGTCCCATCTCATCATCTCATCATCTGCTCTTCTCTGCTGCTTCTTCCGCGTCTCCAGTTCGTCTTGTCTTCATCTCAGGCCAAAAAGAAAAGAAAAACCCGTCGCACAGTCCTCTAGTTTAAGGACAAGAACGAAAAGAGACGAAAAAAGAGGAAGAGGCTGCCCCGTCGACTATCGACATCGACCTCCCTCGACCTCTTAACTTCACCGCTGCCAAAGTAGCGGTCCTTCTCTTGTCTTTACTCTCTTGTTTCTCTTGTCTCTGTCTGTCTCTTTCTATGCATGTCTATGTCTGCCCTCGTTTGCATCTGTCTCTTCCCACCCCAGCCACCGTGTGCTCTCTCCTGTCGTCCTCAACTGTCTGTCTTCATCTTCTTCATGCTCTCGCCTTGCAAGGAACAAGGATGACCGGGACGTGCATGGGACCCGGGGGGTGCGTGGCCGCAGGGCTGTCGGCAGAGGGACAGCATGGGGTAGGTCCGAAGGGGAAGCAGTAAGAGAGTTGAAGCGCACTAGCAAAGTAAGCAGCCAGAAGTAGCAGTAGACAGAAGTGGCAGTAGAGAAAAGGGCGTGGCAGTGGCGGGGAAGGCCTTCACCGCTGCTTTGGCCTTTTTTCCTTTTCCTTCGACTTCTTCCTCTTCTTCTTCCCCCACAGAAACAGTAGAAAGACTTAGAGGAAGAAAGTAAAGAGAGTAAAGAAAGTCGCGACGCCTTTTCTTCTTCTTCTTCTCCATCTTCTGCTTCCACTTGTTCTCCATCTTTCATTTCTCTTCTTCCTTCATCCTCTCAGGCCTCATCGAGTGGACAGGAAGAGACGAGCTGAGCGGCTGAAGCAGACTTGACGCTGACGACCCCTTGACGCTTGACGGCTGCTGCCCCCTTGACGACTGACGACGAGACGACCTGAGCAGAGACACCACAACATGGCTGAGGTCGAGCTGACTGCTGACGGCCTCGTTGGCCTCGACTACAGCCCCAGGGCCTACCTCTCGCACTCATGGCCGGACGAGACTGCAACGACTTCTGCTGCTGCTGCTGCGACATCCAGTGCAACGGCGACCACAACGGCCTACGATGCTGCTGCTTCTGCTGACCCGGGGCTCATGGCGGAGTGGCACTTCCAACGCCTCCAGCCTCACCTCCAGTTCCACCAGCACCAGCACCACCAGCACCAGCATCATCAGCATCAGCACCACCAGAGTCAACCGGACTACTCATATACCACCATGCCGCTGCAGTCGCCCATCGGCCTGCCCATGCTGCCCGTCACGGAGACGGAGGTGCATCACCAGCACCAGCAGCATCATCACATGGACGCCACCACCGCGGGCATGCTGGATGGCTCTTCCTACCTCCCGCTCTCCACGCCCGTAGACCTGGTCCCCTTCACCACCTGGCACGAGTTCCAGGCTGAGCTCGGGGCGTTCCCCATGGACGGCACCACTGCCACTACCACGGCTGCCATGAGTGCTGCCGCCGCCGCTGCTGCTTCTGTCTACGAGGCCGGCAGCTCGCCCGTCGACAGCTACCTCGAGGTCCGCTCCCTCACCAGCGCCAGCAGCGACAACGGATGGACGGCCATAGACAGAGCTCACTCCATAGAGTCGTCTCCCTTCCAGGACCACCACCACGGACACCATCACCACCACCAGCAGCACCATCCCATCTTCATCAACCCCAGCCAGACACTGCACAACCGCAGCCTGTCAGAGTCCTCCTTCTCAGACCACCACTCCCTCCACTCACGGAACTCGTTTGGCTCCTTTGTCGATGTCTCGCTTTCCCCACTCATGCACTCGCCTGGCTCAGAGTCCGCTCTCGACTTCGACTACGGCCTTCCCCTGCCGCGTCGTGTCTCCTGCGACCTGGTCTCCCACGGCTCCATCTCGCCCACCGCGGTCAGCCCCATCGCCATGGTCAGGCCGATGCCGGTACTCACAAAGAAGCAGTCCGCCTCTTCGCCTACACGGTCACCCAAGGCCTCGTCCACTGCTTCTTCTTCTTCTGGCTCTGGTGCTGGTTCACATGTGTCTGCTGCGGGATCGCCGCCGAGCAGAAAACCATCGCGGAAGAGTCCGATCGCGGCGAAGAACGCAGAGACCAAGGTTCGCAAGCAGAGCACCGGTGGTAAGGACGGCAGTGGCAACGGCGAGAAGAAGATCGGTAAGCGGAAGGGCCCGCTCCGGCCTGACCAGCGGAAACAGGCTAGCGAGATCCGCAAACTCAGAGCCTGTCTCCGCTGCAAGTTCCTCAAGAAGACGGTAAGCTTCGTCCCTCTCTTTCTTCCTTTCACATACATAAAAAGAGGTGAGATGCTAACAGATGGTAGTGCGACAAAGGAGAGCCGTGTACGGGCTGCCAGCCTTCGCACGCCCGTCTCTGGCAGGTTCCATGCACCCGCATCGACATCAAAGAGATCGGCTACTTCATGAAAGACTGGAAGGCCGACTACGAGCGTCATGTGACTCTGGGTTTCTCCGTCGGCAACATCACCGGCTTCTCCGACCAGGAACGCACCCTCTTCATCACCCACGGCTACGGCCAGGTCCTCCCCGTCAAGGCTAGAGAGGTTTATGTTCATGATGAAGAGTGCTTCAACCTCGACTGGGTCGAGACCATGAACCGTCCCGCCACCCACTTCGACCTCAAGACCGCCAAGCTCTCCGCCGGCATGGAAGGCATCTCCACCGCCATGCTCTCGGACTACCTCGACCGCCACATCGACGGCAACGGCAGCTACGAAGGCTTTGTCGACGAGTACTTCGCCGGCACCCCCTTCCTCACCCAGATGCTCAAGACTGCCTACCGCTTCTACTTCCGCACCAAGCTGCCCGTCATCCGAAAGGCCCTCAAGCTCACCCTCGCCTACAACCTCACCATGCACGTCACCATGGTCGAGGGTCTAGGCGAACTCGAGGAAGAGGCCTTCTCCGGCAAAGTCGACGACTGCGACAGCCAGTACAACGGCAAGGTCATGGCTCCCGTCATGATCAACTTCCAGGTCAAGTGTGCCATGGCAAACATGTGGCGCGAGCTCCAGAAGGACGTCCTCGAGGAGCTGTCCGCCCTCTACTCCAGCGTCTACAGCGGCGAGAAACTCAAGAACTGGCCCATCATCTTCATGCTCGCTACCATCCTGCTAGCCGTATGGGAAGAAATGCAGTTCGACTGCCACTACCGCGTCCAGGACCCCGTCGCCGTGACCAAGTTCTGCAACGACATGGAGTCCATCCCCGTCGGCGTCATCGTCGGTCTCTTCCAGGCAATCTCGCAGAAGCTCCCCGCCTTCACCGATTGGGACACCGCCCAGCACCAACAGATCTTCAACTTCAACTCTGACGTCTGTGCTGCCATGACCGAAGTACGTGGCCACGTACGACAGTACGAGACCTACCTGCGCGGACGAGGCGAGAATTCCATCTTTGACCGAGAAGACTTCGACTGCCTTTCCAACAAGTTCGTCAGTCGTTTGGTCATAAGGGCCAATTGACTAGCCGACTCTGACGATCGAGGGCCCCGCGACAAGCGTGAACGAAGACGCAAATGGGGCTGGGTAGGCGAGCGGCCCGCCGCCAGAGTCAAGAAGATGAAACTTGCTGATCTTGAGATGAGGAGGGGGGTTCTCGTCTCTTGATCGCGGCTTTCTTGCAACTTACTTAAAAGTTTATACGCACATTTTTCCCCAAGTTCTCTACAGATCGATTTCACGGATGATATGATGAACGAACTAAACTGTTTTTATGATGATGATGATGATGAAGCGTCCTGTGTTGCGTTCCGTTGTTGCATCTACCCCCCAACCCCCCTATCTATCTATCTATACTGTTGTTTGACCGTTCCCCAGCCAGTCACCTACAGCACGCGAGATGAGATAAAGCTATTCTTGCTTTCCCACTCGCATACCCTTCACGCATTACGTGTTTACGATTTAATCCGTCATTCTTTACGAACTATCCACGCTCTATTTGTCGTTTTCTGCTTATCTACATGTTGGAAGTCCAGTTTCTGTTTCTGTTTCCTGTTTTACCTACCCATACCTCACTGGGGATATATGTGTACTGTTAGTCCCTGCCATTGTTCGTTCGTCGGCTATTTGGTTGTTTCTGTTTTTCTTTTTTTCCTTTCTTCGCTCCCCGTCGCCTCTTTTTGCCGCGGAATATACACGCGCAATCAAACATGGCTAGACGGGTCGAGTTGAACCCACATCCCTTTCCCTGCCGACCTTGCCGTTGATCCTTTTTAATCCTTTTTTGTTTCTCACCTTTCTTCCCGTGTTCTTGTTACTTCACTTCTATTGCTTGTGCGTTCAGTTTTGGCCTCGACTGACGAAGATATGAAAATGGCTCCCCCTGCTGGTTGAGAAGCGAGGGACCTACGATGATCTATCTAACTAACTTACTTACCTTATGATCTGAGACGAAGAAGAAAGAAAGAAAGAAGTGTTTGTTTGTTTGATCTTTTTTTCCTTTTCTTGGAGTTACTTTTTTAATAATGATAAATACGTTGTTTATCATATCACGCCAGAGTTTACCTTTATACTACTCGGTGATGTATTTACAGTCCCACATATCAAGACGTCTGTCTGTCTGTCTGTCTGTCTGTCTCTTCATGTCCTTCAGCATAGCGCTATTTCGGGTTCTCTAGCTATATACTTGCATCAAATCAATGCATCAACTTCCATATTCGCTTTGACTTGCATCACTTCTGCTTTTTCAATCCTTCACTTACTAAGCTTCTGCCCCTGGCCACCACGTGATCCCTACGTCATCTGCCGAGGCTGACGGCGGGCGGTGGCTTGTCTTAGCTGACTCACCACGTCCTCAACTCTGATTGGTTCTCGCACCTTCCAGCATCTTCTGCCTGCCGACTTCCGCTTTCGGCCTTAGCGCGGGCAGTCACCGCCCCCTCCGCACCGGCGCAGCCGCTCCTATATAAACCACGCCTGCCGCCTGCTGTGACTCTTCCTCTTCCTCCTTCTTACAACAACCAACCCAGGCCACTTTTCTCGAACCCGAAGCCAGGACAGCAACCGTCTGCTTCAGTGCCACCAAGCTCCCTTCAGCATCAAACCATTACTCTACTTCTCCCTCAAGAATACACATAGAACTCAGTCATCATGCAAATTTTCGTCAAGACACGTAAGTTGACCTCCCCCAGAAGATGGCAGGCAACAACGACGACGATATACTAACAACCACGCAGTCACGGGCAAGACTATCACCCTGGAGGTGGAGTCCAGCGACACTATTGACAACGTCAAGACCAAGATCCAGGACAAGGAGGGCATCCCCCCAGACCAGCAACGTCTTATCTTCGCCGGAAAGCAGCTTGAGGACGGTCGGACCCTGTCCGACTACAACATACAGAAAGAGTCCACCCTCCACCTCGTCCTCCGCCTCCGTGGTGGTATGCAGATCTGTAAGTTACCTCGCCCTCGCCCTCGCCCTCGCCACCCACGAACCGAACCATTACCCGAACTTTGAACTAACAGCCACCAGTTGTGAAAACTTTGACCGGCAAGACCATCACTCTTGAGGTCGAGTCCAGCGATACCATCGACAACGTCAAGACCAAGATCCAAGACAAGGAGGGCATCCCCCCAGACCAGCAACGTCTTATCTTCGCCGGAAAGCAGCTCGAAGACGGTCGGACCCTGTCCGACTATAACATCCAGAAGGAGTCTACTCTTCATCTCGTCCTTCGTCTGCGTGGTGGTATGCAGATTTTCGTAAAGACATTGACCGGCAAGACAATCACATTGGAAGTCGAGTCTTCAGATACCATTGACAACGTTAAGACAAAGATCCAAGACAAGGAGGGCATCCCTCCAGACCAGCAGCGACTCATCTTCGCTGGAAAACAGCTTGAGGACGGCCGGACGTTGTCGGACTACAACATCCAGAAGGAGAGTACGCTCCATTTGGTTCTCCGGCTGCGTGGAGGAAACTAGATCTGCCCTGCCCTTCTTGTTCTGTTTTCTGTTTCTGACGACCTACATTTTTGATGCTGTACCTCATTTTCTTTTTCTTCCTTTTGACGCCCTACGAATACCTTTTCTTCCTGGGATGAGCTCTTTTTTACACTCCGGTTATGGCGTTGGGGACCCTCATTCCTTGAAGATGAAGCATTTGAACTCCTCGACTCGACTCGACTCTCTGGGACTGGCACGTCCGTTCTTTACCCTCTACTTACACCTAAATACACTACTCTAGATACTATTCTAGTTCACCCTTCGCCTTCAAAATAAATCATCTTTTGAAGCATATATGCTCTTGCTTTTCTCGTAGACTTGCTCCGTAGACCGTACCCGTAGTTGACTCTTGTTGTTGCCTGCCTTGTTGTTGCCTTGCTGCCTGACCGCCTTCAGCCGCCTTCTCAAGTCCTCAGTGCCAAGACCATTAGTTAATGTGGATCTTAATCAAGATTGGTTAAAGTGTAATTCAACCTCGAATGATACCTTAATGGAACCACTGTTATCAATTTCTTCTATCCTCCTGTTTAGGACAGCATCTTTGCAATGAGTAGACAATTGTTTTGTTTGCTACATGTATAAAAAGCTCAAAATTTCCATTGGCCCGGATATAGCTAACTAGCCATGCTGCATGACCTTCTCTCATTATATATATACCCTGATATTCCAAGACGTGGCATGTGTTTACATCAAAGAGTTCCAACGCAAAGATAGGCCTTGCTCCACATACCACTGCAGTTCGCAGTAATGGCAGGATTCCACTTGACGACGTCCGCAAGCGAGACCTTGTACTTCGCCTGAATAACTGAACAGGTCTGGCCAGGCTCAACAAAATGGAACTGTTTACAGTTTGTGACCATGCCATTTTGGATCGGTGTCGGTGTTTGGATCCCATTTCCAGGCTTGGTTGGAGTTGGAGTTGGAGTATACCCGATAACAGACACGCAAGCGTTTGCGTTGGCCCAAAGTCCCGCGCAGTTGTTTCCTGCTTTGGGGTTCCATTTGAGGAAATCAGCTAGCTGGATACCATTCTGCGAAGCAATACTGGCACACGAATCACCGGGTTTCGTGAGATAGAACTTGTTACAGTTACCAACAATGTCTGGCTGGGTGGGTGTTGGCGTCTGAATGCCGTTGCTAGGCTTGGTTGTAGTGGGTGGAGTTGGTGTCGGCTTCCAACCGATGACAGAGACGCAAGCGTACGCATTAGCCCAAAGACCGCTACAGTCACTGCCAGCCGACGGATTCCATCGAACGAACTCGGCGACGGTAATACCATATTTAGAGGCAATGGCAGAGCAGCCCTCGCCAGACTGTACTAGGTGGAACTTCTCACAGTTATCGACCATTCTGCCCTGCGTTGGCACGGGTGTTTCAATCCTAGAGATAGACGCAGGGTAAGATTCCAAGCAGAGACGCGGTGCAGGGAGGATATATATCTTACCCGTTAGATGGCTTCGTAGGAGTTGGCTGGGGGGCCGACGAGGTAGGCGCCTGGTAGCCGACAATCGAGACACAAGCATAAGAATCCGCCCACAAACCAGAGCAGTCATTACCCACGCTTGGGTTCCATGCCAAAAATAGGGCGCTGGTGATTTGGTGAGCGGCAGCAATGGCGGCGCAGCTATCCCCGGACTTGACGAGGTAGAATGCGTTACAGTTGTCCGCGATTTGCGGCTGTGTGGGCTGCGGTGTCTCAATGGCTAAATGAGGAGAGACGCCCCTTGTTTAGCATGGCTTCTCCTTCATATATATATCAAGACGGGGCACACAACTCACCTCCTGGAGTACGAGTGGGTGCTGTAGTCGACGTCGTCTGCGACACCGTCGGTGTTGGTGATGCAGTTGGCGAGGGTTCAAAGGCAGCCTCCACGCAATAAGAGCGGCCGACGGTCAAGCCGTTGCAAGAACCAGTGATGGACGGATTCTGTTAAAGATGGCGTTTAGCTGACTTTTCAGACAAAAAGGGAAAAAGTCACGCAACTCACCCAGCGTTGGAACTGCTCGAGAGTGATAGAGTTTGTCTGGAGAATCTGGTCGCACGGCGTCTGCTCGTTATAGTCAAGCCACCAACTACAGAAAGATGTTGCCTTGTCGTCATGAGGGTTGACGGGGGTGATGCCCCTGTGAGCGATGACACCACCAAGCACCAACTCGGTGCCGGCAAGGAGTAGCAGGAGACCTTGTAGAGCCATGGTATGAAACTGGAGAATGCACTTTGTACCTGCAGAAGCAGCTCAGTTAAGTCCTGGAACCTACAGTGCCAGTCTTTATATCCATCTTCTTGCGGAGATACAACAAGTATCACTGCGGAATTGGGCGTTCGTAGCAGGCCGTCCATTGCACCACGTCTACGGCATAACTATAGGGAGGCACATATCGTTCTTCCTCGTTGATGTCCTGGTCCGCTCTTGAAGCTCCTATAGAGAGTGAGGTATATACACTGCGAGGGTTCACATTCCATGCTACGGAGTTAGTTACTGTCACTATGACTTAGGTACTAGGAGATACCTACCTAGGTAGGTAGTCAGTTGCCAGACATCACCGGTGGACCCACTCCGAGATAAGTACCTAGGTACCAGGTATATACATCCACCACTTATTATCGCGATAAATCATGCCATAACGTGTTATGTTGGCTGAATCTGATGCTAATTCAAAGAGGAAGGAGCTCTGCCAGAGGATGGCAAACTAAGTACTAAGGAGCGATTTCTTTTGTTATTTCGGGTTACCTGTATATTACTATGTCTTTTCCCTATCATTTAAGCCCTTTTTATTATAATTGAGCATCTGGTTGTTGAGTTATTGGTTATTTCAATTTGCCTATATACATGTTTGGATGTACTGGGTTGGGGGATGATTTCTGGCCTAGTACTGTAGCATTCTAATCCTCAGAAAAGGAGCAGCGTTGCTTGTTAGTCCACCATTTAACACTGGTTCTGGGCTAGGCTTCTACCCAGGGGTAAACAGCGAGTCCCTCCAACTAGCGAGGTCCCATAGATGGGGGGGAAAGGCGCATGGATAAAGGAAGAAAAGAGACGGGCAAAACTCCAGGCCGCTGTGGGAGCTATATTGCCTCCTGCTAAGGGCTATGTGGGTTCATATATGTCGAACATTCCGTTAGTTTTGTCGGCGCTAATTAGTGCTATAGTTACATTATCTAGTGTCATGCATTGAGGGTCTCGGTTAAAATGTCTACATATGACTCCCCGCTTTAATACTTTTGTTATAACTAGTGGGTAAATCAATCTTAAACCGCGACCTTATATATACCTAGTGGTTATATATGGGGGGGGTCCTTTGGGTTGGTTATAACCCCGATTACTATGGTGGTTATGCCAAGACCACATGTATCCAGATTTATATTAAAAGAATTACCCCTTTTACCTCTGCAATGTACACAGGGAAGTGGAATATGGCTCTGCTTACCTCCCTTACCTCCCTTGCCTCTATATATACGGGAGGGCGATATATATGATATTATGTAAAATTCAAACTATCTATTAATTGGCTAAGGACTCTCGGTACGAACCTAAAGCTTAACCAGCTGCTTATCTAAGCTACATAACTGAGTTTTTGGGGGACCTCTTGGCATAAATCGCCTCGTAATAACTGGGTTACATATCTGTAGTGAAGGTTATAACTGCGGCTTTCTATATATACCTAAATATAGGCGAAGACGGGAGCGTTGTCTCCACGACGATGGAGATGGGGGGTTACAAATTCGTCCATCGGAGACGACTAGTTAATAGATCACGTGCATATTGGTAGGGTGATTTAAATCCTCTTATCAACAACACTTTTCCGTGATATAAAATAACTAACAACTACCTAGTTAGCTATATTACAACCCGCCTTCAATACACAGCAGCTTGCATTATTACAAGTCTACCTTTATCGAGGAACATCAAGCGATGGAGCAGGTAGTTGTGTGTCCAAAGCCTTTTTGCAAGGCTGACTATGATGACCCGCCTTCCCAGGCTAACTATGACGAACGCCTTGCTGCCATTCGGGGTGAAGGGGTACCACAGGACGTGGACAGCCGGTTTGGATGCTCATCTGTGATTCGAGGCATCCGCTGCCATTATGCGTTTGCAACAAGCCCTGCTGTCAGGGAAATCTGCATATCCCATCCGGAATTTGCCCGTGCTCGCAATGCTCGACTCATCATGAGCAATGTGATCCCCGAAGATATGGACAACTCGGACAAGACGACACAGCCTTATTGTATATGGTATCCGGACTTTGCAACCGAGGACACCTATCGCCAGATAGCACAGCGCTTCCCATCCATGCGCTATCAGGTGGGGCGCGCTTGTGCTGCGGCCGGCTATGACAGTCTCTATGCCGAATTGGACCTACTACCAGACGTTTCAATTGCCGAGGAAGCCCGTGAAAGCAAAACAGAAGGCGGTCGAGCTATTTTTGACGCAGTGATGGCAGTTCCTTATCGCTATGCTGTTATGAACGACTATACTTTGTCAATTACCCTCGAGAACCCCAAATTTCCAGCATATCTAAATGGTGACACAGAAGTGCGGTGGAAACTTCAACAGCGGGAACCATTACCTTTAGCACCATTTGGATATGGATGGCCATATGAGAAACATTGGCCAGGTATTGAGGAGGATGATCGCCTTACTGATGGGGAGCGAGTACGACTAGAAGGCCATACCCATCTAACTCCCGAGGAAGCTCAGCTCCTCTATACGCCACTTCCCCAGGATCTACCCACTGTGAATAAAACACTTTTGATCCAGATGGCAGCCTACGAAGGCAATGTTGAACGATATGCGCGCCTTGTCCGACCGTTTGAGATGTCAGACGTTGAGTTATCCTGCGTTTTACGAGGAATTTACCATCACACCATGTTTGCTCGCTTCTGGGCTGCTGAGATTGAACAAAACTCATGGCGTGCACAAAGGGTACCCGGCCGCGAGATACCACCCATGCGCGGGGGCAAGTATAATAGCCTCCGAGCGGCCATCTCTGCACGTCGTATCATGATCAACGATATCCAGGAATTTTATAATGGATGGCCAGATGACGCACCGCAGCCATTACTTACCTGGTTCCCTCTCAAACCAAGCATTTATACGCTAGAAGAACTTGCTAATAGAGCACCCTCCATGAGACAAGCAGTTGCAATTGCGTGTATCTTCTGCGATTACGAAGAACTTTACAAGAAGATTGATATCCCACCAGACCTCGATCTCAAACTTGCCGCAGCGCAGTCTAGCAACCCCTTTTACCTTCAAGACATTAAGAGGAAAGTCGCTGAGGGGGATCTCCATTTACAAGGCAGTCTCTACGTGGATTGGATGGAATATCCTATGGAGATTGTAGAATATAATCACTTACTTCCACGTCTGCAAGATGAACTTCACTTCGATAAACATACCGGCGCCCCTCACGGATCTGATTTAGAGACTGGTTCGGTACAAAGATACGTGTGGTCACCCCCTGAATTGCTGAAGAGAATTGAAAGGTGCGAGCTCGGATTTCTCCCAGATCCCTCGGAGCTAGAAGAACCCTCACCCGAAAACGGTACCAAATAAAAATATCCAAACACAAGGGGGCCGCGGAACGGAGCATTGCTTCTTTGAAATCAAGTGTCAACTATATTTCTAGTTATTGTGAAATACGTAACTCTTTGGAAAGTTGTATTTTGGCGCCACTAATATATAACAATGTTTTTGCTACAAGTTGAACGTCTCTCCTTAACCTCAAAACGGTAATCAGAGGTTTAAGCTTGATGTAAGACTAGAAAAGGTACTACGGTTGTATCGTGGTATTTGTATTGGCGACTATTCTCGTAACAACTACCTAGGTAGTTATATATAGAAGTTTGGCTCATTATTTTTATATCTAGGGGGAAAAATTGGCGCTGCTATAGTTATCCCCGTATTTCTATCTTCTTTGACTCTCTATCTATTAAGATGTTGCCTTTTTCCAGGCTCTACATATATATAGTTGTATTACCCTCACTTGCAGTTTAGATCCGCTAAATTCATAGCGCTCTTTTGGTCCACTGTCTTCCAGCTCTCTAGAACGCGTCGATGGGTAATGTCTTCTGGACTGGATGTCGGCTGACCAGCTACCGCAGGTGATGCGTCGCCCAATTTCGCGAGCTGTGTTGAGGGTACCGCTAGTTAGCTTCAAGGATTTCTATATCAAGGACGGCCGTTGAATGCGGGTAAAAGAACAAGCCAAAGAGCATTGGTAAAGGTGTAGAGAATCATGATGTTCTGGGGAGGAGATAGTGAAGATTGAGGCATCCACGCGGTTACATACCCAGTCAGTTATATCCTTCGCACTCGTCCACTTCCAATATGTCAAAGCTGGTCCTAGTTTGCCACCTGGGCAGTTCGTAGCGAATACCTTAGCAATGTCGGTTACTGTGTAATCGTCGCCGAGGTATATCGTTTTACCGCTGCTGTCGACATATGAAATTTTTGACTTCAGTTTTTGTTGGTCATTCGGGCCCACAGCGAGCCATAGACCGTTGCGATTCCAAATGTATTTATCGCTGATGAAAGTGTGTCTGTCCTCCTCGCGAAGGGTATAGATGGCATGGGAAATATCGGCAATGCGAGTCGCGCGGGCTGTGTCAGTGAAGATGCTCTCATAAGTTTTGCCTGGAGAGCTCAACCGATAATTCGAGTACTCTTTCTCAACCCTGTCTATGAGTTCCATATAGTTTTTCTTGTTCGGATCATTTTGGGGCGCTTTATAGCCTTTGAGAGTCAAGTCGATGTCGGCAACCTTAAGTATCCCAGTCCACCCCAGCTTCAGCAGCTCATCGGCCGCCTGATAGACGCCAATGGTTTTCGGCGATTGCAAGTTAACCAATGGAGTTTTGCCGCCTTGTAATCGCCATTGAAACTCAGCGTAGGTGAGTCTCCCGCCTGGTCCTGTGCCCTTATTACTATTTGGCACGGTGCCGGTCCCCTGTGCCGAAAAGATTTTGGTTTGCTTGGGGTCGACGTCGCTATCATGGTACTGATATTAGTGACGGGCACCCAGTGTAGCACGACTCGATATATGGAAGAAAGGACCTACCAAAAGACTTCATACATCTCATACAGCCATATTCTCTCGAATGCATGGGCTGCGTCGTTGCCTGCTGCGGCAACTTGGACATAGCTGGCTAGAGCAAGAAGCCAGGAAAGGAAAACGATAGAGAATAGGTTGCGCATGTTGGGAGAGTTCGAATTTTCCAACCTGGATAGGCAGAGATTCAAGTGAGTGGTAGAAAGAGCCCGAGACGCATGGCTACAAGGCCCTTCTTGTCTAAATGGGTATTCGAGCAAGACATAATATGGCCCAGAGGGAGGCAGACGAGTTAGCCCCTGAGAAGCTCATCAAGCATAATACAGCAGCTTCTGATATCGCCGGTGCCAGGGTCGGAACAGCCGGGTTTCCTAGAATGACGCCTTGTTGGTTTCTGTCTCTGAACCGTCTGCAATCTTAGCCGAAGGGCGTCGTTCCACTTCGGACCAGAGAGGGTAGACTCCGTATGTGGAAAGCAATTGCACCATTTCACACCATGCCGCACTGCGTACGGTCTATGTTGCATCCAATCTGCTGATATAGATGTCGCCTGCCCTGCCAGGCCCGCTCTACGGAGTATAACTACTCTGCCCCTTAGGCGAGAACTCCATAGTTAATATATGCATGGAGGTCCCCTGCATAGCCCTCAGCTCAAGCTCCGACGTCTGAAACAAGCGCCAACATAATTATAACTAGTTATAGTTATACATACCCGCAGACCAGGGTCAAGCTTCTCACGCATCATCCACGATCCTGGCTCTTAACTTCACGTCGTTCCGCTGCGGGTCCAGGCTGCGTTAGCCAGATGCACTCTCCTTTTCACGGACATATCCGGCATCTCAGTGCTGCATACAGAGTACTGTGGGAGCGGCTCAAGGCATGATGTTTTCTCCGGCTGCTTCTCGTAATGTGGTGGTTATTAAAAAGAGGATGGAAGGCGACTGCAACGACCTCAAAGCACATCCGCCACCACTCACTCGTTTACTTTCTCCTTTCCATCATGAGGAATCTTTTCTTCCTACGCTCTTTTTCCCCCTTCTTTTGAAAGCCGCTGGCACCAATCATTCTGGACCTGGAGTCGAGAATCCATACCCAACCGGCTTTACCTCTGCCAATTCCAACTCAACCGAGCATAGATTTGATTTAGGGGTCACGCCTATCCCTCCGGTTCCAGCAACCCATTGGGAGAATGATCCATGGACTTCACGGCTCGTTGATGGCTGTCCCCGGCTCTGCAGCGTGGTAGGCCCTGACCCGGGGAATTGGACACTCCTATACAGCCAACCTGTTCTATCCAACTGCAAAAAGCCTCTCCTATTCGACCTTAATGTCTACAACGATGACGCTAGACATTCGATAATCCGTGCATGCACTGTTGACGCTGGAAAGCCAAAGGTCAGACGTTCCGCTTTTGTGCCAATTGCAGCCTATCAGAACAAGACCATGGACCACGGAAAAGACGACTTAGGCCCGGAGACCGCTACTAGCATGTCTATCACTGCTTCGACTGTTTGTGGCGCAAAGGGGGCCACTGTTGAAGCCCTTTTTACCGCCAACCCACCTATGCTCAACCCTGGAGTTGACACTGCCTCTGCGGCTGCCCTTTTGGCAACTTATACCATCAACAGTCCTTCCTGTGGCGAAACTATTCTTTTGGCTAAGACAGGCGCCGCTATTGTTGGCCTATATCTTGGTGCGGAGGTCCAGGCACATAGCGCCGGAGAGCTTATCAATAAATTTGGGTGCGTAACCACACCATTTCCAAAATCTTAGATATCCCCTGAGCTAACAAGTGTCTCTTAGTGCGTATCTTCTTCCAACACAGAACTTCTGGCTTCTATTCCTCCAGTTGAATTCCCCTTTTCACCCAACCCCCTTCATTGAATTACTCCATTTACTAACTCATATTTTACAGACGATAACCTTAAGCAGGGTACCCAAGTGGTACAGAGCTGCAATGTCTGGGCTAGAGAAGCTAGAACTGTTGGCCTTTTTGCCGTGGATGACATTGCAGATCTTGATGAGGTTCAGAGAGCGCTCAAGAAGTGGTCTCGTGGCGGATGTCTTGATATTCCATCATCAGCCGGACAGGACATTCATCGCCTTTTGAATTTGGGTATTCTCACTGCCCCACAAAGTGATAACTCCACAAACTCCCATATGGTTGCGCCAACGTCAGTCCGTGCGAGGACTAGCCTTCAGTCTGTGGCAGCTCGAACAGGATCTCTGACTGCTCGAGGAGACTGCAACGCCATCCAAGTTGTCGAAGCAGATAGCTGTGCAGCACTGGCCGCCCGATGTGGTATTCGTGGCAAGGACTTCCTCAAGTTTAACCCGAAGCCAGATCTCTGCACAACGCTCGTTCCCAAGCAGTGGATTTGCTGTTCTGAAGGCACTGTTCCAGATATGCGGCCAAAACCTCAAGCTGATGGTACATGTGCTACTTATACTATTAGCTCAGGCGACGGCTGCTGGGCTATGGCAGACAATTTCGGAATTACCCAGGATAATATCGAGAAATTCAATAAAAAGACCTGGGGCTGGGCTGGCTGTAGTAGACTACAGCCAGGCCAGGTTATCTGTCTTAGCAATGGCAACTCCCCTATGCCCGCGCAGATTGAGGGTGTTAGCTGTGGTCCACAAATGCCTGGTACTAAGAAGCCTTCTGGTCCTTTTAACGGGTCTGATTTAGCAAAGTTGAATCCGTGTCCTTTAAATGCTTGTTGTTCTGGATGGGGTTTCTGCGGTGTTACAGCTGAATTTTGTACAGAGTCTCTAGCTGACACAGGTGCTCCTGGATCATCTAAGCCTGGTACTAATAGCTGTATCTCTAACTGCGGCACTGATATTGTGGGAAATGAGAGCCCAGGGACTTCCTTTAACCGTATTGGTTACTTCCAGGCTTACAATACTGCCCGCAGTTGCCTTAATATGGACGTTACTGAGATTGAGGGGGCTTTTAAGGACCTTACACACGTGCATTTTGCTTTCGCTGGCCTTACTGAGGACTTTGATGTGCATATTGATGATACTATCCGCGATCAGTTCGACAAATTCAAAGCTATGCAGGCACCTTTTAAGAAAATAGTGTCAATCGGCGGATGGGCCCAATCCACGGATCAAGACACCTATAAACGTTATAGGGATGCGATGCTTGGGGCAAACAGAGCAAAATTCATTCAAAATATCGTTAATTTTATCAACGCTAATAACCTTGATGGCATTGATATTGATTGGGAATACCCCGGTGCATCTGACCAAGGGATTCCAGCCTCAGACCCCATTGATGCAGAGAATTACCTTAGGTTCCTTGCCTTCTTAAGAGAAGCTCTCCCACGCGGCGAGAAGTCAATGTCTATCGCTCTACCAGCGTCTTATTGGTATCTCAAGGCATTCCCTATTCGTGCGATGAACGTCTTCGTCGACTATTTTATCTATATGACCTACGATCTTCATGGCCAATGGGGTAAGTTGATTTCCTGGATTGAAATCGCTCTTGCTAAAATTTTACCTAGACTATGGAAATAAATTCGTTAACCCTGGTTGTCCTAATGGAAACTGCCTTCGCTCCCACGTTAATCGTACAGAGACATACAATTCTCTTGCTATGATCACTAAAGCCGGCGTTTTACCCTGGGCTATTATGGTTGGTATCTCAAGTTACGGACGAAGCTTCCGTATGTCAGACCCAAGCTGCACCGGTCCTATGTGCACGTTTACTGGTTCTTATGGACATTCGGAAGCGGAGCCTGGCAAATGCACTGATACCCCTGGCTACAGTAAGTTCTAACAAAAAATGATACATTCTGATTTATACCTAGCCTATCATTAGCTGGAGATGGGTAAACTAACAAAATAAAACGACAGTTGCTAATGCTGAGCTGAATGAAATCTTGACTGATGCTTTAGCGGGCGTCGAGGGCGTCGCGGCCCAGAAGTGGCATGATCCGCAGTCGGATTCAGATATAATTTCATGGTCTGTTCCTCTAATCTATGCATTAGTTAACTAGTTATCGGCTCTTACTAATGATCTTCTAGTATGTGGAAATTCTTATTTTTGAATGTGACTTCCTCACATCTTATAGTTGTTGTCGATTGTATGCCGCTTGATTATACTAACTTAGGTATCTAGTTGGCACACAGGGGCAAGGGGTGACCGACTGGGTAGCATACATGGATGATGATACCAAAGCACAGCGCATTGAATGGGTGCGCAGTTTGAATCTTGGGGGGACCACTGACTGGGCTATAGATTTGGCCAACTGGAATCGCGGGCCTGATAAAGCCGGTGGCTGGACAGTCGAATCAGACAACCTGCAATGTGACTCAACTACATGGCCTACCACGCTCGACGACCTAGAGAAAAATATTGGTAAGGTGCAGGTAAACTGCCGCGGCCGGGCTGTACTCAGTATTTTGGCTGGAGACCTGCAAGATGCCATTGCCAAGTATAGAGAGGTTTCGTCTTCGTCTGATTATAACGATAGGGTACGTTACATATCTCCAACTTCTTTACTATGACTGGACTAGTTACTAACGCTGTGTAGTTCAAATGGTACGCTGATTGGGTGAAGGATTCCATTAATGCACGCCTGGAGAAATTCATGGCTTTCAAAACCGGCGAAGGCCTTAAATACATGGACTGTAAATGGTCTACGAATAAGGTAAAGGGCCAGGGCCCTTGTACTGAAATGGATCTTACTACCGCAGACAACAAGTACGGCCACGAAGGAACCCGCGTCATCGAGTACACAATGCGTGACGAAGAACAGTTTTATATTGCCCTCCAGAAAGAAGCTGGTATCGACAAAGAGTGGATTCAGTGGAAGGATTATAGAATATATGATCCTTTTTGCCGTACATGCCCCCCAAAGGCAGATGGCTGCCACCCTGACTACTGCGGAGATGATTATATTCTGCACAAGAACTTTCCACGGCGCATTGAAGATAAGGATAAGATCACTGTGGAAAGTCCAAAAGATACCATTGATAAAGCAATCCCTTACTTGGATAAATTATCAATCATTGCAATCGCTACCCTTTTTGAGATGCAAATGGGAGTTTTGGATGCTGACGCCGCTGATGTGGTAACTTCCTTTAGCATGCCTCTTTTTATGCTACAGGATGCATCTAAGTCTATCGAGGAAATCAAAAAGATTGGTAAAGAAGAAAAGGATAAGAAGACTAAAGAACTTGTTCTTATGGTTCTATCTATTGTTTTCGCGGTTATTCCTTTCGCTGGATTTGTTGGCCAGGCAGTTGGCGTTGCTACAAGGTTTGCAGCAGCAGCACTCATTATTGGTGAAATTGGTAGCGCTGCCGTATCTATTGTTGAGATCATCGACAACCCGGCATCGGCACCATTTGCTATCCTTGGAATTTTGATCGGTGCTGAAGGCATTGAGCTCAAAGGCGCGCGCACTGCCTTTAAGGAGGCTGCTGCCGTCCGCCGGGCGCTTACTGGCAAATCTCTGGCATCTTTCTCAGAGGAGTTCGTACGCAAGGATGCAATTATACAGGGGATTATCAAGAGCTGCTTCCGGTAGTGTTGATGATCTAGATACCTCTAGAGGTGGATGCGTCCCTCGTTATTTCTTCCCTTTGCATTTTTATTCTACATTCACTTGTCCTCTGTCTTTGCTACACATTTTCCTTTCTCTTTACCCTTTACCCTTTCCCCTCACGGAGATATTCTTTCCCTTTACTCTTTCCTTGAAAACTTTAGCTACCCATCTCTTGCTAGAAGGACGGCGACAACATGTATGCACAATATATATAGATGATTGGATCAAGTAACGTTTAATCGAGACTTTAGTCGAACCTCTTGATGAAGGATTTTAGGTTAGGCAACCATGTCACGTGATGATAGATAAGGCCGATAAGCGGTCGATAACACTCGACGCTTACAAGCTTCATCCTAGAGAAAAACATCCTACCAAGAGCTCACTGTAGGTAGCTTGTCGACCAGTTATCTAGCAAAGCTGCAGGGACATACCAGCTTCATGAGCCCAACGGAGCCGAATAGGCCTTTCTAATCGACACATTGAGTGCTAAGTGAGAGAATCCCCTGCAGGACGGTGACACGGCGAGCGGCACGAACAGGACGGCGGCATGCCCTCCTACTTCTACCACATCACTCTCGAAGTCCTATCCCACCAGCAAACCAGCGAAGCACACACAACTTCAAGAGAGCCACATCCACACGCCAACGCCTCTCTCGAAGAATACGCGCTATCACTCAAATCGCTGCGGGAATCCATACGTCCGTTTCGCAGGAAAAAGACCAAACCTGTACCAACCTCCGCCACTGATCTCGCGAGCCAGCTAGCTACGACATCCCTACAAGACACGTCGATACACACCGATTGTGATTCTCGAGCAGATAGCGTCTCTATCCAGGGCATCAATATGGTTCATAACGAAATATCCAAAGGCATAGGTTCGAATGTCATCAGCGGGTTGGCTACGAAGGGCAAATACGTTCCTCTCGATCTAGGACTGACGGATAGCGTGTACGGGATTGTCCATCTTTATCGAGATGCGGAAGAAACCCCCTCGTTAAGCCAGGATAACCACGACCAAGACCTATTTTATTTGCAAGGTGTGGGCTCTTCTTCGCACGCGCCTGTTTCCAACCACCCGTCTGGCTCTGGCTCTGGTTCTGCCTATGCGTCAGCGTCAGCATCGGGATCAGGAGGAAGTAGACCGTCTGAAGGAACCCTTTCGCTAGACGACTGTACCACGTTATGCATTCTTGCTGTGCCATCGTATTTGTCTCCTTCGGATTTTTTGGGGTATGTCGGTGAACAGACGATGGAGGACGTTAGTCATTTCCGAATGGTCAAGACCGCGCGGGCGAATAGGTATATGGTTTTAATGAAGTTTCGGAGCGGTAAAAAGGCAAAGGAATGGCAGCATGGTTGGAACGGGAAGCTGTTCAATAGTATGGAGGTATGTTGTTCGTTGCCTTGTTTTCTGGTAAAGAAATGTCCGCTGACGCTTTACAAAGCCTGAAGCATGCCATGTGGTGTTTGTCAAAGACGTAGAGATACAGGTTAATTCTTCGGCAGCAGAGTCGAAATTTCCTGATATGAAGAATGATCCGTTTACCTTTTCGGATGCCCCCTCGACAATGTCGAGTAAGCCGCTGGCACCGCCTACGCCGTCATTGATAGAACTGCCTACGTGCCCTGTCTGTCTGGAGCGAATGGACGAGACTTCAGGGCTTCTTACGATTCTGTGCCAGCATGTTTTCCATTGCACTTGTCTACAGAGATGGAAAGGAAGTGGGTGTCCCGTCTGTCGGTACACGCAGGATGACCTTGGTAAACGGAATGTCAATTTTGCCATGGACGAAGGGCCGAGTGAGTGTAGTGTCTGCCATTCAGAGGCTAATCTCTGGATATGTCTGATATGCGGCAACGTCGGGTGTGGACGGTACGACGGAGCTCATGCCTTCGACCACTACAAGGAGACGTCTCACTCGTTCGCCATGGATCTTACCTCCCAACGGGTCTGGGACTACCTAGGAGACGGCTATGTCCATCGTATCATACAGGGGAAGTCGGACGGTAAATTGCTTGAGCTTCCAGCCAGAGGAGACAGCGCCCTCGACCCTCCAGACTGGAGCGACGCCGTGCCACGAGAAAAGTTCGAAAACATCAGCGTCGAATATACCCACCTACTCACCAGCCAACTCGAAAGCCAGCGCGTCTACTTTGAAGAGCAAGTTGAGCGTGCTGCGGATAAAGCTTCACAGGCTAGTGCAAGCGCGATATCCGCGCAGGAGGCAGCGGAAGGCCTAGCCAAAGACATAGAGAAGCTGCAATCACAGTATGATAGTTTGACTCGAGAAACTATCCCGTCTCTGGAGCGCGACAAGGTCCGCGCCGAGCGCCGAGCAGAAAAATTCGAGTCCATGTCCCGGACGATGGAGAAGCAATGGCGGGAAGAAAAGACGATGAACACCAGCTTAATGGAGCGAGTGGAGTTTCTTGATGCAGAGGTGACCAAGCTCAAGGCTGCGAACGAGGATCTAGCAGAACAGAATCGGGATCTTACATTCTTCATCAGCGGGACTGAACGGCTGAAGGACCAGGGTGAAGACATTGTGGAGGGAACAGTCAGCGTTCCAGATCCTCCGACATCAAGCTCGAAGCGGAAGGGAAAACGCAAGGCAAAGAAGTAGATCAGGCAACGAAGTAGATCACGCATGTTGCATTTTGCTTCCCAACCTCCTCTCTCTTCCCTATTCCTAATCAACGCTTCACCATATTTCTTATGCGGCGGTCAGACTCTGATTTACCTCCCGATGACCTGGATCTCGCATATGAATCTGCGAATTGGACTGGCGATGGTTAAGCTCCCGTTCCGAAAACGGCAACTTCTCATGTGCAGCCTGACAGGGCACCCTTGATGGAATAAACAGCACATTTAATGCTTGTATGATACTACTGTATGCTACGTGGACGGACGATACGAAGATGCATATGACACACGATATTAACAGAACCGAATGAGAAAAGGGTGACAAGGGGTAAGCTGGGCAACCAGCTCTTTCCAGCAAAACGCCGAGGGTCAACCTCCAATGGGAATCAAAGGAGGAATTTAAGCGATGAGAGCAAAGCAAATCCCATGCAGCTCATTTTCGTCCCCCAGGAAGACAGCAACGATAGATCACCGACAAGAAATCCGAGCCAGAGCAGAGCACCCAGCCAGCGATCTGAATAAGCAAAAACAAGCTATGCATGGACATCTGTGACGAAAACGGAGGTGCCAAAAATAAGTCATTGAGCAAGCAATAGAGTAACTAAAATCCAACGCCTGTTCCGAGTTTGCCGATGAATAAATCAGTTGGATCCTGAAACGCCTTGTTCTTCCCACCCGCCCAATTTAAGCACAATATAGCTAGCTAGTTAATTGATTGTGATTGTGATGAGTGCAGAAAAACGTTCGTATAGCTGTATGTAGATGCAGCAATCAATCACATGGCGCTACAGAGCCTTTTCCACTGTCTATCTGACGAATGAACGGCCACGAACACCGGTTCCCGCAGCCAGCCTATACGCTCATCCTCGCTTCAACGGGAAGAGAACAAGCAATATTACAGTCCCGGGAGCTAGCTGCCTAGCTACATAGCTAGTTAGTTACTCCGTAGTTAGTTAGTTGAGAGGGTCCGTTGTTGGGGCTGTTGTGGCAAGCTGTGAGTTGGTGAAGCTGGCGGCGCGCGGGCCTCGTTTGTTTGAGATTTGCGCCACATCGGAGCGTTGAAGGGCTGAAATTTAGGACGTCGAGAACCCGATATCGCTGTTCGAATTCCGCCCAATGCGCAACGCAAGGATCATTAAAATGGGTTGCTATCGGAAAGGCCCAGGGAGTATACTCTGGGGTACGGGGCATGGAGGGGGGGTGGTGTGGAA